GACTTGAGGTTTCGCCATTTGCAACGAGTTAGGAGGTTTATTGGTTGTCGAGGTGGGATGCAAAAAGTGGAAAGACGCCATTGTCTTGGTTATTTTTGGGTCTGTAACAATACAGAAAAATATAGCTTGCCCTGAAACGAACGTAGTGAGAGGAAGGGAACTAATCAACGTGCTTGTCCATGCGCGGCCGCCAGCCAAAAGGGCTTTTGCCCTGAAACGAACGAAGTGAGAGGAAGGGAAAACGTCCCGCACGTGACAGGACTCGGAAACCTTATTTGTCGTGAACATTCGTGACACTGCCAAAAGCCATACAAAATTTGAGCCGAAATTGGACCAAAATTGCGATGATTGGCTCGCCGTGTTTCGGTGCTATGGGACGAATGCTTTCGTACCATTGGACGAAGGCTTCTACCGGAAACGACTCTAGTTTCCTGTTCTCTCTCCAATCTGCACCTCTGTTGGTGGTTTGTAGCTTTGGGGTTTTTGCTGCTATTTCCGTTTCGGGGATGGCGTTTGCGTTACCGTGATATTAATGAATCTTATCGGATTCGGCTGCGCTTTTCCGAAACTTTAAGCATACTATGACCTATGTAGCTTTCCTTTCTTTGTTGGGCTCGTATCTTTAAGATGAGTTTATGACGAGGAGCGATCTGTATATCTCAAACCGGTGCCACCACCTACACTCTTCGATTGTTTCCCGAATCCCAATGCCAAGATCCACTAGTCGATATCTAGTATAGTCCCGGAATATCAATGTTCCGTATCATAATCCATACAGTCTTACTCTTGCTATGCATGATATCATGTCTCGTAACTGTAAGGGCGATCCATTGTAACTTAAATTCCACGGAAATGCAAACAAATATAAGAGCTAGGGAGGCCTTGAAAATCTAGCGAGTGTCACTTCTGTCTGTGAATGAATTACCGCCGACGTAATAGACTGTAAGTTTTTGGGTGAAGATAGTAGCTGTTCCTAGTGTGTTCCGTCCCTTCTAGACTTAGCCCTGCTAAGTGAGCAGGCTGAAGTGGTTGCGTATCGTGACCGTGGCGGCGCTAGGAGTACACGGTGCTATCGTCGTTTTGCACTAATCTGTTTCCACCTTGGAATGGTTGGCTCTCGCGTTGTGTTGGTCTTGATTGATTGGCTGCCGCGAGGTTACAATAGCTAAACGCTTATTTAACTCTAATCAAACCTAGATAATTATATGAACTGGCTATCATCCTGGCTCAAATGAAGGGAAGCCTAACGCCACATGTAACAAACAGATGAACCTAAGATGTTTTCACCCTTAGGCAGGCTAGAGCTGCTTGAGGTGAGTAGTCTAGACCCGGCCATCGGCTTCCCGAGTGATCCGCACCGAAATAAAACTGTCATCCAACTTCCTCTTCGGGCTTAATGACAGTCGCCATAGTAATAAATTACTAGTTAATCTAAAATAAGCTTAATAAGATGCAGAAGACAGGCCGAGCCTAAAAATCTGTTTTTCTTAAACCAGGCGTTCTTCTAGAATCGAGCGCACTAGACTCCCTAACGTAGTTAGTAACGTAGTTAGCTAGCCCACTGGCCTATGATTCTCTACGACGGCGTATTTAGTACATACGACCATAGTGTGTGGAGAACAGGGCTTCCCGTCCGCTCAGCCGTACTTAAGCCCAGCGCCATTTGCCCACCCTAGCAAATGAGGTAGTTTGGCTTGGTGGAGAAATGGGTCATCGCCACTTTAGGGTCGCGCGACCAGGGATGAAAAGGGTGAGTGCGCAATAAACGGGGTGCGTAGCCGGGTGAGAGCGGGTGATACATCACCCTCTGTCGCGCGACCACTGTCACTCTTGTTGTGTCCGAACCCGGACACTGGCGAAACTGTCCAACCAACACTACTACTCACGGTTGTGGGGTCGGAATTACATATGTTCCGGTGGCGGAGGGTGCACAGTTCTTTGAAGTACTGTGGGCTCCTAATAACTCAATTAACAGGCTACTGTCCCACGATAGCGATTTCGGAAAGCGCTTCGAAGAAACGGGCAGATGTAATCTGACGCAGGCCTGCTTCGTCATATCGACAACAATCTGCTCTTAAAGTGAAGTGACGAGTCTTTCAATTTCCTTAGACGAATTGCTTACATAAAATTTTCTATTCTAGTCCGTTCGAATTACGTTGTGTATCGAGTCTTAAATCTAGCGCTTTGACTAGTCACTTCGAGCTTTCTGGATATTGTCCGTATAGTAATAGTTATACGTGATAGGTTAGCGCGCCTTATCCTCGAGCAGTATATTCAATTCGTTAATCGTATACTGGATGTTCTCTTGAACAGATTTCTCTACGTAGCTATAAACATTTTACCGAACCTTAGTGTCCTTTATTACGAATTTCAATACTGCTTACATAAAGCTTAAGACTAAATCTGTAACGGCGTCAAGATAGTCCCGAGCGATTTTGCCCTACCGTATAGACTACGAATAAAATAGCTTAGTAAGTAGGGAATAGTTATAGTTTCCTAGCAGTTCTCTTCCGTATGTTCGATAATATACCTAGGATGATCAGAGCTGACTGATAGATATTAGATCCGTTACTTACTTGTTTGACCTACGCAGCTATTCTGTCCTTAGTAACAAGGATCTAGCTATACTTATTCAAAGTTAACCCTGTTACCTCCTCTTTAGAAGAGGATAATTTAGAAGACTCGGTATCTCTCTAAGAAGTGATTTTGCGCGTCTAACTATATTCCCTTATATAATTAGCGAACTTTTCGTTTTCTAGATAGACTATCGCGCGCAGACGGTTAATGAAATCCTCGCCTTAGGCGTCAAAAAACTTTGCGTTACGGCCGCCGTAGTCTCCGTCAATACCGGCTTGGACCAAACTCTAGAAGTCGGCGCTGACTTACGTTAGGTATATCCGGATCTGACTCGCGGTATTTCGTTCTATTCCGAGAGAGGCAAGTTCTTAGCTATTTCGTTTAAGGAGCTCACGTAGTTCCTCCCGTACCTTAGGTAGCTCACGCTTAATATGACTATTAAGAAGATCTTGCAGAAATACTCGAAGATTTTTAATCCTAACCCGCGATAGATCAAGCCTAAGACCTCTCTACGGTTCGCGAGAGAAGAACTCTTGTTCCGCACGTTTTCTTACCTCCGAAGACAGGCCTTAGGATAATTCAACCGGAGAAGGGTTCTTGAGAAGGAAAAATCTAAGGTTGAGCTTTGTGCGATCCAAATTCCTAGCTAAGCGTACTACTCGCGGCTTAGTTCCCTTGTTGATAAGATTAGGCTTTGTAATAATCCCAACCGTCCTTAACCCATCCTTATCATAGTAACGAGCACGTTAGATAATACCCTAAGTATCGACATCGCTACTTGCTAGGACAACCGCAAGGACGATAGTACGTGTACTTTCAAGGTATAAGTTAACTAAGTCACTGACCAGTTGCATATCACGCTCGTCCTCGGAAACCGAGATCAATCTATGCAAATCAATAATAGTTAAATGAAGTCCTGTCCTGCCTACTAGCTCTAATCGCAGAACGTCAGCGGCAAAAGCAGGAGCGTTAACCTAGTTCTTAGAGGTACGGACACCTATAGCTAGCCCTGCAGCTTTAATGATACTAGGAAGCTCTATGAAGGTCCGAAACTCTCTACGAAATAAAGCTAGGCGCCTTCTTCCCTCCTTATCCCGCGAGGAATAAGGAGTGATTGTGGCCGTCATACGACTCGCCTGTTAATTATGCCGTAGGACAATCTCCGTCGCGAACCTAGTACACAAACCATCCTGTCTAGGGAAAGGAATCCTGCTGATACCTTCTAGGACAGAGCTCTTTCCTGCGGACTGGTCGCCGTATACCACTAACTGTGGCAATACAACATGATCGCCAACCCCGTTGGCGCGAACACGGTTAATTTGGTTGAGTCTCTCGGACGTTCTTGAGGATTGAAGTCGAAGTTCGTCTCTAACTCGATTGAAGTCTATCGCGGTCTAATCTGTTTCCGAACTTTCTGAGTCTGAAGATTCCATTTCTTGAGCAAATCACCGTCGATAGATTGTAACTTAGTTCTGGCGTAAGAGATTTAACGAGAAAGAAAGTTTAGGGACAGGTAAACTAAGAGCGAACCGGTGTCTTTATAGCTGCGATGAACTATTATCAAGTTAGAAACGAACTTGGACTTCAATCCTCAAGCACTTCCTAGAGACTCAACCAAATTGACCGTGTAATAAATAAGATTGACGATTAAGTTACAAGCGGTGACATTTAGACATATTTTGTGGTGCTGATCTGTAGCCTTAATGTATAGCTTTCTGCTCTCCAAGGGCGAACTCCCTTGCCGCCTGTATTTATACCCCTTACCGCAAAAGGGACTATCTGCCTATAGCAAGCTCCCTCCTAATAACTACAGCAAGTGATAGAGGTTTCAACCCTTTCTAAATACTAGTATACATACTTGATCGGCTATTCAAAATACAAGCACCTGCTTCCTCAAATAGGGGATAAATGTTTAGTATTCTATATTATGACTCTATGCAATAACACTAGAGTTCAACCTGCATCGATGAAGCAGACATAAGGTGATATAATATGCGCAAGCCGATTGCTTTATTCACTATACTACGGTGATTGCCGTGCTATCTAGTCATTCCACTCCTCCTCTTGCTATTCCCCACGAGAGTATTCTATATAAAATCCAAATTAGTTCTGCAAATATCATATTGCCTTTAAACTTACCGCAACTAAATATGTTACAATCCGCGCCTGCTTCTTCGGAATTGCATAATTCAACCTCTTCAGTGAATGTTTTTATAACGCTATTCCTATAGTCATCCTTCCCTAGGGAGGTGATATGCTTTGTAACTTGGCTATTGTCACCTGTACAAATAGCAGAATGCGCAAAGCACTAGTCGAAACAACCCTCGATAAAGCACTATTTAGAGATTCCTCTATTGCACGACGGGCTAGAGGTATCTTATTAATATATATGCTATAGCACATAGAATAATCATAAGCATAACCTACCAGAGCTGCCCCTCGACATAAACCTCAACATCTTCAACAGCATCATGCGTTCTCTCTCGCCACTCCTGTTGCTCTTCTATTATCAGATCCTTGATATCCCGCGTCCTCACCACTCGAACTCTGCCGGGTATAGCCTGATCAGACTGTCTATAAAGCTAGAATGAATTCCTCATTAGGATCGTGACCTGTCCTAGTTTATAATGGGATTTACATACCTATCCCCGGCGGTGTTCTCGTGAATTAATGCGGCGTTACTTCTTTCGCCAGGCTTCGTGAGATCTATAGTCATCACTTTGGCTTCAACCGCGCTGAGTCTCTTGTCCAATTCTATATTATTAGACAGGAGGGCATGCACCAAGCCTTCGAGGTTCAGGCCTGTCGTCAAACTGCTGCCTTCGGTTGTCATATCGGAGTTAGGCGCGCTGTCTTCCATCGCCAGCCTAACACTTCCAACCGCCTTCTTAAGTTCCCTCTCAAGTTCGCTGAGGTTGTCAGTTATGAAAGTAATATCACTTCGCGACTCGAGTGGTTGGGAAATTGTAATTAACTTGGATCAAGAGTACCTGCCTGGGTTTATTGTAGAATTTCAATTCCCCCCGGCGCCGCCCCGCCCCGGATTGAGACATGCTGCAAGGGATAGTGAGCTTCTCACCGCCGGAAAGAGATTTTGCCTACCTGCTTTCCTTAAGGAGACAGAACACTGTTGGTCACCAGGGATACCCTTGCACGATTATAGACCTTTGAGATGACAAGACACTACAGAGCTTAATCGGAATGTATGTATGCACAGCTGGGTAATCAAAAGGGTAGAGTCATCGATTATTCACCTAGCACAGAAGTGCCTGTGGTTCTACAAGATCCAATTATCAAGGAACCATGCGGGGTTGAACCGATCTGCTCTAAAGGAATATTTTGTGGCAGTCCGCTTGGTGTAGCATGTACTGTGCAAGCGTAAACAGCACTTCTGAACAGCTAGGGACATCGCACTAGCGACCCTTTGGAAACCTTTGCGGAAGCTTATGGGTCCTGAAATGCTTTTGCAGCGCGTCCTTCCGAGAATATCCAAATTGCTTTGCTGTAGGGTGTATATCGGTGACGCCTAAGTATACTGGACATTCAAGGCTAGTGGCACTTTTCTATAGGAAAGATTGCGGTTCAGATTTTATAGCAGGCACGGACTCAAATTTTACTCGCTTTCGCAAGGCCTTCGGTATATAGAGTCCGTGAAGTCGTAGTCGTAGCTCTAGTGAACGGATCCGGTCTTCAATCAACTCTATATCATTAATAGTGTTAATATCTCTGTTCTTGAATTCAAGGTCGGCGAGCCCCTTTCTTTCCGGCTGTATATACGACGTGTCCGGTTCGAAGGCTAAAGGGTTGCCCTGATAGTTCTTATCGATAATATGGTTTCTAATATTCTCAAAAAAATCATCGCGGGCTCTTTCTTTAGCCTCCTTATAAATTTTCTTTCGTCGGGCCTTGACTTTTTTTTGAAGCATAAGATATGCCCTATATCGCTTAGCATTAGTATATCTTGCTTTATTTAGTTAATAGAACTCCGTAATAAGGTCGTTCCGAAGTCCCTAATACTCCTGCTTTAATCGATTGAGCTCTAGGTCGTTTTTAAGGGACCTCTTTTGAGGCTTTATAAGATCCTAGGGTGCGGATATATCCCGTGTAAGGCTTGAGTTATAAGCAAGTTTAAGTAAAGCATCTCTAGCAGGAGTCTCTATAAAGGTAGATTAAGTATTATCTCTAATAGAGACGTAGTAGGCAAATATACTGCTCCGTGTATAGCCTATAATAGCGTTCCTTGAATATTCGTCTAGATGCCCTGAAGTGATAATATTAGTGTATATTAGAGAAAAGTTAAGTTAAACCCTTTTATACTTAAATTTATAGTAGCCTCTTTCCGATATTTATATAGGGTTCCTTTCGTTTTGGATCTAGCTGAAGCGCTTAAAGACTTTTTATATTCTAGCGCCGTACTATAGGTCAGTGCGTGTTATAGATCAGTGATCCAAAGACCCTCTTTATTCTTTATAGCCCTTCTAAAGATTAGAATTTCTTTAACAGCCTCTTTAAAGTGAATAGGGGTACTAAGCCGGTACTCCGGGACCTTTATAAGGCTCTAAATATCTCAGGGACATTTAATATACTTACTAGTAAACGCCTTGTCGAGAAAGGTATATTCAAGAATATCCTGAATAACATAAAGGCCCAGGTTATCGTTCCGTTCTATATAGGTGAAAATAGGTCTGCTTTTGTTAGGACGGTGCGTATCTTATATAGATTATGCTTCTTACAGTACGCCTTTGTTCCTCTTGCCTTTGTTAAGCCTATATATAACTCTTATAAGGAGAACCTGGCATGTCGGATTGTCGGGATTTTTCACTATATATAATTCAATATCCTTCTATTTCAAGGTATTATTACTCCTTATATAGCCGGAAGATTCGACTAATATTCTAGATCGTGCCGATATGGAAGTTATTATTTTCCGTAATATACTTAATTAACCTTAGTAGCGAAAGGTAGGGAATATAATATTATACACGGTAAGGAGGTGATAGGTCGAGTATAAGAGATCGTCGATATTGACCGATAGCTACGTTTTACTACCTAGATTAAGCTCGTACTCGTCGGTAAGCGTAGTATATACGAGCTTTAATAGTAAGTATTTATCGTTAAAGGGATTTAAGATAGTACGTACTATAGTCATTTTTCGACGAAGATCGTAAGAAAATTCGCGGTATATTTCTTTATACTAATATATTCTGAAATACCTTACAAAACCAAGGAAAGTAGACTAATATTCAACATTATAGTTGTCGAGATACCATCGAAGAAATCCTTTAACTACCCGTAATGTGATATTCTTGAGCTATTGTTGAGCATCAGGTAGGTCCAGTTTTTGGGTAAACCTGGCATTATTTATAAGTAACCTGGAAGGAATAAGTGAGAGGATAGATAGACTAACTTGCGAAAATTGCGTTCTATGTGCTTTAGATTTTGTTTTGTAGCTTCGGCATAGTCACTGTTGACTTGCGTATCTAGTTAGTGAACGAATAAGTTCCAGTCGATTTCAGTACTCTTGGCTCGAGTTTTCTTTGGCATCGTAGACGATCAAACTTCTGTTATGTATAACAATAGTATCTCTCTTGGAGAAAATCAGATATGAGGATAACCTTCAACTGATCTTTCAAGGCTTATTTATACCCTTTGCCCTATGATTTTACGGGACGGGCGGACTTGTGTATGTACACGAATTAATGGAAACCACGCTAAGCCTAATTTGGCTACCCCTGTGGTGTCCGAAGCGCTAGGTGAAAAGACCACGATTCTCCCTCCAAAAGCCACGCACAATCGTGGTCTTTTCACCGTCACCCCTAATTACTCCGTAGTCTGTAGGACGGTGAATTACGCAATGGAGTTTAGCGTTCCAATTTGGGTTTAACGCTCCTCTACAGGTTGCTATCGCCATATGTTACTATCGCTAATCCTAGTTCCTACGTGCCTCTCTACTTCCAGGTTACCGCCCGTGCCTCGACTACGACTGCTGGTCTTCATCTTGTCCCTGCGGTGGTGGGTAACACGATCGGCGGCTTTATTGCAGGGACTATTATCAAAAGAACGGGAAGATATAAAGTCTTGCTATTCCTGTCAGGACTTATATCCTCCATTACTTATATTCTTCTCTTCTTTTGCTGGAACGGGAGCACGGGAATGTGGGAATCCTTTAATATATTATTCGCTGGGTTGGGGACGGGGATTTCCTCAGGCGCCTCGTTCGTCGCGATGGTGGCCTTATTGGCTCCCACCGAAGTAGCCATGGCTACAGCAGGGTATATGCTTTCCTTCTGCTTTGCTATGACTATGGGTGCGACTATTACAAATAACGTTTTAGGTGCAGAGTTCCGAAGCCAGTTGCAGAAACATTTCCATGGACCTGGGTCTCAAGAAGTGAGATGGAACACTGCTTTTCAAAACCTGCGATCTCTCTAAAACCAAGATAGATCATCCGTCGCGCTATTTCAGACACGGCTTATATTGCAAATCTCACCGGTCACGCCCGAGAACTTGTATTAAGTTGCTATATGGCAGGCCTCAGACATACATATTGTAAGTTAATTCCGTCTTCGGCGGGAGAAGTGAATCTGATCGTTGACAGTGGTATCCCTGGCTGCGTTGCTTCTACCATCACTGCTTGCATTGACCGTGCGTGACAGTCTACTGTAGACTGTATTTAACCCGTTTCAATGCGGCTTATATCTTTCTGGTCGTTAGTTCTTGCTTGTCAATGGGTGGGGACCTAGGAAAGACTTTCTCAGGAATAAAGGATGACGGGGAACGAGATACAGTGCCCGCTCAGCTACACAGGCTTTCTTTCCCAGAGTCATACTTAAAACCAAGTCCACATCGCCGAGTTTCAGTCTCTTACGGCCAGTGCCAGTCACACAGCTACAGACCCGCAGGAGCCCCAAGAAGACTTTCTCCAGCCAAAATCATCCTACAGTAAAACCTGGTTATAACGAACTATTCTTGATAATGGGGTTTCATTCGTTAACCTAGGTGTTCGATATATCTGAAAAAAAGTCACGAATATCGCTCTGAACCCTCTGCAAATCTCTCTTGTATCCCCATAATCGCTTAACATAATGTGCTACTCATTGGGCTCCTTCTGCTGCTTATAGTAAAAAGGTCAACCTACGTAGGGCTTCTAAAGCCTCGGTCGGCTTAACAATCGACAGTACCTCTAATCGATTCACTATCCTCTTCCTCTCAATCACGCCACCCGGGTAGCTACCTAGATCTAAGCTTTTTAGTGCGACTCCCGAGTGTCTGTTGTGTAACTTGTGTCTCAGTAATCCCGGTGTCCCTTGTCCTTTTAATTTAGTTTCATTTATTATGCATTTGTTTTATGCAGGGTCTTCCGGCCGGTTAGGTTAAGAGGTGATCGCCACGGATAAAGTAGTGCCACCACTGGAATATATATCCTACCGTAGTACTGGTACGGACCTATGATAAGTGGGGTATGATGACAAGACTGCTAGTGAGTACCTAGCAAGGCTTTCCCCTTAAAATAAATATAGATTAATAGATGTCCGTGTGTAAAATTATCCACTTGACTTCCTTTTTTGGTGGGGACTATACCACTGTATGGTTGCTCGTACTCGTACGGCCGGATGCAGTGGTCTTCGTCTACCTGGTGATGATATAATATTCTGCCGGTCAAATCATCTTCTTATTTCCTCCATAAGTTACGCTCATATCATGGTTCCAAGGAAATGGATAGAGACTAATATTAGAATTTGAATGGATTTCATCATAAACAAAACTAAAGTCACCTTTATGACAAGTTATAGACTCGTCAAGTTTGCACCGAAAGCGGAAGACTAGGCGGTAGGGCGAGGGTGGACGAAGACTTGTGAAACACCACTGGACGTTCTCGGGGTGAACCTTGATGTTGGTTGCCGGACCCAGCAACCGGAGTATATACAATTGGAAGTATAGGTTTGTTTACACTACAAGCTAACAAAAAGCCCCATTCATAACGTACGTACTCACCCATCCTACATACTGTAGATACCTAGACCCTGTTCTTACTGTAGGTGCAGAATTTAGCGGCGCCGATCGTTCGTGAGAGAATTTCCTACCCCCCACCTAGGTACCCGGTTCAACGAAAAGGGTCATTCAATTTTCGTGATTTCAAATGGTTTCAAAAATCGTATAGCATAGGTAGGGAGAATTGTAAGTTCCCCCTTCTGAGCTTATAGTCTATCATGACGTATAGTGCGTGTGGTGGAGGCTGCACGACACGTACCCCCTTGCGGCGGCGGAAGGCACATAAAAGGCTTATTTCATGTGCCGGGTAAAAAGGAGAACCTAAGTCCCGTTAGACATGATTAGATGGGAAATCGGGGTGTCTATCGTAGGAGTAGGGCTGGTAGTATATGTTATGAAGAGTACAAGTATACGGTATCTGATGCGACAGTATGATGGGGGTTGCTGATTCCAAGGGGAATACTGCTACGTCCGACAGATTGTATAATCTTAGTTTCTGCTAAGCAAAAAAGTGCCGATCGCAGTCCGGTCGAGATGGATCTGTTTTGAGGTTGAGGGGTCCAGTTCCAGGGGAAAGACAACTAACTGTTCACTAACATCGGGGGAGGGAGATCGGCGCCGAGCCAAGTACAAGAGAAGTATCCTTTCATACTACATTATGTGTCGGGATACTTGACTGGTACATCGATCGACCCGCGGACGACCGTGCATCGGGTCATCACCTCGAATCTACCGGATTCAACCAATCAGCATCGCGGATCCTGTCCACCGGTCTCCACGAATGAAATTGTCCCAATCACGCAGTCGCAGTGGACTCACAGTCTACTTTCCTACGAGGCTAAGAGTAAGACAGTGGAAAGTGGTCGGGTGTCGTGATCCTCGTCTTGTTACAGTATTTTCCTTCGTGTTGAGCCTCGAGAATTGTCCGTGACTACGACTGTCTTCTCTTTTCCCTACCTTCGGTCACGTCCATTTCGGGAAGTTTTCTCGAATCTTTTCAAGTGCTTGTGTAACCCCCGTTTCTGTTCCTCCTCCTCCTCCTCCTCCTCCTGCTCCGTCAGCCGCATGTGGTTCCGCCTCCGTTCCTGACAGCCCGCGCCGTTTTCTCCTCGTCCTCCCTCCTTTCCCTCCTTCCCTTAACAACATCTTCTCGTCACTCGTTTTTTACCTTCCCCCCCTCCGACATACACAGTCATCACGGAATGCCATGAGGCTATCACATCGAGTCGGTTCGGCCGCCGCGCTCATTATCCTCGCCCTTTTCCTCCTCATCCGTCGCCTGAGCGCTCAAGAAAGTCCCAAGTCCTTCTGGCGCTTCGACACGACATCTTTCCACGCCGCACTCCGACCACAACCAGCGCAAGAGGCTAGTCATCGGAAATGGGGTGCTGGAACGGGACGCTCGAATGTCTTGACTTATCAACAAACCCCTATTGTGATCCCCGATGAGGGTATCATTGTCATGGGTAAACTCCGTGAGGAGGACACTGCTTGGGTATCCGCGGAATTGGCCGAGTAAGTTTGGTTCAGCTTACAAAAAATGTCTAATTGCTGTCTCAGCCACTGGGCACACCATTCCCTTCTTTTTTTGGTCGCTCACCTCAGGGGCGGTGGGCGTGTCTTGGCTCAGACCCTCTCCAAAAATGTCCAAGACTAGGCTGACACCAACCCACTTTCTCCAGCTGGCGCAATTTCATCTACACCGTCGACGACCCATCGGCGCCCGTGCGCACGCCGAAGAATAAGGGTCGCGAGGCTCTGCCCTATCTGCAATACATTGTCGACCATTACAATGATCTCCCGGCCATCATTCTTTTCCTGCACCCCCACCGCGACGGATGGCCCCGCGCCTGGCACACCGATACCATGGACTACAACAATATAGACTCCGTGCGCGCCCTCCAGCACGACTTTGTTCAGGCCGAGGGCTTCGTCAGTTTGCGCTGTCAATTGTCGCCCGGTTGTCCGGCCGAGATCCAGCCATTCCGCAAGCCGACAAAGCCGGGCAACACGGGTGAGAAGCATTACGCGGAGGCATGGAAGGCGCTATTCGGTAATAATAATGTGCCCAAGGAGATTGGCGCGCCGTGTTGCTCGCAATTTGCCGTGTCGCGCGACCAGGTGCTTCAACGCCCGCTCAGCGATTACAAGCGCATGTATGACTGGGTGTTGAATAATGATCTACCGGACGACGTCACCTCCAACATTATGGAGTATTCATGGCACATTATCTTCGGCAAGGATCCTATCTTGTAAGACGCGGCACCCGACCCTGGTAGATTCCTTTATACTGACTGTGACACAGCTGCCCGGATACATTCCAGTGCTACGCCGACGTGTACGGCGAGGAGGTCGTCGACTAATCAGCCCATATTCCCATCCGGCCAAACCGCACCGGCAGCCCTACTTACGGGCCTTTCTATTCTCCCTTTTCCTCCCATCTCTTCGTCTTTTTACATCCATGTTTGTATTCCATAAAATCACGCCCCCTTGACCTGTATTCTTTTCTTCTCGATGGGAGGGAATTTTTTATCCACCATTTTACCCTCACTCGTACCGTCTGGTCCTACCTTGCCGTCTCACCTCTACACCGGCATATCTACCTCGTACAGCACAGGCGCGGACACGGGAAATGACGTTTGATGGACCGGATTACCAGTGCACATGACGACTTCCAGCTTCGCTGTTTATTTTCTTTTGGGAGCAATGTACATGGAGTTTCGCGATGAGCTTTGAACTTTGAACCTTGACATTGACGGTCTTGACCGTCACCTTTTATCTCCATCTCTACTTTTGCACGGGCATCGAGGCTGAACTTGAGCTGGAACTTGAACTTGGGTTCGAGCATTTGTCTGCGCCGTGTTGGCGCTGGACCTCGATGTATGCATGGCCTGGCTTATGCGATTGCAGGTTGCGAATTGTTTACGTTTCCCGTGGGGATGAGATGATCATGTTGATTCGCTGGGTGGTTTGGTGATACCTTCCCTTTGACGAGGCTTGTTTTAGCTGTGTACATGAATAGAATTATTTTTGGACTTGAATGACATGTACCTTTTCTAAGGCTTGTATATTACTTGATTGTTGGACAGTGGGAATCGGTCGCAGTGGCACGGAAGGCTTGGGCTAGGAGAGGAGTATGAAGAACTGAGTATTAGAGTGCGTCTCGAAACTGGTGCACCGTCCTACACTCTTCGAGAGATACTCTAGACCCACCGCCAAGAGACACTAGACTATATTAATAACAGCTCCGGAATGTCTCGATACTGTGATATACTTATATTAAACTACGGTCGGCACCTTGTCTCGTAACTGTATTGTCGACCCCAGAGAAATTCCATGGAAATGCAAACACATCAAACACTATAGTTGGGGGAGTGCCTTTTGAGAACCTGGCGACCTGACACTTACCTCTGCCATTTGAATGTCCAAGTGACGGACTGCGGGTTACTCGGCACCAGACCTTGCAGATTGTGTCTTGCATTACTCGCGTACTGTACCTGCAAGCACTTGTGAACCTGCTTATCATAATACTCAGCCTGCCAGCCACAGTTTTCTCTTCTTGACGCCCTGTTACACACCTGGTGGAAGCTAACACACAACCATGTTACTAGACTCCTTAGATTCCTCAGTAGCATACTTACGCTCCTCTCAGCGATGATGATGATGCACATCGACCTGAAGTGCCCAATCTGTGGGAACGGACTCTCACGTATGCCCCCACCCCTGGTTACCCAAACCGCGAACGGACGCCATCAGTAATCTGCCCTTCACCCGATCCCGAGGACATAGTTTGGTAAATGTTCCCCTTCCTTGCATCAACATCCGTCCGGCCAGCAGAGTTTTGATCCTGTGGTTGAACGTGCAGATGGAAGTGTATAGGGTGAATAATCTCCGGACCGTATCCACTACCAGATCGAGTAGAGGGTTTAATTGAACAATCGAGTTGTGGTCAAAGGATACAGAACAGGACCTGACTCAACCGCCTAGATCCTACTGGGAGCAAATAAAAGAGGACGCTTCTAATACACTAACCTGTAATTTGTTTGTCTAATGTGAAGTGTGGGACTAGCGGCCCTCGTTCTCACATAAATCTAGAGTATCTAGGCCTGCCATTATTCGCCCGATAAGAGACCGACCCAATCTTGAGCTCTGATTCGGTTCTCGCACCAGCATATCTAGCCACAGTACAGACTGGACTAAGCATCTTCTTATCCCAACTTGTTCCAGCGTGCCGAAGCCCACCATCAGCCTCTAATAGACGAGTTTTATCCCCCCACCATATGCGGCCATTCTTGTCTGTTTTCCAGTCATCGATGAGATCGGCCAGAGTCTGCAAATGCCCCAGGGTGGCAGGTTGGCAGCCTCGAGATCGCTTGAGAGCCAGGTATGTCGCAAAGGTTGCGAGGAAAAAGGCTAGTATCGAGAAAAAGAACAGCCGCGAATATATCATAGCAACCAGGAAAGTGTTGGGCCCATACGTGGCATTGTTTCCAGGGGTTTCGTCTCCAAAGGCGACGGAAACGAACATGCTCTGACCCATAACCCAATGCAGCATCGCCTTAGCGACGAAAAGAAAAATGTTTTCCCAGCTCGATAGAGCTGCTCGGAATGGATTTGTGGATAGCTGTGCCCCTGGAGCCTCTTGCTTTTTTTCGCCGTAGGCCTGTCGCCAAGCCCCTTCGTCTCTCGACAAGTTGACGAGTAGCTCCACACAGTGCAATCCAATTGTCTGACTGCTCTGGACGAGACAAACAAAGACAACGCAAAGTACTGCCCCCGCACCGTACGAGATTGTTGCGGAGTTTGGCTTGTAGGTGTTACCGGATTGGGACATAACCAGCGTTACCACGTTTATAGAGCACACCGAAATGTCTGGATTCCAGTTGATCCCAAATCTCCAGCATGGTAAAGGTTCCGTGACGCCCTCAATAGGGGCATATTGGTTGCCGTAGGACATAGACATAGTGACCATGGCGACTGTCCAGGCGATGGCAAGTATGACGAGTGCCCACAGCAGTGCGAGAATGTATCGCACCGAACGCTGGATTTGAAGTATGCTTCCTTGTTTCCCCGCAGGATATACGCCTTGGTTCGGCCGTAGATATTTTTGGTGGACCGACAGCATACATCTTCCGGGACGGTGAGCGAAGTTGCCTTTTCGAATCGCGGCTAAAGTGGTGTTGAGTGGATTGGAACTCCAGGTCGGTACCAACTTGCAGCCCGAAGCTAGACACCATCCGGCGACAGCGGCTTGGCCTGCGAGCCCCAGTCCCAGTCCTACCAGAGCTGTGGCGTTGATCATCACTGGATTACCATGATCACCCATCTCAAGGAATAGAGTGGTTTCATCAGACAAAAATAGAACGGATGAAGAGCCATATGATAGCACCAAGAAGAAGAGGGCCACCACGTTCATGTACCATCTGTTTGGGCCGACTGTTTTTGAGCTGGTGAAGAGGCGAATATTGGTGTTGTACTCCAGCCGTCCCTCATGATACAGTGTCCAACGCAGCGAAACGGAATGCACGAACATCATGCCATCGATGCAGAGCGTCAGTGCAAAATTGATCACTAGGGCTAATGCTTCCTTGGCTTTTGAAGAAATTGAAAGGAAAGCGCCTAGTTTTGCTGGATTGGTTTTAAGGATGTAAGTCCCGGATATCAGGCAAAGGAGGGAGAGGATGGCGCCTATTGATACAGTGGCAATACACCCAGTCCTTGTAGCAGTCGCCATGTCGAATTCTGGTTCATCTTCCCCTTCGCGGTGGTGATGGCTCCTCGACGAATGGTCGCTTCTGTGTTTCGAAAGATCTAATTTCCTGCCATGTACGAGCTTACGAGCTCGACTAAGTCTTGATGGTGGTTTTGATTGCTCCATCTTGAGAATCGAGGGCTTAAAGTCCGTGCTCTTGGGCTCAGGTAATGGTATAGGTTGCGTTTGGTGTAACAATGCGCGAATCGGTGGTTCTGTGTAGCTATTAGCCTTTGACCATTGAATCTGATCTTGGTCTTTGGGGAAGTAGCACACAGTAGAGATGTAATCGTCCATAAGCTTCCTAGAATAGAGATAATGCAGTCAGGTGTCCAGTGTTATAAGAGTGAAACTTTTTAGTAGCGACTACCGGAATATCCTGTGTAGGAGTATTGACGAGTCCGATTCGGACACAGGGTTGAGTGCGTGTTGAAACAGAAATAGCGGCAGTGTTGGGTCAGGGGGTGCTGGTTCTATAGTACCCCTGCAGAGACGTCGCGACAGGCGGCCCTGAGATGAGATACATCAGCATCTTGGTGACGATTCGCACTGTCTCTCTCGCAGACGCCATACTACTTGAGATCCAAGCCCACCTTAAAGTTCCTGGAGCATCAGCCGCCAGGATAAACACTAAGCCCCGCCTTGAGGGCGAACCTGGAGAACTTTCATTGGGCCAGGCCACCGGCATAAGTAAGCTCGGGTGAGGATACGCGATGTGATAGGACTGCAAATGGTCGCTCCAGGCACCCCTAAAAGTGGATCGCTCGTATGCACCGACTGCACAGCCGCTGATCTCTACTATTTTGGCCTTATGCAGCCCAGGCGAGGAAAACCAGGACGAATGAAGAAAGAAGTTCCCGAGTTGAGCCTCATAGCTACTATTTCTGGGGAACCTGGACTTCTAATTTAAGAGTTCTTGTAAGCGAACGTCGATGCTGATTAATATACTGTTCGTCACTTAACTAACTAGTTAAGTGTTGTATCTGCTTTTCACGAACTTTTCTAGATTTCTGTGGCTGAAAGTGCCAAGGATCTCCCCTACTAATTTTAAAGGAGAACGCCTCGAGCATAACTAGAGTGATATTACGGGGTCGTCCGCTTTCATTAGACGGTAGTTTGACGTTGCCAAACATCCGCATATTAGAAGAGATGCTTCGGATAGCACTACTGTTGTAGCTCGTAGCCTCCGCCATCTCCGGCACAGATAGTTCCCCACTGTGGAATCATGTCATAGACAAGCTTATGCTTGGAAGGAGCTAAGTTTGGAGCCATCCTTGGTTCGACCACTTGTAATTAATGGTTAAGTGCGCCTCCCGAGTGAAGCCTATTCTGGAGGAGAGGTATGGAGGTAGCAGATGAATTGAATTTACAAGCGAATACATGCTTGTAATTAGTATGTAATATATGTATAAATCAATACGCGTTACATTGGCAGGGGGACTCCAGAAAACTCCCAAAATATACTCGTGTATTTTGGCGGTGGGTCTAGAGAATCTCTCGAAGAATGTACCAGGGTGCACCAGTTTCGAGACGCACTGTATCATTTTGCTTCGTGTGGGAATTATCTTGTTAGATTACTTTCTGTTGTATATCATCTCTATAGCCACAGTCCTTCGGCCTCTATGCTTCGAAACCATACGTCTACCAATCTCGAGACTCTATTCTTAATCCCAATTCCCACTAAAACAAGAATCAAAATACAACCCTCGCCCTTCTATACACCCACACTCACACTTTACCCTTCCTGCTCCTCCTTCTCCTCCTCTACACAAACCATCTCCCCCTCCCCCCATCCCACCTCCAAACACCCCCATCCCCAACATTATACCGATAATAATTATTCGTCCCCGCCGGCACCATCGCCCGCCGAAACGTGATATTAATCCGTCCCTCCACAGCCTCTCCGCTCCTCCCTTTGCGTTTCGGGATGCTGTGTAGCCAGTTTGATTGTGTGGACCCGCGCATGAGGATCATGTCGCCGGAGGAGAGGGGGAATTTCAGGGTAGTACCAGCAGTAGAAGGAGAAGCTGAAGTTGAAGTTGAAGTGAGAGACGTGGTCGAACCTGTGTGACGGGGTGGTACTGGTTTATGCTTCATAACAAACTCCCGCTCCCCGCCTAAACTCAACGACGCGATATCCGGACTCGCGCCGAGAAACCGCTCGTCGTCGGAGTGGAAGGCTATACTGTCGTTCCCACTCGAGTAGTAGTTTACCAGGCAAGAGTTGTAGCGGGATCCTGTTGCGGCTTCGACTCGGGCTTTTAGCTGGTTGAGGCATGTTGGGATGGGTCGTGGGGTGTATTGGTATTTTGTGTTGCGGATTGGGGTTTTGGATGTTGTTTCTGTAAGGGAGAGGTTGGAGGAGCTGTTTATAGAGTTTTCGTTTGGGTTGGTGGTTTCGTCTTCATCGTCTTCGTCTTCGTTTTTGTTTTTGCTTTTGATATCGCGGTATGATGTGAATTGCGACGTATCATCTACCCCAAAGACGGTCGTATATCGGGGAGTGTTTATTTCCGTCTCGATACCACCACGCTTGATCGTGTATTTCACCCGGTAAAAGGGGAGTTCGCGCCGCAGGAACTTGAATAGCTCGTTGGCGGTGGGTCGAGTGATGTATGGCTGGAAGTAGAGGAGGTCCAGGTCTGGTTGGTTGTTTATAGCGCGGGGTTCCTTTGCCGGGGTCCCGTGGGTGAGAGCGATTGAGATATGGGAGGGTAGTTGAGGGATTGGACTTGGGTAGCTGGGATGAGTGTCTGGGGCAGTGATGTCTTCGGTAGAGTGTGGGGGTGAATTATCGGCGGTTGGGGTTGGTTTAGGGCGTTTTGTGGGGGGTGTTGTGGTTTTTGGTTTGAAGAATGCGTCTAGGGTGCGTTTTGACATTGTATTGCGTGTGAAATTGGTGAATTGGGTTTGTGGTTTTGCTGGAGACGCGTGGTGATGTCCGACGGTTCGGGGTTTTGGACGCGCGAAAATTAAGCTTGTCGGGTGATGTCATGCCGAGTGGACCTGCTGGCGATCTGATCTATGAAGTTTGGAATGCCCGATTTGGTCAGAAATCAGCTTACTCATTTTGGTTGATCTGTCAGAGCTAAGAAGTTTACTTACTATAAAGCCATTTTCCCTAACTATATCTTGAGACTCATGCTTATACACAGAGCCTCATACCAACTGTCCCAAACGGAAAACCCGTTCCACTTCCATGAATTAAACTCCCGACTTCTGTGTCACCATACAAACATTTCGCGACACTCCCCGATGGTCACGCCTAACGAATATCCCACTTCCACAGCCATTAACAAATTGAAAAGGTCTTTTGCAAGAGACTATAACATTCTCCGAAGCCTGTGGATTAATTTCATATCAGAAATATATCTAAAATATCAAAGGTTCTGAGGTATGAGTAGTCCCTATATCCTGACGGCCAAAAAGAGAAACCCTCCACCTCAGGAGGCCTCTTCCTGGAAGGGGCCCGTCTAGTGAGAATCTCGGCCGAAGCTGATTTCTTAAGCCACTAGACTATTGAAGTGGACGATTATTGGCAGGAATTGGAAATGGGTTATAACACCTCTCGGGTTATTTTTTCGATTTCTGCGCGTGCTACAAAAAGATATGCGACTGCTGCGTCGGTATGAGCAAAGCTAGGATTCTCGCCTCTGAATACGAGCAGATTTTCCTCTCAAAGTTTAGCGGCGTTTTTTAGCTTGAGGTAAACGGAGAAGCCAGGAAATTGCGCCCGGGCATGATGAGATGGAGAATGCTCTTCTCTTTTCTGCTTCTATTTCCACACTTTTTCTCGCCATTTTAAGTCATCTACCAATGCAGAAAACTTGAACGACTCGATGGGTCAAATACGATGGCAGTTATGCAGTACTACAGGAAGTATATCCCAGAGAAGCTAAGCAGTGTCCAAAAAGTGACAAGTAAACTGACGTCGGTTCCGTTTCGGGCCGCGGAAACAGTCAAGGTTTGGTTCGATCACCAAAACAAGCCTTATTCTCCTCAGTAGTCTCCCCAACACATCTAGCGATCAACACTACTACAAACTACTCAAACATGCAACTTCAAAACGAAGCAGATCACTCTGAAGATACCACTCCGATGCTTCAAATGATCGGTGCGGGTTTCTGTGGCACTGTATGGGCTGCACCGGATGGAGGATCCGCCTACAAGAGAGAAGACGGCGGTCCTTTCAGATCACTCCAAAATGATTATGACATGCATCGACGGGTAATTCAGAGTATCCAGGAATTTAGCAGACTGAACGCATTCTCTCACACGACGGATCCCCAAATCCAGGTTCCGCACTGCGAACGTTTCATTACATCAAAGGATGAGGATTGGTGGGTGTTTAATCTACAAGAATTCCCCTCGGAATATACCTCATGCAATATTTTGCAGTCTCAGCGTATTCCAACAGTCCCGGAACAAACAAGGCGACTGCTTGTTCAAACGTACTGCCCTTCTCAAGTGGCTGAGGACATCTTGAGCAGTGAGACAAACCAGGATTGCCTTATTAGGCCATATTTAGGCCGACGGCGTGTGTGGAGAGAGTCTTGCACCCCAGCTCCATTGCGAGGGTTCTCGTTGTGGAATTTCCCCCTTCATGTCGACCAGATGGATGATCTGCATATCTCGCTCGAAGATAGACAACAATATTCACGGATCATGGCCAGAACCCTCGCGATCATGCATTGGGTCGGAAAGATCGATGGGAATGATATCGAGTTTGTTCTCGCTCCTCCCAACTGCAACCACAGACGGAAAGTCGATATTATTTCAAATATCCTGGGTGAGCATAGTGTATGGCTATTGGATTTTGATTGCTGCCGAGATATGTCTGTTGATGAAGCGGGCGTTAAACGAGCTGTGACTGCATTTTGGCGGAATGACCCATACTATCCAAGACCAATTATGAATCCCATTCCTTGGGCCGCCTTTAAAGTCGAATACCTCGAGACAAGTGAGGTAGCTATGGGACTTTATGACCGGGCTGAGGTCTCGAAATTGCGAGGTTTATCGAAGCTTTTCATCGATATGGTGGAGGATCAAGCTCAAGCGCGATACGGAAATGCTTACTAGTTTTGAGGAGGATTTGCTATGTGGTAGGTTAGGTAGCTTACTGTACTGTACCGTGAGTAGATGTTTGTACTAAAGTGATATGATTGCTGTATGATTATTCTTTCTCTGGACTCAGGCGGGGGTTAAAAAAAGCCAAATGTCAAGAGGATAGTCTGTGATCCCTAAAGTAAAAACGGATCATGATTCGTTCGTTTAATCTGAAACATAACAAAACTAATAACAATCTCATTCTGGGGTGAAAGAATTTAATGTTACTTAACACATAATCTTCTCTCAGAATCCAGCACCCCAAGCAAGTACAGTTCAGACACCACAGGCTCAGTGCCATCCTTAACGCCTGCTAAGCGAAATATGACAACTCTGGATCCTAAACCGACATCAGGTTCAATCAACGAATTTCCTCGGGCTCAGCAAAAGGGATATGTAACCCACATCTGCCCCCAGGTAGCGAGGCAATGCACCATGCATTCCCCACTTGATTCATCCCTTATAATGGGGAATCCCCACAGTTCCTTCTCGAGGTTGGTGGCTCATCGGGTTTGGCTCGCAGTGCGCCTTTCTCATTCAAACATTTTAATGGGTATATGAGCGAGATACTTCAGAAGCTAGAATTTGTGTGGACATTGAATTGCTGCTATAGCAGAGTACTGTTGGAGTACTTTAAGGCTTTGGTCGCTGCCCTATGCGGGACTCGTTTCCCCATGTTTGGCTCATACATAGTGATCTGCTGTATTCGGTGTTCGGCTTTATACCTTGCTTGAAAAATTGAGGGATCTTTCCAGAATACATGTCAACAATATGAAAAGTCTCCGACGTGGGGTTTGAGGACCAGCAGCTGGGAACAGGGCGATTATGCCGCGTTCATATTGTGTCGACGACCGTCTCGAATTCGAATGGAACATTGCAGGTAACTCCTACTACAGGTAAGAGACATGGATACTATTGCGATCGCAAATGTCGAGTCATGCTAATATTGGATGGGCAGTCAAAATTATTGAGCCCAATGGGCAGCCACCCAGGTTAGCGTTGGGAGCAAGTGTGCTCGCCTCAAGGATCACTGCACAGGTATTGAATTGCTCGCAATGCGGCGACACAATTGCGGGCTTGAAAGAGGATATACAGCTATGTGATCAGGCGACACAGGGTTTGAGGGTTGAGATTGTGCGGTTGAAAGAGGCTATGGAAGGTCTACAAGACGGTAGGGAGATTCTCTCATGGGAGAGATTGGGGCAGCTGATCGTCGTTGATATAGAGCTTTCTGCAATCAATAAACGAAATAAAGAAACCCCTTAACATGGATACATAGAACGTATCGGTTTCTGTGGAGCATTCCCGATAATCTCTGGCATGAATATACTAACAGAGAAAGAGATAAAGACTTGTTCACTGAGTGCTCAGAAGCAGCCCCTCTTCAAGCTACAGGATCGGCGCGTCCTCTCTTCCTATCGGTGCCTTCAAGCGCCCAAGTGTTCGAGACTCTAGAGTCTAGGCAATAAAATATCAGAACCTCCCTACAGCCAAACAAAAATAACCGAAATAGTCCCTTCTCACCAGACAAACCTGACTATCCGAATAATACCGATCTCACCCCAAAACCTCAAAAACACCCGAATCCACCGCATCCACAACCTTAACACCACCACCCTCATCAACCCCCAGCAAAGCCCTCAATCGAAAGAGTCCCGCCCTCACAACGCATATCCCCTCAAACGTAACCGAAGAAGGCGCGTGGCCGTTTACACAGGTAATAGTCGATGTCAAGTTCCCGCTGAGCAGGTTTGCGGCGGCGTTGTTCACGGCGAGTCGCAAGGAGAGGTGGACGGCTTCGGAATAGTCTTGGGTCTTGGGTAGTGATGGATTTTGTTGGTGAGGATGGGGCAGGCCTATCGTTACGCTGAAGTGTTGGCCTGTTTTGAAAGTGCGTGGGGGGTTGACGAGGAAGTATAGCTTAGGTTGGCGTGAGAGGTGTTTTGGCTCTGTGTTCGAGGGGTGTTTTGTGTTTGATCTCTCGAGAGAAGCCATCGCTGAGATATGGACATCAACTAGCAGTGTTTTGTTTTATGCAAAGTTGACTGACTGATTCGGTGGAAAGGTGATCGTATACTTGAGTTGTTGTGTTGTTGTGTCCAAGAAGCTGAAAAACCGGCGCTGCGGCGCTGCCGACGTTCTGCCGTCCCAGGAAACGGTTTAAGTTTGCCAGGGACACGGTCATCCTCGCTTGTGTTGAGCTTGGCAGATCTGCGGAGTTTCATTTGTTTGTGATTTAGCGATGATTAGGATGACCGCGCCACCGTGGTATCGGTTCCAATCGTGTGCATTTCGAAAGGGGGCCTTTTCCAGATCGGGGTGTGATGTGGGGCGATTCCGATCTACTTGCTACTGTACTCCGCGCGGTCAGGGCCTGTCGTCACGACCGGCCGATTGAACTTTCTGATATAGCGTGAAAAAGTTTTCATTGATGGATTTTGGTAGGATGGTTCTCAGCTGGATACATTTATGTACATTACCAAAACCTGGTCAAGCAAAATTATTATATAACACTTTAGTGATCGTCATTACTTTCCATACCAGGCCATGCCAAGACCCGGTCTACTGCTGGACAAACTGGGCGGCGTGGCTCTTGTACAGAGTGCTAGAGTCCAGCAGGGTGCCATTGGAGGACTGGTAAAAGTCAACCTGGAGATGCTGCTCATCCACGAACCGAACAGTGGCGTAGCTGTAGCCAGACCCGTAGGCAAACTCGGTGTAGGAAGGCTCGACGCCTGGAGCATCCGGACCCTCGATGTTACCGGCACCACCGGCAACGATATACATCGGGGCCTTGGGGTCGTTCATTCCGTTGGCGTCCGCGGTGCCGTTGTACACCGGCGCAAAGCGCTGCGAGTTGTGCACGTGGCCGAAGACACCCAGATCCACGCCGTACTGGTAGAAGATGTCCTCGAATGCGGCTTGGCACTCGGTGCAGTCGTTGCCCGTGCCGGTGCTGTACCAGGGGCGGTGGCCGGCCACGATGACCCAGGGAGTAACGCTGCGGTCAACGCTGGCCAGGTCCGCCTTGAGGAAGTCGGTTTGCTGGTTGGTCTTGCCAAAGGGTCCGCTGTTCAACTTGGCCGAGCCGTCGGTTCCATCGGGTGCGTTGGGGAAGTCAGTCTCGGTGTTGATCATGACGATGTGGGCCATGCCGTACTCGAAGGAGTACCAAAAGGGTGGGTTGGCGAGACTGCGGGCCTGTGCGGCGAGAGACTGGGCCGTGGTGTTGGAAGAGGAGGAGGCGAACGGCTTTGGCATAGTGTTCTCGAATCGGTGCATGAAGTCGGTGAAGTTCTTCTGGCCTTCCGGGCACAGGTCGAGCAGGTAGGGGATCTCTGAGCAGTCAGCCTCGTGGTTTCCGGGGCTGGCCATGTACAACTTGCGACCGGCAATGGGGGCAAGTTGGTCGTAGAACTGCTCGAGGATGGCCTGGTAGGCCTCCTTTCCGTCGAAAATGTTGGAGAACTTGAGATACCAGTCGTCGGCGTAGGCAAAGTCACCGGGGTGGATGACAATCTCGTAGTCATCGATGGTCCGTGCAAGAGCTCCGATGGTGGTGTGGTTCAGCTCCGGCTCAATCACTGGTGGACTATCTCTCTTAGAGACAGTATAGCCATCCTTGCCGTAGACGCCCATGTCGATAACCACGTCCATACTGAATGCGGTCTTGTCGCCGGGAATACGGGGGCTCAGGAAGTAATCCACGCTGGAGTTGCCGGACACAATCTTGTAGTAGTAGGTCGTGGCAGGAGTCAAGCCGGTCAACACTGCATAGTTCGACCATGTTCGGGAGGTCGAGTAGGTGCTGGAAGTAGTCGAGCAGGCCTGCGAGGTCAGGCTATCGGCAGAGGTACCATAGGCCACACAGCTCTGGCTGAGCTGCTCATACGTGTTCCAACCCACGGAGACAGCTGTCATAACGGCATTAGCTTGAGCATCCATCATTGGGAATCATTGTTCGTCTTACCATTCGGCCCATAGACAGCGAGACGCTGCTGGAAAGGAGTGGTCAGGTCACTAGGAAGAGTGGGATAGTTCACGCTAGCGACAGCAGCGACCGCCAACAAGGGCAGAGCCTTGACAAAAGATGCCGAGCCAACCATGCTGGACAGTTGTCAACAGTCGAGAGATTGTCGATGGTATGTCTGTCTTGTCGGAACCCCATCATGAGCGGGTATGTCGGGTTATATAGGTGACCATTCCCAGCAATTTGACAGGCCATCCTGAGTGTGATCGTTCACCCGCGTGCGAGCGTAAATCATCCAAAGCCAATCATGCTGAATGGGATACCCACGCCGTTCGCAACGACTGCCATCTTTCGTGGTGATCGACAACGTGGCGTGCATCCTGCAAGACTGGATCGAGGAGATGTATACCAGAAGAGGAATGGACGATCAGGTACCGCAGGCCATCAGACCCAGTCTTTCCCCGAAGTCACCCTCCCCATCCGTCCACGACGCCCAAATGGAGTGTCGCTTAACCTGATTCTAAACTGGATTGGTGATAGACTTTCGGACGTCGGAGGTTGCGTGGCCCCCGGTTGGGCCTGAGACTGTTCCTGGCACGTGGGTGGAGTCGCAGCTGTGGTTGCTTGGCCCGTGACTTTTTGTTTGGACTTGGTCTCCATCGAATCCATTTTCTTTTGCCCTTCTATCACTACTACTGCATGTGCACTCCAACTCGGTTAGATCGCCGATAATGTTGACGACGATGGCGGCTGACCCCGGTGTGTATTTCAGTTTTTCCGTGGCTCAGCATATTCCACTCCCTCAGAAGCAATTTAGAACTCCATCTCGAAATCCCTCGGCTGGAGACTAGGGCCAACGGCTACCCACTGATCGCTCGACAGTGCTACCACGGGATCTTCGCGAACGAGACTTCGGAGGACACCGTTAAAAATATCCGGAGCACTAGGCATGCATTGACAACTGACATGAAGAACTAGCTACCAATCACCAGGGCTTTACTGCGATACTCCGTCGGTCTCCGCGATGCGCACCACATATTTCACCGCCGACGCCTTGCCCGCTTCCAGGTCTCGCAGTGCCCCCTCGAGTCCGTTTAATCCACCCGGGCGCACTTCATATGGGTGTCCCGAGAACCATCCCTGAGCTAACCCGCGCCCGATGAATGGGAAGAATGCAGCGCCGAATTCGCGGTCTTCGATGGTCTTGCCTGGTGCGGGATCCATGTGTACTGATCCAACCATGGTCCTGGCAATCTTGATGCCGTCGGGGATCTCATCACCGTCTTTCGTGCGGAAGACGGTGGTGATGGTGGCCGGTGCAGTGAGAGCGGCGCTGAGGTTCAGATAGCTACCATGCTCGGAGACTGCATCGTAGGCGTGGTGAATGGGCTTGCTGCCAGCTGCGGTCTTGATCTTTGCTCGTACTGCTTCGTCGCCTTCGCGATAGTCGATGATGGTGTCGCCCTTGGATCGGTCGATGAGGTCCTCAACGAACGAGGCTCCCTTGCCGGCTACCACGATCAATGGGTGAATGTTGGACAAGGTCGCGAACTTGATCGCAAACGCTCCCACTGCGGTGGCTCCCCCGTATATCACCAAAGGCAAAGGCTCGCTGGTCGGATTCCACGGTAGTGGCAGGCTCAACCTTTGAAAGAGACCCAGCGCCGCGGTCATCGCAGCAAGAGGGATAGTAGCGGCCTCTAGTTTGTGTGTCAGCGGGTCAAACTCCGGGGATGTTGGAATCATAGTTCTCACCTTCAAAGCTTGTTTTCGAGGTTAAATGGAAAGTCGTGTGCTCCCATGCGATCGCATACTCTCCATAACTCCCATGCGGCGACATCATCTCATGGAACGCAGCAACCTTGTCCCCCTTTCTGAACCCAACTACCCCCTCGCCCACGGACTCCACGTAGCCCGCAATATCATCACCTTGGTGGAATGGAGGCGCATCGGCACGCCAGCGGGGCATTTTCCAGTCCTTTGGGTTGGTCCCAGAAACCACCACGCGAATAAGCACTTGGCCCGGCTGAGGAACGGGGACCTCGGCATCTCGGATCGCGACCGTGCCGGTCTTGTCAACGAAGGCTTCTTTCATGTTGTGTGAGTGAGATGATTATGTTTGATGCATTTGTTTTCGTTCTGTTTACTCTTGGGATTCGTTATATTCTTCATCAACCCCTCGATAGAGTTTGTGGGGCAAACATCCTTGATTTGTAACAGCCTTCGTCAGACAAATTACTATTGGAGTTGTGCAGCGTCTCACCCAGCACAAGCTTGGTTCGCCCAAAATCATCCCGAACATCCCGTGTTTATCTTCCACGCGCAGTGACGTATAGCTACGGAGAGTCCTCCGGTACTTCTCTCAACCACCTCAAAGACCATCACCATGGGTTCACCCCCGCCGCCACAACAATCTTGCCGACCGAGTCGTCCCGCTCCCCCTCAACCACCTTCTTCAACAACTGACCCCCAATACTCGGATGTTTAGCACCCATCTGGACCGCTAGTTCCGGCACACCACCCAGATTGGTCACCAGCATACCCGGTCCCACACACCAGACCTTAACCCCATCCGCTTGGAGCTTATGATTCCAGTCCAGCATCAACATGTTCAGCGCCGTCTTGCTGCACCGGTATCCGATCGTTTCAAAATCGAGTTTCTTCGGCCATCCAGCCGGCAGGGGCGGAGTGGGGAAGTACTTCTCCCCAGCTTGGTTGATGTGCGACAACCCCGTCACGAAAATCAAGCGCGGGTCCGAGGACTTGAGCAGCAGCGGCATGAATGTTGCAGTCAAGACGTGCGTGCCGGCCACGTTGACATTATAAGATTTTGTGAAGCATTCACGGAGCGATGTCTTGCCGCGAATGTATTCGATGTCAAACGTGGCTCCTACGGTGGCTATCAGAAGGTCATCCTAGAGCCGATTAAAGTGAACGTACCGGCATTGTTAATAAGTGTATCGATGTATCCCACCTCGGATTGGACCTGCCCAAAGGCCTGATCGATCGACTCGTCACTCGCGAGATCGAGTTGAATTAGATCAAGGGTGTTGGTTGCGTTGGGACATTCTTGTCGGAGCTTGTCACTAGCCGCCTTGCCCTTTTCCAGTGACCGACTACTCATGATGACATGGTAAGGTCTTTCAGATTCGATGAACGCCTTCACAGCCTCGTAGCCAAGGCCACTGTTTCCACCAGTGATCAAGACGATCTTGCGAGATGCCATGATAGAATATCTTATTTTGGGTACTTTTTGTGATGAGCTGTTTGGAATTGAACTAATCTCTATGCTCAAGGGTACTTATACTCCCATTTTATATTCACATGATCAACTGCTACGGTCTTCAACACGTCTGTCCGCGGATCTATCGGTATTTGCACCACGATGAGGTAAAGTATAAGCTTCGGGGGCCGCCAAGACGCGAACCGGAGATAACCCGTTCCCCCCGGAGATAGTGTCGATCAACTCCGTCGGGTTTTGAGCATCGGGCATAAAGCGTCTCTTCTCACGGAGTCGACGTCAGGATCATGTTTGGTTGGATTGGGCTAGTTGAGACACATATTGACAGGATTTTTGGGGCCTGGAACGCAGCGCTCATTGAAGAGTCTACCATCACGATCAGCGTCATCCTGGCAAGTCTCTGCGCAGTCTTGCGTTGGTGTTCTAACAGACCATTTGACAGTCAACTTACTCTCGGTTACTTGTGACCTAAATCTCTATTTCCTGGCAATTATCTATTAGATTACAGCGGATTCGATTTAGAATGTTCAAAAGTTTCATTGTTGGAGTACATGTTCATCGATCTCATTAGTGTACATCCAGAGTCCCCCAAAAATTCTCTGTTTACCATGGGAATTTGTCCAACCGGATGTTATCTCCTCCAAATTTAAACAAACCAAAACGACAATCTTCCTCTAATGCACCCCTTCTATCCCTCATCACAGTCTATTCGCTGCAATAGCCGGTGGAATCCACGACATTCCAGTGACTTGGGTGAATGGCTGAACTGGCGGCGCAGCACAGCCAACGGCGAAAAGGCCACCAACCCGCGAGCTGGCAGGTTTCTCCTCCACCTCAATCTTCTTCGAGGGGACCAGGACGAGCATCTTCTTTCCAGTCTTGAAATCCTCCTCATCCCAGACACTCTCAATCTCCGACAGAGGCTTGGCAACGACCTCGTACGGCATGTCCCGCAGCATCGCCAGCAGGTGAAGCCCGAAGCGCAGCTTCTCCCGGTTTTCAGGAGTAATCAGACGCCACATAGTGAGCGCTGGGTCGACGATTCTGATTCTTTTCGCGATGATCATGGTTGCGTCCATCACGAAGGGCTCGCCAGCGCGTGGGCCCCAGGCCGGCATGTAAAAGAGCTCGCAAAGCAGCCGTCCGTTATTGATCTGGCCGATGACTTTGCTGCCAGCTTTGCCGCCGATGAAGTCGAGCACGTAGTTGACGCCCTTGATATCAGTGAATTGTTCGGGCTTGCTCAAGTCAACGCGGTTGGTGAGCTCGCGGACTGTGGCGAGGGCAGCTTCGTCGTCCGAGACACCGATGATCTCTGCGGCGCCGACCCAGCGGGCAACTTGTGCTGCGGCACGGCCGCCGCAAGTCGTCGCGCCGATAATGAGTACCTTGCGTTTGGCGCAGGTGAGGAGCATTCCCCAGCTGAGTAGCCAGGGGCCAGAGAGAGCGGCGACCTTGATCGGGTCGAAGGTACGGGGGATCTGGAACAGGTGTGTCTTGGGGACGTTGATACGTTCAGCGAGGAAACGGCATCCGCGGGGGGCACGTAGTAGATGTTGCCAGTGGTTTCGTCCTGGACCACGCCGTCCACAGTGGGGTCGAAGGGGAGTTTTTCGGAGCTGGTGGTGGGGTGACCCTCAGCGATGCGGTTGAAGACTTGCTGGGTGATGCCGATGGCGAGGACTTTGACTTGCACCTTGCCTGAGCTGGGAGGTCTGATGACTCCCTTCATGATGGTAGGACTTGCGCCCCATTCGGAGATGCGAGCGACCTTCATCAAGAAGACTGGTGGTGGGTTTGCGGGTGGGTGAGAGTTGGGATTGAGCAGACTGGTGTTGACAGGAATGAAGAGGAGAGGGTTTGTGGTGAGCAAGTGAGTATCAAGAGCAAAGAAGAGGAGAAAAATGGGGATGAAAAAGTGACTGGTGAGAGGAAAGAGGACGAGCAGGTCTAGAATGAGCAGGTTCGAGTTGAGAGGAATAGAGAGCAGAGGTTTTGTGGTGAAACGGTAAGTGTCAAGAGCGAAGAAAAGAAGAAAAATGGGGACAAAGCAATGACTGTTGAGAGGAAAGGGGGTGAGCAGGCTGGAGATGCTGGAGATGAGTTGGTTGGTGTCGAGAGGAAAGAAGAGGAGATGATTTGTGGTGAGAAGGTGAGTGTCAAGAGCAAGAGAAAGTTAGGGACGAAAAAGTGACTGATGAGAAGAAAGACGACGAGCAGGTTGGGGATGAGAAAGTGGGTGTCAAGAGGAAAGAAGAGAAGCGAGTTGGGGAGGTGGAAGAAATTCGTTTGCGTGGGAGGGAAGTCCAGAGGTTGAAGCTTCTCTCGCCTCGTCCTGGAGACTTGCCATTTTGGGACATCTGCGCGTGTCTGCGCACTCTTCTGGCAAACACTGTGCTTCATGTGTCTATGATACACCCTTAGAGTCCACACTCAGAGTCCACACCGACGTCTTGAATGGCAAATGAATGAGTGACCAGCTCTACCCCAGCCTTCGAGTCTCATATCCTTGAGTATCAACCAGACTGACAGGCCAACTCGGACAAGATATTGATAGTACGCTGTTAAGGATTTGGACTTCTATATCCACGCTTGGAGCCCAGACAAATCGATTCCACTGACTCCTGTTGTCGATTCCACAATACTACAACCGAGGTCCATGACGAGCGTGACGAACAGATGATTCGAAATTCACACCTCATGACTATCTCTACCTCTTTGCATGATGACAACATACCAGGAGCGTGGTTGATCAGGACGAGAATAATGTGGTCTGATAGCAGACAATGTGACATTCAATCGGCTCAAACCTTCTTCCGGTGCGTTCTTCCCAACGGTGAAGCTAATACAGAACCAGCAATACTCTTCTGGTACACATACATGACGAGTGGTGATGGAGACCTCGTCAATGCCTACGATTGAGATGGTCAAAGACGGGACACTCCTGGCCACCAGTAGGGTTGAGACATACCCGGAGGATGACGAACTTCATGGACTAGTCGGCACTGGCTATCACAGCTGAGAGATAACAGTCTGCCCTTTGGATCATGCTGACCGCTGGGCCATAAAAGAAACAAAGGTCAGTTGAACTGGGGCGGCAATGGCTATATGAGAGTTGACTTGCGTTGCAATGCGCCTCTGACTCCACGCAGCTGGCAACGGTTGGGCCTGGCCTTTCAGGGGTTCCTTTACAGACAGCGTCATCTATGCAGCAACCTGGGTTCGGATGAGTGATTCATGGAGGGAAGTCGATCGAGGTGGAAAATTCGGAAGATGCCCCCTAATATGAGTGGTCTCTGCAACAAATTTGAAGATGAATGGAACTGGGAGAAATGAGTTTTTGGAAAAAGACTGGTGCGTGGATTCCCTTACAGCCGAGAGCTCTTCATAGTATGAAGCATATCACATATCTTGACGGATGGAGAGATTTTGGTTTGATCTCTTCGCGATATAGCCGAACATTCATTGTGAACTGACTGTCTGTCTATCACTAACTCTGGAGTACCCTACGAGTCATTGCATGATTCAAATGACTCTATTTGACATATCTCAGGCATCCGTTCTTAATATACAGGCATGTCCCACGCATTCAAATCCCAGTGCCAAGTGTCAATAGAAGCTTGATCGTATACGCATTCAAAGTTGGCGCCGTTCTTTGTCCACAAAGGACGAAGTGGCCATGCGCAGAGCTCCCACTTCTTACCCTCCTCCGAGCCCTGTAGGACAGTGGCAGGGAGAGTAGTCGGCGCAATACCTTTCTCAACCCAGTCAATAAGGACCTGAAGTGTGGTTTGGGGGAAGGGCCCATTTGTCTGATCAGTGCTAGGCCCGCAGTGGCCAGCTCCGGGGACCAAATACAGGCGATACCACTTGTTGAGTTCCGCAGCAGCGGCAGTATAGGAGAGGTCGGGATACATCACACTGCGAACAGATTCCCAATAACGCACGGATGATGCGGCAGGAATACTGAAATCAGATTCTCCGTGTACATGGAGAATTTTTCCTCCTGCGCCGTGGTAGACCGAAAGATCCGGCCAGGTTGTTTGGAGAACACTGTCATATCGCTGCCATCCCTCGTAGATCCATGCCTTGAGGGTATCTTCGGTGACACCGTCCAGCGACAGTGACTCGCTATCAATTAAATCCAGATAACGATCCACCCAATCCGCACCAATTCCACTAACACTCAACTCCCAGGAGTCTGTTTCCGAGTTATAGGTTGTTCCAGCATCGGACCAAGTTGCGGATGGCTGATATGAAAGATAAACTTGCTGCCCTTGGCTGTCCTTCATACCGTTTATAATTGCTTTTGCAAGTTCCACGGCTTTGGCTGTGACCTTTCCACTCTGGGCTGGCGTGGCGGCGGAAAATCCAGAGCTAGCTTGAGCAGCACAGTAGTAGGACTCCCCAATGGCCTTATCGAGATTGTAGTGTAGCTTGCAGAGATCCGTTCGGGAAACAACGCCATCGGTTATGCCGTCCAATGGATCACACGCAGCAATGGTCAAATTGAGAATTTTCTCCAACTCGCAGGGGGGAGGGTAGTAATCAAGATTCTTCATTGCCATGTCAGACCAGAGGTGCTGAACCTGTTGATGCGCATACCGGAAGGCAGGAGCCCCGACAACGGCACCATCCCAGTCATCGTATCGTTGTATCTGACTCCATCCTTCACGGCCACCTTCCGAGCAGGCCTGGTAGTAAGCGAAAAGCTTCTCGCTCTCTGCCATGGCAAAGAAGTTTCGAGTGAACTGTTTTCCGATGACAGACATTTCGTGGTGAGCCTTGTACCCAAACATGTACAGAGCCTCGTAATCGATAGTTCCATTGGCCGATAGGAAAGCGTCATCCTCGTCCAATTCAAAGCTTCCAAATCCTCCATCTGTAGCACCAGCAACTGCTCCGTACATGACCCCCCCAGGCAAGGAGCTATTGCCGCTGTTAATGGCCATACCACCACCACCAGTGGAAAGATAACGGTTCTCGAACTTATCTGGCGCTGGGAGCCAGAACATCAGCAGAACCTGGTCATCATCCAAGCCATTGTGCGAATAGGCAAGCTGGACGGCGCAGAAGTCGAAAGTAGCGGACTCGAAAAAGTCGCCAGCAGCCGAGGAATAGTTCTTTGTGGTGCTCACGACGACGGAGCTCGAGTCGATAGTAATTCCAGTGAGAACATCCAGGGGAAGGGCAGCCTTCACGTAGGCAGATGTACAGACATCATCAAGAGTAGCAGCATGCACAGTGACTGCCAAAGCTGCAACGCATAATGTCCAAGCTGAGGGTACCATCCTCAAGGGCTTAGCGATGAGGGAGAAATGGAAGCGAAAGGGAGTTAAGAGAAGATAGTTGTGGCTGACCCTTTGTGTTGAGGAATTGCTTCGAAGGGGAGATATTCTCAGTATTTATAGCTAAATTTCTACCTCCAGGCCTCGCTCGAGAACTCCGTGTTGATCATTCAATGCTGCAATCACCTGAGCTTCATCATACCCTGTACAATGGTTGGCAATTATGCTTTCAAGCGTTCAGATCTTCTACGATTACGTCTCTAAATTCCCCTGTAGGCTAACCGTTTCGAGATGGTGGCGCTATAGGTCGTTCATTTGGGTAAATCTTTTCCCATCTGCAACCAGCTATGAATATGGTCAACCCTTCTGACGGAGCCGATTGTGGATACTTTGCCTGAGCGAGATCTCTCATTTCGTAGTACAAGATGGCCGATTACTGCTCAGCTTTGCACATTTTATCGTAAGAATTGAAGTTCGTGCTTGAGACTGTGAAAACAGAACCATCCGGACTGTTGGTCCTTGTACTTGGAAATAAATGATCCGCCTTCAGCCAATTGCATCGATGAGAGGGCCTCGGCCTCGGCCCTCTTCCCCACGGGGAAAGATCCAAATGAATTTTGTGGGGCTGTGGGTTGAGGTTTGTGGGTCTTCCTGGGATTATTGCCGGACATGGATTACGCGTCGTACATAAATAATAATGAAGCCGGAAAGCCTTCAAAGCCACCTTCGCTCCTGCCGATCGCCTATTCTTGTGTATTTACAACTGTGATGTTGTGAAGGTTTATAATGGTATCAGGGGGGAACGGGCGAGGCAGTCTCGTAATAGTTGTAGACAGCAGCAATTAAGCTGGAATTTTGAATTATCACTCCGAGCAGGAAATCCTCCAGGAAGAGGACTTGAACATGTGCAACAAGGCACACCTCTTCTAAGGATAATACAGCGTCAGCCACAGCAACAGACCTAGCAGCCAACATACCCGCTAGATAGGAGCTGCTCGTGGTTAGTAAAGGGTGTAACAAATTACATGTTTGACGGGCGCCGGTAATGAGGAACGTGGACGTTACAGGCCACTATCTATTGTTGGGTCCATTGTTCCGTTGGAAAATGAGTTCAGATGCTTTGATTTCCGCTATATACAGTCGGCTAAAGAATTATCAGGAAACTTGCGGTAAATCAATATGAAGCCCACTAGCTACATGAGAGCTTAGTGGCTGGAACGGAGAGGGAGGAGTCAGAACTACCAGGGAGGTCTGGTGCATTGGCCATGAGATTCGGTCTTCCCCGCATAAAATTATAATTTTATCTCCGAGATCTAGTCTCTTAAATCTCCCTTTAAGGGAAACTCGGGGAACAGATAAGCCTTTGGTGGAAGATATAAGGCATTGAGGCTTAAAAGGAGAAATTGAGGGTGGAAACCGACCGAAACTTCCGTGCTCTCTCCCCACAATTTACGGCAGAGAGTTGAAGTTACAATTGAAAATGTCATTTCCCAACAACTTTTTTGGAAGCTATGTTTCCTTTCGTCCGATGCTTCTTGCCGATTCTCCCAAACTAATTGTAGTGGGATGGTCAAAATTCAGGATTTCTTGCGTCAAATGACAGACTTTGATAAATCCATTGTTATTATAGGGGTACCAATCTTGCATCTTTGTCATTGGGGCGAAAGACAGGCAAGTATCCAAAATACATAGCGTAATGTTAAACACCCGCTGCATTCGCTGTTACCTTCATACTCTACTTGAAGAAGAGTGGCGTTCGAAGGATGAGGGACAATGCCTTTCTCGGCCTAAATGGACAGAGCGAACACGGCCTTAAAGTTAGTCTGGGGGAAAGGTCCGTCCGGCTGGGCATCGTCAAGGGCACAGTGAGTAGCTCCGGAAACCTGGAAAAGCCGGTACCAGCCCTACAAAGCTTTGGTACTAGTGTTGTATGACTTTCTGGGGTACCTGGCCTGGTGCACGGAGTTGTAGTGATGCACAGATGATCCAGTGGAGATTGACTCATCCTGGCCGCCGTGGGAGTGGATGATCTTACCGCCGTTATCGTATAATTCGGTCAGGTATGGGATGGAAGCCTGGAGAGGACCATGTAGGGAGTCTTTCCTTTCTTCATCGAGTCAACAAGGGTGTCATACTCCACTACCTCCGAGGAGGACAGGTTGTATTCGTACGGCCGCGTACGACTTATCACCGAGTCGGTTTTGGAAATCGTACGGTCGATATATTCCGGGCAACGGCTACCAGGTTTCACCATCGTAGCAGATTGCCCTTCCCAATGGCGCTGCCACTAGCGAAATACTAGGCCTTTGTGTCAATGGTATTCTGACGGACAGATTTGGCTCTAAGAAGGTAGTGGTCGAAGCCCTTTGGCTTTGTGCGTTCGCCTCGTTGTCCTTTTTTGCCCACAACATTCAAACTTTGCTGGCGTCAACCATCCTTTGTGGTCTACCCTGGGGCATTTTCCAAACCCTGAGTACTACCTACGCCGGCGATGTACTGCCCACTGGACTACGAGTATATCTGACGGGCAACGTAAATATGTGTTGGCTCATCGGCCAACTTATTAGCTCTGGGATAATCTGAGCTTTTCACAATGGATTCCAAATGGTCTTATCGGATTCCGTTTGGTCTACAGTGGGATTTTGGATCTTTGATCCTGGGTGGTGTCTTGTTTGCGCCAGAGTCTCCTTGGTAGCCTACTAGACATTACAAGCAAGAAGAAGCGAAAAAGACGCTCCTCTGGCTTGCCCGCGAAGGTCAATCTGGTTTTAACGTGGACAATACTGTAGCCTTGATGCTGCACGCTAACGAGGTCGAGAAGCTCAGCAACAACGGTACCTCCTACTGGGACTGTTTTAGAGGATCAAACTTGCGTCGAACTGAAATCGCAATATGCGTCTGGGTAACGCAAGCTTTGTGCGGTGGCCCTATGATCGGATACGCGACATACTTCTACGAACAGGCCGGCCTAGCTCCGGACAATCATGTACGGCGTCGCTATTGTCGGCAATACCTTTACTTGATTTTTAAGGCGATAATTTGGAAGGCGTACGCTGTACCTGTGGGGTCAAGCTGTCTGTATTTCCATACTTGCGGTTGCTAGTGGGTTATCATACCTTCCCACTTCCCATACACTGTCCTGGACCCTCGGAAGTCTTATCGTCTGTCTAACCTTTGCGTTCAATTGCGCTATTGGCCCTGTCTGTGACTCTCCAGTCTCCGAGATTGCGTTAACTCAGCTTCGAGTGAAAACGGTCGTTATTGCCCGTATAATGTATAACGTTACTGTCATAATCACCAACATTTTGGCAGCAAAGATGCTCAACCCGACGGCCTAGAATTGGCGGGGTAGGACGGCTTTAGTGTTTGCTGGGGTAATTGTGATCTGCTTTGTGTGGTGTTACTTCAGGCTTCCTAAGCCGAAAGGCCTAGCATATCTAGAGGTTAATATCTTGTTTCAATACGAGGCGGGCACAAAGAAGTTCAAGATTTTTCAGGCCAACCTCGCTGAAAGGGGTTACTTTAGAATCACCAGTTCATCCTTGCCAATCGTTGACTGGCGTAGGAATAGCTAGAGAATATACAAACTGAGCTCTTCGGACTTTGGGAATGTAGATCAGCACTCGGTACCTTGACAGGACTCGTTGTTGACTTGTTGATGCCGGTGCTTTTATATAGTCAACTGCCGAAGTACGCTGCACTTCACCAACGCCACTAAAAAAAGCTTACCGAGGGTTCAATCTTCGAATAGTGATGATTGGAACACAGAATTTTGAGATAGCTTTTTGGGGTAGGTTTCTGTTGGCTCGGAGGACAGATTAAATACCAAATATCGGTCAGTTTCCTGGCTCGGACTAGGCACACGTCGAAGAGGTGAAATCTGGTACTCTTACAGGTCCAGTCAATGCCATAATAGTACGACCGAACTCACGCGCCAGCGTATTTAGATTTATGCATGCGAAGCAAGAAAGTCCTAGTATCTTTTCAAACGATCCACAAATTGGCTCCTTACCTTAATGGGTATGGTTCCAGATCCATAACAGCGGAATCAAGAGACACTAGCAAGCTTCGGCTGCCCTCTTCTCTCCCGAACCCCTCATTTTCGAGGTGGTGGGATCTTCATCCTACAAAATCTCCCTTCATGATATATTGCCTGCTGGTTCGTACCCTTCGTTTCATAACATGGCTCCCACTCTTGAATACGCTTTCACGCTCGAGGTCGACCTCTCCCCTCCACAAGACTTCGGCATCACCCACTGTGGTCACCGACGATTCATTCCCATCACTGGCGGGACTGCAGAAGGCCCGAAGCTCAAAGCGACTATTCTTCCAGGCGGAGGTGACTGGAACGCTCTGCGAGAAGACGGCATTGGCCATGTCTTTGCAAAATACTCCATCCAGGCAGAAGGTGGGGAGTTGATCAGCGTAACCAATGAGGGATGGATCCGCAAGTTTGAGAAGAAGTCCAGCACAGACGGTGATAACTCTGCTGAATCCAAAGAAGAGTCTGAATGGTATGCAAGGACGAATCCGCGATTTGAGGTCGCGGATGGTCCTCATGGATGGTTGAATCGCACGTTGTTTGTTGGGGATCTTCATCGTCCGACTCGCCCAAACCATGTTACGATTGATGTTTACTCTGTTGAATGAAAATCGTTCGTGAACTTGATTGCATGTTGGTAATTGGAAGAGGTTACCTTGCTTGGTTACCAGAAGGACCCTAAGGTTGCCAACTCGCGAGAGCTGCCCGACCGCATAGTGAATTGCAATAAGGCGGGTTCTTCTCCTGGGGGATATATACCTCTGCTCGACCGATTGACAGCCAGGCTGTTTAACAACCTTCATAGTACTTTAAAATCATGGGTTATGCATACTTCTGAAGGAGAATAGACAATAGGATTCAACGTTGATAGATCCATGAGGTGTAAATTAAACTTTTGGGCATCTACACTCTTCGAGCGCCGCAAGAAAGTATTTGACGTCAGGACTGGAACCCTCCCTCTGGTTGGCCCCACTCAAGGCAGCAGCAAGAGACTCGAAAAAAAAAAAAAAAAAAGACTGACATGAACGACAAGAACAGCTGACTCCAGAAATATTCTCTCTTATAAATCTTTGGGACAACCCCTGTTCGAGCACAAATAGCGTGTGAGGATCTTTCGCGTGGTTGTGCAGCCGTCCAAATGCGGCACGCTTGCCCATGAACTCCAGCGGACCCTTATTCATTGCCCAAGAGGCGGTTTGTTTCTATGAAATCAGCACCATCTATAATTCCTGTCCGAGATATCTATTCTATGCTCTTCTGATTGCAAGCTGTGTGACTCGCTGGACAGGATGGCTCGCCGATGTATTCCTAGGAGCTGCTGCCACTTATGCAGGCACGGCCGCCATCGAGGCCTTCATCCTGGTAGCCAGTCAACAGAAAAGGCCACGTCCAGCACCTGTCACTATTCCATTCGTCTCCGATAACACGACTTTATGGAACGACTTCCCCCAATTAATCACGGAGACCAACCAAATCATGATCCAGCCCGGGTCTATCGAGCTGGATGGCGACGCGGTCCTTGCTATCGTCGTGACGGGGTATCTTGTCTTCTTACCTCTGCAGTGCTGGTCACGCGTCTTGACACATCAACGAGCCCGGAATGTCTTATTCTATCTCTGGAACATGTTGATGCTTGCGGGTTCGATTTGTGCTTTGGTCTACGCAGCCAACAAATCAAACATTCCCACACAATACATGTTCTGCTTTCCCGCTCTCCCTCCTTTTGACCAAACGTCCAGCGATGGCTGGCAGTCATCATGGAGAACATCAACCTGGAATAACAGTGTGTGGGAGACATTCTCAAACATAACTCGATGGAGTCAGCTTGGAGACATCTGTTTCAATCCGTGTTTCAACTCGACCCAAGCCCTTCGCCAGCCGAAATCGTTGCAGTCTTGGGTTGCGAGCAAAGACTCAGAACTTTCACATCCTGCTCGATTATGGGACAAAATTGTCTATTCGAAAAGATATATCTACAGCCTGATCATCCTTTGCCTTGTACTGAATTTGGTCCATTTGACCTTCAAATTTCTTCCCTACCGGTCCCGCATCCCTTCCGCCAAGATAGTCGTGATATGGAGAGAGAGAAAGAGCATTTGGAACAGTTTCAAGGAAGAGCTAAAAGCAGCCCGATCGAAAGCCGGGGAGAAATTGGAATACAAAGAAGCGGCACTCACTAGTCGTTGCAGAATATCACAGCTGAATCATCTGCGACCATTCTTCAGTGTCGTATTTCTCAGGGCTATTATGCGGGTTTTAGCCGACTTTGCGATTCTCTTCGGTCTCCTTTTCAGCATGATCATCAGTCCATTCACCATCATTGCGTTTGTGGGATGGGCCGAGTGGACTATATACAACGATGGACCCGCGCAAGAAAGTCCCCAGCAGGTTGGGCAGTGGTCGTACTTGGTGTCCTTTGGACTACTTCTCGTCTCCGCCGCTATTTTGACTTTGAAGTACCGTCTTGCTACGACGTCTGAGTTGGATGAGGAAATTGAAAAGTTGAGAGATGATTTGGAGAAACTGGAGCAACGGAAGGAAGCACGATTAAGATCAGAAACGGCGCCCTTGACGGCACCGACAAACACCGCTGAGAGTAGTTGATAGATTGAAGGGAGACTAGAAGTCATGTTTCAGATCTATTCCCAAAGTAACAATTGATGGCTATAGCGAACTTGGAGGGGAGATGATGATGATCCATTCTGTAGCTACGGGAGCTAACTAACTAACTAGTCTTCAGAGTCGATGCACGGTCACGGTCTCTCCCTCGTGAAAGGGCAGGAAGGACCGCCCATTTCTCACCATTTGTAACATCCCGAAGATCAAATGTAATCACATTCTTCTTCTCCAGGTTTTCTTCCTGTTTATTAAGCTTGTCCAGCAGAACCTCCACTCTCTGCCGAAGTTGACCCGTGTCGCATAAGCTCTAGAGGCTGTCATCTGTGCGTCCATTTTAGAAACTGTTGCAAAACCTTTCCAGATGTCGCGTGCGATCGTGCTAAATACACCAACTCCTCTCATTGGCGCCGCACCTACAAATGGAGCAGGAAGCGGGACCCAACCCCGCAAAGACCCTCACTGGAAGCCCCGCAATTCCAAGCGAAGTTGATCTCATCATGTCTTTCTTATCTTGGCCCATCTTGAGCAGGTAGCCGATCACTTGGCGGCCATGGCATTCGTGCGGGGTGCGCCGACTTCAGGCATAGTGATTGGCGCAATCGGCAAATATGTTGCAGAACCATGTCAGAGTACCTGGTATGGCTCTTCCTATTTGATGGAGCTTATTTGACTTGGGCTTAGACGATGATTGCGGTCCTCGCTTAGAGATAGTGTTTGAATCATGTCAAAGCTAATGTTACATCTGTCAGAAGGAGCCTCGGTGGTCCTGTACGCTCCTCAATAGTGAGTGTCTGGGCTGTATGGGCGATCTTATTTCATGATTGAATCCGGGGTAATGTCGACTCTTTGGGCACTCAAGCTGTCTTGAGTCACTTACTATCATGCCAGATACAGATATCAAACCCACCGAAGACTTTGTCGAGAATGTGTCTCCCACAGAGTCAAATAACGGCCCTCAGGAGGCTCATGTTCCCCTGTGGCAGTCGATGAAGAAATGGCCCAAGGTTATAGCGTACAATCTAGCGCTAAGCTCTGCCATCTTGTTGTATGGATATGATCTTGTCATTGTTGGAACTGTTTCAGCAATGCCGGCATTTCAGTGAGTTCCCCCTTCACTGGGAATAGGCATCGTCTAACCACCACCCAAAGACATCGCTTTGGAGAGCGACTTGGGGCAAAGTACATCATACCATCGATGTGGCTATCGCTATGGAACGCAGCTAGTCCGATCGGAATGATGATTGGAGCCATCTTCGGTGGGCATTTTCAAGATCGGGGAGGACGCCGCCTGGCACTCGCAATAGGAAGTTTCCTATCAGCTATCGCAGTCGCCATGTGTTATGTCGCAGATTTACCCGATGATATGGACTCGCGAAGAGGGTTATTCCTCGCTGGCAAGCTGTTTCAAGGCATTTGCATCGGCATACTCCTTTGTGTCGTCCAGACATACATGTCCGAGGTTTTGCCGGTGCTGTTGCGAGGACCCATCATTGCCTTCTTGCCAATTTTCACCTTACTTGGTCAACTGCTCGGGTCTATCGTTGTCTATACATCTCTGAAACACAAGGATGCAACTAGTTACCGAATCTGTTTCGCCTCTCAGTGGCCCTTCTCCGCCGTTCCGTTTGTCCTGGCTGCAATGCTTCCCGAGAGCCCGACATGGCTAGTCAGAAGGGGAAACTTGACCAAAGCGCTGAAAGCACAGAGACGGCTGGACACTAGGAGTATCGACTCAGCGGCGATTGTTGACGAGATACGGACGTCGATCTTGGTTGAAGAGGAAGAGAGGAAGACACAAACTTATATGGACTGTTTTAGGGGCATTCACAGACGGAGAACACTGATAGTTGCATTTGCCAGTGCACTTCCTCAGCTGTTTGGTTTACAGTTGTTGGCGAATGCATCATACTTTATGCAGATCGTTGGGATGGGATCATCCAATAGTCTCATATTCTTAATTCTTGGAATTGGACTTGGTCTCATTGCCAACATCGTCAGCTTGTGGGTTCTCAATGACTTTGGAAGACGGTTCCTATGCCTAGTGACTCTTGGTACGGCAACGGTCCTGTGGATCGCAATGGGCATTGCAGGATGCTTCACAGGGGTAGTGACCATCTGGTGAGTTTTTTGTGAAAATATCTATTAGACGACTCCTGACCCTCGACCAGGTATACTGCTGTAACCATGATGATTGTTACCATGGTCTGTGGCCTGGGCATCTGGCCCGCATCGCATGTTGTCGCTGCTGAAACCTCATCACTCCAACTCCGCGCCAAGTCGCAAGGTATCGGCTGGTTTGTGAGCGGAATTGCCTCTGGGGTCTTCTCAATCATTCTACCGTATATTTACAATGCAGACAAAGGGAACCTGAGAGCAAAGACAGGTTTTGTAATGGCGGGATTTGCAGCGGTCGGAGTCGTGGCAACTTGGCTCGCCGTTCCTGAAATGAAGGGACGGTCACCTATGGAAATTGATCGCATGTTTGCACTGAGACTCCCTACGCGCTCATTCAAGACGTGGAGGAGTGATGTGGTGCTGGAGAAGGAGATGGTTGCTGGGGATCAAGGCCCAAGAGCGTAAATCTCTTGGTTTTGAGCTTGCCATATCGTTCCTGAATTCAGTATTGAAATTTTGATTCATGAGTGAAGGACTGGAATAGTCTTATTTGACCTGATCCAACCACCTGTATGACTGATGGCCGCTTCTGAACATTTTTGTACTTTGAGGAGAGTATTGTAGAAATGATAGTCTGGCTAGGTCACGATCGCAATGTCCTCAATCATCAACAATTGACTAAACCCTGATGATGCAGACACTGTGACTGTGTGTCATTTATGACAATCGTACAGAGAAAAATACAAGATGGTGAGGGTACGGTAGGGAACATTTCTAATTTCTTAGAACTGATGACATATTTTTGCAATTCCTCCACAGGCAAGCTGAAAAGGCAGAACAACCCGCTCTGAAGGGAGTTGTTTTCTCTGCAGGAGATTAAAAAGAAAGATGGTATTTAGTCCTTTGTATGAAGTTCAAAATGAGCGTTTTCTTTTAATATCATCAAAGAAACCCCCCCCCCCCCCAAAAAAATCTAGCGATGCGAATTCGAAATTAAATGACGTAATTTCTTCACTTTTCCAACAAAAACGCAAAGATTCCCATGCCGATGCAGATAGGCTATCTGGATTAACATTTGTCCTTGCCAGATCGACCCACTTCACCTCCCGTTGTACTCTATTAGAGCGAACATCAGCTAAGATCGCCTTCGTCTATGTTTATGGCGGTGTACTGGTTAGGTACCCGCTCAATGCATCACTAAGTGTTTCTCAAAGAGGCGCAAGAATAGCATTGAAATATCCATGCTATGGCTGCAATGGAGAATCAGGGTGCCCAGCCACCCATGCGGGCCACTCGATCCTCCCTTGCTTGCGCGCCGTGTCGTTACAAGCATTTACGCTGCGATGGAAAGAAGCCAGTTTGCACTCGATGCTCAGTTGGTAAGAAAGAATGTACCTACCATGCATCTCGACGCCGGGGAAACCCGAGGTCAAGGCTATCCCAGGAGTCTTCGACTACAACACTTTCCGAAAGTTCCCCGGCACCTGCTTTCGATGACCAGGGATGTTTCAATCTTCTGCCATCGGCAACATTCAACACAAATCATGTGCATTCATCACAAGCAACTTCAGAGTCCATAACGCTGGGTCTTTATTATGAGTTTTTCCACTCAGCTCACCCGTGCGTCCTACCTCGTCAGTCTTTGAACAATTACTCCAAGGGACAAGAAATTCAACCACTACTACTGGTAATGAATTATATCGGCTCCTTATTCGCAACTTCGACATCTACGGAGTCATTACAGCAAGAAATACAGAACTATCTGGTCAGTCTTCGAAGCAGGACCCGATCCGTCACTGGATTTGACGTGCAAGCTGTACTGCTTTACTCAATCGCCATATATTGGTGCAATGAGCCGGATACTGGTGTGGACTTGCTGGATGAAGCCATTCGGCTGGCCTTGGAGCTTGGGATAAATCGACAAGAATTTGCCCAAGAGAACAGTCGAGGCGATCCTATTCTAGCCGAAAGCTGGCGACGCACTTGGTGGCAAATCTATATTACAGACGCCCATATCGCCGGGAGTACTCATAAATTCCCATTTCGTACCAGCAATATCGAAATGACTGTGGATCTCCCATGCGAGGAGCTTGATTATGAATTAGGCGTAAGTGAAAATATGTAAAATATCAAAATTGGCCAAGACGACTGATCATGCGCCTGTAGAACATTCCCAGGCCTAGGTGCCTCCAAGAATACGACAATCGCGAATTCTTCTCAGACGATGAAGTTGGGTTCTCATCGTATGCGGAACTCATCGGACTGACGAGGGGAATTGATCAAGCTTTGTTACCCGGAGCCACATCGAATGTCCAAATGTACTCTTCGATGTGCTCAAACGCCGACACAAGTGTCACTGCCTGGCATTCCTTTCTACCAAACTCCAAGAGAACTATTTTACGTCCAGATGGTACCGTCGATGAAGTTATGTTCAAGGCAGAATTTATCATGGATACGTGAGTCCTCATATGCCTCAAAGTTTTGCTGTCATCACCTTTGACTAATTCTGCTTAGATATACCGTTGAGATCCATCGGCCGATGTCGTCTCTTGCGTACAGTGCGATTGAATCTGTATCCCGCTGCGCTCCACGGGCTCCTTCAAATGATTTCAATTGCAGTAACTCGGCCGAGCGTCAATTGCACACCATGAAATGTCTTGCAGCGATTGACAAGCTGGAATATCTCCTCACGCTTCCCACGAACATCAGCGCCCACTCACCATTCATCATTTGCATGCTAGCCAATGTCACCATTGCACATCTTTCTGCTTGCCGCTTTGTCCTTGAGGGGCAAAAGCGTGCCCAATGTCGGGAGAAGATTCGGCTTACTATGGGAACCTTGAAGCGTCTGAGTGACTACTGGACACTGGGGAAACGAACATATCGAGAATTAGGTATTATTGCACGGGAGATACTGTGTTTGATGGATAATACACTCGCTCCTGCGCCTGAACCTAGACCGCCGTTGGATGAAAGATTCGGTGAAGGAGCGGTTGATTTGAATTCTTTAGGATTATTACCAGGGCCGGATTTTGATTTCTGTGCGTTTTTCGATTCAAGCATAACAGGAGCTATGGAAGAGACCCGGCTATTAGTCTAGTGAGATCGGTTGAAAGGATTCTTCATACGCATCTACAAATAATCATGTTCAAGAATTCAACAAGAAATCAATCTCTTATCGATGGCTGTCTACCCGAATCAACGATATTCCTCATCAATCTGAATAAGCGCGGCCATCCCATCCCGCTCCAAAACATCAGTGTCCAAAACAAGAGTAGCAAACAAAGTCGCGGGCTCAGACTTGCTCGCATTGTCGCTAATACGGTGGTGGCAACCCGGCGCTTCGTACCAAGTCTCTCCAGCCTTGATAACCTTCATCGGATCATCGTTCATCTTGTTCAGCAGTGTGCCGCTAAACACATACGCGGAGGCTGAGGCGCCGCCATGTCTGTGAGGCGGGGTTGACCCGTTTGGCGGAAACTCCACTCGTAATCCAACGATGCTTTTGCCAGGGCAGTTCGCCAGCTTATACTGATAGATGATGTTGATTTCCGGCATCGGGCGGCTAGATAGGTTATTAGTTTGTGTACAGTCACAGAAACTAGAGCCATGTCCACTCACCTTGGATCATAAGTTGGCTCTGCCATCTTGATTATCGTCTTGGGTTGTGTGTAGTGGACAGAAGATAGATAGAAATGAAGAGGTATGGCGAGTGATGACGCTTCCAATTGGAATCTAGCTTGAATTTATAGTTGATTGTGTACGTACTTTGATCGGACGACTGCATGCAGCTCAACATGAGGGAATGTGCATTGTGAAATCGACTATTCCGAATAGCCTACGGAAATTCTGCGGTGATTCCGAGGATAGAATGCCCAATGGTGATTTTCAGTTGTTCATAGCCCCCTTGATTGAGCGGTGCAGGTTCCCCGGCGCGGGTAGGCTATCAATAGGCTTTCAACGGATACCTGGTACTGGCATTGCCACGCAACATCTGCGCGACTCGAGGTCATAACGACAAAATATGTTCACTTGATTCACAATTTCCTGCTCAACTCTGTATAGTGCCAAGAAAATAAGAGCAGAAAAGTCCTGGGTTAGGAACCCGACTAACGCCCCATGCCGTGGAGATAGCCTGCTGATGATGCTGTCATTCTCGCCGACCGGGACCATCGGCTAACTACAACCCAGCATAACATCTCATTCCTGGGAACTATGGTACTAAATAACAGGGCATTTGAGGATGATGCCTAAATTTTGAACTTTTCATCTCATCCCTTAATTATCGCCCTTTACTTTACCTTTGTACTACTTCACACCCTTTCAGTACATCACAATGTCAGACGTCAAGATCCAGTCCGGGATCATCATGACCGGTCCTAGAATGGCTCACATAGAGCACAACTTGGCAATTCCATCGCCCGATGCAGATCAACTCCTTATCAAAGTACGCGCCATAGCACTTAACACTCCGGACTGGATCGCGCTGGATATGTTTGGAAGACCGGGGGCGGGGATGGGGTTGACTTTGCAGGTGAAGTCATGGAGATCGGAGACAGATGCAAGACTTGGACGGTCGGTGGTCGTGTAGCTGGATTTGTACATGCGTGTATGCTTTCCTCTTTTCGACAGCTTGACATGAATTAATGAGATTCCGATATCAGGTCATGCTGCCAACTATGCGAACGGAGCCTTCCGGGAATATCTGTTAGCAGATGCGGACCTTGTGATGCGTCTGCCAGATCATCTCTCTTTTGCAGAAGCTTCGACACTCGGCATGGGGGTTAGCACTGCTGCACAGGCACTGTATCAGTGGCTTCCTCTGCCGTTGCCTACCTGCGATCCAACAATGTCTGATCAGAATATTCTCATATATGGTGGAAGCACCGCGACTGGGAGCATTGCCATACAATTAGCGAAACTGTGAGTGGATTTCGATCTCATGTTGCCGTTCTCGTATACTTACTTCCTTAAAGCTCAGGACTCAGGGTCATCACGACCTGCTCACAGCAACACATCTCTTGGCTTCGATCGCTAGGAGCTGATGAGGTCATTGATTATCGCGACCTCAGCGCCACCGAGACAATAAGGTCATTGGTGCGGTAAGACGGTCTACACTCGATTTTGGACTGTATTGCCAATACTGAAACGTCTGCTTTCTGTTATAAATGTTTCTCTGTTCCTCGAGATGTATCAGAGCAGCCCGAGTCGCTTATATATGCAGGGTTGATGGCATCGACAGAAGAGCCGCCACGACCGGAGTTTCTGCCTGCCTCTACCCACATTCACAGTGTCTGGAATATTGTTTACACATGCTTTGGAAGACGCTTTACGATGAACAAAGAGGAAATGGGACTGAAACGAACATCGGAGGCGTCCAACGTGGACAAAAACTTTATGGTTACATTTTATTGGCGGGTTGAGCAATTTCTTCAAAATAAGCTGTTGAGACCCATGCCTATTGAAATTCGCAAAGGAGGGCTTGCGGGTGTTTTGGAAGGGGTCTCCGAGGTTCGCAAAGGGGCCGTTCGAGGGAAGAAATTGGTTTATGAGCTATGAGACGGTCTCACTTGTCATCTTCTGTGCTGATTTTGGTGAGAGGTAGCTTTCCAACTTTGTATTATATATGAATAAAGAGGCGTTAATTAATATACACATTTCTATCAACTAGATGTACAGAGAAGAGGCCAAAAGCACTGCGAGACTGGCGACTAGTGGGAATGCGCCAGGGTATTGATGACCGTTCGACCCGTTCTTCTTGTCACTGTTACCGCTTCCAGAGGTGCTGTTTCCACTCGTCTGAGTGATATTGTTGAAGCCAACCGTCTTGATCCAAGCAGGCTTGGAGCTGGCAGTCTCGAGCTCGTCCGAATGATAAGAATCGATGGTTCCTTCGAAGGTAACGGTCATCTTGGCCTCAATGATAGTGTCTGCCTCACAGAAGTCTTGGTTTGTAGGCTTCTCTTCACAGCCCTCGACTGCCTGGATGTAACCATTAATTGTCAACTTGGCGGTCTTGCTGTCGAAAACAATGTCGAGAGTTGGGTCTGGGTAAGAAACATTGGACCCGGTGCTAGGCCAGTAGTAATTGGAGATCATGTAACCCGACCAATCGATATCTTGCGTTCCATTGCAGGAAGTCATGTTAAACAGAATAGGGAAGGTGGTATCGAATGTGCTCTCGCTGCCGTATTGGGTGAATGTGCTCGAGAGGTTGTAGGGTGCCTTGGTGGTCTCAGCAAGAGTCAAATTGAAGATATCTGGTTCGGTAAAGGAGCCATTGTAGGAATCCAGAGGTCTATGGGGAGCGTCAGTATATATCACAGCCAATTTAATCCTTGGCTTACAATGAAGAGAATAGAGCCCAGTCCCAAGGCAGATCGGTGATCCCCTGGCTCGCGTTCAACGAGCTGAAGTTGTAGCCCACATCCCACAGGGTCAGGAAAGCGTTGAGCGGGTTGTTGCCGGCGTTGTACTTGCTTCGCTCCGTGAGTCCAAGGATTGTATCAAACTTGGTGCTGTAGGTCTTGTCCTTCAAATTTGGGCACCAGGTGGCATCGTTGGTCCCTTCCTCCTGCGCAGCGATTCCACCGAAGGGCTCGATCTCGATGGTCGTAGAGCCATTGTAATATCTGTGGATTGTAAGGAACGAGATCTAGTAGCAGAGCACGGGAAACGCACGATCCAACCCAATGGTACAGGTCACTTGAAGTCACATTGTCCGGTCGGAAGTTTAACGAAGAATCGTAGGTCGCGTCGTTTACTGCAGCGAAAGCTGTTGTCGAGGCCAATCCCAAGGCTATCGCTCGGGCCACTTGTGAGCCTCGCATCTTGTTAATGATATAAAAGAGTGAATTTTTTGAACGAATGACTAGAAATCAAAAGGCTTGAGGAAACGAAGGGACTCTCGCGGGGCGAACCAGTCAGTCTTAAAGTAGTTTGGGTAGCAGTCACACCCTCACTCATTATCCTTGATTTAAGTGGCACTACCCGGGATGCCAGACCAATTCTGAGCTAGCTCCGATACCCTGATCCCATTCAGATGCACATTTCATCCAATTATACGTCTGAAGGACTAGTGGCTGACATGAAATCCCCTGCCAAGCCTTTGCGGCCCCCGAACGTCCCTCGCTAAGCTAGCCGGCCGTGATAGCCATCCAGGAACCCGGAGATCATGACTGGATGGATTGCCTTTGTTTCACTGAATCATCTCCACGGTCCCTCTTTGGCTTCAGTGGAGGTTGCTCATTGGTCCCGTGATGTTCTCGACCTCAATAATAGAAGGGGCTGTTAGAGCCTCGAGTCCCGGCAGGCTCTCAGAGTGGTCGGGTAAAGGAACCTGATTTTAGCAATGTGGGCTGCCCCCTGTTGCTTGTGTCAGAGTGGGGATGGTTCTTGTGGAGCAAGCGAACTCCAGTACCGTTTTAACATGTTCTTGTTTGAAGGGATTGATGGTGTCCGGAAAGCTTGATCACATCTTATAGTTATTACAACAAACGGTAAAAATATAGCGAATGCATGTTTGAATTAGTTAGGGAGACACAAGCCACTACATGGACACCTTCGCGTTGCCTCCAGCCCCAATTCTTAAACGCCCGATTCATGCTGATAAACATCTTGTACTGAGACGTAGCGCTGCCAACTGGCGCAAGTAGATTATGCGAGTCATGATCAAACATAATGTCCAAGATTCGCTCCAGTAGCTGGGGCAAAGTCCTCGGACGTATGCCACGCGATATAGCAATGCAGGAGCCAGACCTGCAGATAGTCATTATCGTTAATTAGGTCGCTTCATGGAAATCATTTTCAAAAAACTTACTCCTGGGTTATTTGTCTTCATAGCAATCACCACGTCTCCGCTGGCAGGTGACATGACTACATCTCGTCGCGGCGCGTTGACCAAAGTCGGGGTATTTGTCATAGATTTTTGGAGTGTTTCCGTATCCAGAGCTAAGTAAAAAAGGTTACGTCCGTGAAGTTGCATGGGGTTGGCCTTGGGCGAAGGGGCAATGGATAACCATATATACCCATTCATCTGCACCGGGCAGGTGGATGCCGCGCTTCTTGGCTAACTAAGTCCGGTTACCTTCAGAATTCCGGAGAAGACTTAGATATTACCATTGTGTGAGGAGGGAAGTCTTGTTTATCAGCCAAGGAAGAACGTTGTCGGTAACTTGAACCTCGACTTTCTCTTTCTCCCCGTGGCCTATATGTTGGGCGCGTTAATAGCTAGATATGGGACAAGGTATGATGAATCCTCGTTGGCGCACAAGTCAGTGTAACTGTATGCCAATGTGGTTGGGTCGGTTGTGAACGGGTTTTCATATCAAAAGCTATCCTGGTTGTCAGTTGCACCTGTCTCTGAGCAAGCAGACTGAGAAATATATCTCAGCCAGACATTGCCGCTTTTCAATCGGTTAGCAGTGACGACGACATGGTATCTATGACTCGTGCTGATGCTCAGGTCAGTTGTATTGTAAGGCACAATCGGCACGAAGTCATTTGTGATGACTTCTAGGTGGTGTTTAACAATACATTGCTTGGAGCCCAAGTCTGAGTCAAGTTTGACCAATGTTACCGGTGGATGCCATCTTATTTGAACTTTGCATGGTAGTGTCCCAAGTGGCGATTTCCCTGTCGTTAGTATAGGCGACAGAAAAATCTTAAGGTTGTACGTGAGACTGCTAGATACAATGGGCGTTCCAGACGCTAGATGCAGGGGCTTGGGTTGATAGGCGGAGTTAACACCTTTCGTCTCTACTTATCTCCGAGTGCCTGAAGCTGACCTACACACAAGTTTAAAGGGATGGGCCAACGGGTGTTCTCACCAAGGCAACTAGGCATTGGAATCGACGTTATCATATCATGATGCCTGCTCTATTCGATCTTAGCACCGAATTCATATTCCACGTGGTGTAAGATAATCCCGGACCGAGGCATTCACACTCATCCCGCCTCGCAGGGCAAAGTCTCGAATCTCTAGTTATGTGCAGGGTCGGAAGCAGTCGGGGTCCTCAGCTGGAATGAACTTATTGGCAATTGTTTCATTCTGTGCAGCATCTATAGTGAATGGTCGCGTGATCACCGTGGCAGGACAAAGACAATGCAAATACAAGTCACCCGCCTCCCAAGGCGGCAGGATAAAAAGGACACGATAGGAAAAAAAGCCCAAGGCAGAGTAGATCCAAGGGATTACACAATAACAACAAAATGCATAGCTTCGAGGTTTGATTACATGTAAAACGTTGATCCCAAGAGGAAGACGCATTCGATATCGGGCCGGACCCCAGCGAATGGCAACTTACATAACAACGCAGCAAGAGTTCTGCTTCTTGGCCTGGAACGGGGTCAGTGGGTGGATTCTGCGCTGCGGCTAATTGAGACGTACCTGAGTATAGAACATCTTACTCTGGGCGGACAGACCGTCACTCTTGGCGACCAACGAGTCGATCTTCTCACCACGCTCCAGAACACTCTCGATCTATCTAGGTGTTAGATGGGATCCCCGTTTGCAGAATGATGTAAGGCAGCATGAGATCAAATATCCCTTCAGATGACATACCGTCTTGTGCAGCACAATCTTAGTCTCGTCCAACTCCTGCTGAATCTTCATAATGCTGTCCGCCTGACTGGGGTCCTGATATTTGACGATATATTCCTTTAGCTGAGGAAGAGGGCATGCGTTCTCGCGAAGGGAGGGGTCGGAGAAGGATGTGCGAGGGTGCTTGGCGAGGAACTCGTCGACAATCTTGGACAGAAGCTGGTGCGCAACGAGCGCGGGGTATTCGCCGTCGGTAACAATGACGCCGGCGACACCTTCGGCCCGACCGTAGGCATGGAATGTGTACGATTTCTCCTCAATGTCCTGGCGTTGTCCGGGCTTCGTGCGCTCTGCGACCGTCTTGGTGAATAGCATCATGAACTCCTCATAGCTGCGATATCGTGGTGATTAACAACGGGGAAGTGAATAGATCGAGGGAATATCTAGGCGTACTTTTGACGGGTGAATCGGGAGAAGCTATGAACTATTAGTGCGTATGCTCATCAGGATGTAGGCGACAGACAGTAAACACCTACCTGGTAAGGTCCTTCTCTCCGCATAGCTGGAGCGCGGGCTGAGTGTCGTTCCGGAGAACCTGTGGTAGAAGTAACCAATAAGTTAATGGTCAAAAGAGCTGATCCAGTAATGATCACATACGCCCATATAGAGAACCTTCATGGTGGCGGGGATGATCGAGACGCTCGCACGAAGAACGGTGAATGAGGAGCGCAAGAGACGAGACCAAGGGAGATATCAAGTATTTCAGAGCCTCTTGTACCAACGGTCTAGGCGGAAAGATTATTGTTCAAGGCGTCAGGTGCGCGTGGCCGTATTAAAGGAGGTCGGGAATCGGGGTGAGCTGGGAAAGCCAACTCCTGATAGCCACGATGATGGCACCGGGTCTCCGCAATCGCGGCCTGAGGCAGCAGCGCCCACACCGCCCTGTCGACCAGTCGAGCCCTGCAGCGGAGCCCTATTGCCTTCTTGGGACCCCGTGGATTGATGACTGACGCCCCGCTATACGTTATATTATTCTTCCGACTTCTTCTTTCTCTTCATTCTCACCCATATCGGAGCAAGCGCTACATCATTTGTTATCATGGATAATATAGCAGCAACCGAGTCGCAATGGCTGTCTCAGCTAGCTGCGATGCGCCAGGCCATCGCCGATTTGAAGCTTCCGAAAGACCTTCCCCACGATACGATCAGTTATGGCAGCGACATGGAACTGGATATCGACGACGAATACTCTTCCCCCGGAACAGTGGACGACGTCTGGGATATCATCAGCTCCGATGACGAGACAGATAGCGGTCTAGACGACTTCCACGAATTGAATAATATTCCCTCGTCTCAAATCACGCGCTACGATCGGGTCTGGTTGGAAAACAGATGTCTCGATGTCGCGACGCGGAACCCCACCATGGACGCAGCGGAGCTTTCGCAGCAGATTATTGCGACACTGGCTACTGATAGCGACGACGCGGAGCTGCAAATGTCTCTCGCAGAAATCGTTGGCTTTGATGACTTGGACTTGGTCATTGAGCTTATCGCTCATCGGGAGGAGATACTCGCGGACAAACCTCAGCGAGTGGAGGCACAGACAGATGGGCTTGCCGCCGGGAGACTTCAGACTCGAGCGGAAAGAGAGCAAGCGCTCCGGGAGCGAGACTTTCAGCACAAGAATACACCTTTGATGGCGGCTCAAACTCGGTCTGAGCCTCAATACCCCCATGTGTTCAAGCTTCATACGTCCGGCAACCTCCTCTCCGCCAACGGGAGGAAATACGGTTTACCTGTGGGAAGCAGAGAAATTGAGGAACCGAAATATACAGAGTTTGAGATCCCCGCCTCCAGTGTTGGAGCAGTGCGACCGAACCAGAAGCTGGTGGACATTGCTTCGTTGGATGGCCTCTGCCGAGGAACCTTCAAAGGTTACAAATCTCTGAACCGCATGCAGAGCTTACTCTATGAAGTTGCTTACAAGACCAACGAGAATATGCTCATCTGTGCGCCTACCGGCGCTGGTAAAACAGACGCCGCGATGCTCACTATTCTCAATGCCGTCGGAAAGAACACTGTCCCCAATCCACTAGAGCAACCGGATGCGACCGAGTTCACCGTCCAAGTGGACGACTTCAAGATCGTCTATGTTGCTCCCATGAAGGCTCTTGCTGCCGAAGTTACCGAGAAACTGGGCAAGCGACTTGCTTGGCTTGGAATCCAAGTTCGTGAGCTCACCGGTGATATGCAGTTGACCAAGCGTGAAATTGTCGAGACTCAGATCATCGTCACCACCCCTGAGAAATGGGATGTCGTGACTCGAAAAAGCACTGGAGACACCGAGCTTGTGCAGAAGGTGCGGTTGCTCATCATTGACGAAGTACACATGCTTCACGACGAGCGTGGAGCTGTTATTGAGTCGTTGGTCGCCCGTACCCAACGCCAAGTAGAGAGTACCCAGTCATTGATTCGCATCATCGGCCTTTCCGCTACGCTTCCCAACTATGTCGATGTGGCCGATTTCTTGAAAGTCAACAAAATGGCCGGCTTGTTCTTCTTCGATTCCTCCTTTCGACCAGTTCCCCTGGAACAACACTTTATCGGAGTCAAGGGCAAGCCTGGATCCAAACAATCCCGAGAAAATATTGACACTGTGGCATATGAAAAGGTCCGTGACATGGTGCAGAGGGGACATCAAGTCATGGTGTTTGTACATTCACGCAAGGACACGGTCCTGACAGCTCGTATGTTGAAACAAATGGCTGCGGAGGATGGCTGCGAGGATCTTTTCAGCTGTCATGAACACGAAGATTATTCCAATGCTCTGCGAGATATGAAACACGCCCGCGCTCGTGAGCTCCGTGATCTCTTTGCTAGCGGCTTAGGGACCCATCACGCTGGTATGAGTCGCAGTGACCGCAATCTTATGGAACGCATGTTCTCGGAGGGGTTGATCAAGGTTCTCTGCTGTACTGCTACTCTTGCATGGGGTGTGAATTTGCCGGCCGCAGCTGTCGTTATCAAGGGAACTCAGCTATACAACCCACAGGAGGGTAAATTCGTCGACCTTAGCATCCTCGATGTGCTGCAGATCTTTGGTCGTGCTGGTCGTCCACAATTCCAGGATACCGGTATTGGCTTCATCTGCACCACCCATGACAAGCTGCAGCATTATCTATCTGCCGTGACCGCACAGCAACCCATTGAGTCGCGATTCTCAGCTCGCCTGGTTGATAATTTGAATGCTGAGATTGCCCTGGGAACCGTGACCTCCATTTCAGAAGCTGTGCAGTGGCTAGGCTATTCATACCTGTTTGTTCGCATGAAACGTGAGCCTCGCAACTACGGTATTGAGTACGCGGAGCTTCGCGATGACCCAATGTTGGTGCAGAGACGCCGACAATTGATTATTCAAGCTGCGCAGACACTAGCCAAAAGTCAGATGATCATCTTCAACGAGAAAACCGAAGATCTCAAGGCCAAGGATGTTGGTCGCATTGCAAGTCAGTACTACGTGCTGCAAACGAGTATTGAGATCTTCAACGACCAGATGCGTCCTCGCTCGGGAGAAGCGGATGTTCTCAGAATAATCAGTCTAAGCGGCGAATTCGATAATATTCAATCTCGTGACAGCGAGTCAAAGGAATTGCAACGGCTGCGTGATGAAGTCACCCAGACCGAGGTCGAGGGAGGAAACGATTCCCCACACGCAAAGACTAACATCTTGCTGCAATCCTACATTTCTCGTGCCAGGATCGAAGACTTTGCTCTAGTTTCCGACATGGGTTATGTTGCACAAAATGCAGCTCGTATCTGTCGGGCCCTTTTCATGATCGCCCTGAATCGCCGTTGGGGCTACCAGTGCCAGGTCCTGCTGTCCTTGTGTAAATCCATTGAGAAGCAGATCTGGCCCTTTGACCATCCCTTCCACCAATTCGACTTGCCACAGCCTGTTTTGAGGAACCTCGACGAAAGGCTGCCCACGTCATCGATTGAGTCCATGCGGGAGATGGAACCGACTGAGATCGGACAGCTTGTCCATAATCACAAGATGGGTAAGGTGCTGTCCAAACTTCTGGACAATTTCCCCACTTTGAGTGTGGAGACCGAGATTGCGCCTCTGAACCGGGATGTCCTTCGCATTCGTCTCGCTATCTACCCCGAGTTCAGCTGGAACGATCGCCACCATGGAGCTTCCGAGTCTTTCTGGGTCTGGGTTGAAAACTCGGAGACTTCGGAGATATACCACCACGAATATTTCATTCTCAGCCGCAAGAAGCTTTATGACGACCACGAACTGAACTTTACCATTCCATTGTCCGACCCACTGCCGAGCCAGATTTACGTTCGCATTATCTCCGATCGCTGGCTCGGTGCAGAGACTGTGAGCCCCGTGTCCTTCCAGCATTTAATCCGCCCAGACACGGAAAGTGTATACACCGATTTGTTGAACTTGCAGCCGCTTCCCATCTCTGCTCTCCAGAATCCAATCTTGGAAGAAGTGTATAGCCAGCGGTTCCAATTCTTCAACCCTATGCAAACTCAAATCTTCCATCTGCTATATCACACGTCATCCAACGTCCTCCTTGGATCGCCCACAGGTAGTGGAAAGACCGTGGCGGCTGAATTGGCAATGTGGTGGGCATTCCGCGAGAAGCCCGGATCTAAGGTTGTGTATATCGCTCCTATGAAGGCCCTTGTTCGTGAGCGCGTGCAAGACTGGCGCAAACGCCTTACCGGGCCGATGGGTCTGAAGCTTGTGGAGCTGACTGGTGACAACACCCCGGATACTCGAACTATCCGAGACGCAGACATCATCATCACCACTCCTGAAAAGTGGGACGGTATTTCTCGTAGCTGGCAGACCAGAGATTACGTGCGCAAGGTCAGTCTTGTGATTATCGATGAGATTCATCTGTTGGGAGGCGACCGAGGCCCTATCTTGGAAATCATTGTGTCTCGTATGAACTACATTGCTTCCCAGTCCAAGGGCTCCGTCAGACTGATGGGTATGTCCACTGCCTGTGCCAATGCCACCGATCTGGCCAACTGGCTTGGTGTCAAGGAAGGACTCTACAACTTCCGCCACTCCGTGCGCCCAGTCCCCCTTGAGATTTATATCGACGGCTTCCCTGAGCAGCGTGGCTTCTGCCCACTGATGCAGTCTATGAATCGACCGACGTTCTTGGCTATTAAGAACCACTCCCCCGAGAAGCCCGTCATTGTCTTCGTTGCATCCCGTCGACAGACTCGTCTCACTGCCAAGGACTTGATCAACTATTGTGGTATGGAAGATAATCCTCGTCGCTTTGTCCGAATGTCCGAGGACGACTTGGAGTTGAACCTCGCGCGAGTCAAGGATGACGCCCTTCGAGAAGCTCTCAACTTCGGCATTGGCTTGCACCATGCTGGTCTGGTGGAGTCTGATCGACAGCTAGCCGAGGAGCTGTTTGCCAACAACAAGATTCAGGTTTTGGTCGCAACCAGTACTCTGGCTTGGGGTGTCAACCTTCCTGCTCACCTTGTTGTGGTCAAGGGTACCCAATTTTTCGATGCCAAGATTGAAGGCTACCGTGACATGGACTTGACTGATGTTCTCCAAATGCTTGGTCGTGCCGGTCGTCCGCAGTTTGACAATTCGGGCATTGCCCGCATTTTCACCCAAGACTCGAAGAAGGCTTTCTATAAGCATTTCCTACACACCGGTTTCCCTGTCGAGTCTACACTGCACAAGGTTTTAGACAACCACTTGGGCGCCGAGGTTTCTGCCGGAACGATAGGCACCAAGCAAGATGCGCTTGACTACTTGACCTGGACATTCTTCTTCCGTCGTCTCCACAAGAATCCCTCATACTATGGCCTTGAAATCTCTGCCGAAGACCAGAACACGATGGCTGCTCAGGCTACGGCTCAAGAGTTCATGATTGACCTTGTTGATAAGTCGCTCAATGACTTGGCGGAGTCATCTTGCGTGCTCGTGGACTCTGCGACCGGAGAAGTTGATTCTACCCCCTTCGGCAAGATCATGAGTTACTACTATCTATCGCACAAGACTATCCGGTACTTGATGTCTCATGCAAAGCGTGAGCCTACTTTCCAGGATGTCCTGAGCTGGATGTGCTCTGCCACTGAATTCGACGAGCTGCCTGTCCGTCACAACGAAGATCTCATCAATGCCGAGTTAGCTCAGAATCTCCCCCTCTCCACCGAGTCCATGGGGGACATCCCCATGTGGGATCCCCATGTCAAGGCCTTCCTCTTGCTACAGGCGTACATGTCCCGCATCGATCTACCCATTTCTGATTACGTCGGCGACCAGACATCCGTTCTGGACCAGGGTATTCGTATCATCCAAGCCTCCATCGATGTGATGGCCGAGCTTGGGTATATCCCCGCGTGCGAAATGTTTGTGACTCTCCTGCAGTGCATCAAGTCCGCCCGCTGGCCAGAGGATCATCCCTTGTCCATTCTGCCTGGTATCCCTGTTGAAAAGCCGCCTCGGGGCCTTCCAGCTTCACTCGTCAAACTCTCTTCGCAGCCCAAGTCTGCCTTCTTCGACCTGGCTAAGAAGTTCAACTTGCATCCCGGATTCAGCAAAGCAGCTTCTCAACTGCCGAATGTTTCTATCGCCGTTACCGGTATTACTGCCAAAGGGTTGAGTGTTTCCATCACCCGTCGCAATCCATCAGCAAACCAGGAACACCGCATCTATGCCCCCAAGTTCCCGAAGCCACAGACCGAGGGCTACTTCCTCATTGTTTGCAGTGCCCGCCCCAATGGCTCGGATGGCGACTTGCTTGGCCTGAAACGAGTTTCGTGGCCATCCTTCTCGAAGCAAAATGGCCACTCCAAGATCCGCGGCGGTGCTGGTGTTGGTTCTAGCCGAGGAGGAGCTTCCCACGGCAAGGGCCGGGGTGACAGTGGCCCGCTCAGCGTGCGCTCTCTAGTTAAATTCCCAAGCGCGGCATTCGCTGAGTCCTTGTCCCTGACCACCGGTGGTGTTACTCGGGTCAATGTCAAGGTCATCAGTGATTCTTATCCTGGCATGCAGTGGACGCTGCTTAACGTGGAGGTTGGAGTGGCATCGAGTGTACCGACACAGTCGGTTGAGCCGTCGTCTAGCATGAGCCTCAAAGAGTGATGTTGTACAGTGTGATCATAGATTAGACTAGGAAATTAATTCTCGCTTATAAATGCAATCGATGTTCTGAGCATGTCTGCAAACTGTCCTCCTCTGGCTACAGCAAGATACACTTAGAAGATATGACCCTTCTCTTCTTTGGCGCCGAGTCATTACTCCCAATGACGGCTTGAAAGAGTTCTGCAATGTTTTCTCTATTTTCCGCCGAACACTCAAAATACTCCAAATAATTCTTTCTCGCATACTTCTCGAACTCTTTGGAGCCTTCTCTAAACGCCGTCCAAGATCCCGCGTCTTCTTTCTGCTTTCGCAGATCATTTCGACATCCAACCAAAATGAGCGGGGCATCTTTACCCTTGTGTGACTCTTTTGATATCAAATAGTCCACTTTATCCTTAACATCCCACTCGAAATTTGGATCATCCAGATAATCAAGAGGGAAGCAAAACAGTACAAGTTTTGTTTTCGGATAGGCAAGTACCGTAAGTCTCCCACATGAAGAGTATGAAACCTCCCAGAAGTCAATAGATCTTGGCTCGGCATCTTGAATTTCAATTGATGTGATAGGGCTCAGATCGCCACAAATGTTCTCTTGGGGCTTGGTTTTGCCGTTATAGTGAGTTGTTGCATGTTCGGCGAGGGCTGCGATGAGGCGTGTTTTCCCACAGGCTGACATGCCATCGACGGTGATTTTGTGGGGAGTCATTGCACAGAATTGTATGTGATCGGTCAACAATTATGTATCCAATCGGTGGGAATATCCAGGATGAATACAGAGAGAAATGCTGACTGCTGGGGGAATCATAAAGAGGGGCGACGTTGTGAGAGTGTTCTCATCTAGCATTACGAGGTCACCTGACACGCGGCCAATATGTGATGCTGAGAGAGATATGCAATATCAAGAGCACTACTTCGTATAGAACTGTAAGTATGTCTCGTTCCAGCGAAACAATACGTCGACCTGGCCAGGTTACATTTCAACCCTGTCGTTGAAGCTCAGCTCGATCTGTTAGGTAGCAATCGAGTCTAAAATTAAACATTGCTTCGCCTTTGTATCACATCTAAATACGAGACTTGGAACCATGCAGATCCCTCATACGGCAAATGATATACTTGTAGATCAGAGGCACTGGGCATTATTTAAGCTAAGGAAGGTCCCCGGTTCTTCTCGCGCTGGAAATCTTTTATCCCATCAAACATTTCTCGAATAAATCCTCACCAATTGAGTTTTATTATCCACTTCTATCAAAATGAAGGTCCTCTATATTTCGGTCCTAGCCTCTCTTGCTCCATCAGTCCTGGCTGCTGTAGGAGGTCCTTGCTCCAATAACTGGGGGGCGGATTGTATCTGCCTTGATCAGAATATCTGTTCCAGTCAGTATGGTGGTCAACCGTACACAGGCAGCCCTGGAAACTACCCGTGTCCCGATGATCCTAGCAACGTCATGGCTTGTGTGATCAATCCTTGTCCTAATGTTGGAGGCAACACTGGATGCCGCTGGAACGACCCTGGTGTATGTGGGAACGTTCTCTCCGGTATGTCCTTCACTAGGTACCCTTGATTCAATATGTACTGACAAGTTACTCTTAGACCCGGTTTGCCCGGGTGGTAATGGCTTTGTCTGCTGTCAATTCTGAGAGGCCAGTGCTTGGACTGGTCAAGGATTGGCCAGCCGTCCTGATAAATACAACAGCTATATGAAGGATTTTGCGAAATATTTCTCAGAAAATAAAACGAATATGACGTCAGGTTCACTGCATTGTAGTGTGGATATCTCTCGTAGGTCCGTCCCAAAATCGAAAACTATACCAAGTCCCTCTTCGTAGAGTGGAAGTCCTAGGCTACTGCCAGACCCTACATTAGCCTTGCAGCTCCCAACATGGAGATATCCACCATCCGGTGTGCTGCACTGAGAACCAGAGGCCGAAGATTCTCTGAAACTTCTTGGGTAAGCTCAAAGGCTCGCTTAATCCAAAAGGACCATCTTTCAGGACAGAACCCAGCCTCGCCCCAGTACAGTTCCCCAGTCGTATCAACGCCGTCCATGTTGCAAGTTGGTTCTTGCGAGCGCAGTGTCAGGAACATAGCTTCGCCGGCGTGCCGGACCCACTGGGCCATTGCTTTGATATTAGCCTCTTGGCTTATACCGGTGTACTTTCTCTTTGTAGAAGGAGGGCCTGGGAGAGGCAGAGAGTTTATTTGGACTTATTTCTTCCCTTAAACATGCTACATGCTTCCTCTAGGTTCCAATATAGTGGCGAATCCATGGTGAATCAATAAGGTCTACTTGACATGGGTTTATCTCTCTAAGGCACATTTTGAACAATTTGCCACATAATCATCATTAAGTATTCTATATTTACTCTGGATTAAGTACATACGAAATTATACTTCAGGACTTATTGGTGGAGATACTCGCCAAGCTTTTATGCTCACATATTGCGTGCCAGAGCCCCCAACTGATCCGCACTCAATTTCCAGCGTAGCGTCTTGGCGGTCGGGCCCAGAAAGAGCGAAAGAGTGCAAATTGGTGAAGCTGGTTTTGCACTTCTCTGAGACAAGGGCAAAATCAGCTTCACCATCTTACACCCTTCGATTAATTCTGGCCCCCACCGCCAAGACGCTAGCCCAGAAATTGAGTGCAGCCCAGAGGAGAATGGAAGGGCAACGGTCGGCTCGGGCCGACAGCCTAACCAACAGTTCATTTATCAAGAATCCCACAACTTTCGCAAGGCCCATTCCGTTCTGAATTAAATTACCACGGTATTCGCATCAACTAACTGAGCTATGGCAGAATTTAATGTACAGGTCGCCCAAAAAGAGCTAGCACGGCAAGCGCGTAGTTTGGGATCATCCATCTTCATCAGAGCATAGCGAATAAGAAGTCACCTGATGGCGGGGCTAAGCTGACACGCTGTTACTTACGCGACCCTATCCCGCCCGCATGTTCCTCCTGCGTTTCAACCTTGTTGTGCTCTAATTATAATCATGGAGTCTACGGTATCTTTTCAGAATCCCAATTTTGGAATGCAAACGGGGATTAATAATGGCACGATTAATGCTCATTTTCTCCATGCAGGTAAATTGTGACAGCTTTAGAGTCGGTGGACTTCGTTGACCAAATGCAGACCCCCTGGACAAACTACCAATTGTGAAGGGGGCCGAGTTTGACTCTTATACGAATCAGCATCAAGACGAATGTCTTCCAGGCACCAGGACCGAGCTTCTCAACGAGGTTGCAGAATGGGCGGTGTCACCGGAGGGAAAGCTTATCTTCTGGTTGAATGGGATGGCTGGGACCGGGAAATCGACGATCTCCCGCACTGTGGCTAGACGCTTGGAAGAAGAGAAGATACTAGGAGCAAGCTTCTTCTTCAAGAGGGGCGAGGGGGATAGAGGGAATGCGATAAAGATTTTCCCGACGATTGCAAGACAACTAGCGAAGAGCATTCCCCAACTGACACCCGGTGTGCGAAAAGCAATCGACAACAACTCTGACATCGGAACGAAAGGGCTGAAGGAACAGTTTGACAAAATACTCCTTCAACCTCTACTGGACTTAGATTCATCCGCTCTCTCGGTCCTAAATGTGGTCATACTAATGGACGCACTAGACGAATGTGACGTGGATAAAGACGTGCGACTTATACTCCAATTGCTACCACGGCTACAAAATTCAAAGGCTATGCGTCTACGAGTGTTGTTGACTAGCAGGCCTGAATTACCAATCCGCCTAGGATTCAAAAAACTTGCACACCAAGATCATGAAGACTTGATGATAGCCTAGGCTCGTGACCTTTCTAAGCCATAGACCAAAAAAAGAAGACAGCAAATCAAGTAAAACGCTGCTAAGTGGCGTGTCAAAGTAGAGTCTGGCCTGCGAAAAGGCTTGCAACGGTAGGAGCACACGGCCGTTTCCGGCAACTGAATAGACTAGGGTTGGCTACCTCTTATTTGAACTTCGGGAGGTTCCATAATGATCACAGACTTTGATGAAATATGAAGTCTTTGACGTCAGAATGGCACTTGGTTAGCATGTAGACCCGCAACATCTATGCCAGGCAACTAGTATTTATTTCCAATGGTCAATCACTAGTAAGCGAGTATTCAAAATCCCGTCGTCCGGAATCAGCCATACTATGGGTAGATTCATATACACGCCAAATCATTCTTAAATCCAACATCAGTTTCAGAGCCAAGGTAAAATATCTAATCTCTGGCGGTCTCGGATTAAGTTGACTTCCTCCTTTTATTGTTCCGAATACCCGTTCTTCCGTCGCCGGAGCAGAAAATTTATATCGGAGATGGGAATTTTCAATTTTTTCAATAGCAAAAATAAAACAGTTGATCCAGCTTCGGCTTCAACTGCAGCTCCGGCTTCAACTACAGCTCCGGCTTCCACTGCAGTTCCGGCTTCCAATGCCTCTCATGCAACTTCATCAATGCGTCCTGATGCTCTTGCCAACGCAAAAACAGAGTTGGACAATTTACGAATGACGTTAGAGAGGTTGAACCAAGGTCAGAACACAAGTGTTCTTTATGGCGATGTTGACCGTCTAGCCAGCGACCTCCAACATGGCATTAACAGACTTCGAACTCGATATTTCGATGAACTGCCTAAAGGCGCTTCTTCAGAAGCCAAAGATGCTCTCGATAACATCAAATACGGTCTCGAGATGGCTGAGATCGATATTGAGTACGTACGAGACCCTGTACCAGCAGTCAAGAAGAAGACTACACCCGACGTTTGGACTACAACGCAAGTTCCTGTGGACGTTTTAAAGGGGGTTGTTGTCAGAGCACAGAATATCCTTGGCAACACCGTCAATTTTGCTGAATTATGCAGCATTTTTAGGGAAGAGGTTCAAGGACGAAGAAAATTACTCAGGGAGGCCCGTGCGGAAGAACGCAGACAGGATCTAGAGGTGGTGACAACTTTGGCCAACAGCGTTGCGTCAGTGATAACCGCGATGGCGAAGTGTACGCAAATTCAGCTCAACCTTGGTGGTGGTGGTGGTGCCAGTTAGGTAGTTGTACTAGTGGTGGTACTTGAGTTAGGGTACTGGTGAAATTGCATTAAAGGTTGGTTGAGCCAGACCAGAATTATGGGGTTAAAAAGCAGCTTTGGGACATATTCTTCACTCTTTACTTTAGTTACAGATGCCATCAGTAGTTGTTTTAGCTCCTGTGGCCGAATGAGAGACAATGATGACTTGCCCCGAAGCCGCAGATATCTGGGTAGGGCGTGACCTGCGGAAAAGACCATAAGCAATTTACTGAGGTGGAGATTTCGCCCATGTTGTGGTTTGATGAGATTCAGACAGGACCAACTAGGTGAGGACGAGCTTACATATGCGTTCGTGACCAATAGCCTGGTTTAGCAGTGTTCTGTTGCTAATGGCGATAGCAGTCGCGAGTCCAGCCTTATTACGGTGCGGTGCCACCGAGGTTCGCCTATCAGCGATTAAACATTAAAAATTTTATGCCGTTAAAAAGTCTGAAATCTGTTTATATATCACACCAAATATCCTGCCGGCCAATAACTTAACCAAAAATTCTACCATTTAGAAATACGACCCAGTGGGGTGGTGCGTCTCCGATAACGACACGAGCAAATAGCTACTTTAAATGGATTCAGATTTTGGAATTCCACTGTAGTGCGATGAAATGTTGGTAATATACTCATGAAATACAAACACTAGGATGAGCGTAGAGAGCTCTCGGCAGTATTGTCACACTTCTATTCTAAGTCGTATCTGTTGATGACGCCTAACACGCTCTCGAGTAAGTAGCTCGTGCAAAGGTCAAACATTGTGCTGCGATATAGGAAATATGGGTTACTCATACCGTGTCAGCAACGAGCACGCTAACATGAACAGTTATTGATTGAGATCCTGAACATTTGCTCCGAACCAAGTGGAGGAAGCGGGAATGGTCAGGGTGCTGAAAGGTGGTGGTGGTTGACGTTGAGCTTACGCAACAATTTATCCGTCGGTAAAGAAACAAAAGTAACTACTGACAAAATTTTTGTAATCGCTATGGTCTTAATTCTTCTAACCGTAGGAATGTCCGAAATCAACGGACATAAACGTATCATAATCATTCGCAAGATGGAACTTTCATTAGAGGGATAGAAGCCACATTCGCTATAAAGGCGATATAGAATTCCAAACAGACCCTGGCAATGGCCAAGAACTTCTGCCCTACCAGCATAATTCTCATGTGTTTTGAACCGTCGGCAAGAGCATTAGCGAGACAGATCCTCGATGACCCTTAGTTTAATAAGTACTCTACGCTGACTGTTCGTGAAGAACTTGACCCTAGCTCGGGCCTAATAACTTCCTGAGACTTGTTCGATATTTAACCCTGTATGTCGAAAATGGCCTTTAGCACTCTCTTCCTTTGTACCTACTATACTGATATACTATTCAAGGAAGGCAGTAAATCCTCTCTCGGGGTCTTTTTCGTAGTAATTCTAGTTACGCCGAATGAATCCCTTGAGTTTAGCAAAAAACTCTTCGATTGGGTTTAGGTCCGGCGAGTACGGTAGTAAATAGATTAGCTTTACCCCTGCGTCTTCGTACATTTTTATAAGTCGCTCCGACCGGTGAAAGGACGCGTTATCTATAACGAGGACAGATTTAGGTTCTGGCTATCTTCCGCAATGGTGAAGTAACTAGGCTATAAAGTCTTTAAATACGGTAGTATCCGTAGAATCGCGGAAGACACGAGAGAGAATAATCCTATCCTATACGTACGCGGGCAATATCTAGTATCTCTGGTCACGGTGGAATTGCGTTACTTATAAAGGGGCCTTACTAAGTAGTGCCTAACCTGTCCGTCTGAACCCTACGCGTTTGTTATATCTAGATTTATTAATATAGACGAGGTAGTACGATTTGAAGTCGGATAGATTATATAGATAATAATCTCGTAAATCAGCATTTTGCTTTCTCGCACGTTGCCGTGTAGTCTTTTTCGACTAACCCTTAGCGATAAGGGCTTTCCGAATGCTAGAGGTTGGAACTATAGTCTAAAACTCATCCCAAAGGAATATAACTATCTCATCGAGGTACAGGCCAGGTTTCTTAAATAGATGATCACAGAGGGCTTCAATCATTAGGGGTGTCATAGTTCGTTTCCGACCTACTCGGGTTTAAGGGGCGTAAATGCTTCTAAATTGTCGTAAGTTTCTGCGGATATTGATGATGGTTAGCTTGTTGTATTTAGCCTGTTCGGCCATCTCAGATGTGGTGAAGGACTGGCTCTCTATCATATCACGTATAAGAACGAGCTTCGCAGGGGAGAGTCTTGGAGCCATATCGCGTTAAAGTGAATGCGTGCTAAAACTGGGAAGACTTGTAACTGCGATGTGTAGGGAAAGTTGTTGACTGACAGAGGGGGAAAGGAGGGGCCGGAGAGGTAGCGTTTGTACTGTATGAGAGTTTCGTGTAAAATACATCCCTAGCGGTCTGATCATTGTATTATAAAATACAGCGACCATTCTAGAAAGCGGTCTGAAATAAGGCCTGAAATACCTGATCCAATCAGAGCTCACATATAGCGGATTTATTTTCCGGGAATGAAGTCGCAAGAGTGTGGAGGTATAACTGATTTCGAAAACTACTGTATTACTGTGGTCGTACGAATAAGCTCCTGGCCAAGAGGTTCAGGTTGCCCTTAGTCTGTGTCAGCAGTCACGTCCAGTTGGGTTTATGTTGCGGTCAACGGACCCGAGGCAGTCACATACACATCCACTTCCCACCATGGATTTTCTTCTCCTAGCTCCTGAAATCTCTCTCGGGTGGCCGTGATGAGACTCTTGACCCAGAGTTAGCAGTGTAAAGTCCGGGCTTTTACGTAGTTGGCGAAGGTGAAGTGACTGGGCGGGACCCAATGTTGAGGGCTGGAGCCAGACTCGTCTAGCATCCCAGTCCGCGACGTCGATCAAAACGGCCTCATGGAAAGCTTTGCTCAGACGGTAACATCCTTGCGATCCCAAAGTCCGTTTCAGGGGCATCACATTCTGCTGACCATCGATAAGTCGGCTCGCATTACACGCAACGGAGAGATCGGACAGTTGGACAAGCGCGACGCCCTTGAAACAGGACTTCTGATACGTAACGAGCTTGACTTGCACCTCGGGGTCGTGGATGTCTGTGCCTCTGGTTCCTCGAGGCATTCTAACTTGGGCCCCGTGCTACGCCTTGAAGCCAGAGCTATGTCGAATCGTAAGGGCTTCATATGCGGGCTTTCCAGGCGATTTAATAGAAACAACAATCGCCGCGAGCAGTTTGACCCCCTGGATGCGAGAACCTCCATACAGCTATCTGTCATGAAACAATATTAAACAGTACAGTCATCAGCAATAACCAAGGCTGATTTCTCAACATATTCTAGAGGTACATAGCTTCCGATAGACTGACTGGGTTCTATTCCAATCTCACGGATCTGTTGGAAGAAGTTCGTCGTTCGACACTGATAAAAATATATTTTCGTCCGACAGCGAGCGGCGGTTCAGCGCGAATGTTGAAAAACACAGGTTAGTTTCCTGACGCGGGCGATTCGCACTGTGTCCTTCTGATTGAATGCAGAGTGACGCATACCAAATTCAAAAAGATGTAAAACCGCGTCGCTTCGGACATAATTAACGCGTTTCACTATATGCAAATTGCTGTCGTGGGCCATGGGGTTCAACCCCTACTGGCGAGGTTGAACCCTAGCTTTATACTGTAATCCCCATTTCTATTGGCTCGCTCCCATACCAACCAGGGCACGGCTAGATAAGCAAAAACATTCGGGTGCTGGCATGAGTTGACCGTAAAGGGGATGAGTACAGTCGATGATGATGATGATGATGATGATGATTTCATTTACCCTGACCCCTCGCGAACGATATGCAGGATTCCGCAACTATATATGTTTCTATGCATACAAGTGCCATGTACCACTTCCTAAGCGAACTTGATGCCTCGCCGAGGCCTCTCGTGGCTCAATAGCCGTTTTGTTTTCCTGCTGCCTTCATGGTGCTCGGCTTTGAAACCGTTGTGATGCTTCGGCAAAGTCCAAGACAGCCTCCACTGTCTTAGCCCGTGAAGCACTGTTCATCCTACCCCTTCCCTCTTCGCCAGATCCTCCTAACAAGGTAGATATGCTGTTAAAAGCCTCGCCGACCTTCCCTCGGAGCTCTCGCCGTAGATCCCTCAGCTCCGGACAATCCAGCAGAACATGGGTTACACTCTCTCGTTCGCCACAGGTACATAAGTCGTCCTCGCGGAAACGGAAGGTCTTCGCATATGTTGATAGCCAGCAGTGTCCAGTTCGCAATTGCGTTAGTAGGTAGGATGAGTACAGTCGATTTCGAAAACAGATTACCCTGTGGACACTCCGGCTGTGTTTCTCGGCCCGTACCCGAGTATACGCTAACCCGTATTTGGTTACGCTGGAACGACCGCTGCTTGGCTGTATCACGTTTTGAGGCGTATTGTATATCAAGGTCACTGTAAAATACTGTTAATCTGCCCTTCTTCGCAGTATTTTCGTACACTTGTAAAATAACAACCTAAAATAGCATTTGTGTTGGGCCTTCATGGCCTCTAGAGCTTCTAGAACGTTGGTCCTTTAGCCCTGACTCCGAGTGCTTATAGGCTAATGATCCGGAGAGGTAAGTTGGAGAAATTATTAGAAGGGAAGGGCTCTACAAAGGAGGGGTAAGGTCAGACGATACTTGATTGACGAGCGTTTCTTCGCAGGTAGAGTGACCAGAGACTCTGGTTTGTAATTAACTGTCCTTTTCTCGTGTGAAATAGATTTTATTAGTCGTGAAAGGCTGCTTAATCGGACCCGCGGGAAAGTATTAGTGCTAGCGCTATCTTGCTGTTAAATTTATAGGTACTGTAGTATAGATGAAGATGAATTGGCTGTGGGATTGCCTCTACGTCTAGCGTCGCCGTAGCCACTGTTCAAAATGCAAGGAGGATACGAATGAGCGCTGTCCGCTGTACGGTACGCAGGTGCCGTAAATGGGTCTTATCTCGGAGTGGGTCAGGTTAGCCAGTCGAGGCGTAGTCGATAACCGGTGTGACATGGACTGTCCGTCGTAGAGCTCACAGTTACTCTGGACGGATATTATAGTCTCCTAAGCGCCTACTCATTCCTCCTTTAGTATACCTACTGTAAAGCCTTCGTCTACTCGTTTCTTGTTACCCGTTTTACTCTACTATTCAAAGTAAAGGGAAGAAGAATGACAATACAGGCCATTTAACAATATCAAAGTACCGTAACTAAAACAAATAAAGCCATCCCTGTTAAGCCGCGTTGAGTCGATGGGAAGTTTTATTCTTTCGTTATAACTTCTTCATAGGTACTCTCCTACAGCTCTTTCCTCCGTCCGTCGCCGTAGCTCCTCTTCGTGGGTTTTGAGCTCATCGGTCAACTGATTACCAAAGTCCTCTGGGCCGGCAATCTGTCGGACTTCAATAGCACTTCCTTCGGCGCGGAATGGTGCCTTGCGCGCCCAGGAAATTGCTTCGTCAAGACTTTTGCTCTTGATGATCCAAAACCCTGAAATAATTGACTCAATCGTGAAAGGACCAGGAGCGACTGACGACTCGTTTTGCGGTGTGAAGCTGACACGGGCACCTTTAGAAGAAGACAGAAAACCCTCTGCACCAAGCAGGATGCCAGCTTCGGATAGACTGGTATTGTAAGCCATCATCTCCTCGATAATTGCTGTTGAAGGTGGTATTCCGGACTCGCTGTCGTGAGTAGCGCGGACGAGAAGCATGAACTTTGGCATCTTGCGTTGGGAAAAAAGAATTGTCTGAATACTGAGTTTGTTTGATTGGCGCTTGGTACCCAGTGTATTGATTTCGATATCTCGGGCAGTGTGATGTGATTTTCCTTTCTATAGCAGCGGGGGTTTAAGACGTATTTATATGTCATTTCAACTAGTATCTGTGGGTATCCTTGATATAGTTATGCCGTTGCTGCCTAGTAATAACCTAAGGATGAGTACTCCGTACTGGTCGCAAGAAGAAGCGATAGGCTCATGATGAGGATGAGGTTGCGGAGCCGCCAAAACTAATACAGACTAAACCCAAAACTGACAATAGCGAAAGGTTAATATATAGTGTGAGAAGTTGAATAATATCTATTAGCCAATCAAAAGGCATAAAAACAAGCCTGATATATAGAACCGGTGAATGCAGAAAAGACTGGCCTGTATAGGTTCAGACTTCTAGGCAACAGCGGGCCCGTGCGCATACTAATGACGAAAGTGGCGGAAATGGTACACAAGGTACTTTGAGCTTACTACCACGATCGCTTAACTATATATACCGGATTCAACGGTAGCACGGTTTCGACCAGTCAGAGACCAGGAGGTGAAAGTCCCCTATCGGACAGCCAAGTCTGTTACAAGAAGCAAGCAAACAAAACCCACCGGTACTGTCTCTGTACACCTCGCTTATCCATAGTTGTCACTCTAGAGGCTGAACAATCTAAGTGCAGAAGCTTTTTACAGTTCATTAGTATTTAGAACACAGTATTTCCGCCCACTGGCAGAAAGATAAGTGGGCAGATACCATGTTCCAAATATTAATGAATGCTTACTATATATGTTGTTATCTACTAGTGTACTGGAATACTGCCAGGAAAGAGGTTCAGTGGAATATGAACTGTAGTATAGTGGTGTTTCGAAACAGGGTTCGAGGAAGAATCTCTGTATGTAAGTGGTGAATCTGATTTCGATCTACAGTATCCTGTACTTGACAACAATTGTAGCCTTGAGGATGGTAGTCTCGGTGCCATGAAGTGCGTATGATTCTAGCAATTCTCGAGAGAGGTGGCACTGTATGGGAGGTACGTGTAATATACTGTATTTTACCTTATTCAGTCGTTCTAGTTTTATAATAGGTTTATTCTTAGGAGACGATTATTTACAGCCTTTCCTAATTCAGACTAGTGCATACTCGGATACGGGTCGAGAAACAAAGCCAGTGTGTCCATGGGGTAATCTGTTTTCGAAATCGACTGTACAATACCCAACCTGAAGGAATTGGCATGCCATAGGAAGGGACAAATAAAAATTGAGTAATCACTTTGCCACTATTTTATCCAGAAGATTGACGGGCAAGATCAAGAAGCGCAACCGCCTCCTCGATCCGGTCGCTGGTCTGGTCGCTGTCAACTTGCAGATCCTCCGCCATCAGGTATGCGCGGGGGTATCCTTCCTTCCAATCTCAACGACAAGACAATTTTGTATTGCTTGCATTGCCTCCGTGATCCCCGCTTGATATGATGTAGTTCACTCCCTAGGTGGTCCGCGCGGGTACAGATGCTAGGTAGTCTATGGGCCTGGGCCATATTCCTAGGGAGACTGTATACCTTTCTTTTGTTGATTGAGACACTGACAAGACAGCCATGCTCTGATTCTGCCTAGCAAAAGGCATGTCCGGTCATGAATAAACTATTTGGAGTACGATTACCCATTGATGGTCGTCAGCACCTCAGGATCCTAATAACCCACCTTCAGCACACTTCTCCGTCGCAAGGAATTACTTGGTAGTTTAACTAGGTCATTTGCGCTGTTGATTTGTTTCCTTAGCAATTTGGCGTGGAACGCATGTATAGGCAGTTTTTGCGAGACGAGCATAAAATGGATGAAGCCGAAGTCAAACGAACCCGGAAAGGAACGCCACTTGGCCGTATGTTCCTTTCACGGAAGGACGCAGAGAGCTTGCGCTACCAGTCAGTATCGCCAAGTCAAGCAATACCTTGACCGACCCCAACTTCACCGTCACAAACTCCTCCGCATCTAGATGAGAGTCTGCCCTACTAAGGAGGATACAGGTTCTGGTGCAACTCCTTCCGCTGCACGGCTCTAAAGCGAAGGTTTCCAACATCACACACCTATAGACATAGAAACCTCCAAGTTAGCGACCTTGATGTAAAAGCCACTTCACACCGACACGGAATACGCAACCACTCACCGCATAAATTCCCTTCAAAAAGGTATCACCTAGAATGTCCAGGTCTATAGAGCCTCGGCTCTGTATACCGCCATAGAGATACCTAGGCCTAGCCTCCGCAAAGCCCAGATCTTCCTTCTGCACAACGAACTGTTTGCCACTAACTGCAAATAAAACAACAGGGAGTTAGTCTACTGTCGTGCTTATAGGGTAGATATACCCTTAGCTCTAGCGGTCATAGGTAGCACCAGGGATAGCATCGTAGATAGCCTAGCAGGTGCTATCGTTAACCAGAGCCAGAGTAGTGCTAGTGTCAGCGATAGCCTTGTTCCCCGCGCGGGAAATCGTCTACCTATTTACAGTCGCTAAGGCCGAGTCAAACATCCAGAACCCTTAAGTCTTATCGACGGGCGTGTAATAGATCTGCTCGCTAGACGCCTGCACAGTAGCCTAGTCGATGAACCCGAAGGTGTAGAACGAGGCACCCTTGTCCGGCTCGTCCGCATCGCGCTATAAGCCAAGCTTTGCTGTAAAAAGCTCAGAGCTCTTCGGGATATCGGCTTATTCAATTATATTATCTATAGGCGTGTTCACCGGCTGCGGTTTGACGGTGTTGATCTCTCTGAACGCAAGGCCGAGCAGCCCGTCGCCCGTGCCACTAGCAAACTAAGAAGACATCTTATCGGCCAACTCAACGGCCTAGTCCTTGACTACTAGTCCGCCGATACTAATGTTATTAGTGCCTATACATCCTAATACAAACGACCCGTCTGCGTACTAAATCTTCCAAGTCGAGCCGGACTAGCTGTGAAATATGCTAGACTTAGACGGATTAAAGACAGTATAGTCTAGGTGTTGTGACAGCGTCGAGTACGGAAGCTTCGTCGACTAGACCTGTTTACACTTCCATCAACCCTACTCTATAGTCATATCCTCAATAAAAGAGACGATATCTTACCCAGAGGTCTACCGACCCGGTATCAAAATCAAGTTGTACCGTCTACGCTAGCGTCCTAATACTCACCTCCGCCAGATACATCATGTTATCCTGCACGTCTAGTACGCCCACCTCGCCAACTTCGTCACCGTCAATAGCTTTCTTCTGCAATACCTGCTGGATATACGCATAGCCGCCGACGGCTTGGTCCGTATAAGGACGACCTATTTGCTCTAGCGTGCCGCCTATGAAATACGGCCCCTCCTTAGTCGGATTGAAGCAGTACTTGCGCATTAAATGCACGTATAACTTTGTACCAGACTTACGGTAGTTAGAATTCGTTCTGAGCGGGATCTTAGTCGGCTTCATTGTCCTTAGCGATTAATTTGATACAAGTTGATAAGTATGGTTTATGATAGTAAAGTATTGCAAAGTGTGTCTTCAGTACGCAATCCTTCGGATAGGGATTTGTATCTGGTTGTTAAGAGTGGAAAATCGGTGGCCCTGCAGCGTCTTATAGCCCTGTGGCCACGAGCTGTAGATAGAACTGTCTGAAAGCTGCGGCCAATCCGTAACCAGATGACCTAGTGAGGTCATTGACTTAATGGCAGCAATACCAGGCAGCTTTTGAAGAGGACGAGTCTGTCCCTGATATTTGGTTTGTTGAATTGTTTCCCAGGTGATCTCACCGTTGCAGGTGGACCCTGTACTAGCGTAGCTGCTTGGGTTGTCGTCAAAAGCTATGCTAGTTTTGAACCAAAGACAGACCACTTGTGGTCTGGAACGACCGACCCGGATGGTAAGAGTAGTCTTCTGATGTCCAAAATCCACAAGCCTATCTCTGTTCTATTTAGTTCTAGATAGGTTGACTGAAAGAACAAAATGATCACATGACGGAACTATTGCACTGTGACGTGCCTGATTGTCTAGGCTAGATTCCGTTTTCCTGGCCAGGCGCGGAGTACCGCACGTAACGTATGTGTGCCATAAGACGATGTCCACACTAGACCTCGCCCTCACCCATGGGTTAGCTCTGGCGACTGACCTACTCACTGATGCCATGGTCAGTAGGTATCATCATCTGTTCAAAGAGGTGAAAGTCATATTGCGGGATTACGAACCACGGTTCGCTCAACCTCTTATTTAAAGTTCTTATTTCGTCGGAATTGATCTGATGTGTGTTTGCTGGGAACGGAAAACCCTACAATTGGGGGAACTCGCTAGTGGTGGCCCGCCCACTATAGTGACTTTTCGCCCTACCAATCCATCCCGCAGAAAGGGACGGGCCAAACAACCAGCCTGCTTAGCTTAAGGGCCCTAACAAAAAATCCATTGAGGTGCGACACTCCGTGTCTCGCTCAGAAGCAAGACGCTCTCTCTTCCTCTTCACAGTGCTGTGCCGCTTGACTGGGATCTTGTTGCTCCTCAAGCTGACGCGTGGCTCGGCGATTGTTTTCTTCCATCCCTTATTGAAAGCAGCACTCAGCAAGTGATTAACACAAAAGCGAAGCCACAGTAGGCAGCCCAGCTGTGGACTTTTTACTAGCTCCAGCTGAACGGTGCCTTATGCACCAACACGCTTTGCCTTTTGTGCTGATTTCAGAATCATCAACTCGACGGCTTCGGGCCACCTAGACTGGTCTTGTCAGTACTTATATAAGGTTATGTCTTCTTCCAACCATTCAATAAGTACAGTCGCAGTGTACAGAGTAGAGAAACATTATCTCAACTGCATTACTCGCAAGGCCTCACTTACCGTCCTCCAACTAAAACCGCCCGCTGCATAGGACACGTTGGGTGATCTCGCTGTGAGCAAGACGTACACAAAGCCAGTAGTCAGCGAAGGTTCTTTTGAAATAGAGAGAATAGGCTTACCTCTGTCGTTGTCCTTCTGTTTGACTAAACATGGGGCTTTAGAGGTTAGTTCTCATACAGTCCTTCACCAAGGAACCTTATGGAAGAGTAAAAGGACCTACCTGCCTTATCTGGGTAGCGATGCCCTTGTAAGGAATAGGCTCCGTGCGCGAGGCAAACTGAACTGCCTACGCTGACAGGTCCTACAACGATCATTAACCCTACGTCTGACGAGGTATTTATAGGTGCAGAGCTTGCTTGATTTTGATAGTCTGTGACTATATCATCAGTTTTGGGCATGTTGATCGAAAAGAGGACCCGTAGAATCGAGCATCGCCGCAGATAAAAATTTAAGAAGGCCAGGGGTATAAACTCGCATCAAAAAAAGACCTCCTTACCATCAAGTGATGCTTGTGGTAGATGTGCCATGGATTATACCAGCCGCTTATAGCCTCATATTTTAATATTCTCGCCCATATTCTTATTGCCTGATTCCCGCTAAAACAATCCTTTTCCGCCTCAAGATGACGACTAAGTACTCTAACGTTATACTTACCCATGATGTGCACGTGCGGACATTTCGGCGGCATCAATTAAGAGCAGTCTAAAGCGTATTCTGAACCGAGATGTCTTATCTGGTACATTAGCCCATCCCCTCATCTTTTCCAAGATGCATCAGTCAATATAAGATAGAGCTAACTTATCCTAGGCCTCAAATTTCCCCGATGTATCGACTATATCGTTTCACCGTTGACTACCACTCCACTCAATAGTAATTTTTGTAAGGGGCCGGTTAGACCAAAAATGCACCATGGGCTACATTCTTAGTCTATACTTACGCTCATTTATCGTTCCGACACTTTTCTTTGTCCGTGCGCCGGTGGTTTTCTCGATGTTCCGGCTTCTCCACGTTGGCTACCACGGTGGCCCAAGATCGCGCCAGGGTCGGCCCGTTTAGGCCGTCGATCTGCGTCCGCGGCCCTCGAAACTCCTCCTGTAGCTTCTCATTCTGGGTCTGAAGCTCGTTCTGGTTGTGTTTCACCCCTCTCAACTCGGTTCTAGTGGCTTGAATCGGCGCGGTTTGCTCATCGATGGTGTTGCAAGTGTTCGATATTCTATCTGATTTCCCTGGTTGTCACGCGTCCATTGTTGGCTCTAGTGTCGACCGGTTCCGCGGCTTGCGAGCTAGCATCGGCATGGTCATCTTCCAGGCATGTCTGTCGTCCGGTCCGGGGCGCGACCCTTGGTCCGAGGGTTTCCGACGCGTCGTTCGCTACCGATCTGCGCGTGTTCCGGGCAAGGGGCTCAGGAACGCACGCGCGGGTCCGCCATCCGTCAAGGTTAGCTCCCACTCGGAACACAACAACACGTGTTTTGACGCGATAGTATAAACCACAACGTCCTTTTCCGTATGCGTAGCCCTGTTTTCGACGGTTCTCTTCCGTTTGTCTGTCTTGCGTTACCTTGCTGATAAAGTGATTCTCAATTTACAGCAATATTCGAAATTGGCTTCCATGTTTTACACAGAGAAATTATCTCACACCCCACCGCCAAGATAATTGTAACTCTGACTAGGCCCGTTTGGGCTAGGCCACAGATCACCTCTGCTCCTCTTGATGAGGGGTCGTCATTTCTCGTTCGAAGAACTTTTGTCGACTAAGCTGATTTGACCTTCCTTGCTATTTCCTGTTTCAACAAAATAACCGACATGGTCTATCCACCGTTACTGCCTCCACCATGGGCTGGTCCTGTGGAAACCGCCTGGGGAGCATTGCCATTATCCCGGACCTGGGCAGTAACATCGGCGCCTTGCTCTAAAAGCAGCCGCACGACCTCCTTGTCGCCTTGAAGGGAGGCAGCCTTGAGAACATTGCCAAAAAACCCTCCCTGAGCATTGGCATCGGCTCCTTGCTGCAATAGCAGCTGTACGACCTCCCTGTCACCTTTATAAGAAGCAGCTTGCAGAGCATTGCCATAACGCCCACCCTGAACGTTAACATCAGCGCCTTGCTGTAATAGTAGCTGTACGACCTCCTTGCCGCCTTGATAAGAAGCAGCCTGGAGAGCATTGCCAAAAAATCCGCCCTGAGCATTGACATCGGCACCTTGATCTAACAGTAGCTGTGCGACCTCCTTGGCGCCTTGAACGGAAGCAGCCTGGAGAGCACTGCTAAAATATCCGCCCTGAGCATTGACATTGGCACCTCTCTCTAAGAGAAGCTGCACAATCTCGCTGTGGCCTTGAAGGGAAGCAGCCTGGACAGCATTGCCAAAACGCCCACCCTGAGCGGTGACATCGGCACCTTGCTCCAATAACAGCCGCACGACCTCCATGTGGCCGTTGAAGGATGCGGCCTGAACAGCGTTGCCAAAACGCCCACCCTGAGCGTTGACACTGGCGCCTTGTTCTAACAGCAGCTGTATGATCTCTTTGCGGCCATGGAAAGAAGCAGCCTGGAGAGCGTTGCCAAAACGCCCGCCCCGAGCATTGACATCGGCGCCTTGCTGCAATAGCAGCTGTACGACCTCCTTGTCGCCTTTATAAGAAGCAGCTTGGAGAGCATTGCCATAACGCCCACCCTGAACGTTAACATCAGCGCCTTGCTGTAATAGTAGCTGTACGACCTCCTTGCCGCCTTGATAAGAAGCAGCCTGGAGAGCATTGCCGCAACGCCCACCCTGAAAGTTGACATCGGCACCTTGCTCTAATAGCAGACGCACAACTTCCTTGTCGCCTTGAAGGGAAGCAGCCCCGAGAGCATCGCCAAAAAATCCACCCTGGGCATTGACATTGGCACCTTTCTCTAATAGCAGCTGCACCACCCCCTTGTGGCCTTGAAGGGCAGCAGCATAGAGAGAATTTCCATAATCGCCACCCTGAGTATTGACATTGGCGCCCTCCTCTAATAGCAGGCGCACGACCCCCTTGTAGCCGTGATAAGAAGCAGCCTGGACAGCGTTGCCAAAACGGCCCCCCTGAGCGTTCACATCTGCGCCTTCTTTTAACAGCAGCTCTACCGTGCGTTGGAGACCTGCTAAGGATGCGTAGTATAATGGAGCCGCCATGACTTCTGCAGAATTTGGTTCTTCACTCCAAGGCCGATCCGGGTCAAAAAGTATACCCCAGACTGCGTACGCTTTCCTTCGCTCGACGAAGAAATTGAAGATGTTTTCTTGGATATCCTCCACGGGTCCGGCCAACCTTGCATGGTCCATCAAATGCCGGAAAGAGTACTGCGCCAGCGGATGTTTCGCCTTGATTTCCCCAATTGGACTCTGCTCACCCAGATATGATAGGTATGTGAGGCAGACCGACGACATCTTACTGTGCGACTTTGACATATTCAGCCGCCCTTTCCACTTGCCCTCACTTCTCGGATGGATGAGAAACTCCCGCGCTGTGTGATGGATAAACGACAACTTTGAGTCATAGATACTTAGGAAGAGGCCGCATAAACTCTTGACAGTGCTTTTAAAGGTGTTTCGGGGCCATAAGTTCCTCTCCAGGGCATCATGGGAAGTGAACCTACGCTTCTGCAAAGCTAGCGTTAAGACTATGTTGGCTTCATCAAGAGTCAGAGGCCGTGCTGCAGCGAGAACAATCTGAAGAAGAGCCTCCGTATAGGTTTGATTTCTGCTTCGGCCCAGGATCTTTTCGTATGCTTCGGATACCTCGTAGGGCAGATCAGAGAGTAGTGTTTCCACATCACAAGGCCTGCCATATATACTCGGATTCTGTTCAATGATGTCGAAGGTGAGGCGTAGCCAGAGATATGTGCGGTGGTTCATACTCTTAAGCCGATGAGAAATAGTTAGACGGTCGTCCTCCTTGAAATCACGCGCAATTTCATGCATTTTGGCATCAATGACTAAATTGACTTCGTTGTTAATCTCAGCAGACTTTTCATCGCCGTCAAAACGCATATATGCGGTGATGCCAGAGAACTTTTTGAAGGACGCCTCCAGGTCGTCGTACGGGCGACTCGTGATCAGGAACTTCAGCTTTGAGAGCGACTTTGATGAATGCCTGGGCTGGCAATAAAATTCCTTTAGCTTGTCGATTAATTGCCGCCTGCCATCTATATTGCACTCATCTAGTGCATCAAGGACACAAACAATTTCCCCAGCATCTAATGAGCCTGCGCAGTTAACGAGGATCCGCCACAGCTCGGCGAAGTTTTGAGCTAGACCTTTGCCATAGTTCCTATGACTGGGAAGGGCGTGTTCAACTAGGCGATTATCCAGATCATGTGTGAAAAGCTGGTGAAGTATTGCACACAGAGCATCAGTGGCGTACATGTGGCCGTCGTCTCCGTCCTTAAAAAAGAAATAACAGACAGTCGATGTGGTAACTTTCGTGGATAGTCGTCGCTCATCGATCAAAGCCCGTGATAAGACTGACTTTCCACATCCTGGATCAGCAGAGACCCAGAGGAGACTGGAGGTGTCACTGTCTCGCCATTTACGGAATATTTCGTCCCGGAGAAACCATTCGCATGTGCCTTGGACTCTCGGCGGGTTGAAGTTTTTGTAGTCTTCATAGTCGGATGCAAGATCTTGAAGAAGGACTCGCTCCTTCTGGTCTTCATAGTTCCTCTGCGTCTGCTTACTATCCACTTCCAGAATGGTGCGAATTTCATCAAGGATTGTCCGCGACTCTTGCATTTCTTTCAATTGACTGTCCCTATTCTTCCGAATTTCCTCAGCTTCAAGGGGAGTGATGCAGTCACCGCACTTTTTGCTCAAGTAGTCAATCTCTGCTGCTTTTCCATCCCAGTCGTTCCAGCCGGCAACGTTCTGCCATGCGCGGGATAGCTGAGCACTAGAAAGATGACATATCACACGCGCCTGATATTCAACGATGTGCGAATATAGCTTGGCCAGGGGTTCTATGAGGTCCTGGTACCTGTGTCGATGAGAGCTTCGGAGATACGTCTTTTCACAGATTCTCCAGTAAACTTGGACATCGTCAATCGAGTTGAAGTCTTTCAACATGGCCTCATTTTTTGTGGTGCCGCTCGTGAGTAGCTGCTAAAGTCAGCGTTCGCTCGTTACTTGAAGAATCATCTACTTACAGGGAGAAGCAACGAAACACCGGACCATGCCAGCGCTGCATATGGCTGAGTGCTGACAGCACTCTTGACTATCGGTTCGGCCCAGAGGAGAAACTTCACTAACCTCTCGGCTTGTTGTCGTATCTTTATCTCCTTCCCCAGGAGCGAGACTCGCCACTGCTTCTTCTCCCAATTCTCCAACAGCTGCTTCACGATTGTTTCGACACACTGAGAAGTTGAGAGATCGGCGTCACTTGAACCGTTGCTTTGCAGTGAGGCCAGGTGCTTTATGTAATCTTCCGTCAGCTCAGGCTCTCGGGATTGCAAGATCTGATAAGCCCGAGTCCACAGTTCGAAGTCATCGCTCGTGTGAAGATAGGCCAGGTTGGAAGCAGTTGACCGGGTAGAAGGGCCTAGTAAGGTGGGAGTGGCATTTGAAGACAGTGGAGAGGATGGCATGATCTGGTCCGCAGGCCGGATGGTGGTTGGCATGATCAGGGAAGATTCAACAGGCCCACAAGCCGATGGCCCTACATCCAGCGGGTAGAATCTGCCGCATCGTTTCGATCCGCCAGTCTTTTTCTCCTTTCTCGCAAGAAAACGCATATTACGCACGATACTTCAATACAATTCCTTATATTTTCAGTAATATTTTCTTTGTTTTTGGGAGATCGAAGCGCAGGAGGGATGTCGATGACTGCCCGCAGAAGTAGCTATCAAGTGGGTAGAGTGGTAAGGAATGAGTATTGAGTATTACAAAAAGATATGGGCAGCGGCGATTATGAAAGAGAGGACTGAAGGTATAATTAAAATCAGGGCGGGTTTATACGTATCTCACCTACGGAGTAGACTTTTGAGTTTCTAGATTACCTGCACAGAATCACGTGGCAATCGTCTTTGTTGATGGGAAAAACAATGGCCAAAACTAGACCGCACTAGACCGCACTAGACTGCACTAGACCGCATGCGGTTTGCTATTATGATTGGTATACGGAAAATACGGTATCTGTATTGAGTTAGTTACCTTCGCTAAAACTGAGTGCGCGATGATTTGTAAGTTTAACAGAACCATACCGTATCAATACCTATGTATTTCCGATGTGGCTGCACCCCACTATCCCATTATCATGTACCAGCAGCCACTCACGTCAATCATCTGTCTGTTTCGAGGGCGAGCTGTTTATGGGGCCGTGCGGAACACCCTATCCAAAATCGCGTCTTTCTACCTAGCTACCTACTTCAACCGCCTATCATGCCACCAAAACGCTCTGAATCCTGGCTAAAATCTGCGAATCAGGAGGGCAAGATTATATTAGCTCTTAAAGATTTAGAAAATGGCCGTGTCAAAACTCTCCGCGTAGCAGCGAAGCTATACGAAATACCGCTTACAACACTCCACGCGCGCACCGACGGCCGAATCTCACGCGTTGATAAGCGCCCATCCGGTCATAAATTGACCCCATTCGAAGAGGATTCAGTTACTGAGTGGATTATCTCTATGGATTCGCGTGGAGCAGCGCCTAGGCCGGCTACTGTACGAGAGATGGCCAATATCCTTCTTGCTGCGCGCGGAATAACCCCTCCGCCCACCGTTGGTATAAATTGGCCATCAAGCTTTATTAAACGCCGCGATGAGCTTCGATAACGCTTCTCGAGGCGCTACGACTACCAGCGCGCATTAAACGAAGACCCGAAGACCCACCGAGCCTGGTTTACGACCGTACAAAGCGTGATTGACGAGAACGTATACAAGCGGAAAATATATACAATTTTGATGAGACAGGTTTTGCAATGGGCCTTATATCTTCGCAGAAGGTAGTCACTAGGGCTGAATACTACGGTCGGAGATCAATACTACAGCCAGGCAATCGCGAATGGGTTACTGCGATCGAAGCTATACGCGCAGACGGCTATATACTACCATCGTATGGCACATGGAGGAGGACTCGAGCAAGTCCGTTCGTCAAAATAGCATCCGCACGACCCTCTTCAATCATAACATCATATGCCTGGACCATAGCTGAGTCAACCAGCCGCTCCGCATTATATCTGAGTTTCTCTACAGGGTCCGTAGGCACTTTGTTGCATTTGACCATCTCTTCCCACAATTCCATCGGTCGCAGTCCTCCCCGGAGAGTCTCCACAGAGAGTTTATGGGGCGGCTTATATTCAACAGTGAGGAGGAGAAAATTGGTGCTACCGTTCACACGGTGAATGCAAAATTGATCGGGCCGCGGACGGCGTAAAATGGGAGGATGATTTGCGTCTAATTCAGCCTGGCTTTCGGTCAACGCGTTCGTGTGGTTGTTCCTCGAGGGCGTCGTGGAATATCAGTATGCCCATGTACCGCCATTTGATGAGTCCTCGACCAAATAGACTTGCTGTGAATGCGTGAAGGTTTGTCCAGCTCTCCACTTTTTTGGTGTCAACTAGGTGGCTGTCGATTTTTCTGTCTGTAATAGCAAGCGATTTGGTCAGTTCTGCGGACGGTATATTCCACACCTGATCGGGGACGTACTTCTAGGTATTCTTTCATGCACGAGTTCAGAACGCATAGTTGTTTCCAGGGTAATATCAAGACTATCTGTTTGTCTTCCTTAGTAAAGGAGGCCTCTGAGCTTCTTTGAGGCACCACTCACCTTTTCGATTCGACCCTCCTCCGCGCGTAACTTTTGCAGTTCCAGAATGAGGCTTATCATGGTACGTTGGGCTTCATGGGTGTGAGGAATTTGTTCGACCAACGAAATAACCATCTTCCACAGTGTCTCCAAGAAAGAATCATCTTGATACGATTCGTCGCTCGTCCATTCAAGGAAAAGCCTGTTGACCTGTCTCGCGGCAGAAGGTGGCCGCACATACGGATCACCACGAATCATGTGCAGTAGGATGTTGGATAGACGCCCCTCAAACCCCGGGAGAAGTTTGGGAGAGGCGAATTGGATTTCAAGCTTTCCATCTTGGCAAAATTTTCGATCTCGTAGGTGTCATAGCTGTACGCCATGGTGTGGCTGGGGCTCAGTTGCACGCTTCTTTGGGACTTGGTGATGGTAGTTGAACGGATGGAACCAGGTGCTATGGAAGAGAACTGGTGAGAGATTGTTCCAGGTGAGAGAGAGAAGAATGGAAGATGCCAGGAATCTTCAATAAGAGGGTAATGTCAAACGGCTCATACGGCATTTTTTCTCTCACGTGGCTACTTACTGATATTACCTCCAGGCAACTTTCCTTCTTGATCATGCTACCAGGGCCTCTTGCCTTGTCAGATTCCATATCCTGACTTTAAAAGCAGCCAGTTTGGGACTCCCACTCCTTTATTCTCACTGCCAAATTCTGCAAGACTGAGCTGACACCAGTCGACCTTTCCAAGATATCAGCTGCTTTGGACTGTCCCTTTCCTCAGTCACGATGAAACGCTTAAGCCTGCTTTTCAAGCTGGACATCACACGGCATAGCCCAAGCAATGATCAAGAATCCCAGCGTCCTCGAGCTTCTCCCACGCCACGGCCGCCTCCAAACACCCGGAAAGCCTCTAACAATTCGTCTCGATCCCGTCAAGACCAGTCCCGCCCCCGCACCACATCGAGCCCTCAAGTGAATCCCCAGAGTCGTCAAGAAACTCCGGTCAGACCCAGATTTCCCAGTCGCCCCACTGTGAACCCAGGATTTGCCCATCAAAGGACTCGGAGTCTGGACGAGAGAACTTTCAGACGCAGAAATCCAAGACCTCCACCGAGGGCCCAGGCACAGACTATTCCTCTATCCCCTTACGAACCACGAAGAAGAGGAAGTGTAGGATCCCTTCCCACAATTGACTCCTATGTAAGTAGTCCCTTTAAACTCTAATGAGCCATTTACAGGCGACTCCTCATCAACTAACACCGAAAACGATAGTGGTCTCTAGATGGACTCCCACCAAATCACGGAAACCGCAACATCAGACGCAGCCGAGCCGAAAATATCGCCAGAGTCGCGTCCTGGATGGAAAACCAACCAGACCCGCGTCGAGGGTTCCCAGTGAACTCCCACGTACGTCCCTCCCCGGGAGCCAGGACTAGCAGTAACAGTAGCCGCTCAGCACGTCGTGGCACTGCAGAAGTTATGGTGCCTGATGGTAACCTTGACAGACACTTTGTTGCTTACCCACGTCCCGGATCCAATGGGGAGATGCGGCGTGCTGAATATCATTCATATTCGCAGGCTTTGCAGAACCCGGATCGGCGTGTGGAGGGTCAGCTTCGTCGGAGATATTTCAATTTCTTGGCAGGAGATAGGAATTGACTGAAATTCTGTATGTATATTTTCCGATTTCTCTTTCTGATGCAGGTAGAGGGGTCTCATCAAAGTAGCTCGGGTCTATGGAACCAAGTCCTTGTTGGATGCACTGTAGATTGTCAACAGTAAACTACTTTCGTCTTTCATTGAATTCTTATCCTGCCTTCTGAGATATTGTTGGACCATTAAAGCGTAACAGATCTATATGTTTATTCTATCTGACAATAGCTCTTCTATTCAGATCTCAGCCACTTGCTCAACTATGCGGACCACCACAGACCTGTCCATCGCCCAATTTTAATTGCAATGTGACACTATCCAAAGGTCATCCCAAACCATCTCTTTAGACCAAGGAACTTCTCCTCCTTGGTCTGGAATGAATCGATAACTCGTGTCCTCCCTCCCATGTTCAATTTCACCACTCCGTTCACATACATCAGCTTCCCAACAATAGGAATAACCTCTGTCTCCCCATAAAGGCCCTCTCCGTCCAATAGGGGAAGGCCATCTGTCTCTCCACCTCGTAGAAACTTGACAATCCAAAAGTTCCCTCTATCCCGAGCTTCCCAGCTTGTATACCGATTCATCACTTCAAAATCATCTTGGAAAAACTCGAACTCACCAAATGCATAGAATGAATTCCACTCTTTGGTCGGCCCATTGCGGTACTGGTAGATCCAAAGCTTTTGTTCTGGACGTCTTTGTTTGGGCATGTTTCCGTATACTAGTTGGACCTCTTGCGTTCCAAGGTTGTGGACAGGTTGTTCGGAAACCAGTCTTAGTGGTCGCGTCGGTCCATCACCACCAAAGGCGACATCGACATGGTATTGCTCGCCAGTTGGAAGTTGGACAATGTTCACGATGTGTGTCCTGCGCTGATGTTAGTATACTTTTCAGGTAGGATTTTAGAATTTTGCAGCCATCTAACCATCCTCTGAATTCACCCTGGGGGACACCATCAATTCGTGCGCGATTGCGAACTCCTGTCGTGTAGGCTGAATATCCTAAGCCCAGCAGAACATTGTAGAAGAAGATACTGCATTCTAGACAGTAACCTCCACGTCTCGATGGCGGCAAATCTCCCGATTCCATGAATTTGGTATAGATGCTTTCCGGAAGAATGTCAATGACATCACGGTTGGAATAATGCACCGAAAGATTATCATAGGGAAAGCGTGTGATTTGAGCCCGGAATAGAGTGGTCAGACTTTCCTCTGTTTTGGGGAATGACGGCGGGTCCTGGATGAATTGGTCATATTCAGGGGGAAGCGCGAGATATTTGAGATATTTGCTGAGCTGCGCCGTCGAAAACCCAGATGCCATTGTCTTTATTGAGATTCACTGAAGCTATCCAAAACTTATTGGCATAAAGCAAATGGTAGGATTACTGCTTGAATGCAGTTCTTTTGCTTCCGCGGTTGTTTTGGCCCCTTGGTGACTCATCGCCGTTTAGCAGCGATGACGCGAGAACCCTCGAACTTCGACTGAAAATTAAGACACGAGACTATATGGAGGCTTCCTAATCAGATATGACCATCAAGGGATACTTTCGAATAGCGGTATTGAAACGAAATTGAAAATTTGGAACCTACAACCAATGGACCAATTTAGCATGCGCTTTCATGGATCCACCCCAGTTGACCCAGCCCAACAATCTGGTTATAGGTAGCGATTCATATAACAAGCAGGACCTAGCAATAAACAACGTAATTTGAGTTACAGACAGAGTCGACAACTTGTCGGCTCAAGCACGGTACGAAGGATAATAACCGATCGGTGGTAGCGATAAGTTGAAACCTTAGACAGACAGGAATGAGGCAGTTCGTGTATCATAATTTCGTTAATCAATCTAATCACTGTCCAAATTATTCTGTCTTTCCACTGAGCCCTTCCTTCTTGGGGTCTTGTGCCTAGGAAACCGCATGTCTCGCGATATTCAGACTTGCCGGATCTGGTCTTACCTCTTATCCGGAATAATCAAAAAGCAATATCAGATCCTAGCAAATGCCGTTGTAGCTCCTCAAAATCGGCCACATCCGCACCCGTCAAAACAAAGTCATTCCCTTGATATAAGGAGTACATCATGTGAGCGTCGGATGGAAACGGCATCGGTAAAGAGGCCGATGTATACCCGTCCCCCATATCCCCGCCACTTGCAAAATCCCATGTATTAGTGTAGGCCGGGAGGGATTGAATAGGATCATTATCGCCAGTGGAGTGAGGTGTCGGCATGGCTTGACCCGACAAAGCAAGAGGCGACTGTCCGTTGGCATCACCATGTCCCACTTCCGCGTGTAATGTTTCGACTAATGCCGGAATGTGGTCGTAGAGTCGTTGGATCTGGTCCCGGCGAGCCTTGGCTGCTTGGTTATGATATCCAGCCAGAAAATCGAGAAGCTGCAAGCATTCGGAGATTCCAGGGCTTGGCTTCAAAAATGCCAAGTGTTGGGCTCGGGTATTATTTGTCGATTCGATCATCGCAGCAAGAAGCATGATGAATCCTGCGGAGAAGATAGTATCGAGATCAAAGAAGCCAAATTTGGCTTTGATCTGTCAGTACCATGTGAAAAGGTTGGTTCAGACAAAGAATACCCACCTATCATGTCCTCCTTTTGCGCCAGTACCATGAGTTCCAGTGACCGACGAGCAGCCTCTATGCAGGTGCAGGTTAATTGTTGGAACGAGCTACCACTATCTGAAAATGTAATCTCGCCACTGAGAATCGCCTTTGTCAAATGCAGAACAATCGGTCGTAGAGTGAGGATTATCGACTGTTCAGGATTAGCCGCGTGTGCTTCCTTGTATTGCTACCCCAGAACGATGCCATACTTGATAAAGAATAGTATATAGGGATATAATTAATCGTAGACCCTTCTTTGAGATCTGTTGGTTATGCAAGGCGCCTGAAAAGCCAGAACCCTGTGAAATTCGATTTGCGAGTTGATTCAAGGTTGAAATAATATCTTGGACACCTGTAACGAACTCATCTTTCGGGCACGATTCCTGGCTGTAGATAACTTCGGACAGATTTAGTATTTACTAGGCGAAAGTTCGTTTATTTATGCTTACCTGAGTAAATTCTCGTTTGTATCTGGGCTATCTCGAGGTTGATCTGTAGCGCAAATGGATTTGGAAATCCAGGTGCATCAGCAGGCAGAGAAGTGTCCACAAATTTATCGTCAAGGGCAAGTGGACATCCATTCAAAATCATTGAACGCTTGTCCTGCATGTGAACGGTCCACCACAATCGACTTGCGTGGGTCGCCTCGGATCGACGTAGCTTTTGCATTGTCTGCTTTCGATGCAGCCTGTGCAACATAGCTAGGCGAATAGCGAGGCCGATCTGGCAATGAGACATTAGTTGAAGCGGCTCAGCGTCCTGTGACAACCCCTTACATAAGAAGCTGCATCGTCTCTTCGATCGATGTTTTGCAGATAGACAGTAGTGATAGCGAGAACTTCAATTCCGGCTACGCCGTGAGCCCGTAGCTCCGAAGGACATGGTAGGAGATCCAGTGCATATTTGAACAATGCAAAGCCGGGAGGAGAGTTTGACCCGTCTGATTCGCCCCGAAGTAATCTCCCGAGAGCGAATATCAGCAGTGCCTGCAGAAATCCAATGCTAGGATTTTCAACACGATCTTGCGGATCTTCATAGATTATAGCTAGTTGGTCAGAAGCCTCACGGGCATCGAAGAGGTGCTGCGTTTCGCTGAAGTAGAATAAAACACTGTCAAGAAGTTGATAGGCTTCTTCCTCGGACGGAAGATTGGGGATGGGGTAAAGAGTGCCAGGGGTTTGTTTCACTTTGAGAGGTGGTCTCTTCGAGGGAAAAAGACTTTCTCTTGTCGATTTACAAGGTGGTCGGATAAATGCTGGAGATTGGACTGATCTCTGTTCAAACAAAGTCTGTACTCGGTTTCCGAAGTCTTGGCTTGAGCCGATATCGCGCTCGGTAGTGATACCTGGTAGCTGTTAATTAGTGATACACAATAGTTTCAACATGAAGGGTTCCTTACGCTGTACAGTGTGTTCTGGATCTGACGGTGGGATGCCAATAACCTGTTGAGAGGACACAGTTCGCGTAGACGGCGAGTCTATATCAGATCTTCCTGACTCTACAAAACTGAAACTCAGCATATATTTTGACATCTCTTGGGTCATCGTCTAATTACCTCCTTGAGAGCCCGAAGATTCATACAAGGCCAATCGAGCCTCTAGTTCGCGGATCTTCCTAGACCAAATGTCATTCAATGTCCCATATGCCGATCAACTCAAACATACCCGGCGGAGTAGAGTTGGCTAGCATTGGAATCCGGGTACCTGCAATTCAGGCCTCTGCGGGAACAGTATTCACATGGATATCCTTCGGAGCATTTTACTTTCTTTGATTTGCAAGTCGTACACCTTGTTCATTGATGAGTTTGGGTCCAGTAACAGGGAAAGAGGCGGGCTTACGCGGATGGTAACCTAGAATGCCTGCGCTTGGACGATCGAGGGAGCTGTGGCGTAGATATGCTTTGTGACATCGCTAGCCCAGTGGAATGTAATGTAATGCATATGCCCGGAAGTGGAGAGTTGATGTCTCAAGGTTGACATTTCGGAGTCAGCCGAAGGTCCCTCGGTAGTGCGGGCCGATATTTCTCCGGGGCTCTATGGAAGATCATCCTCGGCTGTTTTGCCAGATGAAAGCATTCAACTACAATACAGAGTAGTGAGGATGACTTAAATAAACCAAAATCAGTTTAAACTTGCTTTGCAGCGGGTTTCAAGGTTGAAGCTGTTCGTCTTTAAAGTTACTGGTATGTCAGGTATACCAATATATTTCTTGGCAAGGCCTCATACTTACCACCGACACTTCGCCTGCCCAGGTAGTCATACCCATGTTTCTGCATTAGGACAAGTTTCGGGTGGTTGCAAGAAATTTGTTAAATTCATAAGCCTCTTCTAAAGCTCATTGCAATTGGTAGATGCTCAGCTAATCTATTCAGCCTTCTTGCTCTTCCATAGCTCCAGCATCAACCTCAAAGTATCATTAGAGTCCATCGTTTCCATCATCAACTCCACCATCCTCAACCCCTTCCCAGCACGCATCTCATCCCTCCCTAAAACACCCGCAAGCTCTCCCCACGTAGTCGCCCTCGCAGTGTAGACAGGATAAGACGAATCCGCTCCCTCCGCCCCAAAGAACGACGGCGCCTCGAGAAATCGCCACGATGCAACGTCATTATACGATTCTTGCGGTCCGTGGATAAGCCGTTCAATCGTGTAACCGTTGTTATTGATGATGAAGATGATGACATCCAGCTTCTGCCGGATAATAGTGCTCAGCTCTTGCGCTGTCATTTGGAAACTGCCGTCACCTTCGAAGAGGATTGTGCGGCCGTTTGAGAGGGGGTGATCACTTTGAGTGAGATGGCGCTGGGCAAGCGCGACTCCTTGTGTTGCGGCGAGCATGTATCCGATGGAGAGCCAGATGCCTGAGTTGATGAGGGCTGTGTTTTGGGGTAGAACGAAGTCACGGCTTCCGTTGCTAGCGGTCCCGGTTTCGGTGAGGACGATGTCGCCTTCGCGGAAGAAAGATGACATGCGGTACCAGAATGTGTCTTGCGTTAGTTTGGCGTTGGGATCGACGGGAGGGAGGGACTGGAGAGCCTGGTGCAGATTGGGGAGCTCGGGATATGAGGTAGGCTTGGCTAGTGGGTTCTCCTGCAAGCTCTCTAGAACCTTTTGAAGGACTCCTTGTGGTGATACGTTCCATGTGCGGCCGTCAATGTGGATAGCATCCCTCTCAATAGAGATGGTCACTTCCGGCTTCGGGACTGTGACGAAGTAGTATGTGTTGACATTGCTGTGAGCGGGCCCGATGTTGATGACCAAGTCGCAAGAGTCGACGTACGAAGTGAATGTGTGGGGTCCGACAGTTCCGTGAATCCCGTGGAAATTAGGCAACGTTTCATCAACGATACCCTTGCCGAACGGCGTGGTGGCAGTTGGGAACCCGGTGGCTTTAATCAACTCGTGCGTCTGACTGGTGAGTCCGTAGCGGGGGGTCCCAGCATCAACCAGAATAAACTGTTTGGAAGAAGTCCGCAGACGATCGAGAATAGCGTCGCAAACTTCCTGCTCGAGTCTTGCATCGCCGGGCGCTGGAGTGAGATCAAACACTTGTGCGAGCGGCGTTCCTGGAATAATAGCATCCACCATATCCATGGGAACCTGAAGATAAACAGGTCGAGACTGGAGTAAACACTCGCGAAGAACACGGTCAATCTGCGCCGCTGCAGTCGCGACATCCACAATATTTTCCTGCGCGACAGTGACCTTCTCGTACATCTCAGCAAAGATCCGGTAATCTCCAGGCTGTCCCCGACAGAACGTATGATGCAGCTTCACACCATTATCCTGATCGCTCCGGTTCGGAGTCCCAACGATATGCACGACCGGTGCCATCTCTGCATAAGCCCCCGCAATCGCATTAATAGCTGACAGCTCGCCGACGCCGAACGTCGTCACGATGGCGCCGATACCCTTGATGCGCGCGTAGCCATCCGCCGCATATCCCGCGTTCAGTTCGTTGCAGTTTCCAACCCATTCGAGTCCCGAGGGAATCACGTAGTCGAGAAGTCTCAAATTGTAGTCACCTGGAACGCCGTGAACGGCGTGGGATCCTGCCTCGCGCAGACGGCGGAAAAGGTACTCGGCAACAGATATGCCTCCTGTCATGGTGATTGTCTGGTATGTGAATGGTGTATGGGGATGAAGAGAGTCAAGTTCAAAATTTCATAAAAGACTGGAGGGAACTGGCAATTTAAATGGCTCCTCTCGATTTCGCTTTTTGTTGGATCTACTTCGGATTCTTCCGAGATCTTGGTCCGATCCCAGCAGCGGCGAATTCGACTGGTCGGTGGAGGTTGAAGATCTCGGTAGCTACCGAAGAACCCCCACATCTTTCTGACGAGGCCGTCGGACCAGTCACAACTGAGGAGAAGTTTCGCGTCCAGGAAAGTCAACTATAGAGACAAGTATATGCACTGGAAAAAAAATCAAGGGTTGTCAAAATAGAAAGACATTCATCAAGAGGATATAAATTAGACCAAGATAAATGAAAGTACATCATAGTCACAAAACCCCAACCCAGATGCGACAAAAACATGCGCTGGAATGCACACAAAATGAACAATACGAAAATGGGGAATCTAATAAAAAAAGAACGTAGATCAAAATGCAGCCGTCCCAATCTCAAAGAGACTCAATCTGCAACTCCTGCGACACAGCATGTTTATGCCCATAGCTGACATCCATAATCTGCGGCGTCATGGGCCTCCGCTCAATAAACCGCTCATTCGCATGGAGATTATCCACGCGCGCACCGATAGGAACAAGCATTTGCCGTTTTCCCCGGGACACGGATATCGAGCGTGCGATTGAGACTTCGATGGTGGGGATTTTGGTGAGTGGTTCGCCGGGGTCCTTTGGGTCGGGGGCTAGGCCGATTTTGATTTCGAGTTCCTCTGGTTCGGAGACGAAGGGCATTCGTGGGGATGAGCCACCTGGGGAGAGTCCTGGTTGGGGGCTGAGGGTTCGTATTATGGGGGATGGTGTGCAGTGAAGGTTGTCTTTTGCTGGTAGGTTGGGGGTAGGGAGTGTGCTGGTTGGTGGTGTGCCGGTAGGGAGTGTCGAGGATGATGATCCTGATTTGGCTGGGGGCCGTGGTTGTGCAGGTTGTGGCTTGGTTTGGATCTTCAGGTTTGGCCGACGGGGGTGTGCATCTGGCTTTGGTTGAGGTCTTGGTTCGATTTCTGAAGATGGCTTTTGTGCTTTCTGCAGAATCGGCTGTAGCTTGGGAGGTGGTTGAATGGGTGGGCGGGCATGCGGCGCCCTGGGCGCCTGGAGAGAAGACTTTCGCTCTTGATGAATCGGCTTTGTTGCTTGCGAGACTGGTAATTGCGATGGTCGTGCTTGTATCCCAGGAGTTGGCTGTGTCGGTTTCTTGTCCGGTTGAGAGTTTGCAGACGATCGTGGAAGTGCCAGGCTGGATGATCGACCTCGGGAATTTACTGCGGGCACGGATGGCTTCGCTTCTTTCCGATAATTGGTATAGCTTTTTGGCGATTCAGAGACTGGGACGCTGGGAGCGAGTGCTGCTTGCTTGCCAGATGAAGGCGCCAATTTATGCTCTTCTCCTTTGGTCACGATGGTTTCCTTCGCAGTTTGAGCAACCGCGAGTTTTGATGCCGCTCGTGGACGCGACTGTGGTTCTTGTAGCTCGGGCTTTATGGCAGGCAAAGGCTTATCAAGAGAGGACCGCGGAGTACTCGCATGCGAAGCAAAGACATTATTAGGGACGACCGGCGATTCAAATGGTGCAGCCACATTAGCACTGGGCGTGGCTCGCGGCTGGTCCATGGATGTCTTAGATGGACTCTCCACTGGCAAGGTATTCGACCGTAGTAGTGGAGTCGGCCCACGAGAAAAGTTCTGTGTGCCGAGGACTTGAGCCGCTTTTGACGGTTGGGAAGTCGGAAATAACGTAAAACTAGATCGTGCTGGTGATGTGGCTCGGCGCTGAGGAACTGGTGGGAGCTTTGCAGCCAGGAAATCCTATGTACATCGTTATCATCATGTTCATTGTCATGCTATGTAGTACGCGACGAAACGTAGATACACGAGACCTGCTAGCGTACCTGATTCTTTGGCAAACGCAGATTGTCCAGAGTCTTGCTCCTTCTGGCCAGCAGAGAGGGTCTCTGGTTCTTGCTCATCACTTGGCTGAACATCACGCTATAGCGCTCCATTTGTACGTCCGGAATGTCGATCTCGAGCAAACGGCCTTTGTCGTTTTTCTTTGGTGGCTGAGGATTGCTGGCCTTCTTTCCAGGAAGCGAAAGCTTGCGACTTCTCTGTGGAATGGATTTGTGTTCAGCTGGGGCAGCCGTGGAATCGATGTCGAGAATTGGCCATTCTTCAGTTGAACCTCGTCGTTGCGCCGGCGTGCTGCTGCCTTGTTCATTCTTCTGCTTGGGGCCAGGTTGTTTCGGAGGAGCCCTGGGTTCATCAATTGGCATAGCAAGCGCATTCTTGGCCCTGAATAGTCCGGCAATCTTCTTCCATTTGCTCGATTTGTGCGGCAGCGGTGGCTGGCCGACCTGTTCTTGTGAAAATATTTCCGTATTGAATCGAGGTGGTGGTAGGTTTTCTCGAGAGTCGAGCATGCTGGGACTCCCGAGTGCAACTCCAATCCTAGGTATACCCCATGGACTGCCATTTGCGCCTGTATTGGAGGGCAAGACCTCATCTGGTGGCGCTGTTACTCGAAAGTCGAACGATGCGGCCATGGCTACAGCTGGCTGTGGTTTCCTGCTTCCATGCCGATCTGCATTTCTCGGCCGGGGAAACTCATATTGTGCTACCGCCCCACTGTCTGATCGTTGCGCAGATCTGTTGTTCTTGATATCGCGAAGATCGTCTCGTGGCAGCGCATCGGTATAGGTCAAGACTGGGAATGATATCGCCTCCGTATCTGGCGTTGCGCGGGACTTGACAGCCGTCGGAGCTCTCGCCATTTCTCGAAAATAACGAGCGCTGTATCTCCAATTCGTTCGCGACTTGGTAGCGTCGTACTAGACAAATAATTCAAGATCTTGATAAAAACAAATATGTCATGTGCAGAGAGAGATCTCAGATCTTTGGAAAGGAATGGACGGCCTTCCAGAAGGCCACAATGCGGAGTCGAATTAGAAACAAACCGCGAAAGTTCGCGCGAGCAAAGGGGGCGCTGTCATTTTAAATGAAATGGCCTTTGCAGGACCAGCTGGAGTGGCGCCGGACGATATCGTCGCTTGGGTGGGGATGCGATTACGCCAAGCTGTGTACTTGAGACACATTGCTAACGTCGATATTGTCATTCATTGACCCTTGATCATTATTTGATTATCATTTAGCGTCAACTAACGCTAAATGGTTGATTATCGCTATCGTATTGCTCCCGCGCTCAAGCATTTTCACCCCAATGTGCCAGCCACCCGATCCAGTCATCGTGACCCTCTACCAATGGTAACAACTATGCTAGCTTCCTGTGTCAGGCACGTCTCGTCTGGTCTGGTCTAGACTGGAACCAACCCAGCTGAATTGAACCAACGAGAGTGCTATGAGCCCGTGGCAACCTACGGGCGAAAGAAAGGAGGGGCCAATATTCAGCCCAGCTCGATATTAATGGCCCCGTCGCACAAAACAGCAGCGGTGCTAGCTCCTAACGCGATCCGCGATTCGATCGACCAGGATCCCGCCGCCTTATTAGCGCCGTAACGGTTGGATTTTCAGCGGTCCCTGGCCCGAGTTCGACAAGGGAAAGGGGGGGGGGGGGAGGTGCGCCCAGACAATGGACGAAAGGGGCCTGATGGTGGCAGTCATGGCACTGATGGGCCTCTTCTCGGGGAGAATGCGAGATGCTTATTTCGCGTGGAGCGAATGAGATGGGTCGTTGCGGATTGATTGGTGGTTTTGATTAGCTCGACCAGTTTCGCTACCACGTTCCGTGCGGACCACCGAGCAGCCACTGAGAACCACCGAGTGAGAAGAGAGGCCAAATGTCCGTGGGAGGGGGGGGCGTGTTTCAGCTCTCCTGAAACTGAGACAAGGCTTTGTCTGTGTATAAGACAGGGGTCTGGCCCATTATGAACATCCGTTGACCGTTGTTGACTCGGTTGGCCTGAGAGGAGACTGTTACCAGCGCTGAAATTGATAAAAGTGTCCGGTCAGGACTCAATGACACATACATCTTGGGAGAGGAGTGGTTCGATGTTGTCTGTCTTGTGGGTGGTTGGTTGGGGCCAATGCCAAATAGCGCTCGGTCGCTGGCGCACGGACCGTCTCAGCTTTGGCGCGTCGGCTGTCGCAGTCATTATTTGATGACACTGAATGGTTTTACCTTTGCCGTCCTGTGATGCCAAGCCAAAAGTTGATACCAATCGAGCGCTTATATCGTGTATCAATGGAGGCCTGATCGTCTTGTGATAGAGGTGAAGAGGGACTGAGCTGAGCTTCTCGGCCATGATTGAAGACACGCTTTGTGGCGTGCAGCCACTCGGCAATTTCCATTATTGGCATGTACTGTACGAGGTACAGTACCTTCGCACGAAGGAAGCAGGGTATGGAAATCAATGGAATACTCTTCCCCGATTGATATCATATTTCAAGGCCTCTCCCTCCCACTGGGCTACCAGTCAATCAGAATCATCCTGTCGGCCCTCTCCAATGCTCGGCCTAGCTTACTCGGATCCTATTTACCGAATCTTGATCGTATTCACGATAAGAATGAACTGTTTCATGAGTATAGGGGCACTCCATACCGACGGCAAAATGTAATTTCAAGCGTCTCTCACCATGGATGTATTCACTATATTCCAGTGCCTTTAAGCGTCGGTGCTAAGTATACCGTAGCTGTGGGCCTGCTTCGAACGGGACATGCCGTCATATGCCGTCTTTTGCTGAGTAGCCAGACGTTTCATTGTCTCTAGAGATGATGTGGCGTATAGATATTTGGTGCTTTTTTACGTCATTTCCAGGTTTGGACGTTTTCTTATGCTACCTGTAAGCTACATCTAGAGTTGGCAGTTTAGTTATAGAGGAACGCATCGAACACAGATGATGACCCGGTAAAGATTTAGCAATTTTAGCACTTATAGATATCCTAGTACTTTCTCATAAGCATGTGTTCATTTCCTATTGATCGGCCGAGGGGAAGTGTCTCATCTATATTCGATTTCAAACACTCACATGCACCGTCATCCGCTCTAGACTTGGGCTTTGAATGGCATTCTGAACATAATTCAGTCATATGATAGCTCCGTCTATATATGATAAGCAGTGCTAGGAGACCTAGCACAATCATATTACTGCTAATGTTGCCTAAAATGTAACGGATATCCGTCTCTAAAAGTTATAGTGCCTGGGCTTCCCTGTCCATCAGACGCCCGGTCCGAGTAGGTCTATATCAACAGCGAGAGGCTATTCCACCGCAGATGGTTGAGCAAGAGTGTTTTGACTTGCCATAGCTCACCCATAAAATCTTCCGCCTTCCACTTCTAGGTCAATGAATGGCTGGGGTGGAAGATGGGTGAGGCCAGGCAGGCAGCAAATATGAGGCTCATGCTGCAAAGACGGGGATTCCCGTCACTTGGGCGCAGCGTTGAGCCTCAGGCACAGGGCATTCTCAGCCTCAAGATTCCTTCCAATCACAATCAAATCCCCTCTCACTTCCACCAGGCATCTCCTTACTACCAGATCAGGAAAACCTGGGGTCTTCACGAGTGGCCTCCGCCAGCCCGCATTGTGGCTGAGCCGTTGGTGCCAAATGGCAGATTCTCGTATTGAGAGTCAAGCGGCCACCCAGATCGCTTGTATTTAGGTGGTCTACGCCAGAACTTCCAACCTCACATCAACATCACACAAGACATCATGGCACCATCCACACACTCGCGCGCCTTGGGTGCTATCTGGGGCACTTGCGTAGGCGACGCTCTTGGCGGGCCCGTGCAGTTCAGCGACCCCGGTACTTTTAAACCCATCACCGACTTGGAATTCGTCAAACCATTCAAGCAGCCTTCAGGGTATGATTTGACTCCATTTTCATCGCAGGACTAGGCTAACGGCGACACAGATCATACTCGGACGATGGATCGATGACCCTGGCCCTTGCTCAGTCCTTTGTCGACTCCAAGGGCCAATACGACCACGCCTTGTCAATCCAGAACTATCTCGACTGGTTCAATCATGGCCGGTTCAGTACTACGAATAAGGCCTGGGATCTTGGAAGATCGACTCGTATCGCACTGAGGGTATGGAAGGCTGACGGGCTCGGTGATGTGGAGCTCACTCAGCAGAAAGTGAGCGAGCAGCTGGATCAAGAAGGAGCTTCGGGGAATGGAAGTTTGATGCGAATCTCGCCTCTTGGTGTTGCACTCTGGAAGGACTGTGATCGGGCGAAGACACTTGCCCGCGAGCAGAGTCTTGTTACGCATCCAGCCTTGGCTTGTCCGGATGCCTGCGAGGCTTATACCGAGATGATTTGCATGGCGATGAGTGGTATGTCTCCTGAATTCCAGCTCTCTCTCTCTCTCTCTCTCTCTCTCTCTCTTTTCATTGTATTCCAATATCAACTGACTGCTCAATAGGACACACAAAAGCAGACCTCTGCAAGACCATCACTCAATTCAATTTCACCCATCCTGCCCTGATTTCCCGCTTCGCCAACTACGCATCCATCAACGACTGGAAAGCTAAGTCCCCCGCAGACATGACTAGCAGTGGATGGGTAGTCGACACCCTAGAAGTCGCACTCTGGGGATTCTTCAAATATGAATCCTGGGAAGAGGGCGCCTTGGCGGTGGTGAATCTCGGCGGAGACTCGGACACGGCGGGGGCTGTTTATGGCGGTCTGGCGGGGGTGTTTTACGGGTATGATTGTATTCCGCCGCGGTGGGTGGATGGGATGCAGAATGGGAGGTTTATTCGAGATGTTGCTGGGAAGTTTGCTGAGGTGGTTCCTTCGGCTTAGTCTGTTGGCTGTGTTTCTGGGGGGTTGGGTAGATGGCGAGGAGCAGGGCACTGGTCAAGAGTGCTTGAGCTAGGCAATGTTGACATTGTTGTTGACATTGTTGACGTCCGCTCCTCGGCTCCACTATCCATTGAAAGCCCAGCTAGTCGGTGTGATTAGCTCATTTGACCGCATTATGACAACCCGAGAAGGGATATCAAACCCTCAACTGTATCGAAGGAGACTGTTTCAACACCTATGAATGTGTTGACTTGTCGGGATCTATATAGGCATCCATATGTACGCTGTACGCTATAGGTAGACTGCCAGTATCGACAGTCTCGTCTGCTAGGCAGCATTCAAAGCTAGCGTCGATAGAAGAGATAAGCTGACTTGAAAGAGTACTCGCACTCAATTGAACCCCATGGCCGAAAGGAAGCAGCATATGAACTTGTCCGAGGAATCCAGGCACCAGACACGTGCGGCAGTTCATGACATGCGTAGAACGCATGCAGATCGCCAGTCTCCTGGAGCCCCTAGCATCCTGGGAGGGACATGACAGGGCGAGTGACAATCTGTCAAGTAAGCTCCAGTCACTACGTAGAAAACGCAAGTAGGCAGACATATTAGAGCCTGCCCTTGGTTCACTATACCATCTGCGTCCATACCTCGACAGACGCAGTCACCGTTCGCGGCCAAAGAGGGATCGACGGGAAGCCCAAGTTTGGCGGGGTCTTGGTCTTATTTACCGCCAACACAGAAATCCCCCCCACTTCGAACCTCCCTCGTCACCACTCCCACAAGCTCTCACTCCCCTTCCTCTTCTTCTTCCTTTATATTCTCCCCCTCCTCTACTGGTATCAATCAGAGTCTTGCTCGAGTCTTATCTCCTTACCTTTCGTGTCCTCCCACCCCCCTCCTTCACACACTCCTCCCACGTCATCACCATGGGTGCTCACTCCGCAACTTGGCAAGGTAATGCGAATCAACCCGACCAGACCGGTATTTAGGAACTTCCCCTCACTAACGTCTTTTTTGTCCCGCCTGTCTAGCCTACGTCGACTCCAGGTACTTCGATCCTCCTACACCTCATGCAGCTTCATGGCATACTCCCACGAGGGCCAGTCCCGTCACGATCCTTTCCAATACTAACGTCACCGCTTCCATAGCCTGATGGGCTCGGGTCAGTTCGACAAGGCCGGTGTTCTCGCCGCTGACTTTTCCGGTCTGGAGGCTGCTTCTCCCGGGTTCACTGTACGATTACCACACATTATTCTCCCGATTTCGAGTATTGTCTTCTGGTGGTGGTCATAAAACTAACGCCGAGACCCGATAGCTCTCCCAGGAGGATATCAACTCCCTGGCCTCGGCCTTTACCTCCAGCGACAACGCTTTTGCCAACGGTTTCTCTATCGGCGGTGAGAAGTTTGTCTGCATCAAGGCTGACGAGCGCAGTCTGTACGGCAAGAAGGTACGTCACGCCTCTCTCGTCCTTATACCCGAGCTCCCCGTCTGAGCTCCTGACTCGGTCCCGGGAACCCTGCTGATTCCACTTACTACAATAGGGCAAGGAGGGCGCCATCGTCGTCCGCGCTTCCGCTTGCACTATGATCGCTCACCACGGCGAGGGTGCCCAGACTACCAACGCCGCCAGCGTGGTCGAGAAATTGATCGACTACATCAACAACCCCAACTAAAAGGACTTCATTGGAACAAATGTGGAAGAAACTTGTTATCACATAGGAGGGCTGTGAAGAATATGAAATAAAGGAGCATTGATTTTTTCCCCCGCACCTACTTTCTACGCGCCATTTGCGTTTCGTTGTTTTTATTCTGTCCAGCTTATTGATTACGTGCATCCTCGCCGAGGATGAAGGGGCCTTTTCCGCTCTGCTTGATTTTTGCTTCTATGCTTTTCGCCTATGTATTTTGGATATTTGCCGACCGTGGTATGGTATGATATCCGGCCTGGCGAGATGAGGTGTTTTGACAAAGTAGATATTTCTTTCCTTGGAAGCTGTTCTTGTCCACTCTGCGTGGAGGATGTATCATGGATATCTTTGCTTCTATTATCTATTATGGATATCGGACACTGCCAGTCCAGCTAACATGTCACAAAAGTGATCATCTAGCCAGATGGAGCTGGAGCATCAAAAAGGTCATTAGTAATTACATCAGGGTGTTCCCCAGTACCAAGGGGCATTATCATCTCTGTCGCATGCCATCCATGCACCGCCAAACAACAATCAACAACAAAACCAACATCCCACTTCCAAGAAATCACCCTCCAACCCTCAAGCCAGCGACTTCATATCTTGGTCTCATATCGTAATCATGCATCCAACGCCCGTCCCAAGCCTCACCATACTCATACAGGCAACTCCGCATTACTCCGTCCACCAGCCAACACCTCCAACCCACGCTTAATATAAGGACCAATAACCGGGATATTACCCGCAAACTGGCCAATCGTCACGAGGAAATCGCCGAAGAGAATGAACAGTCCGTATAGCTCGATCAAAAAGCCCGTTAATGGCCAGCGTATGAGGATCAGGATGATGCCGGCGGAGAACGCGGCGGTGCCTTTGAGTTTTTGGGGCCGGGTGAAGAAGACTATCGTCTTTTGGACGCCGATGATTAGGGTGAGGCCGATTAGGAAGAGGATCTGAGGGGGGTGTTAGTTGGGGTCTGTTGGCAGGGAGGGAGGTGGGTGGTTGGGTGGTGTGGGGGTGGCGTACGTTGCCCATGGCGAGTCTGGAGTGGGAGGAGTAGTTAGTATGATGGTTGGATGTGTATTTGGTAGGCAGATTTGGAATGGACTGGTGAAGAAGACGTACAATGATCGGTCGAAGAACATGAGGACTCCTCCGAATAGGAACAAGCCACCTATCCATCCAACGAGGATGATTAGTATTGCGCACACCTCATGAGGAGACGATATCGAAGCGAATGGTTTCAAGCGTACCGGCCGAGCAGAAGACGACACCGATCTCTGTATCTAGTAGTTAGCATCCACGACGCCACGATAACAGTTGCGCCAGGCAGGAGGATGGAAAACCCATCCGAAGCGGTTGCAGATAAGGAGGGAACATAAACATACTCTGATTCTCTGATAACCACATGCTAGGCATTGTGTCGCGTTTGGGATTGCAACAATAGTCTAGCTGGTTAGGCGGCACAAGGAAAGGAGGTCACAAGTAACAATTCGACAAGGCGATGCTTCGAGTTACTCGGATGCGGCCATAAACAGAAACAGAAAATCGCCCTATTCTGCCCTCCGCCCCCGAAGGCGGTGTGGTCTTGGTTTTAAGCCGCCGTCGGGCGGGAGCTGGGTTTTGCTTTCGCGCATATTTTGTGTGGGAAATGAACTACGCCAACAATTGGGTTGATGGGTTTGGTGGGATCTGTTTCTGTGATTGTTTCAAGGGCAGCAAAATGTCTAGCTGTCTTTCTATGTTACAATCTGCGGCTATAGATCCTTGGTGTTGCTGACTCGCACATATGCCAATACTGGCAAACCTCAAACGGCGGAGGCAGGATAGTCTCGTCTATGCCATTTTCCATTCCCTCCCCACACCTGATCATTTTGTTTCAGGACAAGATTATATCACGCCGCGGCGACAGTATCCTCGGATGCTGTAACTGACGTCCCTTCCCCTGGGCCGTCGGTAATAGTCGAGTGCATCCTGGCACAAGGCGGAGAACAACTTCACGGTTACGAATAAGCCGGAGCGCTTTCTTGAGCCTGCCTCGAGAGGGGCAGGTGGGGTGGAAAGGGCTTGACTGTGTTGATCGGACATGTTTTGTTGTAGTTCCAATCTATATTTTTCCAATTCATGAAATCAGTAGAGGCCAATGAAGTAGAGTTGTTTCCATGAATCCATACCTGTTCATGAATCGTTGTAACCTTCGGGATAGTTTGTAAAAGGTGAACGCCAGGGGCAATGCTTATTTCAGGACTGTGTGCGCTCCTCTTGCTTCCAGGTAGCTCTCCGGCACGCCCTGAGTCAAGTTGCGGATGACGCTGAAGATCTCCTTGTCATGGTACCGGAGTCGCGTCTTGGGGTCAGTGTAGGGGCCCGAGAGACCGGTTATATCGCAGTAATGGCGCTTGTTCGACGGATCCAGCGACGGTGCCGACTCGATGTTTGTGTAGGTGACCGCAGGCCCCATTGGGAACATCGCGCGGGCATTCTTCTCCAGGACGAGTGTCGATAGATCCCGAGCAGCCTGTGCGAGGTTGGGAGCCTTGCCGGCACCTTCGGCAGGTGTACCAGAGCCATCGGTGGTCGCAGCACCCGAAGCACCGGTGAACGGGGTTGTAGCGCCGGAATTGGCCTGCGTGGCGAGCTGGGAAGCTTCCTTGCGAGTGGTCTCGGAGATGATCGCCTTGACGTTCTTGTTGCGGCGCTGGGAGGGCCTCCAGTGTGGGTTACGGAAGGGTTTGGGGACCGCGGCGATGTCGAGTTGACTCAGAAGCAGCTGGTGAGCCTCATCGTCCTTGGCAGGAGTAGCGGGGGCCATTTTTGAGGTGTATAAAGGGGATTTCTGATGGATGTTCAAGAAGGGATGGTGAATGGGCGGAGAGCGTTGGAGGAGTGTTCCGTATATCTGCACGTGACCGTGGAGAAAGCCCAAACAACCCGCTGCCAACGAGCTTGCTCTGTCAACAAGAGTCGGAATAGTCGAGCATCTTGTTTCACCATGGTGAGTTGATAATGAAGCATATTGTTATCAAGTTACTCGAGTGTGCTGGCTAACAATAAATAGGAAAGCCCCCACGAGCACCAGCAGACGGTGCTGCTGTCGCGTATCATTACCAATGTTGTCAGTCACCATAAGTATACCTGAAGCTCTGGCAGTATCTCTAATCTCGAAACAGGAGAAACTGAATGAGGCCATTATGGTCATGAATAAGAGCCTACAGGTATGGGCTCAACACTACTATATTTTCTTGACCATTGCTGACAATCGCGTCTAGGAGGTCAACATTCAGAATATGAACGTCGAGCTGGTCGCCCAAATGTTCAAGAACTACCAGTCCAATGTCCTCTTCCATCTTGAAGGTCAGTCTTTTCATTCCAAACTTGATAGGTCCTATTCTAAATATCATTCCAGCTACTGAGAACCTCAAGGAGCCTTCCTAGGGGAATTGGGGAGAGATGTGTTAGAATTTACGACGAAATGCGCTTATGGATATCCAATTTACTTCTTCACTTCAGAGTCTCTATTCATTTCTTATGTAGATTTTGTATTCTTGAAATAGTACTTGCCTAGCTTGTCCTTGTAGTTGCGCCTGTTGCGGAGTTCAGATCGCAACAGGATAAGGTATCGGTTCTTGGCGCCTCCAACCTCGCCGACCCTACCGCGAAAGAGCGGGCCTCCGTCCGTTTGCCGCTTCACGTCTCAATTTCACCTCGCCCCGGCTATATACGACCAATTTCTCTTCTGCATCATCGCCTTGCGACAACCCTGCCATGTACTAAGCGCCACCTACAACCCACAACCTCGACCTGATCCTTGATCTCGAGAGCTCCTGGTTTCCGCGCCGGCGCAGCCCACAATGACCATCACCTCTGTGCAGACCCTCCTGCCGGGTCGCTACTCTGTCAATGTCACAGAGAAACGCACCGAAAAGCCTCCTCCTCAAACACACTCCGTTCGGGATTACCCATTCAAGGGCTACCAACCACCACAACCGGATGGATATGAGCAGAGCAAGGCTCATCCTGACACCAGCGCCATTGTTATCGACAATGGTGTGTTTCCCTGCATGAGAACCCCTGTCTATGTGCAATACTAATGTATTTATCTCCTGTGCAGGCTCTCACCTCGTCAAGGCTGGCTGGTCCTTTGACCAAAATCCACGATTCGTCCTACCCCCCGTCATGAGCCGCTACCGCGATCGCAAGCTCGGCCGTCAAGCCCACTTCGTTGGATACGATGCCTACGTTGATGCGACTACGCGTGGACAGCTGAAGAATGCATTCGATGGAAACTCCAGCGTGGTTGGTAATTGGGATGTCATGGAGGGAGTGCTGGATTATATCTTCCTCAAGCTAGGAGTTGACGGCGCAAACGGAGGTATTGACCGGCCAATCCTCATGACCGAACCAATTGCCAACCTGGGATATCCAAGAAGAAGTATGTTGGTCTTTTTAGCTGCCTCGCTCAACGATCCGAGCTGACAAATCCCAGTGATGAACGAAATTCTGTTCGAGTGCTACAATGCGCCTTCGGTGGCGTACGGAATCGACTCGCTTTTCGCGTATCGCTATAATAAAGGAACCGACGGTTTGATCGTTTCATCATCGCACACCTCTACGCATGTCATTCCTGTCCTCAATTCGAAACCGCTGCTCTCAAACTCCTCCCGCCTTAACTGGGGTGGTGTACAAACCGCCGAATACCTTACCAAACTGCTACGGCTGAAATATCCCACCTTCCCGGCGCGCTTGACCGAGACCCAAGTTGAGGAAATGGTGCACAAGCACTGTTATATCTCTGAAGACTACGATCGCGAGTTGAGTGGATACCTGGATTGGACTGGCCTGGAGGACCGTAATCATGTCATCCAATATCCCTTCACCGAGCATGTCGTCGTCGAAAAGACGGAAGAAGAACTTGCCCGAATCGCCGAGCGCAAGAAGGAGAGCGGCCGTCGGTTGCAGGAACAAGCGGCGAAGATGCGCCTCGAGAAGCTGGTGAAGAAAGAGCAGGAATTGGAGTACTGGAAAGACTTGCAGACTCGCCTGGCCACTGAGACCAAGAAAGAGATTCGCCGGGTGCTGGAGGCTGAGGACCTCAAAGACGAAGTTCATTTGGAACGGATGATTCGCGATCTCGAAAAATCTATCAAGCGCTCTCGCAATCGCGATCTGGGTATCGAGGAGGAAGAGCAGCAAGAGGAAATGAGCTTCCATCTGCTCGATGTTCCTAATGAAGAACTGGATGAAGCTGGTTTGAAAGAAAAGCGACACCAACAGCTGATGAAGTCTAATGTGGAGGCGAGGGCGCGCGCCAAGGCTGAAAAGGAGCGTGAGAAGGCTCGCATTGAGGAGGAAGAACGTCTTGATCGGGAGAAGCGTGAGAACGACTTTGAGAATTGGATTGCTGCGCGTCGCACCAACCGACAGGTAAGTCTTCATTTACCCCGCTGCTGGAGCTTTCGTCTAATAACGTCTAGAATCTACTGCAAAAAATTAAAGATCGGGAACGTTTCAAGGCTGATTTGGGCAATCGCAAATCCCTCGCCAGCCAAATGCGCATGAAGACCTTGGCCAACCTGGCCGCAGACGGACCCAAGAAGCGTCGTCGCGGTGGTGATGACGATGACTTCGGTGCCAACGACGAGGACTGGGGTGTCTACCGCACCGTCGCAAAGGACGAACAGAGCGATGACGAGGAGGAAGAGGACCTCGACGGCATGCTGAATAACGTTGAGCAGGAGCTGCTCGAGTATGACCCCGAGTTTACGGAGAACCACACCCTTGCCGCCCAATCAGACTGGACCAAGAGTCTGGTTCATGCATTCCTCCGTGGACCATGGCCATTTGACCCGGAGAGCCAACGCGAAGCCCACCAGATCCATCTCAACGTGGAGCGTATCCGCGTGCCGGAGGTTGTCTTCAAGCCGTCCATCGCGGGCGTAGACCAGGCGGGTCTAATTGAGATTGCGGCTGATATCGTCAACCAACGATTCTCCAACTCTGCAGACCGCGATCGCCTGCTGAAAGATGTCTTCCTGACTGGCGGGAATACCTTGTTCACCGGTTTCGAGGAGCGCTTCCGCAGAGAGCTGCGCGCGTACCTGCCCATTGACGCTGAGCTGGGCGTGCGCCGGGCTGCGGACCCGGTCATGGATGCGTGGAAGGGCGCGGCTCAATGGGCTGCGGGTGCTGATTTGGGCCGATCATCCGTGACTCGGCAGGAGTACTTGGAGAAGGGAAGCGAGTACATTAAGGTGAGTATTTCACTGTCATGTGTGGGGGATTACATCTCTCATCGCCTCGACTTTATGCGTTCTTCAGACTGACATTTACTTCTACAGGAGCACGATCTAGGCAACGTTACTTGGTAAACGTGGTCTAGCGAGAGGAGTTTCAAAACTTCAGGCGCAATGGAGTCGAGTTGCACGGGAGTCACTTACTACTGACTGGTTGGGTACTAGGGCATGATCATGTTCAGGAGGGTTGTTTCTTGATTATCAAAATCCATTCTTATTTGAAAAGGGACTACCTCTTAGCAGGACCCTGGCAGCAACGGCGTACTTTCATTAACTCTGCCCCTTGTAGTTTAAACAAAACAGTCGCCCGCAAGGAGACCACTCTAATTTCCGGGGTATTACTCTCCCCTTACATCTCATCGACATCTATGTATCTCTCATGCTCATCTATCTATGCTGGGGAGCCGTTCTGTCTCAGACATATGCATCTCCAAACAGTAGTCGCTTTTAGCCAGCGATAATCCTCAACCTTAATTTCCAGTTTCCGTCTACTTTGGGACTATGTTTGCCAAGCAACTCTCCCGCTGGATTGGAACGGAATGCCCTCAAATTCTACTGTATTTGGACGGGACACATGACTTCCCCCTCATTTCTCATGCCAGAGCCGAATCATCCAGAATTCCTGTTTGCGCCAATAATTATGATTCTGTCTGAGTGGCGAGGCCCCGCGGCAACTGGAGGTTATTGATAATTGTTATTCTGATGCCAATGGGAACAGGGCTTTGTTGTACTGTAGACCTAAACTATTATACAGTAGGAGTGTGTACTCCGAGCTAAAGCCGTGTTGCGTCATGCCTTTCCGAGTTGGGATTCTTTTCCCTTTTGCTTGTGGAGATATGGACTAATACTTGAAGCTGGCTTGTTACTGTAGCTAGCGAGCTGTCGACTTCCTACCTAAGCGAGTCACAGAATACCTACATATCCGCGTACCCGAGTCGTCCAGTAACACATCGTCAGAAGAAGCTGAGATCATCCCACTGACGAGCTGCGAACTACAGTAACTGGCGATCTGCGGTCACTGCGGTCAAGAAAAGTGGGGAATGATTTTCTTCATCCTTCCCTCTGGACAGTTCTACAGTATACTTCCCTGGCTTGATAACTTGTTATACCCTACCCCATAAGAGTCATCTATAAACCCATAACTAGAACTAGTTATACTTTCCTATAATATAATCCAATATATGTCCTGTATGTCTTACGCTTGGCAACCCCAATTCCCAGTCCCTTCTTTGCTTTGACTTTTGCAATTTGTCCCAGTCCCAAGGGATGGCTCAAAGAACCACCCCTTTGATCCATGACAGCGCACCTACCCCCCGACTACCCCAATCATGAAATTGTCTACCGAGTAACTCACAAGGCTGAAAAGCCACTGTCGATCTGGATTGATGCAGGGAGATCCCCGCTATTGGGTGCTGGCTGCAGCCCAGTTCACAGGTCCAGTATACGCGAGCCGACCGATATCCAGTACGGAGTACCTATGTTGAGTACGGAGTACAGAGTTGATTATTATGATTTGTTCTTTTGTCACGATGCTTTCCTTGGTCGATTCCCGGCCCCCGTGCTGGGGTGGTGTGATGTGCTTTGCAGATGATTATTGGGTGATTAGCTTTGCCTTTTGAGGATATTTTGAATTGATGTGGGCTGGTCAGGTCGGGTAGCCAATTCGCCTTTGCCTAGTGTGTTAGCGTTAGTGTCCGTCTGATGTTTCCGCGGCGTGCCGACCAGGGATCCTACTGCCGCTTCTTCGAGTAAAAGTGAATTGTCCTATACACCGGGTTGTGAGCCTGTAGAAGTTTTGATTACTATTTTTTGACTTTTTCTTTTTTGCTTTTTGTCTTTCTGTGGATTCCTCCCTTGCGCACGAGGTCATGACATACCGATGATCTTTTCCCCTCTTTTCTCGTACCTTTCGGCTTTTTTCGATTGAATTTGATCGGCGCTGGGATGTGTATACCGCCCCGAAGAAGAGTATCTCGACATCTCTTTGAGAGAGCCAATATTCCAGATTGAGTATGCATATGTACTGGGTAATTAAATTGTAGACCTGGTCTCTAGCGACGGTTCGATAGTTCGTAGCTTCTTTTTGTAATCTTCAACCGGCAGCACTGACTTCATGCAGAGGCCATCATGACGCATCTGGGGAAAAACCCGGGCATTCCAGCTGCGCGTTATCCTTGCCCGGTCTGGCCCTGGCGTTCACGCTCCTGCTTTGACTCGGCGCTAGTCATGTTTGTGTCTCATGGTTCTGACGTCCGATCGAGCCGGTGCTGCCGTGGTGAGTCCTCGGGAAGGGGTCTTTGGGTTTTGCTTTGGACCGAGCAGGAATATAAAGGTTCCCTCCCAGCTTCGTTCCTTGGATTCGGTGTCCTTTTCTTTCTATTGTCACTCCACCTTTTGGATATAATCGAAGCCACAGGCTTTCAGCCTTTTCCAGACCACCACCGCCTTTTCGAAGTATATCTCATCGACAACAGATAACTATACAGTCCTAGTACCATCTCATACTCGTCGCAATGATCTTCTCAACTACTATCGCCAGACCACTACAGCTGGTCACCCGCACTCTGCAATGGTCCAGCGCCGTCATTGTCATGGGCTTGACCTCGTACTTTATCAAGCTAGGACCCACGGGCCAGCACATCATCTACCAGGAAGTCATCGTACGTACCCTTTACCCCTCGTCTATATCAGAATAAAAAGCAAAGATACTAACACTGAAGTTCTAGGCGGTTCTTTCCGTCGTATTCTTCATTCCAGCCTTCATCTCGCCATTCATGCCAACTGCACTGAGCAAATTCGTGTTGCTCATTGACGTTGTCTTCTCATATCTGTATGCACTCTCCTTCGGATTCGTGTTCCACTCGCATGTCAAGAATTGGTGATACTAACAAACGCTATCTAGCTGGTTGACTGCGTTCATCTTCGCTGCCCAAGACTACAACCAGCATTCGTGCTACTTCAATGCCCCACCTGGTGTATCCTGCAGCCGCAAGAAGGCCAATGAGTCTTTCATCTTCCTTGCTTTGTATGTCTGTCTTTTCCTGCCTGTTACACAGATCTGCATATTCCCCGCACCTCATCCTATTCCTTCTCATTCATCTTCTACTTGGTATTGCCTTATCCAATCGCTAACCCCGACTCCTCTAGCATCTTCACCTTCTTCGGCATGTTCCTCGAAGTCGCCGGCCTCTGGGCCTATCACAAAGGACACGCCACCACCGCCGCCCCAGTCGAGAAGCACGAGTCTGGTCCACGGCCTCCTCTGGATGCGCCAGTTGAGCAGCATGCTCCGGCGGGAACTGTCTAGATGGCTTGTGCCTACTAGGTATGTGGACTGGTATCGGGTTTATCTACTCTTGTCGGGTGGTATGGCAATGATACTTGTTTTGTGTACTGGGTGGTTTTGATGGACTGGATTTGGATTTGAATGTTTATGTCGTTATGGCTTGAGATTCCCCCTGTTTATTTCCTTTCTGCTGAGATGAGATTAATGTTTGATGGGTGGGAGGTTTGTGGGGGCAGATGTTGTTTGCATATAGCGTGAAGAGGCAGAGGTTAGGTTGGATGAGCGAGGGATACCGCTGCGACCTTTTCGAATTCGACTATTAGTATTTCCTTCCATTAATATAATAATCTCCTGTCAATGATTCTTTGTTTATCTTCTCCCTGCAGAATCGATCGGGAGTAAATTTTTCTGTATACACTCGCTCGGGTGCATGAAGGGCTGTCCTTTCGAAAACACCTAGACCTGGGCAATCCTCCTACGGAGCGTAGCTTCCTGAGAGAAGCGTTGTAGGTGTGGTTTGATTGTGAATATATGCGATTTTCGTTGGTCGATCTTGGGCGATACTGATTAGTTACTAGAGAAGAAGCCTGAAAGACCGAACATACACTCCGATAGTGATATCACAACCCTAAGAATCCAAAGGTGCTTGCTTCACCCGCATGTAAGACCGCCTGAAATCTCTGCCACCAAATCCACCAAAACTCATCTGTTATCTTGTCACAACTTCCTAGAATATATTCGCTATATGAACATAGAAATCATACAGAAGAACGGCGCCTTCAAACGAATTGATGGTAAAATGAGCTTTTCTTACGTTCAGAGTTTTGCCCGGCTGAATAGTATACTATATTCTAGGCAATAGCCAAACCGATACCAATCTCCGAATACGCCTAAAGAACTCGAGGAACTTAAAGCAGATTCCGATCGAAGACAGAGGCCCGGAACCTAAAATATATTAGTCTACTATATTTATAAAAACGCCTAGTCTCCTCGTATATATCGATAGAAATCTCGAAAAGCGGATCTCTCGCGAAGTTGAAACCTGCGAAATCCTTCGGAAGAACCCCTATCCGAATATTACGACTTATTACAGCTATAATAAAAGCTACAGTCGAGTCTCTACTTTATACTTCAAGCGATATATAGCTACGTTACTTAAGGCAGTTAATCCTTTACACCTGAACAAAGCCGCTTTCGTTTTAAGTGGCCGCGAACTAGTAATGTAGAGTATAGAAACTAGCCTTTAAGAGCTCTAGGCTACTATTAAATATCTTCACTCGCTTAGACTTTCTTTTTATAATATTAATCCTGCTAATATTATACTCGACGAGGAAGGTAAACTTATTCTTCTCGACTTCGCTAGCTACCGAAAGATTAGAGAGTCCCTCGCAGCACCGAAACAAAAAGAACATATTACTAGTATGACTCTACTGTGGACATTTCCATCGAAACGAATGATAATAACGCTTTTAAAGATCTGCAAACTTCGCTGATTAGATCAACGATTGAGGACTTCATTTTCCTATGAATCGCTTATATGTAGGATGCCAACAAGGAGCGGGTCGTCTGTTGAGCTAGAATAATGATGCCCACACAAAAGTGAACTACTTTTAGTTCTTTTCATACCACGTTTTCTTTTCGATCGAGGTACCTGCACGAAACGAGGGATGGAATACTCGTGAAGACGAGAGATGTTAGGTAAGGGTTCGGCATTACCGAGATATATTTCTCCTATTCCATCCACAACCAACACAACATCCACCTATTCAACCCATCCCATCTCATGAGTGACCTTTGCAAAAAAACATGAAATAGTGATAAACAACCGCCAGCGAAAGGGTGTATCTTATGCAATACAAGCAACAAGCCAAGACCGAATAAAAGAGAAAAAAAAGGAGAAAAGCCAGGTAGTAATGCCATGCCATGGCATCTCAACAAAAAACAAAGCCAAGAAAAGAGGTATTCTTTAATGAAACACCACATACAAAACCATAACACCGTGATAAAAATGCAAGTATATCAGTGAAGTCGCCATAAGACATTGAAAACGGACGGACCCAGGTACGGATCGTGAACGCGCTCGTTCTGGCAGTATGCATGCGTCGAAGAACAGTCGGTCCACTCTAAATACTAGCACGACGGGGAGCCATCGTACGCCGCAACTTCCTCTTCTCCTCCGTCTCCTCAGGAATCGGAAGTGAACCCTCATTCTTGAGGCGGTCGAGGAAGGCCTTGCCATAAGTATACCCGACCTGATAAATTTCGTCGAATTTGCCAAAGTCCAGTGTCCCATAGGGATCGATGGGCGGACGCATGTACAGACAACCCGCTGTGCTCTTCGCCCGCTCGAGGTTATCGATTGAAGAGACGTAGGCGAGGCGGGCTTGGATTTCGGAGAGGGTGGGTGGGTTTGGGATTGAGGAGAATGGGTTCCATCTGTTGAGCATGGACCAGAAACCGGATAGGGAGTCGCCGTAGCCTTGGGGGTGTTGTCGTCCAGGGAGCCGACGTCTACGGCGAAGATGACGTCTGCGCCGAGGGATTTCATGTGTGCTACTGTTAGATTGTCGATGTATCCGCCGTCGAGAAGCATGCTGCCTTCGTCGCAGATGGGGGGAATCAGGCCGGCGAGAGACATCGAGGCACGAACATAACGCCACACGTATCCGGAAGAGTGGTACTCGGCGCGGGAGCGGCTGATGTTCGTTGTATTGCAGTAGAACTCGAGCCAGAAATCTTCAATCTGGCTGTCACCAAAGGTCTTGAAGATACCGCGGTTGAATTCGTGACCGGTGGTGTATGAGACAGTTGGGTAGGTCAAATCAAGTGCGAACCGCCACATACTCCCCATGCGACCGGAGAACTTCTTAGCGCGACCATACATTGGGACTACATCTGCGTCCCGTGCATACAGAGCGCCAATGAAGGAGCCGATGGAAGTGCCGCCGATGATGTCGATCGGAATGCCAGCCTCTTCAAGTGCTTTGATCACACCGACCTGAGAAATTCCCCGCGCACCGCCACCACCTAGGACAAGGCCAACAGACTTGCCGCATAGTCGCCGGGCTAGACGATGGAAATCCCCCTTGAAAGGGGTCTGCGACGAATAGAGCGGGGTTTGCTGGATTCGTCGAGAAGTGTACTTTTGGATTTCAGCCTGCAGAATTTGCACGCGTTGCTTGAGGACAGTGCCAAACTTCTTAGTCTGTGGATGCGAGGGTTCTGTTGTGAGGCGGAACGCCATCTGGATATGGTGGTGGCCTCCATTGATCCACACTCGGTTCTTGAGCCAGCCGCGAGTCAGTCCAGGCGAGCAGTATCGCTCGGCATGCAAAAGCACAAGCTCTTTCCGAGCGGTCGTCTTCATGCCCAGAAGGAAACGCTCATACTCGCCAATTCGAGGCGACGATTCGGCGAGTCCGACCAACAAAATCGAATCTGCCTGCGCAATACAGGTCTGCGTCCAGGGAGAGTTGACATTGGTATCCGCGATGTACAAGACAAGCCCATATTTCTCTTCGAGATCGGCAAGATACTGTGACAGCTTCAGCTTCCCCATTTTGCTGAACGCGTGTCGTCCCAGGTGGTTCAGGATGGCAGCCTGATTGAGCGAAGTCACTCCTCTGGTCACGCCAATCTGATGAAGCGCATTGAGCAGACGGTGTCCGAATTCGACCACGGGGACACCCGCTGTGACCGGGAGAATCGCCACCGTACGAAGGTTGACAGTTGATGTAGCAGTCTGAACACCCCCAACGTGGCCCTGTTCGATACCCTTCTCGGAAAGGGGATGCTCGACCAGATCACGCATGCGTTGAGCGATCAATTTGGAAACCTGAATCGTAATTCCAGGATGCTCCTGCGCCAAGCTGTTGAACAGCGAGCGGGGGAACTTGGCCAGTTCGGTGTCTCGAATGGCATGTAGAGTAGCAGGGCGAGTGGACTCGGTCATGACCTCAAGTTCACCAACACTCTCGCCCTGGCCGTACTCGCCGATGACTGTCATTTTACCCTTGGAGCCTTCCAAGACAGACCGCAGTCGGCCATTCAACACGAGATAGATGGCATCACTTTCGTCTCCTTGGTGGTAAATCACCTGGCCCGCATTCACCTGTACCCATTCCAGGGCAAAGTCAATGTGTAGCAACAGACGCGGCAGAAGACTAGTCAACCTCTTTGCCAACGTGAGCAAGGCAATCGGATACCTATCCGCGATTCTCTCCAGAGACGCCCGGGGAAGGAATCCAACATAGACATCAGTTTTGGCAACCACATCAGTGTAAGACCGGTAGGAGGCGAGAGCACCGACGTAGCCTTGGATGCCCCCGGGCTTGATCAGGTAAAGCGATTTGCGCGACTGATTCTTGCGCCGTGAGTCGCCGGGGCCATTGGAAGCCGACGCGCGAGAGGAGTCCGTGGAGGTGCGTGTCAGGTTTGGGAACAGCTCTTCCTGGGCTTGCGAGAGCGGTCCATCAGATGGACGAGAGGTGCCGACCAGATCATCACCTCGCTCGTTGACCGGGATGCCAACGTCCAGAAATCCGTCAATAACATAGTAAAGACCGGGATGGCGCTCGCCCTGCTCCACAAGAACCGAGCCCTGGGGGAAGTAGACAACTTCGATATCGTGGCGTAGATCCTCGCGAAGGTTGACGACCGGTGAAGTTCCCCCAGCGCTGGTCACGGACATGGACATCATTGACTCGGTTTCGCCATCCCCCGATCCCTCATATGGATCAATAAACCCGAATGCATTGGAAAAGACTGCCTTCTGTCGACGAGAGTCATAAGACAGCAACCTGGGTGAAGCGTCGCCAGAGTTGTGGCTACTCTTGCGCAAGGCATCGCTGGTACCCTCAGTCAGACCAATGGCTTTCATCATGCAATCCAAGATCGACTCGCGGAACAGACTGTCCTCGTCGAGTGAATCTTTACGCTGGAACGGAGACGGGCGCAGGTCCTTGCCTGCAGCTTGGAACAGAGGGCGTTCCCTCTCGGTCAGGGGACTGTGAAGCTGAGGGCTCAGATGGTCACCGCGCGGGCCAAATCGAGAAAGCTGGATAGTAGAGAGCAGATCACCAGGACTAGGTCCCATCAGATCCCGGTCCATGAAAGCAGCCGGTTGTCTGTGCGGCGTGAGCGGGACGGGACGGCCATTAGCCATCACGCGGGCCTGCAGAACAGCTTCCTTCCTAAGAATGCTGCTAGAGCGCCGTCTTCGTCCAACAGAGGGGTTGTGCAGAGCGATCCCCTTGCAAACCTCCTCTGGTCCCAATCGATCCCTCTCACGCATGAACTTGTCCTTGAGACGATCCAGTGCACTGCCTCGTAGATCATTTGGAAGATCCCAAGTAGTAAACTTCGAGACTTGTCGTTCAATTCCCAGCACATCCGTTGTCAAGCCGAGGTAGGAATGGGCAGTCGCAAATGTCACGCGTTGGAGACGCGTCAGGATGACCTGAACGATATGCGCAGTAGCTCTGGGGTAGACCCGAGTCAACCGGCGGAACGCGCTAGCGGGAATGATAGCAATGGTAGTATCTACAGTAGCTCGGGCGACGATATCTGGATGGACAGACTTGCGACGCTTCTTGTTCTGCCGGTTGAGGTCGGGCTGAGGCGTATTGTTGGGGGCGCTGTGACTTTCTCCTAGATGGAGGGGAGGCACTGCCGGCAGTCCATCCGTACGGCCATTACTCGTCGCAAAGACCTCGCCATAATCCTTAACCATGGGCAGAGGGCTCCCAATCACCCCGACGCTAGGGCTGACAGGAACGGATTCAGCACGGAAATGGGTCGGGTCGGGTCCCGCGCCAGAAGTACTCGAGCTAGAGCTTCGCGAGTTGCGAAGCTGAATGTCTTCCGTAAAGAGAGACAAGATGGAGAAGAGAGACGACATTGAAGCGCCATTCTTCACCTCGGTGAGCAACTGGTATCCCTGTCGACCATGCACATGGTTGTCCTCTTCCTCCGACGTAGCATCATCATCATCATCATCATCATCCAGATGTAGGTTCTCCTCCGAGGAACCCATCTTGTTGCCCTGGCGGGTAGACTTGACGAAGATCTGAACCAGCCCATCAACCACTAAACAGAAGCCCTTCTCTTCCTCGAGCATGAGGGTCTCTCCCGCAATCAGCTTCCTTGTCTGCATGGTCCGCGTCAATTCGTGGAAGACCGGTCGTTCCAGATATCCAAAGACCTTGATCGCGCTGAGGAACTCGTCGAGGTAATTGGCCAGCCCTGGTTTCGAGTCACCTTCTTGGATATCGGGGAACAGGTCGATTTGCGCTTCTTTGCGTTGGGGCTCTGGGGGTAGACGGCTATACATGTTCAAGAACCGGTACCGGATGAACCAGCTGACTGTCGAGACGAGGGCAAGGATGATCAACATGCTAAAAGAGTGAGCAATTAATCAGTTACTGGTCAAATCCGTCGACATCCCAGTGATCTAGTTCTCGAGGGAGGGGTAAGTCTAATAGCTTACAGGGTAGTGAAGTTCATGGTGAACGTCAAGCTCATGGAAAAGAGCGTAAAGAGCCATGTAGGCAGTGTGATGGTGGTGAAGGCAATGATCCAGTATAATCCACGTGGAATCACCTGGAAGATGAAGGTGAACACCCAAGTAATCCACCCCGCCATGGTTGAGGGAGTTGGAGGGAGGAAGGGCGGGGGTGGTGGGTGGACACGGCGGATAGAGCGGTAGCAGCAGTAGCAGCAGTAGCAGCAGCAGTTGGAGTAGAGACAGTGGCAGCTTCTGCAGCAAGTGAAAGAGCAGAAGGAGCGGAGGCAGCAGCGGCGGCCGAGATCAGGCCGGTTGACGAGGATGAAGCCGCCGACGTTAGACTGAGGGTCAGGGACGGGGCCAGGCTGTTGGCCATGGTTGGCGACTTGGGCGCTGGAGGAGGGTCGGACGGACCCAAATGTGGTTAAGCTGGGAAGGCTGGGCTCCGCTTCCTACTTTTTGTGTCGAGCTGAAGATGCCCGACCGACGTCAGTCCAACTCAAAATCGAGCCTCTCAGGGCCCACGGACTAGAGGGGCATCGGAAACGTGCGGGCCCTGTCGGCGGTGGATGGATGGATGGTGAAGGAGGAGAAGAATGAGGGGAAGAGAACCAAAGTGGTAAGAATAACAAGAATATAATGTCCGATGTACATCCCCGACCGAGGCAGGCGGTGGTGTTGCGGATCACGAGCTGATTGCTGGCAGTGGGCACAGACCAGCCCTGGATACTCGGAGGAGTATTACGAGAGTGAGGACTAGCGTACGAGAGGACATAGTATATCCGAGTGATAGTAGTAGAGTACAGAGAATCCTATACTACCCTCAGACTATCGGACGAACGGTAGACCAGTCAATCACAACGTGCCTCGATCGACGCGCCTGGTTTGGCTACTGAGTTTAGGTGCAAGATAGTTCCAGACTCGGCCGGAGGACAAGAGAATGTACGAACGATCCACCAGCAGGAACATGCAGAATCTACTCAAAGAGTCTAATATCCACAGTTCCCATCAACCTCACATTGAGTCATTCCTGATCTATTTATCTATACCTTGGAAGAATCAATAGTTCGATCGAAGGAGTCGATAGAGAATAGTATGTATAGGATGTACCCTGCTGCCTTCTATATAGTCCACCGAGATATCTTCAATGACTATAGTCGATGACCATCTCTCCTTACTGCTAGTTTCCCACCCGGATGAGACTGATGCTCATTATTCTTCCGTCGCAGCATACCTATAGCGTTGATGCTGATCTTGCGACTGGAAGAACAGCATCCCGGGACAGTCATAACAACACACTGGTGGATGATTGATTCAAGCTCGAGAACGATACCGTATATGTGAGTCTTTAAAGAGCTAGCTAGATTGCAAACTATGAAGAGAGTTTTTTTGCTTCAAATATCCAGTCCGAGATCCCATCGGAGTGTCATGAATACCTAGCCCAAGATTAGGTACTGGAGTGGCCTAGCCCTACCTACAGTAGGTACCAGATACTGGAGCTGAGGTGGAGGAAAAGAATAACTTTATTCATACAAGCTTGCATCTTCCGACGACCGATATCGAAATGCTCCCGTTGACTCACTGACTGTAACCTAGGCCAGCCTGTTGAACATTTTCCTTCCAAGTTGCGGACCTTGAGCTGGCTGCATTGTATGTATATTCTCCGTGCAGTCCATTGTTTGGCGACATTCTATTCCTACTATCCATGAATACTTATACCTCTTAATCATAAGACGGTAATTGAATCCAGAATATGTCCTAAAAAGCATTTCTAACCTCCTTCAAGACCAGAGTAAACGTATACCCCATTCTAAATATGGCCGCGACAAACTATCAAAGCTGACGTGTGCAATTCCCTGTTGTCTTGGCATCCCATATGGCAGGTTAACCACTCGGCGAGCTTGGCTTTACAGCCTACAGCGCCGAGACTCTCTCCATGCTTCCGCCTCCGCCTCCGCTCTGCCACTCATCTCCTAACTCTTCTGCATCTACGCCCTTTTTCTCCTCGGCTGCTTTGATCTGGTGGTCTTGGTGGTCAAAAGACCTGCCGCGGTGATGTTTCAGGTACGTTCTCCCCCGAAGCATCGCCCACGCGAACTCCGCAACGTGTGCGACGGGGCGACCTTCCCATACTAACGAACCCGCTTCCCAGCGCCTCCGCGAAGCCATCGACTCTCGCATCGCAGAGGAACAGGCACGCCAGAAGTCTGCCCAGGATAATATCTCGAGATCGAATTCTGCTCGTCGCCCGCCCAATACCAATCTCTCCCCCGGTCAACGTTCCCGCCCCCGACGCAACACGGGGACCCCTGTCCGCGGACCGGACCCTAAAGAATTCGAGGCCGAATTTGCGATCGGAGATGATGAGGATTCGAGTCGTTCGGCTACGCCGCGTTTAGAGACGCCGGACGATGCTTCGGAGGGAACGGCTACTGTTGAGACGGAGCGCAGCGAGGATGGCGAGAAGAGTAAGACAAAGGCGCCCGCTGCCGATGCATCCGGAAAGGAGACTACCTCCGTAGAGAAGGGGGCCGCGAGTCAGACGACGTCCGAATTGCCGGCAGATGTGAGGGGAAAGTTGCGGAGATTGGATAAACTGGAAGCTCGATACCATGGTATGGACAGTTTGCCCGGTCATGACGATGTGGAGGGGGTCCAGATCACTAATGCTGTTTTGCAGAACTCCTCAAGGCATACCGTGCGGCGCATTCGCGTGTCCTCTCGATCGAACCCTTCGAAGCTGCTCTGCGCGAAAACACCCCCCTCACGTCAATCGCCGAGCCCAAAGCCCTTACGGAATATCTCAATCAGATGTCGCTGAAGAGTGACATGATCCTTGATGAGCTGAAGCGGGTCACAACCGATCGCGATGACTACAAAAAGAAGCTAGAGGGGGCCCAAAAAGCTACCAAGGCTGCGCACGACGAGTTGACCGGTCTGAAGACGGAGAAGGAAGCATCTGTAAAGGAGGCGAAGAAGTCACCCGAACAGAAGGAAGAGGCTAGTGAGGAATTCTTCTCCTTTGATAACGAGGTCCCCCGACTGGAGGGAGAATTGAAGGAGAAGCAGGAGGAGGTCGACACTCTGAAGACGGAAGTGGATAAGCTTAAGAAGGACCTTTCTGTTGCGCGCGAGTCTACAGAAGGAATGGTTCAAAGCTTGGAGACATCAACCCGAGAGCTGGTGGAGTTGCGTGACTCCAAGGACAAGCTTGATGCCGAGATCAAGACTTTGAAGACTTCAAAGGAAAAGGATGTCGAGGAGCTCAAGACCAAACTTGCCGATACCGAGTCGTCTCTGGAAAAGGCTACTACCGAGGCTGAGAAGCTGAAGACCGAGTTGAAGGAGAAGAGCGAAGAACTTGAGAAATTGCAGGCACAGGCTGCTCAGACGGACAAGACAGAACCAAAGGTCGACCCGAAACTACTTGAACAGCTGGATGAAGCTAAGAAGGCGAAGGATGCCAGCGAGAAGAAACTTGATGTCGTGCAAAAGTTGGTAGACACCTTCAAGTCGCAACTCAAGGAAGCCGAGTCGCAAGTGTCGAACCTCAAGAAGGAGGTTGAGCAAAAGGCCGAGACTTCTTCCAAGCTTAAAAAGATCGTTGACTTTGTGGAGGGAGGTCTGAACGGGAATACCGCTTGGAAGGCTGCCAAGGAGAATGTCGCTGCTGGCAAGACGGCCGATTTCGAGGAGATCCGCAAGAGCCTTGCTCCAGCTGAGAAGCCCGTGGAGTCAAATGTCCCTGCTCCACCAGCCGAGGTTGAAACTCAAACCGCTGCCAGTGGAGGCGCTGGCAGTAAAAAGAAGAACAAAAAGAAGAAGAAGGGAGGAAAGGCTGCAGAGGAGGCTTCCAAACCGGAAGAGACGACCGCCGCAGACCAGTCCGTCAAGGAAGCGCCTGCGCCATCGTCCTCCTCTGCTGATCACGACGAGCTCAAGAAAAAGATCGAGTCTCTGACCCAGCAGCTATCCGAAAAGGAGGCGGCGATCGACCGCCTCAGCGCGAAGCTCAAGGGCGAGGAAGATCTGAAGGAGGAGATCGAGTCTCTGCGGGATGATCTTGTCAATGTCGGACAGGAGCACGTCGAAGCCAAGGACAAGATCAAAGAGCTCTCTGCCGAAAAGTCTGCCCTGGAAGAAACCATTAACAAATTGGAGAAGGAGCTGGCCGAGGTCCGCACGAGCAACGCTTCTACCTCTGCCGGTTCCGAGAAGTTACACAACGATTTGAAGGATGAGTTTGAGCGTCTCAAGACTCGGTCAGCCACCTTGGAAACCGATCTCTCTGCTGCACAGCAACTGGCTGCTACGCGGTTCAAAGATCTCACCGACCTGCGGGAGACGCTTCAAAAGGTCCAGCCTGAGCTGCGTAATCTGCGCGCTGAATCATCAGAGTTGAAGACGATCAAGGAGACTCTCACTAGCAAGAATGGCGAACTGAGGAACCTTGAATCTAAATGCGATGACCTCCGCGCTGAGCTCAAGTCTGCCAAGACCAGGGTATCCGAGCGTGATTCAGAAGTCAATACTTTGAACAAGAAGATCCGCCAAGAGACGGACAGTCGCCTCAAGGCCGAGGAGCAGCTCACCGTTGCCCAATCCGACCTGCGATCAGCCGAAGCTAGAAAGCAGGACGCTATTAATGCTAAAGACAAGACGGCGGGAGACTTGAGCAAAGCCCAGGATGGGTTGAAGAGTTCACGTGTCAAGATTCGTGAGATGGAGGACCAGATTTCCCAGTTGAGCAAGGAGGTCGACGGTCTCAAGGAGGAGACTCAACTAAAGACCGCACAACACGCGAGCGCACAGAGTCTCATGGGCAGCATGCGTGATCAAACTGCCGAGGTGGCCATGCAGATAAAGGAGGTAAAGGAGCGTTGCGATAGCCTGGAGGAAGAACTGGCTGACGCTCATCGTCTGCTGAACGAGCGCACTCGCGAAGGTGAGACCATGCGCCGACTGATCAATGATATTGAAAGTCGGGCCGAAGCCAAGGTGCGCGACTTCAAGGAGCGAATGGAAGCTGCGGTCGAAGAGCGCGATCGTGCCGAAGATGAAGCCAGCACCCAGGGTCGTCGTCGCGCTCGGGAAATGGAAGAATTAAAGGCCAAGTTCCGCGAAGCCGAGCGCACACTGCGTACCGCCGAAGAAGACAGAGAGAACCTCGAGCAGTCGCAGAAAGACTGGCGTCGTCGTCGCGATGAACTCGAGTCTCAATCGGAGCGCTCGACCGAGGAACTCACCGAGATCCGTCAAGCCATGGCCTTCCTCCGCGAACAGCTGGACGAAAGCGAGAAGCAAGTCCGCGACCTTGAAAAGGAAAAGGCTGAGCTTCGCCGCTCCGTCGAGGAAACGAGCAACCGGCTCGAAAAGCTACGCCGCTCTCACAAGACGCTGGGTGAAGATGTCCGCCTCCGTGGAATGGAGTCTGGTCGCCAATCTTCACGGTCATCGATGGACTCTGGTTCTCGCCGGCCCAGCGGTGTTCTCTCCCCGCCCCCGCAAGACCGCAGCACGTCTAGTCGGAGAAGTGAGACTCCCTCCGGTTCTGGGGCCGGGCCTAGCGGGTCGATTGACTATATGTACTTGAAGAACGTTCTGCTACAGTTTATGGAGCAGAAGGATAAGAGTTATCAGAAGCAGTTGATCCCCGTATTGGGGATGCTGCTGCATTTCGACCGGTATGTACAATCCGTTCTATTTGACCCAGACATCAAGACTAATTAAGGCCTAGTACCGATGAACAAAAGTGGATGTCAGCTATCATGTCACGCTGATTTTGACTTGTCGCATGTGCCTTGTTTATCATCACCTTATTACCCATTCTCGATGTATAATATCCACCGTTGCTAGTATTTATTCGATCCATGCAGAGATATTTGAAGTCTCTGTAATCAATTACATGATGTGCAATGTAACCCGCTAGTTATCATTTTCTTTAAACATGGGACTCCGCGGATATACTTCAGAGAATATCATGATCATGGGAGATTCCCATTGGGATATTTCCTTCTGGTGATGTCTATGCGTCTCTTCCTCTAGATATTTCCAGCACCAGCGTTTACCGTTTGCCCGAGGTCTATTTAGACCTCGATTTGCCTTTCTTCGTCTCTTCTATCCATAGTTTTCCGAGTTAGTCGATCCAGTGTGTTTCCTGCATCTCTTCCTATGTGTAGTGGCGAGATCCGCCACCAGAGGATCTCAAGAAACTCCAGAGGCCAAACTGATCCGAATTCTAGTTTAATTAGACCGTGTATCTCTGCTACGTCTGTGACTTTTCGCCATCTTAGTGCTTACGCGCTGCCACTGACATAGCGAAGAAGTGAGTGGGTCAGTTTCGGTGTCGGCAACTACCGAAGTGGCCCCCGAGACCATAAAACCCCAATGCTGCTGCTCCAAATTTCTCCAAATTTCATTACCAATTGCTCTTTCTTTTCTTCACACGATATCTACACTCTCTATACTCTTAAAAATGGCCGACCAACCTACTATCCGCCTCGCGACGGCAGAGGGTACGTTCTATCCTTTCCCACCTAGCTCTTGAATCCGCTTCAAATCCTCCCTTCATCGCAAGTCTTACGCTACTACCACTAACCCATCCTGTCGCAGACGTCCCAATCATCCTCCAATTCATCCGCGAACTGGCCGACTACGAAAAGGCCCTGCATGAGGTCGAAGCCACCGAAGAATCCCTCCTCGCCACCCTCTCCTTCCCCAATGACCCGCCCAAGCGAGGCTCCGTCTACACGGCCCTAATCATCCCCCCGCCCACCGCCGCCAACCCGTCCCCGATCCCCGTCGGCATGGCCCTCCACTTCTACAATTATTCGACCTGGCGCTCCGCACCGGGCATTTACCTCGAGGACCTTTATGTCCAGCCCGCTGCGCGGGGTAACGGCTACGGCTTCAAGTTGCTGAAGTACCTGGCGAAGCAGGTGTTGGAGGTCAAGGGCCGCCGGTTGGAGTGGAGCGTGCTGACGTGGAATACGCCGAGTATTGAGTTTTATAAGCAGGTTGGCGCGAAGCCTATGGATGACTGGTTGAAGATGATGCTGGAAGGGCCGGCGTTGGAGAAGTTGGCTGAGGGTGTGTAGATGGCTTGGATGGATGGGATTGGTTTGTGATTCATGGGTTACGATATAGCATATTTGGACAGAAGTAGTATTTTGAGTCTTCGTTAGACTCGGTTGCATTTTCTTTGTTTCACGTTTACTGAGGTCAAGCTTTTAACGACCATCGAGTATATGGAGACCCTTGGACACTTCCACTGTATGTCACTGGAACCAGGACTGGAACGTCCTCTGAGATGCAAATACCATCAAATCACTTACAAAAAGTGTCCTATCAGATACAAGCACCGTTATATTTGCCTGAATAATGTAGTATCTAATTGCATCGACAGTAAATTCGCGAGGTATACACCCAAAACTTGGTTTGTAGTGTGCTCAGACTTCGCTAGTACGAGGTGGATATATACTCCGCTCTCGATCCATAGTATGCACTTTGGATAGCCACGACGACGATACTAGGCTACGTTAACAGAGTAATCATCTATTAAGAATTCCAAGAGGTTGCCTGTAGGAAATATATGTGCCTGAAAATAATCACACTGTTCCATCAGCCCGTGGTTGAACCTTCGAGGACTGTTCTCCTAACCAAAAGGTCGGGGACCAAGCTTTGCGGTGACGTCGTGCAGTGACCCGCCGATCGGACGTGCATCTGAGGCCCAAAAAGGTGACGACAACCTTTTTCTCCCCTCCCTTCCAACCCTCATCTCTCTCTAAATTTCAATATCGCCATGGCGACTGCGACCGAGGCAAACGCGTTGGGGTACAATTTGAAGGTGGATTATGTGATACACTACAGCTTCGGTGATTCAGGTATGTCGCCAGCCTCGGTAGCTGGAAAAAACGTGGTTGGACGCCCCCCGACCGGAGGAGCTGAGCGGAGTTGTTAATGCGCTATCTTTCCACCCCCAGACCAGGCGCAGGCCATCGCACAGCTTGAGAAGCTGCTTCGGACCCTTGCCAATGTCGGATTGCAATCTGAGGTCCGCCAGGGCGATGAGGCGTCGCTGCTCGTCTTCGTTCGAGCTTCGAAGAGGCGGCTCAACCGGGCGGTGTATCGGTCGCGGTGAGTTTGTGTGGCCTCTGTGGCTTTCCCGCGACATGATCGAGATCTAGCGAGTCGCAATACTAATATCACCTCCTGTCAGGGTACGCGACTGGCTCTATGGTATTCGAAATGCAGAACCGGAGCCAGCGAGCTCTATCGAACCTCAGAACGAAGCGGAGCGACTGCGGGTGATCAACCATATGATCACACTCCCCTCCGAAGAGGGCGGTGCCGGCATCACTCCGAACCACGGTGAATGGAAGAATATTACTGGGCTCCTACCGCTGCACGACGAGGAGACCAACAAGAAATGGCTACACGAATGGAGCCAGAAGACTTTCCTCTCGGAAGAAGACTTGGATCAAATTCGGGACAAGTTCGGGGAGAGCGTGGGATTCTACTTTTCCTTCCTCCAGTGCTACTTCCGGTTCCTGATCTTCCCGGCTGTATTTGGATTCTCGTGTTGGTTCCTCCTTGGAGGCTATTCGATTGTGTATACCTTGGTTAATTCGTTGTGGGGCATTGTCTTTGTCGAGTACTGGAAGAGGAAGGAGGTGGACTTGAGCTGCCGCTGGCAGACCAAGGGTATTTCAGCGGTACGGACGAATCGGCGCGAGTTCAAGCCTGAGAAAGAGGTTCGCGATGAAGGTACTGGGGAGATGCGGGGTGTATTCCCTGCGACGAAGCGCATGCAGCGCCAGCTTCTTCAGATTCCATTTGCGCTGGTCTCTGCTATTGGGTTGGGAGTCATCATTGCAACTTGCTTTGCGATTGAAATCTTCATCGCTGAGCTGTATGATGGCCCTTTGAAGAGCTACCTGGTATGGACGGCCTGTTTCCCTGCTCAAAGTTATCATGTTCTACACTGACTGATGGCCACAGATCTTTATCCCGACCATTCTTGTCTCTGCGCTGGTGCCCACTATGAGCGCGGTCCTAATGTCCATTGCAACCAAGCTCAACGACTACGAGAACCACGAGACCAACGATGCTTATGACACTGCACTGACCCGGAAGGTCTTCGTGATCAATTTCATCACTTCCTATCTGCCAATCCTCCTGACGGCATTTGTCTATGTGCCGTTTGCCAGTCACATTGTCCCTTATCTGGACATCTTCCGCCTGACTGTCCGGCCCTTTGTGTCTAAGGAGCATGCTACTGCCGATTGCTCATCGTTCAAGATTGATCCTCATCGTCTGAGGAACCAAGTCATCTATTTTACCGTCACCGCCCAGATTGTTGGATTCGCCATGGAGACGATCGTGCCATACATCAAGCAGCACGCGCTTCGGGAATACAAAGAGTACAACAAGAAGCGGAACGGCAAGTCGGATAAGGATTCTCCTGAACGTTCACCCATCATGGCCTACGACGACCCAGTCGAAGAGAAGGAATTCTTGAAGCGCATTCGCAACGAGGTCGAGCTTCCCGTGTACGAAGTAACCGATGATCTGCGCGAAATGTGCATTCAGTTTGGTTACCTCGCGCTCTTCTCACCCACATGGCCTCTTGTCCCGCTATCATTCTTCATCAACAACTGGATCGAGCTGCGGTCCGATTTCTTCAAGATCTGCAAGGAATTCCAGCGACCCACGCCACTCCGATGCGATACTATCGGCCCCTGGCTAGACACTCTCGGTTTCCTGTCTTGGGTGGGCAGCATCACCAGCGCTGCGTTGCTCTACATGTTCAGCGGAGATTCTCAGACCGGCCCCAACGGACAGCCCACTGACATTAAAGGATGGGCATTGCTTTTGGTTATCTTCTTCTCGGAACATCTCTACCTGATTATCCGCTACGCCGTGCAGACAGCCATGAACCGACTCGAGCCTCCAAACGCGCGCAAGGAGCGTGGTGAGCGGTACCTCATGCGCAAGCGCTACCTCGAATCCACTCTCCAGGCTGAAGCCAATGAAGAACCCGCGGAAAAGGATCCCGTGTCGGAGACGCCGTCTGAGCTTACTCGCACCGCTCTCGAGGAGGACGCCCGTCGCAACTCTGGGCACTCGGCGGATCCAGCGGAGAGATTCTGGATGCGTCAGCGTGGCTGGTCTGAGTCAGCGAAGGTGGGAACGGGCATTATTCTGGCTCAGACCAGCAAGGGAGATAATGCCAAGAAGCAGCAGTAGGAGTGAGGTTGTTACGTGATAGAAGGTGTGTTTGATATCTCCGATTTGTGGATTATCTCGGTTCAGATTCTGTGAGATGTTCGGCGGTCTATTTTGGGCCAATCAACGGTATTTGCGCTTAGAGATTATTGATTTGTGTACGTATAACTATGACTCGCAAGCTTGACGAATTCCAATCGGAGTACACGACTGAATGCGGCTGGTTGATGGATCATGCAAAAGCCCGAATCGATCTAGTCACGTGTGACAATCCCTTCCAGCATTCCAAACTCTAGTCACCTAAACCTTAGATAACGAAGTTAGGTGACGTAAGGCTGAGTCAGCTCGGAGTGACCGAAAAAGACCAGTCAGGGAAGGTGTAATGTTTAGAGATTGGGCGGAAACTTGAAGCTCTCTAGCCAGCAGGTTGAATTGATCATGTCCTGGGCGCGGATTACGGTGAAGAAATGGTACTGCTTGGTCTGCTAGTTCTCTGTGGCTTCGAACTATGACGTTCTCAAAAACAGGCAGAATTTGACATCGGGCTTCAGATGCGGCCGGGGTTGCTAGGCACAAATTGTACCGTCTTACTCACCGCCCAATAGTTTTGCTTTAGCCTCTCCACGTGATGACCAGAGCTCTCCCGAGACCGCCTACTATATCCGGCAAGTCATTTTCGGAATAACAACACGCCGAATCAGTCGCCATGGAGGCTCCGGACCGAGAAAGCCTTAAGTAATCTCTTCCCTCCCCGTAACATCCTCCCGCCTGCTTACAGCATCTTCATCCTGCTTACCTCATATCGAAGGTCTACACCAGAACCACCATCACCACGCTCATCTGGAGGATTGGACAAGTGCCCTGAAAGTCACTATCCAAATCTCGATCGCTGGACATCATATTTTGAACCATATCCATGCAGCCTGCGTTGGCACCAGCTCCGCATCCCAGCATGCAGAACCCTGCTCAGGTAAGCAACCTATCCTCGACGCGTTTGTCATCAGATCGATCGTCCCGAGCCAATGTACATCGATCAGATGGCCGCATGGCGGATGGACAGGCACCTCCTGCGAACGAGACACGTCGCGTCGTCGCGTCGCAGTGACCGTCTCATCTTGCCGCGCCGCTCCGGGTGTCGCCGTCGATTTGGCACTTTTTGTACTGACGTATTCATCGCAGGACCATGCGGATCAGGGTACGTGATCTATACAGTTCCACTGGGTAGCTACCTGGGGTCACTGTGATCGGATGGGAGGTCCTGTCATGCCCCGCCAGGGTACTTGGGCAGTGATCACCTTCCCCCGACTGTAGACAGGGGCCTACGCCTTAGCATGTGGGGCGCAATGGCGCGTATCAAATGCTGACTAGATCCTTATTTCAGTGCTCCATGACCAGCTGCTCGCAGCGCAGCATAGCATGCACCGTCCGCAGGGTGGACCGGTCCAGCAGCACCTACAGCCCAACACTGCCAGCCCTCGTGACCAGGCGAACATCGATCCTGCCATCTCTGGTGCTATGATGGCTGCTGCTCCTCAGACTCCTACCCAGCCTCAACAGGGCTCGCCAGATGATATTAACCCCAAGAACTACGGCAAGCGCGAGCTGTCAACCTCCAAGCGTGCCGCTCAGAACCGCGCTGCTCAGGTATGTGATCATTCTTCCGCGTTGCGGGCCTCCTCACCGTGAAGCGACACAGCTAATTGGCTTTACAGCGTGCTTTCCGCCAGCGCAAGGAAACTTACATCCGCAAGCTGGAGGCCGAGAACAAGAGTGTCGAGACTCTCCGTGAGCAGATTAAGGCTCTGCTGCATGAGAACTATGCCCTCCGTGAATACACCGTCACCATGCAGGGCCGTCTCATCGACGCTTCACTCGATGTTCCCGAGCCCCCACCAGGCATTGATCTCAGCCAGTCCCGCCATGACATTTCCATGGCTGCCCCCGCCATCCCCGATACTGGATCTGCTGTTTCTATTCCCCAGCAGCAGACCCAGCCTCAGCACCAGCACCCTAGCTCAGCCAATGATGGCATGAGCTCCCTGAATGACATCGCTGTCGCCGGCCTTGGAATGCGCAAGCACCCGGACGAGAACGCTTTCATGGCTGGTAGCTACCAGCACAATAAGCGTGTCCGCGATGAAAACCAGCCCGATGGTTCCGAAGGCATTTCCAAGCAGGAGGCTCACCATGGTCTGCCTATAGCTTAAGTCATCTTGAGAAGTCTTTTCCGTTGCTTATTGCAACAATCCTTTCTGACCCCGCCCATTTTCGATATCCAGCAGTGTCATTGTGCCACCGATCACGTCCCCCATCCCACAATCAGTCCTCGATCTGTTCCTATCTCCCGTCTTCAGTTCCCTCCTCTTCACCTTCTAATTTTCTACCCCTTCCTTCTTACCTCCACCTTATTTATTTTCGTGACGGTGTGTGGCGCCATTCATGTCTACTGCTATTTCCACTTTCGCTTTCTGGGCTAGGCGGTGTTATTTTGATCTTTTTCTGCTCCTTTCTGTATTTCTTACTAGCCGATGTTTTTTTCAACGGAGTAGGAGCGTAGCCAATAGGATCTTTTTCAATTCAACAAAGATAGCTTGTCGTAATTCTTGACGGTACTTTGCGTGATCTTCGGCGCTTACTAGGATGTTCTGCAACATGTTAACTTACCCTTGTTGTAGTATACAAGAGGATGGTCTTCGGGACATTCGTTTTACGCCGCCGAGAGTGACCTAGCAAGGCCGGGATTGAGAGTAGAGGCTTCCCCGAGACAGTCAAGGTCAATGAGGAAGCTAGCGAGGTATGCGGAGGAGGACGTGGAATGTGACAGAATTCATGTTTTCATAAAGGCCCGTTTTGATAAACAAACCAATTCAATCCCAAGTCATCCTGCATGGTCGTCTCCTTCTCCTCCGTCGTCTATCCCAAGTCTGCCATACATTGGTAAGTGGTTGTCTGCCATGGTATATAACGTCACCGGGCTGCGTTACTTTGATGCGACATCTACAGACGTGCCACCCCGGCAAGAGCACGATCTTGACCCTTGCGCAGAATGAAGAAGGGTATTCACACTGTAAACCAGGAGCTATGGACCTGTACTAATTATAGGTTATCGGTGATTAAGGTCCTGAGAAGAGGTTGGATACTGTGTACGTTGCTCAACAGCTTTCTCAACTTTGCGAGAACCTGCATTTCCATGTGTCATCTCTCAATGTGAGAAACCTATCTCTCTCCGATGGCGTATGACAGGGTGTCTGAAAGAGGAATTGGCTAGAAGCCAATCAACTTCTGCTAATCTTGCAAGTATGACTTGTGATCGATGCAACCTCTTGAGTTCAATTACATGAAAGAGCCTTGGAACCATCACTAGTCGTCTCTTGACGGGTTCATGTTCTGGATAGAATGTCGCTGGATTCAGCTCTCGCATGAGACGGAGGATTACGCGGTATAGAGATTGGTGAAAGGCTCCTCGATGAGGACCCGCGATAATGGGAGAGGCCTGCAATGTCTACGGCCTGTTCACTTTCAAGAGTCATGTATGCGTCGTCCATAGAAGTGACCCTCGCTGCCAGACGTAGCGGGGTTCATGATTGTGCGGAGTTCTAAAGGAATACTGTAGGCACCACGTAAGGTTAGAGATAATCGAGAATCTCTCGGACTGTGGAAGAGGTTGACTCACTAGATTGGCAAATGGGTCTTTGCTTTTCCCATTAATAATATATAGCCGACACCGAGCGAGTGCTCCCACAGATAATGGCAGGGTCAGGTATGTGATGTTCTGCGCAGAGACCTTCTGTGCTGATAGAGATATTGGGAATGCAGATGGTTATGCACAGTTCAGCGACTTCTCAATAGAGTCCGCCAGCTATGGGAATACCGTTGAGATCTCACTTGGAACATGGCTTTGGAGAACATAATCAGGAATTTTCGTAGAAAACGACCCCCAGGGCCCTCGTGACCGCAAGTAAACCAGCTTTAGTTGCCTTGTGTGGAATTATGGATGCCACACACAGTATGCAGTTGTCTTGCTCGCATTATTTCAACAAATCAGGTACGTGCTGATCATCGGCGTAGTAAGAAGCCGCCAATCACAGCCACTGCATAATTTAGTGCCATGGGGTTGATAGCTTCGTTTCGGTAAGGTCATCAGAGATAGAGATATCTATGATGCTGTCTCTAATCTTCTCTTGTCAGTGAGAAAATGCTTGTGAACCAACTGAATTAAGGTGCCTTGTACTCGGACGTGGCTCAACTTCGCAGGATCGAAGAAAGGACACCAGGCGTGTATGGCGGGCCCTCGGCAGTTATAAACCTTCATGAGTACGAAACCACGACTGTCGAGCTTTTGGTAACGGACTTGGATGGGGACTTGGCGTGGGCATTCCCAAATGAGAAAATTGCTTGTTGTGACTAGTCATCGATTAGATATGGGTTGATACCTAGAGGCAAAAACAGGAAAAGGCTCCGTCCGAGAGAGAGTTGTGAGAAGTGTATCGAGAGTCGATTATAGAAATGCTTCTTGTTTATAGTCGTATTGAGAAAGCTAAGCAAAACGGCATATATATGCCCTAATACCGTATATGTTGGGTGTTAGAAGAGGGAGAACGACAAGTTCAACTAAATAGCGATGAAGGAGACAAAGCTGATGTAGACGGAAGTCTCCAACCGGGTAGTTTCCAAGATATAATTGATAAAAGCTTCATTATTCGATAGGCATGCATTCTTAAACAAGCTTATCCTGAGATAACGACATTGGAAACTCTCTTTTAAGTAATTCTCCTACCCCCCTATTGATCCAAGCCATAATCTCTGATCAAAACATCCGCACAGGTAGCACCAGTAACATACGCCGTAGCCTGTGTATGATTATTCGTCAAAACAGGCACAACACTCATATCCGCAATCCGCAAATTCTCAATGCCAAACACGCGGAACGAAGTATCAACAGCAGCACTCTCATCCCCCTCCTTCCCCATCTTCACCGTACCAGTCATATGGAAAGTTGATGAGACATTGTTTTTCACGAACTGCAGGATATCCTCGTCAGAACGGGACGCGGGCTGCATGAGCGTTGCGATGGTGTCTTTCGCGAAGGCTGGGTGATCGGTTAGTTCGAGGAGGTGTTTGTACATCTCGATACAGGCGCGAAGATCGAAGGGGTGTTCGAGGAAATGAGGGTCGAAGAGGAGTGGGACGTCTGGGTCTGAGGATTTGAGACGGACTTCGCCAATTGATTGCTGGTTCATCAGGAATACGGCCAGACCCTTGTAGCTGTAATCCTGGAACATCTGCGGCACTGACAAGTGCACGGGAACCCCGCAGATGAGTTCGTAGTGTGGAATTGTTTCGGTTCATGAAGTCTTGGACCTGGTCGGGGAGTGCTTTGAATTCTTCTGATGCGGTGATCCGGTCTGATTTGAACCAGCCGTTGGCGATTTGGCCACCGTAGCGGGTCCAGGGTCCTGTGCCGTCTTTTTCCCATTGCTTCATGCCGGCAGCCATGGCTTCTGGGTCCCCGTAGAACGCGTTGCGGTCGTTGGTTTCTGGGTTTCGGGCGACGAGGAAAGGGGTGAAGGGGTGGTCTTTTAGGCCCTGGCCGATGGCTGGTAGATCATGAATAACGGGGATGTTGAATTTGGTGAGTTCGGCGGCTGGACCGATACCAGAGTGCATGAGGATCTTTGGGCTGTCGAGGGATCCTGCACTGATGATAACTTCTTTGGATGCAAAGTCTGGAGAATTGATACTAGACGTGGCTGTCTGCGCAGAAAGTAAATGACGACAAAGGAAGAGAGACTTACACTGCGTTCCATTACTCTGAACGCCCACGGCTTTTCTTGCCCTCCAGGATAATGCGCTGCACTGGACTATCAGGGAGGATAACGAGGTTCTCCGATGCATCATCCAGCAAATCCGCTGCTGTACTTCTCATACCATCGGATACAGAAGTGATCGACACACTCAGGCCAAGCGGGTTTCCCGAGTTATGATCCAAGTTTTGTTCGAGACCAGCTTCCTTAAAGGCATCCAGAATCGGCGATAAATCAACCTCCCACTCCTTCACATATCCAACACGCAGAGCACCCTTGTCGCCATGGTCTGCCGCCTGAGGCGCTACATACTTCTGGTGTTCGGGGCGGGCAATTTCTCCAGAAAAGGTTTCCAACGCCTTGAACCTGGGCAGCATGTTCGTCCAGTCGAACGTATCGTTGCCTACTTCGGCAGCCCACTGATCATAATCATCTCTGGCGCCGACGGTATACAGGCCGTAGTTGATGGCTGTGCTACCGCCGAGACCCTTGCCGCGGTGAAAGAGGAGTTCACGACCGTTGCAGTGCTCTTGGGGAGTGGTCTTGTAGCCCCAGTTCATATTGGGTTCCTGGAAGGTTATGCATCGCTTGCCGGAGAGTCGCAGAGACTTGTCGTCATTGCGTCCACCTGCTTCTAGTAGTAGGACATTTGGCCGCTTGGCTGATTTGGCGAGGGATGCTGCAATTGCACATCCAGCTGATCCAGCTATAGGGGAAATGATGGATTAGTAGGGCGTCCGTCAAGTATGAAGAAGACAAGGTACTCACCTCCGACCACGATGAAATCGTAGGTCTGCGATCCCATTTTGAAATAAAATGTTTATAGGACAATAAAGCTGTGATTAGATCAATCTCCAATAGTTGGTATGCAGAAAAGAAAAGCAAGGATAAAGCTTGTTGCTCAAGGCAATCCGTCGAGCTTATATACGATATTCCCCCCTCTTCAGCCCAATCATCTTGAATGCATCAGCTTAGTCGAAGCCCAGTATGCCGAAGTAGGATACTGGTCATCTCGCTCATGGCTACGGCCGAGAAGGTATTGTTGGTGGGGGTGTACCACCCCGCCAACGGCACGGAGTGGGATTGGGAGCGTTCTTACGGTAGTGGGCCTCTAGCGTGGGTGATGAGTAAGGTATGAGCACTAGATCAGTTAACTAGTTAGTTAATGGATAGTGGTTATCAGTATCACTGGCTCTGGAAGCGTAGCTGGGGACTACAAGTGCGAGATTAGATTAGTTGGACCTTTTGTGCGTGAGATTGAGCTGGCCGCTAGACGGGGGGCTCTAATGTCTGCATGTACACTTCGTACTCCGGACTAAACTCCGTAGTTTGATGACAAATGTCGGTTGATTAGACATCTCCGTTGGAGTAGTAATTGATCGAGAATCAATTCATCTGCGGTCACTCTGCTCATTGCTTCGGCACAGGCCGAATCTATTTTACTAACTTAGGTTAGGTATGTACTAGAATAAGCTTACGGGTTGGCCTTTCCTCGGCTGCGGCTGACCCTTCCATTGCCCAGAAAGCAGAACCATCTTCCTGCCATTCGAGGAACCGTGGTTACTTGGACCCCCAAATTCATCAGACCCGGTCGGAGAATATCGCCTTCTGGATGACCTTATCCTACCCAAATCGGCACAGTTGATGTCCTCTTTCCACTTTTCGGATTGCCTGCTCAGATGTCTTTTGCATTATGTGGCAAAGAGACCACGGTCGCTAGGGCTTATGGAGGCCCAGTTCGGCTAGAGCTCTCCACGACTGGCTAAGAGTTCGACGCGTATGTATTTAGAATCGTAATTGTCTATGGATTTGCATCTCTGGCTTGAAATTAGGTAGTTAGCTAGGCTACTTTGTCAGATTGTAATCTTATCTAATCATATTTCCTGGACCTCTACCTTACTCTGGCTGAAACTGCTTTGAAAGCAGCGTGAAACCGAGTCCACATCTCAGTGTCCATAGTCAAACAGATATGACTCGAAGATTCAGAGTTCACGGCTACGTTGCCTAGTACAATAGCTCGAAACTCGAAACTGCTGTTCCGCGCGAGGTCGAAAGGCCTAGGACCGCCCACTCGAGCGAGCCCGTTGGAGCAGTTCCCGGGACATGAACTGATCTCCCCCATTCCAACGGCGACATCCAGCTCGGATAATGCGGATCGTGTGGAAGGCCCGCGGTCCGATTCGTGAGAGCTGCCGAAGTGCCGACCAAGTGGAGTGTGACCGTCGGGTCCGCCACCGCAGTACATAACTACTGTCTGGACTGTATGGATTCACTATCGGGCGACAACGGTGCACGTTAGGATCGAGGAGGAATCCTTTGCCGCGAGGAATCGGGAATTGACAGTACTGTATGTGCATTAGAGTCCGTACAGTCCGTACATACTAATGTGCTTCTTCTGTACTTCCTTTTGCAGCCTGGAAAATCAGGTGTCAGCAAACACTGGGTTCGATGGCTGAGGTCCGCCTCCACCGCCACCGTCTCCGCCACAGTTTCCCCCGGTTAACAGAGGAGTGATGGAGTCTACTGTAGAATACATTATTGATCCATTGGTGATTATTCAGTTGACTAGCATAAGTTAGTTACCTACAGCTCGGTAACTAAGCAAGAGACTGATACCTTGGAAGTGGTTGGGAGTGACTAGTTACTCGAACTAGGAAAACGGTGGTGCACAGTATAAAACAAAGTGGAAGGACGCGTACTCCATACTCCGATCTATAATGACCCTACGAGAATCTCAATTGCAAGTACGGAGTAGTCCATTGCTGAATAATTTCTGTTCAATCCGATTTCCAATTTCCATCACCTTCTAATGTTCTAGAATAATCCCATGTCAGTATTATTGCAGTGGCAAAAAAGCCGTCCGCCGAGAGCCGCTTCCCCGCGGAGGTTTTGGCCTTTTTCTTTGGGTCCCAACCCTTTTTTTTTTTTTTTCTGCTTCGGTCTTTTTGCCTTTTGCCTTTGGCTTGGGCCTCGCGATCCATTTTTAAACCGTGGCCTGGGTGAGCCATTTCTCGGTTTCACCAGTTCGACATTTTCTCTTTTTCTTCTCTTCTCTCTTTCTCTCGTGCTTCGTCTCGAACTTGGCTTCGTCTTCTTCTCCTTTCACTACGCCCGCCTGCTGGTCTCGTGCGGAGAAGATCGGGGCGCCCAGCACGAACCCACCGGGGCTCCTCTTTTCGCCTCTCCGCACTTTTCGCCGCCCTCGAGCGATCGTCCTTGCTCCTCATCTTGGACTTTTCCACTCTTCGATCATTGCATTTGACGACCATCCTGTCTCCGGCAAGAGTATTGCATCGCTGATCAATTGACTCGTGCCCTTTTATTATTTTCATCGCCGCTCTCTCTCCAATCACGGGAGCCGACAGCTTGCGCGCGACGTTGGCATCTCGTCTACAGGGACAATTGACACGCCGAATACGACAATAGGAAGCACCGGGATTTGTGTACGGCGGACTTTTGCATCCCTCAACCCTCGCCTTTTCAACCTCTCTCTCGCCCTCCAGCCCTTCCTCGAGACCGTCGGCTTTTCCTCGACACTCGCGTGGATGCCCCGCTCCAACCCACACGACTAAACCAGATCATGGCGGTGAAACCAGTCTACTCCAATCCATCAGATATTCGACTACGGTCTCGCCTCCACGGGGCACGGCGATCCCCCTCACCCTCCCAATAACCCAAATCCGCGACTGGTCTTCCTTCGACCCGCTCTGCGCGTGCGCTGACATCCCATGGTTGCCGATGAACTCTCCCAGGCCCCCGATGGCCTGATCGGGGGCTACAAGGGGGGCAATCTGACCGTGCGCATTCTCATGGTTGTCTTTTCCTCGATCGCGCTGTATAATGCGATCGAGCTGTTTATATTGCTGTTTTTGACGTTTCAGCACTACCGAGGCTTGTACTTTTGGACCCTCTTGCTTTCGGTGGTGCTGGGGGTGATTCCGCATACTATTGGATATATTTTGGAGTTTTTTGCGCTGGCGCCGTTATGGTTGAGTTTGACCTTGTCGACGATTGGGTTTTATGTCATGGTTCCCGGTCAGTCGATGGTGCTGTACTCGCGACTGCATCTTGTGGTGCAGAATCATCGGTTACTGCGGTTTGTCTTGTGGCTCATTATTATTGATTCTGTGCTGCTGTTGGTTCCTACGACGGTGCTTACATTCTCGACAGCCTACATTGGCACCATTCCCATCATCCGTGGCTATAATGTCATGGAGCGCCTCCAGCTGGCCTGGTTCTGCACGCAGGAGTTTGTCATCTCGGGCATCTATATTTCTGAAACGGTCAAGCTCCTCCGACTCATGCCGGAAAAGGAGAATCGACGGACGAAAATCATGTACGAGCTGCTGGCGATCAACTGTGTGATCATCATGCTGGATGTGGCCTTGCTGGTGGTGGAGTACATTGGCTTTTACTCGCTGCAGACCACTTTGAAACCCATGGTCTACAGCATCAAGCTCAAGCTTGAGTTCGGTGTCCTTGGCAAGCTTGTCTCGCTGGTGCAGACACATCGCTCGCAACCGACTTCTTCAGAACATGAGGAGTATCCGAACTTTGTGGATCCGACCCAATTCACGACGGACGTGACACATGCGGCCCCCGTTGAGCCACGTAGATCGCGGGGCATGGGAGCGTGGAACAATATCTCGATGGAGAGTTTGTCGTCTTCGGAACGGCGGATTCGTCCTTCGACGAGGTCACTGTCTAGTGACGGCGGGGATCCAGCTTGACCGGGAAACTGATCAGAACGATCTCTCACTCCATTCTTCAAGATGTCGCATTTCACTGTCAATTCCGCGAATTGCCGTGAACACAGTCCTGCAACTCACAGTTGGGCATCAGGGACTCACTCCCATAAACAGGGAGCAAGCCCGGCTGCATCGAAGCACGGTGACCTTTATAGGCTTGCGCATACACTCCTGGCGCAGATATACCTGGCCCGCCATCAGGTTTACCACCCACCGGCAGCTGTTCTTTTTGCGATCAACCTTGTACCATCCTGCATCTACTTGTCCATACTTGATCAGACTCGATACCCGATTGCGGGCTCTACAGTCATACTTCGTGTATTATAATTCCAAAAATGTACAAAATGAATGATTAACACATGTTCATACCTCCCTCCCTTGGAACCATCGTAGACGGTAATCGACGTGGTGATGACGGAACTTTCACCAAAACAACCCCTCCCAGCATACGCTAACAACAGTCAATATCCATCACCCACTCTAATCTCCATAGCCACAACGCATCTCTAGCATGAACACCACCATCACAATCCACCACGGCCCCTACGAAACCATTCCCCCCACCGCATCCCCCGGCCTCCTCTTCCTCCAACGCTTCCTTCCCACCGCCGACTCCCTCAGCCCACACGACTCCATCCGCACCTTCTTCACCCCCAACGCCCCCATCCTCATCGGCAGTAACCCGCCAACGCCAGCAAACGATGTAATCCCCCTCCTCCAAGTCCGCGGCCGCCATCTCGCACACTTCCGTCATGAAGTGCATCTCGCCTGGGACATGGATTTAAGTCGGGAAACTGGCGTCACGGATACACCATCCTCAACGCAGACTAGCGCCAGTCACAAGACCGACGGCGACGGTAGTAATGACGACGGTGGTGCTTCCACAACGCCAGCCTCCGCCTCAAACGCCCTCTACGCCCAGCTAACAAGCGGCGTCCGCCTCAAACGAACCGTCATGTTCGAGGCAACCTCCGAAACGGTCTTCAAGAACGACCCTGACCAGTTCGCGGTCAAGTTACGCGAGTTTAATATCCTTGATTTGGAGGGGAGTTCTGTGGATGATTTGCAGATTGTGGAGATGAGGGTTTTTTTGGATTCGAGGCCTGTGCAGGCGAGAGCGGCGAGGTTGCATATGGAGAGTGCTTTTGGCGATGGAGCGACGCAGGAGGCGCCGGGTTAGTAGGACAGTACTAAGTGGTACCTACCGGTAGCTACTGGTTGGTGATGTTGGTGATGTTGGTGATGGGTTGGGTTGGAGAGGTAAAGCATATGGCTGGAGTGGGTTGGTATCCACGGCGGAATGAGCGCGGAATGGATGGGGATTTTGGGGATTGTTTAGAGAAGATCGTCGTGAACGGGTTTTGCCGATCGGCTTATCTTACGGGGGGTTTTGCCGATCGGCTTATCTAGCGGGGGGTTTAAAGGTATGTGCTGTTTCTCTGCGTGGACTCGAGAGTGATTGGGATTGATTGTTTGATTTCGATATGGCCAAGATGAAGTCTGAAATCATCGAAAAAGTTCGCGGAGCCTTGGAGAAGTATGAGTTGCAGCTCGGCGAGATCAATCAACAGGTAAAAGTAGACCAAGCAAAAGCGACTCAGAAATAAGTACGACGCTTTGTGATTCGAGACACATACTGACTACGTCCTTGGCTATAGATCTGGTCCAACCCAGAACTAGCCTTCGAAGAGCACAATGCCCACGACAACATCTGCAACCTCTTCGAGTCTCTAGCTGAAGAAGGCTATAAAGTCAATCGCAGCGCGTTCGGCGTCAAAACCGCCTTCGAAATCAGCTATACCCGCGGCAAAGGTGGCCGCACCATCGCATTCAATGCCGAATACGACAGTCTCCCCGGCATAGGCCACGCCTGCGGCCACAATCTCATCGCCACAAGCTCCATCGCTGCATTCCTCGCAACCTGCGAAACAATGCGCGCCTTCTACCCGGACGACGACATCGGCTACACAGCCCGTCTCCTAGGAACCCCGGCCGAAGAAGGCGGCGGCGGGAAACTACTCCTCATCGACGCGGGCGCGTACAAGGCCGTGGACGCTTGTTTCATGGTCCACCCCTTTCCTGTGTTATCCGGTGCACCGGACCTGCTTAGTTCGAGTTCGTGCGAGGGTCAGTATCTGGCCAATCATAAGGTGGAGGTGACGTTTACTGGGAAGCCGGCGCATGCTTCGGCGGCGCCATGGGAGGGTGTGAATGCATTGGATGCGGTTGTTGCGGCTTATGTGAATATTTCGATGCTGAGGCAGCAAATTTTGCCGACGCAGAAGATTCATGGCGTTGTGTTGAGGGGGGGGGAGAGACCGAATGTTATTCCGGCTTCGACAACCGTGGAGTATTATATTCGGTCTGAGACGGTGAAGACGCTTAGGCCGTTGACGGAGAGGGTGTTGAAGTGTTTTGAGGCTGCGGCTACGGCGACGGGGTGTACGGTTGAATATAAATGGTGAGATGCTGGTGCTGAGGATGAAGGATAGATGTGGACACTTGCTGATTGTTTCTATGGCAGGGAGCCGGCGTATATGGATATGATGGTGAATCGCCCTATTTGCGAGAGCTATATGAATGTCATGAATGAGATGGGGTATAGTACTATCTACGACGCTGCTGGACAGGAAGGCGGGTTGAGTGGAGGATCCACGGATATGGGCAATGTCTCATACGAGGTGCCCGGTTTCCATGGCGGATTTTATATCCACACAGATGGAGTCAATCATACTCCGCAGTTTACGGCTGGTGCGGGCTCGCAGGAGGGGTTCAAGCGCAGTCTTTATTGTGCCGCGGGTATGGCTGTTGTAGGATGTCGGGTGTTGGCTGATGATGAGTTTGCTGCTGCGGTCAAGTCTGATTTTGACAGCAACGAATGAGGCTGAGAAAATGGATAAATACCCGTGTAACAGAATTGGAAGGTCTCGCAGGGATCTTTGCGAAAATGGAGGTGGTCTATGAAGGGGTGTGAGGAGATTTTGGATGCTACGAATCGATGGAGAATTGTAAGAGGGAAAGATGCTCCTGCGTAGGATGAATGAACGTTGAAGATATGGATGTAGTTGGCAGGTATTCAATGATTTGTACTGCACTACTGTAAAGTCTACCCATTTCTCATTTATCTGTTTAAAGGCCTTTAGTCAGTTATAGATGTGTGTTATACGAGGATAGGAGAATATAAGATATAATCATATGGGGAACCCTAGTGATGTCCATTTCGTCCTTCCATTTTCCGGAGCATGTTTACTGTACTTTAGTCTTGCCCAGGAGGTCCACTAAGTATGGCTCATTTCGCACGTCGGCACATTTTACATGGTTGAACGAATGCTTTCTAGTATCTAGATCATATCCAAAGCATTTTGAAGTATCAAAGGCCACGAATCTCGGCAATTGCGCGTCCATTGAATCAGCTTGGCACATCTCGATGGAGAGTCTACCTACGGGTGGTAGTTACAGTCTCTACATAATGGACACCGATGGAATTGCGTAGAGCATTATGCATTGATTAAGATAAATGAAACAGAGTCGAACTCCTTAGCAGCCCGAAGAATCATAATCATATAAAGTTCTACGAGCGTATATAGTAGTGGAGATGATCATCTTTGTTTCGTCATGGATGTACTCGCTCCTCTTCGAAGTGGGTGCATATGTTGACTACAGTTATGGAGGACGTTCGCGATGGATGTACCTCCGCCATTATTCGAAGGGATTCCTCTTCTCCGTCTCAGGTACAGATAAGTTTATCTGTCCGTTCGTCAGAGGTGGTAAAAGTCTTGCCCGGGGGGGGGGGGGGGAACCAGAAGCTAATCTGCCCTTCACCGTATCCCGAGGACATGGTTGTTGAACGATCATCCATCCATCAACATCCGTCCGACCAATCAAGCTTTTACCCAGTGGATGAGCACGACGATGGAAGTGCATGGAATGAACAATCTCCCGATTGTATTTGCTACCAGATCGAGTGGAAGGCGAAATTAAATAATCGGGTTACGGTGAAGGATACGGAACAAGCTTTGACTCTCCGGCCCAGTTCCTACTGAAAACAAATACAGGAGGATGCCAGTCAATTCAATTCTGCGACGCAAGATATCCCGCAGCCGACGAGTGAGTCTAGATGATACTGACCTGGTGCTATCTGCTATCTGTCACTATCGCTTCATGGCAGGCAACAATGCTGAATTCATGACATGTCGACCCCGAGGCGAGGCTGTGTTGCGGCTCAGGCCCATCGCCCCCACTTCAGCCTTCGACCCCCTATTCGTTTTAAAGCATTTCCCCTTCAAACCTCTCTACAGGCAAAAATATGGACGACAGCGTTCGAGCGATTAAATAAAAGGTCGTTTCAAATGCTGTTAAGTCGTCGACCCGGCGCATTATAAACCGACACACCAACGCCTATCGACCAAAATTGCGAAACAGATCGCCATGTCTACCGTTGCGATCCCGCTGATGTCACGAGACAATACAGAAATACAAGAAAATGAAGGAACACGGGACGAATCCACGACAATAAAAAGATCAAATGTCAAGTCAAAGGCCCTAGAAGCCTGGAGGTTCATTGTCACAAGTGGTGCCCTCGCTGGTATCGTAATCCTCATCATTAATGTCATCACTCTTGCGGTTATGTACGGTCAACACCAGGCAGATGAGCAAAGCATTACATTCTTTACCGGCAACTGCGAAACTGCAGGGAAGATCAATACGGGCACCCATTTGGTGATTAACGTGCTCAGCACAATCTTGTTAGCCTACAGCAACTTCAGCATGCAATGCCTAGGCTCACCATCTAGGACTGAGGTGGACTCAGCGCACAGTCAGCATCAATGGTTGAATATAGGAACACCGTCTATTCGCAATGTCTTTTTTGTTTCCAAGACGAAGGCTGCATTGTGGATGTTGCTAGGAGTGAGCTCTTTTCCGCTACATATGATTTGGAATTCGACGGTTTTCGAAACCAAGAATTCTTACGACTATTTTGCCATCTCTATCACAGAAGACTTTCTTCACGGTGCCAATTGGACCCTTCCCACCGCCGCAGAAAGTTATGCTTTGACTCTCGAAAATACGCCCCTTCATGGTTGGACCAACGAAGATGTTAATCATATCCTTCAAGATCTCCAGACGGAAGCGATGGATTCTAAGCTTCAGGGGCTCAATGTGAAAGACTGTCTTCAGCGATACAATACAGATATTCTATCTGATAGACGGCACGTGCTCCTTGTCAAAGAATATCCCTCTGATTGGCCCATGACAACAAGATCGACTGAAGCGTCCCAGAACTCATCTGTGGGATTGATATACTACAATTTAAATCCCACTGGGGGTTCGGGGTCCGAGACTCCACTGTATAATTGGATATGCGATAATAACATGCCAGGATCTTCGCAGTCTTGCATATCCAGCAGTTTCAATTACAGCAACTGGTATGCAAACCTCTACGGGGGTGTTTTCGGATGGTCGACGGACGGTCCTATAAAATACTGCTACTCGCAACTGGCGCCCGAAAAGTGCAGAGTCGGTATCGTCCCAATATTTCTGATCATTGTCATTGGCTGCAACGTGATAAAAATAACATCCTTCGTCTGCACCCTTTTTGTCACACACGGGAAGAAAGATCAGCCCCTTTGCACGACCGGTGATGCGATCAAGTCTTTTCTTAAGCAACCAGATCCTTACACTCGGGGCCGATGTCTAGCGGCGAAGGAAGACTACGAGAAATGGCTGCGAGGCTCCGAAGAGTGGATCCCACGGCCGTTCACCGTGGGTGATCTTTGGACCGGTGGACGATATCGCTGGCACAAAGCCGTTAACGATTGGCATTGGATAATCTTTGTATCGATCACCACCGGTCTAGCAGGTTTGACCGCATATATAGTCTTTGCGGCAGTGATATCGTCACCCATTAGCCGAGAGGGATTTGGGGAGCCACAAAGCAATACTAGGATGAACAGCAAGAGTATGGGCGTGCTACGAGGCTTTCTTGTAGGAAACCTACTCCAGATTGCGGTTTCCTACGTTTATCTGGCACTGAACAATATCCTGAGTACTATGCTGGCGATGGAAGAATGGTGTATGTACGCCACTGATCGCCAGCATAATGGCCTCCGGGTGTCATCGCCCACGCCTCACTCTGCGCAGAGATCGAAGTATTTCCTTTCTGTGCCGTTCAAATGGGCGATCCCATCGATGGTTTCCCTGGCCTTGCTCCACTGGCTCGTATCGCAAATGTTTTTCTTCTCCGATTTGGACATATATCGGATGCAGCCTGAGGGCCTTCCTCAGGTTGACACCTTGGGCTACGTCTATACCTCGGCACTTCCTGCTGTCCTCGCTGTCTCCCTTGGTGGTACTATTCTACTCGTTCTCACTCTAACGGCTCTAATCCGGAAATTTCCAGCTAATGTACCGTTATCGGGATGCTGCAGTGCTAGTATTGCAGCAGCATGCCAGCCGTCTCGGGTGGGTTTGGATAATGAGACTCTAATGCCTGAGTTCGACCCTGGCCTGGCATGTCAGAAACTCAAATGGGGTGTTGTAGAGGAACATGATGATGAGCACTCGAATAGTATCGGGCATGCGACCTTTGCCGCCTGCGAAACCACTCCCTTGGTGGAAGGGAAGTTATACGCTTAGTTGTCAGCGCATGGAGTGGTAACTACCACTAACAACTGATTGGTTAAATTGAAGCCCACATTTTCTTTCTCATTTTTTGTATGTCAAGTTGGTCAATTTGCGACGCTGGTGTTGTAAGGGCCGAGTATCGACGTATTCAATGGTGGATGGATCGCTGACTGATGTTTCAGGCATCACCGACGACTCGGCCGACGGTGGAATCGCCTCTAAGCGAGAGAGGCGATTACATGATGCGGTATTGGGTACGACAGTGTAATAGAGGATGGCATGATTGTTTGTGCTGTGCTAATTATGGAGGCTTCAAGGGTTCGTTCTACGGATGCTTCTTTATGTCATAGAGCATATAGTTCTCACAGGTACGAGCTATTATGCTGGATGATGTAGATCTATGAGATCTATGAGATCTATGAGATCTACGCATACTGTATAGTCCTATTACTGTGGTACAGTAGTTTCATAGTCGTGGCTGTAGTTCAGTACGATATCGTCCTCAAAAGTTCCGAGTGGCTTGGAATCCTGAATTGTGAGGCATGCCACCCGCCCTCTCACCCAGTCACGATGATGCACGCCACTCCACTTTCTTCCCACCTCCACTCTTCAGCCAAGTCTTTCTCCCACTCGACGACGCCTTTGCATTTGAAGGTACAGTACGGAGTAGACAATACAAAGCACAGCTTGTGCAGACTTCACAACCGGCACTTTTGCCTTTTGTCAATCGAATTGACAGACTCGCCACACGCTGCAGTCCCGACATACTCGCCCCAGCCTGGAGCTGTCCCGAGTCCTGACAAGGGTCCTTAGCTCAGCCACTGGAAAGCTCTGTCCAGTTTACCCACGTCGTCCACTGTTCCACAGCCAAAAAAAAGTCCACTACTTCTGGTGGTTCCCCGGTTGTCGCTGGCTGCTGGATCCCAGTTTGTCTCCAATCTCCAGCATTGGATCCAATCACTGGTCTCCTCCGGCGAGTAATCTCCCTATCGTGAAGCCACATTAATTCGTGTCTTCGGCTGCTCCGTCGCGTTTAACCATTCCCGCGGTGCCATTCCCGCGGTGCCAGTCCCGTCACGCAACTCGTTCGTCGTCTGGGGCCAGGTGTGGGTTGGAGTCGTTGACAGGCGACTTGCGCATCATTCCCTGTTTGCACTGGCCCCAAAATGATCCGCACATGCCATGCCCTCTTCCGAAACTGCCCCAAGCACTGGAATTACGCTCTCCGCTTGGTAGCCCCTCCATAGGGCATTTTCTTTCCCCTCTCCACTCGGTCTTGTCAACCTCTCCAGATCGCCAGCCCATCCACTCCCTCGGGAAATCATCTTCTCACATACACCCTCCCTTTCCGCAGAGACAGGCACTTTCATCCACTTGTATCTTGGATCGACAATCGAACAACGGCTCCTGTGGGTGCCAGATCCCTGACCTGATGAGCCCAGTTGCAGATCCAAACCCCCCCCCCCATCCTTATGATTCCAACTGTCTTTCATTTATTGGATATTCGACAATCAGTCGCGGTGTGCGGATCGCTTTCGACAAACCCCCCAAGGATTTTAAAAAGAAGAGTCTCGCTCTAGCTCTTGTCAAACACGCCACAGAACGGCTATCTTGAATCCCCGCGAGTCCGACTTGCCGTACAAATACCACCGATCTAAACCGACCATCGATCCCACCGCCGCCTAACTCGATCCATTCGCAACCTTCCCAACCGCCGACCGTCCTCGCGACGTCTCCCTCCCCCTCGAACGACACAGATTCCAAATGGCGTCGCAAAGTCCCCCGAACTCGAGGCCAGGGACCGCACGGAAGCGGTCGGAAAGTGCATCGGCCATGGCGCCGACCTTGATTGATCCTAACGACGCGCGCCCCGTGAGCAGAGACCGGTCTCAATCAGTGGCACACAATGAAGGACAGCGACAACTACCAAGTGCGGAGTTGGGTGGCGCGGATCGTGTATTTCCCATCCGCTCGGTTGTCTCTGTCGATCCGACCGTCGCGCAACCTGCGTCAGCAAGCATGCGGGGTGCGGTGTCGCCAACCCGCGCAGGCGCTCGCCAGTACTCGATAATCGACGAACATACTTGGCAGAACCTGCAGTCCCAGCCGCAGCACCCTCAAGAGCCGATTATGCCTACGGATACTCTACGCCACGAAACCATTGCCTCCGATGATAAGACTGAATTGGCCACCCACTCCATGGCATCCCGAGTCGCCCAGCATCCAGAGATATATGCCAAGGTTAAATGTGACAGCCAGTCTGCTAGGAGCGGTACTCCTCAACCACCAGCGCAAGCACCGGCCGATTCTATTGAGTCTCATGGCCATGTCACGGCCCGGTTCAAGCATATCGTGACGGAGGGTGGCCATGCCGTCATCACAGGACGAGACGGAGAGGCGTTTCAATATTGCGAGGATGAGCCTATCCGCATTCCTGGCGCGGTGCAGAGCTTCGGCGTCATGATCGCCTTGCGAGAAGAGTCTCCAGACCAACTGGTGGTCCGCGTGGCGAGTGAGAATTCGCAACAGCTATTGGGGTATTCCCCAAAACAACTGTTCGAGTTGAAAAGTTTTTGTGATATTTTGAAAGACGAACAAACCGATTCTTTACTGGATCATATTGATTTCGTCCGTGACGACGCTTATGACCCCGGCGTGGATGGACCGGAAGTGTTTGGCTTGACCATTCCAACACCTGACGGCGAGAACCGCCGTTTCTGGTGTGCGACGCATGTTAGTCAGGCGCAGAAAGATTTGATCATCTGCGAGCTGGAGTTGGAAGATGATGAGACGAACCCATTGAATGTCGGCGGATTGGAGACGCCCTCCAGCCCAACTGGAACTTTGGGGTCCTTCCCCAGTGCGGAGCAGTTTGCAGGCAGCACTGTCAATATCAGCCAACCGCTTCGGGTTCTACGTAACGCCCGACGACGAAGAGGCGAGGCTGCAGCCATGGAGGTATTTAGCATGTTGTCACAGATTCAAGAGCAATTGAGTCGAGCGAATGACTTGGATACTCTTCTCAATACTACCGCTGGGTTGGTGAAGGAGCTGACAGGCTTTCATCGTGTGATGATCTACCAGTTTGACAGCAGTTGGAATGGCTTAGTTGTGGCGGAATTAGTTGATCCCAAGGTCACAATCGACCTTTACAAGGGTCTTCATTTCCCGGCTTCCGATATCCCTGCACAGGCACGTGAGCTCTACAAGGTCAACAAAGTCAGACTCCTATACGATCGTGACCAGATTACAGCGCGACTCGTGTGCCGGACCCTAGAGGACCTGGAAACACCCTTGGACATGACTCACTCCTATCTCCGCGCAATGTCACCAATCCACATCAAATATCTCGCTCACATGGAAGTCCGATCGTCAATGTCAATCAGTATCAAGGCTTTCAATGATCTCTGGGGTTTGATCTCGTGTCATTCGTATGGAAAGGCCGGAATGCGTGTTTCATTTCCCGTTCGGAAAATGTGTCGTCTTCTGGGTGATACAGTCTCGCGGAATATCGAACGGCTTTCGTATGCCTCGCGTCTTCAAGCTCGGAAGTTGATCAACACTGTGCCTACCGAGGCGAATCCGTCTGGTTACATTATTGCTTCCTCCGACGACTTGTTACAACTCTTCGATGCAGACTACGGTGCGCTGTCTATCCGCGATGAGACCAAGATTTTGGGTGACAATACCCACTCTCAAGAGGTCCTTGCTCTTCTTGAGTTCCTTCGCATGCGCCAGATGAACACAGTGCTCGCCTCGCATGATATTATCAAAGACTTTCCAGACTTGCAATACGCTCCAGGTCTCAAAGCGATCTCGGGGTTGTTGTACGTTCCTCTGTCAACAGGCGGCAGTGACTTTATTTGTTTCTTCCGTAAAGGCCAGCTCACAGAGATCAAATGGGCCGGCAACCCGTACGATATTGCAAAGCGGAAGGAAACAGCAGGATACTTGGAGCCTCGCAGCAGTTTTGCCGCATGGCAGGAGACTGTCCTCAGCCAATCGCGCGAGTGGTCCGAAACTGACGTTGAGACCGCTGCCGTTCTCTGCCTTGTCTATGGTAAATTCATCAAGGTCTGGCGACAGAAAGAGGCGGCGATGCAGACCTCTCAGTTCACCAAGCTTCTTCTCGCAAACTCTGCCCACGAGGTTCGTACTCCGCTGAATGCGATCATCAATTACCTGGAGATTGCGTTGGAGGGTGCTTTGGATTCGGAAACTCGAGAGAGTTTGATAAAATCTCACTCTGCCTCCAAGTCCTTGATCTATGTCATCAATGATCTACTGGATCTCACCAATACCGAAAAGGGCCACGAGCTGATCAAGGATGAGACATTTGACCTTCAAACGACGTTCCGGGAGGCGACTGACATGCTTGCTGGCGAAGCCAAACGCAAGAACATTTCATACACTGTTTCCGCCAAGCCTGGCGTGCCTCGCATGGTTTTGGGCGATGAACGTCGTGTGCGCCAGGTCTTCTCAAACCTTGTCTCGAATGCTATCCAGCATACTACCTCTGGCGCGGTTACCGTTGAGATGTGGCGGTCTGTAAACCAAGACTTGCCTGGGCACGCGGCCGTGGAGATGATGGTTTTGGACACGGGAGCTGGCATGTCGAAATCTAAACTTGAAGCTATCTTCTATGAGCTCGAGCAAGTTTCCACCGATGATATCTACTACCAAGAAGAAGACCCGACGACTGCGCAAGGGCCGGAGAAGAAAAAGGCTTTGGGACTCGGTCTTGCCTTGGTCGCAAGGATTGTTCACAACATGCAAGGTCAGTTGGGTGTCAAGTCTGAGGAAGGCAAAGGTAGTCGATTCAAGGTTCTTCTACACTTTAAACTACCCGAGGGAGTGTCGACCGAGGTGCCGCCCGAGCCCGTTATGCCCAGCTCCGCTGCTGTACCGCCGACGCCTATGATCTCTGATCGCGAGTTTACATTGGTTGGAGGGGTTGCTGAACGTCGTGAAGATCGACGACGCAGCTCCGAGAGTCTTCGCAGCGGAGGCAGCTCGCGCAGCGGTAGGAGTCACGCCGATCGTTTGATTAGCGCCATACAAGAGCCTGCCTTAGTCCAGCGCGCTTTCAGTGACAGCTCCGATGTGCGCCAGGCAATGCTATCAACCAGCCCACCCGTGAGCGCAAGCCGTTTATCGGCCACCATGAGTTCCCCACGGCCGAATAGTCTGAAAAACACACCCATTACACATGACCCCCTGGCTAGCCTGTCCACTGTCATCCACACACCACCGCCTACTTTGCAACCATTCAAGACACCGCCCGCTCCAGGCACGGCAAACGTGACCGACTCCGGTGTGCCGATGGGAGCCGTTCGTGTTTCGGAATGGAACATTCAACGCAGAGTTGATCAGCAGGCTGAGCATCAGTCATACTTCCCTCCCATTCCTATCGCAACAACTGAATCATCCTTCACGACCTCGGTGTCAGCCCCACCCCCATCAACAGTGCCTACTTCGGTCACTCCTTCGACTACCCCGCTGCTTCACCTCCTTGTTGCAGAGGACGACCCCATCAATAGCAAGATCATCCACAAACGATTGACCAAACTCGGCCATACCGTGGTCCTTACCGGCAATGGTGAAGCTTGCGCGAACGCCTTCACATCGGCCAGCCGAAACTTTGACGTTGTCCTCATGGACATTCAGATGCCCATTGCCGATGGGATGGCTTCCACCCGAATGATTCGTGAATTCGAAGCTACGACTCCAGACGCTCTGTCGGACATAGCTCAACAAAACGAGCGCATCCCCATCTTCGCTGTATCAGCATCACTGCTTGAGTCGGAGAAGCAGAAATACATTGATGCCGGCTTTGATGGCTGGGTCATGAAGCCAATCAACTTCACACGGCTCAACGTTCTCTTAAGTGGACTTTGCAATCGTGACGCGAGGGCAGCAGCTTCGTACAAACCTGGCCAGTGGGAAATCGGCGGCTGGTTTGATATGTAGTCAATCCTCCACTCTCACTGGACCTTACCTCGACCCCAACAAAGTTCATCAAATACGCCTTCTAATCTCCTTCATTAGCGACTCCTCTCATCATTTCGTTTGCCCGCTGAGTCTCCGTTTCTCATGACAACAGGCAATACATCACGCCTGTGATGATTTTCATGGATCTTACGAATATTTCCTTTCTCGAATGGTGCATTTTGCTTTTTGTTTATCACGATTACCTTGCATAACCAGCCATGTACACGGAAAAAGGCCTGGGGGATACCCTTTCGGTGTTTTTGACCCTTTGGACTTCCTTGGGATGAATATACATATACCCATTTCATATTATTATCTGATTTATGCTTGTTTTTTTTTTTTTTTTTTCTTTCTTTTTCCCACTTGTTCTCTTTGTATATTTGGCTGTGTGTTGGGGATAGACGTAGGGTGGTGTGGGTCTTGCGCTATTGTTCTATGATATCCCCTGACTGGACGTTAGTCTTCATCTTGTATCATATTGGGATGCTTGGTTGTTTGTCATTATACGAGTCAATGCAACTCAGTCATCTACCGAGACTACTCCTGCTCTATAAACTCCATGGAAGGCAACTCGTGTGAAAACTTTCAAGTTTGGAATGCAATCGGAGGTATCTTGAAACCTGTGACTAGATGGTGAAGAGTATTCGTTTCACATGCGATGCGATCCACTGTGTGGAGGTGAGATGATCCGAATCTGTAGGTAGAGATTACTCAGAAGACTAATTGCTATCTGTATGATTTGTAAATCTCTAGACCCTTATGGCCGCTGCGGGCCATTGGAACACAAGAAAATTGTATATTAAATCATATAACCACCAAGAAGAACGTGAACCACAGTTGGGTATAGAGCAAGACAAAGGAAGATTCGGACCGCCCACGAAAACACACAAAGAAAGAATGAAGATGACCAAAGGACAAACGAGACCAACCCAAAGATCGAAACGACCGACCCAGATTCACAAAAACGGACCCAAAGAAAAAAAATGACCTCCCAATCTGTAGAGCTCAATGCTATGCTAGCTTGGTATAAATACAAACTTTTGATACGACTGTATGAGAAGTGAATGTTAACATCTAGCTCGATCTGGACGACTCCAGCAACCTCATTTCCACGGTGGATTTTGTTTCTGATGACCCGATCCGCGGCCGGGAGAGATTTTCGGAGGAGAGTGTTGAAGGAGAGAGGACACATGTATCAACGGGGCTGATCATGTTGTCATTGGACGAGGTCTCGCGAAGAGCCTCGTGAAAATCGTGTGTACTGTTGGGCACAAAAGGTGATCGGTAGGAGATGCCGGCGTGGACGAAGGCGGGCATTTCCTCGATGTCTACCCGGGGTACCCGTGACCTTGCAGAGATCATGTCGAAGATATTTATATCGCTTGATCTGCGTGGACCGCCACCTGCTGGTTGCTGTTGTTGGGGCTGTTGGCAGACACAGGGTTGTGTGCGGGTCAGTGAGCGTAGACGGTTGAGCACGCTAAATTCGAGTTTCAGCTTGATGCTGTATACCACTGTTCTGAAACTGACTTCCACATAGTGCAGTTTGTACTCGACGATCAGGAGGAGGCAGTTGAGTATGACGACGAGCACGTTCACCCAGATCAGGTGGCAGATCACATTTCGCCCTTGTTTGCCGCGGACTTCCAGGACTGGGCCGAGGGCGCGGAGGGCTTCGCGAATGTAGATGCCGCAGATGATGAAATCTTGGATGCAGAAGCCTGTGAGTTGGATGCGGTCAAAGATTGCGGCTGGGCGGGCAAGGGTGGCGTTATTTTTGCTAAGACCGAAGAAGAGGGCTGTCATAGGAATGTGGAGGATCAGAGCGTTGCTGATAATCATCCACAAGACCCAGTGCAGCTTTTTGATATCAGATACGACGAGATGTAGTCGTGAGTATAATACAAAGGCTTGGCCGGTGACCATGGCATACCAGCCGATGATAAAGGGGATGGACATTGGCAGGCTTGGAGCCACCGAGACGAAACGGATCATAGCTGGGATTGCATGGAGTAGAATCCCCCAGGAGGCGACTTGCATGCTCCAGAAATATAGACCCCGGTAGTGTTTGAATGTGTCAAAGGTCACGATGCCGGTCTCGAGGGCATTGAAAGCGCCAATTGCGAACATGGACACAACGTCCAAGATCCCAATGTTTTGCATCAGGATCGCTCCCACATCTGGGGGTAGGCTGCTCATCACATTGTCCATGGTGGCATGGGGAAGAGCATGAATCTTGATTTGTTGTCAAAGCATAAGCATAGAGCTTTGCAAGAACGAAGTAAAGAAAGAAGACGTAGGAGTCTGGGAAGATGAAAGGAATAGGCCAGGATTAAAAGGCCCCCCCCCCCCCCCCCGGTCAAAAGCGTGGTGGCTAAAAGGGCAGTGCACGACTACGGCCCTTTCCGTGTGGACCGCTGGGGGTAACATCGGAGTCTGGGGTTTGCTGCTTGGTCCGAGTGCCAGAATTTCAGGGTTGGGAACGGTTAGAAGTTAGCAGGGATAAAGTTGGCTACGGTGGAGTACAACGGCATGAGCAGACGCTTCGATAGCGGTTCGAGTCATGGCCATGGTCGAGGGCGTATCTTCGCACCATCGGGCTGTATATCGTGGGATAGCGGAGGCGCTAGCTACAAGTGATGTGATCGCACGATCTTGCCCCGATAGCCGGAAAGGGGGTGAAAAGTCATGTGAAGATCTCCGTGAGATCTCAAGCACTATGAGAGATAGCGCAGACTGGAGAGATCCATCCCAATTTGGAGATAGATGGAGCAACACTTGACGGTCTGACATGCGGACCCATGAGAAGCACAGATCAATGGCGACTATCAGCCTGGTCGGCTCTGATCGCACTGAGGTTGCTCCCTACCACAAGACAAATGAAAGTGAACTCATTGGGTCTAACAACAGGATCATCAAAACTGGTTGAACCGCAGTGCAAAGCTATCTGGGTGCTAAGCAGGGATGCGGTGGGGATGACATTTTGGTAGACAAAGAAACTGGCCGCGGCTGGCGCACCGTTCAATTGGTGGATGTCAGTGGCGTTTGCGAAACGCGAATCCGAGTCCCTCAATTGAGTTGGGTCCTGTTGCTCTCTCGATCAGCCCAGGTCGGGCTTCATGGCAGTTTCTTTGTGCAAGAATCTGGATCCTCTGTTCTCTGATATTAGTGGCCGTTTGTGATGGGTGGATTCTATCGGGGTTTGTGCTTGTGAGGGATTAGAAAACATGAGAAAAGTAATGTAACACTCATTGGACCGAGGATTGAAGAAGTAGTATCGAATATGGTCCTTTGATTAAGAGAATGCATCATGTAGAGTGGACATTGATGTAGTTGGAAGAAAAGAGAAAGTAAACAAGAAATGAAGTTCCGACGTCAACTGGACGATCAGGTGGTCCGTGCGGCAGTGGCCAAGCCGAGCTTCGTCAGTTCCACAGGAGCAGTACACACTGCCCAGAACACAACATGGTGTCTTTCTGGCCCTGGAAGGTATTATTGACATTGCTACATATGATGATCACCCGTTGCTAACTCTCTCCAGGGCGAGGACAACTCCCCGGCCTCCTTCGAGAAGACCCTGTCGACGCTGTCTACCAAGATCGCCCAGGCGACCACGCGACTGGACCAGCAGCGCCAAACAGCCCGCCGCTTCAAGGCTCTGTGGACCCTCTATTCGACCTTTGCATATCTCTTCTACTCGATCGTACTTGCACTAGTACTAGGATGGGAGAGCTGGGGTGTCAAGGAGTACGCCGCCATCGTGGGTGGCCCAGTGCTGTACGTACCCGTTCGAGTCTTTAACTCTCGCCTCAAAGTGAGATGGCAGCTGACAACTCGTCTTTCTCACTAGCATATACGGAGTACGCACAGCTGGTGCTCGTCTATTTGAATACCGCATCTCTCGAAGCCAGCGCCATCTCGATGAGCTGAACAAACAGCGCGACGGGACCATCGAGAAGCTCAAGGTCGCGACCAAGTACAACTCCACGCAACAGCTGCTCGAGAAATATGGTGGCGAGTCGCCAAAGACTAGCCCCAACCCCAAGGCTAGTCCCGACACTCGAAAGCAGGGCACGCCTTCGCAGAAACAGCAACAACAACAGCAGCAACAACATGTAGCCCGCACGGGGCTACCTCCCCCTCCAACCGCCAACATCCGACGTCCCCCAGGCCAGTCTCCAGTCGGACCTGGCAATCCTCCCTCTCCTCCTCCCTACCAAACCCCCGAACAACAACAAGCTCTACCAAACGCCCCCTCTACACCTCCCATCCCCCAACAATTCACCGACGAGCCGGGCTTTGCGCCAAACGCATTCCCCAGTTCCGGGCAGTATATCGAACAGCCACACTGGTATGATCGTTTGTTGGATGTCCTGCTCGGCGAGGACGAGCTGCAGCCCCGTAACCGGATGGCCATGATCTGCGGCTCTTGTCGTCTAGTGAACGGCCAGGCCCCGCCGGGTATCAAGACGCTCGAGGAACTGGGTCGCTGGAGGTGTGGGAGCTGTGGGGCGTGGAATGGGGAGGAGAGTGAGACGACTAAGATGTTGTCTAGTTTGAGGCAGAACGTTAGTCCGGCTGAGGGTGCGTCTGCGCCGGTCTCGGCTGCTGAGGACGCTGTCCAGGCCGAGGATGTGAGCGATGACGGGGTGATGGTTGCTGCTAGTGAGGAGGATGAGCAGGGCGATCAGGATTCTGAGGTCAGAGAGGGCGAGTCTGATCAGCCTGGAGAAGAACCGAAGGCTGAGCCTGTTCGTCGGTCTAAGCGTGGAAAGGGCAAGCAGTAGATACTGCAGTATTATATTATTTCATCGTGCATACAATCGGCTACGAGCAAATTGGAGAAGCCCTCATTATCAAGCAATGCGACTATGCTCAAGATATCGACTTTATTCGCTGTTCAAAGTATCAATAGCCATTTCCGAGAGTTCAAACTCCTTGCAAGCGCTGGTAGGACTACCAAAAGTCCGTTATGAAGCTCGCATGCTCGCAAGCTCAAGCATTCTGCATTGCTTCACATCCGCAGTTCCTTCAAACCCAATCATTTCATCCAAATCGTAGCCGCGTAGCGGTCTGTAATGTCTATTCAAGCAACTGCCGCTGCAAGTTGCCCTTCATGAAACTTCTCGATGACCCACAAAGCTGTTTTGATCTCGGCCTCATCAGCGGACGCACATCCCTCGATAACTGCAAGCTGTTTCTTGTTCATGGTCGCAGTGCAAAGGTATGTCGCAGCGACCCCCTTCGCCTCGACACGTCTCGGCTTAAACGCTAACTTGCCAGCAGTTTTTCCCAGCAGGTCCTGCGCTTTGTTGCGAGGATGCTGGACGTCCACGTTATCTGCGATTACACGGCGCAGATAAGAAAGTAGTCCCAGTCTCTCGAGGAAAGCTGTACAGTGGCTGAGGCTGAGATCGACACCCGAGTCGATGAAGATGGCACCGATAGTGCTCTCTACGATGTCGGACATGAACTTGTCTGGTCGGAGGCGAGAGAACAGTTCCCAGGGATGCTTGGATCCGAAGTGCAGCTCGTGCAGGATTTCCTCTCGCAGTTCCTGATGTCTGGCCACAGATGCATCTCGGGCAGCCCTGATAACCGGTCCGTTGAAGCGGAGGAACTTCCACAGGTACATGTCATCAATAGTCATCTCCATACAGAGGAAGGCCAGAAGACCTGCGTTAACCACTGAATGTTTGATCAAGGTCATCCTGCCCTCAGGAATTTCCTGGTTCAGTTCTGCAAAGACGGATACAATCGCCATGTCAAGAACTGCATCTCCGAGGTATTCGATCCGCTGGTACGATTGAGTGCGCATATCATGTTCGCACGACGGGTGGGTCAGTGCCTCGGTCAAGAGTGAGGCATCTTGGAAGGTGTACCCAATTAGTGTACTGATCCGCTCCAGATCTAGCAAGTTGCTCGCGAGAGCTGGGTCTTGCTCGCGTGGCGGGACGGCTGCTTGAAGGTCAATCTCTGGCAAGAACCGGTGGAGGCAAGCCTGTGCCCTTTTCATGCCACCGTCCATGTAGGCAGCGCCGATCAGCGCTTCGACAACGTCTGCCAGCACCTTCATGGACAGCTCGCGCTTCGGTCGACTGGCTGCATCCACTGATTTGGTGGATATCAACGGCGCATTCCACTTGCGAGGGGTAAACCGGTCATTCAAGATAAACTGGTCCAGACCAGTATCCAGCGCTGCACGTGCAAGTCGTAGATTCTTTATCAGCTTGTCACGGCTTTCAGACAGATATCCCTCGTGCCATGTTGGTTGTGTGAAGAATAGCTGACAGCTCACCGTGAACTTCAAGACCGAATCACCAAAGAACTCGTAGAGCTGGTAATGTGTCGGCGCCTGGGCGAGCGGTGTAGTAATCGCTGTCAAGACATGGCTGAGATTCTCAATTCCAGCACCCTTAAGTATTGTCTCGTTGAGTTTGTGGGCGACCATGATCGCTTCAACGCGATCAAGAATAGAGGAGATGAACAGACCAAACATCGACTTCTTCCAGGGAAGTCTGTCAACAGTGCAGCCTACGGCTGGGATGACATGAATCTTAGGACGAGCCTCTTCCGTTCCATCCGCCATTTGAGATGGGTTTCGATATTGTAGCAGGTTTCGTCGCTTGGGCAAACTCCGGCATTCAATTTCCAAGGGTTGAGACTCATGCCACATGCGAAACAATCGTGGCTCACTGTACTTTGCTGTGTCCCGGATGATACCAACAGGTGAGATGTTCTGGTCGCGCGCATAGAGATCTACGGCTTGTTCAATGCCTTCGTACTGCTGGATCCAAGTTCCCAGCTGCTCAACTGGGATACTGGGGACGAAAAGAGCCACATAGTCTCTGTCAGCTCCTTGCAAGCGAGACGACGGGGCTTGAAGGTACATCGCGGTAATAGTTCTCATTTGCTGAATAATCTCTGCCGTGGGCATCGGACCGACAGGTTGACTTTTTCCAAAAGTCACTGTCATACTGGTTTCATTCTCCCAAAAGAATGTAAGAGGATGCGGCGCGGGCATCGATTTGGGCAATACGATCGACATTAAGAGGTCCTCGTTCACAGCACCAGTGTTATTATCTGACACTGTAATGCTCGTCGTATGAAGCTCCTGCATCACCCAATCTTGAGCCAAATCAATGTAGGGATCATATTGCGCGGAACAATCGATCAAAGCCGGCATAGCCATTTCTTCCGTAAACCTGAGCTCTGGCTTTCGTGTCAATGGTAAGAGGTTATCATTGACCAAGCCGTATTTCCAAAGTGATTTGTAAGTCTGAAACGCCGCCTCCTTTCTGGCTGCGTTCTCAGTGCGCCACCAGCGCTTACCTTGCGTTCGACGAACCGCTGGGTGAACTGAATTTGGTAGAGTTACTGTGCCACGGATGAGACCACTCAGATCCTCTTCAAAGGAGAACATGGGCCTGTTATCAACGTATTGATCAACGGGCAATACGGAGCAGAAGTGGTGCAGGTGCTGCATGGCATCTTCCGCAGACAGTCGAGCACTAAATTGTGTCAGCAAACGCATTTATTAGGACTTTATCAGTTAGTGTTTACCTCGTGGAGGCAACAAATAGCGATTCATCAACGTCCTCCCGCGTTGCCTCGAGCTTCCATGCGTCTTGCCGTTGCCTTTCCTCGTTCTGATAGGCTTCAATCATTGTTCGCTCTAGGTCTTGCCATTTGGACAGAACAAGTGAGTCATCCTCTGTCGAAAGCATGATAGCATATGTGGACTGCTTATGGCGTGCGCGACCACGTCGCTGAACGAAAGACTTCAGATTCGCTGGTTTGTCATAGCAGATGACGAGTCGGCACGAACTGACATCTAGCCCTTCTTCGAGGACATCCGTACCAATAAGTAGATTCTTCCGACCAGCTTTAAATTCGGATAGCGTGTCCCGTTGCATATCTCGGGTGAGTAAATCCCCCAGTGACTCTTTCCGACTAGCATTATTCGACCACCCGACGAAGGACGCACACCGAAAGCGATCCTTTGTGGCGGGATGCAGCGATAATAGTCGAGTCAGGACACTGACAACCGATCGCGTCTTGGCAAATATTATGCCAGAGAATTCGGAATGATCCATCTTGTCGAGGAAGGAGAGCAGTATCTCCAGTTTTGGCGAAATGTGAATGTTCTCCACGGTGTCCTCCAGCAGGGGCATACCGAGGAGAAGCTCCAGAAGATATACTCTCTCTTCGCGATCCAGGGCTGTCATCGAATCGTCATTCTCTATAGATCGTCGAAGCTGATCAATTGATGCTTGGATGAAGTAATCGGTCGCCCAACCACCAAGTTCGGCGTACATATCACAGCTCCGCTCTAGGAACTTTGTCATTTGCTCACCGCAGAAAGTCACCCCTGTCCTGAGGAGTTTCTCTGCCTCGACTGCCCCTTCTGGGTGTTCTCGAAGCATTTCAAAGTAAGGATCTTCTCGTATGGCGTATGCTTTGACACACTTGATAAGAGACCGAAGCAGTCGGCTTCCAAGAAATCCATGTTTTATCTCCCAAGGTGGGTAAGGAATACACTCGAGCTGCGGTCGATGTACATGCTCGAGTAATTCAGATCTATGTCTTCGTGGTGTCTTGCAAATGGCATCCAAATTTGCCTCTATCAACCTGGAGAGCTTGTCAGCTAGTTAGATGGCAGGTGGAAATCCAAGTAGGCATACTGTAGCTCCTGCGGTTTTGACCGGACGATAGGACTCGCTGTCAGACCTAGAATTCGGGGAACGGCATGCGGGCCGAGATTGGCACGTGTTGGGTGGTAGTGGTACTGCATGATCTTGTTCGCCGGATGGCCTCGTGTGCAATGATGAGCTGGCGAGTCACATATGAGTAAGTCGTGTGTCAATCCATCTGCGTGTTAGAAGACTTACCTTCGTCGAATACAAGCAGAGCCAACTGCGACATTCGCACGAATCCATGATTCAGCGCATCGGAAAGAACCGCATGGGTCGCGCAAACTACTCGAACGTCTTTGAGAGCCTTGTTCCAAATGGCTTGTTCGGTCCATCTATCGACATTATCGGCGCCAATCAACACCCGTGTCTTGGCAGATGGTATTTGCGAAGCGATAACATCGTGCTGTTGGAGACACAACGCTACTGTTGGTGCCAAAAACCACACCAGCTATGAATTGATCAGCCAACTCCGAGGAAGGAGTGATTCGCTTGATTCCCAATTTTGGGAGACTCTCCAACTCACCTTGTCGGCAGGGCATCGTTCGAGCTCGGAGATGATGCGAAGAACGGCTCTAGCGTTTGTATTTATTAATTGGTATTTACTGCACATGCAATGAAAGTTGCGGCATACTTACATATGCGTCTTTCCACTACCAGTATCCATCTAAAAAGTCAGTGTATCAGTATACGTGGAATCAACTACTCCAGACCGATCAACATACTGCCACGATGATGTTTTGCTGCTCACTAGCTTCCAGCATCTCCAGCTGATACCCGCGGGGCTTATAACTTGCCATGCCATTAGCATCCAGATTGACAGCAGGAGGCAAAGCCCCATCAGGGCTCTCATCCATGGCCTCCATTTCTAGGAAATCGGAAGGAAAGACCAAAGGCGAATGCCCATAGTGGAAGAGGAGCTGGTCACAAAGAAATCAGGCGCCAAGTGAGGCAGCCCACTGGCAAGCGGGGCTCCTTATCGAGCCTTATCGCTCTGGCGGGCGGGAGACAGGCACGGATCACAAGACGGTGTATTACGGCAAAAACTACCGGGATATAGTAATTCATAGGTCCGCCGGGTCCAAGTTAAACAATCGGGGTGAACAGGCAGGCCTAGAATTCACTATGACTGGGCAGATCACCGATTGCGCAGCGTCTCGACGACTATATGACGGACTGCCATCGCTTTAGAGATTTGTTTGGAGGCTGGCCCAAAATAGAGCCGTGTTCCAAGAAAATACTCGGAACCCGCCTGCTGCACGACTGTTTGGGCAGCCGCCCGCCCCCACCTGACCGCCTTGGAATCTTCACCAGAACCACAATTGCGAGGCAGACCTGGCGCTTAAAACTTGACACCACTTGGTGCTCTTCCTAAAAATATAAGTATCCGTTCTAAGCTCTGGAAGGGCCCTTAAAATATTCTCCTCCGTCCTTACACGAATTTAAATATGGTCGAACCTGTCGGGCTAGCCTCTGGAATCCTTACTTTGGCGACGTTTGCATTTCAATGCAGTGTCTCACTGTACGAGACAGTGGACAGCTTCCGTTCACATCCGAAGCGTGTACGTGAGCTTCTCAACGAGCTGGAAGCTTTGAGTACCGTGCTGGCTCCTCTCATCGACCTGGTGAAGTCCAATTCAGACGTCGATCTCTCAATCCTGGACCTGCCGCTATTGCGATGCGGGAATGTTTGCAAAGAGTTCCAGCAGGAGGTTCTCAAATGCGCATCGCGGTCAAATAGTAGCCGAACGAGCTTCCGTGATTGGGCCAGACTGACGTATATGGGTGATAATATGGACGATTTCCGTGACTTGCTTGCGGGATACAAAGCTACGATCAATATTGCGTTAACCGATGCCAACCTGTAAGTCACCTCCGGCTGTGATGGCATCATCTTCTCCTAAGTGAGCTTCCGTTTGTGCTGGTGGCTGATTCCTCACCAGGCGTCTATCAGCGGCTACTTTTGAAACTATCGGGGAGTACGAGAGTCTTATCCAGGAAGCGAAGGACGATCTAGGAGCTCGACTCGAAAGCATTGATAGGAAGTTGGAAGAACTTACCGAGAAGAGTTTGACTCAACCTGGAACAGATGCAGCCGAGATGCGCTCGCTGAGAGAGGAGCGCTTGAGTACAGAGAAGTGCCTTCAGATCTGTGCCCAGTTGTCGAGCCACATCGACCAGATTCAGCTGATGTCCGATGAGGCGGGTTCATCTCAGGGATCAGATGGAGCTGAGGCGTCACCCGAACGGGTCACAAATGAAGGTCTACAAGAATGCAAAAACAGCTTAGCTGCGACGGCTACCAAGTTGGAAAAGCATATGCGAGATGTTATGGATCGGCTAGTCGCCAAATCAAAGACTGCGATCTACTCTGATGAAGATGCTCAAGATCTATCGAGGCTGCGCGATGAGTGGGAAACCGCCCGGCAGTGCTTGGATATTTGCTCACGGGCGGATACTCACATAAAGGAGAACGTCAGCGTCATCGAAAATCACGGCAATGGTGACTCGCTACAGTTTATGGTCTCCGCGAATGGAAAAGTTCTTCACGGAAAGAACCGGGGTCTGGGTTGGAGGAACACGCAAGTGGGAGGCTACATGAGCAATGAGTCAATCCAGCAGTTATCGCGAGACCTCGCGATTATTCATACTAGTCGCTTGAGGGATGAAGTATCCATCTCAAAGGATGGTTTCAAGTCAAATGCAGGCGATGTGGGGGAAGGTACGATAACTGCCGAATTTAAGGAACGATATGGGCGAGGCTTCACTCTGGAACCAGCGCACACATCAGACAGACAGACTTCTCAACGCAGTGCGAGCAATTAGTGCGTAGAGCTACCAGGTGGCGAAACATGCTACTAGGCCGGAGAGGAACTTGCTTTGTCGGTAAATTAGCTGGTCTGTTGGGAGATTTTGTTCTTTTTTATATTTTAACAATCATAGTTTGCTTTTTCCTTCCTCACCACAAAGGGTTGTAGCTTAGACGCCAACGTACTGGGTTATTCTATCATACTAGCAAGACCGATAAAGATACTTGAATGAGAGACTGCGACTCCAACTTACCTGTGCTAGGGATGATAGGAGCACTGCCCTTCCTATCGAAGTATATATGTCGGAGCAAAGCTGTTCCGGTCCGTCAGTGTATTTAGCCAACAGTATCCACTAGTCCAAATACCATCGTTTTCCCCTCTTTCCGTCAATATAGTTCCTGCTTGATTTTCTGCCTGAGGCTATAGTTTCTGTCGTATTCGTCACCCGGGTTCTTTGACCTTAAGTGTTGGGAAAGATCCATGGCAGGATTGTCGAAAAGGAGGGGTCAAGGAAATTAAGTCCCGGAGGCTACCCGTTTCATTTCCAAATCCAGGTTCCAATATCCAGAAATGGTTTCTACATCTGAGCCACTCGGTATCTCCCTTCAACTCCGCTCCGGTCAGCTGACGTCTCTATAAGCGGCTTTGGGGAGCCGCCTTGGCCAGATATAGGCACGATCGACACTCATTTCGTATCACTTTTGGGGCTGTGTGACTGACAATACTGCCTTGTATTCTTCCAACAGAGTGCCTTCCACACTTAAGATGAGAGCACAGCCAAGAAAATTCTTTGTTTACACGCGAAGAATACAAAAATAAGAAAACCAGAATGCCTGACAAGAACGACCCGGAGGCTGCAGAAGCGGCCAGGTTGCTTAACTCGCGTACTACCACAAATTTAACTACTGTTCTGCCGAAAGAAGTCAAATGGAATATTGACACTGAGTGTCTGATAGCGGTGGAAACGAGTTGGCTATCTCACCTTATGACCGCGCCACGTTCACTCTGGGAGCCAGGAAACTATGAGCCTGGGGAGACGTACCAGAGGCTCTTCAGGGACGTGCTTACTGGTCGCGGCGTATGGCCAGAAGACTCAGGGCAGGATGGGAAGAAAGGGAAAAGCATTGCTCTTTGGATTTCTACTGTCTTTGAAGCCCAGAGAGAGGCACTGGAGCAACAAGATGATCGGTCGGATATAGATGAGCGGACTACGGACAAATGGAGAAATGAACAACTTGAAATTGAGATTCAAAAGGCCATGGACAGCATCCTCGATCAACAGCGGGGAGACCAAGGGCTGCGCAGCTACGTGACCGCGCTGGTAGAATACCCAGAGCATCACTTTAGTCGCAAGAACAAGGAATTTGCTCTGAAACTGCTCGTCCGTCGGATCATTCAGCGAGGACACGGCACTTCTGCATCTCGCCGCCGCTGCAATGAGTGGTGGAAGATATTGAGAGAGGCTCTCAAATTGGCGAATATGGAGTCCCCACCCTCCTCTCATCCGTTCTTTGACTTCTTTCCCAGATACATTCTGTATGGTATATTAACGGCGTCCCAGCTGGCTGCAGTGCAAGTGATTTGCCCTAACTACCTGGCAACGCTGTTAGCCTCCCACTCAAGCCTAGCCTTCCAGAAGGCTCTCCTTTTCGTCAGCCTGGGCCTCGGTCTTACCACTCTTGATCATCTCCTAGCCTTGAATACCACCTCGTGGAGATCACAGAGACGGTGCAAGGAGCTTTGCAGCTCATTGCAATCGCTGCCTACCGAAGATATACTTGCCCTCAACACCTCGCAATCCTCTGATTGGCAGCTCAAGATGGACCAGGTCAGACATCGATGGGGGCTAGGTCTCCCTTGGTGGCAGTACTATCCAAACCGCTGGCTGCCCTCAACGTCAGACCCAGGTTCGACTCTTGCCGCCCATGCTACTAGTAGTACCTTCCAACAAGAAGATAGTGAGAGTCCCCCTGCATACGAAGCAGTGATGGCTACGTCCTTCTCCTATCGGCCGCCGGCCTACAGCAGCAAAATCTCCGGGTTAGCGGCCGATGGCTCCCAGTCTGATGGAACAGGTCTTCCGAGATCCAATCAAATTCCCAGGCTACAGGACAAGCCCGACGAAAGACTGGTGCTTACCGAGTCCCAGGAAATTGTGGGTGCAGTTGTGTTACTTGATAGCCCTCTCTCGGTGAATTCGCTTTCCAAGCTTCTTGCTTTGAGTACAGAACAACTCCTCCAGCGAGTTAGCTCACTACACTCGGTCCTAAGTATACCCAGCGATCCGACCAAGCCGGTGCAGCTTTGTCATTTGTCACTTCGAAACTACCTTCTCGATCCAAGGATACGTCATGAAACCCCATATTGGGTTGATGAGAAGCAGATGCATCGAAAGTTGGCTGCAAGATGCCTTAGTATCTGTGATAGTCTGACAAGGAATATATGCAGACTATGTGACAATACAAAACGCGCGCAGATTGATCAATGGAAAATCGACCACTGTTTTCCTCCAGAAGTGCAGTATGCTTGTCGTTATTGGGCTCATCATCTAGTACAAAGCTATGACCATATTTCGGATGCGCCCGATATCCTTTTGTTTCTCAAGAAGCACCTCCTGCACTGGGTGGAAGCAATGAGCATTCTAGGCTTTGCTTTTGAAGTTGTGAGGATCATTGGACTGCTGCAGTCAGTCTTACATGTAAGTATCTATCAAATGTTTATATTGCTAAAGCTAATCTGTTCAGGTTGACAGGGGTCATGATCTATCCAGATTCTTGCATGATGCCAAGCGGTTTATCCTCAAGTACGGACAACTAGCAGATGATGTCCCCCTACAGATCTATAGTTCAAGTATATTCTTTGCGCCCGAAAGGTCGATAATTCGCAATCAATTCCAAGGAGAGATCCCGAACTGGATACTCATGCTGTCAAATCCTCAGAGAGACTGGAGCGCAGAACTGCAGATTCTTGAAGGCCATTCAGATATAGTAGGGTCGGTCGCCTTCTCGCCAAACGGCCGCTTACTGGCCTCCGGTTCGAGAAACTTCCTCGGATCCTCCGACAAAGCCTTCCTGGTCTGGAACACGGCTACAGGTGCCTTACAACCGCAGAGGTTTGAGGGTCATTCAAATAGCGTCTGTTCTGTAGCCTTCTCACCCGACAGTCGGTTTCTGGCCTCTGTATCTGACAATACTGTCCAGTTGTGGGATGCGGCCACAGGGACCCTGCGGCGGACTCTCAACGGCCATCAAAATCCGGTGCACGCGTTGGCCTTCTCGCCCGATGGCCGCATCATCGCATCTGGCTCAGGTAGTCAGTTTGGTACTACGAGAGATAACTCAGTTCGTCTCTGGGATGTGTCTACTGGCGCCCTGTTGCACACTCTCCGAAACCACCAAGGCCCTGTGAACTCGGTGGCCTTTTCACCTGACGGCCTGCTCCTAGCAGTCGCTTCTACATCTAAAATCCAGATCTGGGATGCGGCCACGTGTGTCTTCCAGAAGACTCTAGAAGGTGATAAAACCTGGATTGAGTCGGTAGCCTTTTCACCCAACGGTCGATTACTAGCTTCCGGCTCCAACAGCTTTCTCGGCCGTCCTAACAAGGCTCTGCAGCTATGGGATGTGGCCACAGGGACCCTGCAACGAACTCTTGAGTGTGATTCAGGGACTATTCACTCGGTGGCTTTCTCGCCTGATGGTCAATTACTAGCGTCCGCATCTGCCGATCAGATCGTCCGGCTCTGGGCTGTGGCCACTGGATCCCTGAAGCGGACATTCAATGGTCATTCGCGCTCGGTGAAATCTGTAGCATTCTCGCCCGACGGCGGCTTGCTGGCGTCCGCATCTTTCGACAACACCGTCCGGCTGTGGGATGTATCTGTAGGCGACGTGCAGCCGTCTCTTGAGGGCCATTCAGATTTGGTGAGATCGGTTGTCTTCTCGCCCGACGGCCGGCTATTATTGTCTACTTCTGATAGAGGCGCAGTCAATCTCTGGAATACGGCCACAGGCGACCTACAGCACAGCTTTGAGAGTGATTCAAGTTCGATAAGGACGGTGGCATTCTCTCCTGACAGTCAGCTACTAGCGACAGGGTCTTATGGAACAGTCCACCTCTGGGATACTGCCACGGGCGACCCCCAGCTCACACTCGATGGCATTCCATCAGACGTATATTGTATCGCGTTTTCACCCAGCGGCCGTATTCTTGCATTTGGCTGTATTGGGATCATCCTAATCTGTGATACGACGACAGGCGACCTGCAGAAGACTCTCACCGGTCATTCATGGTCGGTGGAATCGGTAGCCTTTTCGCCTGACGGTCAGCTCCTAGCGTCCGGTTCTTACGATAGGACTATCCGGCTCTGGAATCCGTTCACTGGTGTTTTGCAGCACACCTTTCAGGAAAACTTTACTTCCTTGGATTCTTTGGCTTTCTCACCTGATGGCCGGATATTGATGTTTGTCTCGTCCAATGACGCGATCTGTCTCTGGGATACCCTCACGGGCGCCTTGCTGCACGGTCTCCATGGCCACGCGGCAGCCTTCTCTCCCGACGGCAAGATATTAGCGTCCGCTTCCAACGATAACACGCTACGACTCTGGGATGTGGCCACGGGGATCCCGAGAGAGACCTTGGAGGTCAAGGGAAGGATCACAGACCTGGAGTTTTGTGCAAATGGTTCATACCTTTGTACTAATCTAGGATACATTGAGATCCAGCCGTCGCCAGAAAGTCTTTTCCCAAGTCTAAGACCAGCGGCCAACATATTTCTGGAAGAAGAGCAGTGGGTAACTTCTCATGACGGAACTGCACTGTGGCTTCCTCCCGAATATCGGCCGTCCTGTTCGGCAGTCAAAGACAATACTCTTGCATTAGGACACGCTTCGGGACGGGTTTCTATTTTGAAAATTTGTAACTTATACACACTCTTTTAGGTTTCATTTCATGAATGTGGCGAAGATGGTTCGAGATGGTAACGTGTTGACGGATGGGGGTACTCATTAGGGTAGATAGGAAGGTTGTATGGTGTAGTCAGAACATGGTCCTCCAATGATATCTAATAGCGCTTGGAATGTTTGTGACACATGGTCCCTGAGCGAAGCAGAATGTATGTAGTTAGGCGTAAGCGAGGAAACAGTATTATCTAAACTCATGCTATACCCGTCACAGTGGCAAGAGAAAATGTTCACTGGCCCTCGGTAGTTGCGAAAGTGGAAAGTTGCAGTTTGCTTTTCATGTGGCCCAATTGGCAACTTATTCTAAAACGGGCTCGCAAGCTTCGGATCAAGAATCTAGTAATTGCAAAAATGGAGGTTTTAAGAAGGCTGAGAACAGTACAATAAAAATACAACGCCACGTACGTAGAGATACAAACAGAGTTGCCAGAGGCTTGTAATATCTGATCTATAATGTTTCAAGTCCACCAGGCTTTCTCATCAATAACCATCAGTAATATACACATTATGCGGTTAACATGCGTGAGCCAGAAGATGGCAAGGCTCGACGTCTGCCAGCACCATCCGTTTCGGCTGGTAGAACCAAAGATCATTTTGGTATATCATATCCTCTCACTCGGAATAGCTTGTCCACCATACTCACCAGCTCCTCGTATCATCGTCTCACCCTCATAATGCAAACTGATGTTGGTAGTCTTGATGATAGTTCCTTCTTCCATCGGCAACATGTTCTCCTCGCTATCCTTGCTTTTCAGAATTGTCATCCCGTTGTTTGCGAGGTGGCGATGCTGACTTGTGTGCTTAGAGAACTTCGAAGCCGATTGCAAGTCGGTTAATCTGACGACGTTGCTGGATTGGGGACCGGATGATGATTTGACGGTGGAGAGGAGGCGTCGGAATATGATGACGAGTAGAGGGCGGATTGGAGGGATGGAACCAACAATGAGGACCACCCATTTCTCGGTTCTGGAGAGAGTATCATTGGTAAGTTCGGTGTACTCCTTTTTTGAAACGAGATTCGTCGTACTCATTCCATGTACTCAACTGGGCGAGGTAGTCTGGGCAACAGAATTAGCAAATATCTCTCTCAATTGTCGACTAAGGTAACTCACAGGTAACGTCATCGGTCTGGGAGAGAACACGCAGATACTGTCCAACAAATCCATGAGTGAAGTTCAACAAGCGCAATATTGAGTTATACAGGAGGGTAGTATACCGTGGTTTTGATGATAGAACAGGCACATGCTCTGCGAAATCGAATTAGAGACAGCACACCATCATCGGAAGAGGGGTAATCTAGTACATCACACCTAAGCCCATGAGCAAACACAGTCCGATCTTCACGCGTAGATCGAGTCGCACTTTCCAAAAGAAGATTATAGGATACAAGGCCAAGATAAGATCGCATAACGCCGACCAGCCTGCAAGTATCGACAAATATTAGTTATAATCGCATTTAAGGCAAAATGACTCAGGCGGAGTACTGACTTCCTTGGAAATAGGCCATGTTTTGGTTTCGAAGTCTCCCATCACATGTTCCCATCAGAATATCGTTCCAAAGTTTCGCGCGTGGCGAGCACTGAGTCATGATCATGCCGATTGTGATACAGTTGAGGAGTAAGTTGCTGATAGCCACGCCCCATAAGAATGTAACTCGTCCTCTGTGTTCGGGACCATGTATTTGCTGGAGAAATGCGACCAGTGCTAGTTTTCCGGTTCCAATTGCAAAAATTCCCACGGCTTGGTTCATCCAGCTCCATTTTGTGGCCGCGATGATTTGATCCGTCGTGAGTTGGTCTTTATGCGAACCGATACCATAGTTGATGCCGATCGTGAGGAGAATGACACTTATGAACGCGACGATCTGTGGCATTTCAGAAATCAGCAAATTTGGGTTTGAAGGCCAAGAGCCGACATATTTTGAGCAGCGGAGGGGATGGTGGAGATGATGCGGCCATACAAAAGTCAACAAGGCCAAATATAGATCGGAGCGTAAATGTCGTGTGATCTTCCAAGTTGTATATATCCTGGCAAGCAATAGGATTATAGCAATCGCACCCTCAACCCAAGTCACGATCAGCAGGGTCAAGCCATAGCCTGCTAAAGCTACGTGGGTCGTCATCGTTGCCGATACCACTGATGACGGCAAGAATGAGAGGAAAGGGAGAAGCAAGACATGTATGTAAGACAGAAGAAAGGCCCATGAAAACCCGGAATAGAGACCCTGGGAGCCCTGAAATTCCCTCACGCGAGCTTCTGGAGGGGCGTATTGTCTGGCTTTTGATTTTGATTTAAAAATTTCATTCCCCTGGTCAAGGCCGCCACAGGCCCCGAGGCCGGTCAGCATTTACAAGCCACTAGGGTAGGAATCAGACGGTCATTTTTCATCGATGGAGGCCTCTCATTTGCACCGTCGAGTTGCTGTGAGTAGAATGAAACACTCATCACCAGCACTTACTCAGTGCGGGGAAAATTATCCCCCACAATGGTTATAGATAGATTTTCATCGACAACCTGGGGAGGGGGTCCCTTACGAAGCAATGATCGTCGACAACCAAAGACGCAAAGAAGTCGTGTGGGACATGCACCAGTTAAGAGGCGTGGGGTAATCACATTACCATAGTTGCATAACTGGAACTGAGAAAACAACTGCTAGGGATTGATCTCTGGTCGAGCCTCACTGGCCCAAATGTGATAGTGGTGGTGAGAGCCACGCGTCCATGGGTAGTAAGCACGGGTTTTATACAGCTAGTATCGCAATACGACTTCCAATTCATTGCTCCTAGTCACAGACAAATCTGCGGGGTATATAATCGTTCAAAAACCAATACACTGCAGTCATTCACAAGCCCAATGATTCAGGAGGAAGCCAATTCGAAATGTTCTGTCCAAGCCTGGTTGCATTGATGGCTGTTTGCTATTCCTCGCCGTAGCCATGTTTGGGCGCTGGCATGCGATGAATGCGTGCTAGCCCCCGCATTTCCTTCTAACGCCCCAAGGACAATACCCCTTTTCCCTTCGCCATTTCTTCATTTAGCTCGTTCAGCTTGCATGCCTCGCGGAATTTGCACCATTCAGCGACCTCGCGGTTGAATCTTTATCCTTGCGATCTAATGTTCATACCAGGAAAGGCTATTTTGCGGGTGCCACCGCTAAATTAGACTCTCGCACTGACAATCTGAAACTCAATTCCCCTAGAACGCCCGCTCTTCCTTGGAACAATCAACAAGGACCAGTGCCTTCTGGAAACAATCTTACAGCCACTACTAAACTCAAGGCCAGCCCTCGGATTAGCCGGTGAACAGTAAGTGTCGTGGGTGGTCTCGAATCTACAGCGTTGTTGAAGATCAGACTGTTACAACCTTACAATCAATGCTCAATGCTGAACCACCCTTGCACCCAGGTAGCAAAACAACTCTTTGCATGTCTCATACAACCAGCCAAGGTTATCAAACGATCTGAGAATTAGGCGTCGCTGAATCAGAATCAGGTTATTCGTCGAGGCTGGCTTGGGCGGCTTAGTGACAGCTAACTGGCGCGCAAGTATGGGATCTCACCCTTCAATTCTACGAGCACGGCAACAATCAGCCGATGTGAACAACAGCAAGAAGCGAACATGTCTACAATCAATACGGGTGTAGACCATAAGTATGTCATCGCTGAGACCCAATCGTTAAGACCCAGAAAACTCCTCCTGATACCCCTTCTCAAACTCGATCTAGCGCGGTATATAGAGAAGTATGTTCTGTGAACATACTTCTGTTTTACTGGGAGATGGGAAAGACAAAGTCATTGATCGGACAAGACTCGACCCCGAGTGTCTAACCTCGCTACACGATATCGGGTGATTCAAGGGCTTATTTCTATTATCAACCTTTGACCCGTGTCACCAGCTGCCGAGATATAGCAGGAAATATATCACCGTCAGCAAAGTAAGGGAAATGACAAGAGGGCTCAATTTTAAGCGTGGCGGCGGAGATCTACTCAAACACTTAATAAAAACAATACTACCCAGTCATTCAAGCCTTCCAGTTCATCCAACACGCAGTGTGATTGACCGCGGTCGATGCGGCTCTGCTTTGTTGACATCGGGTGGTTGTTTCTCCGGTCGGACGCCCTTTTGGGAGCTGTCAACATCTCTTCTCCTCCATCATACGCCAGCTTTCTCGAACCTGGGAATCCTATCGATTGGCTGCTGCCCTTCATTTACACGGTATTCATTTCTTCCATGGCCAATGAGTCACAACCGCCAAATCCAGCTCTTATTGTGTCATTTGCCTCTCCTTCGCCAGGCCGTGGTGAAGCAGCCGCACTCATTCTCCGCCCAACTGGGCGTGCCAGTCTCAACATACCTGTCACCACATTCAAGAAGACATAAAAACGTCCCGTTGGGGCTCAAAGTCCGTCGATACAAGAGCTCCATCCCTGCCTGGATTCATTCATCACTGGATGATATACCGTCAAATTGCGCCCACATCCATCTTCGTGCTCCACTTCACCGCTGGACCTCGGACCACCGCTCCACCGTGATGACCCACATCGCTCCAACCGTGGTCAATGTCGAGGGGCCCTCTCAGGAGACTGAATCCGATCATGGATCCCGTCTGAAAGATGACTTGCAGTCTATTCCGCAAGATACAAAATATCTCAGTATAGAAGGAGATACACCGTCAGACACTGAATGGTCCATCCTGGGATCTCATTTCACGAATGTTGAGCATCTCCACTTGCGAGCTGGTTTCAATGAAGACCTCAACGACAAGGGAATCCCTCTTCACTGGCCTCTACAGAAACTTGAATTCAGCGATTCAGTTAGCGAGGTCTTTCAGAGTCCGTTCATTCTTGAGGGACGCGTCCCCCATTTGAGTCTATTCTTTACTTCGGGACTGCGATTCGAGGGGCTGACAAGCCACGAACTCCAAGTTGAGCACAAAGAAGCAATCAAACGGGGAGATATCCAAGGGGATTTTATCACCGTTCACGAGGGAACTCCCGAGGAGAGAAAGATCGAAATCACATACCTTCCTGAACTAGTATCCAACCATATTAACAAAATCTTTACCGATCCGGAAAGAGGCCTGAAGGAACTACCATCCGGCCCGTTCAACTTGCGAGTGCTGGAGATTTGGGAAAATGATGCGATTGATACTTTCAATCGTATGGCGCTGTCGCTACCCCACCTCGTGGAGAATCTGCGTACGCTGCGAATCAGGTCTACCGCCGGTTTGGATTTTCATTATACGCATGAACATGTGTTCCGCGAACTATTGCCTCAACTGACAAGCCTTCGATCACTGAATATCTCCGTTGGAGAGGTATTCCAGGACCCATCTCATCTTCCGACAATCTACAAAATCTTTCCCCCTAATTTAACGGAATTGTACTTCCGTGGCCCTTCATCGCTCTGTCAATCGATGGAGTGGTCTAATTGGGTGCAAGCATTTGAATCAAAGGACTTTCTTCCGGACTTGAAAAAGCTGGCGTTTGTACTTGATCTGCACTATGAAGAGGAAGAATCTGGTCGGAAGAAAGAGGGTCCGGCGCCTGCGCCTTTGCTTTATCAAGCTCGCATTGCTTGTCAACCCATCTATAACATTGCGAGGAGACGCGGAGTAAGCGTTATAGAAATGCCTGCTGGGCCGGATTTTGTGCTGCTTCGTCCTGTTGATGAGCGCTGGTAAGAGCTTGGCTGTCGTTGTCTCCACTCGTGTATTTTACGAATTATGAACATCTCCGCTATGAATATACATCCCCTCTCTATTCTTGGATTAACGTGTGATTCACTCTCTAGACTCGTTCTCAATTCCGAGCACTAGTGACCCATCATTGTTCATTGGGTATAACCTTATATAACATGTCTTCATACATTTCGCATGCTCCACACCAAGCAACTCCCAACGTCCAATCAAACCATATACACCCTTCTAATACACATATCGGAAGTTCAAGTTCTCCTGATCCGTCTTGTCCTCGAAAGCGTGAATCAGGTTAGGATCAGCAGAGGAAAGATCCGCTGCAGCAATAAGCTCGTCCTTGCGCTTGTTCTGACGCTTGAGATGGAAGCGCAGGAAAATCACTGCCACGGTCATGCAAGCGTAGCATGCAAGGTGCACACTCCAGGCAATGTGATACCGGGGCGCGTCCCAGTCCAGGAAGACTTGTGGGCCTGAATGGTGATGTTAGTGTGTGTAGGTCATAAGGGTGGGGATGGGGGAACATACCGATGGCGTTTCCGGCGGCCCAGGAGATGAATGTTGCGGCGACGACGGTAGACTTTTTGGTTTGGCCGGCGATATTGCGGGAGACCATGGAGAGACAGAGGGTTTGGGCGGACCAGAAGGAGAGAGTGATGTAGTAGCTGATCAAGAGGCCGACCTTGGTGGCTAGGGTGGTGTTCTTGACTGTCATCAGGACGATAGTACCGATATAGGAGCTGTTATACGATTAGAAATCATGATACATATAATGGGTGGAGTGAAGAGGGTGAATACTCACGGGATAACAAAGCCCAGCATAACCAGCAGGTTCTGCTTATACTTCTTAACTAGCCAAGCAGACGTAAGCAGAATGACGATGATGTAGAAACCCAACACCATAGCCAGAAGCTGACTCTGCAGCGTGGTAAATTTGAAACTCTTCATAATAATACCGGCGAAAGCACCCAGACCACTGGTTGGCAGGGTAGTGAAAATCTGGATACTGCAATAGCACCATGTCTGAGGGTCACGGAGAGCTTCCCACACCTGGTACGAGCGGAACTGTCTGTTCTGGATACCAGTCTGGTTGGAACGTAGTCGCTCGACCATCATGTGCTTGTCCTCCTCGGTGAAGCACTTGGCACGCATGGGCGAATCGGGCATGTACCACATAACGAACAGTCCCCACAGCACGGACAGACATCCATACGAGAGGAACAGCGCCTGCCAGGACTTGAGGACCTTGTCACTGCCAATGAGGGTGAAGCAGTAGGCAAGCAGACCGCCTACGATCTGCTGGGCACCGTTCATCATGTACCAGTACGTGACGGTTGAGGCCTGCTCCTCACGCTTGTACCACATGGAAGACAGCAGGACAAATGTGGGCTGACAGCAGGCCTCGAAGATACCCAGCAGCGTGCGGACAATGACCAAGCCGGTGAAGTTATGGCAGGCAGAGTGAAGAGCCAGGATCATACCCCAGAGGCAAATGTTGATGCCGAGATATTTGGCGATGGGAACGCGCTGAATGATCCAGTTGGTCGGGTATTCGACAACCAGGACAGCGATGTAGATACAGGTGGTGAGCCAGGAGTACTACAGTCGGGTTAGTATCTTCACCTTTTGCTGGTTGGGGAGGAGGAGACTGACTTTTTGGCCATTCTCCAGATGAGCATCGGTCTTGATGCCCATGATCGAGGAGAAACTCATGGTACCCTTGTCGAGGGCCTGGAGGAAGTATGTGAAAATCATGATGACCAGGACGCGACGGTCGATCATTTTCTTCAGGCGCTTGTTGTCTTCTTCACTGACTTCCACCCTGATGCTGGAGTACATTTGGACCTATCATGGATAGTAGATTAGCATGGGCAATTTAAGCTGCGAGGATCTGCTGTCATTTGAGACGTACCTCCTTGTCCACTCGCGAGACATCGATATGATCCTTCTTCAGGTCATCGTCCGGAGGCAACACCTGCTCGACGTGGGAGATATCCCGGGCAGTCTTGTTCTCGCCCATCTCGACAGGCTGTTGGGCAGTCTCCTGCTGGATCCCGACTTGGGACTGAGGCTCGTCGTGAGCCATTATGAGTGATGGACGTCTGGCAGGTCACTTCAACCACCGCGGTAAGGGCACAGATCCAGGCACGAGGAAATCCAAACCAGCAGGGCGATCGCTCGAGCCTTATAACCCTTGCAGTCCCGACAGTCACACGTGGAAATGCAGAACATCGGGACAAGAATTCTCCAGCAGCCCACAGCATGCCAAGAATCATCATGTGCCCGCCGGCAGTTCCCAGATTGGCCTTTCTTCTCTCCGTTTTGTCAATCTCTGCCCTATCCACCTATCCACACCCCTGCTCGGCTCGCCTCAGCCCGACATTATTATCCAAGTGCCTGCCGAGTGTCCAATGAAACTGCTTCATCCTGCTCTCTCCGGGGTTTCGGCGGAGTCGCTCCACTGCTCGGGAGACTTGGTAAAGGGCTTGGGACCCAACCCCCACGCGGAGTTGGCCAGTCCGGGGAAGCAATCTACCGAGCAAAGGACTCCACGCCCACTTGCTCCAGCCACTCGAACACTCGCGTCTCTCGGTCAACCCGCCTGATTCCCCGCCCAAATCGCCGGTCACGCCGGTCGCGGGGGTTGGCTGGGCCCTCGTCTTCGGCGTGCGATACCCCGAACCAGCCTTGGCAACATGCGGGGAGCGTGGGGATTCGTGGATCGAGGGGCGCCACAGTTTCTTCCGCAAATCAGCCGTGGGGCATTCGGGGATTCTCCGGCATTGGGTACTTATTTGGGAGGTAGCTCACTAGCCAGGATGGTCTGAACAATTTCTGTTTTTTCTTGGCTGGCACTGACTTGCGCAAGCGACTGCAAATCGAATCAACCGAACAACTTGTCACGACCAGGACCAGGACCAGGAACAGCGGTGCTAATCATTGAATGCAGTGACAGGAATCAGCTCTTCCTTCATCTCTACCAGCCCAATTATTCTCAAACACATTCATTTCCGCTTGCCCCGCATCTCCCTCTTCCTTCACAATGGCTTCCACCCGCACGCCCGCCCCCGAAGTCCACAAGTCCGTCAACCTCCTTATTGACAACCTGGTCAACATCAAGGATGAGACCGGGAAATTCCTCATGCCGCTGGCCGACGGTCGCATCATCGACACCAAGTCCTGGCACGGCTGGGAATGGACCCACGGCATCGGTCTGTACGGCGTGTGGAAGTACTACGAATTGACCGGCGACGAGCGCCTGCTGAAAATCATCGAGGATTGGTTCGCCGCGCGATTCGCCGAGGGCGGTACCACCAAGAATATCAACACGATGGCCGTGTTTTTGACTCTGGCATATGTCTACGAGAAGACGGGCAATCCTACGTATCTGCCGTGGTTGGACGCGTGGGCAGAGTGGGCGATGCATGATTTACCCCGCACCCGTTACGGCGGGATGCAGCACATCACATATCTGACGGAGAACTACCAACAATTATGGGACGATACCCTGATGATGACTGTTATGCCTCTGGCTAAGATTGGCAAGCTGTTGCATCGCCCCGAGTACATTGCCGAGGCGAAGAAGCAGTTCCTCACGCATATCAAGTACCTGTTTGACACGAAGACGGGCCTGTTCTTCCACGGGTGGACGTTCGAGGAAGGTGGCCACAACTTTGCTGATGCACGCTGGGCTCGTGGTAACAGCTGGGTGACGATTGTTATTCCTGAGATTATCGAGTTGCTGGAACTAGATCCCACCGATCCTATCAGACTCCACCTGATCGAGACCCTGGATGCGCAGTGTGAAGCCCTGCAACGCGTGCAATCAGAGTCCGGCGCCTGGCATACTCTCCTGGACCACCCCGATTCTTACCTGGAGGCTTCTGCCACAGCCGGATTTGCTTACGGTATCCTCAAGGCAGTGCGCAGGCGCTATATCAGCGCAGACTACGCCCCCGTCGCTGAGAAGGCTATCACTGCAGTGTTGAAGTACATCGACCCTAAGGGCGAACTCCTGAATACTAGCTTCGGTACTGGTATGGGAGACTCGTTGCAGTTCTACAAAGATATCCCTCTCACCTCCATGCCTTATGGTCAGGCAATGGCCATTATGGCGCTGGGCGAGTATTTGCGGACTTATCTGTAGGCCGTTGAGGAGTATGTGTTATGTGTACATGCATTGTATAGACGGGCGGTGTAAATAAGAATAGAGGATTATGTGTCTCAATGAATCATGTTTGATGTGTACGTCAAATGTCTTGCTACTCAATATAAGAAATAGAGTGAGACTTTGGTGCAGATTACCGATTACGGTCAAACCTTTCTTGTCAAGGTTGATCACCCGCTGTATCCCTGTTAACCTTAAATTATCCATTCATGAGTAATCATTCATGGACCATATTGAGCTATTGTCTCCCTTTCTTTCTCATACATGAGGGACTCGAGGGTATTCGAAACCTACCAAGGAGGTAGGCAAGATAGCTATCGGATCGTCAAGTCTGACCCGGAGGGGAGATGGCTTATCTAGAAAAAATAAGCGAGGACAGATAGTTATATCGATCGGCGTCGTTCTTCTCTATACACCGGTCATTATAGTCTATCTAACATCTCTCAAGTCTTTCTCGGGATTGGCCACGATGGTAAAGCTTATTCCCATCCTGTCTGTCAGACTTGCGTCCCATTTGAGCACAAGAGACGACCTTTCTGGCACATACGACCATAGGGTGTGGAGAACAGGGCTTCCCGTCCGCTCAGCCGTACTTAAGCCCATTATAGTACGCAGTTAATTCTCAATGCGCCCTGAGCTCTAAAATAGCGCCGGATTTAATCTTAGAGTGAGTGTGGGTGATATGGGTGAGAACTTCGGAGACTAGGGTGATAGAGGTGAGAACGGGGTGAGAGTGGGTGAGAATGGAGTAAGGATCGTACCTAGATTACCCGTTCCTTCCTACTTTTCCTTATTAGCCTAACTCTGTGCTATAAATATGAGCCTAGGGCGCTAGTCCTATCTGCTGTTTTTTCCCTCCTAGTATTAAGATACTCTGCTATTCGAAGAAGATACTCCTAGAAGATCTCTAAAAGAAACTTAATAAAAGAGTTCTAAGTGCTACGTTACGTAGCTTTACCTGTGAGTATTAGAATAAACAGGAAAACGAGGATAACTCTATATACCTTAAATAGCTCGCTCTAGCAATGGAATCGCCATCGTCCGGTCGCTAGACGAATTGAACACGGGTTTCGGCAGGCTGCAGCCATGAAAGGCATTATAAGGAACGAGAACGACCATTCTTCAACCCATAGAGATGTGGATCTCTCGGATGGCAGGCCCTTCCTATCGTGGCGGACACATGGGAAGTCGCGACTTTGAGAATTCCAGTAAGAATTGACGTTGTAAAGTGGGTTGTATCGAGCCTTTCACGCTCTTATACGGCCTCTCCCAGCTTGAATTAGAGGCGTTCTGTCTATGCCACTTTATTGAGTATTCTCCATCTTGTAATCTACCTTTGTCGGCGAAAGCCACGGATGGCGTTGTTACCCGAAGCCAACAAGAATAATCTTATTTGCACTGACTGCGATAAATATAAGATGGAAAACGCGTTTTATCTCGTCGTCATGAAATCTCCCGCTCCGGAGACACTACTCCTGAGTAGAAAAATACCGCCCTCCACTTGGCGTACCTTGGGCACCATCTACCTAGTCTTGCGCGGCAATGGTCTCTCAAGTATGGGTGAAAGTTCTAACACCAGCCAAGACATCCGCCACGAAATCGCCACTTGGAGCAGGACACTCAAAAGCCCAGAACACATGTGGTAAACCTTGGTAATAATCCAGTTTTACAGAAACTCTGCAAGAGGCAAGGTTAGAATGAATGAGCATCCATAAGAAAGCACTAAAAAGCAGGAGCAAAACATACCCAGCTGTCTTCAAGGCGTCGTGGATGATAAGGCCGTCGTCTCGCAGTGGATCAATCCCACAGACTGCCAGGTAGGTCGGAGGGAATTGGCGTAAATCAGCCTCCGCATTAAGAACGTAAACGTCTGGGTCGCTGGGTGGCGCCTGGATTGCTCCTGTAACCACCTTGGTCAACGAAATTACGGCTTGTCAATGCATAGGCATCACCAACCGTAGAATTGGGTCATGGCTTGCTTCGTGTTGATGGGACCGTCTCCGAGCTCATCAAAAGAACGATACTGGGTCTTATAACGCAAAGGAACACCATCCGGGTGGACAACGAACGGAGCAATGGCTGCGATCCCCTTGACTTCATGTTTCCGGCCGAGCACGATCAATCGGCGCGCCACTGCCAGAGCGAGGTTACCCCCTGCACTCTGACCAACAGTGAAGTATCTCCCACGGTCACCGTTCAAAGTACTCGCGTTGTTGTATGCCTGAAACGTAAGCAAACATGAACTGTCAGAGTGAGATAGTAAGTTGTACAACTCACCCAATTCCAAGCCTCGAGCGCATCATCCAGCTGAGCGGGGGCCTTGTGCTCCGGTGCAAGCCTATAGCCCACCGAGATGACAATACAAGGCAGACGTTCGGCAAGAAGCCTACAGAAGGTGTCCTCGGACTCTAAATCACCGCAGCAAAACCCGCCCCCATGGAAGTATAATCCGACAGGGAGTAGGTTGGATCCTGCTGGACCGGCTGTGGGTGTGTAAGTTCTCACAGTGAGTTTGGCATTGACCTTTCTGTCTTCTGTATGCGCAGTCATTGGAATCACATCTTATCTAGGCTCGAAAATCGCTCTTACCGACGTTAATATTCTGGGAAATGGTTCGGGTTGCATTTGCCCTATCCGCGAGTGCCTTATACTGATCCCGCATAGCAAATACATCGCCGGTCAGCTGAGGCCGTTGGCCAATGGCATTTTCCACCTAAACAGAGTTAGCGAGTAGCACAGATGAAGTTGCGATGTTACGCGGGACGAGAAAGTCATCACCGTTAACCATGACTCTGCTATCAACGAATCCATCGCGCAAACACCATGAGATGTGCCTAGTTATCGGTGTAGATAGGTCTTGGGATAAACGGGGCCCAGCTGGGTTTATTTTACCTTTGGATTCTTCATTATTATAGCAAGAGGCGTTTAGAATTTCGTGAGAGCCACTGTGGATCCCTTCTGATGTTGATACAAGCGCGAGTACGTAGTAAACCAGGAGATTCATGATGAGTCAACAGCGATACCGAGGGTAACTAGTGGACCCCAAAGCCTTTTTCGGCCCCAATGGCATAATGAGGCATTCGTCAGCCAGCCTTCGCTCGCAACCTGAATCCGATTATTCATCGCGATTTTAATAAGCCTCGACCGTCATGGTAGCCAGTCCCTTCGAAGGTCCAAAATCAATCTTCAGATAATATACTGCCACATTAGTTCTGACGTCACTCAGAGTGAAGGAATGCCCCACCGTCGTTCTACAAGGTCGCGCGATATTCGAGAGTACCAAGCACACTGCTTTGTGATTTAGGTTAGAAAATATGATGGCGGAGGTCTTTGCGAGCATAATCCACCAAGCTCTCCTGTTAGCATTATTCTCAATTTCGGGAACGTGGTCCTAATCTATCCACCACCCCTACATGAAAAAGCGTCAGTGAGAGCAGGCTCACAGTCCATAAGAGGCCGAACTTGATCACAACGTTGGAAGGATGGACGGGTCATTGCATTAAAGTCGCCCCCCGATGTTTCAGGGTGCCGAGATAGGCGTCCGGGGATTACCGCTCCGAGGTCAGAAAAATAATCATCAATTCAAGCAGGATAATCTTATCGCATTTCACAAAACCTCGGTTTGAGATAACAGGGTGCTGTTTCTTTGAAATATATAATAAGCATTCAACTAAGGTTCCTATGGAGGACCCTGGTGAGAAAGCGCTTAGCCGCTGTCACCATGGAATCAAAGACAATGAAAGCAATTGGAGTCGCCAAGTATGGTGCAGTCGACAACTTCGAGTCCCGCGACGTTCCGCGACCGGAGAGCCCTACAGGAATGGACATTCTTATTCAGTAAGTGTTCTCAGATAACATACTGGCACATCCACCCTAACTTCACCTAGAGTCAAGGCATGCTCTGTGAATCCTATCGATACAAAAGTTCGCAAGGGGACTTATGATGATGCTCCAGGTAATAATCCTACTCCTTTTTTTCTAGGAGACTCTCATACTTATTCAATAGACTACTACAAGTTTGTGCCCAAGGGTTTCCATATCATTGGCTTTGATGGTGCCGGAACCGTTTTAGAGGTCGGCCCTGAGTGCACAAATTTAAAGCCAGGCGATGACATCTTCTTCGTGAGCTCCACTACTCGCCAAGGCAGTGCTGCAGAGTACGTCCTTGTCGATGAACGTCTCTGTGCCGAGAAGCCAAAGTCGCTTGACTTCGTGGAAGCCGCTAGTATGGGCCTGACCTTCGGTACTGCATATCAGTCACTTGTTGACAGGCTGGAGATTAAGCAGAACGAGAAAGTTGGTATTCTTATTGTAAGTTCCATTCATGCATTGAGCCAATGTTATAGTAGCTATTGCTACTCGATTGCATTTTGAATACACATCTGACTGTTCTAGATCAATGGCGGGGGCGGAGTTGGAAGTGCTGCCATCCAAATCGCAAGGAAAGTTTTGCAACTTCCAGTGGTTATTGCAACTGCATCCCGACCCGAGACTATGGAGTCATGCAGAAAAATGGGTGCCACCCATGTTGTGAATCATAGGGTGGATCTCGAGTCCCAGATCAAAGCCTTGAACCTGGGTGTCCCAATCAGGTAGGTTCCGGCCTCTCTTATTGTCTTTTTCTTTGCATCTCAAAAAAAGCTGACACTTATCATTCCAGGTACGTCTACGTGGTCGCAAGGACAGAGCAATATATCCACGCCCTGGGAAAAATCTGTGCACCCTTCGCCAAAGTTTGCTCAATCGTGCAAGCCAAGTTTGATCTCTATGGGACCGATTTTATGTCAAAGTCGATGACATTCTCATGGGACTGGCTAGGCTCATCAGCCTATCATCGTACGAATCTAGAGAACTATCGGCGAATTTTTGGGAGCTTGACCCGTTACATAGACGAGGGAAAGTTGGTACCAAACCTCAACAAACGTCTGAAGTTGAATCTGGCTGGACTGAAGGAAGCTCATCAGTTGATTGAGTCTGCAACCACTGTGGGAAAACTTGCGCTAGGGGTAGATGAGCCAGGCGAAGGGGCTCCATTTGCTTAAGGTTGGATTGCTTTGTTTGACAAGGTTTCGCAGTGGAGGGCATTATGTGATGGATGGCGCATGCGGTCCGTTCCCGAAAATCGAATTGTATTCTACTTTATTGCATATACATGCTTCTCTACTTAAATATATAGCCTCTCGAGTAACCTGAATGGACTGTAAAGAAGAACCGTGACTGACCACTCTATCCCACTTTGCGTTCCTGGTATTCATATCTGAAAAATTAAGGAAAAGGAACTACGAACCAACTTTTTCCTTTGTGTGATCTCAAATTGAACGTCTTTCTATTCAGATGACCAGTGCTTATGACACATGTAAAGACATCTCTATTGAATCTATTTGACGATTTTCGAATTAGGACTATGTATTACTAGGGAAGAGTATATAGTAACTACACGGACGAAACGATGTGTTTCTGTATCGCTTACTGCGAAATTTAGTGGCCCATTAGTTCTTTCTATCGCGTGGTGATGCATAACTTACATTGACCGATTGGATAGCCATATTCTCAGGAGGATACTGCAGTGTCTATACTCCTCACAATAACTAACTATATCCAAGTTGAATTTGTTTAGTCAGCTTGTCAATCGATATAAGTGGACACCTGTAAACCAATCAAAATGACGGAAGCCAATACCGTCGCCACTTCGGCTTAACAGAAAGCTTGATTTATGTCTTGGCTGATGATTTGAGCAACCTCGGTCGGCTAAAGCGAACATAATCAGAAGGTCAAGGACGTTCGATGATTTTGGATTAGTCATCCATTGTTAAAACCGAGGTTTGCAAAAAAGCCAAAAAAAAGGAAGACAATATTATAATATCAGGAAGACACTCTTATAATATCGCCGCTGTTAATTATTTGTCGGTCTCAAATAGCCAACTCGGCAATATTCAATTTCGATTTACACCTGGATCAATCAATCTCTTGCAACAATGGTCCTCCCTCGTGAAACAATTGAGTTCAAAACTTGCGATGGCACTATGCTCCGGGGATGGTTCTATCCCCAAAATAGGAAATCGCCTTGTGTGATCATGACCCACGGGGTGCGTACTCCGTGAGATATTGAGATGTTGGATTTTCCTGTGAAATTTGCTAATTTAAATCCATTTGCAACAAGTAGCTAGGAGGTGTTCGCCACTATTGGCTCCCGAACTTTGCGGATCGATTCCAGCAAGCCGGGTACAATGTACTCCTCTATGATAATCGGAACTGGGGTGACAGTGATGGACTACCGCGGCAAGAGTCAAACCCGACCCTTCAACAAGCCGACTACTACGATGCGTTCAATTTCGCAACATCATTCCCTAATGTGGATGATACTCGCATAGTGTATTGGGGCACGAGTTTCTCCGGAGGAAATGTTCTGTACGCAGCCGCTGTGGACAAACGGATCAAAGCTGCTATCGTACAGTGCCCTGCAGTTTCCGGAGAAACGCGATCCTTGGCCTTCAAAGACCGCATCCCGGGCATTCTGGAAGAGCGTGCTCGTATCACTGCAGGATCAGAACCAGAAAGGGTTCCGCTTATTGCGGAAAACTTGGAAGCAGCGCAGTCAGGGACCACTACTGCCATGTTTCCCGGAGTTCATGCTTACGAGCAGGTGCGCGGCTCGTACGATTGTGGTGGTCATTGGGAGAACTCTGTTACAATTCAGAGCCAGCTCTATATGCTTGCATTTGAAGGACAGGGTATAGTGCATCGTATTTCGCCGACTCCTCTGTTTATGGTCATTCCTGGTAATGACATCCTTGTCACCACGGTATCTCAGATGGCCACCTACGAAAAGGCTAGAGAGCCAAAGCAGCTTTTGTATCTTGATGGCGCGGGCCATTTTGATATTTATACCGGGGATTGGTTTGAACAGAATATTAAAGGACAGATTGAGTTCTTAAGGAAATGGCTTGGTTCTTCTTGAGACGTGACAGCCGCAACCAATTCGGAGTTTTCAAAGAGGTTTCTTGTGTAGAAGAAAATGGGACTAAAGTGGACGTTTTTTTTTGCTGGGTATAATGTTTTCTCGTCCGAAAATACATTTAGAACCACACCATCAATAAGGCTGTAAGATCTATCTCTGCCACTGAGCAGTATATTTACGTATATACCTGTCGGTAACAGCGATAACATTATTGGTACAAACTTCTTAAAAAGATATCCTCTCATAATACGATATCAAAGAATGTGCTCTTGGTTATCCTAAGCTAATACCGAATCATGGTGCACTAATTCAACCCGTTGGTTACTCAATCATCCAGAAGACCATGCATAGAATCATTTTTTCACGAGCGTTGCACCTCCCCAAAGCGAGCCAACATTCAATCGAGTGGGATGCAATTCCATCATTTGGGAGTATAATTCCTCGGGACTGGATGTTTGTTCGTCCAGTCGCGCGAAGTCATTCAAATAATCCTTGGTCGCTTGGACGGCATCGGGGGAGAATCCCTTGGATGGGTCACTGTGACCGCCAACGACGATTCTCGGTTCTAGGCTCGCAATCTTATCGAGCGCTGCTACCCATCTTGATCTGGCCTCTAGGGATTTCGACTCGCCAAGGAAAGGGTGGGTGTTGTTGTAGACTGCATCGCCCGCAACAACCAAGCCGATTGCAGGTACCCAGAGAGCCGTTGTATCATCTGTGTCTGTATGGCCCAGTCTGACCACTTCCAATCGCTCGTTTTCCAACATAAAGTGGTCTTGCTCGAGGGGGTGGCCATCACGAGCTTTTCCGGGATCTGACCAGGGAAAAGATTTCTCCAAAAGGCGTCCATCCCTTCAGGAGCGATGGCCTCAGCCATACGAGAGACAGTCTCCGGCGTAGCCACAACTTTGGCTTCTGGATATTTTTCGAGGACGGCATCGGTGCCATAAAAATGATCGCCATGGGCATGAGAGACATAGATCGTCGTGAGGTTTTTCCCAGTGGCTACAACCCAGTCTACCAACTCTTTGGCAGCAGCCATGGTTAACTGCGTATCGACCAGCACCGCATCTTTTTGGCCGAATATCAATGTCGAAGTGGTCGGCACCCACTTGAGATGATCGTGACCGGCTGGGGTGGACCGGTTCACGCCGGAACGTCTGCTGGTGAATACTCTGTACTCCAGACCCATATTGTAGAGAATTGGAGTTGAAATAAATTAAATTGAATAGATGAAAGGAAATCTGACACACATCAATGCCAACAAGATTGTTCTGAGGGCTTTTATGTACCTTCTGCGTGTAGTTCAATGGAACTGTCACCCAGAAGTCAGTGAACTCTGGAGGTGGCGAGGGATTACTGATCAGGGCGTTGGTGACCTCGGATCGGGAAACCGAGAGTGGTTATTCTGGCCCACATACGGTCATCGGAAATTGAAATCTCGGCTTTGCAGTACATTGCATGGATTACGACAACATAGAAACGACTTGCGCCTCGGCAGTATTATAATCAAGAAATCGCCGAATAGGCCATTCGGTTGCCGGTAGTGGCGTCCGCGTAATTTTCAACTATAAGATGCTCACGAACATCAAGACATTAATCCAGATCAATCAAGAGATTTCTCGTTCTATTCCGCATCCCCTTTCGTGGACTTTTGTTCTCCAATCATGCCTGAGTTGGTAAGTTTTGTTTCCGCTCCTACCTGGGATGCGACTGGTCCACAGACTCCGGTTCAACAATTCTTTAAAAAATATGTTGCTACGGTGGATTCCTATGGATTCAACCACGGATCTGGTTTGCGGTTCTATTCCAAAGATGTCATTTTCCACAACCAAAACAACGCCCAGTACAATGGCGGAGACGAGATGTGGGCGTGGATGAAGCGTCTTTTCGGGCAATTTGAAAGACTGCGACACGACTTCCACACCCTCTGGGAAGTCAAGAATGAGGATGGTACCACCACCATCATGGCCCAATGGACCCGCAATATCTGGCTTTCTGGAAACGACACCGAAGAGCCGACTGTCAGCATCCCACTCAGCTGGATCTCTGTGATCGGCCCTGCTGACTTCGCCGATGCTGTGGACGGATTGAATTTCAAGGAGGTTTGGCTCTACTGGGATACAGCTCTGCTCATGAAGCATCTTCCCCAGGAGGCTGTCGTTTTCCAAACGCAGAATGTCTTACATAAGGCATGATAACAACTAGTCAGTAGATCGGGTGACTCAAGGGCCGGACCTGATTAGCTAACGCCTTGCGAAGGCACAAAGTACCCTTCTCTAGGTGATTGTTTATCTCACATGCTGGGATGATCTGCCTTATCTGGTAGGATGAAAGAAGTGGTTCTCTGGTGAAGGACACCCGGTGCGGGAGGAGGTCGAAGGAGAAGGCATCGCAGTTGTCTACATGTGTAGCAGTAGCTAGGTGTTGTCTCGGACTCCGAATGTATATTTTGGAAATACGCAGGCGATGGCGATGGCCTGACCCAAGCAGTTGAGGATGTTCATCCATGTTTCAATGCAGAAAAAAAAAAAAAGAAATAATTTTAAGACCCGCATATTCTATAGCCGAGTCTTTCAAAACAAAGATTGCCGTTTGGAAGGAATCACGATCTCATTAAATTGGTGCGAGGGCCTTTTAACACAAGGTGTACGACAGGGAAGACTATCCCAAGTCGAATCCATCCCTGGAAATGTAGTACAGCATACCTGGGTCAGAGACGTGGAGTCAAGATGTCGGGGTTGGAAACAGTCCAACAGATAGTGGCGACGGTCCATCTGGGCCCATATCAGTTCAGGCATACAATAGCCCAAGGTATGATGTGGTCACGATGACTTTTTTGCTGTTTCCAGCCTAGCGTCCCGCCTCCCATATTTGGTAATTTGGCCCCACCCGGAGTTTCTAGACGCTGTAACGTAGTTCCCACATGACCGGGCCACCCGGTTGAGCGGGCCACCCCAAAACACCATACTAAATGCAATATTTCATGTCAAAGCGGAGAAATCTAGTATGAGATTGTACGCCTAGTGGGGAGGAAAACAGCCAACGGAATCAGATGAATAGATCGATTGATTAGACCAAAAGGAAAACAAGCAAAAGAGGAAAAATAGGGGCAGGTTGAGCTGTCCCCAGGCGGGGTAGCCGAGTACTCCGGTGACTTGACCGGTGTCTGTGAAATACCCGCAAATACTAGCAAAGTACATACAAAAAGGCGGTAGGGATTCGACCAATCCCGAGTCACCGTAATAAAAGAGAGTCCACATTCTTGACATTTCACTACTTCATATTTCAACACCCATGGCTAATTATGAGGTCCTTAGGTATCCTGGTGCTAGACCTATCGTACTAGGTATTTCTATAAGCTCGAAAAATATTTTGGAGCATAATAGTACAGGTATATATATCTACATCCCTCGATCGGAGCGTAATTTTGGTAATTTACGTAAATAACCATTCTCTGAATATATCAATTCGACTGGACTGTTTCTAATGTAGGGAGTTACAGTATACTAAAAATCAAGTAATATGATATTCTCTTTGTTGATATATTGTGATCTGAATAATTGTATTTAGTATGGTGTTTTGGGGTGGCCCGGTCATGTGGGAACTACGTTAGTCGTAGTCCTACTGAGTAAGAGTTAGCTCAGGATAGGTTAATAGTATTGTAATAATGACGTAACGAAACCAGCTGGGGAGTATAAATTTCGAACGAGCTTCCGTACCTTTTACAAAAAGTCGTCCTCGGCTACTATTGCCGCGACAAAAAAGAAAGCCAATCTAGACGAATACAGAAACAATGCTGCAGAAAAAAATCTATTCAAATGAACTTGGCATCGATCTCGACTCTGGAGACGAGACTGAGTGTTTCAAATGGTTTCTGGCATGTTTATTGTTTGGCAAGCCTATCCAACAGGAAATAGCGAAACGCGCATTTCTGGAACTTGGACAGGCCGGTATCACATCACCGAATGCTTTGTTAGAGACTGGGTGGAATAAACTTGTGGAAATACTCGATGAGGCACATTACGTCCGGTATGATTTTTCCACCGCTACCAAATTGCTCGATATTTCGGAAGACCTCAACAAAAAATACGGTAGCTTCGGCGCCCTATTGAAGCAGTGCAGTTCGACTACTCAACTCTCCAAACGATTACAGGAGCTTAAGGGTGTTGGGCCTAAGACAGCGGAAATCTTCCTTCGCGATATGACGCCTGTACTCGAGAAGCAGTGGGGATACGCCACATAGCAGACTCCCGAATGCAAGTTTCTATGTGGGATGGACTTTGAATCTAGTCTTTGCTATTACTCTAAGATCAGCCGCCCAGTCGCACCTTGTACGCGTCCGCAGCGCTCTTGTCCACCAGTCTCAGCGCGTTAATGAGCTCCTCGACCTGGTCGTCCACCCACTGCGGTAATGGAGCCTGGGGCGCGCCTAGCTCCGCGAGACCACGCTCGATCTGCGCCTTGATCGGCCCGCGTAAGTGCTCGATGTCCTCGTTATAGAGGCACAGGGGAGAGGTTATGCTCGAAGTAGACCCGGTCGGCGATGCTGATCAGCGACGCGAGCGCCGTCAGCCGCTCCGCGGAGAAATACGGGACATTAGAGCATTATTCGAAAATCCAAAGCGTCAGCCAGTCTAATCAACCTCTGAGAGCTGGAAGAACTTGCATACAGTCAGATACTGTAAAGAAGCGTCTTATCTCGTATTCAATAATTTCCAGTTACCGCAAATCAGATGATTTGAAAAGCCATAACGTCATCTGGACAAACCTTTTTCATCGTTGGTTACACCCGGGGAATAGGAAATCTATCCAGACAGCTACATCAAGGCTTCATAATGTGTTCGTATGAGGACTTATACTTGAGCCTCCTAGCCGATGCAAATTTAATTCCTATGACGATCTAGCACATCCAAGATTGGTAGCTGAACAAGACATATATTAGAACATCGCCAGTTTATCAAGATGCGGATAGTGATATCATTACTTACGGTTAGACCTACCACTATAGAGGCAGTTGTCTGCTCCCAATAGGCTTCACCCTAAGACATTGGAATATCAACATTAAGTTTACTGTGGGGATGGTTGGCAGAGTCAAGACAGGCCTGGACCAGGGTATTTCCCCCACAACGGCAGTTTGGTCTGCGGTGCCACTGGGTGGAGCACCGATTGTAGTGTCACTATTCACAATAATACAGCGATATTTTATATTAGGTGAATGAAACATTAGAACCTTCCCGGTCTTTTATATATGCCAGATATCAGTACTCACCAACACAGTTGCATCCACCGCACCAAGAAAGGCAACAGCCGCCAAACGAACGTGAGGAAGGTGAAACATATTATGTTAACCAGACAAACAAAAGAAATAGGACTGGACGTTGGATAGATAGATCAACCGAAGCAATAAGAATTGAGGGGTTTGAGGAATAAGTAAATCAATCCACTGCAGTAAGGAGAAAGGGCTTCCATATTCTTGCCCTCTCAAGTAATAACCTTAACTGTGCTGCTCTAGATAGAGGATATGAAGAAAGGGGACCTATTTCATCTTTCCTAATTTGGAGTTTCCGTGATTTTGGGATATTCGGATCGCCGTATTCATAGACCTACGGGAATTATGGGACAGTCATGAATTTTATCTTCTTTTTGGATTTCTTGAAGCGGAAGTTTGGTAACCTCCGAGCCTGAGGCGGCGTACACTGTAAATGAAGGTGGATCATGGAGAGAATACAAGGATAACATTCCTTTGCCTCGGGATCTCCTTTCCGGGAAAGAGGTAGGGGAATATTTGCTCTGCGTTTAAGTTAGCCCGAACCATACTAAGAAGTCTTGTTAGGGTGATTGTTGTGCCAGATAGGAGACGTGTGGACGGAGTATGGCCCGGAATAACGGAGTGACACAGAACTAGACTACGGTTTGTACGAGCTACAGAAGATTGCCAACCACACCGGAATCATACCGGAAGGCCGGAGTATAGCTAAGGTCCGCGAAGCCAAGGACATCTTTAGGAAAGCACAACTTCGACGGAAGACGGCACTGGCGCAGCGATCGGTTCAAGAAGAGACGATCGCTCAGATTGTTAGGGATGCCCCAATAATAGCCCCCCGGGCGGGGTGGGGGTTCCCAGAATGAGTCCCAGATATGCATTGCTTGCTGCCGATAATTAATGCGGGGGATCCTTGGGATTCTGGCAGCGGTAGGCAGAAACGTCAGTTACGGACGCACGCTCAGCAATCTAAAAAAGAGAAAGATAGGCTTCCTGTTACACCATTAATAGATGAATAGGGTACTCCTAGCGTCTCGTGATCACGGAATCTCTGAATGAGGAAGGATGACTATGCTGCATCTAGAATTGCCTCTTTCATAATATTCTTTATCTAAAAGTGGCACGGATGAGGCTACTGCCTGAGAGTGCAAGAGATTTAAAATCCCCTTCTCCCTACTGCAGCAAATTGATATAATTAATTCTCAAATCTCTCAAATCTTATTGCTTCAGTTGGTAAGTAACCACTAACTAGCATATATATAATGACTGGAAAGGTGTTAATACTTTACTTTATATAATGGTATGTCAAGAAAGGCTGTGTTATTTTTAATCAGGAGACATGCCGCCATGATGATTCATATCCCTGTATTGTGACTGGATATAATTCAATAGAGACCTATTCTGACTCTAATACCACCCTCCACTATTTACTTAATACCAGTATCCCAGGTTGGGAAAAGGTCTTTTGGGAGAAGATAACTGCCTATACGGCGATCAATCTAACCGTAAGCGATAATACCATCTACGGTTTGAAAATTGTTGCTGTCCTAACACATGTCTTGCCCGGCTACCAAAGTTGGCTGCGCTTCGCCTGTCTCCTAGAGTGCTCAAGCATTTCTTCGCACCTAAATGTACCTATGGAAGTGGGGAGATGTCCAACAAATCTCATAATTAGTATACGGAAACTTTATTTCATAGTTGAGGAAGGATTCAACATCTTCCTTGTTAATTGTTGAAATAGTTAAAGAGCTAAGCAACTCGTTGCTTCAATCTAATTCTGTTCTTTTGAGGGACAGCTTTGTGGTGAGGTATAAAGTGGTACGCAAGTTACTTAAACAGAGTAGTGACATGGAATTACCCGCAGGTATTTGATCTCTTAGCATCGGGAAACTCCAGACCTTCAATACTCCTGCCCCTATTGGGCACAGAAATAAGCCCAGTGTAAGGGCACAAGTTCCGTGATATACGCTGTTCGTTCTTTTCTCTGGGAGCACTTGCACTGGGTCGGATCAATAAGTACCCTAGGTCCCGTATCTGAGGTTGTGAGGGTCCTTGATTTATTGCAATCAGTTATACATGTAGGTTCTTAGGCCTTCGTATATGACCGTATCTATGTAGAAAAAAACGTGTCGATGGGAATTAATGGTAATCCGAGAGCTACCAGAAAGGAAGTGAGAATCAGGGAGCCTTATACATTCGTCAATATAGGCACGACCGAACTGGTACAGAAGCGTTGGGACATACCTAGCGGGACCGGCTATTTGGCAGCCCCTAGGGACTGAACAGCGAATGTTGTCCGTGTCCTAACAATTCATACCCTCCGGACCATGAAAACCGTTGCTCACATTCTCTGGAAACTCCAGTGATGCGCTGTGCCTCGACGTGTGCGATCCCACTGTTATAGAAACTACTACAACTCCCACCCCCGCCCTCCCAAAAGCCTTAGTAGTATATCAGGGACAATTGAGTATCGTGACCTTATATACGCCTCGAGTGAGTGTTTAGCCCGGGCCGGTCGTTTAAATACACATTTCCGGCTAGAAGAAAGGGTAATCTAAGACAAATCCCTCTACAGATTAACAGGTATATTGGGGGCCGAAACTAGGCTATCGGGCGAAACTCATGAAAAAGGTCCGATCAGGAGGGATCAGCAACACTTTACCCACTAGCAAGTGCGCACTTGATACCTGCCTTTTATGAATCCTTGTTAAGCCCTAACTTAATATGATATAATGTGGACCATCGCCACCTGACAGAGGTCGATGAGAAGCGAAGAGGAACCCCAAAGGAAAATAAAGTGAGGGGGACGAAATAGAACGGTTGGTTGAGGTTGAAGTTATCGGACTACTAAAATAGGAAAATGCAAGCCAAATAAAATGCGGTTGGGTGGGTTTTTGTGGCCGCGGGGAGGCGAGGGGGAAGGCAGTTGATAACGGCAAAGAGGCTGCAACAACAAAATCCCACATATTAATTTTCACCGCTCTACCCACCACCTAATCTATGATCAGACGACGAGGGATTTTACCTCTTATATGCCTATCGTATGAGCAGGTGTTAGATCATATGTGAAGACATGGAATGTGCATAATATCTGAAAGCAGTCAAGACGCCCGTAGTGTGGCCCTGGAAAGCCATATATGAATTATTAAAACTTAGCAGATAGTATACAAGAGTATTGCTTCTGAGTTGATCTTGTTGAAGTTCAAAGGAAGCCTCCTTAAGATATTTCATATGGAAAACAAGAGGCTATATATACAACATGAAGTCCCAACGTGATTTCCAATCGACTAGGTTTTCATATAGAAAGTGCAGGAATTATTTCCGATGTTGCGGCTTTGTTCCTGATGCGCATCTGCCTTGTATCATAAGAGATCTAACTCTCTGTAGTAGACCTGGGTATACCCATAAAATGGGCACCCATATGTATTTAGACAGGCCGGGCCTACCCAAATATAGTGTAATTTATTGAAATTAAGATGCATTTGGGCTAATCTTATATATAAAATTATGTATCCCCTGTAAATACCGTATTTGGGGCTTTAATGGTATTTTCCTCGACCCCTACCCACCAATTTCATGGGTATGCCCAGGCCTACGGGTGGGTTTGTTATCGTCATGGTGCAAGGAATTGAGAGTCTAGAGGAATTATGTCCTAGCAAACGCCGTTTAGGCAACAGGATTCGACTCATCTGTACTTGTACTGATGCCTGCCGATCAAGCAGCAAAACGGCCTGTGAAACATTGTCTTGCCCCAGTTCGTAAGCATTACCTCCCTTAGTATCACTCTCTATGTGTCTACTTTTTGGGCTATCGTTTTGACGTTTAGGATGGTGCTGAGAACCTCCCATTGAATACTTGAATAAATGGAATAATCGATTCTTGGCATCGCAAGGACACTATACAAGTACGTTATATCAGCAAAAGACAATTCTAAAGGCACTCAGAAGCTCTTCTATCCAAGCACGGGGTGGTTCTGCTCAACTATCGGCTAATTTATAACCGCCATTGACACATACGGGTCTGTACATAAGTGTTTTACGACCATGTTCTGCTTCCTACCGCAGAATTCCGCCCCATGCTGTGGGGGTGGACACTTGCACCATAGATAGCCACGCTAAAAACTTTCCGAATTGCACCGTACAGCCATATCCACTTTATTCTTTAACAACTCGTGACTATTCAATATTATCCAAATAATTAAATCATCTCTTTCTTGCATGCCCTTATGCCTTCTCGATTGAACTTCAGCCTTTCGCTTGCTTAACAGCCTGTGTGCTTCACATATAAATATTTCAGTCATTTCACCTCACACGACAGTCTATAATGATCACTCTTGTGGGGAAAGGTGTACGAAGACTCATAGCGATGGCAGTACTTTCCCTCATTGCCATATTCATCAATCATCAGTTCAGATACGCAGACGGCTTTACCCTCACCAGTGAGCTGCCGGAGTCGATAAATATAATCGCCGGATGCACTACCAATCCCCTCGAACCCCTTAACGAGTCCAGTCTCTTTGTTGACTCAAGAATACCGAATGTCGTTCATCAATTATGGAAAACGGACAATGTCCGGACATACTCGACAGAAATAGAAGCGTCCCTCGACTCGTGGAAGACCATGTTTGAACCTCTGAACTACACAATCAAGCTCTGGACAGACGACGATATCCTCCAACTTGTTAAAGGCAAATACTCTTGGATTCTGACGACGTACGAGACATACCCCCAGAATATCCAGCGTGCCGACATCGCCAGGTTGCTCGTTATCCACGCAGAAGGTGGAATCTACGCAGACTTAGACGTGTACCCAACCTCGGCTCATCAAATACAATGCCTCCAACATCTCGGCCTACAGGCCATATTTGCTTCCACAGAGAGCACACTCGGGCTAAGCAACCATTTCTTCATGGCTCAGCGTGGGTCCCCGTTCCTACAATGGGCGCTATACGAGGCCAAGCGACGCGGCGTGGCGTCCCGGCATATCTTCGTGCCGTACCTACAGGTATTTTGGTCTACGGGGCCGATGATGGTAACAGAGGCATTTCGAAAGTACGCATGGCTGTACGGCACGCTTCGGCACGATATGGGCTTGTTAGAGAATGGATACTCAAGGGTGGTGATATCGCACGCCGCAGGCAGGTCATGGCACAGGTTGGATGGGCAGGCGTTAAATTATATTGCGGACCATTTAAGAATGGACATTTTATTAGTGAGCGTTGCTTTTCTTTTCTTAGTATCAGGACTCGTCTACGCCACCAGGAGACGCTGTTTAGAGACCTGTGGGGGATAGAATCGGACTAAAGGCCAAGTAATAGTGATTAACAGAAGATATGTTGGAAGCAAAGGTCCTTCCTGGTGAGCCCTCAGTCAGCCTTTTTAGAACTAGGAAAGGTCAAAATCCTACCTCCTCTACGCATATCTAATGTAAATGAATTTGGGCCAACAAATTATCTATAATTCCAGATAACGTGAAGGGAATATATTCTGGAGAGTCCCCGCCTCAAAACTAGGCATAGTATGCTTATTTACTTAAAATAATTGATATTGATACTGTTTCGGAATCTACCTTAATTTCCCACTGATAACTTGTAAAATACACCGTACGCTTCATATCCTACGAATATCGTCCGTAGGATAGCGGCCCACTGTGTTTTATTACACTTGATCGTTTAGTGGAAAGATGTAAAGTAACATGCTAAATGCCCTTTGGCTTTACTATCCCGAATGTAGTGAATGTGGCCACCTACGGTGCGAATGCCCACATCCATAACACAGGGCGGCTCAGGCTGGGTTAGGGAGTCTGGGAATAAGCTCGGGGTGTCGACAATGCCTAGTTTATTACTACACTACCCTGTCCAACTTACACTAGTATACAAAACAAATTAGGGGTTCAGTTCTGTCAGAACAAGCTAAAACAATATTGAATTGTAAGCATTTGGGTTGCTAAGGGGAACCAATTAGTAGAGATCTACTTGATGAATTGATTGAAGAAGTAAAAGAGTGGAAGGCGAGATGGCATGTTAAATACTCATCGAGCAAGACCAAATTATTAGGCAATGCCTAAGTACTCGTGTCACATACAGAAAGCATATAAATGTGGGAGGACCGAACAACCGAAACGAGTTAGCCGTAAGTATCGGCTCCATTTCCTTGACAAGTTCAATGGGGGAACTGGCGAGGGCAGCATCACAACAACAAAGTTCACCCGGCCATACTTTTTTTTTTTGTTTTTGGATTTTTTACTATCATGAAGATAGTGCTCTTGCCGCTTTACTCTTCAGCCGCATCAGCCCCCTTCACCTGAACGCCCTGAAGCCCCTCTATTCTTCACCCGAATACCCTGCAGGCCCCTGAAGCCCTGAAGCCCTGACGTAGCCCCTCGGCTAAACTTTCCCTCTTTCCTACCCTCCTTCCCAGTGGCGCCCAGGGGCCCAACCTTTGCTTTTATAGGGTGGATAAAAACCGCCCTGATATTTTCGTCGAGTCGCAAGTAGGGCAAGCCACCCCAAGCAGAGTGGAATGCTCAGCTTCTTCGGCAGCGCGTGCTGAAAGGCTTCTTTTTGATCGGGTAGTTGCCAAAAAGATAGAATCCCTGTATTCATACTACTTGACATTCGACTTCCCCCACTGGCAAATCACCATTGAAACAGCGTAAGATTTTACCACGTTTGGCGTGGCAGGACAAGTGATCAGCTCCCTAACCTTGGGTGTTTTGCCACATTGGACCGGAGCAGTGAATTCAGGACAGTCGAAAGTGCCCGGTCCGTCGGAATTGCCCTTGTAGCTGCACTGTTTATATCCCGGTTGCCCTCCATAATCGATTGTTGAGAAATCCATGTCTGACGGGAAAGGAATTGGGTTCGGCACGTCCGTGCCATTGATACTCTGAGCTGCCACCATGTACCGGGAATCCTCACCACACCAGTTAAGCGGTTCTCCCACAGGGAGATCGGTGATTTGCCAGGACTGAAACTTAGCCGGCAGATCAAGCCACTCATAGACCCAGATCATCTGGGCAGTTGGCGTTGGATCGGGGGGTACGCTACCGGTGCTCATTGGAGTTGATGGAGTTGTCGGCGATGGGGGGATATGAATATCGCTCTCCTGAATGACGTAGCCTGTGTCTTCAAAGAGTGGTTTGTCCGCGGGGTCGTCTCGCTTGAGCTCATTCATATTCCAGCCCCACGAGCTATCTTCTGTCCACCCAAACTTTTGGTAGAAGTAATTGTAGTTAAAGAACCATGCATAATTGTCCGCTAGAACTTCTTAGCCCAGGATGTTTCTGAAAATGGGAGAAGCAACAGTGTCTACAAACCATTTTCCGCAACCTTAGGGTTGAGACGCCAGTTCTTCTTGCCCTGTTGATATGTGTATTTCCAAGCAAAGCTGGCAGCCTTATCAGACCCATACATCTATTATAACGTAGTTAGCCAGCTGCTATTCTCATTACCGCATTCATGAAAGGACATAACGCACCACTACCTCATCCTTTTTTTCTGGGATCGTACCCTTGATATCGCCGACTAGAACAATAATCAGGCCAAGTACCAAGTCAACGAGGGCGATATCTTCCACTTACTAAATAAAGGTAGTTTTATGCTTTCTTTACAATGAAAGAACTCGTGCACCAAAGCATACGCGCGACTTGTCATAGTATCCAATTTTACGGAGCGTTTCTTCGGCACGTCGCGCAAATCTGGAACTCGGGGATCTTTGCTGAAGAACAGGGGACAGAACCACACGACGTTTGAGTAATCAGGAGGGGTTGAAGCCGTTGCTATAGTGGACGCAGCTCTTGACAATCGTCAGACGCCGGTCTTCTCTCAATGAAGTCGCGACTTTACTTACGCGTCTGGGTCAGAATCGCATCCCAGCTTGGCCAGCGTTACCATCTCGGGTCTGGTGCAAGAAAAAGTAATCCTTTTTTTGGGCGACATCCTTTGCCACTGTTTGGAATCGCCATGTACCGGGAATAGGGACGCCATGCGTATGCTGTCTAATTTGGTACGTCAGGATCTTTTCAATCCGAATGAGGGAAAGCGCTACTGACCGAGGATATTATTGGATTCGGTGGTTCAAAGCCCCTGGAATTGAATTAACAAAGAGCTTGTCTCGCGATGTCAGGAACACAAAGGAGAACTTACCTTCCATCCATAGTCTGCAGGTACATTGCTGTCTGACATGAAAAATCGGTTCCAGCCTGGTGTTTTGGTAATGTCAGACTGCGAGGAAAAAGAGGCGTCCATGAGTTCCTTTAACTGCTCCAAAGTGGTCAGTATTTTTTCAAATTGTGCATCGTCACAATTCTTCGCAGCGTCGGCGAAGTATATTCCTTTCCAGGTGGTCTGGAGCTCTTTAACTCTCTGTGAGTTTCTGACTGCCGATGATTCTGCATCGGGCGTTGGAGCGGAGGTTGCCAGCGTGGTCCATAAGGAGAATAAGAAAAGGGCGAGACTTGAACGCATGATGGATGTTATGTGTCGCTGTAAATGCTAACGTGTAACGTACTTCGTTTAGCACTTGTTGGGAGGGGGGAAGGGGAGAGGCTTTATACCTAACCTTTGATTAAGTGCTCAAAATCAAATAAGGGATTCGGTTGTAGTAGGTTTATTAACATTCAATTTGTATCATCTGAAAAGACCTAGCGCGTAAGGCAGACCAAACCAGTCCACTCTGATTCCGGAAATACAAGCTTCTGTCTCTACCATATACCGCGCCACAATGTGTACATACAAGCCTCTAACGGAAAAGTGGGGGCGTAACATGGCTATATATTTCAAGTATCTAATTATAGCCAGGGGGGTTTTCGATAGCGTACTTCACGCCCAGCCGGGCCACCACGCCGCGAACTTCATCTTCGAGATGTTTTTTTAACCACCAAAATCTCGTGCTATATTTTAATTGGAGCTCTTTTTATAGACAACAACCTTATGTTCATCCTCTCTGCATGCACTTAAACCTGGGTTAGAATGCGGCTCCTACGAAGGGTTGAACGCTAGATGTGTTTGGCTAGTCTACGTTGGATGATCTCCACTACAGCCGAACAAACCTGTATCCTGATGTGCTTTCTCTGAAAATAAATGTTACTATAAGTTAGCATGCCTTGTTTCGCCCCATCTTATACGAAGAAGTTAGCCCCAGCTCAACAATGACCATGTTCTGTCAGTAGATCTTCTGCTATTTAGGTAGCCAATGACCTATTCCTTAGTAAATCCTCCCCATTTTGATCAATTCAATTCTTAGCGAGTCTATCCGCAAGGCGGTTCAGCTCTGAGGCTGAGAGGCTGAGCGATACAGTTGGCATTGCACATGTTTCTATCTATGAGGCATAATTACTAGAGCCATATCAGCTAAATGTAACAACTATGGTGAATAAGTGGTATTCTACCGTACTAAGAGAGCAGGACGTTTAAGAAGATGTAGAAACTGCAGCATCGTTGAAAGCTAGGGCTCCGCCTTTTTCCTTTCAACGCACAAACGCATGGCCATCATCGGCCTTGTGAGCCTAGTGCGACAACAGTGCAGCAGCGCTAACTTGGCGTCTATTCGAATGAAGGTTCAGTCGTATTCCCAGACATAATAATGACAAACTGAGCTTCGCTATGTGTGGGGGTCGCGCAAGGTTGAGCCCAGTGGGCGTGTTGGCACCTAGATTCTAATTGTGCATCAACGGAGTCGAATATCAACCCTGTATTTTCCAATGAAACGTAGCCTGCATCACTACAGTTAGGGGCGGAAAGCTACCAGATCGTCTGCACCACAATAAGAGGTCTACGTAACATCTTACACGAGGATGGCGTCCCCATGGGGGTTATATCGATGGCTTCGTAATGCGAAGCCAACGTCAAGCATCCCGCTCCAGGCTTATTATATGGATGTAGTCAATCCTTTTTTGAGACCCCGGCGCCTCGCCCCTCCGATGAGGCATTGTCGCGGGTTGTCCTGAAGCACTGCCACCGGCTGCACTGGCCTCTTGCCCTACATAGGCACTGGTAGTCCTCGGCGGCTCTAAAATGTCACTAATAAAGGTGTTTTTTTTTTCAGTTTTTTGGTACTGATCGTCCCTCTAGAGGACTGGAAATGGCATTTACGAGAGAATGCGGGGTGCGTAGGGTTTCGGGCCAGGCCTCCCACCACCATCACAGCCGAAGCCATTTGGCGGGTCCGCTAGATCCGTCCGTTGTGATTGGCTCCCGTATGTCCACTTGCACTAATGTCCGTGCATTATCCAATACACTATCCGTGCCTTACTGCCCAGTCAAACCGCTTCCCGCTTTGGGTGCGCCCGCATTCCTGACCTTTCTGGTTTCCTGACCTCTTTTCTACCAGTAGTCATCTACTAGCCAATTCCACCACCAACTATGCCTAAATCTATCAATTTTGATGAATCTCGTATAGCCGAGGCCTGCAAAGCGGTCTTATCCTAAAAAATCCAAATTTTACTAAGATCGCGCGTGAGTTCGGCGTGGATCGCAAGACCTTGACGAGACGCGTCGAAATAGCTAAATCGCCTACTACACCTACTAAATCGCTGAAAAATATCCTGGAGCTATATCAGGAGAAAGCCTTGATTAACTGGATAGTCTAGATGTATAACTGGAACCCCCTACCGACCGGATTTCCTATGCCACGTCTTGGCATTCCCCTTCCGGATTGGTGGTCAGACTCTCGCCGCTTTTGCTCACTGAGTAGATCTGAGCACGTCTCTGAGCGCTCTGATCTGATCAGGGGCATTACGTAAGCACTCTGATCAGCTCACTGAGCAGGTCTGATCCACTCACTGAGCACGTGGTCTGACTAGCACCTCAATAAAACGTGAACACGCTAGTCGTGTCCACAAAAATCAGAAAAGCACTGGCATCAACAATTTGATATTCCGTCCTGGACGCTAAATACTATTTATTGTATCAAAATGAAGCCTATTGGATGATCACGCTATTAATTAGACTATATACTCCCCTCACTTGTTGCTAGGGGGCCAAGCAGCCTGAGGAAGATTCGGGTCCTCCACGTATCTGTGAATCTCATCCCTCTGGAACAGGATATCATCATCGGTAACGCCAAAAGGACTCGATCTTCCTCGGATTCGGCGCGTGTCAGTGGTCCACTATGTTGTATCATGCTTTTAGATACCCACAATCACAGTAATCGGATTCTCTGTGGGAATTTCGCTGACGCCGTATCTGAAACACCCAATAGCAACCCATTCCCGGGTATCAAGGACGCTCAGAATTGAGAAAATAGAGTCTGTCCGATCCACAGGAGAGCTCCGAAGAGGGCTTGCGACCAGCCTATCCATGAAATGAACAGAGATTGTGGGGAAGCTATCCCGGAGAGAAAAGTGAATTTCCCGAGCAGCGCGTCGTGTCTGGGTTGGTAGTTTTTCTGTGATAATGACGACGGTCGGGATTGGCTCTGGCTCTGGGTCAAAATGAGACTTTTGGCCCTGAATCCAGAGTTTGAGGAAAACTCTATTTCCTGTTTAGTATAGATAAAATCACACATCCTGATCCCGCACGTGAGCTGTACGTAGATCTCGACGTATCTGCTCGTGACTTGGGCGTCATGGTACACGATCTACAAGGAGATATATGGAATTCTAGCGTGCCACCGCCGCGAACGCGCAGTCAGCCTGTGATATACCTCAGCAAATTGACTTCCTCAGATGAATCGCGATATTGCTCATCGGAACAAGAAGTTGTGTGCCTCGTGTGGGCGGTCGAACCGATGGGGTACTGTAACAGCCCCCCACACGCGTAAAGCCAGTCCTTCTTCTCTGGTCGTGGGGTAATAGGGTCATCTGCAGTCCACGGGAGTTGCATCAGATAGTCGAAGCCAGGTAATATGTAGTTCATCGTGAAATCGACGTCGGTAATCTTCGGTTAGCGGGATCCGAACACGAACATAGAGAAAGGTTTCCGAATTAGTACCCAAAAATCCTTGGTCAATCTAAGAGATAATGAAACCAACACCGAGAAAGTTTTTAGACGATATCTCCCTACCAACACTGCTAATAACTAATACCCGTATTCGCGTAGCATGACAGAGTGATACTCCCGGTACCAGGATAACTGGTGTCTTATCTGATTCGAGAACACTACTAACTTATAGACCGACTTATAAACCGACTCATAGATCAGCTCACTACATTCTGAGTGGTTCATTCTGAATAAACGCATTTCATTCTGTGATTCTATCCTTTCCCCCAATCGGCGGATTCTTTCGTTAGAAAAAGCAAATTTAGCTAGAACTGTGCCTCTTAGGTACTTAAGCCATTCGAACATTGATAGCCCCAGTCACTTCTATGATGTCTCGATAAACATCATGAATTGAGGTGAAGTAGACGTGGTCGGTTCCCTTTGCTCCTGCGATGTGCAACCCCACCACTCTCCCAGTTTCCGCATCATACACAAGGCTCCCAGAGTCCTCTGGCTCCGCGATTATGTTATTCCCAGACCCGTATAAAACATGTTCCATCGACTTGGTCTCATCGTACTTTTTGCTTTTCGGGTTCCACACATGGTGGAGATGCGCTTCCCTAAGTTCAGAGTATACCCCCGTGGTAAAACCCGACGAGCGTCCAGCTTTCGAATACGATTTCCCGTGCTCGAGGTAGCCTCCATCTCTGAATTGGAGACTCGGCTCCTGAGATTGCGAGTAGGGATATGGCTATCATAATCTCCGGTTAGTTTGATATTTATAACTGCCGAGCGGAAGTAGAAAAATAAACTTACTATATTCTCTCCGAGTCGCTCTTTTGGGATCTCAATCAATGCCCAGTCAGCAATTGTTGGGTCTTTACGTTGATCCTGCCGTGCCCGTGTACGCCAATAGCCGCTACCAGCAAATACAGAACCGAGAAAATATGTCTGGTCCTGTATGTAGCTTTGGAAGAACTGGTGCTGTTGTTCCAGAGCATTGATGGTACGGAGCGTGGCCTTATGGTTGGCTTCATCTTTTGGGTCAACAAAGACGTCATCAGGGTCTGTATCTCGAGCCCTGAGTTGTTGCTCAATTTCCCGAAACTCATTGTCCTTCAAAGCCGCGATACCCCGGGCTTTGGACGCAACTGCTCGCCGGAGATCACTCAGAGAGGGATGGTCAACTCTAAGTAGATGTTGGGCCATAGGATCCCTCGGGAAGACAGGATGCTGCTTCCACCGACGGAAAGCTATAGTATCTGTCAATAACAATGTCATTACCTGGGGCGATATACTGACCTTCTCCTGCACCCTGAACCTGATTGAGTGTTTGTCGATTCTCCTCCGGCGCATACACCGAGTGAAAGCACGTAATCCCAAACGTACGCCATTTCTGGTCCGGAAATTGCAGTTCGACGAGGCCCCCTAAGGTCGAGGACCCCGCTGTGCTTGAGTGAATTCCGAGGCTTACCCCAGGCTGCGCGAACTCGGTACAAGCAGCTTGAGGGAGATCCGGATTCTCCACGTGTCGACGTATCTCATCCTTCCGGAATAGGATGTCGACATCAGTCACGCCGAAACCCCTCAAGATCACTTTAATTCGGCGTATTTCGGTACTCCACTCCGATGTGGATCGCTTTTCGACACTCACGACCACAGTGACAGGGTTCTCTATACTAGTATTGCTCACGCCATATCTCCAACACCCGAGAGCAACCCATTCACGGGTGTCTAGCGCGTTCAGGATCGCACGGACAATATCGTTCCATTTACCGAAAATCGAGTCAGTTCTAGCGACAGGAAAACTTCGAAGTGGTGTCGCGAGCAGGGTGTCCATGATGTCGACGGAGACAGAGAGAGAGGGAATGCTGTTCAGAAGAGCATAATGGATCTCCCGAGCAGCGCCTCGCGCCCCGGATGGGATTGTCTCTGTGATAATACGCACTGTGGGGATCGGCTTAGGTTCAGGGTCGACACGAGACTTTCGGCCCTGAATAAATAGTTCGCGGTACTGTATATGGTGTTTTCGGAGTATGGACCTCACGGTATCGTGAACGTGCCTCTGTCGCACTCGGAAACGGTTTTGATCCTCCCATTCTTTGCTGAGTAGGCAGAATTCGTCTGGGAGTGAACAGAGATAGGGTCCTCCTGCTCTGTGATCGGAGTAGAGGAACCCATCTCTATCCACCATGTAGTTCCCGCTAAAGGGAGAGGAACGCGATGACGAACTCGAGTAAAAGCTCAGCGCGTGGGCGCTAGCCCGAGAGAAAGTAGAGCTGGCAGAGCTGGCAGAGCTCGACGAGGTAGACATATGAAGTATGTCTGTCAGGAGATTTGAGTTGGTCGGGTTATGGGGGGTACACAAGTGAAGGCGCTCTCCCAGAAAGTTGTGGTAGTAGGGAAGGAAGTAGGGTATAAGAGGGAGACTGGAGGTAAGAAGGTGTTATGAAGGGGAAAATAAAGGTGAGGGGAGGCAGTTTCCAGAAGGCAGTTTCCGTAAAGCAGTCTGCTGTGGTAATCGTATAGTATCATCGTGAAGCAAGTTCAGCACTACTAGTACAATTCCGGCTGGCCTAAAACAGACTAGTACTATACCCTTCCAGAGCCTCGCGGAGACGACGATCTCGAACCCAGTAAGAACGCGGAGGAGAACCCAAAGAGAGATGCTTTTGCCCGATCGGATCCCGCCGGTCGGGTTACTGTTCGGCACGCTAACGGGAAGAACGTCATCGTAGTCATCCAATACTAAACCGTAGCCATCACAGCCAAAACGAACAGGAGATCGGATAACCAAACGGTGCTCCAGGAACAGAACGTATTCAGGAGAAAGTGTAAGTATTAGTACTACGCAGGTCGAAAGTGTGGCAGTGACTGCGACCAAGGCCCAGGGACCCGTTCCAGGTTAGGTCTAGCAGAATAATTACGCCGCTTAGCAGCTGAATCTTATTCATTTCATTTCAACAACCCCTCGTTCTGATGGAGAACTTCCATCTGGTGGATGCATACTTGTTAACGCAAGCCTCCGGGTCTAGAAGCCGATTCTTTGCTATCTTATGTCCGGTCTCTCTTCATCAGATCTTTCTCGAGTCCTCTAGCACTCGATTCTTTCTTTATGCGCACTACGCTTCTAGTGTGTACCGCGACTTTATGCATAGCGTGTAAAGTCCAAGAGATTAGGCTATTAATACGGCTTCGGAGTCTCCTCTTTCAAAGCGCCAGTGTGTTAGTATTAGAAGCACGATTCGAACCAGGAGATTCGGGCTACAAGAGCAGGATTTGACTCGCATGGAGCGCGTAGGACTAATTACTCGCAGTTGGAGGGGTATCTAGATTCAATGTAATTCAATTCAATTCGACTCCTTTGAAATTAATTATAATTGACTAATCAGAACCTCAGAATCAGAATTGAATAGTTGATTTGGAGAGATTCGATTTGATGGGCAAGTTGATAGGCAAGTTGATAGAAATTTTTCGCCAAGTCAAATCTAGCCTTAGGAATTAGGCATTCATTGAATAAAACCGGCAGAATATTTAGACCCACAATTTTTGCCGACCTGGCCGCTATTGACCTCGACAGGCGGTTCTCTTTGGCAACCTTATCTTTCGTAGCAAAAAAAAGATCTCTCTCCATGCCTTAGAATAGCTACGTCAAACTCCGAGACTAGTTTAGAGAAAGGATGGGTATTGTAGTAAAGACCGAAGGATAACTGTGTGAAAGGTGTAGAGTAAAGGGGTAGAACCTCCATTTTGCACTTCAATGTCTAGGCACGAATCACCGGTATTCTTCAACACCAGGGGGCAAAAAACGGCTTTCCTCTAGTGCCTTTTTTGCGGTATGGTTATTCGAGATTTTCTTACTTCAAAGGATGCACTGACTCAAGAAATGGCTTCATGACAGAAAAAGAGGGCTACAAAAAAGTGATTACCGAAATAACCAATATTGTGGGGCGCGCTGCTTCGAGTCGGCCTGGGCGCGGCGGACTCGGTGCTCAATAGATGCCTCTGGTCGGTATCTGAGCTGACTGATCACACTCACTGAGCGCCTCTGAGCAGTCACGTGAATACTCTGATCAGCTCCCTGAGTCTGAGTCTTGAGTCTGAGTCCGGTCTGAGATTTACTCAGTGAGTCTGACTCTGAGTGCCCTCATAAAAGCGGCGGCATCTTAGAAAGGAAAGCCCCACCTGGCAGAGGAAAAACGCTCGGTAGAGGTAGGTAGGTACCTCTACCTAGTATATACTGTATGCGAAGGACTCGCCTCCTTAGGGCTTCTTTCAAATTACGATCGCCCGGGCGCACGAATCCAAGTGGGCATCATGCGGCAGCTTTGTCGATCACATAACATCCTTCGCTTTGTGGGGTGCGCTGTTGCGCTAACTGCCTTAGCGTTTCTCGCGGAATAGGTTCCGCCTCGCCGGAATTTGCGCTCGTGGCTGGATAGAGATGCCAAAAAAAGGATATCCTGTTGAGTGACACGTCAGGGGACAGCTATCCTGAAACTTGATTTATTCGATCTCAACCTTGTCAGGCTCTTCTTCGCGAGAGTTACTAGATTTTTCGGCTTAGTTCAAAGGAAGGTTGGCTAAGCTCTTTGATGTGCATACATACGGAGATTATAGGAAATTCGGGTGCAGAAGCTCGTGTATGATGATTAAATGCAAGATAATCCAATCCGATGCCTTAAGAATCATTCCAACCAGGTCAGTTGGGATTTGCCAGTTCAACATATGATATTCATCCCATTAAATATTAATCGAAAGTTTCTACGTTGTAAGTATTGCCGATTGTAGAACCTCAAAAGTACAAAAGCGATATTTGTACAAATATACCTAGATAGAATACATATCTGCCTTATAAGAATACCTCAGCGAGCTCGTCCTTGCCAGTAATTATGTGCGCATCGCGACCCTGACAAATCTCACCAGATTGACAATACCTGATCTTGAAGATGCAACTCTCATCGACCCGATAATCGACCCTCCCATTCTTGCGGTGACGTCTCCGCATAACCTGCACCCTGTCCCTCCTTTGTAGCCCAAGGCTCACTCCGTATGATAGTCTCTGAGACAACTGTAACGTCCTTCGACGTAGTCTCGGGCTCGGTCAGAATATGCTCATCACTACCCCATGCAGATACCTGCGTTTGCGTCGGCCCTGCACCGCTTTTGCTCTTTTTCGTGCTGCGCTCTGCCCGACTAGTCAAGGTTTGTAGACCACGGCTGGAGAGAGGATATGACTGTCCTGAGGGCTTGCCAGAGGAGCTGAAGAGCTGAGAAAGACCGATCTTCTTGAAACTCTTGCGGATTAGGGGTTGAATGATGGGCAAGTTGGATACGACCACTGAGACGAAACTTTCGCGACAAGCCCATTTCGCAGCGGCTCCGGCTCCTTCGGGACCAGACTATAGAATGCCAGAGCGGTGTTAGGGGTATAGGTAAACTTTCCTGCGTAATAATGTCGTTATGTAAACTTACCGTCGTAATCATAACGGCCCGAATGATTGCTGCTGCAATGACGAATGCAGCGCCGGAGAACAGTGCCATAAGGGGAATTTTCCGTTTCAGGTCGATCTTGACCTGCCAAAGGAGGGGAATTGGGATTGATAGGAGATAAATATCTGAGACGACGTTGAGGATCACAACGTCGAAGACATATACGCGAGAAATAGCGGGCTGACAATGGTCTGTCCAGGTACGGTCAATATACTGTAAGGTGGGCGTGGTGACAAAGGTACTCACTCCCGGGGTCTGGATAGATCTGCCAGAAACCATGGAAGGGTTGGCATGATAAGAGAATAGACATCTCCGTTGCGATATATGTCACAGCTAAGATAATATACGCGAGCCGAATTCGGGCAGGGAGGTGTTGAAGACCAGTTGTCAATCGAGAGTAGAAGACAGTTAGGGCGAACTTGACGAGCCAAAGGACAGCCACATATAATGACCATCCAATTACTTGGATCTTGGATTCAACGACACGATCGGACCAATCCTTTGAATCTGGGCTAAGGTTCTCTCGTTGTTCAGGCGTCATATAGCTATTTGTCAGGCCTTAGAAATTGGCACCAACAAGGTACGCCGCTACCGTTTCGAGAGTAAAGAATATCTGGAAGTGACAATGGTGTTAGCCAAACATTCGATCAATGGCTTTGTTCTGATGAAAGATAAAGCGTACCCCCGCTAATGGCATAAGATAATCATCGAGTTGGAAGTTAGCCGGCCCCACGAGCTTTCATCGTACAGCGATACGCACGAGAATCGTAGCTAGAGCCAAGGACAACAGGGTCCATTCCTCGACATTCTGTGCCATTTCTACGAGTTATCCGGCCACGAAATATTTAAGGATGAAGCATGGAAAATAAGGAGAGGAGCCGATGATATTTAAAATAGGACCCCAAACCAACACACTGGGATTACCAAGTCGCCGCGAATCTGCCTAGAACATACTCCACAAAGTCAATCTTCGTGTCTGCCAAAGCACTGGACTCAAAAAGTAGCGCCCTTCTTGGCGGGAACGGATCCAGTAGCTGCACATGGACTTTAACTCCCCCTGAAACAAGTGATCAGAGGGTCAAGCTTTCAAATTTGTTCAAATAATTATATTTTCAAGTTTTCCTGCGTTTCAACAAGATATGGAAGGTCGCCTTCAGCTCAAAAAAGAGCAGGCAGGTATCAGACTACACTAAGAAAACACGAGTCCACCAATCTTCGGTTGATTTGAGGTGAAACTTTTCCCCCTAAGCGAGTGACTTGCGAAGCAGAAGTGGGGTGCCACTGTTTTACGCCTCCTTGAAAAGCTGCCAACGGGTCGACCTGGTACGGCCGTATTCAGGCGCGTTGACTGCCGATGATCACTCAATAGTCAGGCAAATCCCGGAGGTTATTCTTGGGCATCAAGAATGTGGCAACGGCTTTGTTCGTATCACCCCGCATTATAAGACCTACTTACCAGAATGAAGCAATAAAAGGAGAATTCTAGCAAACTTTGAATCGTAGTTTGGCAATCCCTCCTCCGTAGAAGTACGTAATCTAACAGCCCCTGAACCATTAATTTGAAGACCATATTGAGTAATTCGTAGACTAGTTAACTATGGAGGGCTCGTTGACGAGGATCACGCTATTGATAAAGTGGAAATTATGCTAAAATTTATATCTCTGGCCGTCAAAGGACTTACCCAGTTTCCAGATCACCGAGCTCACTTTTGAAACTATCATAAAGCTCTGTGCTCGCTACCTAAATGGGAATAAAGAGCATTTCCCTTACGGACGAGAGGCTACAAGGCTAAGACCTTTCTGATTTTCATTATGGATTCTCTTGCGCTCTTTTCATTTTACTCGACCGATGAAATAAACTAAATTTGTTCACCACTTTACATGCGTAAAGAGGACTCATATCAAAAGATTACATATATACATATCCGCAGCGCCTAAAGAGCCTCTCTACGCCTGTCACGTACAACATGAAAACAACCCACGCCATCTTGAATTACAGCTGGAGCCAACGACCCATGAGGAATTGCTTTAGCAAATTTCACGGCCAGTTCCTGAAGCCTCTTTGTCGAATCCGGGCTAGGACACTCCGCCTCAAAGAAGAAACGGACGTATGATTCTATGGTCGATGCGTCGGGATTGAGAACTTCGTACTCGTTAATTCCGCCGGGACGAGTCAGAGCAGGATTAAGGGCTGGTTTAACGTTCGTAGTAATGATAAGCACTTGATCGGTATAGGTACCGATCCCGTCCGGAGCTTTCAGGGTAGCTACTATAGATATTCCTACCTGATTATATACTCGGTTTTCTGTGTTTTCACCTTTTGCTATATTGCTTCTTCTTTAGATCTCTGTAGCGAAGACATCTTCTATAAGCACTAAGGGGCGCTTAGGAGAGTTAGGTAGTGTACGGAAGAGTTCTTGTAGACTATAACTAGTAATAGTGGCGAGGTTAATTGTGTAGATCGAAAGTCCGAGCTTAGTAGTAAGCGCGCGATAGAAGTTTGTTTTACCGGTCTCTAGGGCACCGTAGAAGAGATATCCTCGCCGATATAGAATACTACGTCTCTCACGTAACTTAGTGTTATGGGGATAACTACTTGCAGGGTAGTAAGCCTGTCAACTAGGTAGGAGAGCAAAACACTGAGCCCGATTGTAACAGAGACTGTTTCTTGATCTTCCTAAGCTTCTTCTGCTAGCTATATTTATAATTGATCCCTCTCCTAAAACAGGAAGAGGTAGAGAATGTTTTGACAAGGAAGATCAGAAGGCAACACGAGATGGTGTAACAAGAACATGCATAAGGCTTCCTCTGGGTTAGGCGCCAGAAGACAACGGGGATGTAGATAGCGATGCGCCGGAGGAGCCGACATCGCCGAAACTCACGGTGACGACCAAGACTAGCCCAAGTTCAGACTGAAATTGTACACGACAGCGCAAGAATTGCAGTCATCCTCATTGGCATTCAATGGATGAGGGCATGGAAACTGAAGTGAAGATGGTGCTCGTGAATCAAGGAATCAGAGGCGCGATTGCCTGCGAGAAACGGATCATCAAGATCTACTGGACAGTTCGAATCTTGCACAGTCCAACTAAATATACTCGATTGGCATTTTCTGAAGTCTATTGGAGTTTTCGAGGACCTCAAGCTTCAGTCTCAGTCTCGTAATTTACCGGCGCGTCGATATTTATGTTTCAGGTTCCCGAATACTTATATCTATGCAAAGTGGAAGAGATGCACAGTCTTCACAAGGAATTTTCATCATCCACTTGACTTCTGACGGGGTGCAGGGATTCAACGCCAGCAGCTTGCAGTGATTGACCAAGGATACACTATACTGGACTTCGGGGCAATGCAAAGAAACGAGTGGCTAACCCTAAGTCAGACTGGCGAAGCTGTCCTGGAGAATTATCTCTGAAAGAAATGGACATCATGGGCTGTAGCTCTATAATGTCACACTATGATGTCAAGACCAGTAAAAGTTTGATTCTTCAGCCAGTAATGACCGCAGTCTAAACAATCTTCCAGCTTCGATGCAACCTACTTCTATCATCAACACATTTCAAACATTCGGTTTTCTACCGATTTTCCAAAATCCGTTGGCATGGAAAATCGATTGCGTAAGCCACCAACACCAGACCGCTATCTTATCGGAGATGCTCGTCTGTTCCTCGTGGGGCATCGGCGGTCTCCGCCTGCGTGGCTGCGATGGGCGAGCGGGGTGAATTTAGCGATTTTATCCATTGCGTGGCTTATTTATTGATCCTCTTTTCCAGATCCCAGTAGACAGGATCAACAAAGCCCGTTCGGCCTTCCTGTATCTGCCCGCAACCTAACAATTGCTCTCTCCGTCTAGCACTGCCGCAAACCCACTGCAAAAGTGTTACCCAGCATGCTGTATACGCACGCCACCATCATCACGGTGGATGGCACTCGTCGTATCATCGACGACGGGGCCATTCGCGTCAATGGCGATACAATCGCTGATATTGGCAAAACTGCTGTGCTCAAGGAGCGATACCCGGCCGATGAAGTGTACGATTTGTCCGGTCGCATCATCATCCCCGGGTTGATCTCTACCCATATGCATACGGCACAGACCCTGCTGCGAGGAACTGCCGATGATCTCGAGCTGGTGTCGTGGCTGTGCGAGCGTATCTGGGTGCTGCAGGGTAACTTTACCGAGGCAGATGGGTATGCGGCGGCGCGGTTGAGTATTGGCGAGATGTTGAAGTCTGGTACGACTTGTTTTTTGGAGAGCATGGTGCGTATGGACTGAATCGTGGAGTGAGCGGATTTTGATCTAACCGAGTGTTAGTTTGCCGATCGGTATGGCTTTGATGGTCTGGCTCGCGCAGTCGAAGAGTCTGGCATTCGAGGCTGTCTGGGCAAGATTGTCATGGACATTGCCAAGTATGCCAAAGATGATGCCTGGGCCATGCATCCTGGTCTGGTCGAGAACCGCGAGACATCGCTCTTGGGCACCTTGAAGATGTGGGAGAAGTGGAATGGCGCCGCCAATGATCGCATCCGCGTGTGGTTTGGCGCCAGAACTCCTGGCGGGTGAGTTTGCACCAAGTATCACACGACGGTGGTATTTTATAGGATGCTAACCTCCTGCAGCGTCTCCGATGCTCTGTACAAAGAAATGACGGCTATTTCCCGCAAAAGGGAATTCCCGTCACCATGCACTGTGCCGAAGTCAAGGCCGACCGGGACTTTTTCGCCTCGGTCTCGCACACGCCCATGTCGTATTGTGACTCGGTTGGCTTGCTGAGTCCTTCTACCGTGCTGGTGCATATGGTCCACCTCGATGACTCGGATATTAAATCTCTCGCGGCATCGGGAACTCACGTCGCCCATTGCCCAACCTCCAACGCCAAGCTGGCCTCGGGTATTTGCCGAGTGCCAGACCTGCAGCAGGCAGGCGTTAACATCGGTCTGGGCACAGACGGGGCTCCTTGCAACAACACCTGCGATCTCCTGCAGGAGATGAAGCTTGCCGCAATTATCCACAAGAGTATCTCGTATGACCCGACAGCCGTTCCTGCCGAGTCCGTCCTCGAGATGGCTACCATCAATGGCGCCAAGGCTTTGGGCCTGGATGATCGCATTGGTAGCTTGGAAGTCGGCAAAAAGGCCGACTTTGTCGCTATCGATGTTCGCGGCATCCATAACCAGCCGTGGCATAACCCTGCCAGTGCGGTGGTGTATACTGCCACCGGGCGCGACGTCGACGTGGTCGTTGTCGATGGCAAAGTGCTCGTCCAGAATGGTGAGCTCCTGACCATGAATGAGAAGGAGATCGTCGAGGAGGCGAAGAAGCGCAGCCGCGAGGTGGTTGAGCGTGCTGGTCTTTCCAGCAAGATGAAGGGTCGCTGGCCCATTGAGTAGAGGGGTCGACAATCTCCCTCTATTCTGAAACGGTTTCTGATTTTGAGTTTTTTGTGACTTTTTCTGACTTTCTTGAGGAGCCATTGGCGAGCACATAGCCGGTCTTTCCTGTATTATTAGTTTTTTCTAACATCGCAATGGCATGATACCCTCATCGTTTTTTTTACCATATTCAGATTCACCGAGTAATCTGGAGAGGCACCGGAGATGCACCGAGGTGGCGGGTCATGGTCCATTAAACCTGGCTTTTGGTTACACAATGAGATACCTCACATTTGGACATGCGAATAGCTTTCCAGCCTCCAGCATGATAATGGCTGGGGTGATTGAGGGGGTTCCAGATAGGACAGCTCACATGCATATACTTCGTCAGAGGCTAAGTATCGCACTAATCATCCGCTATTCATCGAATGCCGAAGGTAGAACCCGAACTATTGACCTGGACGAATTGTGCAGACCTCTCATTGGACGCATTCCAGATTGTACAGTTTGTGATTTTGAAATCGACCAACATTCGACTCTCAAGACAGACCCCGCGTTTTCCCCGCATTCAAAGCAGAACCTCGCCAATCAAACACGGGCGAGTGGAATTGATCCTGGGCGATGGAGGGCCCAAGAGAGAAAGAAAGCAATCAAATCATCAGCCAAGATTTTGAGATAGTTACCAATAACGTAATTCCCAGCCTACCCGATCACCCAGTCGTCCCGATTACCCCAGAACACCATACTAAATGCGATTTTTTCAGGTGCTAATATCTCGATAACAAGAATATATTCTTACTTGATTTTTAGCATACTATATCTCCCTTATATTAGAAGTGACTTAGTATTAATAGAATATTCAAAGAATAGTTATTTACCTATATTACCAAAAATACGCTTTCATTGAGTGATACAAATATATCTATAGTATCGTGCCTTAAAATATTTCTTAAGCTCATAAATAGACCTAGTATAATATCTTCAATAACCCCATCGCTTAAAGCTATATAATTAGCCTTGAGTGTTGAGATATAAAAGTATGAAATGTTGTATTTACTATGGTGTTCTAGGGTGATCGGGTCGGCTGGGAATTACGTTAGCTTGGCGATTATCGGTTCCGATGAGGGCGGACGAGAGTATGTTCCGGTAGTCAATATGGACCTACCCGTTATGGATGGCGATAGCCAAGTTGACGAGACTGAGGTATAAAGTCGGCGGCCTGCACTGGTCCACCTGGATCCTGATCCTCTAGCGCTTTTTTGCCCCTCTTTCCCCCTCTTTTGCCCCTCTCTCATCCCTATTTATTCTACCAATTGCCCCCTCCGTCAAATCTTTCCATCCTGGTACTTCGGAAATCGAAAAAATCGAAATGACAGTCTCCAACATAAGTACTCCGTTGGACTTCACTGTAGGCTCCCTAACGAGCATACAGACCTTCCAAACATCGTCTAACTGTCAGTTGCACAGACATTCCATAATGTCATAAACAACGAATTAACCTCGACCTCCGTAACTCGCCATAGTAACAACCCAGCCACTACTGAGCCCAATCCAGAAGTCCCTGTCGCCACGCAGGAGGATCTGGACAAGGCAGTCCAAGCGGCCCGGGCCGCGTTCAAGACATGGTCAAAGACTTCTTTCGAGGAGCGCCGTACCGCGCTCCATGCATATGCTGATGCGATTGAAGCCAACGCCGATGGATTCTCCAAGACCCTTACCATGGAGCAGGGCAAACCCCTGTCCCAATCTACGGTTGAAGTCGGCATGGCAATCACGTGGGTCCGGGGACTGACCAGCTTTGAAATTCCCACGCACACCATCGAAGAGACTGAAGATCGCAAGATCATCCAGAGGTATACACCTATGGGCGTGGCGGGTGCTATCGTTCCGTGGAATTTCCCGGTGCTTTTGGCCATTGGAAAGATTGTACCTGCCGTGTATACTGGAAACACGGTCATTGTGAAGCCTTCGCCATTCACTCCGTACTGTGATCTGAAGCTTGCGGAGCTGGCTACTCGGTTCTTCCCTCCGGGTGTTGTGCAGTGTCTGAGTGGAGACGACAGTCTGGGCCCTATGATGACCGAGCACCCTGGCATTGACAAGATCTCTTTCACTGGATCAATTGCCACCGGTAAGCGAGTCATGACTAGCTGTGCTAAGACATTGAAGCGTGTTACCCTCGAATTGGGCGGTAATGACCCATGTATTGTCTGCGACGATGTTGACATTGAGGCTGTTATTCCCAAGGTAGGCCCCCTCTGCCATTATTGGCCCAACTTAGCCAAAAATCTAACGGACATTGTAGATTGGAATACTCTCCTACCTGTGCAGCTCCCAAATCTGCATGATGATCAAACGTCTCTATGTGCACGAGAGTATCTACGACGAGTTCCTGGAGAAATTGGTTGCATTCGTCAAGTCTCTCAAAGTTGGCGATGGAACCGAGGCCGACGTCTTCGTCGGTCCCGTTCAGAACAAAATGCAATATGAAAAGGCCAAGGACCTATTCACTTCCATATCCTCCGAGAAACTCAACCCCGTCCTTGGTGGCTCCATTGAGGAATCAAAGGGCTACTTTATCCACCCGACCATCATCAGCAACCCGCCCGAGTCCTCCCGTGTGGTCCAAGAGGAACCGTTCGCGCCTATCCTCCCCGTTATGAAGTGGTCAGATGAGGAGGATGTCATCCAGAAAGCTAATGCACTGGAAACTGGATTGGGTGCCTCGGTCTGGAGTAAGGACTTTGAACGTGCCACTCATATCGCTGATCAATTGGAGTCGGGTACGGTTTGGGTGAACTCACACTTTGATGTTTCGCCTACGGCGCCGTTTGGTGGACACAAGTTTAGCGGTATCGGTGTTGAATGGGGTCTGTCTGGTCTTTTGAGCTACTGCAACTCGCAGACGCAGTGGTTGAAGAAGAGCTTTTAGTTTATTCATTTTTATCTGGCCTTTGAACATGCTATCAATGCATATGTCACAATAAGTGTACTGAGAAAATCATCGCGCTTTCGCTCCCTCACGCCAAGCAATACTTGCCCTTTGGCAAGTGCCAAATATCGCGGGTTTAACCTATTTTGTTCATTAAGGCCTCCCTTTGCACCAGAATCGCGTTCCATACTCACCTTGGCATTCTCCTTCCGTTTAAGGCCCACCACCCCTTGTTTCTTTCCGAGGTACTTTGGGTAAAGACGACTAAGCGTCGAGCCACGATAATACATGTGGTGGTGATTTTATTTCTTTTTTTAAGATGCTGGAAGATGTGTCCACCAGAAGAAGTTATCTCATATAACGAAGGTCAGGTAAAACCTTGGAGCTTCGGTCAATAGCAGTATGTACATATGGAAGGAAATGTATTATGAGAGTCAAGCGAAGCATAGCTTATGCTTACCAGACTGTCGGGAACGGGAACTTGGTTAGATAACCCCAGATAGACGGCCCACGGCCAAGACGCACTTGCTGCATTTTGATGATAGGTAGCAATTGAATGTAGACACTGTGGGCGTGGCCAGACCACAGAGTGAGAGCCCGAATATTTCCCCTGCGATACGTGCAAAGAGTGCAAGGGAGAGTTCTGAGAACGTATATTTCGCGGTGTCTCCGAAATTTGGCCATTTCCCAGTCTCGGCCTGTTGGACAAGTCATCCACGCCTTGCTAGCTATGGGAGGCCTAATTTGTTCTTGGATCTGATTATGGTTTGCTGGTCGGTCTGGGCCTTTTTTCATTCGTTTATCTTCTACCTGGTGCTCGAACACTCGATTCATCTTTTTGCAGTAATTGCTATATTACTTTGCGGAAGAAAGCGGCTTCGAAATTATTAATCTTATCACACAAGGGTCTCTTCCTATCCCTGCCCATCAAACATGCTCTATCATCGCAAACTCAAACTCCATAAACAATATTAAAGCTCATCATGCTCAACCAGTGGCTCACTATAAAGGTCTATCAGTCTCGATCGACCATAGTATAGAATCATTTCCTCCTGAATGACATACCTTGGTCTGAATGAATATTCGAAGCCGAAGAAGCTGTTGTGCTCTTGGTAGGCGCTGAGTGACATGTTTTCTTAGAGTGGCCTGACATATAGAAGGAATGTCCCGGCGGGCATTTTGTCGAACATGTGCCACCACACCCCGGGGGGGCACAAGACGCAACGCTCAAAGTGTGAGTCGGTGATAAATTTAAGGGGGCCTGCACAAGCGGGAATTCCACAGCAATTGTGAAACTCATCAAGGCAAGGGTGATCAACATCACCAAGAGGTGCATTTTCGAAACGAATTCGCGTCGAGGAAAGTCAAACCGCAATAGTTTTAAAGTGATATACTCTAACATTGGACATAAACTTGTTTACTTCTTTACATCTCTAAATACGATAACTCTGTCGGCCTTTGACCTTCTTATCGAACCCGGAAGGCCCTTTTCTGCTAATCATAATGATGGGAAAGGAGGATCCTGGTATTGTCCATTGCTTTTCTCGCTCCGGAAGCGACCAAGTCCGTTGCATCTAGAAACTGAAAGCGAGGTTCATTTTCCGGTTTCAAATAGCCGTATACCCCTAGCTTTACGGTAGTGTCATTTAACCCGGGTGGAATAACCATTCCAGAGTCCGCCTTGCATTTTTTCCCGGTTTTGAGCCTCATCTCCGAGGCCACCCTTTGAGTTATCGGACACATTTGTGATTGTCTTCCTGATTCAAAATCTTTTGTGATATATTATCGTGCTCCTATGTGTATTTGGTCTTTCGTGATGGGCGCAATTAAAGCTTGTCCTTGTTGCGTCATTTTCTCACATGCTCGCAGCACCGACACTCCATATCCAGAATATTCCTACTCGGTACGTAACAGCGCTCCTTGTAACGAATCAAGATTCTATTCTTAATAATGAGCAGAGCTAATTATTTCTCATATAGAGGTGCTATATCACCCCGAAAGGATACCCCATAGCCAATCGACCTCTCATACAATGCCGTCAGGGACTAAAGGAGCCTCTCTTCAAACACGAGATGAATGTGATCTATTTGGCGCAATACCCAACCCCGGATTAAGAACCAGGAACATCTACACAATAGGCTTAGCTTTGGACTGGATTCTGTCCCTGATATTCATCATTGGGGGTTCTCTGATGACGAATGCCAAAAATGTCAAGGTTCCGCACCAGCTTGAGGGAATAGGAATTATCATCAACTTCTATGCGCACACATATCCCGAAGAACCGTTTCCCAAGAGTCATCGCATCTACCACCTAATTCCGGGGGGAAACTTGTTAGTAACTACGTTATTAAATTTTCTTGTGACCATTGTCCTTGATTCGACCAACTATAACCATGCAGTGACCCTCAGGTGGGTACTATTTCGGGAAGGGCGACTGAGATTCGATTCAAATATCCGACTCTTCACGAGATCAAAGTGTCACGGACCAAACAGCTGGTATTTCAACATAATATCCGGCGTAGGGTTGGCCATTTCCCACGGCGCACTATCTTGCATGATGATGGAAGTTAACGTTGAAGGTGCGGTCAACAAGCAAAAGCAAGTGTTCGAAAAGATTCAGTCGCCTCCTAGAGGGTTTGTTGAGGTCAACCTCCTAGCAGTATCCGCTCTAGGAATTGGGCTTCTGCTGCAAGTCGTCGTGTCAACCTATAGTCTACTATGCAGTCATGGAGTTCTGACATGGAGCAGCAATCTGCTAGCCAATGCAAAGGCTATAGCTGGTGTCCAAGATTCTCGATCGAAGGTGGGTTCAAAGTTTACACCCCAGCGGTCACAAGACTCGATGCTCAGTATAGCGCCGGAAATTCGATTAATTCGCTATCTCATATGGGGCTTCTGCGGACTTTCCACTACCTGGTCCCTCGGACAGGGAGTCTACGTCTCAGTCTGCGGCTATATGACGGACGATAAAATTGCCTGGTTTCGAAAACCGATGCAGTACTGGAAATTTTATGGAGCCATGTGGGCACCCTTCGGCAAAATATCGGAGCCCTCATCATACTGGCTAGGGCTACTAGTTCAGATCGTTTTACAATCGTTTCTCACGCTTGCTCTACACTGTCTGGAGCTGCTTTTCAATATACCTCGTGACGAAGCCACGTGGCGCAATATGGAAACGGTCGGATCGAAGCCCAGTCCTTCGATTATGTCCAATTTGAGCCGACAGGGTCTCTTTTTATCGATCATCAAAGCCACGCTCCACTGGATATTTGGATATGCGTTCTCGGCAGACTTGACCTTCAATATTGCCTTGATGCTAATAATTGCTTTGATGGTAGTTTTCATTCCCCTGGCTGTCTTGACAGAATACATGATTAAGAAAAGGCCCAAAGGAAGCATACCCGGATGCTATGGCAATTTTCAACGAGTTTGGGGGTGGGTAGATGAGTGGAATCACCAGAAGCTGTTCTGGGGGGATAAAGGGGAACTTGTTCTCGGATTCCGTCGAGCTGGTACATCTGGCAAGAGGTTACCGGAGCTACACTCAAATATTCTCTACTATTGTTCTCAGGCCAGTGAGTTGGAAAGGGAAGGGAGCTTACAGCAATTGAAGTTGGGTTCTGTCTCCGACCGTGACAGTACTTCCGACAAAAATGTGGAATAAATTTGATGAGCTTTTAGCTTCGGAGATGAAAGGATATTTTGAAGGATACTACTTCCAAGTTTCATTCGGTTCCGAATTAGAGATAATCTTCACCATCTGCAAATTTAAAATCTATTCACGAGCCCACCTCCTTGCCCAATATTTCTTGATTCATCCCTGTTGCCGTAGCTCGATTTGTTCTGTTACTAGCCAGCATGGTTTTCGTACAAGGTGCTCAATGCTCAAACAAACTCAGTAAGTCAAAATTGGACCCTTACATTTTGAACAGTTTAAGTCAAAGAATACCACTTAGACGCGACCTTAAGTCGCAGCATTAGAGCATTATTTTGTGGCTGCCAGAAAGACCAAAACACGCACACCCCGCTCGAGAAAAGAATGTTCCTTGACATCATCGACCAGCTGAATCAGGTTCACATTGGGTATTCATGTACCTTTACATAGTGTTAGTGAAGATCGATCTATTTTGTGTACCATACCAGTGTCGCAATATCTCATGAGACTGCACAGGCTTTTACTTCTCAATATGGTCCGATGATGTCACTTCAAACAAGCAACTGACCTTATCAAGAAGCACCTTCAGCTCTACAACACGGACACAAATAGAAGCACACCGACAGTGTCTTGCATGACGTTCTCCCCGGGGTAATTACGAATGAAATAGCTAGAAATAAATTAAATGTGACATACGTGTGGTTAGGTGGATTGGAGATCGCTAGCGTCGATCTTTCCACGGATGACGTGCTGGGCTTAGCGCCACTCCATACAACCCTTGTTCTGCCCTGTCATCTCCATCTGGGAGGCGATTTTGCACTTGGCCTACATTTGTGAAGGTCGTTCTGATCTTCTTATAGTTATGAGCTCTTGTTATTTAAACTCACTGATCTCTCATTCTTAGAATCCATTCTCAGCACCATACACAATCCAAACAAAATATTGCAACCTTGAATCCATTCCTTCTGGAATCACACTCTATCTACACAACCACCATCAAATCACTCTACTACCACAATGTTCCGCCGTCATCATCGCCCAACCACTACCACTACCCGAGAAACCAAGCCTACTCTCATGACCCGTCTAAAGGGTCCCAACGCCCGTACCAAGACGGTCAAGACCAAGACTACAACCACCCGCCAGGATCCTGTAACGACTACCCGACATGCTCCACACACACACCGCACTACCAAGCGTCGCTGGGGTGCCTCCTCCCGCCCACAGCATCATCACAAGCGCAAAGTGACCATGGGCGATAAGGTGTCTGGAGCTATGATGAAGCTGAAGGGAAGCTTGACTCGCCGACCTGGACTTAAGGTACATATTTGAGTGCTTGGTTGGTTATCTTGAGGACTCGACTGACTCTGTTATTAGGCTGCTGGTACACGACGCATGCACGGAACCGACGGTCGTGGAAGCCACCACCATGTATATTAGAGATACCCCTAACTTCTTTGTACGATATGAGTGATGAGATACGGAATTGAAATTATGAATGTATATTTAATGAAAGTTTCCGTAATTTTACGATAAACCTGAAGACAGGGGTCCATATAGTCGACTTCATGCTGAATCTTCGTCGCTCAATCGGAATTGTTGATGATTGTGCTCTAGCAGCTGGCGTGGCAGTATCTCCCATCAATCTTACATCCATGTCTTTGTTGTCAACCGAGGATAGACTGCATGTGCCCTCTACACAGAATTGTCTAATCTTTCTTCCGCATGTCATATACTAAGCTTCTAAGCACTCTCTATTCATAAGACGGCAACTCTACTTTCTCCAACATATACATTCACGGATTGTCTGCTCTCTTGGGTAATCAGCCGGCGCTGGCAGGATTATATAATTAACAGCTCCAACAGGGCTGGAGAGAGAAATTGAGGAAAGTCTCGTACAGATTTCCTGGATCCCAGGCTACTTAAGCTTCGGTGTTGGCCTTGTCGATCTTGCAGCGATCGCAGCGCGGTTAAGGAAAGCTGCGTGAAATTGTCTTTGCAGGACTCGAGAAGCAATTTTATCATTCCTGAAACTACATTGGAGCACCGGTTTTGTCATGCAAGGGGATTTAGCGACGGGATTCGAGACTTTGGGTGAGATATGTTGGCATGGGGAGTCTGTCTACTGTCAGTCAGGTGTTCATTGAACATAAACTACGAAACATATGATGGTTTACCGCAAGTTGGCATTGAATCCTCGTTTTGGATCTTCTCCAGTCCTGTAGTCTCGATACGCTGGCTGACATGACCTGCCCTTGTGGTGTGGCTACGGGAGACTGTCAGCGCTCCTTTCTTTTCTCATGCTGTTGCTCACGGCTATGTTTAGCTCCAAGGTTATATATGACTGTTGAAAATATCATACAAATACAAACATATCCAATCTGAAAAACCCACGGATTCTTTCTATGGAGCTGAGTATACTTTGCGCTAGCGCTAGTATCGTGCAGACTATGCTGTAATGTTATACATCCCAACGCAGGCAAAATTGATACACCACAGCAATTACAAAAATTTACAAAGTCCTTTCGTGATCAAGACGTACATTAATTAAGCAGTATCAATATGTAAAGGACAGACTGTATACTTCAGAACTGCCGTCGAGTGAAACATCTTCGCCGCGAACGGCGCAGCCGAAATAGGCAATCGGCAATGCCAATCTCCACAACGTCGGTGCCTGAAGTCTGGGGAATCCACTCGCCCACTTAAAACTGGGAACTAACCTCCTTTCTCGGGTTTAGCTCGTTCGCTAGGGTCCAGTGTCGTCAGCCAAGTCAGCCAAGACAGCGCCAGCCCCTTAGCCTCGTCCGTGTCCACTGCCCAGCACTATTATTGTATACTGTACCTTCATCTATGCATTCCAGGCCACCGCCATGTCCTTTCGCATGGCAATTGTGCTGGTAGCTGGCATTCTTGGGCATCTCCTGCCTGCCTCTGCCTCTGCCTCGCCCCTGACCCTCTCCCCCTCGTCGCCCCTGACACGCTCGGCGGTTGTCGACCTCGGGTACTCCCGCTACCAGGGCGTCGCACTAGGCAATGGCGTTGACGAGTACCTGGGCATGCGATATGCCAAGCCTCCTTTGAACGAGCTGCGATTCCGAGGACCTCAGGATCCGGAGCAGACGGATGGAGTCGTGGATGCGACCGCGGTAAGCTCTCGGCAATTGGCGCGAATTGGCACAAGGTCTGCAGCACGAGCAAGACTAACAGGTAGCAGTTTGGACCCGTTTGTGTCGGCGTTGGTCAACGCACCAGTGACTCCTTGGGGGAGGACTGCTTGTTCGTCAATGTTTGGCGTCCGTCCAATGCAACAATAGACTCCAATCTCCCCGTGTGGCTGTTTATCCAAGGAGGTGGGTACGCGGATAATGCGAACTTCAACTTCAACGGCAGTGAAGTTGTCAAGCAGTCCGGATACGATATCGTCTTCGTCAACTTCAACTACCGTGTCGGCGCCCTCGGCTTCCTTGCCAGTGAGGATGTCCGGAGAGATGGCGACCTCAACGCAGGCCTGCTGGATCAGCGCAAGGTGCTCGCGTGGGTGCAGCAGCACATTGGCCAATTCGGGGGTGATTCTCACCATGTGGTGATTCACGGTGACTCTGCCGGAGCAGGCTCGGTCGCTCACCATCTCACTGCCTACGACGGCCGCGACATGAATCTCTTCGTTGGCGCGGTTGCCGAATCTACCTTCTGGCCGACTCAGCGCACGGTCGCAGAGACGGAATTCCAGTACGAGCGGTTCGCGCAGGACGTGGGCTGCGGCGGAATGGAGGATACTCTCGCATGTCTGCGCTCGGTCGATATCGCAACCATCATGAATTATGGCGTTGATAAGCCCTTCCCCGGTGGAAGTGATTCGCCGACACCGTTATGGTATTTCCTCCCGGTGGTGGACGGGATTCTGATCACCGATCGTTTGTATAACTTGTTCTGGCAAGGCAAGTTCATTCATGTGCCTCTGGTAGTCACGGATGACACCAACGAGGGCACACCATTTGGGTACAACGCATCCAGTGCCGAGGAGGTCGCCCAGTTTATGAAGAACAATTACCCGGGCCTCAGCGATGACGAGCTGAATCAAATTAACCAAGCGTATCCCTTGATGGATCCGCTCCCCAAGCATGCTGCATACTTCCCATCTGCCGCGCAAGCATACGGCGAGTCGACTTTCACCTGTCCTGGGAACCACATGGCCGCCATGATGGCCCGATATTTCTCATCCTATACAGTGTGGAACTATCGGTTCAACGTGCAAGACCCGGCGGAAACTGCGAATGGGTTGGGGGTACCCCATGTGTTCGAGTTGCCGGCCATCTTCGGGTTGGGCGATACCAACCAGGCATCCGAGTCCTTTACCAACGTCAATGCCAAGATCGTGCCCATCACGATGAACTATTATCTCAGCTTCATCAAAGCGCTCGACCCAAATGTGTATAAGTATGAGGAAGCGCCCGTCTGGAAGACGTGGGGCATTGGGTATGGGCAACGACTGAAGATCCAAACAGGATCAACGGAGATGGAACCAGTTCCTCAGGAACAGTTGGATCGATGTATGATGTGGAGGGGACTTTCCAAGTCTATGGAGCACTGATTGTGTTCTTGTATATTTCACCGGGTCTGTGTTGCACTCGACGTGTCATGGTGACACCATCTTGGCGGCGTTAGATCGGATATTCGGACATTGTTGTATCTTTTCATGCGTAAACATACTTTATGACTCCTGGATGAGTCTGTGAGTACGATAGACCTCTCTATGTCCCGTGGGCCATTATCTCTGAATTATATTCACCTTCCAGCTGTAATCTCCTCTCCAAATGCCTCCGCACTTTTGTTCTTTGAACCTTGTTGTACTTTCGGACCAATCCCGTGCTTATGTTTTGTCCTCCGCTCGCAAGTGAGGGGTAGACGACTTGGACAGCCACTGAGATGCGACTGACTGGATGTGCATTTCCTTGAAATCTGGGGAAAGCTCCAGGGCGCCATGCTTTGTCTTCCTCATCATGCCGAGAACTCGCCAGCAACTCTCGAAGATGTAAATATCTTTTGCTCCGAATATACTCACCACCTCATACAGCATCATCGCTAGCAGAATGCAGCCGCATCTACATCCTCCAGAACCACCATTTCCCTCCCTTACAGTCGAACTCGTCGAGCTCATAGCCGGCCATCTAGAAAGCGATGGCTTACTAGAACTCCGCTTGACATGTCGCGACCTGCAGAAGAAGACATTCCACCACTTCGCGCGCCGTTTCTTCTCGTCTATCAAAACAGATCTCTCCGCAGAGAGCCTCGGTCGCATCGATGCCCTTTCGGGACATGATGAACTGCGTCCTTACGTCCACGGCTTGGCCTTTATGCTTCAGAACGGCGTTGGACGCGGCTTAGTCTGGGATCGACATCCTTGGGGCCCCCTATCAGCACCGCTAGAGATCGAAGCGATCGCACGACTGCGCGACAATCTAGTCAGCAGATTTACAAATTGCCGCTCATTTTTCATTTTCTGTCGATATCCAGAAGGGCATCCGGATATGAACCGGGTCACCATTTCGGACGCGGTCGCGGTGTTCTTTGCGCTGGTGGTTGATGCGCAATTACCAGTGATGTCCTTCCATTTGATCTATGCGAATAAATACTCTCGCACGTTGGTTATGGATATGCGGCGCATTCCGAAGCTTTTATATCGACAGCCCGAGTTCAAGGTGGTCTGGTCGAATTTGCGGAAACTGTCGCTGGAGCAGTACCTTACTCTCGATAATTTTGGGTTCCTGCTTGAACTTGTGCTCAGTGCTCCGAATCTCCAGACACTACTGTTGAATCTTGGTTCGCATGATCTGGCAAGTGAATTTATGCATGAATTAGCGGAGACGGCTTCGTTCCCGCACTTGCAGGAACTGGCACTATTCAGGACTTTGGTGCAGGTGCCGGACTTGAAGAAACTACTTCACGGTCTACGCGGGAATTTGACTACGCTGACGCTTTATCATGTCTCTCTGAGTCCGGATGAAGATTGCATGTCTGTGCTGAAAGAGTTGAGTCAGAGCTTTGGATCGCTGCAGACTATCTCGTTGTATTATTTGTGGGCTACTTCGCCGACGAAGGAGTTGCTATCGTTTCCGGATATTCATAAAGCGCCGGAGTTGTGTGATACACCGAAGCAGAGACTCCATCTGCTTTATTCGGAGAATTCGCAGAGTCCTACAGTACTGGGGATTGAGTACTCGGGACCTAAGATGGAGCATGTCTTGAGGTTGTTACAAGCCGCTGTATGATTCTTCCAGGGCATCTGACGGAGACTCGACAATCTTGTTCCATATTGCATACATGTATGATTTCTGAATTAGGGGGGTTTATTTCTCTTCATTGCGCAAGGTCTGTCTTCATTCTCATATGCATCAGCCAGTATCATTTATTATTTCGTCAATCAATTTCCAGGTTTCTATAGCAAGAAAGTAGTTTCTACAAAGGTCCACGTCCACGATGAGTCTCGTATTTAGCAAGTCAAATCTCCAGCTATCCACACTATTTCATCTCTTTCCTTCATCTCTCTCAACTCCTACTTAGGGCTTTTCAAACTCTGCTTCTTCACATTCCTACCGGAAACCTCAATAACCGTCTGCTTAATATCCCCCTCGAAGCCAACTGATACACGAAGTTTCTCATTAGGCCAAAGGGTCAGGTAATTATCTGACCAAAAGACGGGCGTAACCTCTGCACCATCAGGATTGATCGCATTCAAACGCAGGAACACGGCGGGAACTTTGGACTTATTCTCCAACTGGACGTCGGCGTATGTCCAGCCGTCCTTGGTCTTGGCTTTCACGGTTTGAACTATGGCCTTCACATCCGCGGAGGGAAGATTCTGCAGCTTTTTGTAGTCTGCATAATCGGTCACCGGGGTAGTGTACCAGGTAGATTCATCCCAGTCGAGGACGTCCGCTTTCGGAGAGAGCCAGTACACGTTACGACTGACGTCGCGCTTTGCTTTGGTGTCGCGCAACACGAGGCGTAGGAACGCGATGTCCGTGATCTTGTCGATTCCGCTCACCTCTTGAACAACCTTGGACGAGTTTGGCACGGTGGTAGTCTTGACCTTGGTTCCAGAGATTTTCTTGCCGTTGCTGTCGATCAGATCGATGGAGATTTCTCGGTCACCTTTTAGGTCCAGTGAATGGTTGATCAACCAGACACTTTTTTTCTCGTAATCGTATGCAGCATGCTCGAGGCGATTGCCGACTTTCGTGCCAAAGTATGCCCCCATGGGACTGAGATAGTAATCGAATAGTTGCCAGTGCAGGTTTGGCCAGGCACTGTTCAACATCCAATAGATAGATCCAGTTGCTGGACGAGATGCATTTTGTTTGGCAGAGTATGCCTCATACTGGGCCCGAGTCGCTTCGTAATCGGCCATCTGACATTTCAGCACATAGTCCTCAAGATCCTGGGCTGTACCATATCGCTCGAAAAGAGCTTTATTGTAGATTGAGCGATCAAAGAACTGGGAGTCATATCGGGACATGTGGAAGAGCTTAGCATCTGGCTCTTTCCACAGAGTTTCCAGATCACCATCAGACATGAACTTCTTCAGACTGCCCACCTCGGGCGTACCAACTCCCGCGCCAAGCTCGGATCCGAACCCGAATGCAGCCCCTTCCTGATCGCCATACCAGTAGTTGGGAGGGACCCAGTCATATGGTCCGTCCATCTTCATTCCCGATGGTCCCAGAGCTTTTGGATAGCCGCGTTTACTGGCAGATGCGATAATGGGATTCTTCCAGTCCATATCTTTCAAGGCATCGAGATAGACTTCTGTGGCACGATCGTTGGGCCAGTAGTCGGAGCCTACGAGGAAGCCTAGCATGGAAGGGTGTGCTTGCATCATCTCTGCTTCGTGCAGCATTGCGGCTTGGGCGATGGGGTAATCTGATTCTCCCCATTTGACTCCCTGGGCGTCGTCGTTGTACTGTGATCCCGTTAGTTCTGTTAAGTGATGCGAAAATGTGATGGGACTTACATCCCAACCTTCCCACTTATCACAGCACTCCCAACCAGCCAGTACCATCATACCCATTCGGTCGGCCACCTCGTACAGCTCCGGCTGCTCCTGCTTACCCTCGAGACGAACTGTGTTGAGTCCCATGTCGAGCATGTACCGGAAGATTCTCTCTACACGTCTCTCATCAAAACGCATGAACATGTCCGGTCCGTAGCCGGCTCCCATAACCTGGAATTGCTGGCCATTCACGACAAACGCCGTATCATTGTGCTCGTTCACATACGAGGACACTTGTCGAATACCAAATTGTTGAGCACGAGTCTGGTCCGACACTGTCATGGATGTATCATGGAGGAGCAAGTTGGCTTGGACCGTGTAGAGGGGCTGCGCGCCCCAACGGGCAGGCCACCAAACGGAGGCTTTCTCGACCCCGACTTTAATCGATACCGTTCTGCTCTCGCCGGGCTTGAGTTCGAAAGATCGTAGGATGGGGCCTACTTTGGACCCAGGCGGTGGGGTGATGGTACCATTCACTGACACTTGGACGGTCTTTTGGGCATGGTTGACCAGGTCAGTCTTCAGCGTGATGTTCACTTTCTGATTCTGGTTGGGCTTGGTGAGATCGGTGATGACACGGAAAGGAGACATCGAGACAGGACCCGTCTGTGAAATCTCCACATTTCGCCATACGCCCGTGCCGTTATCCGAAGGATAGGGGTTCCAGTCGACGAAGCCCAGAGCGAAATCTCGAAGGTAGTTCGTCGGAAACGCTCTGATAAGCAGAGAGTTCGTTCCATCCTTGACATAGTCCGTCAAGTTGTACTTATGACCACCATAGGAGCCCTTCTGCTCATCACTGGTCACAATCCGCTCACCATTCACGTAGATGTCGGCCTTGGAGGTGATTCCGTGAGTATGTAGCACAAAGTACTGGTTGTCGCTCGGGTTGAGTGTAAAATCCTCCCGGTACAGCCATGGAGAACGGAAAGTAGTCTCCGAGGTCAGTTGGTTCAAGTTGTCCGAATAGAATAACTCCGTATCGTTGAACACTCCAGCTTGGAGCAGGCCGGCCATGACGGTTCCACGAGGGCCGACACGATGCCAGGAAGACACATCCACACCGGGCTGGGACAAGCCAGGCATATCGTCCGGGGCGCGGGTGCTGGACTGGAGACTCCATCCTGGGATGATGGAGATGTCGCCAGGGGATGAAACGAGAGGTGCTGCAGTATTGCTGGCTGCGTGTGCCCCGGCGAGGCCCACGAACAGGGCGCTCAATGTCTGCGACAGATTCATATGTAGATGTGTTGTTTTAAGGGTTCAAGCCCGGTGAGTATAGCCTTGGTGTTGTGCTATTTTGATGGGATTTTCTTGAGATAAATATGCGTTTACGCACGGCACTCGCGTGTCACGAGCAGAGGGTGAAGTTGCATCGTGAGCGACCGGTTGAACGAGGGGTTTCTACAACGGTGCCAGATGGGATGTCGGATGTGCATCATTTTGCTGCAGGGACCTCCTCAGTCTGGTCTAGTCCGTCTCGGTGATTTCGGGGAACCGTGGATTTCCCCGGTCGAATCTGGCGATGGACGAGCAGATTCCAAGCAAGGTTCATCAACGCTAGAACTATTTGGAGTCTTGGCAGGGGATGGAGTTAGGTTAGTGAAGTGGCTGTCCGAGGTTGGTTGGTTCCACTCGGTTGCTCCTTAATCATCTGCGGCCCCCGCGCCTCGAGGTTCGTAACATGGCTATGTCAGTAGTTAAGTGGCAGTACAGTGGCAGTTCAAAAGTCTGAAACCAGGGACCAAGAAAACAGGCCGTCAAAACATGCCTCGATTTTATGTTTTTAACAAATCTTTCTGAATGTCTTTTGAACACTCTTTCTAGATATTCCCGGCATCTGTGTTTCAACTTGTCTTTCAAAGTATAGCTGATGAGATGGGTTTGAACTTTTTCGAGGTTTGCAAACTTATGGAACACCACTGTAGTTAAGGTACGTCAGTAGTTAGGTAGGTAGGGGTAGGGTTTCCTATCTCTACTTTAGTTCTTAAGGGTTCCTTAATAAATCGGGATAGATTTAGTGTCTCCTCGGTAGAGAGATTAGAGCCAGTTCTTAGACTACTTCTGCTGCTAGAATATATATTTCCGCAGGTTTCCTTCTAGGGTTGTTTAACTCGGATGACACTCTCCGGAAATTCCTTAACGATTGAAAGCTCATAATGGAAAGAGGGCCTTATCACAGACGGTCTTACACCATGAAAATAGTCAAAGGATAATTGTCAAGTGAGCGGAATCGAGTTCTTAGCTTCCCAGTCTCAGTGAAGCCTGCCTCGTAATTGAGCAGCCGTACTGCTTCCCTATCGCTGTTCCGGATTGTCTCGAAGAACAGACTCAGCTCAGTGATGAAGAAACTAAAGCAATATTATCTGCACACATCTGCTACCTCTCGGTGTTCCGTATCTAGCTTCGCATTCTTTTCGGGCCCCGAATCCTCGTGTTTAAAATTTGCGGAGTCAAGCAAATCACCACGGGCAATGGCAATATTCTTCTTGGTCGATGTTCTCCATGCCCTTTTCCCAGAGAGGAAAAACTCATCAATTTGCTCGAGCGTGAGGCGTGCGGTTTCAGGGACGAACAGAAACGTGAAAACCAGAACGAAAATCGTGATTCCGAAATAGAAATAGCCGACGTTCGAGCCGAGGTGTCCGTACTCTGCATTTAACATAATGGCGTCCAGAATTGGGCACCGAAAGCAAAAATGCTGTAAAAGAATGGCGTGTTTGCTTGACCGTAGGTGCGGAGCCTCACGCTGTGCATTTCTGCTGACGCCAACCAGACACTTGGACCAATGAAGCCACCGAAGACAAATGCCCAAATACAGACGGTCGAACCAGCAGTATCAGCAACCATCTGCTATCCCTTTCCAGAATTCTAGTATCTGAGCTACCTCAACTCCTTGCAACTTTGTAGATTCAAGAAAAAACCCAATACATTCATGCATCCAAGCCCACCATGATTCCGACTTCGATGTAGAGTAGACCGCTGGACCAGGACCCAAGAAATAGGCCTCTGTCATCCTTAACATAAAGGACGGATTCTTATTTTCAAGGTTCTCATGAAGCCTTCCCAAAATTTCTGCTTTCTCAACCACTGAAAGTTCCGCATCTCGGTAGGTGGAGCAGCAACTGCACTCCAGCGTACAGTGGCCGATGCCTTTCTTCCGCTCAGAATCCAAATGACGCCGACCACAACATCCACAACTTTGACTACAGCAACCCCCTCGGTCCGCGCAGTCTTTAGCAAGCTCCTTTCGCATATACCATGTCCCGCTCTCTCTTAGCAGATCGTAATTCTGTTTCAAGGGCCACTCAGGGATCATCTGCTCGCGATCATATAGCTTTAACTCTTGCTTCCAGCACTTCCGCTGAAGCTGTTCTAGTTCTTTCTCCCAGTCGACAAGCTGAGTTTTATTATTCTCAATAGTCGCAGCTTTTTCAAGAGCTTTAACTCTCTTCTTTACCATCTCTACCCGTTGGACCGCAGCTCGGAGACTGTCCTCGGCGCAGATAACTTGAACGAATAAATCGCGATGGTACTTAAGACCGGGGCCAAATTCAATATGGTACCAGTCATCTTTAGGCCGGCCATTTCTGTTATAGTTCGATTCGGGTGGGTTTGCGTAGTCCGCTACTGGGCTGAATGTTTGACCCGATCTTTTGACCTTGTTGTCGGTTGGTAATGTCGAATACATTATCAGAACGTCCGCCGAGCCGCTTTGGTTTTGTATGTGATAGGAAAGACACATTTGACAAGATGTTAAGAATCAGCAAGAAAAAATTTTCAGATGAAGATAAAATAGCGTTATGACTAACGAATGACTCGTAGATTTGTTGCTCACGTCTTTAAGCCGCCGCCCCAAATGACTGGCGTAACGTAATCCCAGCCGACCTGGCCGAACCGCGTCTTCTTACCACCTCCCTATTTCAGCCACCTACCATGCCACCAATTCGCACTGGATCTTCGCAAAAATCGGCTAACCAGGAGGACGAGATCCTATTGGCCCTTTCTGATTTAAAAGATAGCCGCATCAAATCTATCCGCGCGGCAGCAATGCTATACGCAATACCGCGTTCTACCTTGCAAACACGCGTCCATAGCTAGACCTCACGCGCTGATAAACGCCTATCTAGTCATAAACCGACCTAATCTATAGAGCATTCGCTCGTTAAATGGATTATCTCTATGGATACGCGTGGCGCAGCGTCTAGCCCCGCTACTATAGGAGAAATAGTTAATATCCTCCTGGCTGGTACGTCGGGCTAAAAGTGGAGGCGCAGTGGTTGGTGGGGCTAGAGTAAAAAGAAAGGGGAAGCGATAAGTTTAAGGTAGAGGGGTTAAAGGGAGGCGGAGATGGTGAGGTTGGGTCATTTATGTCGGGTTGATTTGGGGAGGAGATGACAGAATGGTGTATTCGTGAGGCAAACCGCATCTAGTAATCCACAGGTCCCTATGTTACATCTGAGATCACAGATAGTAGCAGCCACTCTTCACCATGCCATTTGAACCCACACGCGCCTCTGTTCTTACGGAAGGTTGTGATTTACATTACTGGTATCAGGGATCTGGACCTCTTCTCGTCTTCATCCCTGGCGGTGGTGGAATCGGCCGTCAGTTCAATCCATTTTCGAGCATCTGAACAAACATTTCACTGTATGTACCTATGATCGACGACAAACCAACGACAGCCGTGTAGAAAGACCACAGCTTCTCAACCCAGCTCAGCAGGCCCGCGACATCATTGCGATCTGCAAGGCTCTGGGTCGAGAAAAAACATGAATCTTTGGAAATAGTGGTGGAGGAGTTATCGCCCTCCAGTTTGCTGTCAGTTATCCCGAGTGGCTTGACCGTGTGGTTGTCCACGAGGCGCCAACAACAGCACTCCTCGATGATGCCACCTATCACCTCGACAGGGCTTTCATGCTTCTTAATGTATATCGAGAAGCTGGTGTTGAAGCTGCATTTCAGGCATTTCAGACGGAGATGAAGGGATATGAAAACACTCCACCGCTGTCGAAACCTGCACACCAGGACGGCCAAAACTTCTGGGAGAATGAATTCATGCAATTCACTATATACTATCTTGACCTCCGCAAGATTGTTGACAGCAAGGTCTCGATCTGTGTTGCGGCGGGTGTCAAGAGTGCAGATGCGTTTTATGCGCCAACCACCGTCCCCCAGTCCCAAATTCTGGGTTGCCCACGATTTATTTTCCCGGGCCATCATAGTGGATACGATGCGGAACCGATTCCTTTCGCCACCGAGCTCCTCAAGGCACTGAAACTGCTAGATGACCAGAGAAATCGGGATTAAAAGGTCTGGAAGCAGATGCTTGGGTCATTGTGAGCGCATGTGTTTAATAGACCGGTCACTTGGAAAGAATAATCGGCCGGAATTGTTGTCTTGTCGCCAGCCCACTCCCATACCCCGTGCTTTCGGCAGCGGCTCCACAACGATTCTCTCTGTGGGTGCGCCACGCAATCGTCGGGAATTTTCGAAGACATCATGCATTTAATCAACCAATCTAGCTAGTAAACAAAGAAAAAAGAGCTCTCCTTTCTCTATTGCTTCTCTCTCGTTATCAATTGCCCGTTGAATACTCTCCTCGGTCCTAGACCTCAGCAGATATAGCCCCATAGTTTAGTTTTAAATGAGACTGTGCTGATATTTACTTAGCGAACCTGGGCCAGGAAAGCCCTACCTGGTGGACAGAATCCTATGTATATTGTATGTAGGTGCAATCACAATTATTTCGGATTGGAGAGATTCTTGCTGTACCGCCTTTGATTGTTATAAGTACTGGTCCAGGCGTCAATCCCCTCAAAATGAGGCTTTACATACATTTCCGTGGATTCGCTTCCCACAACCCCTCCCCCGGCGCGGCGGGACGTGTGTCCTGAAATAGAAGCCTCATCAAATACAGCAATCCGTACCTGCCGGACGTGCGTGATATGCGGGACGTGAGACGCGCGTAATGAATAGCAAATGCCTTAAATTCCGCTGCCCTTGACATGGATACCTAGAAAAATAACTACAGCAATAGAAACCGAGGATGGACGCCAGGGTTATGCAAACTATAACTGAGTCAGAGATTAAATCTGTCCTCATCCGGGAACGGTACTATCGAGACACCTCACAAGGGAGAAATTACGAGACACTTACCACCCTGATGTATCTCAGACATTAATCAAGATAACTAGGTATGCACTATAACTCACGCCCTTCCATGACTTTATACAGACGGCTAAATCCTTCAATCACAGGTTCGAGGGGGACATTGACAGTTTTATTTCCGGATCTAAGAAAATGGCCCGCGGAGATGTACGCGCTACACACACAATTCAACCGATCGAGGTCCATGTCAACGGAGACAAAGCTGTGTCTGAGTCCACTGGAAGTATCAGCATCCGCTTCACATCCGACGGCAGTGACTATGACTGTGTGTCATACACACGGTTTATTTCCCGACTTCGACAATACAACTGTGAATGGAGAATTCTTACTCTTGAGGCCATCTATGAATGCGATAAAATAACTCCAGTCACGCCACTCATTCCACCCATAATGCATCTGAAATGTGATCTGACGGGCATGCGAGAGAGTTACAAGTGCATCGGATGGCTTTTGAACGGCGAGGGCTTCCTGATCAATCCCAATTTGCCAGGTATTGACAACCCTTCCTCTATGGCCAACTTGATGGAGGACTCTTTGCCATGGATCAGAGGCTAGCACCTAGGTATATTAGAGATCTTGCATCATTAGAATTCAGATCCCTACGTTATTTCTGGGATATACACACCGAGCACGAACCCATATTTTTGTTCGCAGATCCAATGCATAGACAGTCAAGTAAATCCAAGATCACAGCGGTTTAGGCGAGAATTTGTACTTTACGGAATTTTTCAATTCTTTTCGGGATAGAGGGCTCTTGAAAGCAGTCTCACGCCTTTGTTCCCTTCTTTTCATTCTCAAATCCTGTCTACGAGGATACAGCAAACGACTCAAGTGACTTCTATAACATTTATCTTTCGCAAAGCATTATAGTTATCTTTGGGCGAGAATGATTAGCAGTATCGAGAATTTTGAGGCTCGACAGACCACTTGATTAAGTCCATTTTTGATCAAAGACCGATCGTAGCCTTCGCCGTCTTTTGTAGAGAACTACACTACTACGGCCGGGGTGCGGGGCTCATACCTCTGGGCGAAGGGGAAAGCAGAAACACAATTTAGAGATCAATGCTATTATGTCTCATTCAAATTTGTTACTTCGAAGAAACTACCGTTAGCTTGACTATTATTAATCTTTTAACAACCGACTTATAGGTGTACTTTCGACATGGAATAGAGTTATTTTCTTTCGATACGCTAATACTCTAGACTTTCCAAGATAAGGTTGAATTCCGCCATCACCCAACCGGCCGACCTATATTTCGCCTCCCTCGAAGCACGACTAAACGTATAGATAGCGCATGATAGGCACTACCTACTAACTCTTTCTAGACATTCAGACAAATTCTACAATTTTATAGTAACTGGACACAACTATTTAGGTAGCCGAGGTACAATTTGAAGATCGTGAATGGGTCTTAGGGTGGGTCTGAATGCCTGGATTTCAAGGTGTCAATTATGGTATTGATCCTTGATTGTGTTAACATTTTCCCTTGATTAATATCCAGCTAACGATATTCACCTTACGAAACAGGCAGGAAAAGGCACCATTAAGCTGTATGCCTCGCTTATTTGACTTTCCTTCTTCATCAAAATTGTAACAAAGGGGCGAGGCCCGACCTGTCGCGGTCTTTCCCTTCCGGAAAGGGATGGCCATGACGAAAAACGGAATGCAGCCATTGTTGCAGCACTGCCGCTTGCTTGCGGTGACGACCCATCGAAACTTCGACCCCATCGCAGCGAGTCTTTGACCGCCATGATTGGACCTGCTCTTGCAGGTTTCCCTGTCGATTGTGTCGCTGCGGTTGACAGCTCGCTGCCCGCATTCCACGCAGATCCGCATCGTGGAGCAGAGGGACCTAGAACCATGGAAGTCGCGACACATTGTTAGCTCTAGGGTTGCAGTGGTCTCTTCCCTTGAACCACTTCCGGGGAGAGCGACAATGCTTTCTCGCGAGGCTTCCTCGTGCGGTCTGCCGGATGACCCAGGGGTCGTTTTCCCCTGGGCAAGGGTGCCACGATGATTCGAGGGATAAAGGCGTTGTTACCATGCCTGCACTCCTGGTACCTGTGGAATGTGATCGTTTGATCCACACGCGGCCCTCTCGTGCGGTTTCTCCTCATGGTTACTGCCGTTGCGCTCCTTTCTCCCTTCTCAACTCTCTTGTTTCCACTTTGTCTTGCATGAAGAAGCCAGATCGCCGTGAACCACGGCGTATATTCACTCTCGACGCAAAATCCACACCTAAGGGCTATCGCTGATGCCAGGGTATTGAATTGAGGACGAGTCACCTCTCGACCGACCCCAGCATTTGGAACACTTGGGTTTCTTCAACGATCAAAGCGCAAAATGAGAGTGGTCGGCCACTCGACTCAGCCCTCGTGGGCAAGCCTCTTGACAATTGGTCTAGCTGGACTAGGATCTGTCAGGGCTGTTGATTTGAACATTGACGATGCAGGTGAGAATAGTCAACCGTAGTCTTGGGAATCGGAAGCTAACTGGTAGTAGACTCTATCAAGAAAGCAGCGAAAGATATTGCGACCAGCATGATGACCTACTATACTGGTATGAACCCTGGCGACAACCCAGGTAATCTGCCAGATCCATACTACTGGTGGGAAGCGGGCGCAATGTTCAATGTCTTGATTGACTACTGGTTCTACACCGGAGACGACACCTGGAACGATATTACCACGCAGGGCATGCTCTGGCAAGCTGGCGATAATGCCGCTTTTATGCCGAACAATCAATCGAAGACAGAAGGAAACGACGATCAAGCCTTTTGGGGATTTGCAGCAATGTCAGCTGCTGAGCGAAACTTTCCAAACCCTCCAGACGGTAAACCTCAATGGCTGGAGATGGCTCAAGCTGTCTTTAATACGCAGGCACCACGCTGGGACCCTTCGACTTGTGGAGGTGGACTGCGCTGGCAGATCTTTACCTGGAACAACGGTTATAACTACAAGAACACCATCTCGACGGGTGGCTTTTTCCACCTCGCTGCACGCCTTGCGAGATACACTGGCAATCAAACGTATTCTGACTGGGCAGAGAAGGCGTGGGACTGGGTATCTGACGTCGGTTTCATGACCAAAGACTATCATTTTTGGGACGGAGCTAGTGATCTGAACGACTGCAAGGATATGAACGAGATTGAGTGGACTTACAATAACGGAGTGTTCTTGCTCGGTGCGGCGAACATGTACAACGTGGTAAGAATTGCTCACCGACGTTGAAATACAGGATAGAAGTTGATTTTGACAGACCGAGGACCCCAAATGGAAAGACCGAGTTCAGAAGATCCTCGACTCATCCGAGATATTCTTCGCCAAAACGCCCGAAAACGTCATGTATGAGCGTGCCTGCGAAACCGTCAATACATGCATGGTCGACCAGCGCTCATTCAAGGGTTACCTCGCACGATGGATGGCTGCCACCACTCAAATAGCCCCCTTCACTTATGACCAAATCATGCCCAAACTGAAGGCCTCTGCCCAGGCTGCTGCCAAGACCTGTACAGGGGGAGAGCAGGGGACTACCTGTGGTCTGAAATGGACCGATCAGCAGTGGGATCATACTAAGGATTTCGGTCAGCAAATGGCGGCTCTGGAAGTTGTTCAGGGCAATCTAATTACTCGCGTTGCTGCGCCTGTGACCGGCGATAATGGTGGTACCAGTAAGGGAAATCCCAATGCTGGTGGGACAGCCCCGGAGCCAAAGCCAAAGGCACTCTCCTATACCATTACCACTGCTGACAGGGCTGGTGCGGGCATTCTGACTGCAATGATGATGGTCACCATTGGTGGATCTTGCGGTTGGCTGATTTGGGACTAGGACCATTTTTCTAGTTTGTTTTACCTCGTTGCTTGCTCGACTTGTTTTCGATTCGGCTCATGGAGTTTGGCGTGGAATGGAGTTTTGTGAATATTGTCCGGTTCTGATATATCCTCAATTTGAAATTGACTTTTCTCACCTATTATTCCGCCCTTTCTTGGTTTGCTGTGATATTCTATCCTTTTGTTCAGGCTATACAAACCATCAAACGGAAAGTTGCCGTCTCTATGGTTCAATAGGTCGGATATACGGCAGTATCCTTCCCCGCCCTTTTCCCCGGATTAACAGGGAGAAAGCAACAGCGCCATGATCATAGGATCTCATCAGAAAGAGGGGGTGCTGGCGTAGCGGGGGTTTTCCGCAGCCGCGTGCCTCGGTGTCTGGCCGGCTATGTTCGAGAATACTTATACACGTATGAACTTCGTCCGCTGGTGATGGAGTCGAATCCAAAGGCTTTATTTGAGAATTCACCATGGGCTCGGTAACAGAAACACAACAGTATGAAATTCCCACCCACTGTAAGGCGGGTGTCGTCGTCAATGAAGGTCCAAAGTTCCATGTAGAGGTACAAATGGTACCAGTTCCTGAGCCTGGTATGAAGTATACAACCAGATTCCGCTGCAGCCGGGGCTGACTATACAACTTGTTGTCTTCCAGGTCCCGACGATGTCTTGATTAGACTGAACTTCACGGGCCTCTGCTCCTCGGACATCCATATGATGCAAGGCGACCTGGGCGCACCTCCCATGTCAACGTTCGGGGTGCGATCACCCGGTCACGAAGGTGCAGGGGTCGTTGTCAAAGTCGGTGCCAACGTGAAGAACTTTAAGCTTGGAGATAGAGCCGGTATCAAGCCGCTCACTGATACATGTGGATCTTGCCACTTGTGTTGGGATGATAAGGAGACGTACTGCAAAAAGGCGATTCATACTGGATTGATGACTGCTGGTACATACCAGCAATATCTAGTTTCTCCCGCACGGTATGCCTCGCCGATCCCCGACGGTGTTCCTGATGAGATTGCTGCGCCAATTATGTGCAGCGCAAGTACGATGTACAGGTCGCTCCTTGAGTCCAATCTCAAAGCAGGCTCTTGGGTAGTCTTCCCAGGTGGCGGGGGTGGTGTTGGTATCCAGGGTGTGCAGCTAGCCAAGGCTATGGGCATGCGTCCCATCGTCGTGGACACCGGAAGTGAGAAACGGGATCTGTCGATGGAAATGGGCGCAGAGGCATTCGTCGATTTCAAGTATGACGAGGATACCGCCAAAGCTGTTATCAAGATTGCAGATGGAGTTGGTGTTCACGGTGTCTTTGTGACGGCGCCTGCTGCATATAAGACGGCTTTCTCGTTTGTTGGTGAGAGAGTAGGCTCGATAGTGATGTGCATCGGACTGCCTCCTGTCAGGTCTGTGGTTCTGGGAGCAGATCCCTGTGAATTTGTTTTTAAGAATCTTAGTATCAAGGGGACCATGGTGGGCAGTCGGCGGGATACCGCAATGGCTTTGGATTTTGCCAGGCGTGGGATGCTTCAGCAGATTAGTGAGGTGTACCCTCTAAACAGACTTCCTGAAGCTGTCGAGAAGCTACGCAAGGGCCAGGTTGCGGGACGGATTGTGGTCAAGTTCGACTGGGAAGAGTGAGTGTTATTTCTTAAATTACACTCTCGAATAGTCGGACGTTGGAGTCATTGTCATCATTCAAGTAAACGAAGAGGTAATCTAATTTACGTCAAGATACGTTGCTACCGGGACTTTGCTACTTAGCCGGGGAGTATAAGACGAGCAAATCAATCAAATCTATACAAAATCTCAAACAGTATAACAAAAGCGAGAGATGCAAACTACCATAGTCACTCTAGTTCACCATGACTGAGCTATGTCTATATGGAAGTTGGAGATACAATCTACAATCTGCTAGAGACAAAGTAGGGGTAACCCTTGGCCTCATAGAGATCCTTATGAGCAGACTTGATGATGTCCGCACCCTAGAGTAATTGTTAGACCTTTTCGTCAACATTTTCGTAGAATTGCTCTTTGTGGCTCACCTTTTCACCAATCATGTATACCGAGTTCTGGATGCGGCAGTCAGGAATCACTGGGATAACGGAAGCATCGGCGATTCTCAGGTTGCGGATTCCATGGACTCGGAGCTTCGAGTCAACCACACCCTGGTGGATGCTCTTCGAGAGACGGGCAGTACCGCAGGGGTCTTGCAAATATATTAGTAGGAGTTCGACTCGAAAATGGAGGCGTTACTTACGGAATCCAGTCTGGCTTCGATCCAGGACAGCGCGCTTCATCTCGTCATCAGAGTGGAGAGGCATCTTCCAGGGGTACTCGGCAAGAACGATGTCCTTGAAGCCAGCACCATTGGTCAGAACATCGTAGGTCCAGCGCACACCCTCGCGCATGGCAAGAATGTCCAGGTCATTGGCAAAGAAGTTGAGGTTGATGTTGGGCTGGACCTGGGGGTTCGCGCTGTTCAGAGTGACCTCACCCTCGGACAGGGGGCGAAGCAGGTCGACGATGACAGTCATGTAGTTGCCCTTCTCAGGAAGTGGGTAGTGCCACTGGAAGGCAGTGCTGAAAATACCGACAAAGTCCAGCTCGAAGTGGGGCTGTCCAGCTGGTCCGAAGGGATCCAGACCACCGTTGGCAGCCTTAGCTTCACGATAGGCAGGATATTTCTCCAAGCGCTCATCAATGCGAGGGAATCCAACCATCTCCAGCAGTCCGGAGCCGACGGGGCCAGTCTTGTCGCGCTTGTATGCGGCCACTGCCGAGTCGTTCAAGGGACCAGCACGGAGCAGATGATCGTCGAGACCGTATCCATCCTTAATCTCGAGCACGAAAGGCACGATTGGGTGATCCAGAAGGTGCTGACCAACGTGGCGAGAGTCGACAACCGGGTTGATACCGTGTTTGGCGAGCTCATCAGCTGGACCGACACCGCTGAGCATAAGGAGCTTGGGAGTCTCAAAGACACCCTGCGACAGGATGACCTCGCGGCTAGCATAGACACTGATCTCGGTGTTGGAGGCTTCACTGATGACAGTGACACCGGAGCAGACCTTGGTCGCGGGATCAATAATCAAGCTCTTCGATTGAACACCGTACAAGATAGTCACGTTTGGCTTATCCTTCAGGTACAGGAAGCTACCCTGGCGCTCACCCTTGTAGATAGTGTCCACACAGTGCGTCAGGCCTCGCATTTCACCAGAGTAGATATCCTCGGTAAGGACTTCGCCCTTGGAGACCCAAGCCTGGGTAAGCGCGTCACGGAACGGCTGCATCTCCGGTACAAGTTCAGCATGAGAGATCTGCAAAGGACCGCCGGTTCCGATCTTGCTCAGTTCAGCGGGATACAGCTTCTCATCGTCATGATAGGTTGCACACTTGCGCAGGTACTCCACGCAGTTGTCCCAAGTCCAGTCGCGGCCACCAAAGTCTTCCCAGTCATCGAAGGTAGGTTTAGAACCAGGAATCCAGGTGAAGTAGTTGGCACAGGAGCTGCCACCGAGAGCCTTGCCACGAGTGTTGGGCTTTTCAATTCGCTCATAGTCGTCACGCTTGATCATGGTGGTCTTGTAGGCCCAGTCGTACTTGCTTCCGCGCAGATTGAAAGCCTTGGATGGCGTGGTGATTTCATCGATCTGGTCAGGGTTGGGGATACCCGCCTCCACAACCAGGATGCGAACATTGGGGTTCTCGGCAAGCCGACCAGCAACTGCATTGCCAGCGGTACCACCGCCGACAATGATGAAGTCGTACTCAGATCCGTTGGATACCATAGCCATGATGGGAGATTGAAGTGATGTTGTGAATGAGAATAGTTAAAGAATAGTTAATTGAGGATGATCTTGATCTTCTTTCGAAGTTTTTGGAATTGTCGATGGAGAAAACATCTATAGCTGGAAAAAGCAGTCAGCTTTATACTTTTGGATAGTTTGAAGTTGATAATATTTTCAACTATAGTATATCCCGCTCTTGCCGGCATCCGAAAGGCATCGTTGTGGTCCCGAATAAAGTCCGGGGTCAGCAACAGTGTTGCGGTAGTAGATAATGACTTCTCGTGGAGAAGTCATCGAGAAGTCATCGCGAGCTGTAGCTCTACTTGATTGAGTAGTATCACTGTATTCGGTAAAGGGTCTGACGTTTGACAAGGCGGCCAATAGTTACGCTCCCAGCGTACGCCCGGCACGCCGAGTCGAAATTTCAAAATCCAACACACGGGCCGGGGCTATTTTGGTTGACTCCCCCTCGTGAGGGGTGAAGAGAAAGCGGAGACTTCTTTTAGTCTTTCTCCGCTTTCTCCAAATTGAGTAGCTGAATTGACCAATCAACACAGGGATATTGTTGCTAGCCACACAGTCATTGGCTGTGGCTGAGGTGCCTGGCTCGGAGATAACTCGGCGGAGAAAACTCGGCGATGTAGACGATGCAGCGCAAGCCGTTTGATGGCACTGTTTTGCTACTAGTTCAAGAATTACCTCATTTTAGAAGCCACGATCTACATGAAAAAGTGATATCACAATGTTCCAGGCTACCCGAGACCCTCACCGTGGAGAGGTCTCTCCGTGGATGACGGTTACAAGAACTAAGCACGGTTACAACGGCACGACGAGATGCTGCGGATGTCAGCATGAGGATTTTGAGTCAATACATTGAGGAATCGTATTCTTACGTGGGCTGAAGATATCCTCCCCTCATGAAGATGTTGCGTAAGATTCATCAACTGTGCCCGATCGGCTTTAATTCGGGTGTGGCTCCCTCGCCATAGACATATACGGTTGACGATACATTGGCAGCATACTTATAAATGCCCGTCCGTCACCCTGCTAATGAATTATTCACAAGCTGTTCGATATCAAGTTCAATATCAATCTCCACGATGCCGAGCCCTCATTTTACTCTGGCGGAAGGTAAGGTGTTTCACCATTTAGCAGCTCTTGTTCCTCTATTGACGTCCTCCAAGGCCAGCCGGTCTCTGACCCAGCCACCAGCATGACCTTGCCGACTCTAGGCGGTGGTGGCCTCACGACCTTGGGAGATACACTCCTCATCGAAACTCTCACTCATTTCAATCGCGAGCGTATTCCCGAGAGGTATGTAGGCTCTTCATATGGCTGAACCTGACCATATACTCATTGAGACTTTACAGAGTTGTCCATGCTAAGGCAGCTGGTGCTTGGGGCGAGTTCGAAGTAACCAATGATGTTTCCTCGCTCACCTCGGCCAAGTTCTTGAATGGAGTCGGCAAGAAGACTCGAGTCTTGTTCCGCCTTAGTACAACCGGCGGCGAAAAAGGCAGTGCAGATACCGTCCGCGATGTGCGAGGTTTCTCTGTGAAGTTCTTCACTGAGGAAGGAAATCATGATATTGTGGGAAATCATATCGTAGGTTTTTCTTTCGCTATACATGCATGGCTATTATTCTGACACGATCAAGCCTGTCTTCTTCGTGCGCGATCCCATTCGCTTTCCCTCCCTGAACAGGAGTCACAAGAGGCACCCTTCGACCAATCGTCCCGATTGGACTATGGTAAGTCTTAATCTATGAGAGTCATTTGTATTACGGCTAATAGCGTCGTCAGTTCTGGGACTTCCACGTCAACCAACCCGAAAGTGTCCATGCTTTGATGCATCTTTTCGGTTCCCGTGGCATTCCTAACTCCATTCGTCGCGTCACTGGATTTGGTGTGCATACCTTCAAGATGGTTACTGCTGATGGCCGATTCCACTACTGCAAGTTTCACTTCCGCCCTGTTGATAACATCACGCACTTCTCGAAAGAAGAGGCGACTCGCATGGCCGGAGTGAACCCCGATTTCCATAACCAGGATCTGTGGTGTGCCATATTCCGTGGCCACTTCCCTGTCTGGAAGCTCTATGTTCAAGTCATGGAGCCCGAGCAGGCTGAGACGTACGGTCGGGGCCTGTTTGACATCACCAAAGTCTGGTCTCACAAGGAATTTCCCCTGATCGAAGTTGGCAAGATGACTCTCAACAAGAATGTACGAGTTCCTTACTTGAGACACATATTGGGCCTTTCGCTAACCGTCTTGTCCAGCCTGAGAACTACTTCGCTGAGATTGAACAAGCGGCATTCTCACCTTCAAATATGGTGCCTGGGATTGCCATGACGCCCGATCCTAGTGAGTTGATCTTGATGCGTTCGCACTATTGCTATCTATACTGACATTTTTGGAATAGTGCTTCAAGCTCGTATGTTTGCGTATCCTGACGCCCAGAGATACCGACTGGGAGTAAACTACACACAGCTCCTCCTCCAAATCGTGCTATCTGCCCCGTTTACGCACCATATGAGAGAGATGGCATGAGCGTACATACTCGCAACTATGGCGGTGATCCAAACTACGTGCGCAGTACGCTGAGTCCTGGCATTCCCAGCCAGGTGATCTCGGATGTGCGGCACACCGAACCCATTGAGCGTTCTGCCGTCCTGGGCAAGAATGAAATTGCGGTTGATGACGAGGACTATGTACAGTCTCGAGAGTTGTGGAACAGAGTTTTCGATGAGTCTGAGCGGAGACAATGGGTCGAAAATGTTTCGGAGACATTGGAAGCCGTTCCTCCTGAGTTGAAGCAAGCGGTGATTGCCATGTTTGGCAAGGTTGATCCAAGCATTAGACAGTTGATGGCCGCCAAGGGCAAGGAGACCTCACACCTTTGAATAGCATGTGGATTATAGATCAATAGAATATGTGAATACTTTTACAAACAATAAAATCAGCTTTCACAATTATTGAGTGTGACAGCCCTAGATTAATCCTAGTCATTTAATTTAATGCGGATGATTTATTAGCAGCGTCTGCGGACACTACTTTTGCTGTGAAGATGTAAGAGGCCTTCGTATAACCTTAGATCCACTCTTTATTATAAGCCCAATAACATGGGCTTTTTTCCTCAGGGGCATCTCATTTGCCTGGTGGAGAGCCGTTCCTGCTCATCCGGTTGCGGATCTTGGCTGCCAGTCATGCTACCAAACAATGCAACCAGGATGCGGAAGCCGTCAATCAACACCCCCTTTTACGCGCACCCCGTATCAGAGCGACTTTTCCATTGCGGTAGTCTAACAATTAGTTTCAGCGCTATGCCAAAGAAGTCGGCCTTTACGAAATACGACGGTCAAAACTGCTTATACGAAGTACGATGATGCCGACAATTACCCGCATTTAAGGAATTGGATTTTGCGGGGTGTGGGGCTTAATGACGATGACCCAAAGTGAACGCCGACATCTGTAGAATACTTAAGAATGACGTGCTGCTGATTGTGAGAGATGAGAGAGAATTTTCGGATTCTATAGCAGCACTCCATCATGCGAATTGCTTTCAGTGCTGTCCTTGGCTTCTTGGCCGCTACGCAGGCCCAAGAGGTCTACATCACTACCATTGGATATACTGCTCGGCCCCAGTGTTCAAAATCAACTGCTTCACCAAGCTATCACTTCAAATATTTCTCATTTTCCTTAGAGGAAACAGTTCGCCATGCAACTTCCATTCCTTCGCCAACAACTACAAAGACTTATGCTCCGGCATACAAGGATGCAGCTAAACACCTGAAAACTACGGTTTCCACGACGACCTGGGGCAATTGGCTTCCCGGTGAAACTGTCATCCGTGCAACAGATAGGGAAGATCCCTACGGGCAAGCTGCATGGTCATCTATGTGGATACAAGCAGACCTGCAAAACTATGTCCGTCATTCATCTGATTCTGTCGTTCAGCAGGTACTAAATTTGCATACAGACTACCACCGGGATCTTCTCGACCATCATCAGTCCTACTCCAATTCCAACCAGTGAGCTAGTGCTGCCACCTCGTGACTATTTTGGTCCTGCAGACTGCTACAACTTTCCCGACGACTTTATTTTTGGCGTAGCCGGCAGCGCTGCTCAAATTGAAGGCGCGATCGCTCTTGAAGGACGCTCACCATCTTTGCTTGAGAAAATTGTCCCAGCCAATAGCCCAAAAGACTATGTCACGGATGAAAATTACTTTTACTATAAGCAGGATATTGAGCGCCTGGCTGCTATGGGTGTGGAGTACTACAGCTTCAGTATCCCTTGGACTCGCATTCTGCCCTTCGTCCTGCCTGGTACCCCGGTCAACAAACAAGCCATCGATCATTACAATGACTTGATCAACACGGTCCTTGATGCTGGCATGCAACCTGTGGTAACCATGCTTCATTTTGACAGCCCACTCATATTTTTGGCCAGTGACAGTATCGGTAGGCACGATTCCAGAATTATGTCCATTTTCGCTCAATTCTAACCATCTGCAGCCCGACATCCCGATATTGGAAATGTCAATGCCGGATATCAGAATGAGACATTTGTTGATGCATTTGTCAACTACGGAAAAACACTCTTAGCAAATTTCGCCGATCGAGTCCCCCTCTGGATCACATTCAATGAGCCATTGCTTTACGCATTCAATTTCCAGGGCGTTGATAATGTTATACATGCACATGCCCAGGTATATCGGTTTTACCACGAGGAGCTAAAAGCCACTGGCAAAATGAGTCTCAAACTCAACGATAATTTTGGTGTGCCGAAGAATCCAAAGAATACTAGTGATGTTGAGGCCGCAAATCGCTTCAACGAGATGCAACTTGCCTTCTTTGCCAATCCGATTTTCCTCGGCAACCAATACCCCGATTCCATTTTGCACACTCTGCCCGGAGCGAGGGCGTTGAACAAGACTGAATTGAAATACATCGGTCATACGGCTGATTTCTTTGCCATTGATCCGTATACAGCTACGGTTGTTTCGCCGGCCTCTGAGGGTTTCAGTGCCTGTGCGGCGAATACGTCCAGTTCCAATTCATATTTCCCATACTGTGTCATTAAGGAAACGAAGAACGTCTATGGGTGGGATCTTGGCTATAGATCCGGTGAGTAAACGAATCATCGTTCCACATCCTTCTCTCGCTCAGGCATCAGTTGCTAACAGGGCCCAAGATTCTTACGTTTATATCACCCCAACCTATTTCCGCGAATATTTGTCCTATTTGTGGAATACATTCCGATCTCCCATCTTGGTCTCTGAATTCGGGTTTCCTGTGTGGGATGAATCTGAGAAAGAGATTCCAGACCAGCGATTTGACTCGCCTCGAAGCGCGTACTATCTCTCATTCATGTCCGAGATCCTCCACGCCATCTACGAGGACGGCGTGCATGTCATGGGGGCTTTGGTGTGGAGTTTTATTGATAATTGGGAATTTGGACAGCGGAGTCAATTTGGCATCCAGGGTGTTGATCCAAAGACTCAGGAGAGATTCTATAAGAAGAGCTTTTTTGACCTGGTCGATTTTGTTAAAGCCAGACAAAAGTGATGAAGGATTATTCAGTACGCCCACATGTTGATTCGGAGGACTGCAGTGAAATAGTAGGTAATAGACTCTCATTCTTCTGGTAACGTTCGTAGCACTCATCTTGACATATGTAATTCATTCAGGCTCCTCGTCAGGCCTGATTCATAGCAAGAAGCGGATATATAATCGGGCTTAGCGAGCATACGATCTCAGAATGTGGGCATTGGGTCCAAAAAAGGGAAGTTAAACACAAAATTCCAGATGATGATAGAAAGAGAGACATATGTATAGCCCATCCTGTTTGAAGTGGTGTTCCTTACACTTTTCGATGAGAGATGGCAGGAACAATCGCCGAGTTTGTACTTGTGTACTTTTTAGAGGAGGATCCACTTCCTGCCATCGGGGCACGTGACATGTGATGCCTTTTCCCCGGCCACCGAAGCTCTCGTTTGCTCTGTCTTTCTCACAACTCCCACGATCGTCGCATCCTTCGAATTGCCAGTTGCAGGGACTGTGCTGGCCATCGCCATCATGGCTGAATCTTTCACCCTCCCCCTGCGCCCGCCTCCCGAGCAGAATGAGCGCCCAGACACGCTTCCCGTCGAGATCGCCCAGATCAACAATCAGTGGGGTTCTTTCCGTGAGGTGAACGAGGAAATCCTGCTCGCCAAGATCGCCGAGGAAGAGAAGCGACATGGCGCGCAGCAGGACGAAGATATGGACGAGGGTGAGCAGGAGGTTGGAGAGATTGATCCGACCGAACGTCGTGAACAACTGTACAAACGACGCCATGAGATCACACAATTCGCAATGTTGGTCACGTCCACTCTGAAGGGAGCCCTTGAAAGAAGCGCAGCTAATGAATGTCTTAACAGCAAGTCGCACCAGGAAACCATGCTCGCTCTTGATTTCATCTCCCTGCTACTCTCGAAACATGCGCCGCGCCAGGCCGAAACCTCCATGTCGCCTTTGCTCAAACAACTCGCGCCTCTCGGGTCCCTCGATTCCGACCTGGTCAATCCTCCCCCGAGACCAGAGTCGTCGATTAAGGATATTTCAACTGTGTCGAGGGGCTGGCGGATTCAAAACTTCAATTCAGCCTCAAGTAAGCTGTTGAGTGCTGCCACCAGACTGAACGGCGAAATCGAATCGGAGATTCGGTACTGGGGCGAAGTGCTAGCCATCAAGGATAAGGGATGGAAAGTATGCAGACATCCACGAGAAAAACAAGCCCTAGCTGTGCAGTATGGGTTCATGGAAGGTATGATGATTTTGGTCCTTCGCCGACATAGAGAAAATGCCCCCACGCTAACAACAGTATAACAGCCACGCCTATTTTCCGCGATCGCGGCCTCGCTTCACTCCGACGGGCAAATGATGGAAGTTTGATCCTAGACAAAGGACTGCTACCCACGGGAGCGCGTCATGTTCGAGTCCGGGTGAAACAAGGAGACCAGGTCTTTGTGAGCTCCAAGCCATCGGGAGCTGGTTCTAGTGATGCAGACTCAATCGAGCAACGCATTCTTCAAGCGCGAGATTCTGTCTTCGAGGAAGAGCTATTCCATGAATTGGTCCGAGAAGCCAGAGCTATGGCAGGTTGCAGCGTGACCACGCGTCAAAATCTCATTCGCATCCCCGTTTCTGATGAGATGGAAATTCTGCTTGATCTCGTGGATGCCGAAACACATGATATTGCGCTCGGTCAGAATGGTTTACAACATGATAGCCGGCTTACGGACGGGCTAGCTCATGCGATCCGGATTCTGCTCTGCTTTGCTCATCGTCAAAATCTGCGTCGAAGAACTCAAATCCCACGTCCCTTGACAACAACAAGACCCGCGACGCCCGAGTACCATCTCCTACGTCCCGCCTTGGCTTACCTGCAACATCTGTCACATGTCAGGTGGCTGGAATCATTCCTTTCTGATATCTATTCGACCCTGCGATCGGCCGGCTTGGATATCCCTCAGTGGACCTCAAACCCTTATGCTAACTGGAAGCCGTCATCAACCTCCCCACCGCCAGCTGCTCTCGAAGGGCTCGTCGAAAAGTTCCTTCGGCCGATCGAGTCTGTTTTCAGCGGCAAACTTCTCACATCCCGGGGCTCCTTCACCGTAACCGTTCGGACGAACCTGTCATCCTTGCCCTTTGGCACCCTCTATGATGTTTCTTTAGATCTGCCGACTGTTCCCGATCTCAGGTCTCCTGGTCGCCTGGGATTGAAGGACGATGTTGAGACAGCTATTACCCATCTTCTGCTTCTCGATTTGGTCTCAACCATCTCATCCAAGACGTTGCCGGCTGTTCGGGACGGTCAGAATGCGAATGTCTCAAAGGAGCAAACGTGGGACGCAGTGTATCCTCACCTGGGCGAACTGCTGCTCCCGAATACCAACCCTGAAAAACACAAAAAGATGAAGGTCGCCCTCTCTCGTCACGAAATTACCCTTACCACATACATTGTACGCAGCATTGACGGGATCGGCCGTGGAACCTGCGAGCGGCGATCACACAATGCAGCGGCTCACCTCTGCAAATTCCCCCAGTCGTCGGTGGGAGCTCCTAGTGGCCAAGAATATCCCTCGGTGATGGACTTTGTTGTCGCAGAGGCAACGGAGGGGCATTCGTGAGGTGGCTCAAGCTAGCCGATTATTATTTGACGCCTCACTCTCTGGTTTTCAATTTTTCTCAGTCAACATAGATACCCTATTCTGCATCCAAATCAATTGAAACATTTTCCATTTCTATGAGTACTGTAAATACGAAAAAGCCGTTCTTTATTCCTGATCGCTGGCCTAGTAAACGGCCCCATATCCTCGAGCGCCAAAAAAAAAGATTTGGACTCACGGGGAATTGAACCCCGGACCACTCCCAAGCTCATACTGGAAGCAGAAGCTAACCAATGCGAAGGGAGTATCATACCCCTAGACCATAAGCCCAATCGATGTGGAGAATCGGAGAATAGTGATTCGAGATGGACTTGAGAATTTAATGAAAAGGAAGCCATTCCAGCAGGTCTGTGGATTCACGGGTGGATACTGTTCCATACAGGCATGTACTATTCGGTGAAGGATATAGATATTGTGAAGAAACAGCAATAAAACACACAACAGTTAATCAGAGCCTTGAATAAATAACTTGCTGGAAATTAACTTACCATAGGCTCATGGTCTGAAACGTAGTCACCCTGGAAGTCGCAACAATGTTTCAGATATGTACATCATGCGAATTAGAAAGAACAGTTTCCACAACTACTCAAAAAAATCCAGTACATCATGTTAATCATAAATTAAAAATTTCACAAGTACTCAAAAGAAATCCATGATTATCATTAAGTCATATACCAATCCTAATCAACTAGTAGAACCACCGGAAGTCGTCACTTGCAGGACCCTCATTCAGGTTCTCTGTGGGAATATCCCTTGCTTTAACGCTGACACCTTGCCTCCGGTCTCTCTTCTTATTATCAAACATCATCCACAGACCAAGAGCCAAAGTCAACAGGATTCCAGTTCCGCCAAATGCAGCAGTGGTAATTAGAGCTGGGAGATATTTGGGTGCATCCTGAGTGCGGAAGATATTGGAGCTGACGACTCCCATCAGATTGGCGACCGGGACAGCGATACTAGTAAGCACAACACGTCTTCCCTCGTTGGCAATGTTGTTGTTGTACCACGAGTCAAGGAGAACCGAAGGTGCCGATGTACCCCTGGAAAAACCGTTAGCGGGGTTTTAGAACATAAGAAGTATGATTGCACATACCAAACCATCATGAACGTAGCAAAGTATGCAACACTCAAGTCACGCTCAACATCAATGGCTGCGTAGATGATAAATCCAACAAAAGTGAACAGGAAGCCCAGTGCAATAAAGGGGAATCGCCATCTGGTCCAGTCACTGCAAAACGCGAGGATCAACAGCATTGCTGCACCGGAAACGTTGGGTGCCACCGTGTAGAGATTCGTCTTGACGGTGCTGTAACCAAGACGTTTGATGATGACTGGAAGGAAGAGTTGGACTCCCTGGAGCGGCACGCCAAGACAGATTTGAATGGCCAGAATGGCCCAGCTGGTCCAGTGCTTGAAGATTCGGAAGGCATCCCGGATATTCAGTTTCTCGCCCACGACAGAGGAACTGTCGATCTGGAGGCGCAGGTATGCAAGCTCCTTCTCCTGGGGAGTCAAGAAACTGGCTTCCGAGGCTGACCGGGGCAGATACCAGAGTGCAAAGAGGGCGAAGAGAACGGTGCCACTACCCTCAATCAGAAAGAGGTAGCGCCATGGTGCCAGGGGGCCGGTGTTGATGCGGAAGACACCGAAGGCTAGTAGGCCTGAGAATGCTGAGGCGATGCTTTGCGCGGCGTAGAAGATAGCTAGTCGACGGGCTAGTTCTCCTCGGCGGTAGAAACTATGATGATTGTTAGCTTTTGTTGTTAAGATATGAGCCAGTTATTACCAACTTACGTTGTCTGATAGTAGATAACCAAAGGGAAGAAAGCACTCTCCGCCATACCCAAGAACCAGCGGATAGCGAAAAGACCACTGAAGTTGTATACAGCCACCACCAGGATAGTGCACATCCCAAAGGTAATCATCATACAAGGGAGCACAATATTCGGTCCAAACTTCTTGCCTAGAAGGCCGAGGAACGGTGCAGTGAGGACGTATGGAACAAAGAAAATACTAAGGATCATGTTGTACTGGTTCCCCTTGAGATGGAGGGTTTCTTTCAAAACGGAGTGTGAGAAGCTATTATAACGATAGATGGCGGGATAGGTAGCTCACCGTCGAGACCGGCCGTCTTTGCATTTCCTAGGTTCGATTTGTCGAGACTGTTGAACAGGTACATGATTGCCAGGACGGGGAGCAAACGAAGGTCGAATTTCCAGACCAACGCCCGCTCCGCCCGAGGGTCGATCTCGACGCTGGCGATGGTTGTGATGGCATGGGGCTTGGAGGGCGATTCAGAGTCTGCCATATTTTAGGATATTGTATGATAGTTGCAGTCTTCGATCATCCTAGTGGAAATGCAACACCCCATATAACATTTAGTTTCTCGGAGTCTTATCGGCGCTCTTGCGGGGGGACAGTATGCATCACCTAATAACCGTTCCCGCCCCCAGATAAGCCATGGACGCCATGGGCTTGGCGATGTCCCACAGATAAGCGCGTGCCAATCGGGTGATGGCAAGAACCAGATTGAACCTTGTTGATCCAATCTTCGGCTGTGAGAAACGGTCAATCTCCGTCGCAAAGGAAAGTTTGGGAATAAATTCAACCACTGAAGATGGAATGATCGATATCGAAGTTTATGGCTTGCCGAGCAGACAAATCTACATTTGTTGAAAAGTAAGACATTCGATGGCTAAGTGGTTTGCACTCTATTCTACCCGAGCCGTACCCACCAACGGTTGTGAGGCCCTAGAGCTGATGTCGAAATCGACCGATATCGGGTCAACGCCTTCCCACAGACCGCGTGATTAAGACGCTGAAGGGCGCAGTGATTATTTTCTATTAAAATTCAAGATCGCTTTGAGGTTGAAGTTGGCAACGGGCGTGAAAGATGGAACGAAGGATGAGCTCTATGTCTCATTAAGTGTAGATACAGCATTTCCTAGTCCCAAGTATGCAAGTAAAAGAATCGTGCGCATGGCATACGATTTAGCTGGGCAGACGGGCGTAAATTCTTAGCTCCAAAAACTTCAATTAAGAGCGAAAAGATCCGAGACAAGACTTACCCATCGCAATGGTGGCTTCCCTCAATTGCTGGGTCCTTGCACCCACTGCTGCAAAGCTTAGGGTGGCCAACAATACCGGGGTTCGTGCAGTGGAAGAGAACATTCTTGACGTCTTCGTTCTCCAAGTCGGTTCCCTTCAAGACATCTTCTAAATCCGCTTCGGTGAAGCCTAATATGGGTTAACTAAAAGCCATCCGGGGTTGAGAAGCCCTCCACTTACCCTTGGATTCGATCAGGACATCGGAGCAGTAGTCAAAACTGGGGGTACACGACTTGTCTGCTAGGCCTGTCGAGACCAAGGCAAAAACAGTCAGGAGGATAGAGGAGAGTCTCATTTTGAAGCTTCGAGGCAGTAGATTTTGGATAGAGAGGCTGTCAAGTAAGACGTAGAGTTCTGAGCAGGCAGGAGATCAGCGACATTAAATGTTCCCCAGCTTCTTTCGCAATCCATTTGTGAGAAAAACAATCCTCTTGCATTCCTCTATCCGTGCCGAAAGCTTGGTCCCAACTCTTGCCCCGGAATGCGAGATGGCATGTAGCTACGCCATATTGCATACCAAAGCCGGTGAGATCGTAGAATTTCGGTCTCGCCATTTATTCTATCGGAATAATCGGCAAGTGAAAGAGTTCATATAACCCCTTTGGGAACAATGAGGAAATGACTCTGGAAGCTGAATGTCTTCGAGGCCTATGGAGACCTGTAGCAGCGTGGGGTACTCTCAACCACACGATGTTGTATGCAAGGGGCTTTCCTTTTCCCTATAAAGAACACCATGCCATAATCCCGCACGCGCTTCGATGTCCGCGGAAATAAGAAACGCCTCATGTTTGCGCTCATCAAGATGGGAGCTATGAGCAAGAATCCAGATGAGTTAAGGTGAGAAGGAGGAAGCACATGGTGAACTAAGCTGAAGAATGGCTAGCCCAGAACTACTCAGGTTATAGTTACCGGTGTCAACTGTCAAGGCGAACAATAACCGACAGAGATACTGTAGAGACCTCTTACCAACCGAGGCTAGTCAGATCCTAACTAGGCAGCTCTAGCCGCAGCAGGCACTATCGTATACACAAGATAACCCCGCACGTACTAGAAGTTCCGCACTTTAAATCAATCAACACACCTGGGTTCATTCTCATTTATACGTGTTGCTTATTATTATTCCAACCATATCCCTTATTATGGCATCTGACAAAGAGATTGGTAGGTCAACCCGCGACCCTGTGCCTCCTAGGCTTTCAAATGTTCGCAAGTCATTGAGACCGGCATATTATTGACGGCATTTGAAAGGAAGAATGTGGCTGACATATTGCCTACAGAGAGCCTCGTCACAGCGGATCCAGGCCTTCCTCGGCCAAATCCAACCCAATCATACTGGCAACATATCCCGCATCCTCTTGCTAATGTCCGGTCGGAGAGTCTGCCCAGCGAACGAGACTATGCTATCATTGGATCCGGCATCACGGGCCTTTCAGTCGCCAAGACTTTGCTAGAGAACCATCCAACTGCAACAGTGACTGTCTTGGAGGCTCGTACGCTCTGCTCTGGAGCGACGGGCCGCAATGGTGGTCAGATGGCTGCCAACGCAGGAGAAGAATATATGCATCTTGCTGAAGTTCATGGTCCTGAGATGGCGGGCAAGATTGCAAAGTTTACTCTAAGGAATTTAGAAAAGATGCAAGGGCTGGTAGAAGAGTATGATGCCGTTGAGACTAGCGAGATGCAAAGGCTGAAGAAATTGCGTGTCTTTATGACGGAGAGCAAGTTCGAGGATTTTAAGAAGAGCATTGCTCGTCTGGAAAAGGATCATCCTTCTATGAAAGGTATCTATACGATTATTGATGGCGATACTGTACTGAAAGTGAGGAATCCCGGTCCGTGATCTTACTCTGGATATGACAGCTAACAATTGTCACAGGGCTACGGAATCCATGGAGCTGCTGGTGGAGCCTTGCTCCCAGCCGGTACAGTATGGCCATATCGCCTGGTCACAAAGGTTTTCAGTGCCCTCTTGGAGAAATACCCGAGTCGACTGAACATCGAGACGAACACGGCCGTCGAAACTGTTGAACATGACGAGAAGATGCCAACGCCAATAACGTCTGTATTCCCTTATATACTGCGAACATCTCGGGGACCAATGAGAGCAGCCAGCGTCGTATATTGCGTCAACGGCTACAGTGGACATCTCCTCCCAAGCTTACGGGGGCGCATTCGCCCCTTCAAGGGGACTATGACAGTTCAAGATCCGGGTACTTCACTGCCTAATCAGGGAAAGTCCGTGTCATGGGGATTCCATTATCCACCTACCTACGACCCAGACACTCTTCGCCACGGCTACGGGTTATACTACCTTGGTCAAAGTGCCAAGACGGGGTATTTCTATTTTGGAGGGGAGAACACGCGCATGGATGAAGCTGTATCGGCGGATGATAGTTTCATTGCCTCGCATTCGGTGGCTCATCTTCGATCGGTTCTCCCGCGATTCTTTGGGAAAGAAAATCTGGCTTCTTGGAAGCTGATTAGTTCGTGGAGTGGAATTATGGGATTCTCATCGGATGGACTGCCTTTAGTTGGACGGCTTTCACCGGCTTTGACCGGCAGACTCGGGGAGGGAGAATGGATTGCTGCGGCTTTCAATGGGTACGGGATGGCCAATTGTCTGATGTGCGGCGAGGCGTTGGCCTTGATGATATTGGGGCAAAAAGTAGACGACTGGCTCCCTGGTGCTTACGATCTCAGTGACCACAGATTACGGAGCAGTTTAACTCTGCCAGAGGCTGTCAAAGCCTTGAGTGCAAAGTTGTGAGTAGCGCATATAGAGAGTGTCCCTAGGCTTTCTATTCAAGAAGAGACGATCGCGCACTTACCTAGGCATGTTTAATCATCCAGTATCCCACTTGCTACATCTGCAATTACGTTACCCTAAGAATACCCTTGATAACTTCATTCATAGTTTTTTATTAGATTCGATTGACGATATGGATATTTCCATAAAATCCCAGGTAGTCACGAGCCAAAAGTTCGACCGTTTCCATCATGCAGGAGGAACCTCTACCAGTCTACCTCTTTACCATCATACTGATTGATTCCCGGCCCATTCTCCCATCCCGAGACATGAATATTCACAAACTTCCCATTCTGGTGGGGTCCAGTTTGTCGCACAATATCAACAACCTTCTCAGCTCCCGTCTCAACAGGAAGATCTGCACGAGAGCTGCCCAGGTCGGTACGCAACCACTTTACAAGTCAGAAAGCAGTCAGTCTCACTTCAGCAGTTCCACCTCCAAGGTCTACGGTGCTCTTGATGTCCTAGACTTACTCCAGGTGTGACAGCCAAAAATGTGAATCCTTCAGCCTCGTATTGCTGGGCATACTGGACTGTCAACATGTTCAATGCGGCTTTGGATATCTTGTAGGCGGGCGTGGGGGATTGTCTGTAGACCTCGGCTTTTGCGAAGGAGCCCAACGTGGTCGATCTAGATCTTGTTAGCTGTTATTTATTCCGATGACGAAGGGACAGTCGGTCGCTGACATATTGGCGACTACTTTTTTCTCGCCCTTACGGAGTAGAGGCAGGAAGGCTTGTGTGACGTTATGCACAGATGTGACATTTGTGTGGAAGATATCGTTCAAATTGTCCCTAACACAACGTCAGAATCATCTTGTACGCAGAGTGCATGGATTTCAGTCACTTACATCCCCTCTAGTCCGTTAGGAACCCAATCCATCAGCCCGGCATTGTTGATGAGGTAGTCAAGTCCCTTGCCCTGCAACTTTTCCTCGACCAACTTAACCGCTTCTTGGATGCTGGACTTATTTGTGACATCCATTTTGACGAGCTCGACTCGGCCAGACGAGGCATTCACAATTTCTTTGAGTTGGGGCGAGTTGTCCTGGCGCGCGGTCGCGATAATCTTGCCTACCTGCGCGGCGGGCAGGGAGGCTAGGCGGGAAACAAGGGCCAGGCCGAGGCCACGCGATGAGCCGGTAACCAGGTAGGATGCCATGATCCTTCTGTAAATTATTATTAGGCTTTGGCTTCCGTCAAGTGTTAGTTGTTGTAAATAGCAGATTGAGGGTTCCCCGGATCTTGCCCTTTAATAAAGCTTCGGGTGTATGGCGTAAACGCAATCTCCGCCCTTAACCCCGTGCCGCTGTGAAGGCCGAGCATTATTAATTGACAGCCTTGTCGGCTCTTAGATATGCTAAGCTTACAAAAGAAGCGATTACAAATTCAAACCAGACATTTGCAAAGTGATGGTCTTGATTCTCCCTAGCTGAAACCCCAGGTAGTAGGTAGGGGATTATGGAGGCGGACGGATGATGTAGTTAGGATTGAAAGTAATCTTAATTAAGAATACCATATATAAGCAGTTGTATAGAACAAGATGAAAGATCATTTCTTTAGTCATGTATTAATCATGTCAGTGACAAGCCGTTGAGGGGGGGAAAGGGTCGAATGCAACTTTTTCCTATACCTTCCCATCTATAATGTACATTTATGAATATTTAGCCTCGGAAGCTCATGATACTTACAACGAGGTAAGAAGACGTCAATCAAGAACTCATTTACACCCTTTCGTCGGCAGTGGCTTCGTCGGGCTGCTCTTGCATCGGGATGTTCTCAACATCATGTACAGGCTCTGTATGACCAGAGCCATTGAAGAACTGGGCATCCTTTTCCTTTCGCGAATACGTCCAGCTGTCCGTTCCCAGGGAGCTGGGGAATCCAATACCCCGAACGAAGGCCCTGCGGGAGCCTCGAGGACCCCACGCCCAGCCCGCTCCCCGCTGGATGGGCAGGTGGTACATGCGCATCCCAATGTAAGCGAAGAAGATTCCGATGATAGCGCCGCAGATGATATCGAATCCGTGATGCCGGAAGTTGAACCACCGAGAAGATGCGATGAAAAAGGCTACTGCGGTTGGGAAGAAAGCCAGGATCATCAGCAGCACGGGAGGTGCTGCGCCGCGCGTGCGAACAGAGGTGCGCTCGTCGCTATAATCATCCCCTTCGACGGGGAATTGAGGCAGGTAGGGGAATCCAACGGAGAGTTTGGCAGCGAGCCAGAGGGTCAGATAGCCGAGTCCGGCGAAAGAGACTGGATAAACGTTGAGTTAGCGATCATTCTTCCCCCGTGCTGAAGCCCTGGGATCCAAATTCAATACTCACGGGATGAATGCCCACTGGGGAAGCTGGAGAACCCATCCACCCGCAGGTTATACCCTTGTTCCCGGCAAATCTTCCAGTCCACCAAGACCGGAGCACCAGCGAGGCGCTCACCAAGACCGCCGACCGCATACTCAGCAATCTTCTTCACGTCCGGGTTACACCGCGCCAGCAGATCCGGTCGCGGCTTTCCCATTAACGTCTTCAATCCCTGTGTCGCCATCCAGGCACCTGCCAGAGCAAGTGCCAGACCCATCCAACCCGCATTCCATTCCCAAAACTTGCGTCGCAGCAGCTGCGATCTGGACACCGTGGGGCCTCCAACGGCAGCTGTGCCGGGGATGAGGAGCGCAGCTCCAAGGATGATGATCACGGCCGGGGCTAGCACAGAGACGAGGACCAATGTTGCGGTGGAGACGGTTTCGTGCTCGGTGAAGGGGAAGGAGATGTCTGGGTCGGTCAGGGAGAAGGGACGCTGGTTGGGGTCCTGTTTGTAAAATCCATAGCCAATTAGGGCGACACCGCTGGGGGAATTAGTCAGTTGAAAGGTTCATGCCGGGTAGGAGGCTCGAGAAACGTACATGATGAAGATCCAGTCGATGATATACGACAACACCAGTAGCTTGGAGATGTGCGCGATCGCGCCCTTGGGGGATATGGGGCCCATTTCCCTAGCACTCGTCGACAGAGTGCGCTATGCAGCTCCTCCTTGTGATCGTTTGAATATATGCTCGCGAATGTAAGTCCGGTGTCTCGTCCGAATCGATTAGAATCGGCGATACGCGCACGATCGAGTGACGTCGTTGGGCGCGTGCTCCAACTGGCGTGTTGGAGGCTGCGGGCGCTAAGAAATGAACCCTGAATGAGCCCCGAATGGAGGGGAGTGGTGTGCCGCGCACTTGGCAACGGTCGCAAAAGAGCCTCGAGTGGATTGTAAGGACCCGGCGAGCAAAGTGAATGGAATCGGTCGAGAGAATTAAGAGAATATTACTTCAGAAGGGAGTACTCCGTAGAACAAAGGGGAAAGAAAACAGTCCACAGGGAGGGTCCCAAGCCAAACCAACAAAAGGTCCCTTTGGGTGATCGATTTCCTTTTATTGACCATTAATAATCAGATCATCCTGCAGCAGAACTCAGTTAATTAACTCGGTCGTCCAATAAACCGACTGCAGTGACCTCTTGCAGGCTCAGCAAAGCCCCCTTTGGGGAATGGATTTCCCTCTATTTTTAAGGTTTGCTGACGCCAAGCGGCGTGGCTGAGTCGAGCTCTCTCGATTGAGCATCGCTCCATGGCCTACTCCAATAGGACCACCGCAAAACTCAGGTCGATGGTGGACCTTGTAAACGCCCTGGATTCTGTTTCGCTGAAGAAGAAATTTGGGTGCCTAGGGTCGACTGAGCACAATGCTTGGGTCGCGTCGTGTTGTACTGTATAGTGGTTATGACAAGAATAGTGATCTCGCCCGAGGGTTGCCTATTCAAACATCTTCTTAGTGCCTATGAATAGGAATGATAAGACTCCAGAGGAAACACTACCAGTACTTTCCATAAGTCCATATACGGCCTACTCGCGGTCCTGCACTACACGTGGTAGGCCTACATACATCGAGATTTGAATCATATCGCTATAGGAATCCTGATTCATCCGTGTCTAGTAACGATTCGCTTGTTGCTGACTTGACTATCAGAATCATGCCCCTAGCTGGATAACTACACGGTACCGTATTGCGCTTGCGCATTGTATCACGTTGAGCCAGCAGAATTGAAGGTTTCGGCGAATGAGCTTGAAAACACTCGTTAACGTCGTAGGCCCTTTGCCGCGAGGTGTCCCTGGAAAACCCCCTTTTCTATTGTCAAGAACGTGGGCCCAGTTTCATTACATTGACACTCTACTCCGTAGAGAAAAGTTATTTATACACTATCTACATGTAAATCACGGAAAGCCTAGACCGAGGTCCTCAGCGATCCTTACTAGCACTACTAGATAGGGCAGTACTATTAACTAGTTATCTAATTATACAGTTAATAATCGTAGATTATACTAAGTTCGATAAATATACTAGCCTGGGCTTGACCTATAGGGCCAACTTCATATCTGAAGACTCCGTTTCAGTCAAGTTCGACAATGCGTGCTTCGGCTCGATGATGTACGAGGTCACCTGCGGAAGTCGATACGAATTCTACGTTGTACCCGAAATAGAGGCCGATCTAGATGACGATCCGGAGTCCAAGACATTTAGGCGTGGCCAACTGCTGAGAAACTTCCAAATACGAATAATGTGTTCTTGGGGGATATCATCAGGAGATGCTGGGATGGGGACGGATTTCTCACGATGTAGGAAGTTTGTCACGCCTTGGATAATGCCGATCAAAAGCCAGCGAGCGGCCTTAAAGGCCTCTGGAGACGCAGCGAAAACAAAATTGAATTGGCGACAACAATCATTTTCGCCGTTCTCATCGTTCCACGGCTTCGTTTTCCGTGGCGACGATATCCGCCGCTCTGCCCTCGTACAGACATTGATTTCATAATCTCCTTCCTGTAATCTAGCCAGAGTCAGAAGCCCCAGACAATTCGGAGCGAATTCGAGTAGGTGCGGCTGCCAAACCCACCCCGCGCGTATCAGGCATCCGTATTCCTATACACGTCCGGAAGCTCAGGAGCTGAGTTCAGAGTGAAGATTCAGCAATTCTATTAAACCATGCATTCTGCCATGAGAGATCTGATAGTCGAGAGGGGAAATCTGCTGGAAGCCCGCATCAGCACCGGCTGATGTTATCCTGGAAGATGCGTTCTTGGCCCCAGAAACCGTCAAGCTCAACAAGACCGACTTTGCCTTCTGCGACTACAGTTCATTAGAATCAAAGTACTTCTCCGGAGATACTACATTTGTGTGCGACTACAGTGATACAATTTCTCGATGGGAACCCGGCGACGCTTCTTCTCGATCGAACTCTAGCGCGCCTTCTCCGGGAGCAGAGCACGACAATTTAGACCGAATCGCCAATATCTCCCTGGGTGTGATCATGCACTAAAATAGAAAGGAAAAGCCAAGACATGGGATGGGAAATCAAGTAAGTAGGTACCTAGTCGCTCCCAGACGATATCTTCGGAGAAGTAACTGGAAGAGCTGCCAGATCATGCTGGAAATATATATATTGACTCGAGAACCTTTACCATTAACTAGCCGAGCTACAATGCTCTCGCAATGTACCCCGAAGAATCTATCGTACCAATTATAGACCTGTGTATTGATACTATTGTGCTTTGCAAACGCTCGTGGCGATGTGTTACAGTCGGAGTCGAAAACAGTTTCCCCTTTGTGCACACGCGAATTGTTTCTCGGACCCTACTATGCAGCGCCCTAATCTACATTAGGCTTGGCGGTAGATCCCTTGGTGCTAAGAATAGAGGCCGTTTTTTTACAGGACGAAGGTACGGCGTAAAATACAGTATTCGACAGTACACCATTACTTGCGACCTCGCTGCCCCTCCCGGCGAAGTTGTAGACCTTCCAGGTTCCATGCGCCTCTTCTCACCATTACTAAGAATCGCGGAAAGGGCCCTCACGATATGGCACGGAGACTTCCCATTTCAAAGCTACACTTTATTCATGATATGATCCAGAGCCAGTCACTAACCACGTCTCAAATGGCTGATGCAGCTGAATGCAGCGACCGTACAATTAAAAATGTTCGCAGGAACTTGCGGCTGTTTGGAAGCGTCCACGCCCCCTCGAATCGAATTGGCCGGAGACGAAGCATAACACCGCCTATGCTAGAATCTCTCTGCGACTATCTACTCGAAAAGCCCGGTCTTTATCTCGATGAGATGGTCATCTTTCTATGGGATGAATTTCAGACGCTGGCAACCACTTCTAGCATCAGGAGGGCCCTCGCTTCTAAAGGTTGGTCCAAAAAGACCGCTCGATAGAGGGCTAAAGAACAAAGTGCCGATTTGCGAGTTATATCTTCACAATTTGTCGGACTTTCAGTCATATCAACTTGTTTACGTTGATGAATCTGGATGTGATAAACGAATCGGGTTTAGACGGACAGGTTGGTCACTACTTGGCGTGGCCCCTGTGCAAGTCTCACAATTTCACCGCGACGAGCGGTATCAGATATTACCTGTATATGCCCAAGATGGAATTGTGTCCTCTCGAGTCTTTCGTGGCGCTACGGATGCTACATTGTTCGAGAACTTTATCGACGAGCTTCTTCATCATTGCGGAAGATGGCCAGAGCCTAGATCTGTACTGGTCATAGACAATGCGTCGTTTCACCACACTGAGCGGATTGGGTAGCTATGTGCAACCGCGGGAGTAAAACTGGATTATCTGCCACCCTACTCGCCTGACCTGAACCCTATTGAAGAGTTCTTCGCCGAACTCAAGGGCTTTATCAGACGCAACTGGAGCTACTTCGAAGAAGATCCCTATCGAGAATTTGGCTCTTTTCTCGAATGGTGTATTGATAAGGTTGGCGCAAAAGAAGCAAGTGCTCGAGGCCATTTTCGGCACGCGGGGGTGACGGTAGAAGAGGAGCAGTGAATTTTCTAGTCATTTTAGGGTCAAAAATGAACTTCACTTGTTTAGTTATTTTGTTCAATTTAGGGGATTTCCAGCAAAAGAACAGAGAATAGTATGGCCCTTGGCCTGTACAGCCGAGTGCAAAACTAGCTTCAAGCACTTGTGAGGGCGTCTCTGGCCTAGACACGCTCGAGTGATATCATCGGCAAACGACCGCTCTGGTCAGTTGTCGGCTGTTGCAGGCGAACAACTGCTTCAACGGCTCCTGATGGCGTAAGCCCCAACTAATAATCACTCTCTTTTAGGCTGTCGTTACGGTAGGCCTAGGAAAATGAGACCAAATTCTCTCTTAGCCATGATGATTACGGCGTTCCACAAAGCATGGCGCTTGACCCGGTGGGACAATATGCACCGACACCTAGCAACTTCCGTTGGTCACCTAGCTCCCCGTCCGACATAAGCTGCTCCAACGTCGACCCCATACCCCCCGATCGATTACTCCGTACGCCTCTCATTAACAAACTGATTCGCAAAAGAATGGTCTTCCATTTGCTCCAGTTCAGTGATTGGGAGGCAGGTCGAGCATATGACGAAGATCCACCGGCTAGTATGCACTACTTGAACGAGTGGAAGGTCTTGCTCGATAATAGGACAGTGGCGAAGGATACAAAAAAAGATCTGGTTCTAGCTCCTCGATTTCACTGGAGGCTCTTTTTGAGACCAAAGCTAAAGGAGCCCACTTGCACGGAAGTATCCACACCGAAAACTTGATGGCGAGGCCAGCAAGATTGAGTACCGCGGTGTGGGCGGCGCAAGCCACGGGTACAACTGGTTCTGATACTGCTGGCTGTGCTGGAAACGGGAAATCTGGACAGGTGCCACCCCGCGTGGAGACCAGCCAGTTCTCCTGAAGCCAGCCCGTTTATCATAGCCTGATTTGTCTATGAAGACCATGTGGTACGAGCGGAAATCTGACAGCTGATACAGATAATGGTCTCTCAAATCCGCATTTCGTTCTTGTGCCATTCGTCGAGCCACCTTTTTGGTCTAATCTGCGATCGAAGGGCTCGGCCGATAGTGTACGTAGATAAGAGCAGTTCGAATTCGTCATATAGAAAGTCTGCCATTTCGTCCAAGTATAAATCCGGTTTCTCTAGCAAGTGGTCGCATAGCGCTTGGAGCATGAAGGGTGTGATTACACGAGGTTAGCCACCGAGGATCTGAACATTCGTAGGTTGTTACTGATGGTTATGATCGAACGTTTGCTGCAGCCAGCCGCTTCGGCCATTTGCGAAGATAGTCAGCAATTTGCTGTCAATCATGTCGTGGATCATCACAAGCTGGGAGGGGGCGAGTCGAGGCGCCATGATGGTCTCTGTCACGTTGTCAACCGAAGAAGTTAGTGAGGTGTGGCCCAAGGTCGCCATGAAACGGAGATGGGTCTCGTTCGGTTCGGGCCGACAGTCGACCCGACAATCAGCATCCGCTGGGTTGGGATTCATTAGTTAAGAGATCACATGATTAGTCATGTTCGCGCCTGAAGTGCACTCTGCATCGCAGCCTTGCAGCAAGCTCCTAAGCTTACCCTCTTGATCTCCCCGGACAGGCCTGACCTATAATCCCGAACCCAATTTCCACATTTCAATCGCTTATCACACCTACCTTGGTTAGGATACCGGCTTTTATACCGTGTTCATCCAAATGGATGGAGTTTCCTCGGCTGCGAGCGTAATCGCTACGGCCGATTATGCGGTCTCATTCCATGGCTCTAATTCTGGACTTCAGGTGGGGATTAATAATGGACCGATCAATGCCGAGTTCCATCTTCTTCCCTCAAGTAAGATTGACAAACTTCCTTAGTAGTAGATCTCCCTAACGATTATATAGGTCTCGAGAAGCTACCCTTCGCACACGGGGCTGCGTTAGATTCATATGCGGATCAATATGATGACGAATGTCTCGAAGGTACAAGAACCGATATACTACATAAAATCAGCGAGTGGGCTTTCTCACCGCACGAGAGAGCTATATTTTGGCTGCAGGGGATGGCTGGGACGGGGAAATCCACAATATCCCGGACTGTGGCAAAATCACTCAATCAGACCAACCATCTAGGAGCCAGTTTTTTCTTCAAGAGGGGCGAAGAAGGCCGAGATAACGCGAAAAAGATCTTTCCGACACTGGCAAAGCAACTAATGCTCAGAGTCTCTGGGATGAGGTCGGGGGTACAAAAGGCACTCGATCACGACCCTGAAATTGCGTCAAAATCGCTCAAGGAGCAATTCGAGCAACTACTCCTCCAACCGCTACTCAATCTCGACCAAGTTGGCGAATGCCCTCAGACCGCCGTTATTGTGATTGATGCGCTAGACGAATGTGACCATGATCAAGATATCCGAATCATAATTCGACTACTACCTGGTCTACAGAGGGTGAAGGCAATTCGCCTTCGGATCTTCTTGACTAGCAGGCCTGAACTCCCAATCAGGCTCGGCTTCTCGGAGATCGCAGATCATGAATATCAGGATTCAGCTCTTCATGAGATACCGGAAAAAGTAACGGAACACGATATACGTTTATTCTTACAAGACCGATTTACGAAGATCAAACACGACAGAAATATTTTGCAAGATTGGCCCGGGGATGACATCATCCAAGAATTGGTCACGATGTCCGTTCCACTGTTTATTTCGGCTGCTACCGTGTGCCGTTACATCGAGAAATCAAAACTGGAACCCAAATCACTTCTCTCAGATCTCCTAGCGAACCAAGCTAAATGTGTATCGAGAATGGATAAGACGTATCTTCCAATCCTGGCGCGGGTATTAGCCGATCAAGAGAGTGATAAGTCGGAGCAGCAGCAGCTCCAGCAAGAGTTTCAGGATATAGTCGGTGTTATTATCCTTCTTGCCGTTCCGCTTTCTATAAATACGCTCTCGCTCTTCCTTAGGATCGAAGCAGACCATATCAGCAATCTATTGGACTCATTCCGATCGGTGTTTAGCATTCCCGGTGACCAAGACCAGCCTGTCAGGATTCTACATCTGTCTTTTCGGGATTTTCTGGTCCAGTCTGGAGCCAATTTTCATGTGGATGAGCCAAGAAAGCACAAAGACATTGCTAAGTCCTGTCTCAAAACTATGCGGAGTCGTCTACAGAAAAATATCTGTAAACTGGAAGGCCCCGGCACACGAAGGGGAGACGTCGACCCTCAATATATCCGCCAATATCTTCCGCTAGAATTACAATATGCTTGTCGCTACTGGACACACCATCTCGAAAAAAGCCAGGCTTTATCTTCCGAGATAGATAATGTGCTGCTATTCCTCCAGAAGCATTTTCTGCACTGGGTGGAGGTGATGAGCCTGCTAGGTTCTATATCGGAGGTGGTAGGTATACTTAGCCTCCTTAATACGGTTATACCAGTAAGTTATCTTGCAGATAACCTTATTTTATTTATACTAACAGATACAGAGCGACAAAAATTCTTTACTATCGGATTTCCTGCATGATGGAATGCGTTTTGTTCTCAAAAATCGCCAGATAGTTGATATAGCGCCACTTCAGATATATTATGCAGGGCTAGTATTTGCACCTCGAATGGCAGTAATCCGTAGAGAGTTCCAGTCGGAGCTTCCTAATTGGATATGCCAGTTCCCCAAAGTTGACGATAGATGGAGTGCAGAATTACAGACTCTCGAGGGCCATTCGGATTGGGTTTACTCAGTAGCCTTCTCGCCCGACGGCCGACTGCTGGCGTCCGGCTCTGGTGATAATACCGTGCGGCTCTGGGACACAGCGACTGGCAGCCTGCAGCAGACTCTTGAGGGCCATTCGGACGTAGTCCGCTCAATAGCCTTCTCGCCTGATAGCCGGCTGCTGGCATCCGGCTCTGGTGATAATACCGTGCGGCTCTGGGACACAGCGACTGGCAGCCTGCAGCAGACTCTTGAGGGCCATTCGGACGTAGTCCGCTCAATAGCCTTCTCGCCTGATAGCCGGCTACTGGCATCCGGCTCTAGTGATAATACTGTGCGGCTCTGGGACAGGGCGACGGGGGGCCTGCAGCAGACTCTCAAGGGCCATTCAACCTGGGTTTACTCAGTAGCCTTCTCGCCTAACGGCCGGCTGCTGGCGTCCGGCTGTAGCGATGAGACTGTACGGCTCTGGGACACGGCAACGGGCGGCCTACAGCAGACTCTCAAGGGCCATTCGCACGAGGTTCTCTCGGTAGCGTTCTCACCAGACGGCCGGCTATTGGCGTCCGGCTCTGGCGATAACACTGTGCGGCTTTGGGACACAGCGAAGGGCGTCCTACAGCAGACTCTGAAGGGCCATTCGAACTCGGTTTACTCGGTAGCCTTCTCGCCCAACGGCCGGCTGCTGGCGTCCGGCTGTAGCGATAAGACTATACGGCTCTGGGACACGGAAACGGGTGGCCTACAACAGACTCTCAAGGGCCATTTAGCCTGGGTTCTCTCAATAGTGTTCTCACCAGACGGCCGGCTGTTAGCGTCCGGCTCTTGCGATAACACCGTGCGGCTCTGGGACACGGCGACGGGCGGCCTACAGCAGACTGCCAAGGGCTATTGGGACTGGGTTCTCTCGGTAGCCTTGCTCTGGAACATAGCGACTGGTGGCCTACAGCAGACTCTCAAGGGCTTTCCGGACTGGGTTATCTCGGTAGCCTTCTCGCCTGATAGCCGGCTGCTAGCATCCGGCTCTAACGATGGCACCGTGCGGCTCTGGGACACAGCGACGGGCGGCCTGCAACGGACTCTTAAGGGCCATTCAGACTTAGTCCGCTCAATAGCATTCTCGCCTGATAGCCGGCTGCTGGCATCCGGCTCTGGTGATAACACCGTGCGGCTCTGGGACACGGCGACGGGCGGCCTGCAGCAGACTCTTAAGGGCCATTCGGACTCCGTTAACTCAGTGGTCTTCTCGCCCGACGGCCGGCTGCTGGCATCTGGCTCTAACGATAGCACCGTGCGGCTCTGGGACACGGCGACGGGCGGCCTGCAGCAGACTCTTAAGGGCCATTCGGACTCCGTTAACTCAGTGGTCTTCTCGCCCGACGGCCGGCTGCTGGCATCTGGCTCTAACGATAGCACCGTGCGGCTCTGGGATACGGTGACGAGAGGCCTACAAGAGATTTTGGGGGCCAATGCAACTGTCCACAAACTTAAGTTTTCTCGGGATGGCTCATATCTCATGACCAACTGCGGCACTTTCAACGTTCAGCCAGGGCACGGAAATCATACTTCTAATTCAATTTACAAGAGCTCAGCGATCTCCATTAAGCAAGAACAGTGGATTAACCTCAACGGCAAAGATGTACTATGGCTTCCTCCTGAGTTTCGACCTAGCTGTTTTGCGATAAATGGGGGCTCTCTTGCCTTAGGCCACGCATCAGGGCGGATTTCTTTTATACGATTTCGTATCTAGTTAGCAGTTATTGATTTCTGCTCTCATACCTTTCCTATTTTCCAATCTCTTTGTCAAAAAAAGACCTGGGAGAAAACAGAATTTATATCGTCCACAGGGCTAATAGAATGTGGCATCAAATTACACTAGGTTCCAGACTTCATACAGCCTAATGTGTTGTGGTTTGCCACAGTTCTAAATGGCTTAGTCAGTGGCTCGACCTGATGTTCCACACCAGCGAATAAAGAGTAGTCGTCACACCCCACTAAACAGTACTTATCTTGCACACTAAAGCCTTGGCAGTGGGGCGTTGAATCATGAAAAGAAAGTAAAACGGTGAAGCTGCTTTTGCACTTCCCTGTAGAAGCTGCCTTATTTCAAAGAGTAATTCATAGATGGTTCGGCCCGGCGCGCGGAAGGTGGATAAAAAGGTGGGGTTAGGCAAACCGCAGAAGCAAAAGTCTTCCTGGCACCTGACACGGCACGTGATCAATATACGGTCTAGCTATAACGGATATTTATTGCTGCTACAGATTTTCTTTAGCTCTCAGGAAATGATACTTCAAACATATATCGGCCAAAGAAAGGAAGACTGGAAACAATCGACGTACGAAGCCAAAAACAATGTGATGTGTTGAGTGTCTTAGGCTGGCTTCTTCGCGGCGCCGGGCTCAAAATGACATATCACCTTGGTCAAGTAGTCACGACGCTAAATAGATTCAGCGAACTATTAATACTTATTACTCATCAGGAATATATCCAACGCAAGTAAAAAAAAGCCAGAGCCACTCCCAATGCCAACATGATTTGTTCTACATCACTTCAACAACAGGTGCCGTTTTCTTCACATTCTCAACCTAGTCACGAATATTCTCCACAAAACTTCGGGCAATTCCGGGTTTGATCCCCTTGCCAACAAAGAATTCTAGGTTTTGGTCCTTATAGATGTGCTTAAGGTCAAAGCCATCTGATAGCGTTACGTCACAGGCTTGCCGAAACGCTGCTTTTAGGGCATCATCCTCGACACTCGAGGCAAGCCACTTACCGTATTCTTTGATAGCCGCGTCTCTGAAACCCGGAATGTGTAGTGGCCCTATATTATTCAAGCGTGCCGACTCAGCGGCCGCTTTGGGAGCCGTAATGTCTAATCCAGAAGGGTATGATTGCGACGGTAAAACATTAATGTTGATAGGAGGATAGGGTGCCCCGGCCGCAAGGATATTTCCTCCCTTACGCTTTTCTTTCTCTATTCTCTGCTGCTCCTCCATGTATAACTCTTCCCTGATGTCATCGGGGACGTCTTTGTGCGTCTCTAGAACGCCACCCTTTTCGACGTAGGTAACCAACCGTCTAAGATGATATGTGCGGAGTTGATAATGCTTTTTCCCTATTGGATCCAGCCAGCAGTAAGGACTAAGGTAGCAGGAAGCCGAGGCACATTTCATCGGATTATAAACACGGCGCTAAATTGATTATTTCCCACAGGCATTCTCTTCAGCATCGAGCTATATATCCCGATCATCGAGCATTCTCTTTGTATCGGAGGATTTACCTCTCTTCTCTCCTCGCCGACCGGCGGCTAGAGAAGAGCGATCCTCCATATAGTTAAAGCAGATATTTAGTCTGAGTTTCTTTCCGTGATAGAACAGACCAGACTATATGTAGAGCTTTTTTCGATAGCAGTCCAATTAATATTAAGCTTGTCGAATTGCTTAGTGAGGTCACGCTAAGAACGATTATTTACAGACACAATAATTGCAGTATCATCAGCTCTTACCCTTCGGTCGGCAGAGACTTTTCCTCGGAGAACATTCTCTAGGTTTCTTTTCAAGGTCTCTTCCTAGAAGGCATTTGGGGCCAGAACCACGTCCTCTTCTGTATCTTTTGCGACAATCTTATTGTTGACTATAACTCGCCACTCTATTAAGTAGTAGATACAACTTGGCGGGTCTTCATCGTAGTTTCTTCCCTCTTCCCACTTGGACAGTTAAAGTAGCTTGAGGGTATTTGTCCGTAGCTAGCCTGCTGGCTCGAACCTAGTCTCAGGTATACTTAACCGGTCGGGGCTATACGTGGATCGAGTATCGTAGGGGCTGCGAAAGTACCCTAGGGTGGGGGCATACTGCCAGTTCTATTCCCATAGTTCGAGTTCTTCAGGCTGGGACACGCTATCGTTGTGGTACAGACTTCTAGTCATATCTAATCTCAATCAAACTCGGCAAGACCCGTCAGCCCATGCGGGGTTGTCAGCTTTCCACAAACGCTGTGAACAAATGATAGTTGTAGGAGAGCAGCCATCAGAATAAACAAGACGGATGTTCTCCTACCAGAGTTAGCCCTCCACAGCAGTAGTGCAGCTTTCTTTGATATACAGTAAAATAAACGATAGTAAACGAGCGACAGTAAGCGAGCAACAGTAAACGAGTGACAGTAAACGAGTGGATGAAGGCTTCGGGCTTGCTGAAGGAGGAATGAGAATGTGAACGACCTCGCCACGTCTCCAGATCTTCTACCCCATAGGGTGGTACTTTTGCTTGGAATATTCTCCGCGATTCCACGGAGAATTACAGTATCTTACAATAAGTCATTCAGCGAAACCGCTTGATACGATACAACTAAGCAGGGATTATTTCTAGAGTAACCCAATACAGATTAGGGCCCTTTGAGATAGGGTCTAGGAAACAATTCGTGTGTGCAAAAAGGGGAATCTGTTTTCGACTCCGACTGTATACATTTTGGGTTGCTCTAGGTTCTGGGATCAACCAAAACTGCACCGTTCCCGATCAATTGGGGTGCAGAATTTAAAAATCGTTCATTTAGCAAAAATTCTAATCTCCTAATATAGAACTGGGCTTGTGGTTTAGTGGTATAATACTCCCTTAGCATGGGAGTGGTCCGGGGTTCGATTCCCCGCGAGTCCAGCTTAGCTTTTTGACCTTTTTTGGTCCTTAATGGATCCTCGGAATGCCAATTCTTCGGTACGATTGACATTGGCGACGCTAGAGCCATAAGCGACTAGCGCGAGGGTAAGCTTGTCATCCAACGGCTTCCACTGCTATTTGGTCTCATTAGGATCTTCCTCCTGGTGGTTTTCTATTTGACACATGAATTTTTGCTGGTACAGCTATTTTGACAGATATTCCCCTCTACAAACCCGATGAATTGCAAGTACCAGCAACTTCAGTTTCGTTCGCGGCCTGTCAAAGAATATTGGGGGAGGGGGTTAGACGCTGGCGTCCTAATGGAGATCAAGTTCAAACTTCCTAAGTGAAAGTACTGAGAAGAGCCTGCACCTTTGCGCCATTCAGTATCTGGCAATAAAAACACAGATAATTGAGAGGTCAAAGCTCATGGCCATCGGACTCTTTGCTTACGAAGCCTAAACTCCCCACCAGTAGGGCAGGCAGTAGGAACGTGCCAGCTTTGTGTGTGGTGCGAAAAGTACGAGACATACAACGGTCTCTTGAACATTCAAATTATGCGGCAGCAGGGTCAGTGTCATTGACATATCTCGTTATTTCCCTGCTCTATGACGTAGGAGACTAACCCATAGGTTAATGATCCGCCATCTGTGGGGACTCCGAACATCCGTGGAACCCTGCCCATTCGTGGATCAGCACGTCTATGGGTTGCGCTCAGCTAGCCCCGAGATCTAATCCGAAGAGTTTCTTTGTCGACCGCAACTTTTGGTATGCATCTAAATCTTTTGGATGGATGATGAGCTCCACTGTTCTTGCAGCTCGACCAACCATGGGCTCTTCTCAAGGGTAGTGTGATGCAAGACGGCGTGAGGTAACCAGATGGTCTGCGCAACGCACCAGAGAATCGGGTGTTGCAGAGGTATTTAGTCAATGCTGCACTACCCTCAAATGTATCAATCCTGCATTGTAATTCGCCATACTGCATCTTCTCTCATTGCAGAACCTACTTCTGTCTGTATTCTATCCGGTTTCTACCCATATCAAATACGATGGCACTGAATGGCAAGGTCGCTTTGATCACCGGAGGTGTCAAGAACCTTGGAGCCGAGACGGCACGCGAACTTGCAGGAATTGGTGCGAATCTGGCCCTTCACTATAACTCTGCGAGCAGCAAGAACAGTGCGGTCGAAGTGGAAGCCGAGTTGAAGCAGAAGCACCCAAACTTGAAGTTTGCGTTCTACCAGGGCGATCTGACTTCCGCGGCTGCCGTGGACAAACTGTTTGACTCAGTGCTCAAGGATTTTGGCAAGATTGACATTGTGGTCAACACGGTGGGCAAGGTGCTGAAGAAGCCGATCACCGACATCTCGGAGGAGGAGTATGATACCATGTTCGCGTAAGTTCGAAGCCTTTGCATTATGAACATTAGATTCCAAGTTGACTCGTATACCGGTGAAGAATCAATTCCAAGGCGGCATTCTTTATTCTGAAAGCAGCAGGCCGCCATATCTCTGATGATGGCAAGATCATCACCATCGTGACTGCTCTGCTGGGCGCTTTTACCGGATTCTACACCTCCTATGCTGGGTCGAAGGCGCCCGTGGAACACTTTACCCGCGGTGTTTGCAAGGAATTGCAGGCCCGACGTGTGAGTGTGAACAATGTGGCACCAGGCCCGATGGATACGCGTATGTGATGCTAGCTGATTGTCAAGTATAGACGAGGCTGGTGCTGACCCAAGGCAGCGTTCTTCTATCCCCAGGAGTCCCCTGAAGCGGTCGAATTCCACAAGAGCAATGGCATGGGAAATAGATTGACTATGGTCCAGGACATTGCCCCAGTGATTCGATTCCTGTGTACTGACGGCGCGTGGATCACTGGTCAGACCATCTTTGCAAATGGCGGGTATACAACTCGCTGAAGGATGAGAGGGATATCCTGCGATCGGACAGAATAAGTAATGGAGGTGAATATCATCTATCTATTGCTCAAATTTAGATAGCCACAAGTATCAGAGAGCAATGATGTAGCAATTGAAAAGGAACGCTCCAGGGGGATTCCGCTGGGTGAAGCAAAGGGACAATGGAGGCCTGGAAGTTCAGGCTCCCAAGTATTTCTATCACCTGATGTCACCTGCCCAGGCTCTTGCCCTATTACTGAGCCCTACTTTCCTCATTGGGATCGCCGTCCCCCTTCCAAGTCACCTGACTGAGCTGCCCGCCCTAAACCCAAAGTAGAAACCCGACGGTGACATCAGTGCCCGCCTCGTTTTGGACGGCGTCTCAAGTACTTTTTTTTCTGGCGGAGGGACCTCATGACAACAGCTTCCACTAAGAGAGCAGAAAGCCAAAACTTCCTCTTTCGTCACTCCCCCCACTCGATTATCAACCATCTTTAAATCAAGTTCCAATTGCCACTGTTTTACCCCCCCTTCAAAAGCTGCCAACAGGTCTATCCGGGTCTGTGACGAAATACCTTTGGTAACCTCCCCACTTCTGCTTTGTCTCACCGGAATTGGGTTCAACCCCTCTCCCACTGGCCGTCATTAGCTTTGCAGCGTTTAACTGTGACCATTTTCCAGTTCAGTTTGATCCCGTCTTTCATCTATCTCATCATCTCTTGAAGCGGTTTTGTCCTCGACCTCTCCTAGGGAAGGTCGACCGTCTTCAATTCCCCATCATGGAGCCCGCCAAGCATCCCGTCGATCCCCCCAAGAAGCGCCGCATTGGTGTCCTCACCTCCGGTGGTGATGCTCCTGGTATGAACGGCGCCGTGCGGGCCGTCGTCCGTATGGCTCTGCACTCCGACTGCGAGGCCTACGCCGTCTTCGAAGGCTACGAGGGCTTGGTCAATGGCGGCAACATGATCCGCCAGATGCATTGGGAGGATGTCCGCGGCTGGCTGTCGCGCGGTGGTACACTGATCGGCTCTGCTCGAAGCATGGCTTTCCGAGAGCGTGCTGGCCGACTGCGGGCGGCCAAGAATATGATTCTGCGTGGCATTGATGCCCTCGTGGTCTGCGGTGGTGATGGTAGCTTGACTGGTGCCGATGTCTTCCGGGCCGAGTGGCCGACTCTGTTGTCCGACCTCATTGCGGCTGGCGAATTGACCGAGGAGCAAGTGGAGTCCTACAAGGTTCTGAACATTGTTGGTCTGGTCGGTTCCATTGATAATGACATGTCAGGCACCGACGCTACCATCGGCTGTTACTCGTCCTTGACTCGTATTTGTGATGCGGTCGATGATGTGTTCGACACCGCGTTCTCACACCAGCGAGGCTTCGTAATTGAGGTGATGGGTCGCCACTGTGGATGGCTGGCCCTCATGTCCGCCATTAGTACTGGTGCAGACTGGCTGTTCATTCCCGAGATTCCCCCTCGGGATGGCTGGGAGGATGACATGTGCTCCATTATTACCAAGGTATGTCCCCGGAAGTGAGGAAACGGCTTGAATGGCTCAGTATCTAATCAATTGCTTTTGTTTCGAAACAATAGAACCGCAAGGAGCGTGGCAAGCGCCGCACGATCGTCATTGTCGCCGAGGGAGCGCAGGATCGCCAACTCAACAAGATTTCGAGCTCGACCATCAAAGATATTCTCACGCAACGATTGGGCTTGGACACTCGAACCACCGTTCTGGGTCACACCCAGCGAGGTGGTGCGGCTTGTGCTTACGACCGCTGGCTCTCCACCTTGCAGGGTGTTGAGGCCGTTCGTGCTGTTCTGGACATGACGCCCACGTCTCCATCCCCCGTTATCACCATCCGCGAGAACAAGATCATGCGGACTCCTCTCATGGAGGCAGTCCAGGCCACCAAAGAAGTCACCGCAAAGATCCATGCGAAGGACTTTGCGGCCGCCATGACTCTACGTGATGCAGAGTTCAAGGAATACTACCATGCTTATCTGAACACAGCAACCCCGGATCACCCCAAGATGATCCTCCCTGAAGGCAAGGTATGATCTCAAGACAAAACATGTTTCATTGCTCTATAAATTTTTGTTATTGATTTACTGATGTTTTGTATACAGAAAATGCGCATTGCCATTATTCACGTCGGTGCCCCCGCTGGTGGTATGAACCAAGCCACGCGCGCCGTCGTGGCCTACTGCCTGACCCGTGGACACACCCCCCTCGCAATTCACAACGGTTTCCCCGGTCTCTGCCGCCACCATGCTGATAAGCCGATCAGCTCGGTTCGTGAAGTCCAATGGCTCGAGTCTGACAGCTGGGTCAACGAGGGTGGTTCGGACATTGGTACCAACCGTAGCCTACCCTCGGAGGATATGGAGGGCACTGCCAAATGCTTCGAGCTTTACAAGTTCGACGCTCTCTTCGTTGTTGGTGGCTTTGAGGCGTTTACTGCCGTCAGCCAGCTGCGGAAAGCTCGTGAGAAGTACGATGCGTTCAAGATTCCTCTTGTCGTGCTGCCCGCCACCATCTCCAACAACGTGCCTGGCACCGAGTACTCACTGGGAAGCGACACCTGCTTGAACACCTTGATCGACTTCTGCGACGCCATTCGGCAGTCGGCCTCCTCGTCTCGTCGCCGTGTCTTCGTGATCGAGACCCAGGGAGGAAAGTCTGGCTACATCGCGACCACGGCCGGTCTGGCTGTTGGCGCAGTGGCCGTGTACATTCCCGAGGAGGGCATTGACATCAAGATGCTCTCGCGCGATATCGATTTCCTGCGCGATAACTTCATTCGTGACAAGGGTGCTAACCGCGCGGGCAAGATTATTCTTCGCAATGAGTGTGCCTCAAGCACCTACACCACCCAGGTAGTTGCTGACATGATCAAAGAGGAGGCCAAGGGTCGCTTCGAGTCGCGTGCAGCGGTTCCTGGTCACTTCCAGCAGGGTGGCAAGCCGTCGCCCATGGACCGTGTCCGCGCCCTGCGGATGTCCATCAAGTGCATGCAGCACATCGAATCCTATGCCGGCATGACCCGGGATGCTATCGCCGCGGATCCCTTGTCGGCTGCGGTCATTGGTGTCAAGGGCTCTCAGGTTCTGTTCTCACCAATGGGCGGCGAGACTGGATTGGAGGCGACCGAAACCGACTGGGCGCGTCGCCGCCCCAAGTCGGAGTTCTGGCTTGAGCTGCAGGATGTGGTCAACATGCTGTCTGGCCGCTCTACCGCTCGCGCTGTGGATACTTGGACAATCTACGACAGTATGTAAACCACCAACAATCTCCCCTATCCTTTTGGAAATTTGCAGCCCCATTGGACCCTTGCACGTTTGGCCCTCATCGGCTCTTCGATCGCACAAAGTCATGTGCGACGATGGTGCTTTCGGTTTTCTTCCAACCCCTTTCTCTTCTACTGGATGTTAACACTTTCCTTTTTCTTTTCCCGTTTAGATCCCGCTACGGTTCACGTTGTTTCTGCCGTCCCCAGTGCTCCTTGAAGGAACCACTCGTGACTTGGTTCGCCACTCTTCTGACCGTCACCGGAAATTAGCGACGCCTGACCGTCCTCCACGAAAGCTTCGGCCTTTGCTTTGATACCAAATCTGCTTTTTATCAGACTCGTCACCTCTGCTCGTGATGGTCTTCACCTGAACGTCACCACTATGGACGCTCACATTTATGCTTGTATGATGATACGCCACACACCGTTCAGATGTCATATTGATCTGGACAAGACTCGGGCTTGGTCGTGAGGGGCTATAACTGCTCCTTGCGTTGTCTGTCCCATTTTTGGTGTTCTTTTTCCGGACCTCGGCTCCAAACGTACAGACGGCTTTCGCAATTAGATCTGCAAAATACCAAGCCGTTTAGACAATCGCTTCAAATGTAGACCTATCAGACCAAACATTCTTCTTTGTATGTTGTATGACTATTCCAGGGTAAGACACCTTCGGAGGTGTAAGACTGGGTATGTTACATTATTGATGTAAACTACATCGCCGAAATTGCATGCTGCTTGCTAGATTATAACCCAACTGTAGGTAAAGCGCTATATAATGATTTCCATAAAAGACAACCGCATACATGCCATCAACCTACTTGGACGGATTGACTGCGCCTTCCAACTCATCCAAGAGATCCACCGTCTCTGTGGGACTGGCAATCCAGGCAGTTGTAGAAGCTAGTCGAGCCTAATGAGGTATCGAGTAAGTCGAGGAGATCACTCCAAGTTGTCATGTGTTTATTGTTTGCATACCTTAAAGTCATTCGCCCCCGCCGATAAGAATTGATCGCCAATGTGCAACGTCTTGGATGGATCGATGCCGCCAAAGTATCGCTGGCAGGCTCGAACACCCCAGGACTTGTCGCCGATGTCGACGAAGACATCGTTTCCGCCTGTGAGGTCAGAGTTAGCGAGGCTAACTCAATCGATGTGGATAGGAGTGGAGGGCTTTATTTACCGTTGAAGGCACAGAATGGGAGTCGCGAACCGACCGCAGATCTTTCTACGGTGTTCTGCACAACGAGGACAGTCTCCTCCAGTTGTTCCCGGTTAATGCGAACCCCGTTCACGGAGTAGACACCGACAGCCCGATCCTTACGTAGAACGGCGGCTGGAAGACTGAGATTGGCCGCACAAGCTCGTAGAGCCGACTCAGCAAGATCGAGCAGTTCTTTGATGTCATCGTCTCGCCAGGTGCGCATCTCATCGAGTAGCCATTCATCCCGAGGTACATAGGTCAATTTCACGTCTGACTCTGGATCAAAGCGAAAGAGGAAATTACTCTCGCCGCCCATAACGATGATACCCTGCTTTTGGGCGAGCGTCAAGCTAGTAGACTCATATACCGCGTCCAAGAGACCGTGCAGGCGGCCATAATACTTCGGAGCCTCTTCGTACCCGGCCGCAGTGACGATGCCTACCTTGCGCCCTTGCTCGAGAAGACGCATGATCCGCGGGATGACAGGGTTATCTGGGGTTAGGCATGCACCGTCGTCGTAGAGGGTTACATCTCCGTCGAAGGTGACTAGCTGGACCTCGCTGGAGCGCACTAGACCCCGTAGTTGGGCGGAGTTTAGGATTAGTCGGATATCGTTGAATGAGGGCGCTACGAATCGGCGCCGGCTGATGAAGCGGCGCTGATCTTGGTACTTGAAGGCATCTTCTAGATGTAGGCGAGTGAAAAAAGTCCCGACCGAAGGCACCAGCAGCTTCAGCTTGGATTTGCCGGGGGCATTGCGTTCGTGATGTTCAACTGCGGGGCAAAGTGATTAGCAATCAATAATCGGCATGATTCAAGCGAGGAAGATGATAGACGAAGGCAATCACAGCAACAGTTTATTGTGTTGCCTAGCTAGATCATTGCTTGACTTACTATGATCGAGGATCAGGTTTTCAACGTCGCGCATAATCTCGGCATAGCGCTGGTGAGAATCCGCTGCAACTGTGTTGAGCCGCTCGCTGGATTCCTGAAAGATAGCTGTGGGTTGGGAATGCAGCACAAATGGGACTGCGAGGAGACCCTATATATTTCTTTGACTACTGGATCATACATAGACAGCAGCTGGAAAGCCTACCTTGATCCATTCGATCTACATCATCTTCGAAGTCAGTAATTTCCCCCTTAGCTTCTCAGGAGAAAGGGCGAGGACGAACCAATTGATCGCGGCGATGAGTCTACCCCGGGAGAAGTAGTCAGTGAAAGGGGACCTATGAGCTGAAAACAAAAGGGCGTTAAGGGCGTACCTTGAGGGCATCTAGTTGGGGGCAGATTAGCAGGCAGAGACAATTAATGATTGCGCCATTAGGTGCGTATGAGCAGCAGGATTGGACTTACATTCGACACGATAGCGAGTGGTCATGGTTGGTTGCTAATTTGCTTGGGTTGGAGAGTGTCGATCGATCAGGAAAGGTGGTAAAATGGTAAATTGAACAAGTGAAGGGGCGGGGAAACTGTCCAAACACGTCCAAAAGGGAAAAAGGCGGATGAGATGTGGTTGGACAGCCGCCCCGTGCACGTCCCTCCGAAGGCCGACTGAATTACAATGAACAAACCAACCGGTCAATCAAATAACTATAGAATGCAAGTGATTGATGACTGATTGACGGCTGTTTGTTAGAATTAGTGGTAATTAGGGATTACTACAACGATTTCGAGCCAGCCATACCCGTCAACTGGTCGGAGTCTCAAAGAAAATCAACTAAATACGAGCATCACAGGGCCGGGCCAACCAGACCGGTCAAATCAATTAAGTTAGCTAGTTCACCCCACCAGGGCTGTGAAGCTCTGACTCATAGTTATTGTTTCATGCTTGAGTCAAGAAGATTTCATGCATCGGGCCTCAAGTCTTGCAAGAGTCTATCGTCCATGACTTGAATCAACGGGGATAAGCTGACCCCTGAATCTAGAGGGCAAAAGAGGCTCAATTTCTGCTGTCCATCTGATTGGATGAATGAAGATAACACATCATTTTTCACACTGCGAAGCCTCTGTGTTACTCGCAGCCTTGTAAGCCAAGACGGATTACGAAGTGGCGGTCGCTCATAGCCTCTTCCAACGGACAGAGACCTCATTGGGTAATTCAAGTGATAACTTAATTAAAGCTCGTAACGAAACCCAACAGATCCAGGTGGTCTGATCATCCTGCAAACTTGAATTGTTACATTGTAGATTCTAGATTCCGAATCTTGGATGAGACACGATGACTCTTTCAGGCAGCACTGCCACGACATCGCTCGTGTCCAATACGATTCGGATTTTAGAGGCTTTCGAGGATGACAATCGATTAACAGTGCTGCAGAGGTTCTCCATAGAGAATTATAAATGGCGTGGTTGTGGATGCCTTGATGTGCAGGAATTCATCAATCAGGCAAAGACATTCTGCAGCTTCTGGTTTGTCAGAAGTATACGACATAAATAACTCTTTACTGATTCATTTGTTTAAGCTGCCCGCTACCCTGAACACACGACCTTTTTCTTCATTATCTACTATGTTGATTGCAACAAGACCATCATTCAACATTCTGTCCACAATGGGGACTCCGCAGAAACACAATCCATTCGATGCTCCACCACCATATAACCCTTCTGAAGAAGGTAGCTCCGATCACCCTCTCGACGAAAAAACCTACCTCTTCCCACCAAGTTCCAATGAGCCAGGCCTAGCAGTTGCATCAACCCTGACCCGTGGTCTCCAAGTACCATCTCGGACCGCCGCGACAACCTCTGGCTTCGCATACCCTGCCGAACTAATTCAATATGGCATCTCCCAAGAGCACTGGCAGCAATTCACCCAGGTCATCTGTGACGAGGCCAAGCTTTCCCGGTCCCAGTGGAGTACCGTCATTGGCAAGGGTCTCGGCACACTTGCCATTGGCGGGCTGATGATTGGGGCTCTTAGCGCTATTCCTGCCATCTTCGTGGCTCGAAATGCGAGAAAGAGACAGGAACAGCGGAACCTGATTGCTGCCATGGCGGGGGTGCGCGGTGAACGGCTTTCAATGCATATTTCACAGTGGAATGAGACTTTCTTCCGGCCTAAGGGTGTGGTTATTCGGGTTGATCTGCCGGATGAGTATATTAGGGAGATGGATGATATGGATGTTCATAGATCTGATCGGAAATGGGCGAAATCGGAGGAGGAGGCTCGTGAGAAGGCGGCACTGAAAGCGAGGATTGTTATCATTCCGCTGGAAGGGTCAGTCTCAGATCGTTCTTCGATGTCAAGGGTTGAAGGGAGGCAAGAATAGTGTGTGCTGGTTGGGTCTTCAATGTTGGTGGTGTTCTTCTGGAAAAAAAATGCCAAGGCGTCGGGCGCATCATGATCGTTGTTCTGTTACTACTTGGAAAGTCTACTACTTTTATTGATTTTCAGTGAATCATATTAGAATCAGTCAATATTATTGAATTCATCATGCATATCTCATCAGATGGCATATGCTGCATCTCTGTACATCATCGAAACTAAAAATTGACAAGCTTACTTCTCAAACGCGAGTCGATGCATCCTGTCGCTCGACATGCTGCGCAGTGCCGTGCTGGGATACCATAGCCTCCATCTTCTCATCAATAACCTGATCGCGCTCTTCGGCATCCTGGTTACCGTACCGGCCAATCTTGTACCATGGCAGCTCGAATAGTCGGTCCATGCTCTCCAAGCTCCGACCTGCGGTCTCGGGAATGCTGAACCAGACCCACACACCGCCGATGAGGGTGATGACACCGAAGAACCAGAAGGTTCCCTTGGGGCTGATACCGCCCTCGGAGACAGGAAGCAGCATGTTGGGCACAGCACGGGAGTTGCCATACTGGTTTGCAAAGTGCAAGGTCATAGCCAAGGAGGTGGCCAGGGCACGGATACGCAGAGGGAACAGTTCGGCAGTGAGCAGGTACTGCATGGAGTTCCAGCCAAGAGCCCAACCGAAACCAGAGATGAAGATCATAGCGATCGCGCCCTCGCTAGCGCCCTTCTTGTTTTCGGGAAGCTTGAAACCCTTTACTACGCCCATCTCGGGCACGGCAGTCAGGAATCCGGCGATGTAGAACATCGAGATTGCCTGCAAGGTGATTCCAATCAACAAAGCACGCTTACGACCGATGACGTCGACCAGGAACAGAGCACACAGAATAGCTGCCACCAGTTTGATAATTCCAAAGACAGCCGTCACGAGCAGGTTCTCGTTACTACCAGTGATGCCCAAGAGCTTGAAGAGGTCGGTAGCGTAGACGGTGATCGATCCGGCACCTGACCACTGCGACAGAATCTGCGCCATCAGGGCTAGGTAAACGCGGTAGAGGTTAGAAGGGACCAGGAATGTCTCCTTGATGATACCCAGAGGACCGGAACCCATAGTAGCCTCCATCTCGATTTGATGCGCGGTTTGGATGGCGGTGATTTCACGAACCACATACTCGTGGTCGGCTGGTAAGTTTCGGATACGAGAGAGGTTGTCAATGGCCTTATCGACCTGACCTCGCTTGATCAGATAGCGAGGGGACTCGTATTGGAAGAAGGAGAGGCAGAAGATCAGCCCGGCGAAGATGACATGGAGACTGGTAGGAACCTCCTGCTAGCTGTTAGTTCTGGATTGAAATATACGAAAGTGAAGCCGAAAAAAGGATGAGTCCGTCCTTACCCAGCGCTTGTGAGTGTTATCGCTCATGTTCACTTGACATCCATAGTTCGCGAAATAGGCAAGCACGATGCCTGTAGATAAACGGAATTGTTAGAAAAAATATTTGCAAACGCTGTGAAACCCGACACATGGCACCATCGGGTACACAAAAGATACGGCATAGCTACTCACCGAGGTAGACAAAACCGGTGAACACACAGGTGCAGAGACCCCGAATGGCTGCCGGAGCCTGGAGAATAGTAGGTCAGTCGCGTTCCAAGGATTGGATTGTAGTCACACAGCCGGCTTCCCAGCGCGCTGCTGTCATGTGGCTACTTACAATTTCCGCAAGATAGACTGGAGCCACGACCACCGTCTGACCCACACCTAGACCGGCCACGAATCGACCAGCATAGACCGCACCAAGGTTGCCCTTGTTGGCCATGAAAATGGCCGCGCCGATGATCCAGATAAGGCACAGCTGACGAGTAGCCCAAATGCGACCGATGCGATCACAAACCAGGAAAGCACTGTATTTCAGGAAAATGATCAATTAGTGAATGGTTCTTCTATGCAGCTGGCGGATTCTTCCTCTCGGTATTGTTTCACTTACAATAGAGCACCACCGACGGAACCAATCTGAACCATGGAAGAGACATTGGCCTTGATGTTGGTTTGCTCGACCGTGCTGTAGGAACTGTAGTTGATGTAGCGCTGGAAGTCCTTGGAGTTGAAAGCGCCAGAGATGAGACCCTCATCGATACCGCGGGCAGCACCCATCAAGCCGAAGGAGACGACGGCGAACCATAGCCTCCAGTTGAAAACCTCCTTGGGCTCACCCAAGTTCTTCAGGCGGAAGATGTTGACGGGCTTCTTGGCTCCGCCTGCCATGATGAGCGATGTGAAGTTAAGATAGCTCGACTAGGAGGAAGTGGAAGGAGGTGGGTAGTGGAGGAAGAGGCGAGGGAGAGAGAGAAGCAGGTTGGAAACAGAACAACTACGGGGTAATCAACACTTTCTTTAATACCTTTGAATCATCGTCTGATCCTCACGAAAATTCCCCGTAGTACTGCGGGGGAAAAATCGGGGTAATTCGAGTCCAATGGAGCCCCAGCCTGCAGCATGAAAAGCTCAGACGACAATACGAGTCGGCAATTGAGCCAGTAGCAAACCAGTCCAATGAGGCAAATCATCTAGACCTTTGTTTCTTTGCCCCCCCTCTATCTCATTTTCTTTGTCCACCTTTCGGCGGATCTGATCCACCCTGGCTCCGAGGAGACAATGAGGCAAACGCACCCCAGAATCTCCGGTTTGTGCACGGTTCAGAGCCATCACAGCACCGTTGGCCGACTTTCGGTGGGACAGACGGAGTCGGCCAAGGTTAGAGGGGCAGACGCCAAGGGAGCTTGGATGCCGAGATGACATGGATGATGGACGAGCTGCACGACACGCAGCTGCCATTCGAGGGCATCGCCGTGGTCGGTGGGTCATTTCGATGTTGGGGCCCCTGAGGGGTTGCAGCCGAGTTTGGCCCCGGTAAAACTACCACATGGTGGTAGATGGTGTGGGGAGGGGGTACATCGTGCAGGCTCGGCTTGTAGTGTGCATCCCGGTGTGCGTCGATGCGCCTCGACTCGAGCGACCCTTTTCGGACATACCGAGGCCGATCCCCAGCACGTTGCTCTTGTGCGCTTCTCCTTGCGCTAACGCGACCGAGTACAGCATGGCGCACGATTATCGTCTTCTGCCTCAGATGAGATCCAAGATCCACGAAGACAGTACCTCAGGTTCCATCCTTTCTCTCTCTCTCTCTCTCTCTCTCTCTCGCAGCCGCATTAGGAAGCTAGTGGGATAGACATGAGACACCTGTGGACCCTTGGCTAGACTAAGCATGAACAAAGTTTGCCCTGGCTGGGGCTCGGGAAACGTCCGGCGGAAGTGCCGCGATGCCAAGAGGAGCGAAACTGGGGTTGGCCAGATTTCTTACAGATGCTGGAACCCTGATTGGCTCCATATCTGGAGAGAAAATGGCACGCCGCTGAAAGAGGCAAATCCGCCGTGCACTTGGCGTGGGGGAACGATGCTTGGACTTGGTGGATGCTGGTTCGTTGTTGTGGTAGAGTTGCGAGAGTGCAAGGGTTTGAAAGTGGGACGAGGAAAGGGACGCCACATGACTGGCACATGACATGTCTTCTTTGTTCTTGGCCCTTTTGTAACTTCTTCGTCCAGCATTCTGGACGGCGAACGTCCGTTCTCCACTGTCTTGTTAGTGTCATTTGCTGGTCATTTTAGACTTAGACCTTTCTGACTTTCATTAGAATTAAGTTTAGAGGCGACGACCCGCGCCATGGCGTGGCGTGCGCATCCATGATATACTTGGGATTCCCTGTCGAACGGCCTAGCGAAAACCCTACTTTCCGCCGATGCCAGGAGGTTTTTATGGTCAATCAATAAGGTCGATTATCCGTAAATCGGCAATAGTTCAAGACTTGCCCACTCAGGTTGCTCTGATACGGCTCTCAAGCGGAGTTGATCGATCAGGTCTCGCCCTCTTCGGTGAAGTTGACCAGTAAGGCTACGGAAATGCTGGTCCGACCATCTCGGCTGGCTGAATTACCTCGTCAAATTCTATGAGGTATTTACCTCACTCGATGATTGTAATGTCGATGAAGCTGTAGACAGATAATTGCTCAACCATGCGTGGCATTTCAATTTCATATTGAGGAGCCAATTGACCATGAGACATATTGCAAAGAGCAGCGTATGTTGATCTAAAATAACTTGAATGACTATCAGAAGATGCTAATTCATAGTATCATCAAGATGAATGGAATATGAATCCTGTCAACCTATGCTCCTAAGAGAGAATGTGATGCTATCCCGTCTCATCTGCTTCGGATATACTTCGGACAAATCGCCCCAAGCGCAAACACACCACGCAACTAATCACACATCCATCAATCGCGGCGTATCAAAGTGTCCATAGCCTTTGACCACACTCATTTCGTCGACATCGGCAAATTTAGTCTTGAAGGTCCAACCACCTACCGTATTGTGGAGCATTTCGCACCGACGGGCGGACGTCGTGTCCCATTGCGATTGCCACAGACAGCACCCTAAGATTCCTAGCTCGGAGACCGTCTCCCCACTGTCTAGAGCCGCGGGTCCCATGAGAAGGTTGGATTGGACCGGCGGTTGGATGCGCTCCATTAGGATATATGAGCACCATTGTGTTTGAGGGATCGCCGCGAGATAGTCTGGGATTTTGGTTCCGTACACATTATTTCCTCCGCCTTCTAAAGAGGGCTTCAGGATGTAGTTGGCTGATTTGATGGGATCGAATGCCAGAGCTCGTGCGATGAGACCTTGCTCGGATTCGTCTAATGGATATACCGGCACGAAGGTCTCCCGAATGGTGGCTGCGTCCGATTCCGAGAGGAATCTTTCTAGGGCTCCGGGTGCGGTGAGTGCTTGTTGTACCTTCTTGAACGTTGCGATATGGGCGAGGAGAGATGGGCATTTGATTGCCGCGGAGTTCTCGAGCTGCAACCGTGCCTCCCAGCCGGCGTGATTGTATTCCTTCGCTTCATACCCAGCACGCAGGTACGCAACTGATATCTCTACTGGTGTTGTCGATGCGAGCCACGGGGGTGGAAGAGTAATTCTCGGTTTTCTGTGAGCCAGGTGTGCTCAAGAACATCGGGGCCAAATTCGAGTCGATAGGTTGGCACTGGATCTTCTCGGTTCCAGAGTGAATATTCTATCGGGCGCTCGTCTGCTATATTGAACTATATCCAACTTTCAGTCATGTCTAGCAGAGTGAAGCGATGTTGGACTGGGAATGATTGGGATAGCTCACATTATGCGGCTGCACGATCATCAAAACTGCTGTCTGTTTCGCTTCTTGACTCCTTGGTCCACCATAGGTGCTGTGAGCCAAAGCCAGGCAGGAGACGATTGACTCGATGTTTTTATTAACTGGGAGCGATGAGAAGTCCACAGACGCGTCGTTGACGTTGTATAATCCCGTTCGGGCCAGATACCGATGCATGTTTCCGACCTTGTTTGCATGAGAGCCACCCGACGCGGAGAACGTGTTCATTTCGACCTGTTTCAGGCTCGTTTCAAATATAGCGCCCGGGACCCGAGGTTCAATTCCATTGTTCAGATGGAGCATATAATCTGAGCGGAAGATCCCTGCGGAAATATTCTGGAGATATCCGGTTTCTTTAGCCGCTTCATAAATACTCCAGAGTGCCGCCGCGAGGGGCTCGACGGGGATGATGTCTTGAATTGCATCGTGGATCCACTGCTCATCCTCGGCGATTGAGCAGTAAAGTAGATTGTAGATTTCTTGGATCCTTAGCGCCTGTTGGAACTTTGCGCGAGGCAAAGGCGTTGGAAAGCACTGAAACAGACTCTTTCTATTAGATACGACAGCTGGTTCCTTGAAAGAACACGCCCTACCGAGACTCCGACCGGGTAACTGGACACGCTGGACTCTGTCTGCGCGCGGACATGCTTTAATAGCGAGCCATGATTGACTGTATATCCATCTTAGCTGCTACTCTCGATTAACCAAAGTATCTCCACGTAAGATGACTGACTCTGTTGCAGTTTGTTAGTTTTGGGCCCAGGCGTATAAAGAGGGATGGGAGGGGCGCTTTATTCTCGGTCTCGAGACTCACCTGCCAATCTTGAATCTGTGCAACAAGCGACAGCATCTGTTCTTCGCTGAATTCGTCCATCACGATCTTCGCAATCTACCTTTGATCTTTCTCGAGTGATCGGAGGCATCCAGCAGGCGACTTGGTCTGTGATGAACTCTCAAGGCCCGTTCCCAGATGAACAACGAATTGCAGTGGGGGCCGCTGATCGCCACGCCATCGAATCACCACCGAGCGCCCGGACAAACGAAGCACATGGGTAACGTTTTGCCCAGGCGAATGAGCTCCCTGAAGTTATGCTCTGTCTCTTTGAAATCGTGTCTTCCCTTTAATTCTGCTCTTTGTATTTCTTTGTACAGAGTATTTATTTGGAAAACAAGGTTGAGACGATCCCACGATGGATAGGTTTGGCAGGTACGAGCACCAGACTCTTAAATCGGTCTCGAGCCGCAAAGTCATGTCTCCTCGACATGTGAATTAATATGAGATGATTTAATGCGTGACCTTTGAATAGAGTACGTGATTACTCTGAATATAATGGGGTTATAGCTGAAATTTCGAACGAGCTCATACTACATTATGGTCATGTATGCTGAACCGCATCTCTCGGCTTTCAGCATGAAGCATGTAAGATCCTGGCTAATTCCTCCGATAAAGGATAAGCCTTCTCCTCCGGTAGACAGGCTCTAGCAGAATCCAAGTCCCCTTCCTCCAGATATTCGCGTATTTTGTGCATTGTATCCGTCACATCGACAATAGAAACAATCCACTCATCGACATAGCTTTCTACTGCCCCGAGGCCTAGCCCAATCTGAATTGAACGATACTCCAAGGGCTGATGCTTGAGATCGCGCTCTGGGTCCCATTGGATGCGGACGGGACTCTCACGTAATTGCTGCTGCCATTGTTCTTTGTCCTTTGCAATATCCTTCCTCTGGTCACCCCAATGACTCAAGCACGAATGCTGTAGAGCCCATTCGAATCCCTTGCGCGTAATCTCGATGGCTAGTACACGCTCCTGGCGTGGTTTTGTTGCCCATCCGCAGCGGTATGCCATCCACAGGAATGAGGGCTTGATCCATGTCATGCGGGTGCGGGAGAAAGGTGGTTGAAAGGTTTGTGCTTGAAGGGCAGGGTCAGCGATTTCGGATGAGTAGGCTTGGTAGACGGTAATAGTAGTTGGTGTGTAGGTCGCGCGGATAGCTCTGTAGCTATTAGACTGAATGGTTGGGTTTGTCGGCATTGTGGTTTGTGTTATGGTTTTATTCGTGTGATGGTTGTAGTTATTCTTGGATTGAAAGATAATCGGTCGGAAAATAATAAGCAGTTCGAATTCGTCAAGACTTTGAACATAACATCACCTTTAACTGACTTCGGACTTTCGTTCTGACTCACACGCTCCAAAAAAAGGGTGGCTACCTAGGTTTAGTACACCGCCTGCTCACAGCCTCACTCACGTATCTTCAAGGCCAATTTTTAACAAGTCGATCACCCTCCTTTAACGTAAATGTCCATGGCTGAGTGGCTAATATGGTTGGGACGCTTAATATAAATAATACGGTGGAGTGGGCATATAGCTAAGAGGGGTCACACTAGTACTAAGACTGAGAGGGGTTACCAACTAGCGGTATGTAACCCCTTTTAGGTATGTACCGTAGGCTCAGAGGGCCTTGCATGCAGCCTGTATTAGGTCATTAAAAGCTTAATGTGAAATTGTTTCTTCTTTAGCCTAGACCAGTATACGGCTTTGCTGGCATTTAGCGCGTTCGCGAACTTTACCCCTACCCCATACCCCGCTCTCCCGAGTTCTCCTCTCTGAATCGATTATCCAAGCAGTGGTAAGTAATTTCTACCAAGGAAAAAAGCGATTAAAATACACATCAAATGACATGAAAATAGGAAATTACGGTAGGCCTAGTGTTATATTACTATTAATCAAAATTACCCTGCCTAGTTACTTAGTAGATACTGTATCTAGGAGGCGTCTTTAAAGCTCGAATAGCCCAAGTGCGAAAGTTTGGTATAACAAGAATTATTTATACGTGGATTTTTAGCCCCGTTAGGATGATATGTGACGACGCCTCTAGACCTGATCGTGGAGACGTAAAATATCGCCCATGAAATAGTTTTGTTATAACTAGTCCTTTTGCACGGTCGTCACAATTCTGGCGGAAAGGCAAATGCCTGGCCTATCATCAGATTGAACTTGTCCATGGAAGGCCTACATGAGAATCTGAATATGTTGCCAAGTGGATGGAACAAAGGAAGACCCGGGTAGGATTTGAGCGCAATCGACATCTAAAGCGGGTTTGATACGTGAACATGGGGCATAGAGACTTCCCAGTTGCCAACCCCATCTAAGAGCGAGCACAGTGCACCAGTTTTGTCGTAAACACCAACGCAACAGATGCTTATTCACCAGCTGTGTTGAATTATCTCTTAATATTATCTGTCCGATTGCAACTTTCTACATCCCGGAGTGGGGACGTTGTCACTGTCCCTTTGCTAGCCATAGCCTTCCAACTTATCTCTTATCAGTCATTTGAATCCTTTACCAACGCTGAATACCTCACCGAATAGTATCCCGCCGTTAATTCTGTCTTTGCACTCTACATTTGCTGAGAATGGGTTTCCAAATGATGTACATGTGGGGGCCGTTGAAGGAAATTGGCCTCCAGGTTGGGCCACGCACCGAAATGCGAGGACGGTGAAACCGCATGGATGTAGAAGAAATTCTGAACGGAACTAATCACTTGTTAATTTAAGCTGCCCATCTATGTCCTCGGACCCGGACTGAGGAGCTTATGCTTTTGTATAGTCCCCCCCAAATTTATAAAGGGTTCTGATTAAGCAACGGGTGATACCTAGTTAGTTAGTCTTTACAGTGACATCTACCCATGAAATCCATATCTCGCGGCTACCATTTTGGATCACCAGGCCCATGTAATGCAGAATCGCAACAGGGATTATTTAAATCCTACACTGTGCTCTATACTTCCACCAACTAAGGACTTCGACTCCTCTCTTCCTTTAGGCATCACGGCCCGCACGGGCCGGGTTTTGGCTGCATGTCCGACCAAGGTCGATCGACGATGTGAGTTTGTTTTGGATGCTGACTACACCTCTTCAGACACGGTAGACCCGGCATATTTTGGATGCGGATCCCAAGTCCGAGGTAGTATAAAGAGAGAATCTTGCTCCATTATATGATAGTACGTTTTCCCAGAAAGTCAAGTACAGTCAAGGACAAATCAAGCCATGGATTTAATTATTTTTTTTGCGACTTTTGTTTTCGCTCTATTTGGTGAAGTATCTGGCCAATCTTCTTGTGCTTCTACCTGGTATGTTCTGACAATCTTCATGCTTCATGGTTGTGTGACTCTTAACAGTTCGCAGGGGCCAATGTGGTGGAAGTAATTTCAATGGAGCAACCTGCTGTGTTAGTGGAGCAACCTGCTCCGTTCTAAATCCATATTATTCTCAGTGTGTTCCAAGTACTCAGGTTAGTGTCTTGAGAAACGCTTCTCACTCGATTATTTCTCAGTTTGTTAATTCTAGAAGGTATCAGGATCTAGTTCTACAGGTTCTACAAGTTCCACAGGTTCCACAGGTGCTACAATCTCTAGCACAATCTCTACCTCGAATCAAGGAGTGACCACAACTTCTACGTATACGACCAGTACTTCCTATTCCACAGGAACTGCTACGCAGCCGGAATATCCCTCCGCAAATGCTAGCTCTTGTGGATCTTGGGAGCTCGTTGACAATGTTTGTTGTCCATATTACTGTTTATCCAATAATGAATCAGAGTCCTGTACTAGTGGTTGCACGGGTGGATGTGGATCCCCTCCCTCCTCAATGTGCAAGTCTGGTACTATGTGTAAGATATCATTTCGATCGTTGTAGCTTCCACATTTATCTTCAAGGCTGACTTATATTGGCAACAGGGGGAGAACAATCTACAGTCGGGTCTGATGAAGATTGGCACTATAGTGTGAGTATGGCAGACTACTACTAAGGTTCAGAGCCGATGCTAACAAATGCACACACAGCGATCCACACATTTCGGGCTTACCAGCGGAGGGGCTTGCGGGTTTGGACTCTATGGTCTCTGCACCAAGGGCAGCGTCACCGCAAGCTGGACAGACCCGATGCTCGGATCAACTTGTGATGCGTTCTGTACTGCATATCCACTCTTATGTCAGGATCCGTCAAACGTCACCTTACGAGGAAATTTTGCGGCGCCAAATGGTGACTATTATACACAGGTATTCCTGAAACTATCCTTAGCACTGTATCAGTGCCGCTTTATATACGACTCCATTCACTAATATATGCCTAGTTTTGGCCTTCACTAAGCGCAGCTTCGTCAGGCGACCCAGACAACTATCTTTCATGCGGAGAATGCTTTGAACTCATACGCACCAAGGCGGATGGGACTGACTACGCTGTAGGGGAGGATGGCTATACTGACCCAATATACTTGGAGATCGTGGATAGCTGCCCCTGTGATGCTAATTCTAAGTGGTGCTGTACGTACATTTCTGTTAATGATCAACTGCACGGAAAGAATTATTTGCTAACGGATCATCGCAGGTGGTTCTGGTGCTGATCACTGTGGCGAGATTGACTTCAAATACGGCTGCCCCCTTCCTGAGGATAGTCATCATATGGACTTGTCTGACATTGCAATGGGCCGCTTGCAAGGTAACGGTAGTCTTGCTGACGGTGTAATTCCTACTCGATATCGGCGTGTGCCCTGTCCCAAGCCCGGCAATGCGTATGTTTGGTTGCGAGACGGCGGTGGTGCATATTATTTTGCATTGAGTGTGGTTAACACGAACGGCGTTGGGTCCGTCACTGCGGTCGAGGTTAAGAGCGCTGGTCAAAGCTCCTGGGTTGCACTTGATCACGATCCAAACTACACGAGCAGTCGGCCGCAAGAGCGATATGGTGCTTGGGTTTTGCCCCAGGGCGCTGGACCATTCTCACTGCCCATTGGTATCAGAGTTACATCACCAGACGGACAACAGATTGTGAATGAGGGTGCTATCACAACCTTCACTGCGCCAACTGGATCAGTCGCGGGCTTTTACTATATTGACCTTGGCGTGCAATTTACTTAGGATATATGCAGGAACTGGGGGCATCGAAGATAACAGCTGGTGTGCCCGGCTTGCTTGTGTATCCCAAGTGTGGACGGGGTTGGAGGCTCCCATCATCATCCTTTGCACAACGGCTCATTGATAAGTGGAATTTTTGAGGTCATTGAGATGTTCCTTGCGGCAAGAGCTAATCGCTATCTCGATGGAAGAAGATTTATCCAAATTTAGATTCTTACCCGTTGAATAAGCTTTTCTGCAGGATTCTCTGATGTCGCCTGTTTTCAAAACTCATTCCGTATCCAGCATTCTTAATGAGCTTTTCGGTGGTGGCGGCCGTCATAATAAATCCAACGGCCATAGATGAATGGTTCCTCAATCAACCCATCAACCCCCTGAGTACTAGTTCGTACAAATAATGATGGACGGCATGCTATGTATCGAGTGTCAACCTTACCCCACAGGGGCTTGAGAAACTTTGAATCCCGTATATTCTGGACTAGTTTATTATTTGCATGACATAGAACTCGAATATCAAAAGCCAGTTAGGTTCTGCTCTTTTTGAAAATTGTGAATATCTCACTGTACTCGAAAATGCTAATGAATCCCAACATGGGTCCTATGAAACTTCCAACCGATACTGTTTTCGAAGGCACATCCATATCAGACCTGGGTCTGTTGCGAACATGACTTTCGTGGGTTGACGACGAAGAGACACCCTCTGTTAGGGTACCATCGAGGAGCGCCATTTTGAACATACAGCGGCACTAACAGACTCCTGTAGCCAACGAATCTGTATAATTATCCGTACCCCGCACAACCCCTATGTGTTGAAGTTCTTTTCCACGAATCTTGCTTCATGGTTCATTTAATAGCTTGCATCGATGTCTATAATATTTCCGAAATCTGAGGTGCAGCCCCAACGTGAGAGTGCCAGTTGACTCCTCTTAGACCTCCTCCAGACCGAAAGAAACTTGCCAGGACGGAGGTCACCCCTTTACCTCCGCGCTCAATTTCGTCTCCGCAATATCTAGGGTTAATCCAGCCAACTCCGCAGTGGTGGCGGACGCCACGAGGATCCCGACGAAGGTAAAAGCTGACAGTCACCATCAAAATCAAATCAGGCTATAAAGCAGGCGAGGAATTGGTATATAACAGGAAATGATCGAGGGCCATAGAAAGAAGATTTCGTCATTATAGCTGCACCACATAAAGATCGGGCTTGAATGAGAGCCAATAGATAACTGGTCTCAGTCGATCTCAAAATTTTGACAGTTTTCTTGTTCCTAAGTAGGAATAATCGAAACGAACAAAGTCAATGCAAAAAGCCTTGCAAGTAAGCTGCATAAATTATTCAAGGATGCTGGTACTCATTTTGGCGCCTTTCTGCCAAGGGCGCCTAGCTTTTCTGTATTTTCCCGACCTGTGATGCTAAAGGAGGGGGTGTGTCTCATCATGCGTTTCGGATGCAATTTAGATGATTCGCGTCACTTCCCTCATATAAAAATGCAGTAAGTTTCGGCTGCTTATCCGATCTTGACACGGACTAGGTGAACTAGCTGTCGCGTGGCGCTTTTCTTCAAATCAGGAGGATCATTGCCTTTTGTTGATTCGAGGAATGGCGAGTCAATAACATATTATCCGGAGCTCTACCAATGTGGATCCACTCTCAATGAAAGCACCCTGACAATGATCGTTTCGAGTCTTAAGTGAACACCCATCAACGATAATACAGTGCAGGTATAAAGTCGACCTACTCTGTCAACCAGAGATGATGGCAGACACCTGCGACTTCAAAAGAATAGGAGCGACCGAACCTTTTCCCTTCGGATTGCAAAAAGAAATTTCATAACACTTCAATGAACATGTTGAAAGTATTTGCTCCAGCGTTGCTGGCTACATTAGTAGCCGGTCATGGTCATGTCACAAACATTGTGATCAACGGGGTCTCCTACGAGGGATGGGACATCGACTCATTTCCCTACGAGACAGATCCCCCTACCGTCGTGGCATGGGGGACTCCAAACACAGCCAATGGCTTCATCACACCAGGTCAGTCCAATAATATGATCTCCTCTCCCAGAACAATATACCCCTACTCTGTCATCGTTCTCAATTTCGTTTACCCTGAGAAGCGATACTGATTATCTGACTAGATGACTATGACACATCGGATATCATCTGTCATCTGAACGCAACGAATGCCAAGGGACATGCTGTGGTGGCCGCAGGAGACAAGATTAATCTCCAGTGGACAGCTTGGCCTGATACACACCATGGCCCGGTGATTGACTACCTCGCGAGCTGTGGTGACTCATGCGAAACTGTGGACAAAACGACACTCAAATTCTTCAAGATCGATGGCGTGGGTCTCGTGGATGACACCGCTGTTCCCGGCACCTGGGGCGACGATCAGTTGATCGCCAACAACAACAGCTGGCTAGTCGAAATTCCTCCCACGCTGGCTCCCGGAAACTACGTCCTGCGACACGAAATTATTGCCCTACACAGCGCCGGGACCGAGGATGGCGCCCAGAACTATCCCCAATGCTTCAACCTGCAAGTCACTGGCTCGGGGTCAGACCAACCCTCGGGCGTACTTGGCACGGAGCTTTACAGTCCTACAGATGCTGGTATCATTGTCAACATCTATACATCGCTATCAACTTATGTTGTACCTGGACCCACAGCTTACAGCGGCGCTGTCTCTATCACACAAGCCTCCTCAAGTATCACTGCATCTGGAACTCCAGTGACAGGATCGGGCGGTGCTGCGACCACCAGTGCCGGTAGCAGCACCACAAGCAGCGCAGGAAAAACCTCTTCAACCACTACGGCTGTCGCATCGACCCCCACGAGCGTATCAACCACTCTGACAACAAAAGTCAGTACAAGCAGCACTCAAACTATTACCAGCACGACATCTACAACCTCCGCCGCCTCAGGTAGCGGTGGTTCAACCCAATCTGTGTATGGGCAGTGTGGAGGTACTGGCTGGTCCGGTGCCACTGCTTGTAACGCGGAGGCTACTTGCAGTTCGATGAATCCGTACTACTATCAATGTGTCCCAACAGCTGTTTAGCGTCGGTCTAGATTTTTGATGTTTTCATTCCTGCAGCCGTTTTCATCTTTTTGTCAACTCTCCGATTCCTTGTGAAGTATAGCAATGAAAGCAAATATTTCTTCATACATTATTTCAGTTTCATGAGCGTTACGTTAGTAGCACTGCGTGGTATCAGTTCAGTGCTACTACCAGGAATGATAAAGTGTCAAGGCTTCCATTGTGGCATCTTGCCCCAAGTAAAAGAGTGCTGTACCATTGACAGTGCCGTTTCAAGGATCGGTTTGGATAATGAACGGGCTAGCCATCCGATTGGACGAAATATTCGGGTCTTCCACTTTGCAGTGGAGTAGAGCCCTTTTGCCTCTCCCGCTATACCCAAAGTGAAGTCGCCCTTGGGCACGAGGCTACGCGTCTGTTTCGCACAGTTTCCTCTTCATTCCCCCTCCAACGAAGCAATTCTCCCACATTCCACCATGGCTTCTCCCGATAACAGCCTCCCCGAAGGCTATAAACTTCAAACCGGCTACCCTTCGACCTCCCAATATATACATCTTCGCTCCGTGGCCGGACTCTCGGCGAAAACACCATCCCAGGCGGCAGCCGTTCCCACTGGCAGCTGGTTTGGCTGTTACATCACCTTCGAGACCACCAAGGATGATCCACAACTGGTTGGTATGGGAAGAGTGATTGGCGATGGTGGCTGGTATTTTCATATTGCCGACATGGCCGTGCACCCTGATCACCAGAGGAAAGGCCTTGGGGATGTCATTCTCAAGGGGCTTCTCCAGCACATCCACCGGGAGGCCCCTGCCGATGGCAAGCCCTATATCACGCTGTTTGCCGATGAGCCAGGACGGAGGCTATACTATAAGAATGGATTTGTGGACGCAGCACCCGGTCAACTAGGCATGGCCCTGAAATAAATCAAGTCATGCTCCAAGGCACTTCGGGCTGCCATTCGATTCGAAAGTATGTCCGGCGATTCATAGACGAATAGAATTGGCCAAGAGCTCTATCCTTTTCAGGTGAAGAGATTGTAATCCTCTCACAAGTTTTCAATGGGAAGCAGATTTACCCATAAACCTATCTTCGGCCACTTCTTGGAATTATTCCCCACTAAGCCTCCCCACACCTCAATTGTCTACTTAACCCCGCATTTTCTTGCAATTGCAAATGTGCAAGTGATAAAAACATGAATTAGACGAGGGATAAGGCAGAAAGGTATCACTATAGAGTATCCGTACTAGATTTCACAGCATGATCGAATCTTCAAGTAACTGCTTCTGCTAGCCTAGAATGGCCTAGGCATTGAATGTCGGCAAGGAGAACCGGGTTGAGTTATTAACTCCGACCTAAGAGGATATAATAGGAAGATAATAAAGAAGTAGGCCGGACATTAGATAAAGATAGGTTAAATTATATAAGAATTATCTTTTGCTTCTTTCTCTGTCTTTTCTAATTATATTATATAGGGGGTTATATATTGTATTAGTATAGAATTTTATGATAGCTTAATTCGCTGGAACCAGAGATCCTATAGTTAGTATTATTGTACTATTATTGTTGAGATTCCACATATAACCGTATAGACTGAAAATGTCGCTCATGAAGCATTTTTGGCCTAGCGGTTATCCTGCATCGTCATCAGAATATATAGGACAAGGAGTTAGAATATAACACCCTCGTCGCGTTACATGTATGTTAGCGTATTTTTGCACTAAAATTAGCCCAACCACGATCGGCGGGGAAACGACCAATGGTCCTCTCTACTACCCACAGGTTCCCGAATGCCTAAAGTGGAAATAGGGCCCGACCGAACTAAACGACGTGCCCGACTGCCATGACAGATTATTTCGCGTGGGCGATCAAGAAACAGCCGCGGCCCTAGCGTAACGAATATCCCGATCGAGGAATTCAGTCCATTTGCTGTGGCGGCTTTCCCGAACTCGATTTGCTCTACGGCTATCTGATGTTCCGTTTGCCCGCGTTCAGCGCTGTCAGTAATATATGAAACACTAATTCCGATGATACTTCGTTCTCCTCTGCAAGTGTCCCCAGAGCCACCACATCCATACTTTTCCACCCTTGACATGAGTGCTCTTCCTATCGAGGGTAAGGACAAGGCCTTGCCTCAGCTATTTGTCAACGATGGCCCGTTGGCACCAGAGCGTGTAGCCCGTCTCAAACCATCCTCGCCAGACGAACCCGTCGAGGACCTCCGGGCTCGTCTGCACAGCGATGGGTACCTGTTCCTCAAGCAGCTTATGCCCCGAGCTGATGTGCTGAAGGCGCGAGAGGAGTATTTCAAGTTCCTATCTCCCAGCGGCGTCCTTAAGCCAGGTTCCGCGCCTGTCAATGGCATCTATGATAGCTCAAAGGACACCTCTGCCTTTCCCGGTATTGGCGCCGGCTCAACTGGAGAGAACTCGCGCCCCAGCGCGGAACAGGCCCAGCTCTTTGTCGATCTGGCAATCCAGGCTCATCGCGAGGACTGGTACGCAGAGACATTTTGCCGGAACACGGTCCTATCAGCGTTCATCGCCCGGCTGACAGGATGGGGCGACAAAACGTTGCTCCTCCGGCGTAGTCTGCTGCGTAATAACATCCCCGGTACAAAGGCCATCGGTGTACACTACGATCAGATCTTCCTGCGCTGGGGCGACCTCTCGAACCTGACGGCATGGTGCCCGATGGGGGACATCAGCATCGATGGTGGGGGGTTGATCTACCTGGAGAGCAGCCAGGAGCTGGCCGAGCAGTTTGAAAATGACTTCTCCGAGAGAGCCAAAGAGAGCAGATTCTCGGAGACGGACAGCAAGAATGCGTTCAACAGCAACATGCTATCCAACGGGCTGCTGTCGAACGATCCAGCCAAATTTGGGCAAAGGCATGGGAAGCGGTGGCTGGCGTCGGACTACGAGGCTGGAGATGTGGTGTTGCATTTGCCTTACATGGTGAGTCTTGATAGTGGAGCAGGTTGACTTTTGACTGAGCAGCACTGACATCCGGGCAGATTCATGCATCGACAATCAATTACAGCCCGGAAGATGTGATCAGACTGGCAACTGACATTCGATTCTGCGACAGTTCCAGGCCCTATGATAAGAGATGGTGTAACTTTTTTGACGTGAAGTAAGTTATTTTCAAGACATCTTTACAGGGGAGCTGTGTTTTTTTTTTTTTTTTCCAATTTCGCTAACACGCTGTTTACAAGTGACGGTGTATGATCACGCTTCAGATCGTGTCCAGTTAGTAGAAAGTGCTCTTTCTTCAAACGTTTAGCCGCGGTGTCAATTCAAACCATAACATATTATATTTTCAACCAGTACCGTTCCAAGTCTGTTTCAATGTTTTCGCAATAGAAGCCGTTGGCCACCCTCGTTTACCCTCCGTAAACTCCAGCAAAAAGCACAGCCGCTCCTGATCTCTCGGGTCATCAAAACAGTCTCCGCACAGAGCAATCGCCATGCAGGAAATCAAGATGGCCGCAGGACTCGACGGGTTCGACAAGCCAACACCACACATGACCCAGACACATTGCTGCACGTTCTCTCTTACGGATTGAATCGCAGTTCGATGCGCCGGGTCTCTGTGAGAAATAGCCGGGTCGTTCCTATCGAGTACAACCCGAGCGAGAGAGAGGAACTGGGCCGCTATGATCTGGTCTTCAGTGGCATAGCGAATATCTGGGAAATCACTGCCTCCGTCTCTGTAGAAGAACGGCTGCGGGACGCTGTGCAAAGCTCTACGGTTGTACTCCAGAAGGTCATGGTGCAGCGATCGTGGGTCATCTCCGTATGCGAATAGAATGGTCTCTGCGCAGTGAAGGGTCGCTGAGCAGGCCAGGGAATACCTGTCGCCTGGCTGGACCGCCTGGAGTGTGCGGAAGAGCTGCAGGTCCAGACGGATGGGACGCCGGTCTCTCAGTGACATGTATATCTCTTGTCGGAGACAGGCCCAGTAGGCTGCCTGGCGCAGCCCTGAGTTCATGCCCACGCGCTCCTGTGCACGGACTAGGGACTGAGCGCCCAGAAGATGGCCCTGTGGGTCTGCTCCCACGATCGGCACGTCAATCTCTTCCAGGAGCCGTAGAATGATTACAATAATGAGGAGCGTCTCGTCAAAGACGGACGGGCCGTCGTTGAGCGCCGGTATCAGGGTTCGTAGACAGTCATCATAGTGCCGGTCCGCGACGGTGGGTTCGAAGTCGCTGATGCGGCTGAGATGGCGAGCGGACAGGGCGAAGACGGCGCTCAGGAGAGTGCTGCAGGTGCGGACACGCTGGGGTACCACGGTTGCGAAGTGGCGCTCCTTGTCACAGAAGTCGAACTGGCAAAGGGGGTGAATCTTTTGCACACAGGCTAGGACTTGCAGCGAGGCATCTCGCGAGCTCACTTACAAATAATGATACATGGTTGATGAAGTGCTGTAGGAGAGTTGCCTCTTCGGGGTCTTGCAAGGGCCAGGTTGGCGGGTCCAGGTAAATACGGCCCAAGGGGGTTGGCGGTAGATAGGGGCTGGTATTGGCATCTATGGAGGTCGTATCCGCCCGAAAGGGCTGAGGCGTCGGCAAGTGCAGAAGTACATCCCGCGAAGACCGGTCGGGCTGAGCTGGTGATGTAGATGTAGACGTAGATTCCTGGACTGGGGATGGCGGGGCGGAAAGAGAAGAAAGAGAAGACGGGGAAGAAGAGCCCGAGTTCTCTGCAGGTATGCTCGACCCGGCAGTAGTTTCCTGGGAAAAGGAGGCCACGGCTGCAGTCGTAGTTGGTAAGGTTGTGCTGATCTGCGTGTCCTTCGCATTACCATGGCCGGAGGACCGGGCACCGCACGGCTCCACGACGTTGACGTTGACAAAATCAACCACACCTTTGGCAGGTAGCGGCAGCCAGGTCTGGCAGGACGAGAACGACCGCCCCACTCCCTGGCGCGAGGCCTGGTAGAACTGACGGGGCGGCTGGCGCACGCAGTTGCGCCGGGCCCGGACACACCGGCCACAGCGAGGAAGCCGTTCGTCGCCTGGTACAGAGAAGATATCAGCCGGAGTGTTGGCTTTGGAGAGCAAAAAGTCCCCTACATTTGTAATGGCAGCGCCGACATGCCGTGCTGGTCCGTGAGAGACAGTCAGAAACACATCTGTTCCATATGCTGCTGGGCCAGGAGAAGGAGACCTCACCAACTCATCGTGAGCGACTGTCAGCGAATGGGAAAATGGTGCATATTGATCGTGATCAGCTTCCAGATACCTGAACTGACGGCATGGTCGGGGTGAGCTGCCGTTTTTAAACAACCTTTCCTCTGGCTCGTCCGCTTTCTGGTTTTAGTTCAGATTATCCCGTTGCTTGAATAATCATCATCTCCCCCGCTTGCCCCGCATATCCGGGGATGAGGATTGTGGAGTCGTGCTTACGGTGGAGCTGCAGAGACCGCGAAGGAGGAACTCTGTGAAGCATTGGCCAACTCTGATGTAACGTTGAAAATGGCTAGAATTGCGGACAGTAGTGCAGACACGGCTGGATGACTTCTAAAGGAGGCATGAGGCCGCGAAGGACAAAACGTACGTAGACAGACTCGGGCTAGTGACTAGGATCCACAACAACTTATCTCCACAAGGTTCATTATTAGCCGAAGGGCACAGAGCAAACGAAATAAGTGAGAGATCTTGTCCAAACAATAAATGACCGTATAGACTAAGAATGTTGCCTAGAGTGCATTGTTGGTCTAGTGGTTGGTATTTGGCCCCTATATTTCGTATCTTTCAATACCCGCGTCTCAGCCATATGCTCTCGCTACCAGCTCAGAGCTCATCTTTGTCCCCGCCAGGCTGCTGTCTCATTCGCAGCATCGCCACCCCGTGTGCCTTCACATTCACCGTGACTTTCCCGCCCGGTGACACCGTCCCGACCTTGGTGCCCATCAGTGCCGTGCTGTTGGACGGCGGCGTCTGCGCGTAGACCTCCCTGGGCGAGCCGCCGTGCGCAGTCATGTTGAATGGGATCGTGGCGTTGCCCGCAATGATGCCTGCCGCCTGGGCGTTCGACAGCCGATCCGCCCATAGGTCATAAATCTCCCACGCCTCCCGGACCTGCGGCGCTCTGCCGCCCACCCCGCTCTCCCAAAAGATCTCCTCGAGCGTAGCGTTCATGTCTCGATCCCGGGTGCCCGCGTTGAGGAACAGTACCAGTTGGTCGCCGCCCGAGAGCGGGCCCGTGAAGAGCTGGATCTCGCCCTGGCCGAAACTGTCGGTGTCATTGACGAAGTAGCGCCAGCGACGGGTCGCAGAGGAGCCGGCCGAATCCTGCGAGACGGCCAGCACGGCCGTGTTCTGCAGGATGGACAGCGTGCGGGCGTCGATCTCGGCGAACACGTTGGTCATGATCATCGGGGACTTCATGGCGGCCCAGATCGAGAAGTGGGTGATGTACTCCTCGTCAGTCATTGCACCGTTCCCAACCTCTGTCTTGAGACGTTATCTCCCAATAATCCCAAGATTTCTTCATGAAAGGGAGATGAAAAAAGTGCCATGGAGAGACTTACGCAGAAGATCCATATCGTTCCAAGCTCCGGGAAAGGCCTTGGAGGGGAAGTAGACGACCTTGTTCACCACGTTCATCAAGGAGCAGTAAAAGCCAGGAACCTTACAGTCCAGGCCCTCCTTCTCGACGCAAGGGCATTGCGGATCATCCCGGTCAAAGGTGTCGATCAGGTCCCCCGTGATGCGCCACGAGTTGGCGATGGTCGGACCAAAGAGCCACGGGCCGTCGACACCCCAGTTGCACATGCTGTACAGCATGGGCCGGCCGGTCTTGTTGAGGGCCATGCTCATGGCGTTATAGCGGTCATAGGACAGCTTCTCGGTGCCTTCCTCACCCTCGTTGAAGCAGTTGTCGTACTTGACGTAGTCGACACCCCATTCGGCCCAGACGGCGGCGTCCTGGTCTTCGTGGCCTAGGGAGCCGGCGTAGCGCGCGCAGGTCATGGTGCCGGCGCTGGAGTAGATGCCGATCTTCATGCCCAAGTCGTGGATCTGGTCGGCCAGGCCCTTAATGCCGTCAGGGAACTTGGTCATGTTGGGCTGCAGGTATCCCGTGGCGTTGCGGCCGTCCGACCAGCAGTCATCCAGGATGATATACTCGTAGCCAATATCCTTGAAGCCGTATTGGACGATCTTCCGGGTCGTGTCCAGGATGACATTAGCGTTGAGGTCGCAACCAAAGGAACTCCAGGTATTCTATTTTGAGGACGTGTTAGTTCCCGTCTCTTCCATGTGTCGGTCAATGGATGCGGTCAAGATGTTTGGGGACATTTACCCATCCCATCTGGGGAGTGCGGGCGAGGCCATTGTCCAACGCTGAGACAGTCCCAATGCCGAGGACAGCAGCCAAAACGGCCGCGCCGAGCTCCAATTGCATCATGATGGAACGGCAGTGTGTGAATGTATGTGTGTATAATGCAGCTGTCGCTTGTTTGGTTCCTATTCTAATCCCGCAGCGGGACTTTCCAGATACCACTTGAGTTCAATGTGAAGGAGGAGTCGGCAGCACGCAAAAAGAGCGCGACCTCACATATTTATAAACATCTTAATAGATCGACCAACCGGGAAAGAATAATCCATAGGAGGCAGGTCATATTCTCTACAAGAAATACGGATGAAATAGTATTGAATAATACTGGAAGATACATCAAGTAGTAGTACTACTAAGTAATTCTCTACCTAATTAGGTATATATATCTTGTATAGAGATATATTGGCACAGATCGGGCATTCCCCGCACTCTCAGTCGGCCCCACATTCCCCTTTCCCAAAATGAAGAACCTTAATGGAAACAGCAGAGACCTTCTATACTACTAAAAAGCCCCGAAGGCGCTGGGCGGCTATTCCACTCCTCCTTGCCCCGAAAGCAGTAACTGGCTACGACTCTCCAGCAGCATGCAGCATTGATGGGTTCCATATGCCCAACAGGGAAGCTAATGCCGCTCGTAGTTCCAACTCCCCGGTGATCTTGCAAAATATTAGAGCAACGTGAGGACCCACGGATTCTCCATCAGATCACTCTTCTTCGAGTTTCTCTGCGGTTACTGTTTTCGCTAATTCCCGTCCCCCAAGATGAAGCCCATTGGAAACATCTACGCCATCGCCGCCGTAGCAATTGTCGGTGGTGGCCTGTTTGGTTTTGACATCTCTTCCATGTCTGCCATGTAAGCCTTCCACAGCAGCAAGTAATATACCTCGACATGAAAACTAACCACCATGCCCAGCATCTCTACACAGCAATATCTCTGCTATTTCAACCAGTCTCCGGAGACCTATGACCCGAGCAAGGATGTCCAGCAGTGTGCTGGCCCCAGGCCGGACGTCCAGGGCGGCATCACGGCCTCTATGGCAGGGGGCTCGTTCTTCGGTGCCCTCATCTCTGGTCCCCTGTCTGACATCTTCGGCCGCAAGACGTCCATTCAAATTGGCTCCGTGATCTGGTACACCCCATGCTGCATCCTAATCGCCCCTACCTTGTTCTTGTGTTAACCACCAGCTCAGGTGCGTCGGGTCCATCCTGGTCTGTGCCGCCCAGAACATCCCCATGCTCATCATTGGCCGCATCATCAACGGCATCTCCGTCGGCATCTGCTCCGCCCAGGTCCCCGTCTATATCACGGAGATCGCACCGCCCACCAAGCGCGGCCGCCTGGTCGGCGCCCAGCAGTGGGCCATCACCTGGGGTATTCTCATCATGTACTATATCTCCTACGGTTGCTCCTTTATCGGTGTCAATCATCACCCGCCCTCACCCACCGCGTTCAGGCTCCCCTGGGGCCTGCAGATGATCCCGGCAATCTTCCTGTTCTTTGCCTTGTTCCTGCTTCCTGAGTCGCCGCGCTGGCTGGCCAAGAAGGATAGGTGGGAGGAGGCCGAGGATGTCATTGCTCTGGTGCACGCCAAGGGCGATAAGACGAACGCCTTTGTCATCTCCGAGATCCAGGAGATCAAGGCCTTTTGCCAGTTTGAGAGGGAGAATGCCGATGTAACCTGGTTCGACCTGGTCAAGCCAAACATGATCTGGCGGACGCATATTGCCGTCTTCACTCAGTTCTGGTCGCAGCTCACTGGGATGAATGTTATCATGTACTATGTTACGTATGTTTTCGCGATGGTAAGATGCCCTTCGTACACAAATCACGGCCGCTGCCGTATAACGACGCTCACTCGTCGTGCTAACCATTCTCTCTAGGCTGGTCTCTCCGGTAACGCCGGCCTCATCGCGTCATCAATTAACTATGTGATCAACGTCTGTATGACGATTCCAGCTCTCCTGTTTATTGACCGCATTGGCCGACGTCCTGCTCTCGTTGGTGGCGCCATATCCCTGGCTATCTGGTGGTACGTCACGGCAGGTATTCTTGCTACTTACGGCCATCACGCTCCACCAGGAGGACTGGACCACATCCCCGCCGAGTCATGGGTCATCTCTGGGGCCCCGTCCAAGGCCGTCATTGCTGCGTCCTATCTCATTGTAGCCTCATTTGCCCCGACCTGGGGCCCTGTATCGTGGACATACCCACCAGAGCTGTTCCCTCTTCGCCTCCGTGCCAAGGGCGTATCTATCTCCACTGCAGCCTGCTGGGCCATGAACTTTGCGCTTGGATACTTCACTCCGCCATCGTTCGTCAACATTGCCTGGAAGACCTACCTCAGTGAGTGCAAGCCTAACGACACAAAATCCCCTTGCTCTCGTGACAAAAAGCCCAGCTAACCTTGACTCCTTAGTTTTCGGTGTCTTTTGCACTGCCATGGCCATTCACTCTTTCCTGTGCTTCCCTGAGACAGCAGGCAAGCCACTAGAAGAGGTCGAAGAAATTTTTGCCCTGAAAACTCCGGCCTGGAAGACGAAGGGCGGCTTCGCTCAAGGACTAGAGATGGAGAAGGGCGAGCACGCTACTGAGAAATATCTGCAGTTTGCACTACACAAGAAGGAGGATGTGCCGGTTTGAAATTGGCGGTCTGTTCTGGCGAGCCAGAAAACTGGCTAAGAAATTGTCTCTGAAATTGTCTCTGAAATTGTCTCTGAAATTGTCTCTTTGATACAACTTACACCAGTTATGGCCAACCAAGCAAGGGGAATTTGTAACTAATTAACGTAATTCCTGGTTGGCATTCGCAAACCGCCTTGAAGCCTTCCTTTCGCGACCGTTCTTCTAATGATTCCAGCACACTCCAAAATTTGTCATAGGCAAAAATTTCAACTTAGCCCCAGTGGTATTTGACCACATCCCTGAAAAGGAGAAGTACATTTTCCAAGGCAGGCAGCCGGGATCAATCGATGATGAGGCGCCAAGGGGAAATAAAGTTAAGAAATCTAAACACAACTTTACTCACAGAATGCTTGACCAGAAGCCTCTTAACAGTACAGGTGATCAGGTTAGAATCACTGACTCAAAGAATTTCCCCATCTCCAAGACTATTATACAGCCTGACGCAATCCGAGAGATGCACTGGCACCCCAACGCAGATGAATGGTCATTTTTTATCTCAAGACGTGCTAGAGTCACGATTTTTGCCGCACAGGGTACTGCAAGGACTTTCGACCACCTACCTGGTGATGTTGGTATTGTACCGCGGAACATGGGGCACTTCATTGAAAATATCCGTAATGAACCCGTCGAAATGTTGGAGATTTCCCGTTCAGATGAATTTCAGAATATCTCCTTGTTTAAATGGATGGGCAAGACACCTCAGAAGCAGTCATTGATACCCTCTTTGCCGATGATCGGGAAAGCGGCAAGCTCGGTTTGGACAGGATCAGGGACGCTGACAACAATGTTATCACTAAGCCCGACGTTGTCAGGCCGCGAAGTGGGAAGAAGCCGTAGTTACCACGGGCGGGAAAATGAATAGATATCCTGGGCGGTATCCAGGATTACTTTTGAGTATTTTTCAGGAAGTTCCTGCCGTTCAAGTTGTATTCTCCCTTATTGGTTAAGCTAGGTTATTCTCATCACTTTCCCAATACTTATCTCAAGGGCATTAGTTGCAAACACATGCTTAACGGATCATAGTAAAATTCGCCTCTTAAATCATATTTCCCAATTAGAGGCTATTCGTCTCGTGAGATTTCTTGTATATTTACCATATGAGTATTGCTACTCCTACTGCTAGTTCTAAACTGCACTCATCATTTATATCTTGCAAGCAACATTTACTGTTGTACCAAAGTCGTCTTAGTTGAAAGAGATCTGTTATGAGCAATTAATATATTATAATCTATACAGGCTTCAGAATCTCAATTGACTGTGAAGAGGAGTCAGGTTTTATTAAGCCTATGATATATCTTCGTTGTAATAACCCGTCATCCTCTCATACAATGTGAAATATAAGAAATACATCTGCAATCTTATTGAATTGAGTGAATCGTTTGTTCGCAAACAATTATGGGTGTTGTATTGACGAAAGACAGGTGATGTCAATGTTGATCTTTTATATCCCTGTCGGGGAAAATTGGATAGCGCGATGTAGCAGTGCATAGTACAAGCGAAACTCCGGGATTACGAGTAGTATTCCGAGGTTTTATCTCAACGACAATTCTTAGTGTTATTCTCACATTATCTCCCTGCGAGGAAGAAAAGCACATGAAACTTGGGAACCCAGAGAAACCATTTCATTCGCCGGGGACGGTAATCAACTGTGCGGAACTTACCCTACCTGCGGACAAGGTCGAGGTTGGTTGCTTGCTTACCGATAAGTTTCTAGTCGCGACTCGAGTTTCATACAATTATATCAGGAGCAGAAAAAATTACTCAGATTGAGCAAAGAAACTAACTAATGAATCGCTCATGGTAATTCAGCCAGCCTGGTTAACCCGATGGCTTTTCCCCTCGTGAGGGAAAACTCCGCCAGACGGGCCAGACGGGCCGTGCGGGCCGATATGGTGGAAATATGTACTTCTGTACTACAAATTCTCTAGTAAGTGGATCATACGAGTTAGTGAATCGCCCCGGTATTTCTCCGATGAAAATGAAAATAAAGAATGATTTGCAAGGGCCCGTCCAGGAAGCGATGTGAGGGTGCTGAAAGCACGGATACCTCTGCAACTTTCTCGTAAAATATTTATTGCGGTAAAGAATACTAGGCGGGAATTGGTTGAAGCCTTCAGAGCACGATCTTAATTCTAAAGCATTCTTGGCATATTAGCTTATTCTCATCGTCTCCAAAATTACAAGGTCATGTAACCCGTAGGTAAGAGCCTATTGCATCAACATGATTTCCGTTTCGAACTCGCATTTCGACGTACATACAGGCCCCGCAAAAGTCGTTGACCACCCGCATTTACCGCTCCTATCGCCGCCTTCCTATAATAGGTTAGTACGCTCGTCGCGCTATGAAATCGCGGTCCATGTGGATCTTTTTGGGTGTGGCAAAGGCAGAAAATAGCAGTGAAGAAGGGTGGTCACAGACTTTTGCGGCGCCACTGTATGGCTGCATCAGTACAATGTAACCGCAGAGCACTTAAACTCGGCTACTGGTATGAACGGGGTTATCGTGTCTTAGACGCTCAAAAAATAGATGTTTATAGCTAATGCCTTAGTAAGGACAGTCGGACCAGCCCCTGATGATGGGTTGTGGGTTCGCTATTCACTGGGCGAGTACTCCAAAACAGAATTCAATATCTGCTGGCATTTGGTGTTACAGTGACAGTAGCCCCTGATAGCCAGTATGCGTTCAACCGGGAATAGGCGCTTGCTTGGAGAAACTTGCCCTTCTCTCCATATTCCTTTTTGAGCCAGGTTCCCCACATGAGGGGAGAATTCACTAGCCTGACAAGCAACTGGCTAAGCTTTTACGGTGGATCGGTCGGTTTAAGAATCCCGACCGAAATTTGCCCGAGATTATCTCGGCGTAATCTAGTCTGGAATCTATTTCTGGTTCACATGCAATCAAGATTTGGTGGCGGTGATACTAGTTGCCCAGTCGGCATTCCCCTTCCGGAACGTTAATGTAGAGTTATTCTTACCATGGCTTAATGTACGGATTCATCATGGCGCACCGTTGCCATGATGAGAAGGGTGATCGAGACGTATCCTTTCCACCTTCGCGTGCACCTTTGCTTATATAATTACAACTAACTAAATAACTAGTTATTAACTTAGGAGTATCTGCAAGGGAAAAGCGCCCTTAATATAGTTACTACTAGTACGAGGCTCGGCGCTGAGCCGAAACACTAAATCCTGTAAGGCTGTAAGGCTTAGAGGCGAAAGGACTTCGTTGTGCCACTGGCAGCGAGTACGGTATACAGAGCACATGCCAGGTTTTATTGGAGCCTATAGCTTCAGCTTCTGGAAAAAGAAAATTTGAACCCTGAAAATCGAGTGCACTTTAGGTAGTTAACTACTGAGAGGTTTGTTCCGGTAGGAATCCAACGTAATTCTCTCCGCCCATTGAGGCTCCAAAATATGGCAACTGACTCGTCGCACAGATCTATAATTTCGATTCAGTATCAAATATTTACCAAGGGCAGAATGGCGAGCGAAATTAAATCAAAATCAATACTAAAGTTAGCCTGGCCACAGGCTCATTACATCAAGGTTGCTAGTACAATGAATAATCTTTCATTGAACTTACTAGCGGTCAAGCCCGTCCCACTTGCTCCCGCTTTTCTCCCATCTCCTCTATAAGTTTTCATGATCTCGAAAATTTCTAAACAGAACTCTTACGCATGTGGCCAAAATAACCATCCCGCGCTGATACAAAGCTTCAAGGATGCTGCAATCCATAAGACCAACCCCATTCCACCTTTGGATCGACTCAGCCAACCCCCGATTATCGCCCCCATGAGTAGCATCACCACTCCTCCAATGCGGCGATTTCGCTTAATATTTCGACTAGGCCTCTCAAATAAACCCGGGTCTGATGCAATATCATAGTAGACGCTTGTGAGAACAACCCCGGGTATCTCATTGAACCCTAGCATCCGGGTAGAGTTAATGGACCCAGCTGACTGAAAAGCCAAAAGGCAAATTGGAATCAGACTGAGCAGAGGATTTTCGGATGTAAACAATCGCTCATCTTGTTTCTGGATGATGTTGATTTGAATCAAGACAGCGGCGATGATGATCAGGGTCGATTGCAGGCCAAATGAGATCACAAGCGTTCCCCGGCGACGGACTCCAAGAGCTTTCGTCAATCGATCAAAAGTAATAGCGCCTGCAATAAAGGATGAGATCGATACGGCGGAACGGGCCCACCCGAGAGGAGTCCCGATGGGCTGTTGAGATGCACCTAGCCCAAGAACGATGGTGTTTCCTGAAGGATCAGAATTCATATTTCAACAGGATTCAAGTTAGGCACTTACCAGTTTGCATAGCTAGAAAACATGACCAAGAGTTGAACGCACAACTGTCGCAAAGTCCCGTAATTAGACAAAGAATCAAACAAACTCTATCGGCGAAGCTAGTGTCGACAGTCTCGGTCCATCTGCTGCAAACTCTTGACAGTCGAAAAGAGAGAGATGGCGATTTGTAGCTCGGAGTCCAAAGTTTGGAAACATCACCATTGGCCATCGAGGATTGTTTTGAGGAAGATGCCCTAGGTATGTTCAGAGCGAAGTGCCTTCCTAATAGGAACTCAATAGGGACTGTGAGGGGGGATAATCTTTGCAATGGTAAGTTTTGGATTAATGAAAGAAATAAATTCGTCTGTTGCGGAAGATATGGCACGACAGTGCCAGCCAAGATGTTTGCAATGGTAGATTACATAATTTTTCAGTTGAACCAGGCTCCAGAATAGTTTTACGTGGCGGTTACATAAAAGATACAGGATTATTAGCGAAGTATCTACCAGGAGACATAATGCCACGATATTCCGGCCATTTGCCACCGAAAAAAGGGCGGTTACGCGCACATGTTTCTGTTCGTTGACATAACTTGTCCGCTGCTCAACGACGCACCCTAACCAAGGAAGTTTCTGATGGCTGCGCATCATCTGCATCATTCTTCATGAGGCACGAACCCATCTTGAGTCGAGATTACCGAACGGATTTAACGTGTAAATAGATCACTCTGCTAAGTAGATCGGCCCGTCTACTAATACATGGGAGCCTCGAAATCGACAATTGTTGAAGGGGCCTAGACACTCCTGTAAGTTTGTACCAGGAAATAAATAGCCTGGTTTTTAGTCAAGGGCCTCATATCCAGAAGGTGGGCTATAAAGGATTCTTCGCTCCTCCGGGTACCATCTGTGTCTCTAGTTAATTCTTACTATCTTCTAATTACAAATAAAACTCCAAATTGTAGGTGACTGAGCGAAATGGTTGAAGAAATCCTTTTCGCCCAGGTGATCAACTAAGTTGACAAATAAAATGAATAACTACCCGAACGAACTCAGTAATTCCCCCGATTTCTTTTTCATACTTCTCCATCAAACCAGCACTGAAAATAATCGGATTAGCTATATTCTTGCCTTGGATCGAGAAAGTCTGCCAATGTGATCATTTTGTCAGTAGGTTTGGCTTTGAACGAGACATTAAGACTAGTATTCGTTAAATAGGTCCTCATATTCCTAGCGGGCACCAACAATCGACAGGATTGCTGTGAATAATGTGCGGCTAGTAAATTCGACGTACTTCTGTCGCTGACCGCTAAATGACGTTAACCAGAGCGATAATATTGTACCAGATGATGGGCATAATCAGCCAGCCACTATGAAAGATACAAGCGGTGACGGTATAATTGCGATGGAATAGAGGTTTTTATTGAACATAGAGCGTCTCTTAATATAACGTAATTTATTAACAATCAACGCAATTCAGTAACAACGCACAAAACCGTATATAGTACTGTGAATGAGAGAGTCTTCACATTTATAGAAAGGTTATTCATAAAATCTTTCCCGCTGAGGCTCTACCAGTTCGCATGTTTCCTTCCTCTTTCTCTCAAATTGATCCAAACCTGACCGGTCAACCAAACATGTCAGATTTGCACCGTCACAACCTTGCTCGAACTTCTGAGTTTAGAGCTTGGATCTGACTGGATCTTCCTTGTTCCGCTTACTTACAATCAATGGGTCCTTTGGGGTGAACGGCAATACCGATAGCTGCGGGCTCTTTATCCCAAAGGCAGCAGCCAAAACTTCTCTTGACATAGCAGTCCCTGAACTGCGATAACCGACATCCTTTGGCATTGGCTGATCAAAGAAGATTAAGAAATGTATATTCTCACTTCCGAGTACTTCGATCTGGTGGGGATAGGCCGCAGGTACACAATACACGTCCCCCGGCTTCAGGGTATATGTATCCACTATCCCGGCGGGGTTCATGATAGACATCCGTGCATGGCCTCTATGCACATATCCCATCTCCACGGTAGAGGGATGCCAGTGTGGTTCTCGCATGCCGTCTTCCTCTACTCTGAGAGAATACATAGACATATTTTGTAAAGCAGGCCAGAACTGGCTGCGGGCAGTCTCGGCAGATCCATAGCGGTTTGAAACGGGCGCATTCATATTCTCGATTGAAAATTTATGACGATCAGGTAGTAGAGCACTGTATGGAATCTGGGGCTGGCCAGGTCGCTTCACAATATGCTTAGGTTCCGTAGTGCGGGGAATATCCGTCCACGGCGACATATCAATGTCGTACGTGTTACCGAGAACCGCATCGGTCATGGCGCCCATTGATGCTGCCAATGAAAATGTTTGAGGGTTTTCATGCCGTAAACAGATGATCGCCTCTGCGTGTGCGTCTCCTATATTCTCAATATGATGGAGAGATCCTGATTCCACATAAAACATATCCCCGCTTGATGCCGTGAAGTTCGAGAATTCATTTCCAGTGTCCAGAATTGAAACAAAAACGTCTCCCCGAAGACAATAGGTGAGTTGATTGGCATTTGAATGCCACTGAGGCTCTTGGATCGCCCCTGGGGCAAGAATAAGCCTTTTAATTGACAGGTTTTGAAGGGCGTCTAGGTCTGTAGCCGTGATGCCATGCAGACTCCCTAGATGACTGGAGTGAAGTGACTCAACCTCCAACAGCGACGCAGAGTATGGTGATGAAGACATTTTGGGGCAGGGATAAAATAAAGAATTTAGGATGATATAGAGAAGCCAAATGACGACTGGGATTGCAGTCGTTTATATAGTAATGAGAATCCTTCTGGATACGTTTAAGAATATTCGATTAGCCACGCACCGGACCCTATCTCCAATATGCAGCGTTTCATACTCGGGAGCCTGATGATCATCTAAGGTTATCATCCGTCCGCTCCCTTGAAAGCCAGATCTTGTTTTTCTTTGGGCCTATCCTCCGCGTGTAATGGTTCCTTGGTTGGTTAGCTTTTGGTCAACGCTGACCTATCCCTATGTCAGATAGACTGACCTGTGTGCGATTTAAGACAAACAAAAGACGTAGGTCAGAACCATTAGTTGGTGAGCCAAGAGGAAGCATAGCAAGTCTAATGAAAATGACGCGTCAATCGTTTGGTGACGCATATCCTTGTAATTCGTGAGGACATATCGCTGGCAAAATGAAGAGTGAATGCTCCAGGAGTAATTTCCCGTCAAATCTTGAATAGTTTGGAAAATAAATCTCGCAAAGTTTATTCACGTGGCTTTCGGGTTGTATTCGGGGAGTCCGAGTCGGCGTTTGCAGCCTCTCATTACAGAAGAGATATCGTAGTGAAGGTTGGTTGATCCAAGAATCCGTGTTTTTCGAACAACCATATCAACGAATTGAAAGGATTTTCATGAACTTTTAAACGACTTTATTCAGTTACAGCATTGAAAATGAAGTTGCTGAGTACTTGAAGGTTGAAGTTATCCATCAAATCTCGTCTCATGGCCGGAATCAAACACTCGAATTTACATGTGTATCTAAAGTATGAGCCGTCAAGCCGTTATAGGCGGCATAAATTTTGAGAGCGTCTGTGGAGTAATGCGGTTGACTCCGAACGGCCGAATTTTGTTTCCGTTGTCCAAAGTTCGGCACACCGTTTCCTTCCCCACTTGAGAAAGCGAGCCGGAAGCGGGCGATTACTATTCGTCAGCCCAAAATATGGGGCTGGTGCGGGGAAACGCCTCGTGAGGGGTAGAAATCTCTGCTTACTAATGATACCGCAAGCAACACCAACCCTTAAATGTAATTATGGAAGGAGAATATCATCTTAGGTATTCCGACGACGGATGTGTCATGAAGAACAAAGCTTCTCATCAACGATATGCGCTCCAAGAGTTGCAGATCCTAATAACGAAATTTTTCATTAGCAGGTATTTCGGCAGAAATCGGGTTGCACGCTATCAGTTACTCAAAGTAGTACCAAAGGTTCTATTAACGTAATTCCCGGCCGATCTGGACACCCGGCCGTCCTGGACACCTGCCCCCATTAGAAAATTTCAAATTCGATTATCTCAACCAACACCTATTAATTTAACTAAATATACCGATTTTTACATATGTTGTTCTTGTGGCCAATCTCCCTACACCCGCTACACCTAGGCGGAGCCCTAGCTGCTGGCCTAGTTAGCTGACTAGGCAATTCAACCTCCGCATGCGATTCCACCACATCTTCTTCTACCGGCAAATCTAGCTGCGCAGCTAGCTGTAGGGCTTCTTCAATGGTCAAACCCTCTTCGCAGGGTAGGTGCTTAGTTGACCGACTGCGCTTCTTGACGATCTTCTCATTGGCCATGCGTAAATTCGTATTATCCTGCATAAGCAATGCGAGAGTATGCAGCGATAGGTAGTGGCCCTTGATAATCCGATCTACTACCAATTTTAATGGGCTTGGAGGGCTTTTTGACCGCCGATCTAGTAGACGCCTCATCATGCTAGATTGCTTGTGTAGCTGAGCTACGGTTTTAGGAGTTTCTGGCACGAATTGGCTAGATCTGCTGCTTGGCCGGCTGATTGGTGGTGACGGAGTACGTAGAGAGATATTAAGCTTGTTAAGCACTCTCTCTGCATCAACTGGTATTAGACTAGTAGCTGTGAAGCTGTTTTGGATAGTAGCCGACTGAAAGGCTTCTAGCCGCGCGCGTTGGTAGTCTATCAAGAAATCATGTTTATCGATATGGTTGTATCCTCGGCGCGCAAGATCGCTAACGAAACGGCCGTACGCCTTTTTCAATGGAGCAAAGCAGCCAACATCTAGTGGTTGTAGTAGATGTGATGAATGAGAAGGCATACAAAGTGGTAAAATATCGTTTTCTGCGTATAAACGGTCGAATAGGGGTGTAAGGTCGCTACTATGGCCGTCAAGAATCAGTAGCCGAAACCGACCGCGTACGCGCGGATTAGTATGTGGGATAAAGTGCTTTTCTAGCCAGCGTAGGCCAATCTCATTAGTAGTCCAGCCGTTCGTAGAGACCTCGATTCGCCAATCTCTCGGTAGGTTATCGTCAAACTACCCTGCAATAGCCACTTTGCCCTTGAAGATTACGCATGGCGGTAGTATATAGCCGTCTGCGTATATAGCTTCGATCGTAGTGACCTATTCGCGATTGCCTGGTTGTAGTATTGATCTCCGACCGTAGTATTCAGCCCTAGTGATGACTTTCTGCGAAGAAATAAGGCCTATTGCAAAGCCTGTCTCATCAAAGTTGTAGATATCCTCCGGTTGTATACCGTTCTCATCAATCACGCTTTGTACGGTAGTAAACCAGGCTCGTAGGGCCTTCGGGTCTTCGTTTAATGCGCGCTGGTAGTCGTATCGCCTCGAGAAGCGCGATCGAAGCTCATCACGCCGTGCAACGAAGGTTGATGGCCAATTCTTGCCAACAGTAGGCGGAGGGCTGCTACCACGCGCAGCTAGTAGGATATTGGCCATCTCTCGTACAGTACCGGGCCGGGGGCTGCTCCACGCGTATCCATAGAGAGAATCCATATAGTAAGCGAATCCTCTTCTAATTGGGTCAGTTTATGACCGGTCGGGCGTTTCTCAGCGCGTGGAATCTGGCCGTGGGCACGCGTATATAGTGTTGACAGAGGGATTTCGTAAAGCTTCGCTGCTGCGCGAATAGATTTGATGCGGCCATTTTTAATATCATCAAGGGCTAATAAGACCTTGCCCTCCTGATTGACCGATTTCTGCGAAGATTCAGAGCGAATTGGTGGCATGGTAGGTGGTTGAAGTTGGTGTGTAGGTAGGAAGACGCGATTTTCGATGGGGTGTCCAGGACGGCCGGGTGTCCAGATCGGCCGGGAATTACGTTAGCAGGTCTGAACTAGATTGGAACTTGGGTCACGAATCCCTCTGGTGTAACACTTTGGTTAGGGCTACCCCACTCTCAGCGATGGGATGTGGCTTCGCTGCGATTGAACTAGCAAAACATTGATCTGTTGCCCGCCTAGTAACTGATCTATGCTCGACTTGTAATAATGTTGCCTTCGTAAAAAACTACCTGTCAATCGGAATGGAGGTTTCAGTACCGCTAGCTCCACCTCCGGGCCGACGGGTTCACCGTGTAGTCAGTAATATATATATAATTTTATGTAACCGGGGGTATTCGGGAAACGAGAACACCTCCATGGGGGAGTAAATCTAGGGGAACTCCTATTAGACGGGATTTCCCAACTCCATCAATCTCAATCTGATTCCCGTGAGCCAATACGAAACTGTACGGTTCTCGATGGGAGTTGATTTTGCCGTCCAATCCAGATCTCAAATTACGTCACGCTTTTCGCATGAGGGGGACTGTACGGGCTAAGCTTTAGTGGATCGGGATGGAATGTCAACCGAATCTTGACCGAAATCGGCTTGACCTATTCACGTATCTATTTTGATTTCCGTATAATCAAGTTTGGTGGCAGGTAAATTAGTTACCAAATCGCCAGCTACCTTCCGCAGAAACTTCATCGTCTCCGCAGCCCCGCAAAGCCATTATACGGACGATCAGTATTGCAACGCATAGTGGCCCAATTTTCTTTGCCATAATTACAAAAGTACATTAGATATATTTTTATCACAGGCTGTATTTATCACGAGCTGGGAGATTTATTTAGGGGGTTCTGTTTTTGGTTCGCTATTGTCACAATTTTTATATTTATTTCCACAGAAGCCGGTAACATTATTTCAGTCCTATGATAAGAGAATCCTTTTATTTGACGTTAAGGCTGTCTTTTAAATCTAAGAAAGGCAATTTCTATGCATGAAGCGTATTTCACCTCGGTTAACCCTTTCCAAACGCCGAACGCTCACCGGGTAGATCTATGGAGAACAGGCATATCCGTATGCTCTACCGTAGCGATATTCCCCTTCATCGTTTCCGCTTCCTCTTCTTGACAAGTGTGCCTCGGCAAAGTCTTAGCCAAGCGAGGGGGATCAAAAATCGTGTGCGACTGCATAAAGATCTCATCCATTTCCTCAAGCGTTCGGTTGTTCGTTTCGGGAAAAAGAAAATACACAGTCACGACGATCCCGAAGTTCATCACAGCCCAGACGATGTAGTAGCGATATGCAATGCTGTCAAATCCGCTCGGGGTAATCTCAACAACGACGAAATTAAACAGCCATGTCATGGCATTAGAGACACCGCTCATCTTGGCTCGAAGATGAGGAGGTGCAACTTCGGTGGAGTAAAGGAACGGAAGACCAAGGAATCCGAAGGGGTAAAAGATGTTGTACATATAGAAAAATATCACCGCCACAATCATAGCGGCATGGTTTCCCACAAGTGACGCAGTGATTGCAAGAATAGACATGGACAAGCACATGCCAGTTGCGCTTATCATCATCAATTTGCGGCGGCCCAAGCGGTCAATCGTCATGACGGCCAGGAGTGCGCCAATTATCTGAACAAAGGTCATGCAACTTCCCAGCAACCTGGACTGCGTAGCATCCAGGTGTAAACGCTGTTGGAAGATAATGGTAGCGTAGAAGGTCAGAGAGTTGATACCACACAATTGCCCAAATGATTGTCCACAGATTCCGAGAAGAAGGCGATGAACATTACGTTTCTCACCCATCTTGACCAAGTCCCACTTAGTCATTGCACCCAGAATTTCCAGGGATGCTTCAATAGTGACAATTTCTCTCTGGACAATTTCTGAGCGGGGATCGGCATTTCGGAGAAGAGAGATAATTTCCTCTGCTTCCGTCACATTGTTCCTCCTCAACAGCCAACGAGGGGACTCTGGCATGAAAAATATAGTGCTCATCACCATCATTGAAAGGGGCGTCTGAATAACGAGAGGTACTCGCCAGGATATAGAACTGGCACCGAGATGGGAGAAGGCAAAACCAACCCACTGGGATGCAGTGATACCAAACGCAACGAAGAGACCTTCTGCAACGACATGTGCTCCTCTGTGGGCGGATCCTGCAAGCTCAGACTGCCAAACCGGCACTGTGGCAGTGATTCAATTAATTGGCCTAGAAAATACGATGAAGCCATGAGAGCTGCACCCACAATAACCAGCATTGAACCGATAAAAATAATCCTTCGACGGCCAAGGATGTCCCCAATGGGGATAGTGCTCAGAGCTCCCAAAAAACCGCCAACTGTGAACATGGAATTAACAGCACCTAAATAGCAAGAATAAAGACACAGGTCAGCCGGAAGAACACATTTTATAGCCAATGTAAACTCAATGATAATGGATGTAAAGAATGATGGCGGACCTTGGATGTTCGAGTTCAACTGATTCTGGGCGCCAGTGATGTTGATGGTATTCAGCTGAGGGAACTGCTCCATAAAGGATGGGAGAGTAAGCAAACCACCGGCGACTGCTAGATTATAGCCAAAGCAGATGTATGCAGGACAGACGACCAAGAATACAGTCGCGATTTGGAGACGTGAGCCCCGGAAGCCGAAATATCGTCCCATGTTGAGATATTAGAGAAGAAAGAACAAAAAAATATCTTTAAGAAATCGTGTCAACGGTAAGCGAAGGGCGTTTTAATGACATATAATCACAGTCCCGGTAATCCAAACAGTGCTATGGGTTTAGGGAATTGTTTTACACCTATGCTGCAACGCCGCACACGGAGATTAAGTTGATTTCTATTGAACGACGCCTTGTTGGCGATTGTCACTAACAATAAAGCTTAATTTCATTCGAACCATGATTTGTGACCGAATAATCGGCCTCGGAGATAATCTGTTCGGCGTGGCGAACCCGATCCACGGTTTACAGGTCGGCCATAAGGATGATAATTCTTGCGTACAACGCGAAAGGGTATCTCCCCTCATGAGGGGAAAATGACGCAAAACGGCAGATGTAATCAAAATGTAGGTCTTCCTAAAAATGATAGCAATTTGTCCATTTCGAGCCAGGACTAACCATTAGGGGGAGCTATCATTGGCATAGGAGGCCGCGGAACAGGTTCTTCATTCCCCAGTTCCCCCCGGCCTTGTTGGCACAGGCATCGGTCCACCGGCCCCAACTCAATTAATCCACGGGAAATGTGAGGTATTTCTTACACAAATTCTCGTCTTGCATAGGTGTACTCCATCTGACAGGCAAGTAAGAGCTGAAAACAAATACAGATATTCCACTCCACTGACGTTTATGATTACGATCTTGGTCGCTCAAGATAATAAGTCACTTTCAATAGTCATTGGACATGCCGGGAGACCCGAAAGGACATTCAAATGGTCCTATAACTCTATACCCCGCCATTTTCTTTATATTCTATATTCGATTCCCATGCCACAAAAATTGCTGTCACATAAGAGCCACTTGCTGCGGATGTCATACTTCAACCTCACATACGACAATTAACTGGTATTTTTCGAGGCGCTACCATAAACCATATCCCTATGTTTCACAAGGAAGTCACCCGAGTGAGACAAAGTCACAGGAAGAGCGGCTCTCACTTGCCGTTCAAGACTGAACACAATGATGGTGGCAAGAGTGAGGGCCAACTCGTAAGTCGCAAACGTCATGTACACACTTACGCGTCGCTTTTCTGCACTATATGGTGCTGTATTACTCGAGGTATGCTTGTTAAACATCTATCACCACTCTGTATGCATACCTCGGGTCAGAAATGACTGAATCCTTACTCAGTTCAAAATTCCATCAAATTGCAGTTCTCTAAACCCAACATGGCAGAAAATTTCCCTGCAAAAATACTAGACTCTAGGGGCCAACCTGAAATGCTCTGGAGTGATATCTCCGAAGGTGACACTTCTCCGTACCGCTGTTTTAATGGAACAGCGGTGCATTCAAAACAAAATTAATTCAAATCACTGATCTCACTAGACGAAAAAGTCACACTCGAAGATATTCTCACCGAATATACATCTTCTGTTGCGTCTTTCCCGAGCAGCTTCGGCAACACCTCCACAGCAAGTGAGGAAACCTTGCCTCCTCCATACTGTGTTAAGGGATGGGCATCACTCCAGAAATCGGGAACCTTTCCATTGTCACGTTATGACATGTGCTCAACGTCTAGTGAGAGAGGAACCTCGTTAACCAAGATAACGAGCTGCCCATTAAATATACGATAGGCATTTTATGTTGTCTTTTTTCCCTGTAATATCGGATGTATTTAGCATAGGATGTTTGTACAAATTCTGGGGCTGTCTAAGGTTTCAAATACGGGAAGCATACAACAAATACGAGATGTGAAATGAACGTAGAAGTGCTTCAAAACCATATAACCAAGAGCCGACAGCCGTAGGGCCAATAGCAAAGAACGACATCGCAATCCTGATGACACCGTACCAAGGTGCAATAAGCCAATTTCTATCTTCCCTAGCACAATTTTATGTCTTTTTCGCTGCTTCTGCTTAGACAACATTAAGAGACAGAAATATCCTCCAAGCCCTCTGAATAAAAATACGTGCAGCAAAAGGGACAACTTCTATCTTTTTGCACATATATCGTCGATGCAATGAAGATGGAAACGAAAGACGACATTGGTCGTTAACAACTCATCTTATCAGGATATGCAAGGCATGACAACCTTATCTCCGGTGGAGAACCATTCCTTTAATACATCTCTATGATGAGATAGCGGGAAACTAGCCAGTCTCAAACTGCATTCACGGTTGAGTTTTCCCAGTGTGCTATAGTAGGATTGAACTGAAGCGGCGATAGGTTTATGCGGTGTTTGTAATAATATTCCTAGGAATTTATTGGTGACCTCAGTCAAGAGGACAAGGAGACAGTAGTTTGGTCGTAACGGGTCACCTGTCGCTGCGGTCTTAGACCCTAGCGTCAGATAGGGCCCCATCCGCGCACCCCATTAGGGAGGCAATGTGTCTGTATTGAAATGGGTTCTATGTACAGAGGGAAGGTGGGAGGGACAGAATCGAGTCTTGACTGCGTGAGAAATGACGAGATAGCTACAGAGGCAAGCAACTGACTCTCGTGAGGAGGCAGTTGTAGGAAGGAAACCCTCAGTAATGTCGGTGTAGATATCATGTGAGAAACCCCAATAAAACTACACCCATTATAACTACTACTCACCCTTGTCCATCTTTAAATCTACGATAACTTTCTCACTACAATTAACCCCAACGCCCCTACGGGCCCATGTCTGCTTCCGTTCCAGTTATCCTTTGTGGTGCTATGAAAAAAGTAACTGCTCTTATAAGGATAAAGATGCTACCAGAGTACGATGGTCCGTCTAAGTGCTCTCCCAATCACAAGCTCGTTTGTCAAGCATATCTAACTGGGCGAACCCTCTAGTCATCTACGCAGGATGCAACATTGTGTTTTCCAAACACGAGGTTCCTCTCATCATTTCAGGATATCCTCCGTCGCCTTCATCTCTCCACACCCAGCTTGGCTGCAATGATTTCACAGCCCCTCCGCGTGCCATAATCACGGGCGGAGGTTACAGCGACGAAGCTTTCCATGAGCTATACAAAAGCTGTGTAGAAGCACGTGGCTCGATGGAAAACCTGCCAGTCCCTTTTGTTCGCACTAGTAATGAGCTGACGGATCGGTTAGCAGCTCAGGAGAAGGTTCTAGCTCATTCATCGTCTAAGTATCCCGAAGCTATCACTAAAGGTTAAAAAACAAGCTGGAAGAGGCAGGAATTGTACCAAGGACCCAAGAAAATACAGATGAGAATAGAGGAGAAATATATTTCTTCTAAGTCAAATATTAATCGAGGTCTGCAAATATTGTCTAGAGGTTTGAGCCGGGATGATGTACGGGTCCTTCCGACAGACTCTGTCAGAGGCCTTAGGGGCTGTCAGTACCATTTAAGATCTTACAGCGATAGAAAAGCAGTTCCCAGTCGTTTGTCGATTATAGGCAAAGCTGATCGCCGTAAGGGGTTAGAATTCCCCTGAGTTGATGTTGATACACCCATATTAAACAGTCCTTCAAGATCGTGGGATGTAGTCGAGAGTCAATCTCGTCACAATCTAACTACGCCGCTCCCTTATAAATATTGTTCTTACCTAGTTGATAAGCTCTGGTCTGTTACGCAGCTCTTTACAGACCGTCTACGGTCCCGCGCATATGCCGTGCCAATAACACAGCCCCTATATCACAAACAATTTGATTTTCCATGAGAGAAGAGCAACATCTAAATTACAGGAGAACCTAGCGGTGCTTTCTCGTCTTTCCAAGTACGGAAGTTGATTGAAGCACTTTTAGCCGATATCTATTTAGCCCTTCAGTGAATTCACTCATCATGACCGCGCCGTGAAATGCTTCTTCAACTCAAGAACTACGTATCGCAGTAGTCGGTACCACGAGAACTGAATATATCAATTACAGACTCCGAGACGGCACGCAACAACACGGAATGCCTCAATCAATTGGGTAGTGAGACCAGGCCGGCTCCAATATACAGGGTACTCATTCTTCTTGTATAAAATCTGGCCCCCTTGTCAGTTACTGGCTAGTACTGACGATGCCCAATAGAATCAGGTAAGTGATTGAAGATGAGAGCGGTTGAGCACCCCCGAGAGTCTGTACCATCTGGTTGCCATTTGCCTTTTGTTACGACGCCAACCTTCCGAATCTCACCCGAATACCAATAGTGTTTTAGTGACAATTGACCGCTTCTTCAGCTTGTAACATTTGATTGAGCGAATAATAAAATCGAATGATATCAAAGCGCCCTTAAGTGGAAATTAGAAACCTATTAAGCGCGCGGCTCATCTGCCTGACAGTCCGAGGATAAGTCAGTACAAAGCAGGCGAAGCATGCTGTTGATTGTGGAAAGCTGTTCGACAGTAACTTTTTATGTACAAAATTCTATACAGCAGAGGCACGTCCCTTCTTTCCAAAGCACTGATCGTTCCTTATGTTTGACAATTTATCCGAACAGGTGGATATCGTTAGCCTCGACTGGTGGTAACAGGAATGGCTGAGGCAGACGCCTAGATTTGGCACTTTTGTCGGTGGAGCTTATCCAGCCAGTTAGAGAAAGTTGAAGTTATGAAATGATTCATCGGGAGCTCCGCTAACAATTTTAACTGCCTTGCAAGATATTAATATTTCCTGGAATGCAAGGTACATATGCTGTTGTATACATTAAATACATTGATGCAGTCAGGTTATACATTATCACTCTTTCAAGAAACTGACTCTATTCCCAACCAGGTCCCGCAATATTTGAGACCAGAATGAATTCTCCAAGCCTTTTCTATATCCCAGACCAGAGTAGTATTCGAAATTATGAGCATTTCCCTTCACGCTGCCACTTGGAGCCAAAGGACAGGGGTTCGGTGGTTACTTCAATACCGAAGTGGCGGCTTTTGGTAATCCGGTAATCAGCAAGGGTCCACAATGCATAGCTCTCCAGTATCTATGAAATGATTAGCTATGAGCATTAGATCTCTGTCATGAAAGGGTGCAACAATAGGCTTTCTTCTATCAGAGTGTAGACCCGTCCCTATGCGAGCCCAAGCAATATAGATATTACGGCCGAATTAAACAGTGTATTGTTAACATTCAGTCGAACCCTTAGGACGAGCAGCAGATTTACTTGATACGGGAACGCCTTTACTATAGGCTTGCTTCAGGTAAATTTCTGCCAACAAATTTTTTCACCTGCCATGGCGAAGCGTCCCGGCAAATAGAACTTCCCCTGCCGTCGGAATTTCAGCTTACAAGAAAGAGTGCGGATCTTCCATGGTAGTCCATAGATCTGTTAACAAATGCGGAGAGTGGTTCGGGCTTATTTTAATATCTGTAATAAATGAGGGAGTCTAGTACTCAGTTAACTTGGTTACAGTTTAGGTGTGCATGCGTGTGTATCATTTACCCACCCCTCACTCACAACAGAAGGAATAAATTAGCGGTACGATAGAAGTAAAGGACAAAAGAAATCTGTACAGGAGCTTGAAATAAGGGATATAACTTCAATTTATACTTCTATGCTTAGGCATAGATAGATCTTAGTAGACAGATAATCGAGGTAGACTTTTTCTCTACGCTGGTGCCATAGCAGATAGGACCCAAGCCCTCCATTTTTACGTCATCATGTTCTAGTCCGACTTTTTTAAGAGCAAAGAACCTAAAAAACCAGGGGCATTATAAAAGATAAGGTCCATTAAAATGTAGGTCACAAGATAAACAGTACTATAGGGCCAAGCGCTTTTCTATGTATAGACTAAGCGTCGATTAAGTACTCAATAGATACCTTTAATCAATGTCTAAGTAATCAGTGTTGGATCAGTAAGCAACCAATCATAGCTAACTATGGAGCCGTCACTAAGCACTTACTGAGCACTCACTGAGCAGCTCAGTGAATCTGAGTCTGAGCGCCCTCATAAAAGCGGCGGCAGCCAAGATAGGAAAGCCCCACCTGGCATAGGAAATATGGTACGTATAGTGCCCTATGTACTCTTGGTTGAACGACTTGCCAATCGGATCTAGTCGCTTTTGAATCAACTGGGAGTTGAAAGGTCTGAATAGCTACAAGACGGCAATTTTTGGAAGCTCCGGGTGAGTTATGCGCTTGCATATAGATCAGTGATATAAATGGTTGCACGTCCAATAACATTGATAAGCCGAGCACCCGACCCGAAATCGAAAATTCCAGTAGGTTTGGATTGAAATTTAGCCCTGGTGGTTTAGATTAGGTACGTACTGAGGTCGTGGCGCTCGGAAAATATCTAAATACCAGATATAATGATGCGGTGTCACGGTTCACAATGCGTCGACGAGTCTTGAAGCCCGTGGGCTACAATGAAGACTATTCTTTTTTTGTCAGTACGTCGGGCACGATGAACGATATCAGATTAGCTTGAAACTATATCGCTCTAAGCGAAGGCATGATCTGCGGACAATCCAGTGTTCGGAACCCGAAGAAACTCCGAGCGCAGAGCGGGGTTACCGCGGTTACAATGATCGACCACATGGTTGCCTCTGAGACTCTCGTTGGACTGTCTGACCATCCTTCGAGCATAGTGCTGTGCATAATTTTAAAACCAAACGGCCCGCTTCCTGTCGCCAGCAACTCGCCAATCCGCGACATTCACACCATACCCGTTGTGGGGTCGCTTAGGAACGCGTCGTGGATGTTTACCTGAATTCAGTAGGGGATCGTCGCCATCCGCTGCTCAGCAGCCTTGAGATCCGCTCGCAAGGTGGATGCATGGTCTGATGGGAGATAACCGGAGGGTATAAGATTTGTACCTGATATCGAACAAACCAGAACGACTGCTTGCCTCAACTGGGAAAATTTCTTGGATTTGAACCACCATCTCCAGCATGAAATTGAACACAATTGCAGCCCTGTTGGCCTCCCTGTCTGCTGTGGGCTCCGTCAATGCGATCAACATCATCTCCTCCAACGATGATGGCTGGGCCGAAGTGAATATTCGAGCTCTCTTTGACACGCTCACTGCTGGTGGCCACTCCGTCGTGGTAGCTGCCCCAGCAGAGAATCAGAGCGGAACTGGTAATGCGACGATGGAACATTCTCATTGCTGCCACCTTTTGCTGATACGTTGGTCCCTTAGGTTCCTCGCAAGGGACACCCACGACTCTCACGGAAGCCTGTGAATTCAACAGCTGCCCTTCTGGTAGTCCAGCCATTGGACACAATACTTCACAGCCACGTCTGAACTATGTCAATTCGTATCCGGCAACATCCATGAAGTACGGCATCAACTCGATCGGCCCTCAATTCTTTGACGGCACTCCTGATCTCGCGGTCGCCGGCCCGAATGTAAGTCTAGCAATCTCAGAGAAGCTTCGAAATTGTCCAAGGTCACATGTGCATAGTCTAATCGCTGCATATAGGTTGGAAACAACATTGGGCTGGCGGCCTTGCTATCTGGCACCGTTGGAGCGACCACTTACGCTGCCCATAATGCTGGAATTCCCGCAATTGCATTCTCTGGAGCCACAGGCTCCCAAACTGCCTGGAATGCCTCCGCTACCTACCCGACTTACAGCCAAGTATATGCCGATCTTGCGCTCAATTTGACCGACCACCTGGTCGCCGCTGGCAGACCTTATCTCCCGAACGACGTGAGTCCCATCTTAGCGCCCGTTGTTTGTGAACCCATAACTAATATACTGCCCAGATCTGGCTGAATGTGAACTTCGGGGCAGTCTTGTCGGAATGCAGGACGGCCGAGGACTTTTCTTTCGTGCTTTCACGTATTCATGTCGCGGTGCCTCTCATCACCCCCGACGACGTGACGACCTGTGGTAGCTCCCGGCTGCCGAGCGAGATAGCCGTTTCCCTCACTTCTGGATGTTACGCAAGCGTGTCAGTAGGAGTGGCAGGCACCAAGGGTGACGCCAACGCCACGATGCAGGGGGTTGTTCTGAAGAAACTGAGCAATATTCTCACCTGCTTGGCGTAATTGGTGGAGATATTTATCCATGTACAATCTTTAGCACCTATCAGCTGCCGAGGCAAGCCCATGCAACACACTAAAGCTTAAGCTATGTATCTATAAGTGTTTGCCACGCAAAATAGTGCTTGAATAAATGACTATTTCATGCAGAGTAATAATTTCGCGTGCGTCGTTCAGGACATCGTTGAAAATACTCGGTATACAACGGATGTCAGGCCGGATTAGCGATCTAGATAAACAAAGTCTTCTTCAGAGACGAATCAAGAAAGGCGGGGAACCCACGAGGAACTTTTTCACCAAGATACCTCATCCAAGTGGGGTTCTAAAGTATCGGCAACCATCCCATTTCGGGACTGAAGGCCGTTTTGCAGCCGGGGCGTCTCGGAGCGTGTGCAGATCCTAGTCTATCGTGCTGTGAGATTCGGAAGTGGAGAAATCCAAATTAACCGCCGATGAAGTTTAGAGTGAGATTGTTGGAATATAAATCAAGCCCTAACTCCTCATTAACAGGTTCCTTGCAACCAAGAATCTCAAAGAGAATGTTCTTCAGCCGCCTTCTTGGCCCTTTGGCCATCTCCTCGTTGGCTGCGGCGATTCCCAGTCCCAACCTTGATCGTCGTGGAACTATCGCATCTGATGAGATAGGTAAGCTACCTTTTATTATAAACCATTGATACTTGCATCGAAGCATACTCTGCTCGCCTGCAATGCATGAACGACTTCTTGCACAGGGAGTTCAGCTGACGAATATTTCGTAAAAAGTTGGCTTTGCTCAGACCGTTCCATCTGGCACCACTGGCGAGGTTTATCTCGCCTACCAGCCTGATCTGTATGTGGTGAACGGCTGCGTCCCATTCCCAGCTGTGGATACAGAGGGAGATACCAAGTACGTAATACCGTGATCTGATTTGGGTGACAGCTGAAAACTAAGAATATCAGCGCTGGGTTGGCAACCACCGGTGCCTCCGACGGTGACTGCAGCAGCAGCACAGGTCAAATTTATGTGCGCGGCGCGACCTACGGCGACTATTATGGTTTGATGTATGCATGGTACATGCCCAAAGATGAGCCATCCTCGGGCCTTGGCCACCGTCATGACTGGGAGGGAGTCATCGTGTGGCTGTCCAGCTCCACCAGTATGACGGCCAGCAATGTTGTCGCCGTTTGCCCTTCTGCTCATGGTGGATGGGACTGCTCTACCGATGGCTTTACTCTCGATGGCATCACGCCTTTGATCAAGTACTACAGTATCTGGCCCGTCGATCATCAGTGCGGCTTAACTAGCACTGTTGGAGGTACTCAGCCTTTGATTGCGTGGGAGTCCCTGCCGTCTGTCGCCCAGGTTGCTTTGAACACCACCGACTTTGGAGACGCTATCGTGCCATTCATTGACGCGCACTTTACCACGAACTTGGGCAAGGCCACGTTCTGAAGGGAAAATTGCCATCTCAAAGTTACTAGTTGTCAATTCAGATAGCGAATATGGCTGAAATGTTCTATGAATGAAGGAAGGAAGTCATTTACGAACCGGAAGATGCAATTCAAAATTAACCTTCTCATCAGGGCTACATACTCAATGCACATTATAACAATCTAGGCCCGAGCTCAGACAAAGTGTAATGTGCTATCAATATTTTTCTTTACGTGAATCAACACAACTATAGACGAAGTAAACTCGATTAAGTTGAAAGGAATTGAAACAAAATAACATTTGCAGAAAATAGGAAACATCTATATGCTCTATGGGGGAATATATGCAGAAAAAAGCAAGTCTATATTAGTTTTGAGATTGGATTCGGAATATCCGAAATCTCAGAGAGGGAAAAAAGGACGGTAGAGGATCAGGAAGCGCCCGCCTCCCGTCTGACCTCTGAAGCAACTTGGAGGTGAGTAGGGTGGACGGTCCCAGCGTCCACTATTCCGACCGGGCGCTTTTGGTCTTCTTGCTCCGCAGCTTCATCATCAAAAAGACGAGAGCATAAGACGAGATGCAAAACAAGGCGGTGATGCCAGTCTGGATTGATGTGTTAGTAATTGATCATAATATTCAAGCGGGGAAATGAACTTACATCTCTCCACGAGTAGTACTTCGCTTTGAGGTTGAATGTTTTCGCGTAGTCAGCACCAGTGGAATACTGGCAGAACGAGCAGATTGTTGTAGAGTTTGAATCCAGCAAATAGCCCGCCTGCGATGATAGGAAGTCCGCCATGTATTCACCACAGGTTTGTCCAGAGGGAGCACTGAAGGTGACGAATTCCGATGGCTCGCATTGAACCTTGACATCCCACAGAACCTCACCGAGAAGGCCCCCGACGAGGTAGGTGAAAGGATCGAGATAGTAGATCCAGTAGCGCCAGAATGCTTGCAGCTGGCTGTAGGGGACGACGACACCACAGAAACTGATCAGGCCAGCACCGATTAGGACCGGGTTCATGACAGCCGCGAAGTATTCGTTGGGCGAATATGCAGCAATTGCCTGGCCAATCGAGGTGTACAGGAACTCATAGACTGGAAAACTTGTCAGCTGGTGCTTGAAGAGGGAATAAATTAGAAAAACCGTGGAATGCGTACATATCATCTGAAGGTAGAAGTGGCCAGAAACACTGGCTTTGATCGGGAAACCGACAGTGAAATAAAAGCAGACGAAGTAGAGCGTAGCGCAAATAATGAGATACGGAATCTCAGCTATTGTTTGAGCTCCGATGAACGCCAACCAGTGGTAAGTTTTTGACTGCAGGAAATTAGTCACTTAGTCCACCAAGTTCAAGGATGGCATCTTTCTAGGTTGACAAACCTTCTTTTCACGCGTTTCAAAGATGTCACGATTCGCCAAGAAAAAGGGTTGCATCTGAATGATACAGCCTGGGGCCACGAAGATGAAATTGAAAATGGCAAAGAGTCGCAACTGGAGCGAGAAAGTGCCATCTCCAACCTTCCAGAAGGTGAAACCACTGAAGAGAGCCGCAAAAATGTGAAGGATGATCTTGTTCCACATGTAATCCTTGAGAAAAAGTTAGTTTGAAAATAAAGTCATCATCAATCAGTCAAAAGAATCATACCGGTGACCGCCAAATCTTGATACTGAGACGGATAGCAACCGTCTTGAACTGGAACCAGTGAGAAGTAGCGAAATTGGCGGTGTCCTCCACATAGTTTGGATCCGCCAGACCGGATTGATTCAAAGCCTCAAGTTCCTCGAGGGCCTTCTGTCGCTCTTCAGACCGACTCCAGATCTCAACCCAGTCTGTCTTCTCGGATGTACCGCTTCCTTGAACGACCTCAATAATATGCTCGGCAGGGTTGGCATCCGGAGGGCAAGGAGCGCCGTTGCGTGCGAAGTAATCAAGGATCTTGCTCGACTCCTGACCGGCTATAGTTTCCAATCATTAGTACAAGGTTCAAACAGTACAAGTGGTCCGATGTGACTTACTTTCTCCAAAGTATGTCATCCTGCCGCCCTTTGCCAGAAGCAAAAGACCGTCAAATGCATCGAACAAGACAGCAGAAGGTTGGTGAATTGTGCACTTTGATATGTCAGTATCCATGAAAATCAAAAACAATTCATGAGGTCGTACCAGAACAGCTTGGCCTCCGTCAACAAGCTTGCGTAGGAACCGCACAATGTTGTATGCACTCTGACCATCGAGGCCCGAGGTAGGCTCATCCAGGAAAAGCAGGGTGGGTTTCGCAACAAGCTCAACGCCCAGTGTCACACGCTTACGCTGCTCAATGCTGAGACCGGCACCGGGAACTATCTTGTATTAGTTCGGCCAATCGAAAAATGAACAGCAAAGTAAATTGTCTCACCTCCAATCAATGCATGCTCGATGTCTCCGAGTTCCAGAAGGCCGATGATGTGCTCCACATAAGCAATCTTTTCTTCATATGGAACTGAGGACGGCTGACGAAGAACAGCGGAGAAAATGAGTGCTTCCTTCACGGTCGCTGTGGGCTCGTGTACATCCTGTTGCTCGCAGTAACCGGTGGTTCTCTGGAAGCTAATACCCTGTGGGCGTCCATCGATCAGGATTGTTCCGTAGATCTCACCCGAGTCTTTTCTCTGGGCAAGGACATCCAAAAGCCTGTAGATAATGTAAGCAATATCACCCATAATACGGTTGAAAGGGTTACTGACGTTGTCTTTCCGGCCCCAGAGGCTCCCATCAAAGCAACTAGATTTCCTGGCTTCACAAAACCGAACACCTTGTTGAGAAGTTGCTTCTTCTCTCCGTTGAACGGCACATGGTAGTCAAGGTCATGCCAAGTGAAGATGGACTGCTTGAGTGAGCCGGCGAGGGCTGAGGGATCTGCGGCTTGCTTGGTCGCTGGGGCCCTTTCCTCGTCCTTGGCTCGGGTTTTCTCACTGCCGCGCTTGTAAAGCAAGACAGAAGAGCCACTCTGGCTGTTTAGTAGTTCAAAGCCCATAGAAGTCAAAAGGATGAAAAATAGCCAGAAGCCGACGATAACTCCAAAGCTGCGCCAGATGTGGTCCACCGAATAGTTGTACTGCTCACGGATGTAAGCTGCGCCATCAATGATGCCTTCATCATTGCTTCCAAGGACTGAGCAGCCTCGATAAGGAGAGGCATCGCTTGAGTAGCCTGAGCCGTAAGGGATATAATCGGGTTCACTGCAGACAAGTTGCCGACCGACAAACTCATTTGCCATCAGGGCCTCAAACGCGTACGCTCCTGGGTTCAGGTAGAAAATCCAGCGGAACCATACGTGCATCTGGTGGAAAGGAACGAGATAACCTAAATCAATTTTTGTTAGCGGGTGAACCCCTCAAGAAGAGGGTGATGTATGGGGCTTACCTCCATAGACAAAGAAAATCGTCGAAAGGAGTCCAGTGATCTTGGAAGCATTTCCAAATCGCGAACAGAGGGCACCAACCGCTCGGAAGAGCTGGATGAAGCACAAGGTCTGCACAATGATGATGATCCAGAAAGTGAAGAATCTTCCGGCATCCATCTGCAAAGCCGCCATGAAGTACAAGATTAGTGAGAAACAGGTTACTTGAATTATCACGACTGGCACATCAGTAATGGCATTGGCAATACAGAAGGCCGTTGGACGATAAAACCCAAATCGCTTTTGGCGGGAGAGGATGGGGCGACCCATGAAAGATGCAGTCGTTTCAGACATAGACTCGAGAAGGAAGTAAAGAACCGGAAAGAAGAGTACACCAGGGCGCAAGAAGATAGAACTGCTGTCGTCGGCGAGATTGTAGAAGATAGATCCACAGACCAATGCCTGGATGATAGCTGAGGCGACCTTAACTATGAGGGAGAACTTGTCGCCCCACATAATCTGGAACTGTCGCAGAGTGCACGAATGAATCTGATCCCACAGGTTTGCAGTGTAGACACTCTGATTGCGAGGAATATGTTGCTTGCGCTTTTCACTGGTCACTGCGATCTTGAGATCTTCTGTCTCGTGGCTCAACTTGTCCGGAGAATCCATGTAATCCATCTGTTCTTGATAGATGTAGCTGTCGCGATATCTTGCTTCAAATTCCTCGGCAGTGTTGGGCACCTTATCCTCCCATCCGGGACGGACGATTCTCTCCGTGAGGACTGTAACGGACGTGAGATAATCCGCCACATTCGCGCCTTTTGGACAAGTGAAGCCGAGTGACTCAAAGTATCCTTTAGCCAACCAACGAGGACCGTAGTAAGTGACCCTGCCATCAGCCAAAACGAGAACCTTGTCGAAGGTGTCGTAGATTCCATTGCCCGCTTGGTAAGTCGTTGTAATGATGGTCTTTTGGTTCTCGTCTGCCTCGAGACGCAACAATCGAGCAAATTCGAAAGCGGCCTTTGAGTCTAGACCACGAGTGGGGTTATCCCACATTTGGACAGGACTCTGTTTCAGAAGATGTTAGTTCATGACATAGATTGCCGAAAATGTCGAGAAAACCGACCTGTCCTGCCATCACTTCTGCTAGCGAGACACGCTTCCGTTCACCTCCCGAAACACCGCGAATAAACTCATTGCCGACACGGGTCTTCTTTGTGTGTCCGATGCCGAGGGAATTGAGAATATCATCGCGTTTCTCCAAAACGTAATCCTTGCGGTCAGCCTGTGCGTCTGGTCGCTCGTTGGGAACCTTGTTGCTCAATGCAAACTTCATAGTCCGGTTGACGGTGAGAGTGGGAAAGTGCAAATCGTCTAGAGAAATCACATCATCAGGAATATGTCGTAGAAATACAGGCTCTGCATAACCTTACCCTCATTGTTGAACATAATTTGTTGACGGAACTGCTTTGCAGCTTTGTGATCGATGTTACCATATCGAGTTTCGCCGCTGACTTCATCAAATGTATCTCGGTCATTAGCGAGGACTCGGAGAAGTGAAGTACATCCGGATCCTGGACGACCGAGAACCAGAAGCTACTTTTGTTAGTACAAAACTGCAATTAAAGCAACGCGTGAAGCATACCATTTCTCCAGGCTTGACCTGTCCCGATACATCCTTCAAAATTGTCTATCGAAATCGTCAATATGAGAGCTCCGTACATTGACACATCATGCTGATTTACCCTTTTGCGGTTCTCCTTTCGTGAGAACAAGTCGCCAAGTTGGCGGGGATCAACCGCTGACCATAGCGTACTTCCCAAAGCGGCATCTGGTGCCGTCACTCGAACATTGAGATCGCGGAAGGTCACAGTGAGACGTTTTTGAATGCTGCCACCGGGGCCAGCATTTTCCAAATCGACGGGCGTTATCGTCCCTGATGATGGAGTCTCCATCCTGACTGAGTTGGTCTTATCTGACTGAGTTGGTCGTATCAAGATGGAATCGATGACTTTGCTCTTCTTTGCCATATATTATCTTCACTCAATCGTTGTTTGTTATTTGTTGACTTCTTGGTTCGAATTGAATGAGACTTGGAGACTGATATCAATTAATATTTAATCGACTGGTCCTCAAGTTGAAGCACTATGTCAAAGCTGTGGCGCTCACATCCGTATTGCCGGAAAAGTGGGTCATCCGGAAATAGGTCCTATCACGACCCCTGCACTCTTCGCTAACGCGGTATTGACTGCAGCACCCGTCGGAAATATCTGCATGGCTCATCGGGTTGACGATTTTTCCCTGCTAGCACCATTCCTAGTTAGTAAAAGGGCTGAATACTGGTTCCGCTACTGGTTTGTTGCTTGAGAAGCTTTGTCAGAAATGAAGCCATCTCCTTTATCGTCGGATATAAAACTCTATTATTCTCCACCATCTCGATCTGCCATATTTCCGGGTAGCCTGTCAACCTCTACGCTCGGTCGGAGAAATTCCAGCAGCCCTTCTAGAAGGCCCCTCCTACACCTGCCCACAACTCTCAAGCTATGGACACCTTACCTGGAGGTCTGAGCTTGAGCTATATTTCGGGCGTTAATGTATGATATAGTTTCGGGCTGTTATGATCACCCAACTCTGGCAAGTGGCGCCTTTGTTCCCGTCATGCTCCAGCCGACGGACTAGCTAGTACTATACCTCTACAGTTGTAGATTGCATTTTTATGGTCATCTCCTCCACGACGCTGAAGAGGGCTCCTAGGTAAATTAGAACCATAATTTCGAAGACAGTACCGCATTATTGCGCAGCGTAGCGAAGCTTATGTATTACTTCTTAAGTAAACGTTTGGGTGAAATTTCGAGACGCAGACGCGATGTTGATTGGTCAGTTTGTACCAAAGTCTTAAAGGGCTTGAAATACAATAAAGCCGGTAATGTGTACACTGACGTCATAACAAATATCTACTGTAGTTAACTTAGTTATCTTTAAATACCTAGGATTGCAGGCACCAATATCACCATGCATCAAGATTGCCCAACAGCTCTGGGAGGAGGAAAGGGGGGGGGGGGGGGAAGAAGACACCCCATTAAGTATTATAACCTCTATAATTCAAACCACTGGCCATATAGCCATACAATCTGTCATATAAATGAATATAGTAAATTGTCTACCTTATCCAGTGTAAGTGATGTAGCGCTACGCTCCGCATTTTTGGTATCCCGGGAGTACCGTTGGAAACCTAGTACTCAAAAGCGTGTTCAAGGCACTAACTTCACATTTGCATCTTCAACCATAAATTCCATTGGATATCGCGCAACAGACTCAATAGCTACAGACGTATAATGAATGGCCAACTGTACGAGTATATGTCCGGTCTATTAGACATGATGAATACTTTCATTGAAAAGAAGGCTCCGCAGCCTGGTATGTCGAGAAAAAGGCGTCCAGGTCCATTGTCGAAAAATCAAAATTCCAGCCCATATCGGACCGGGTGAAATCCAAAAGATCGTCATTTGAAGCACCCGATCCTCCGGTTTCGGGGTTTTCGAGTAATGGCAAATTCCACTGCGGTGATGACAGGTCTGGCTGTTGGCTGAAAAAGGGTGTTTGGGGGAGCGATGAATTCGGGGGTATCCATGTCTGATGGTCGAGAGTGCCTAGAGGTTGAGAGATGGAGGCTACTCTCTGTGAGGGTATTGTTGTGCTTTCTTCGGCCGTTGGATAAGGTAACCATTCGTAGGAAGGGTTGATTCTACGGAGGGTTGTTTGGATGGAGGAAATGGTGCTTTGAATTGGGTCGCCTTCTCGCATGGTGGACAAATTCTGCAGAGAAGCGTATATCCAGGGCAGGTGAGTTGTTGCTGTACTTGGGTCGTGAAGAAGGTCGTATATTAGTGTGAATGTAGAGCTGCCGTGGAAATATCCATGGTATCGTAGTTGCTAGGAAGAACATCAGTAATAATTCAGAAACATGAGTGCTTGGACTGAATGTACTCTAATAATATCATTACCGCGAGACGCTTCACAGAGATGATGGATAGTCTTCCTCGCAGCTGTGAGGGCGTGGTTGCAAGCGTCGTTCAACCATGTCGGCATCTCGGTTGGACGACTGGCCGAGCCTCCACCGGGCTGTTGAAGGGATGATTTCATGTCCCGTTGCCAGTGACCACGGAACATTAGGAACGGCCGGAAGGTCAGAAGGAGGGTATGATAGTACACTGTTGTTCCCGTTGAGTAACCTGGTCAATTCGCATCGGATGAGAGATCTTACAGGTAATAAGTATTGTCTGGCACACAGCCAGAGAACCAGTCTTAACGCTCGCATTAAGACCAAATCCTAGTTCCTGCTGCATTTGTACCTCGTGGCTACGGAGATCATGTGTAATTGAGCGGGCCACTCGCCACATGTGCAACAATGACTCGTGGCGTTGACCGTAAATCTCATTGCATGAACGAGAGACAGTCTTGCAGAGTTCAGCCAAGAGTCGAACAAAGGGATTTTTTGAATGTTCAATGGCGACATCTTTGAGAGATAATGAACTTGGTCGTCCGACGTGGAAGCAAAACCACCTGAGACGACTGATAAGCGAATTTTTCTTTTTTTTTTTTTTTTTTTTTTTTCAATATGACATTGGATTTCGATGAGAGGGGACGCACGTTTCAAAGGCATAGAGACACCAAAATGTGATTCGTCGCTCTTCGACGGTCTCCTGGTCTTCAGAATCACCTTCAGGAACGTCTTTGTGCAGGCCGGCGGAATAAGCTTTGCGAGTGGCTGATCCAAGATGCAAGAACGCTGAATTAGGCCGACCTTGTTCATTTTGATAGCAGGCGTAGTGACTGAGATATCATGTTAGCTTGGTGGGGATCGACCGAGGAAGCAGGGGGGGACTTATCATAAGGATTGAGATTTGCACAGTCTGTAGGTTTACAACATCGTCATATGAGACCACCGAGGCCTTGACACGATCAAAGAGGATATCTCCCCATGCATAGTGCTCAGTGCCTAGCGAGCCCGTTGCTAGCCCGAGTAAGACGATGGCTTGAGTAAGCGTATCGGGTTGAATGGTAGGAGACGGGTTGTAGAGCTTCTCCAGACATTGCTCGTAGTACGCCTTGGGCCGATGGGGCAGCATATGATACAGATGAGTCAAGTACCGTGAGAGAAACAGCTTCGCTAGCTCATATGGCAAGAACATCATCGGGATGTTGCCCGGGCCGGCAGTTTTGCCGATTTCGTGGGCATCGGGAGTTCCAAAGAAGATGCGCCGGAAGCTGAACAAGTCCAGACCTGCGCCTGCTTCTTCGACTTCGCCCGAGGGTGCAGGGTGAATGGTTGGGGTGAAAACAAGATCACGATAGATGTGTTGCATGAGTGAAAAGTGCGATGATGGGCCATAGTATAGCTGCATCTGACATGAAGGCGATGCCATGTGAGTTGCAGATACACTATTGGGGAACTGGAGCATCATTGAAGGGCCTCCCGTCTTAAACGACTGAGGAACCGGCGGAGAGGGCTCATGGGAGTGCCTCTCCTCATTGTCCAGCTGTGCCTCATTATCTGGCGATGCATATGCATTCTTTTTCCTTCGGGTGCGGATGACCTCTCTGTAGAGACATGGAGTGTTTCGTTGCTGACATGTTTTGCACCTGGAGAGAATTATTAGATTGATCTTCCATGGCCGGCCTGCCAGTCTGCTAGAATAGAAAGGATAGACACTCACGGGTTCAATCCATTACAGCGGATCTTGCGCTTTCGACACTCCTGGCAGGCCTTCGGAATGCGCCACCCAGCAGTGGGGGGCTTCGGGGCATCAGCCATATCCGAACCGACAAAGAGGGGAGGAGACTCGGCACTGGGAGACACTGGCGTACACCGGGTGACTTGCAGCGCTGGTCAACACCCGATTAGCCGAGCGATAATGAAAGGAGCCTATACGAGACTTCCAATAGCTCTCTGTGCTATCCGTATAGGGGGTTGTCGCTTGGGTGGTGGATAAGCCGCGGGCGTTGGTTCATCCGTCTATATCCGAGGAGGAGAATCACGTGATCTCACGGTCGCATTTGCTCGACCAAAATACGACTCGACTCCCCCGTCCATCTTACAATCCATGACTCTCTCTCACCAGGAATCTAATGATCTGCATCCGATGGTAGCGACCATCGGATCCCCCCCCCCCGGCATGCACACGGCACAGCTGCCAAGGCGTGGTTCTTGGCAAGTCTGACTCGATCAATATATACAGTCCATCAGCTCCAGACAAGACCCCAAGTCTGGGCGACGATGGGCTGTCGTGGCGCTGCCGAGACCTTGTCGGGTAGAGGTTTCGGCACTTGCAGCGGACTGCTTGACAGGCTGACTGGTCGATGGAATGAAGACCGAGTTTCTAAAGTTAAAAGTTTGTTTGCCGGGGACTGGGGGAAAGGGCTTCAATTTCAAAGGGTTCAGCACGCGGGACCGGTCCCGCGTCACACTTTAGAAGTCAGCTTCGTCCCGGGTAGAACCCGAACTGCCTATCAACATCATCGGCCTGGACCAGGGGTCCAGGACTGTTTCGGATCGGAATCTACTCAGGCCATCGGATGCTCGCTAGCGTGAACGGGGTCCATGATTCACCTCCACATGCTCAGTCTTTCCCCAGCTTTTTGCGGGGACCTTGAGTTGGTCGATGGATGACCCACTTCAACTGTATAGAGATGGATGGATTGTTGTCTGGTCGTTATCCATGAGCTGCCGATCTCGAGGCCCGCCAAAGTCGTCGATTGCTGTAGTCTACTTGAATATTATGATTGGCCAGTTCATCCTGAAACTCTCGGGTCCCGCCAAGTAACGCCTCCCAGCGAAAACCGCGCAGGAATCGCCCAACGCCAAGAGCTCATCCTTTCAATACTTTGGACAGCTCACGCCCGTTTCCGAAAGACCAGGCGTCGATGATTCGTGGTTGTCTAGACTTTCCCCGCAACCCCGGAATCAGCCCCGTTCGGGACTTCCGAGCGGGAGATAAGTAGAGGAGGGACCTTATTCCGTGCGGGAGTGACACAATCTATAAAGGTGCATAGCTTGCCCTGGCACTGATTGACGCGACTGCTTGGCAATCGATCTGCACCTTCCCCCCCCGCGCCTGTACAACCTCCTGGCCCCAATCTCCTGCTCACCTTCTTACTCCCTCTATGGCTGCTCCCATGGCGACTTCCATGGCCGACCCTGAGTCGGTCAGGGACGAGAAGGGTATCTCTGATCATAAAGAGGACCTCATGTCGGACGTGGCGCGTGAAGCGGCCGAGCGCGGACATCTCGCGACTGATCAATATGGACATCCCATCGTCGAGTTTGACAAGGTCGCCGAATCCAAACTCCGGTGGAAGATTGACCTGTATGTTGTGCCGACGGTGGCTCTGATGTATCTCTTCTGCTTCATCGACCGGGCAAATATTGGTAAGTCTGGCTCACAGACAGGTTGGACTGGACTCGACACTCACGAATCAAATTTTGTTCCGCAGGTAATGCCAAGCTGGCTGGCTTCACCAAGGACCTCGGATTAAAGGGCTATGATTACAATGCCGTTCTATCCATCTTCTTTGTCGCATATATCATTTTCGAGATTCCGAGTAATGTAAGGCATTCACACTGGCGCCCCTTTGGTCATCTGGGTGTCAGATTCCTAGAAGAACTCGGCTGACGGTGCATACCATCAATAGATCGCTTGCAAGTGGATCGGACCGGGTTGGTTCCTGCCTGCAATTACCCTGGGATTCGGTATCTGTTCCGTTGCAACCGCCTTCGTACATGACATCCACGGTGCCTCCGGTGTCCGATTCTTGCTCGGCATGTTCGAGGCTGGTCTGCTACCCGGTATCGCCTACTACCTGAGCCGATGGTACCGACGCAGTGAAGTAAGTGTTTTGCATTAAATCTAGACCTTTGACGAGTGAGCAATTTGCGGCTAACAGAATATAGCTCGCTTTCCGTCTATCCTTGTACATTGTCATGGCGCCACTAGCCGGAGCTTTCGGTGGTCTTCTCGCATCCGGTATCCTCACGCTGGATCACTTTGGTGGTCTTCGTAGCTGGCGAATGCTATTTGCCATTGAAGGCATTATTACCATCGGAATCGCGCTCATCGCATTTGTGACGATGACCGACCGCCCCGAGACTGCGCGCTGGTTGTCGCAGGAGGAAAAGGATTTGGCTATTGCGCGAGTCAAGTCCGAGCGTATTGGAACCACCGAGGTCCTCGACAAGCTGGACTTGCCCAAGACCCTGAGAGGCATCTTCAGCCCCGTCACTCTGACCAGTGCTTTTGTCTTTCTGCTGAACAACATCACGGTCCAGGGATTGGGATTTTTCGCGCCGACAATTGTCCAGACGATCTACCCCCATGCGACCGTGGTGTCTCAGCAGCTTCACACGGTTCCTCCCTACGTGGTTGGCGCGTTCTTCACCGTATTGTTTCCCTTCCTCAGCTGGCGATTTGACCATCGCCTGATCTTCTTCATTATCAGCCCCCCGCTGATGATGGCTGGATACATCATGTTCTTGGCCAGTGAGGATCCCATGGTCCGGTATGGCGCTACTTTCATCATTGCCAGCGGCGCGTTCGCCTTTGGTGCTCTCTGCAACGCCCATGTTTCCGCGAATGTGGTTTCCGACACGGCTCGATCGTCCGCGATCGGAACCACAGTCATGTTTGGCAACATCGGTGGGTTGATCTCCACCTGGTCATTCCTGCCGTCTGATGCGCCCAACTATCACATTGGCAATGGGTTGAATCTTGCGACGTCCTCCATGACACTTTTGCTTGGTGCGTCCCTGTGGATGTGGATGTCCTGGGATAACCGGCGACGCAGCCGCGTCGACGTCAATGCTGCATTGGCGGGACTTTCCCAGAAGCAGATTCAGGATATGGATTGGCGCAATCCTGCCTTCCGCTGGCGGCCTTGATAAATCTCTGAGATGGTTTACGATATTTTGACGTAGGGGGGAATTTGTACTTAGTTGTCACCGTTAGGCTGAACTAGATTATTATGAATAGGTATGGTGCTGACAAGTTACGACCTACCTGGCATACATTCTCGAATCTATTCATGGACTTCACGTAGAATGGGTACTGCTAGCTACCTAGGTACCTATCAATATGCCTTGCACCGGAGAATTCGTGTCCAGGTATGGGACCGGTACCCACTTGGACTGTGAGCATCCAACCGATATATTTTTCGCTTGAAGACCGGACTTACTGCATAAATCACCTGAATCCCCGGACCCCAAACTTGGGTGAAACTACAGTGTCAATAACACCCGGAGATAAGGCAAGGGTTTCCGAATCTCTTGAGTGTACTAAGAAAGGCAAGTTACATCATTTGGGGCCTCATGAATGCCCTTTCCAGACGCCGATCGTGGAAGGATGCACCAAAACCCGCGGCTTGGTTTGCCAGAGTGGGGCAAGTCCCAATGCCGGTCCCGGGCTGTCAGCAGAGATAAATATTTATTTAGTCTCCATCACCGTCACACTGAAGCACTGCAATCGAAATCATTTCAATTACCCGTTACTTATCATGTCCTGTCAAGCCTGTCGGACCATCCCGCCCGTGATCGCAACGGGGTACACCCCCAAGGGCCAGTTCGAGACCCTCGCCGGCCTCAACACCTGTGAGTTCACCGGCGTTGAACATTACCCCGCCAATATTCTCCGAATCTGACAAGAATCCTACCCCTCAGACGTCACGGGAAATTCCGATGCCCAGATTGGCATCGTAGACCTATACGATGTTTTCGGTATGGCCAGCCAGACCATTCAAGGCGCCGATCTCCTCGCAGCTAGGCTGAACGCCGTCGTGCTCATCCCGGACTTCTTTGGTGGAGAGCCCCTGAAACATGAATATGTGCCCGCCGACACGGACGAGAAGAAACAGATTATTGCGGAGTTCGTGGCTCATAAAGCTGATATCGCTCGCAACGTTGGTGTCGTGACCGAGGCAGTCCAGGTGTATCGCACCCGATTCTCATCGGTTCGCAAGTGGGGTGCCTTTGGTCTATGCTGGGGTGGAAAAGTAAGCGTTCTCTCTTGGATGAATGTTAGAATCAAAGACTGACAGTTGTGCTAACCTCTGGGTATTAGGTGACCGTTCTGGCGTCTGGCCCCAACACCCCGTTCGCAGCATCGGGTCAAGTGCATCCTGGGTACGACTTGTTTTCACACTCCTGTCAAAGTTAATAGTCTGAAGCTAATATTTATCTATAGTCGGATGGATGCGGCGGATGCACAAGCTCTGACTATTCCCCATATCGTGTTGGCCTCGAAAGATGAGCCTGCTGATGCGATCGCGGGCTATGCTGACTTGTTTGCGAAGAAAGAGAAAGAAGGACATATTGAGACCTACTCCACCATGTGGCACGGGTGGATGGGGGCTCGAGCCAATCTTGAGCAGGAGGAAAGCCAGGCTGAATATGCTCGTGGGTGAGTTTTGAATTGGCTTGATGATCACATATTGTTTCGATACTGACATGATCCTTCTAGATACAACCAGCTGGCAGACTTTTTCGAGAAACATCTTGCTTGAATGGCCTGAAGATAGCAACCCCATATGTCTAAATCGACGTCACAACAGATGGAAAATATACATCTACTTGGCGTGCATTCCCTCATATATGGCCTAGATAGCAAGATCGCTATCTGAATTCCCTACACTGCTTTAGCATCTTGACCTCGAAAGTAGCACAAGACAAGGCTCACCCACTAGTCTTTAGAATTAGACTTATATGTACCACCCAAGCAGCAAAGGTGCGCCTCAGGCATGAGGCGCATCACAAATGTTGTTACCCACGTGATGGGAGCCCCAGGACTGACCCCTTTTGGCAGTTTTCAGTCCTCACCGCCTCACGTGCCCTGACCCACTTATTCGGACTGGCTCGCATGATGATTCACCCAATTCAACTGAGCGCCATCCCGGTAACGGCCCGCCATCGGGAAACAAATTGCAAATCACGTCAGGATCCAAGGAGAGAATAGGCCTGTCGATCGCCATGGCCTCTGCTACATATACGATCAGTTTCTCTTGCTTCGATGGAGGCCTCTCAATTTGATTTGATCCATGGACGCGAACAAACCAGCGACCGAATGCGCGGCTGAGCCCCACCGCTCTTCGCTTGAGGAGCAACTTGCTTCTGAGTCGATATCAGGTCACGACCATACAAGTGACGGATCACCTCCAACCGCGCCAGAAGTTTTGTCTGAGAATCCAGCTGGAAATGGTCCTTTGGAACAGGGCGAGGATATGGTGGCTGGTGAGGCTCCGTACAGTGTCCTCCCACACGCGGAGAAAGCCTTTGTGATCGTCGTTGGGTCTTTCGCGGCTCTAATTTCCCCGCTGTCGAGTAGCATCTATCTGCCATCGCTGGACTCTCTCGCACGGGATATGGATGTGTCAGTCTCTCTGATCAATCTTACCATCACGACTTACTTGGTACGGCTGCCAATTCTCCTATCTCTGTGACCTCCAGCAAGCGAAAGTGCTAATCCACAGCTGTCGGTAGATCTTCCAGGGACTAGGACCATCCTTTGTTGGGAGCTTCTCCGATGGCCATGGTCGGCGCCCCGCATACATTATAGCCTTTGTTCTTTACCTCGGGGCTAATATTGGCCTTGCGCTTCAGAACAGCTATCCGGCCCTGATGGTCTTGCGCTGTCTCCAATCAGCCGGGAGTAGTGGGACTATTGCTCTCGGCAGTGCCGTAGTGGCTGACCTGACGACACGAGCGGAGCGGGGTAAATACATTGGATATTCTAGCATGGGAATTTCCCTGGGCCCCGCTCTCGGGCCAATCATTGGAGGGTTGTTGAATCATTTCTTGGGATGGAGGTCCATCTTCTGGTTCCTCGTTATTCTCTCCGGAGTCTGTTTCATCGTCGTCCTCATCGTTTTGCCCGAAACCTGCAGGGCTGTGGTCGGCAACGGGTCCGTCCTTCCACCCTTGTGGAACCGACCCCTTTGGACCCTGGTGGCACCTAAATCAAGATTTCGGGAAGATGGAAAGTCCCAGGAATCCCAGGACCTGACCACCATCCAGAAACCCAAGCGACGACCGAATCCAATCTCCTCGCTACTCATTCTCGCTCAGAAGGAAGCTGGCCTGATCTTGCTCTACGGTGGCCTGCTGTTCTCGGGATACATGGCTGTGCTGAGTACGCTATCGACCCAGCTGAGCAGTCGTTTTGGGTTTAACTCCATTCAAATTGGATTGTGCTATCTTCCAATCGGACTTGGAAGTATTAGCTCCCGTTGGACCGTTGGGACTCTGCTCGACTGGAATTTCCGACGGGAAGCGCGTCTCCAGGGTATGCCGATTCACAAGAATCGGCAACAGGACATTGGGAATTTCAACATTGAACGAGCTCGACTGGTGATTGCTCTGCCCATGATCTATCTCGGGGCACTCTCCATCCTTGCCTATGGCTGGGTAATGCAATATCGCACGTCGCTCGCAGGCCCCATCGTGATGCTGTACTTCATGGGCCTCACTACGAGTGGTTCATTCAATACATTGAACACTTTGGTGGTGGATGTGAATCACCAGAGTGCTGCTACTGCGGTGGCTGCTAGTAACCTCTGTCGGTGCCTGATGGGCGCCGGCACTACCGCGTTCGTGGGGCCTCTGATTGATGCCATCGGTATTGGATGGACGGGTACCATCGTGGCTGCTGTCTGGGCCTTGTTCAGTCCTATGCTGTGGCTTGTCTATATCCGAGGGCTTTCCTGGAGGAAAACCAAGGCCGCACAAAAGCAGCAGAGATTGGAGACCCCAGCCGAGGACGGCCAAAGCCGCTCTGATCTTGAACAGGGAAGTAGGGAAGAAAAGCCCCAATCCGGACAAGTTTGATGGTTATAAAAATTTTCATTTGCATATGCCGAGCTTAGGGGTCAGGGTCAGGGTCATATGTACATCGATCTAATTGATAGCGTATGTTGAAAGCGCTCCATGAAAAATCAACCTTAATCTCAACAAGATTCACTATTAAAACACAATATTCTTGCTCTGTGTCCTAGGGAGAACGTTCCACAAATTTATTGGCTTCCGAGTGGACGGACTGAACGACGACAGTACTAAACCACAATGAAAGGCCCGAGGTATGAAAATACGAAGGCGCCAAGGCACCAAGGCACCCAGGCATCAAGGCACCCAGGCATCAAGGTGAGCTTGTTCCGGACTAGGAAGTCAATGCACGGACCACCTCTGCCTGACGTGGCCTTTCTCTCCCAAAATCCATAAAAAGCTCAGAATTACCAGAAGTGGAAATTTGCACTTTTGCGTGCCACCCCCTTAACGGAAATACCCAGACTCTACCTAACCTTCCACACCTCCCGTTGTGACGTTGTCTGCCCCGATAGAGCAGCAATGCGTCGGACCCTGGAGATAAAAGGGTTCATTTTCGAGCAACTGCCCCCGCAAAGGGTTCAGGGTACAAACTCGTACAAACCATCCGGTCTTTTCCATACTCGCGTATTGTAAGAGAGCGCCGCGATCGCAGAATGCCACTTTAGAACGCATGATTTAAGCTGCGCCGCTTACTTACGCATATGAGCTTACGGTATATCTTTCGTCCTGAACAGACCATTTAAAGGAAGGTTCTCACTATGGTGGGAGTTGATTGACCATCTCCAATTCCATGATGGTCAATTCATGGCCCCTATGCAAACTCAAGTCTTCTTATGATTCGCTCTGCAGTAACGCATAGCTATACTTAGTACGGAGAGATCGCGAAACAAGGAAAGACATTGGTCGGTCCGAGAGTGGAGGCGATTGCGCGGCAGTCGGGCTTCAGTGGAAGGGCTATAGAGAGTGGGTTTTCAGGACAGGATTAAGATGACGGATCTAAAGTAGCGGTACATATCATCCTTATTCTGATGATCGTCGAATTTTGAGAATACTGCAAACAACAACTTCTCAGACTCCCTCCATTCCTACTGTTCCTGATCATCGCAAAACACCAAAAGCTTGAAAAAGCTTGGCGGGCTCCGCTTGCCGGGTGTCACGGCCCGAAATAAGATTCTAGACTGAAAGGCGCGTGGCCAAACCCCACAACGAAAGTTGACGACGCTAGCGCCGAGGATTACGCATGCTCCTGACGCTATATTTAATTCTCTATCAGGCGACATGGAGTACCCGGATTCTTTCTGCCTTGCTGCTCGGGTTCTCTTTGTTACCACCGTCGCCAGTGAAATATGGCCTTTGGAACTTATCATTGAGCGTGCGTCTGGATTGAATCCGGCAAAGATATCTTCTATGAACTGTCTCCGCTTCTAAAACACTGACCCACTCGACACCTTTGCCAGTGGGATTTATCAGACGTTGCAATGTATTGGCCAGGGCTTGGGCGTGGGCTGAAGAGCCTGGCGCTCACACTTCTCCTCTCTAATCCGGCGGGTGCGATCGACCTGAGTATCAATGATGAACGTACGTGAAGCAGTGTCGTGTGACAAAAACCGTTGGCTTCGAGGATTGCTGCTATGGACTGACGAATCTGGAAAACCGATGTGCTGATTATTGATAATGATTGTGATATAGAATCTATTAAAGATGCCGCCAGCACCACTACGTACGCGATGATGACCTACTACCACGGCAACGAAACCGGCCATATTCCGGGAGCCTTTGCAAGCAAATGGTGGGAAGGTGCGGCACTGTTCTTGGCCTTGCTTCAGTATTGGCATTTCACCGGCGACACAACCTATAATGAGGAACTACGTGTTGGATTGCAATGGCAATCTGGTACAGACGGCGATTACATGCCGAGCAACTACAGTAGTTACCTGGTAACGATTAGCCCTGCCTATACATTGTTTGTGGAGAACTGTGCTAACCTTGAGCCGGTCGACAGGGAAACGATGACCAGATGTTTTGGGGACTTGCCGCCATGACTGCCGCCGAATTGCAGTTTGCTGACGTTTCGGATGGATTTTCATGGCTGTCACTAGCCCAAGGTGTCTACAATACCCAGATCAAACGATGGGATACAACAAAATGCAATGGTGGAATGCGCTGGCAGATCTGGCCCTACGAATCCGGCTACACGCTGAAGAACTCCATTTCCAATGGTGGTCTTTTCCAGCTTGCCGCTCGCCTCGCTCGGTACACCAATGATGCAACATATGCTGCATGGGCTGAAAAGATTTGGAATTGGTCATTGAGCTCGCCGCTACTCAGCAACTCGACTTGGAACGTTGCCGACTCAACAAACATGGAAAATGATTGTTCTACTCAAGGCGACACTCAATGGTCATATAACTATGGAACTTACATGATGGGCGCTGCCTACATGTATAACTATGTAAGACACATCCGCTACCTTATCTCACCAGCTTCGGCGACATGCAACATTTTGGTCGGAAGAGCTCTCCGTTCTGACTGACGAAAATACAGACCAACGGAAGTTCTGAATGGCTATCTGCCGTGAATGGACTGATGAATCAAACCTTTGATCATTTCTTCCCGGATAGCAATGGTGGCATCTTTGAGGAAATCGTCTGTGAGCCGTCGGAAAGCTGCAACGACAATGAGATTCTATTCAAAGGTCTTGTCTCCTCATGGCTTTCATTCACGGCTCTTCTGGTTCCGTCGACATACAGCACAATTCTACCAAAGCTGCAAACTTCGGCCAAGGCTGCTGCATTGTCTTGCACAGGCCACAACAACAATACATGTGGAGTACGGTGGTACCAATCCACATATGACGGATGGATTGGCATGGAAGAACAAATAAGTGCCACCAATATTTTCGTCGCGAACTTGATTCAATTCAGCACCACTGCCCCAGTCACATCAACAACGGGTGGAAACAGTACAAGCAACCCCACACAGGGTGAGAACGACACCACTTCATCAACTACTAAGCAGAAAGCCATTACGACGGGAGACAAAGCTGGTGCTGGAATCTTGACTGTCGTGTTCATTGCCGGCTGGGTCGGTTTGATGAGCTTCACTGTACTTGGAGGTTGAGCATTTTGTGATGCATTTGGGCTTTGGAGTTGGAAAGGATTGATTATCGCGATTGAACCGTTCATACCTCTTTGGATTATTATCACAATATAGATTCTTGTTTACAGGCCGACCTTTAAGCCGCTGATTCATATGTCATAGCTCTACAAAGCCTGCTAATAACAGAGACTACGTACTTTACCTGGATTAGAATCTTAGATCCAAAAAGAATGCGCTGACCAATGCCTTGATAACAGTATAGGTACACTCGATCATGACATTTTCTCCCCTTCACGGAGAGAAATACCATGATAATCAAAATCCCATTACAAATACGCTTTATGCCGGCCATCTTATCGCTGGCTCATATTTCACAGAGAGCGCACTCCAGGTCATCCCTCAATCGTAATTAAGAACCGGAAAGAGTTTCACCCGTTTTCATAATTAGACCTTCAATCCAGAGACAAGCTTGTCGCCTACCATCCTCATGCTATCCTCGAAAGTGTTGCGACCTCCAGTCTAACAGTTTGCATCACTTCCCGGAACAGCATCGGGTTCATGTCCATTGTCCCCATTGATACCATCATTAGGGCAGCTATGTAAGCGAGCGAGATAGAAACTTCTCAGGTCGAGTCATATCAGTTGATGTCGTCCCAAATACTGTACAGCTGAAAAAAGTGTTAGGGATTCGCACCAGCGAATAAATTTACCATCTGATTACTGCAACAACAACCATGACACTCAAGAGGTTCATGCTGCACGTTTAGAAATTCCATTCACACAAATGTTGCCAGTTGAATAGGTTTGACCGTATACGAACATCGTTCTATTCGAAAATTTACTTGGACCTCCTCCTCGAAAACTCAAAATTAGACTTCAGAGAATTCAAGCCACTATACCACTACCAAATTGGTTCTTGCTTCTAATTTAGATGCGTAATTAACTCCAGTTAGGTTGCGAGACTTCGGCCCTGGTCAAGGCAGCATCATCCCCCGATATAGATCATATGACATCATCTTCGGGCTCATTCATCACATTTCTCAAGTGCTCTATATCAAACGGCCCAGTCCATTTCCCCTTAGGAATGCCTGAGATCGCATTCAAAACAAGATTCTTATCTTCCGAATGACATCAGCGGGGACATCGCAGTTGGTTCCATTCCTTCCGCACCATCCATTAAATATCAGCAAACGGAGCAGGAAAGTGGGGACACGAAATATCGTTCTGCAGCAAAATAGAGCAAGGATCGGATTATAATGATGTGTGAGAGTTTCTAACACCTTGACGGATGAAAAGAGGTCACTATAACGACGATCTTGCTCTCTATATTCAACGCCGAGATTTTGCAATATTTGCGGAGGGCAGAAGCTGATGGCAGCGAAAGGAGAATCATCTGTGTATTGTGGAAAGAAGAATTTCATCCGCGTTAGCAGCGGCACGAGGAGGAAGTCGGGAAACTCTGTATCCTAGGCGCGGCAAAAAGCTCAAGATTTGCTGAATGATGTGAGTATTATAATACCAAACAGCGAGAGTTTCTTTGAAAAATAAGGTCTTTATCGCTTTAATTACTGCTTCCTCTAACTGCTTACTATCACGGGAATCCTTGCTACTCCTATTCGGACGTGTACTACGATAATTAGCGATTTTGAGTCCGGTAGCGATATATTTATCGGTAAAGGCGCCTATAAGATTATAGGTAATTATCCTATAATCTATATTCTCGACTCGGCCTCTTATAATATCTATAGGTTCATCGCTATTCTAGGTAATAGTATAGATATACTCTAATAAGAAAGTCGACTTTGTGAATTGTTGATGTAGAGTATAGAGTTTAGGGAGCTAGTAAGGAAAGTAGAGGCTTATTATATAGTCTATTAGCAAAGGAAATATCTTAATATCTTCTTTAGCCAAAAGACGTGGAAGTATTGGAACTAACCCCGTCCTTGTAGATTTCTCCCTAAATAGTAGAAATCGACTAGCACGAGCCTAAGAGCTATAGACTTCCCGGACTCTCTTACTTTTACGGATAATATAATGAAAGGAGACAACGTAGTAGGAGAGGCGTATATAGATAATTATGTCGTTCTCTAGATAGTAAAGATTACCCGTGAGAATGAACTAGATAATACCTTATAGTATCGCCTTTTTACCGTATCTGCCTTAGGCTCTTAGTCAAAATCTTAATATCTACTTACCTTCCTAACGAGACTTAGGATTAGGTACGCCTACTAGATCTCGTATTAGTATATATAGCAAAGATATAGAGAGTAAATATTATAATACTCTACCTTAGGAGAATTATTTTATATACGATGGAATTAACGTAAAAATAGCGAAGTCGAAATCTACTTTCGTCCTATAAATAATTCAGTTTTGCGACAAGCTATATAGGAATGGCTTTGAGTTGCTAAGCGCGATTGATATCGTAAATGTGGATTATAAACGATCCAGGCTCGCGTTTTTATGTTTGGGGGAGGGAGGACGCGCCCGTTATTAGCTTTCCTGGATATGCTGCTACGGGAGCTAGAATTACTGCCTTCAAAGATCTATGAGAAAGGAAAAATTGGTTCTGATTGATTTAAGTTGTTGAAAGATAATTTGATGCCCCCCTTCTATCATCCCTGGACCTATAAGTAACGTTCATCCCCCTCTCCTAATTACTATCAGGCATTTGCCCACCTCGCAAATTCAAAACGCACAGAAGCTATTCATAACAATTGGCCCCGAGATACATATGATATCTCAGCATCGATACCACGACGACACGCATAGCCAATTATTCAACCACTTGCGGAGAGGTTCCCTTGAGAGGAGAGGCAGCCTCGGTCTCTCGGCTTGGTCGACTGTCACTGAATGCAATGCTCAACTTGCGGTAATCCCACTTGCTTGCCAGGATCAAGACAGCAAAGCTTAGCACCAGGACCATGAGGACGTCCAGTACACCGAAGAAGATCGAGGTTCCAGTCACGCCAATCTTGTTACCGCCGTCGGTCAAGCCCCAGGCGATGGGGTAGATGATCCACAGAAGGTTGGTCCAACCCGACAGAATGATGTAGTCCTTGTCCACCCCGAGGAGCTGTGCGGCTTCATGGCTCTCATTGATGGTACTCATGGCGAGAATGAGCCATGCAAAAGTACCGAAAGCGAAGAATCCCCATTTATACGAAGTAGTCACATAGGCACCTGCGAGGTAGCTGACAACCCAGTACAACGAGAGGGCGATGTTGCAGATTATAGTGGTCCAAGAAACACCTGAGATCAGGCCCAGTCCCAAGGCAAGTGACGGGAAGGCAACAAGCCAGTTCACGTATTTGACCCAGAACATTTGCCGAATGACTCCATTGCCCAGACTGTCGACCTGCCTCACAGCACTCCAGCCCAGATCTGAAGCTTGAGCGAAGTAGGTGACGGCGCCAACCATGAGAACAAAGGTAAACAGATAGTGGAAGACCCGCTCGCTTTCCTTTGCAGTAAAAGACATCACGAGACAACCAATCTGCCGAACCACTTTTAGTCACGGATGGAGGTTAAATTGGAGCAATAGAGCCTTACCAGAGCCAGCGAGAAGATGGCGGTAACTGCCCAGAGCCAGTCAGAGCCGTGCACAGCCAAGCCCTCATCAATACACACGATGGGGTTGACCTTTAGGGCATCGTTGCTTCGGGCGAGGATATCCATTGTCAATGAAGGTGGAACGTTTTTTCTTCAGTGAGTTGAGTCACCCTGCAATTATTCGACACTCGTCGGGATCGAGAGACTAAGGCGGCTAATGCAGCTCGATAGAGATGAAGGATTTCGGCCTCTTATAACGAGTGTTTGCTCAGTTCACCCCCTGCTCCCGAGGTAAGATCTGTGGCCGGTCGCATTACTAGATGGATCACCCCCTGGGTCAGACCCCCGTCTTTCAGAGGTGGCGGTAATGGAAAGCTTCATTCCGTGACCCAGTTCCAACGAGATGCCAGCGTGGGCCGGACCGTGGAGCTCGGAACAAAGTAAAGCAAAGTAGATCTTCAGGGTTGCGATTCATTGCTTGCCATTTACAGTGAATCTAAACTAGAGATTGATTTCTAATACACTACAGGAGTCCAAGCTTGCGCCATACAGATGCACTTCGTAGATCCTGAGGCTAAGACGGCGAAAAGCAAGTAATTCAAAACACCGCCAGTCAAGTATCGGCTCGGTGCATTGTTTGTCGTCGAGAAGTGGAGCCGTAGAACGGGGCTTCCCGAGAATGGAATGAAACTTTTTCCCCGACTATTTCTCCATATATTACTCCGAGCCGACGATCGACGATGTGGTCCCCATCAATGTCCGAGTCAGCCTCTGTTATTAACACGGAGAGAAACAGCGCAATGAGTGGACTTCGACAGATATGTCTTTGCCTTGGTATTTGCAGTCCTTGCCTAGTGAATCCTCGATGACCAATAGGAAGTAAGGAAGTGGCTCTTTTTGCACCTGCGCTTTTCAAAGAGACGCGCATTGGTCAAGACCAAGGTCGATGGTACTCGTAAGGCTTGATGAAATTGCAAAGACTCAAAATCACTGGGCGCGAAAATACTTCATTTGTTCAGGTCAGTCTGTGAAGGATATGGGGCATAATATTCTAAGTTGGCTGTGCATTCAATTCGACTCTAGGTAGCTCGAAAGATAATCTTGACATCTCTAAGAGATTTATTGCTCTATTCGCAAATAATCTAATACACACGTCTAGTATTGGTTTCCGATGATATCTGGTAGGAGCGAGTGGGTATAGTTCCAAAGTATCCCGGAAGCTTGCGAGATAAATGCAGCACCGGTATACCAAGTATTACGCTCACCCTGAAGGCTGTTGAGATAGTCGTAAAACCACTCTCTAGTGCCTGTTTGGAAACCTCTAGCTTGAACAGGGTGTGGCTGCGAAACTCGACAAACTCGGGAGTCGGGTGAGAGGAGCTGTTGGCTGCTATCGTCTGTTGGATTCTCATGATCACTTTTGTCACGTCGGCCTGGACTTCATCCTGGGTAAGTGGAATTGGACTCCCATACCATACATTTGTACGAGAGCAGTATCCACCGTGTGGTGAACAAAAACCCGACCGATCTGTTCAGAGTGGTTTATTTCTTCGATGGAAATATTGACTTCAAATTGTATCCTCTGGATCTGGTACATGGAAAGGGAGTTGATGGTGATGAGAAAGCTCCCACGGTCGAGGGGCATATGGTTGAGCGGACTATGACCTCGTACAATATGAAGGACAATTCTTGATTGTAGGTTGAGGGGGAAAAGGAACTACTCGCACGGAGCGGATGATGGATAGAGATATTGTCTAGTATTCACACAAACGTCAAATGAGACCATGTCCACTCTTACCACGTCATAGCCCCTCATACGTCTATCCACTATTTGGACTGCTTGTCCCCACACTATGACTGAACAGCTCAGAGGTTTTGGAGATGCATGACCGTGGAAGTAGATCCAGATAACTCTGGTCCGGGTTATTCACATTCTTTAGCTCGCGCAGGACATGAAAGAGCTCCTGCAATCGGGGCTGATAAGCTTCATTGTGCATCTCGTTATACAAGAATTCGGCACAAAGAAAGACGGGAATGGGTGTCAATGGATGAATCTGGAAAAACGAGTCAGTCAGAATCGCATTATACGAATCCACATACCCTGACATACCCTGACATACCCTCGAAAATGGTAGCTCGCGTAGGGTAGAAGTGAGACTGATAATGTTGGTGGACGCCTCAAGTGCCCGATATTGGTACTGGATGTACTCGGGATTATTCCCAATCAGTGGACCATCTGGCCCCGCGGCCGTGTCAGTCATCGCCCTGCAGAAGTATATTACTGTTGCTTGGCCGAGAATATTGGCGAATAAGAGAAGGGGATCGTAAGAGTCCGTGGGTGCTGGGTAGCACTGTGATAAAACCTGGAGTCGATTCGTGAGGATGGTATCCAGCCATCTCCGTTGCTCCGTCCAGTTCATGGTCATGTCCCCATAGGCCTTTGAGATGTGGTACCGTTGGTTTTGGAGAAGACTGCGACCACAGATAGTGGCCAAGATGAGACACTCATTGAATGACGAGCGGATTTTGAGGGTGGGTTCGGTCATGGCTTCTGACAGGAACGGCCCCAGTTCGTTGCTCCCACTTTGAAACCCGGCGTCTGGAGCTGGAAGTCGGGTGCAAATCTTTGAATTCAATGAAAGACGGACTATTAGCCAATCGCGTACTGGCTGCAACGCTTCAATTATTTCTCCGCCGAGGATCATTGCTTACCACATGTTCATTTAAAGTGATCGGCCAGTCATCGCGCATGCTAATGACATGGTCCAGGAAATAGGTCATCCAGAACACTCGACGTCGTTCCTCAACCTCGATATAGTCTCCACACTGCGGAGAGGAAGGGCCTCGCTTGTCGACGGGGTTGTCAATCTCATGATACCGCATAGCCTGCACCAAGCGGAATGCACGACCGGCGCTCATCCACGCTTGACGATGATACGTCCGCATGTATTCAAATGTGACGACCAAGACCCATGCCTGGGCAAGTAGAGTGTTAAAACTGCTGTTATCGTTGGCTTCGACGCTCAGATCTTCCAGCATCTGCTTAGTTTGCTGGTAGAGCGGCTCAACCAGATGCCGGGAATGAGCGGACAGCATCGATGCCAGGGTCCACATGGCATACTGGAGGCATTGATGGGACGCCGTCTTGTTGCTGGACTTGGACCATGACAAGTACCGTCTTTGATGGAGGATTGGGATCGACTGATGCACGCGGTCCAAGTATAGCTGGTCTCTGGGGGGTTCAAAAAGGTATTAGCCACATTATTCTTTCTACTATCAAGGTCCGTACACTCTGGGATATAGGGGACAGTATACAATTCAGCCTGTATGATATCAGACAGATGTGGACTAGGCGCAGGCGCCGTAGACGCGAACGGGGATGCGTTATTACTCGACAAAGCCGCTGGGTTCGAATCTAGTGGCAGCCCATAGCCGTTTGAGACAAATGCCTCGTACTCCGACCCGGGGGATGCATTTCGCCCATCATCATCATGGCTGTTTCGGGAATCACCTAGCAGATCCGACCGCTCATGGGGCTGCAAGCGGGTCTCGAGCATGGCCTCTAGGTGCACAATGCGGTTCTTCAGCGCCTTCAGGTGCCCCTTCTTAGGGCCCCGGACACCACGCTGGGTGACCTCACAGAATACGCCCGTGTCACGACACACGCCGCATTGAGGATGCTGGCCATCGCACCGCAGCTTCCGCCGTCGGCACTCGTCACATGCGGCCCCGGGACGCTGGCGACCGCGTGTCACAGGCGGTGTGTCTGATTCAGTGTCTGGTAGTGGCATGGGTAAGTGAGGAGGAGGAATGGTAGGATGGAGTGCTGGCCGGGGAATCTGACGGATATTCATTTCCGTCAGGTTAAGGAGGCCATGGAGAAGGGTGGGTACAAGACTGCAGGGCAGAAGAGGGATGTCAAGAGGGCCCGAAAAGCAAAAGAAGGACTTTCTGTCACTGACTTTCCAAAAGATATGGGCATACTCTGGCCCCTCTCTGGTCGTCGTTTTTTTGTCTGCAGCGGGGATCACATCCGCAGTAATTAATAAGCCCTCGGGGTTAACTAACTAGTTAACTAACTAGTTAACTAGCGTAGCTGTGTGCAGCAAGAAAGTACGCCCAATCTGACGACTCCAATAAAGTCTGCCTGTTCACCTCGTATAGGTGGGGAAAGGGTCTGCAGTATCCATTCATGTTATAGCCCATTGGGTGGAGATTGTTGACTTCTAGCCCCCAATTCCATTGCATTCCATGCGCTTACCAGCTACTATCACGACTACTACATTCTCCTAAATCCTTGAGACGCCGTGTCTCGATTCGGCCATTCCCATTCTAGTATCTTCCGGAATCTTGCGATCGCAGGAATAGAGCCAGTGCAAGCTAGGCACATCACTAGCTAGTGCTGACAGCGACACACGGATTCCAGGCAATGGTCTACGACGGTCAAATCAGATACGGCTGATTTTCAGGGGATCCGCCGGGGAGACGTTCAGACGATCGGTTGATTATTTAGCTCGATGATCCGAAGAGTTGGCCCGCTTCAGTGAACGGGTGGGCCCACTTGGCGCATGCTTGGTTGTGGCATCACAACCCACGGAGTATTACTGTTGCAGTATTGGAAGACGCAATGAAGCTGCAGGTATGATGATAAAGAAAGACCATAAGAGTACAAATGCCTTGACGGACCCTGGGTGTTGGTTCCAAATACAGAATATGGCGACAAACAGGCTCCAGTGCTATTAAATGATCGCCAAGAGCCAACAGGCGCTACGAAATTGAAACTCCGAACCGATAAATAGAAACTCCGAGGAGAATTGAAGTCCCCGAGATAGACAGCGCATCGACATTAATCGGATTAACGCTAGTTCTAGCTAACCACAGTTAAGCATGGCCAAAGACAAAGATATGATCAGGCATCATAGGATCGGTCTCCATATCTTTCGCGACTATCGCCTATTCATGGCGGTACACACAATTCGCATTTCAGAATGACAGCACCACCGGGCCAGTTTCTTGCAGGAAAGAGGATCATTGTGGCTGGCGCGGGATTCGCGGGCTTAGCATTTGTACTTGCCCTCGACCAGCTATGGCAAAGCTCGACTCTCGACCGTCCGGAAGTGCTGCTGTACGAAGAGAACGGGCGCGACGAGTCCATACAAAATGACCCCTATACTCTGTGCATCAACGGAGCAAGCAGGGATGATGGACTGGTGGCCATTCAACAGTTGGGCTTATTAGACGCAATTCGCGAGCATTCGACCCTCAATGGCGGCGACATCAGGGTGTGGTCTGACAATTGGAAATGGCTGTCGTCTATCAATCCGACTGCATATGGCAACCTCCCAGCAGCAACCATGCGCATCACCCGTCAGAACCTCAAGCGCATCCTGGTGGAGAAGGTTGAGCACACACGGACCATCATAAGATGGGGCTCGGCCTGTACGTCGGCCGAGCATCTTCCGAGCGGCAAGATTCGCGTCTCCCTTTCCGAAGATGTTGGAAGCTCAAACAGTTCTACGCTAGAGTGCGATCTCCTTGTGGCGGCTGATGGCGCCAACAGTCGCATCCGAGCCTGCTTTCGACCTAACGACATGACAACTCACTACGCTGGCGCCACACAGGTTGGTGGCATCTCGCATTTTCCGGAGTCGCTCCCCCGACCCATTGATCAGGACTTCAGTCTCCAGATGTCGTCGGGCGAAGGGGTATGTTGTATCTACCACCCATTCGACAGCAAGACGATCGACTGGGCATTAAGCACGAGAGGACCCGAGCGTGAGGCGAAAACCAACCTCAGTGTCGAGGAATTCAAGGAATTGAAGCAGGAAGCCCTGCAGACCGCCTCGATGTTCCAGGAACCCTTCAAATCGGTCGTGGAGGCAACAATCCCCAGCACCGCATTCATCCGGCCTGCCAAGGAGAAACCTGCGTTCCAGCACGATTATCGCCTAAATGGTGTGATGTTCATCGGTGACGCCAACCATATCCTTAGTCCCTTCGAATTCCTGGGCGCAAATCTGGCACTCAAGGACGGTTGGGACCTAGCGGAACAGATCTGTAGTAATATTTCCCTCGATACGGCGGCTGCCTGTTACGACAGGCTGAGCATCCCGCGATTCCAGCATGTCTTCAACTTTTCGCATGAGCGGATTAACTTTGGGCACTGCACAGGGAGCAAGTGGATGTTTTACAAGTATGGCATGGCTGCTCAGCGGGCGCTGAAAAAGGTTCATTGAAGAGGTGGAGCTGGGAAGATGCGTCAAGTGGATTGTAGGATGATAGCGTAGGATCTTATTAGAGGCTTTGCCTTTCCAGTGGTGTTGCCTAGGTGCACATAGAAATCAAGTTATATGCCTACACTCAACACGACAGAGTTAACCTTCTTGAAATAAGAGAACTCAGTTCTCCGATACCATTGGAATCCCCGGGCGGCAACCCAATAACATCTGGAATACACTCCACGGAGGAAGCTCATAGATACCGTCTAGATTGGATGAACTAATATTCGCAACTCAATACACCAGCCAACCGACCGACCGATCGCCTGAAAAGTTGTAAATACCTACTTCGCCCATCAAGGCAGGGTCCACTCCGTAGCATTAGATAGAAAACCCCGGAGATCATTGAATATAGAGATGAATTGATAGACTATGACAAATTTCTTCAAATAACGTGCCCTGAACTAGGCCAAGACTCCATCGTGCGCCGCTATCAGTCTGATTACAAGATCCCATACAGAAACTAGAATTCGGATTTAACTTCCTGTATAACGTCTTACATTACCTGAAAAGCCCCGTGCAAATTGTGGATGTCTGCACAGCAGTAGACCCGATTCACATTCTTGCACCTTTACCTGGATAGTCGAAAACAGACTTCCCTAGCGAATTGGCTCTGTTAACATTTGGCTAGGCTATGATTTGTCGAGACATGGAGTGGTAACTCACCACCAAGACTAGGGTATACTGAGTGACACACTTTTGATAATTGACTAGCGTTGTACATGGGTTAATGGATGAGATGTATGCCTAGCAGTCACTTTGAATTTTACCAAGCAGACTGAGTATGTATGCAAGACGTTTGAATCGATCACAGATAAATAGGCAAGAAGTGCCGTTTGATTCTAATATGGAATTAGAACTATAGAAAAAGGGACGATCCTAGGGCCGTGGGATTGATGGACTGTTGAAGAAGCTAAGATATAACAAGAAGTTATAGGATCTAAATACGCAGGATCATGGGACGAATAGCTTGCACGTAAAATGGATTCTACAAACTATAGCGTTATGACGATAATGCCACGTATCTCTGAACTGATTTGATAGAGACTACCCATCGCTGACTGAGCCCGCGGTCGATAGGGCATTTTCTCCCCGACGACCTAGCACCTGATCCGATGAAGCCGGCCTAGTCAAGATTGTGTTCACTTTACGTAGTTCCTATGATGCATTGCGAGGCACATGAATTACCACCTTTTTGAATAGCGATGCAAAGAAGATCTGTATGTGTTTACTCAACAAAGCCCAGGGAGGACTTGTTGCTGGGAAGAGCAAGTCGGTTACAGCTGATCATAGAATATGTGCTTTATTGCTAAGTCGGGTATTCGAGTTCCCGCTGAGGTCAACATTGGGCATCAAATGAATCATTCGACGATTAACAACTCTCTGTTTCAATAACACTCACACAGAATTGGTGACAGGTTTTTCTGCAGTATTTTCGGACTCAAGGAGTCCAAGGTCTGTGTAGATCTCGAGCAAGCGATTCCTATCTTCAATTGCGTTTCCAGCTTCATCACCAAAGACTTCATCCATTTCCTCGAGGGTCAAGTTTTTGGTTTCCGGGACGAAAAAATAGATGAATGCTGCTCCGATGAAACACATTGCTCCAAAAAATATGAAGGTTCCGTAGCCCATCGTTGCTACCATCTGAGGGGTTGCCATGCCAATCTGTGGGCTGTCAGCTGTGTACGATCAAACTAGAGAGTAGGATAAACGTACGGCAAAGTTATTGAGCCAGTTGGACGAAGCACCGATGGAGATGGCTTTTGCTCGAACTCCGAGTGGGAACACCTCGGCAACCAGTACCCATGCGCCAGGCTAAAATAACGGTCAGTTGAAACAGTAGGCCAGAAATGAACATTAGTATGACCTACCCCCCATGAGTAGCCAAAGTTGACTTGATAAAGCCACACGAACACTACAGCAACCCAGCCAGCAGCTTTGTGAGAGGGCCAACTGGAGTTGTATTTCCCATCCAGGCCAGCAACGACAAAATGGCAAATTCCCATTCCAAGGGCGCCACATATAAGGACGGGCTTACGTCCTACCTGGTCAATCCAAAGGACAGCAGGTATCGTAGCAAGGAACAGGACGATTCCACCAACCCCACCGGCAAGTAGGGAGGTCGTATTCCCTGTGAGGCCCAAGTCCTTGAAGATGAACTACAAGAAATTTGGAACACATTAGAAACATTTCCATGCCCAAGCCAGTAAAGGAATTGTACTCACAGATGCATAGTAGAGGATAGCATTAATTCCGCTCCCTGGAAGTTTATCAGTTAGCAAGCGGGTTCCTTGCATGCGAGCTGGCGGTGCGTCCTTACATTGCTGGAAAACCATGATAAAGACCGCAACCAGAACACGTTTCAGTAGGGACTGGTTGGTAATCAAACTAGAATATTCATGGAACCCCAACTTTATTTTGTTCAAAACGCCAGGGGCATGATAGTGAGGGAACTTGGCAAGAGAGGTCTCTTGCTCAAAGCGATGTTGGGCTTTGACCTCAAGATATTCTAGTTGGACTAGCTCACTGTCACTGGGCAAGCGGCGAAGTTTCGCGATCACTGACAGGCATTCGTCGTCTCTGCCCTTGACCATAAGCCAGCGAGGACTAGAGGCGCATGTCAATATGGGACAATCACAGAGAACGATTTTCGTGCAAGACAAACCTTGGCGGCATGAATAGAATTCCGACTCCAAGAACAATTGCCGGTGCAATTTGAATGCAGATAGGGATCAACCATGCAGCATTACTCTGTGTCTCGCCAGTTCCTCCAATGTAATTGGTGCCGTAACCTACTGTGTGTCAATAAATACCACATTGTGAACCTTGAAGTTCGGACCAACCAATCCAATAGGAAACCAGGATGCCAAAGCAAATTGCCAACTGCTGGAGGGAAACAAGAGACCCGCGTAATTCCGCAGGTGCTAGTTCCGCATTGTAGCTGGAGAAATGACAACCATCAGGAATCTGTTCACAAGAGGAAACAACAATAATGAACCTGCTTACAGAGGAACGATCATGGATAAGATACCCACGCCGAGACCAGTTACAAAGCGTCCACCGAGGATATAGTCGACGTTTTTTGCGCAGGCCTGAATAATAACACCAACCAAGAAAACTATAACACCTGAGAGAGTTGCCTTCTGGCGACCCAGGGCATCGGCGAGAATACCATTCACCAACACACCGACCCAGGCACCAAGCTCCAGAATTCTGTTGATCTTTTGTCAGCGAAAGCAAGCGGGGCGGCAGATGAAGGGAGAGTGCAGGCCTTACGCCGTGAGAAGTCCTCTAGAAACAGGATTCGTGATGGATTCAGGATGTACCGTATTCGAAAAGGAGGTCATGCTCAAAATCTGGCCAAACATGCCTTGGTTATCTGCGCGAGTGACGTGTTAGCAGGCGTCAGTTGGCAAAGGATGCATGGGCTTATGACTGAGGGTGCGTACAGCCATATACAAAACCACCAAGTGACGCAAATACCGCAATGGAAAGCGTCCGAAGGTTGGAGACCAGACCCTTCACTCCCGATGGCCCAGCGAGCCGAGCTCGCCGCTGAGAGAGGGCCTGATGACCTGCTGTAGCAACCATATTCGAGATTAATCTTTCCGTGCAATCTTTCAATCAGGGGGTTGACGGCAAGGTGAGTGAAAAGCGGTTGCACACGTCCATGAGAGCTTCATTAAATAGCGCGAAGTGTGTTGATGTTGTCAACCTATCCCAGACAAATAGCCTTGTCCATTATTGAGTGCGGGGTTATACAGGCTAAATACATGGCTTCCCGTCTCCTAGAAAGGACGGATAAGCTTCAGCCTAGACCCTGTTTCCAGGTCCAGTGCCGCTGACTCAATACGACAGGTCGGTTCCACATAGTTCCGTATCCATCACGAATGCTTGAATACTCTAAACACATGCAAGTTGACTGTGGGCGCGCTCAACTGCATGATTTGATATCCAACCAGGGAGTATTTGGTCGAGCATTATGTCTACAGTGTTTATTGAGCCAATTCCAAAGCTTATTCATTTGTGAAATTGTCAAATTCCACTTTTGTCTCACTCGCGATGGGGTTGCCTGCAGGTTTCTTGGTGTTCCCGTGCTTCAATACCCCGCACAACCGGCTGAATCTGACATTCGCTCGAAATCACTAGCTTCTCTTGGTTGACGGACAATTACCAAGGCTCCTAGTGGAAGTCTATATATGGAGTAGGTTAGCTCCTAGTTTTAGTTTGTCATCATTTTCGTGTCGGCGTCCCTGAGTGTCGAAATCTGCACCCCGTCATGATCACTGCCCTATGAGTATAGAGCAACTGCCAAACTGGCTTATCTTGACAGGAGAAATCCAGAGCCTCTACTTGAGCTAAAGTACGCCGGGGCTGCAATGACAGGCTATCATAGAAGTTTAACCCTCGAACTCTTGCCCAGTGGAGAATGAATAATTATACGCTCTCAGGGGGTTGGATATAGGTCGATCTTTCATGAGGGGACAGGATGATTTGTTCTCTAGAGATCTAACCGAATTCCCGAAGAGCTTGAAATTAGCCGAAGCACCCCGTCCGAGCACGCCGGCTTAGTGGCTTTGACCGAAAGCGAATAAGACTCCCCGGGAGTGACTGAGAGCTTTTGGGGAGCCCGTGTGATGCTTCCTCGATAAGGAGCCGTCAGACTCTTCTAGAATCCCGAGTACATGTTTCAGCCTGCAACAGCCACAAATACGAGCGGCCAGGCGTCTGACCGGCTAAATACGTATTATCCTGAATTAAAGTTTGCCCACAATCCAGCGCTTGGCCATATTAGTAGGCAGGGCGGATCCACTATTAGAGTGTCAAAAGATCATACGTCAAATCCTTTACAGCTTTTCCTTTCAAGTCTACGTCTTCTACTGCGTACAGTGGCGCCGCAAAAGTCTGAGACCCCCTTGATGACCGCTTTGGTCTCCGCTTTCCTATTCTGGACTAATATCTACCTTAAGTAGTATAGTGTGGTCTATCACTTCTAGTTTAGGCGAGCACTAGTCTATCTTAAGAAGGCGGTCAGTAGGGGGGTCTCAGACTTTTGCGGCGCCACTGTATCCCCACCAACAAAGACTTAGCGCCAAAAATTGCCACTGAGGTAGCTCGGAGGGTATAAGTTCTGCAAGATGAAACGAGGTGTGAGGGTTTTACGTTCAGGACCTATATGTCATGTATCATGAGGGTGCCACGCGCTTTTTGGAGGGTGAGCTGACCTGTAGTCCCCATGCATACGGGTGGTCAGTTTACACCATCTTCTGTCTGCGTCTGCTGCTGGTTATGCGAGACAGCAAACCCCTGCATAGCACCTGTAAATTAAGGAAGCTAGATCATGTCTAAAAATTTTGATTGATTGATTGATTGATATTTACGTTGTGTTTATGGACTCAACTCGAAATTCTCCACCGGATCAACTGGTAAGCCCATACTGACCGTCGCCCTTCCCTCGCCAAGATCCATCACGATCCTAAACAACGTCGCCAGCCCGTCGGTGTCTTGGTAATGCCTGCAGATACTTGACCCATCGCCCTCGACCTCATCGAGGAACAACCTCGACAAACTTGATGCTTGGGCCCTCCTTCTTCACCGCGTCCACTAACTCGCCAATCCTCCTTAGTCGATACCACGTATCAGGCAGCAAGTTTTTGGATTCGGCCACTTTTTCGTTGTGCGGTAAGATGTAGTGATTGGTATGCATTATCAGGCCCTCCGGATCCATTTCCAACCGCACAATATTCTCTCTATTACACTCCAGCCCTGTCCCTCCTGTGACATCGCCAACTAGCAGATGACAAGAACTGGCCACACCCTCTTCTTCGAGCGTCTGAATCGTCGCAGCAGAGCGAGAAGTCGACTCCAGGATAGTTCTCAGAGCCAGGTGGCAGGGCATTTTGTTGTATGAAACTCCGTTGGCAGTAATGGCGTTAAGTGTGCAGCCCACACCGTGGGAGTTAAGGCCTATTTTTCCGAGGATGCCGGCTTCGGCTATCATCTGAAGCGAGCTCTCATCTTGCTTTTTGATGTTTAGACGGAGGAGATTTGGCGCCCGGCTTTATATATATATATATACGTCAGCTGAGAGCAGAAGCCGAGGTAGAGAGAAGACCGACTCGAGATTCCAATCCCAATTCTGGCCCAACAAACTTTGTCCCTTTCCCTTCCATGAAAGGCCCGTGCATCCATCATTAAATGCCCCATATGCAATTTCAGTTCGTACATTCAGCGCCAGAATGTCCTCGTAGCTGACTCCAGCGCCCTCGGCAACGCCTTCCATTTCCGCAACATACTGAGGCCAACTCTGCTCTAGATAAGGGTGGAATTTGCGAGCAAATAGTTTGGCATCTGACCAGTGCATTTTACATTTTGTTTGAAAGAGAATATTGTAGAATGCCAGGGAGCCATGGACCAAGGACCTGGCGGCTGTGCCGTGGGTGAGGCCAATGGCGCGGGGGCTGCCGGTGCAGTTGACTTCAAGGATGTTGCATGAGACTATAATGGAGATCAGATTATAATGGATATTTGTATGGTAGGCTAGACGGCATTTATGTGTTCATCCTAAGGACCGACGTTGCGAGTTGATACAATTACCATCATGGCGCCTATACTACCGGATGCACGAGAGGTCTGGTATATACTTGACGAGCACGATCCCTTGGATGCATATGCCAAACTGGCGGGTTACTATTACCTAGTATTATAGCGTACTCCTAGGGATAGTAAATTAGTAGCCGTTTCCTGCGCCCGGCTAACCGTCTAATCGTATAACCGAGTATAGTTTAGTACGGTTAGGGGAAGGCTATTTCTAGCCGCCTTCCTAAATATTCTACTTAGGGTACACCCGGTTAATAGGTATCGCACGTAATAGCGCTAATATAGAAACCCAGCCTCTACCTCGAGGAGATAGTTATTTTCTTATAGGATATGTTTTAGGCTATAGTGATAACCTCTAGTATTGGAAGAGTCCTTATCGTAAAAGGTTAGTCTAAAAAGACTATACAGAGATGTACTAGAGAATAAAATGCCGATTTACGATACTATTATCTATATAATCACTTAAATTTTAAATCGTACTACCTAGTCTATATTAATAAATCTAGATATAATAAACGTGTTAGGTTTAGATCGATAGACTAGGCACTACGTAGTATATCCCATTTAGAAGTACCGTAATTCTATCGTGATTAGAGATACTAGATAGTACCCGCGTATATATAGGATAGGATCGTTTTATCGCGTATCTCCCGTAGTTCTACGGGTGCTACTATATTTAAAGGCTTTATCGCCTAGCTATTCTAGTATTACGGACGATAGCTAGAACCTAAATCTGTGTCAGATATCGGGCAAGATGCCTAAGCCATCAGGCAGCATATCAAGCCAGATTCATGAGGCCTATACCAAGGCCAGAACGATATTCTGAATCTCTATAAGCTTTATGCTATTATATCATCATTATCTAATCGAATAATCAGGCATGAACAGACGCATCATAGTTATGCGATCTACATCATCATTACGATTGAATTACATCGTACAATCAAGCAACTACACATCAAACGGCTACTGCATGAAATCACTATGCATCTAGATCTATCTGTATGAGATCACCATACATCTAGAATGCGTCTAGATCTATCTGGATTGATCATACGCAAGAAACAAGTTTGATAAGTTTGCATAAAATATTGATTATACATATGCCCTGGTTTCTCTACCAAGATCTTATGATAATTATGTTCATTACATCAAGCAAGAACAAGGCGATTCAATACAATCAACCAAGCTTTAGTCCTACTTCACTTTTCTCTCATCTTGATTTATTCTAAGCCGAATTGAACTTATCCTTCCTATTCAATCAAGAGGAAGAAAGATCAATCGATCTTATTCAAATCTTATTCAATCTTCATCCTCTCTACCTACCTGCGCAGCAGATCGCTTGCTCGCAATCTGTCTTAGTTATAGATAACGCATTATTTTACCAGTCAGAAGGACTTAAACAAATTTACGCGGACGTAGGGGTCAAGCTAGTCTATTTACCGCCGTATTCGCCGGACCTAAACCTAATTAAATAGTTTTTTGCTAAGCTTAAGGGGTTTATTAAGCGTAACTACGACTACTACGAGAAAGACCCCGAGCGAGGATTTAATACTTTTCTTGAATGGTCTATTGATATAGTCGGTGCGAAAGAAGAGAGTGCTAGAGGCCATTTTCGACATGCGGGCCGGAATATTGAAGTATTGATGCTTAAAACCCCTTCTGATCCTGTTACCTCCACGGCCCACCTCGAGAGCCATCTTCCCTTTGGGACGCTCTGATTTAGGTCGGCCCGGGCCGACAGTCTTGCCGACAGTCTTGCCGACGGTGGAGCCAGCAGCAAGGCAACTCGGAAATTCCGCAAATCTCTCAGGACAAATTCCCAAGATAGAGCTGGGATACCAAAAGTGGCCCCATTCTCCTAAAAGGATTAGTTGCTCCTATAAATACTTTGTATATCGCTGAAAAAAGTTGTTATTACAGTAAAAGCAGCAGCGATATATGCTACGAGTGAACGAGATCCCCAGCCACCGAATTACTTAGCCTAGCCACACTAATCAGATTACAAAGCCCAGCCACTAGATTAACCTACTACCCGGATTATAACCGGGATTTCCTGGGCTATAAAATGTATAGAAAATTAATATACAGGCGAGGCTTGTGCTCTATGTGCTCCGAATCAATTCTTCAAATATCTCTCTGATCTGGTTTATCACAATGCTTGCATGGGTCTCATCCACCAATCTCAGATGTGCATTCTCACCCAACCTTGCAGCTATCTGGACACCATGATTAGGTGGAACGAAACTGTCGAGCTTCCCATACCACATATTCACAGGTAGATCATGGCGAATGTCTTCGACTCGAAAGCCAAAGTCCATGCACATCAACTTGCCATCTTGCCATACACCTTCAAACCCCTGCGAGAAGCTTTCCCGAGAGGATCGCAAAGATAATGGAGGCCATGCAGACTTCATAAACGCAATATCTTTCTCATGGCCAACTGGCTGTCTAAGCATAATTTCGAGACGCTTCTCATCAGTCAAGTCTAGGCGTCCTAATATATCGTTTTGCCAAAACCATCGGGCAACAGTGAGGGGCGCATAACGAAACCCATACGGAAATCCAAGCTTATGCAGGAAATCCGCCCCGCTCATACCGATATCAGGAGGTCCCATGGCACAGACAAGTGAGACGCACCGAAGCTTGTTGCTAGGCATTGCTCTAGCACAAGCAAGGGCAGATGGTCCACCTCCTGATATTCCCTATCATAGTGTTAGCAACCAGTGTTCGACAACCTTGGGAGCCATATGGTCCCCGTACCAGGACACTGTAGTGATCCAGTCCAAGATGGTCCGCAAGTCGTTCCAAGTCTTTCGGATGATCGAGTAGTGTTCGATTGGGGTGTGGTGAGCTCCACCCTATACCAGGTCTGTCCACGGCAATAACACGGGCGCCGAGCTCCAAGCCCAGCGCGTGAAAACCGGCACCTTCTAGGCGAGAGCCTGGAAGTCCATGCACGAAAAAAATAGGCCGCCCGTTCAGCGAGCCATATTGTGCATACCCGAGTTTTCTTCCATCTGTGAGGGTCAGAGTATCCGAACTTTCGGTATCCGTACGGAACTGCAGCTGGACAGGTTCAGCTGTAAGGGCCGCTGGAGCGTTGGCTAGGTTATTATTGGCGGCTGTAGAGATGCCAAATACCTGAAGAAGCCATCTTTTCGCGCTTGATGTCGGAGACATGTTAAACGTGAGAGATTATGGAGGATTCTGTATTCGCTCAACACGGTTGATTTTGTTTTATGCTGACAATAGGCAGCTAACGGCAAGGCCCTGCGAAACGAACCCCACCCACCTGCGGATACCCCGCATGTATGCCCAGACGCTTATACGAATGAGTCACGGGAATCAAACAGGACTCGGAATAAATAATTATTCACGAATATAATTGGATGGAACGCGCTGCCGAGGCACGTGCGTTCAGAATCCAGCAAACCCTGTATCCGTGCCTTTCTGCCTACCCAAACCGCTACCCGCTTCGGGTGCGCCACATATCTTCGTAATCACAATTTCTTCGTGAATTTTCGAATACACTATACAATTAACCAACCAAACTAGCTATTTATCGAAGAAAAAGAGCTCTCCTTTCTCTCTTGCTTCTCTCTTATTATTAATTGCCTGTTGAATACTCTGTTCGGTCCTCTGTGTAGGTTTAAATCTATACACTTTCTCTATCTGCTTAGCTAGCTTCCTCTCCTCCGTGGTTAGATCTTTTACCTCTCTACCGCGAATTAACCGATTTATATCGCGAGGCTTTAATATAATATCCTGGCTAAGCAGTCTACCATCGTACGATAATAAAATTGAGAATATAGATAGATCTAATATCAACTTAGAACTTCCTAAAATTTTAGCTTCGTATAACGTCTAGAAATAATTATACCTAGCCCTATCTCCACTTTTTTCCCCTATACTTAAGAGAAAAACCCTAATTCTACCTAGGCTAGGTATAAATACTCCTATATATTAGAGCTACCCGCTATTTACGTAGGACCTTAATATATAACGGAAGGATATTATTTTCTCCCCTAACTATAGATAGTGACATATTAATTCTAGACTAAGGCATATTTTAGGGGTCGTAGATTAAGATAACACGAAGAAGGTAATAGTATTGTCTGTTATTGTTACTATCTATAAGTTGTGAATACCAGCGGGATTGCCCTTGAATACTAGCCGGTGCTAATTCTATTCTGGTTTAGCGCCGGGTACGTTTTGTTAGTAGGGTTAGTGAACACCAGCGGAGTTCAACGTGGACTACATGCAGGCAAAGGATGACCAGGAGGGGGAGAGTGCAGGAAGCCCAAGGTCCTCCCTATGTGTACCATTTTTTTGGTAACGCGACGCGTCGCGTGTGTCGGATCAGGGCAGACAAATTGCTTTTTCTGATACCTCCAATCGTCAACGCCATCGTTATAGATGACTGGACATTGCTGCCAGTTCTGATGAAAAGTTAGGTCCGAATAATAGCAGGCTTGATATTCTCTTTGATGTCCAAGTATGGGGGAAGTATGGCTCGATCTATAGTAATCATTATATAGGATGGTAGGAGTACATGGTCGGGAAGCACATGAGCATAGATATGGACTGTAATGGCGGGACAGGTCACTGCAGTCCACCAAACGTTTTACTATGGGGTGCACGGAAAAAAAGTGTGAAGTGGGTGCCACTTTCGAAGAGACTATGAGAGTAGGTTCCTGTATCCATACAGCGTTTCCGCTGTCCCCTTTTTGTTAGCGTCTTCTCGCTATCTGCAGTGCTAATTTACTGTTGGGGGAGTTTTGGGGCTCAGGTCTCAGGGCGGAGTTTGGCAGATTTATCTTCATTGGGTCATTTGACCCAGATAGGCTCCATAGCTTTGATAGATCCCTTCGCCTCCAGAGAACTTAGCCTCTTATCCCTCTCTCTTTTCTCCTTTGGCCCCTAGATTCTAACAGTATTCCTCCTTCCGGTCCCAGATTCGAGCGGCGGTGGCGCATAGCTCTGCATGCACTGATCCAAGAAATGGCTCTATATCTCCATACGACAAGTGACTCAGATTGTTGTTGTTGATTGCCGAGTCAAGACGATCTTGCAATTGACGCACTTCGGCCCGCAGCCTCTCACATTCACCCTCGGCCAGCTTTTTGCAATCGCTGAATATGAGAAACAGGCTGGGCCTTTCCCGCTCGATATTGCTGCAAGGGCTGCTGCTGATGTTGTTGCCGTTCTTGCCTCTGAAGCACAGACAGCTGCTCCTTCTCATCTTTGGCACCTTCCAATTTCGAAGTCTTCGACGGGCGATCCTAGAGCCGAATAGGTTTAGCGGGACTGTATAACTTAGATGAGGGGACACTTAGGAAACCTTCTTTGCAATTGGCAGTGATCTCTTCTGGGCTGGAGGACTGGTGGTCACCAGCGGCTCTGGCTCGGTACCCGTGGTCGCGGCTTTTGCAAACCCAAGACCACTCGGAGCTGGGCGGGGACCAGGAGACTTTCGGCTTTTCTGCCGTGAAGGGGTTGGGTCCTTCGGCATAATGAGGAAGTAGTTAGGTGCTGGCGATGGAATGGTGGACGGGTAGAACCGTCTCAATCCCAGTGGGCCCGTAGGCGGGCAAAGGCATTTAAGCATGACCGAAACAAGAAGTCTTTGGAGATCCGAAAACATAACCACGGATCTTGCTTTCCCTTACCATCAGCTCCGGTAAAATATATGTACATGGGTACGGCAACCGCTGACACAACAATGTGAAGTCACATTGGCTTTGCACGGTCAACGCTTGCAACGATACTCGTGAGACCCTATTTGGCCAAAATCCAACGAACAGAACGGTGGGCGTATCGGGCTTCAAAGCAAATGAATGGCTTCTAACAGCCAAAAATCCCTCATATCTTAATTGCTGTTGTGTTGATTCCATCGGAGTGGTTGTGGTGGCGATCTCCAGGATAGAAACACGGTCTACAGGGGTCAAGCAATGTGACTCGAAGGCTGCCCATTCTTGAGAGTCTATACTGTACGCAAATAACTGCTGTTTTTGTTACGCTCAGGTACGAGAGGAAGATAAAATTTCACGAAATAACTAAGCATTCAAGATGGTGGTTAATATATCTGGTATATGCCTGACGCACTAGGCATCAACCAAATATGCATCTTGTATGTGAATCGTCACAGTTTTCAAGGTGTTTTTTCCAAAGTATTATTACCGAACCCCAATTTGGACGTCGGAATTTAACATGCAAATGTCTTTCCAACGGTGCCATCATTGTATGCCGTGATAATAAGCTTGACAGAGACATACGTTCCTGGAATTGATTCATCAGCAAATTTTTTCCCTACAGCATCACGGCGTATTGATATCCATGATTTTCAGCAGCTTTAGCAATGGAAAATTAATGACATACCGGCGACACACATGAACGACCCTGCAAGAAAGGTAAAAGTGTTAACAATAAACCTGGTAGGGTTCCCCTTCCATGCCTTGACACCATATACTCCATTTATCTTCCCCTTACCCATCCCATGGTACGCGTCGAAAAGCCAGAAAGCACCGACGATTCCGTATGTATACCAGCTTGCGAAGAGCGAGGCAACGATGGAGACAAAGTAAGAAAATATTGGCACTCCAATCGCAAGGGTGAACGCCACGCCGTTTACCACTATCACGAGAATTGTCCAAGTTGACCAGCCCTTGTACGTGTGCTGATTGATATGACTGCTTCCGCGGAAGAGGCGTACGAAGACAAGTTTTGCAGCCGTGTGGGAGTTCAACGAACCCGTTACAAGTAAGTTAGGGATGGCGATACCATACTAGTCATGTCAGAGCTAAGAAAAATCTGATGGCCTAGGAGAACATACGGCAATCTTGGCCCATTTTGATGGGAGCGAAGAGAAAGCTGGTGACGCCACATTGGGCCCCAGATACACGTACATAACGACACCGAAGATGACATAAAAGCTAGATGGCATGGTTAGTACATATGTTGACCTAGCTGAGATGTTGGTAGAGTCACTTACACAGTTGCAAATCCTTGCAGCACACACGCTGACTTCTTGGCGTCAGCAGGTCTTTTCATCTCTGATATCATAATGAAAAACATAAAATGGCCAGCGTATGCAAATATAGGATTCGTGACGGCTAAGAAGGCGTCGTAGAAATTGGATGAATTGGCCGCCACCAGCTGTCGATCTGCCACTGGATGATTTGCCGCTGCCGCCATCCCCACTATCCCTGCTATTAGGATGGAGATACATGAAGGGATGCATAGCCACGATAACTGATCCAACGTTCGCGGGAATGAAAGCATCATAGTTGGTATGGTGAAAATTCCTGCTAGCCGAGTCCACTGGTTATCACTGTTTGTACAGATTTCAAGTTCTATATTTACCTGTCGCCAACATCAAGCAGAGTCGGTTATTTGCCAGAGTACTCAATGCAATTTGACCAGCTAATAGCTGAGAACCGGCCGCAGCGATAGCAAAAATTACCGTCCCGGCAGAAAGAATCTCCCGTAAGATCGAACCGCCCATAATTCTACCGGCGTCACCCATGTTGTGTACTTCTGGGTGATTCAATTTGAAATCAACAAGGATGAAGGCGGTATATAAGGCAAAAAGACCTAAATGACTGTCAATCAGAAGATCGGTCCATATTCAAACCCTGCAGACCACGAACCGAGAAATATAATGAGGAGGACACCAGGCACAAGTCCCACAGCCGCAATGGCAGAAGGAAGGGAAAGCATGCCATTGCTGACGATCTCAGCGATCATCAGAATCGCAACCATTGGCCACGACATTGTTTGATAGCGAATAGCCGCATTTTCTTCATCACCAAACACACCGATGTCTATCACCGTGGTCAATCATCAGTACGCGCTCGACAAAGGAACAGCGTATACCTATTTTTTCGGCTGTAGTTTCTAGGTCAGAATTCCTTGAACAAACAGTTGGGGTTTGTTCAATTCCAATGGAATCGTGCTGAAGTGTTGCGTAATGGTGATCTTTCTCGGAGCTATTCATCTTGTCCGTAATTCAGGTATATGGTTAGATGTGTTCAGCATGGTGCCTGCCCTTGTCAATTTATATTATGCTATCCACTATATCCTGCCTTTCTTATCAAAATCTCTCGAGATAGCGCAAGCTTGAATTCGTGGAGACCTGCCAAAAATGGAACGTAGGTGGGGCAGAGCGGTTTTTAACCCATAGAGTTTCTAGGTAAGCCCTATAAGGTAACTGCATAAGACAATCGACCTCAGAACGTGGTTAGATTTGGCTTATCTTGTGGATAACACAACTTCGATATGATGCTGCTCTGGGCAAGCGCAAGTCTTTAGGTAGGTAGACGTGAACCCTGCAATCTCTAATTAACCTTTATTATGACACATCAAACTCTAATAATTAACTAGGGTGGCCAATTTTGTCATTACAACATTACTCCTGCGTCGAGTAAATAACTCTGCTAGGACAAAAAAGTGAATTCTACACGAGTGAACTTAAACCGCTTAGTCAAGAAATCCTGAAATGGCCAGCCAGATCAGGTGCTCATCACGAGATAAGACCGGATAACTAACTAGTTATTAACTGGTTAGTCAATCATTCTTGAGATTAGTAAGTTATAGACAAGCCAATATTCGGTTTGGTAACTCTCCTTGAACTTTTGATTGGCAGTAGTGCGAGGTAATTTCTAGGGCCATAATGGCGTATTTTTATCCAAAAAATGTGAAGAAAAAACTGAAAATCTAGCTACCTAGTCTATTAAAGGTTCTGAGGGTCTACTACTCCGTAGTTAGCGGGGAAATGTAGGTAATAGGTGCCTGGAATTCAATTTTCCGCCATTTTATCCTTATTTATCTAGAATATTTTCTATCCTAGCAGTAGCAAGCAGAATATATATCTTCAATATGTTCCGGATACTGCCGCTTTCCAGGAGCTATGCATTAGCGCAACCACGTGCAACACCCAATACCCACGGGATCCCCCAGGGCAGGAACACGAGACACTTAGGAAATGATGCCAGAAGGAACCGCTATTTTACAGGCCCCCACTTTACGTTATAAAATGGACTAGTTAACCGAATTTGGGTACCATCACGATCTATGTATGGGTCTCGGCTTCGAGTAGCCAATAGTGTTTAAATATTAATTCGCAAGCCTACGACGGGTCGGTAATATAAGGAAATTTATATATGCTTTACCTAGAGGAGGCCTCGCCACAGCCCGTCCATGGATGATCAATGTCCGTCCAAGTGTGAGCAGCCACTCGACCCCGCCCGCCCGTGGGTCTGGCGAAGTCTAGTTAAACCTGAACAAACCCATAGTTTTGGTTCCAACGGATATTTGCGTAGGTCGGGTTCTCATGCTATGGTAAGAAGTTAAAATGTATTTCGCAAGAAATACGGTAATTGCAGATTAGTGATATTTCTGATAAGTAACTCAAACCCAGCAGCCAGCCCTACACCAGAGCGGGCTCCGGCTTGTACTGGCCGATAATAGGTCAGACTCCACCCTCAGGTCATTCCAACAAAAGGGTGAGAGAAATCCATTTAATCTTCTTTCATGCGCAGAAACTTGTTAATCATATATTTTCATTTTCTACCTTCATATATGACATGGTCCGCAGATTTCATAGACTGCGCATCGTTGTGCTAAAATGCTACACCCCCAGTGCAAAACTGGTGGTGTCACACGGTGACCTAGATGATTGGTTCCGCGTCCTTTTATCTGGAGCAGCTGAACGATATGCTACGAATAATTTGCATCGGGTTTCCCTCGAAATCACTGGTTATGACGCTGTGTCCGGGCAATATCCAGGCACCGTAGATGGTGTCGATGCGATCGTGGTCACTGGATCAGGCAACGGGGCATACGAACCGATTAAATGGATTCAAACGCTGGAAAAGTACATTCAAGGTATGTAACCAAACTGTAGGAGACGAAAGCCAAGACCTTGCTGAATAACACGTGCGTCATTGGCAGATATCTATTCACAGTATCCATCGGTCAAGTTCTTTGGCGCCTGCTTCGGTCATCAAATCATAAGTAAGGCGCTTCTTGCGGATCAGGGGGTGTATGTGGAACGCAGTCCCCATGGATGGCAGAACGGGGTCCACACCCCAATATTTGCAGCGAGTTCACCAATCTCTTACCCGAAGAGTTGCCCTTGGCTCTGGGCCAGCCTTGTCGTCTCTCTATGCAATTTGTTCATGGCGACCATGTCGTAATTCCCGAAAAGGCGGACCTATCTGGTTGGGTTCGACTTGGGGTAACTGAATTGTGTAGTACACAAGGACTTTGCATGCCCTATATAGTGCTCACTTACCAGGGTCATTCTGAATATGACATTGAGATCAATACGGCAAACATGGAGTCCCTGGCAGAGAAGTTGGCGTGGGACGAAGAATATATGGCTGAGACAATGTCACTTGTTCATCATGATGACGACTCGGCTATATTTGCGGATGTGGTACTAGCATTCTTCTTGAAATAGGCATATTTTAGCGGTGGTCAATTATTATGTACGTCAGCAGTACGTGAGAGAAGTGCAAGGATTTCAATGCTTTGCGGAGTGTTCATAGTAGTTTGCCAGCGGACAGTGCTATCTTTCAAGACTCTTAAAAGGCAGAGAGACTATCAAGGCATTTCCCATTGTAGACACACCCTCACTACTTCATAAATACACTACAGTGTGGCAGCCATCAAAATGTGATTAATATAAAAAGAGGATTTCATTACTTAGAGCTTTATCATTATGGGACAAGAAACTATTCGATCGGCCTCCAGGCGGAACTGCGTCACTTGCCAAACTAGTTTCTTTCTTCGCTCCAGGTCCCTTACCCCTTATTTCCTGGAATTACGGACCCCTCCATCTCCAATATTGCTGCAAGAAGACCGTATCTCCCTACTTCGGTATCCAGATTCATGCAGATACATAGGATGCTACGGGCCAATCGGATGGGACAGATCAATTCGGAGACTACTGACGAGAGTATCGAAGCTAAGGAGAGAAGAAAGAAACATCCAGGGTGGTGGGAGACGCGTTCTGATATACGCTCCGATAACAGACGCCAATGCTTATCATCCTCATTCGGAATTGTTCGTTCCCAAGTCCGACTCTGCCAGATCTCACCGTTCCCACTGTCCCATTCGTAACACAAATGACCTAAATGACCGCCAGGCTCATAATCGTGCTGAGTGTTTCTCCAGTTCCCGAAGCTTGAATAGCTCTCATTCCTTTTTATATCTAAATAATCTTACAGTGCTAGGAAAGGGAAAGTGGAAGGGTAGCTTATCTCGTACTATCCGCTCACTCACTTCATGCTGTACGGCTTTGAACGGAACAACGTCATCTGGAAACCCTGGCAGAGCCGCAGGTGGGCATTCACTGGGCGAATTCAACTATGAGCGCGGGCCTAGTAGCGATGCTGAAGGAGTACTAATGAAGAATCCCACCCCAACAACCAAGAAGCGGACTTCCAAAAGATAAGCAGAGAATCGTTGCGTGATTTTGGACTCCTAACTTTAATAATGAACTTGATGTGGTTAACAAGGTACTAAGACATTGCAGGTTCGTATACGTCCCAATCGATTCGCTATTGGCTTTCGTGAAAGTCTATGAATAACCGGAAGGCGTGGGCGTTAGCTGCCTCCTTTCTGTGACTTGTGAATCAAGACTGTAGAATATATACAGGAAAAGTGATCTATGCCTCGAGACAAAATGGTGACGGGGGGCCCGGATGACGAGTGTTGTGCAGTTTTTCACGTTCTTCGCTCAAATATGCAACCGAGCCATAATCGTGTACCACCGGGTTGGTGGAGCTGGGACGGAGGTCTGCATTAAAAATGCCCAGAGGCAAGGCAACTGAAACATTGGCGGTTGGGATGTTAGGTGTCGCCAAGAGCCGACACTCGATAGGCGCGCAAGCCATCAGGATATAAGCTTGTTCGTGGGAGTATCCAAAGCGTTGGAGATATTTCATAGCTGCCGAAGCGGCTTGAATATAACCGGTCATTGGATTGGATAGATGTTGCATGCCCTGGTCGCTAACAGAAAGTCCATGGAAAGCAAGTCGAGCTTGGTAAAAATGGTCAACGACGCTGGGAATTACCACAGGCGCTGTAAAACCCAGTGTGTCCATCCCCGCAGCGATAATATGACATTTTATCGTCATGATTCCAGCCATTTCTATCGCGCATGTTGGTTCACCATCGCCGATGGAGAAATGGAGGTCCCCCACGGATAGATTGGCACCATCAACATATATAGGAAGATATATACTGGCGCCACTGGTCAAAGTACCCGAATCTATATTTCCTCCATTTTCCCGAGCCGGAGTAGTTCTGGCACCATGCAGTCGAATCTTCTGCGCGAGATCCGAAGGAAGCTCCTGACCGACATATGCACCTCTTTTGCTAGGTTCGTTCGCACAAATGGCTCCATGGGAACGAAATCGATGATTCAAGGCCTTCTCTCTATCAGTCCAACTCTCGAGCAGTGCAGCAGAGGGTGCAGTGCCTATTTCGCCACAATGCGGTCGTCCTTGGAATGAGACACCCTTGATGTGCCGCGATGAAGTTATTGCGCCCTCAAAGTCCCAGATAGCTTTCGCCACACGTGTGTGGTTTTTATCCAGGGGACCTGCACCGGGCTCAATCATCGAGAATCCCCATGGGCGCTCAGGGAATGGCTGGACGTCCATAATTTCAACATGCAAAAGATCTCCAGCCTGCGCACCCTCTATTCTGATTGGCCCAGATAGATGATGGTCTTGGTCCCAGCAGTAGTCAAGCACATCGTCCGCACAGTCATCATTGGATATTGAGTTGCCTGAGAAGTCCATGCACTCCACTTTGAACGCCTCGCCGACATTCACGGTTGCAACTGGCGGAATGTCGGGATGCCATCGTGTGTGCATGTGCGGTTGTGCCAGAGGCTTCCCGTTAGGGTCAACGCTGATAATAGTACGCATTGTTTGTAGATCACACGAGGAGTCACTGAAAAGAACAAAGAAGGTATCAAAAGATCTCGAGAAAACCAGTCGTGATGAGAATTGTAAGTGAGGAGAGGAGCTTCTTAAAGGATAGCCAAGTAGCTCTTGCCCATTTCAGATATTGCCCCACTCTGACCCCCCAAGGAGTGTGAGAAATTTTTCACGACAGCAATACTGGAGCATATTCCAATGATGGCGATTTGATTTTCGAATGGGTTATCCAATACAGTGCATATGAAAAGGCGGCCGTCTGTTCTGTGCTTGGAAAGTCATTCGTTTTCGGTAACTCTCCACGAGCCCCGCTTTGGGCGGCATTACGGAGTAACAACCGTGCTAGAACAAAAATTGAGATTCTACACGAGGGAACCCACCGCCAGCTTAGTCAAGCCCGTTTTCTCAGGAATAACATGGCCCGCCGGATTAGGTGCTCTCCGCGACGTAAAGACCAAAGTGACGATCGGGCCGAAGGGTCGGTGCGGGTAGGCAGAAAGCTGCGGGCAGGGGGGAATTAACAACCACCTATTGGCTAAGCAGCAGTCTAGCCTTGACGGTAGGACTGGACAATCCTGGGGTAGAAAGGGCAACCATCGGACTGGCGAAGCATGGGGTAGAAACTATACAAATTTGTTCGTCACGACGTGACGCGTGTACAGGAAAACCATAGGCGACAAGCCTTCAAATTCTGTACCAACTGTAAACAATACATTTCCAGTATATGAATAGTTTGTCGGAACTCTCGAATAATGAATATGATGGCGCTGAATCCAAATAACGGCCATAGGTGACGCTGAAGTGCTGTTCTCCCGACAGATCTAGAGCCATGGATGAGAACGCCAGACGCTCTAAGTGGCCCAAAGTTCTCCCGAGTGGACTAAGTTCTCTACAGTTGTCTGAACGCATCAGACCGGTGCGACTGTATTTGGTGTCACCGTTATTGGCGTAGTCGCAATGACAGATAATGAGAGAAACACCTAAAGGTTATCTTCGACCGCCTGGGTCGAATTCAAACATTTTGCGTTCCCAAATCCCCACTTTGTCTCGTACTCTTGGCGATGCTCCTTGTATTTTTCCTCGAGTAGCTTCCTAGGCGAAACCTCGTCTAAACTATATAAACTACATAAGCTGGATTTCCTGCCACACGGGGCGACCCCGATTCTACACTTCACCACTTCCTCCTTAGCAGCTCTGCTTAATAAACCTTCCAACGCTGGGAAGAGGAGTTGAGGGCTTAAATATGGACGAAAAGAATTCTGTTGCTGAACCAAATACAGTTCAGGCCACTGCAGCGTCGCCACCTTCCTACGGCGACCTCAACTCTATCCGAGATAGCTTTGGTCAGCGATTCTTGGATAGCTTCAAGCGAGACACAAACGTTCATGTCACATGCGGTAATGTGTCAAATACAGATGGAACAGGATTTGATGTTGAGCAGGCCGCGCAGAACACCGCGCATTCGCCGCTGCAGCGTCGCCTGAAAGGTCGTCCGTCACCTTCAGATGATCGCAATTGGTGGTTCCATTGGTATTTAAATCCAGGCTAAAGCCCGAAAGGGAAATGAAATCGGCTTGCTTACGCCCGAGTTTTAGGTACTGGGCTTTTCGTCGGATCAGGAGTAGTCCTGAACACCGGAGGTCCGGCGTCGGTGGTCATTGCTTATGTTCTCATTGGTGTTATGCTGTACTGTACGGTCCACGCCCTGGGTGAAATGGCTGTCCTTTTTCCTGTCGCTGGTTCCTTTTCCCACTATTCGACGCGTTTTTTGGACCCTGCTTGGGGCTTCGCCATGGGCTGGAACTATGCTCTGGGGTGGCTCATCGTCTTACCGTTGGAAATTGTCGCCGCTTCTATCACGATCGAATACTGGAGTCCGGGGATCTCGAATGCTGCTTGGGTGGCAGTATTCTGGGCCCTTATAGTCTCTATCAACTTATTTGGCGTTCGGGGCTACGGTGAAGCGGAGTTTGTGTTCTCCGTGATTAAGGTCGTTGCGGTTGTTGGGTTTATGTGCGTTGCCTCGTCCCTTGGCCTTTTTCTGACGATTGTTATTCTGGTGGATTTAACTAGTGGTGTTACTGACTTGCGCTATAGTATTCTCGCAATTGTTATTAACTGTGGCGGCGGTCCGGAGAGAGGCTATATTAGTGGTAAGTATTGGCATAACCCTGGCGCCTTCTATAATAATTTTAAAGGTCTATACAGCGTATTTATTAACGCTGCCTTTGCCTTCGGCGGCACCGAACTGGTCGGACTAGCTGCAGCCGAGACCGCGAATCCTCGCAAGTCGCTTCCTATTGCTATTAAGCAAGTGTTCTGGCGTATTACTTTCTTCTACGTAGTTTCCCTCACCCTTGTCGGTCTCCTAGTTCGGTATAACGATGAGAGACTTATCCACAAGTCTTCGTCTGCTAATACACACGCTTCTCTATTCGTTATCGCTATCGAGAATGCTGGTATTAAGGTTCTACCCTCTATCATGAATGTCGTTATTATGATTTCTGTCCTTTCCGTCGGTAGCTCTTCGGTGTATAGCTCATCACGCACGTTAGCCGCGCTCGCTGAACAGGGCCAGGCGCCCCAATTCCTTGCATATATCGACCGAAAGGGCCGGCCTCTTTGTGCTGTCTACGTTGCCTCCGCCATAGGTTTGCTCTGCTTCCTCGCGGCCTCGGATGAACAAATAACCGCCTTCGGTTGGATGATGGCTATCTCGGGTTTGTCATCCATCTTCACATGGGGATCAATCTGCCTTTCCCACATCCGGTTCCGCCGTGCATGGAAGGTCCAGGGGCATAGTGTCGACGATCTGCCCTTTAAGTCTCAGCCTGGCATCATCGGCTCGTGGATCGGTTTCATTTTCAATTGTCTGGTGCTGATCGCTCAGTTTTGGGTGGGTTTTGCTCCCATCGGCTACGCAGAGATGTCCGCGTCGGATCTGGCCTACAACTTTTTCTCCGTTTACCTTGCGGCCCCTGTCGTCCTAGCGTTCTATATTATATACAAAATCTGGTTCCGCACCAACTTCGTGCGATGCCACCAGGTGGACCTAAACTATGGCCGTCGCGACCTGCATATCCAGCACCTGATCAGCCAGGAGAAGGTGGATCAAGCGGCATTGCCTGCGTGGAAGAAGTTCTACAAGCTCTTCTGCTAGATAAGGATGCGATTACATACCCATGGGGCTTCGGCGGAGCATCCCAGCATTTATGTAGTTCTTTAATTACTACGAATACGGACTGAGCTGGTTTAGGGAACTAGATTTTAACATCACGATTAACTGAATATGGTGAATGTCATCCCACGCTAGGCTTGTAAGCCCGTCGAAATCCACGGTGATATGGGGAAGTCCTTTGGGAATTAGAAAGATATCAAGTTAACCATCATGCTATATTATTTGCGCGCACTAACACATTATTTAGTCCCAAGGGAGATGATGAGGCTTATGTATCACATCCTGTTCCATTGCCAGTAAATTACACGCTGGAGACCCAACAGTCACGCATCCCACTCCTAAGGGAGCTCAGAGGCACAAGATTCTGATTGGGGGCTCGCCTTTAGTTTCTTGATCTTCAAGGTTTCAGTCGAGGGGAAATGCAGGTGGATCCTTTTGAGTACGAACAGGTAGTTTTTTGATCAGACCGGAGCTTTGAAAGCGATTCTGGACATTGAAACGCTTCAACTTTCTCATATTAGCGTACTTGAGATATACCCTTTCAGATGTGTTCCGTCGTTTCCCGTCGCTTCCGCTCAGGTCATAAGCTGACGAGATTTTTCATACATCTAAACCCTTATGGAGCACTTTACAATGTCATGCTCAAGAACGGGATCACTTGTAAAGCAGTTTGTCGTGCCTGGAACAATCCACTCGCGCGGATGAGACGCTAGTTCCTATAATAGGGCCAGCAAATACCATTACGGAGTCGACCCTCGCCACATGAGCGTGCCTTTCAACCAAGAGCATATCGCTGGCTTGCACTGTGATTTTTAGGTGTATGAAGATTTGAATTTGGAAGCCTTTAGGTCGACTTTCTAATGCATTGAGAAACGGTGTCATGGAGAACAAGACAGATAGGAAACTCGTGGATCTCCAGTTTAGTGTTGCACCACTAAGTTTATGTATTCCTGGGGACACCCCGGGCCGACCGAGCTGGCTGTTGTGACAAACAAGGAGGTCAAGCTTCATACTGAGGCAATTGATCATATCTCTATCATTGACGTCTCGTCACTTGGGGACACGTTTCGGAGCTACATTAATAGCAAAAACCACCCTGATCCAAATTGCAAATAGGCAGGCTTCTCTGCAAAATAGAAATTTGGAAGAAGTCTCAGATAATGGGTTACTTACTCACATAAGTCAATCAAGTCCTTTTCAAATTACAGTAGCCTTCTCGAGCCTCTCGGAAGGCGAACGTACAGAGGCAACAATTTGAGCACTCAAGTCCAGAGTAACCGGTCGAGGGATTCTCCACGCCAGAGCAAATCGATTTCAGGGTAGCAGGTTTGATTCCGTGAGTCTTTGAAACTCTTCATAATTGGCTTCACCGAACAGACTGCGTTGTAGCCATATATATTCCAGCGTGGCCAATGCTCTCGAAATATGCTTTGCCTTTCTTAGCGGGTCATGTCAATAGAGGCACTCGCTTCGTTTAACATACCTTAAAGCCAAAGCACTGCATCGCTAGTAGGCTTTCGCGTACAAGGGACTGTTGACATTCATCAACCGACGCAGCACCGGCTGTAAACAGTGGCCACAAAATGGCCATTCTGTTAAGCCCATTCGAGAAGTTCAGGCACATCCTCAAGGTTTCCTCAACTGGGAGCTTTAAGTCGGGATCTGTTGATGGAGTACAAAGCCTCTGTGTGGCAACCATCCGGAGATATATAACACATGCGCATGCGTAGGATCGAATGCATGCCGCAGCAATTAATATTTCATGTACCCTATCGGTAGAGCCAAGAGGTATCTGATCCAGTTGGCTCAACGAAGCATAGATGCTGGGCGCACTATTGTGCCAATTCTTGATTCTGTGCGCAAGGTCGGCTTGGAACATTTCTCGTTGGTCGTCACTTAGCCAATTTCTCTGCATTTTCGCGAACCTGCTGATGTCGGCCTGAATGGTCATGATTCGAGACCAGGAATGGCGGAGTTGAGAAAGCACTCGATCGGCGCCGCTGTTACCCAGATGAAAACTTGGGACGCCCAGATTATATTCCCATCCTCCGAATCTTTCCCAGTAGTCACCTGGGATCATAGTACCCTCTCCCGTTGCGCACGCCGCAGCGACGTCTAGATACGAGAGAAAGGAGGCGAGAAACCTGCGCATTGATGTGATAAATAACTTGCTTTGGCTGTCCATCACCATACCCTCATCCGCCATCGCAACCCGCGGGCGATACATAGACTCAAATAGCTCACAAGCTCCTGCCAGATGGATCTTCCATCGAGATCCTGTTGATGACATCTGGTCAAAGATACACAACAGCAGGATAGTGGCCAGTATTTCCAATTGGGAGGAGGCGTTTATGGGCGGAGAAATGCCCTTGAGTTGGGTAATGGCCTCAGCATACGCGTCCATGGCAGCACGGTTGTGGGAATACCTGTCTTGCGTTCCAGGTATATTCGCCAGATGCTGCGCACCGAGAGCAATCATGGCGTGCTGAAGCAGGCCGGATGAACCGGCCAACTGAGGAAATGATCGAAATGGATTTGAGTTGGAGGGCGTGTCATAGATGATGAGCATGGTAGACACGGTTGTAAGAAAGTGGTCGTAATATAACACTGAGTGAACAGAGAAAGCCGATGTTCGATGAAGAGCCATCGTGTAAGATGACGAGGAGGTAGCGTCAACTGTCTCAGGATCATCATCTAAGTCTTCTGAAGCCCACGTGAGTCCGGGCGGCATACCAGGCGTGGAGACTTCGGGTAACTCGGAGATGGAAGAGGTGCTAGCATCTGGGGAAATTGCAGCCATATGCGACCACAGCTGGTGACCCCCCTCCTCCGCCTTCTCGACATCATTAGCTCCATTCTCATCATGCAGACGCCCCTCGCTGGACAGACGATAATCATCTGGGAGCGTGATCTTGAAGGAGAATTTGCGACTGTAATCGCAGCACAAAGAAAGGCGACTGCAATTCATACACGAGGGCGAGTGTTCGTCGCACTTCACATGGCGCTGACGACATGTTGCGCAGCCTGTGAAAACTCGAAGATGCTGCTTCCTTCGGCGGGAGGTCACTGAATTCCACTGTTCCGGATGGTGATTGCCACTAGTCTGTGACATGGCTCTCGGCTCTCACAACTGGCTGTATTGGACGGGATAATGAGATCCGCAATGATATCTGCTCCGACAGGCACTGCGACGGCTCAAGTAGGCAAAGCGGTGTTAGGCGGTGTTCAAAGTTTAATTCTGCCGGAGAGCCACGATTTGTACCCGCTGCTCTATTGGCTCCTCGAGCGAAGGTCTCACGTGACTGGTTGATTGTTCTTCAACGCCGTGGGGTTTAAGGCGGCTACCTGGAGAATCACTCTACCCAAAAGCGGTAGCGTTTGAGTGGTTAATGCCACGGGTACCCCTATGGCAGCTCAATCGTTCCTTTTTTGGGGTGGGCTAGGGGCGGAGTGGGGAGAGTGGGGGGAAAGGGAATTTCTGTATCAAATAAGGTTAAGATACGAGTGGAGCGGGTGATTAAAGCTGAGAAATCGCTCTTCATATTAACTGGCCCTATCTTGGGGCCAAAGAAATTTGTCCAAACTCTCTGCAACTTTCGTTCGGCGTCTTTGAATGGAAGATCTGCTTCTGTTGTGACTGAGTGACCAAGGCTCAGGACTGAATGTGAAAGTCCTGCACCTAATGCTCGTAGCTGTTGGCGGTCTACCTTCCCGGACATGTTTCGAGGGACTCCATCGAGAGGGATGAAGAAATTTGGTATCATATAACTCGGGAAGACTGATCTCAGCCGTTCCCTGATTGTTGAAAAAGCGTTTGTGAATTCAGTGTCAGGAACCAGAATAGAAGACTCGGATTCCCAGCAATTTCATTTTGGGGACGCCAAAGGAACGTCATCAGGACGATTTGACTCCCAGACTCGTGCGAGGAGGGTGACGGTGCAGTCTCAACAGCGACGGCATAATTCTGATTTGCAATCCTCTCGATTAGACATTCGATTTCACCTACTAAACACATTTTGTAAACTCCTGCAATAAATTTCCCGAGACTTGGAATTGTTACTAAAATTGCTGACCTCTAGCCTTTCTTGGAAGGTAGAAATAGAAGGAATATACTCGGGAAAGATTTCTTGAGGGTCATTCGATGTTACATTGACATGTTAATGATCGTCGGCCCTAGGACTGCCGCTTTGGTGAGCATGCATCGGACACAACCGAGCCAAGCCTTGAAGTCTTCTGTTATACAGCCTGGTGGCTTTGGTGACTCTGTAAAGGTATCTATGTCTGTAGATTCTTGGTCACAACCATACGGCCTAGGCGTGTTTTGATTTGTCCAGGTGCCTAAATCTTCCAGCTTCTGCTTTTGTTTTATTTCTAAAACCTTCAGCTTCATTCCCCTGTGGACTATTCTGATCCAACTTTCCAACCAAAGAAGTTGTCCAGATGATATCAGTTACTCCCGAAACAAAACCCAATATCCTGATCATAGGAACTGGACCTCATGCCCAGAAAACCTATGTGCCGCACTTGCAACTGCTGGAAGCACGCCATGGTCCAATGATTCGAGTACTCGTCGATATTGAAGAAAAACGCGATGCAGTCACAGAATGGGCAGCAAAGGTTTGCCCGGGGGTCCACCTGCATTTTGTTCCCATGTTCACAGACCTGATGCCAAGTCGGGCTCGGGCCCGGGCAGAGCTCGACAAAATTGAGGCACGATTCAATATTAATGGTATCATCATCGCCACGGAGCCTCTCTCGCATAAATCATATGCCCTCTGGGGTTTAGACCATGGATATCACATCATGATGGACAAACCAATCACCACCCGCGTTGATGCCGGGACCAACGCCTCAGAGGCAAAGGGCATTGCCGACGATTACCATGAGATCCTAGCGGCATATAAAAAACTCCAGATTCGACAAACGACCGGATTCGTGGTTAGCAGTCACCGCCGCTTCAATCCTCTCACCCAAAGAGCTCATCACTATATCCGAGAGATCGTGGAGCGAACTGGTTGTCCTGTAACAAGCGTTTCCGCCTCATACTGCGACGGAACGTTCCGACTGCCGATTGAAATGATTCAGCAAGACTATCATACCTACAAGCAGGGATATGGAAAGGTCTCTCACAGCGGATATAATATCATCGATATGCTCTGTGATTTCGCGAAAGCAGGTCTAGTCCAAAGCAAACGACCAGACGAGGTTGCGGTCATCAGCAGCTTCATTCTGCCACGAGGTTTCTTCAAGATGATGACCCAGACGGACTATCAGAAGATATTCGGAGCTGCGAGTATACAAAAACCTGTAACCCGGATGAGCAAAGCCTCATGTAGCGTTTTGGGGGTTATGGCGAACTGGATGCCACCGCTCAGCTCACTTTTCTCAAAGAGCGGGACCCAGTCATTCTCGCGCAAATCAGCATGTCCAGCAATGGATACGGCCTTCAGTCTTCGCTCATCCTGAGTAAAGATCAGTACAAGGGTAGTGGTCGCGTCAAACATGAATCTTACGAGATCAAGTGCGGGCCCTTCCAGAGCATTTACATTGAGTCGCGCTCTATTAAGGATTCAGACGAGCCTTGTCTGCCAGGAGACTTCAGATTGGAGCAAACAACCATTTTGAGATGAAAGTCTTCCGCAACTTTGAATTGACTGGACATTCGCGTGCTTTGGAGGTGCTCCACCTGGCCGATCTGGCGGATGCACAGGGCTATGATCACACCAAGCTCTACACGGAACAGGCAAAGGAAAAGATGATTATTGAGTTTGTCCAGTCGATTCAAAGTAAATTACTGCCTGCCGAGCTGACATCAAACATTGATGACCATCGCTTGCCCGTTCAGATCATGAGTGCTATGTATTTGTCGCACATCAATCACCAGAATAGCAACGGCAGACCGGTTGTGAAAGTGCGTGGTGTCTAGGAGCACGAGCTGCGCGATGCTGCCCCGACAAGCTGGAAATAGTCGAGAGACCACGTCATAGTCTAGAAAATCTCAATGTTTGGGAGCCCGGTTCATTGCTAGATTCCATGTAGGCATTCTTCTTAATTTCATCTTAAACTTTTAGCGAATCTACACATGTAGCTGAAGATGCCCAATCCCATCTTCTGGTGGCGATGACCCGACGGTGTGTCGGGGTCCAATCAAGAACTGTTTTCAGTTCATCTAGCAGTATATTACAAATTGAATTTATCACTGCCCCCGAAAATATTGCCTACAAAAAGCGAACGCCCGGAGGAACATTAGGAACTGACAAGTGCGAGATTCTGATTCTGTCGGAAGAGGTGTCGCGGCCTCTGGCCCAGAAAGGAACGGAGGGCGACATAAGGTATTTCTCCGCTGGACGAAGAGCTTGCAGATCGGGGATCCTTTCGCCTGCATAGCAATCTCTGGCTGACGTGAGAAGCGAGTCTTGGCTAAATCACTAAAGAGACACATGGTTCGACTGCTTTGTTACATTTCTATTCTTGACATCAGACAAGGCTCGCAGCTGGATAACTATGAAACCCAAAACCGGTTGTTGAAAACCCAATGAACGCAGATTCTCCGGGGCTTCTTTTGAAACCTCGCTTAAATGGGTAGTTGATAGCCACCATCGATACCCCGATCAAGACCCTTCAGACAGGGGTGAGGGACTGCTTCGGCAGCGGGTAGCTGATATGTGTTAGTGCATACGACTGGGACCGTTCGTTTTTCCATCATTGACTCACTTTGGCCCCATTTGCTGAATGCCCAGGTGCGCGAGCCAATGCCCCATATCAACCGAGGTCTTGAGTGGTTTTTGCTGCACAATTCCGGCAAGAAGACCTCCCGCGAAAGCATCTCTAAGGGATTGTCAACAATCAGATTAGCCTGAGCGGCGTTTTGGTTAGGGAGCTACATAGTTGGTCAAAAGAGTATTTGGGCCTCACTCACCCGGCCCCGGTAGTGTCAATGATCTCGGCCGCGGAAATCGTACGGATAGGAATATCCTCGTGCCCTGGGGTTCCTGAGATTGCCACAACCGTCGGAGAAGACCCTTGGGTTATCAAGACGATCCGAGGTCTGTTTACATTCGCCTTGGGCAGATTGGCGAGGTGATCGGCAATCGTGGGGATATCCTCAGTCTAGCACCAACTTCAGCTTGAGTGGAACTACTTCTTGAGACCCAAGGTACAACGCTACCTCTAGACCATGCGACTGCGCCCATGCCAGGGCTTCACTCTCGTTACCGACGAAATAGTCCGAGTACGGTTCGGTTTTATCTAGGGCATCTTTAAACGCAACTGGAATAAAAGGGGCAGACAGTGACATCACATAGATCTAGCGAAGCTCTCAGCCATCGATCGCGGGTGGTCGGAGTCACGATTCCATGATTATGGGCGTACCTTGTTCTTGGCCGCGGCCTCTTCTGCCAAGGCCAGCCCGGCCTCGGGGCAGACTGTCAAGTGGTAGCCTCCAACAAAATAGACTTGCGATGACTCTACCAGATCTGGGGCCGCTTCAGATGCTCCAACTTGTAACAATTGGCGGCACCGAGCTCAGTACAAAGGCTTCTGTTTTTGTCCGTGATCACAACACCGCAGCGACCCGTGGGGTGGGCTGGATCGACAAGATATTCCGCACGAACGCCCGCCTTTTGGCACGATTCTCGGAGAGTGTCGGCGTAGGTATCATCACCCACACACCCAATGTAGACAACGCTGTCGCTTGGGAGGATGTACTAGAATAAAGTATCAGCTACTGGGGTTGGGCTGCCAAGATGGAGGGCCTGGAATGAGAGGGGCAGCATGCCTGGGAGCCTCTGGCAGTATTCTGTGCCCCACCACCAGCCGTGGTTTCTGCTGCAAAATTTTTGATCAGATCATCAAAGAGACCTTGGTGTGAAGACTCGGCGAGAATGGCGTCATTTGCCTTGAGTCCATATCTGTCAAGGAGTTCCTGATTGCTTGAATCCAGTCAACAGAGCTCGTCTGAATTGATCCCAGAGTCTTTCAACGTCGTACCCAAGTGCCCGAACATCTATTTGAAAGTGTCAGCAACATTGGATTGACAAAATAAGGTCGCCACCGTACCAAGAAGAGGGTTCTCCAAACACAGCAAAGCGGGCATTTTGTCGACTTGTGGATGGCGAGGGAGTCGTAAAGAAGGAAGGTCTGTCACATTGTCACCGCCGAGTACAGACTCTCTCGTCACACCGCCCGGCGATCTTTCCGTGCGCTGTCAGCTTGTTTCGGTCAATTACTTGTTTAGTTATGCTACTCTTTTTAGGATGCAGAGCAAGTATATTTCTCCTGCATGTCCGCTTCAATAGGCCGAAGACTAGTTTCCCTCCCATTTAAGGTACCGATATTAAACAAGGCATGTTCATATTTCTCTCCCCTTGGAAACTACAAACCCGATCTAGAGGCAGAGTGATGGGGAATCGGTGCGTGGGAGTGTGATCAATATGGATCTGGAGCTCCCTTGTTGTTCATTGTCTTCTGACGTCCCACAGAACCAAGATCTGTCTGAGCCTTTCTCAAGGTTCAACCATCTTTGCTTGGCCATTTTGCCAGCAGAGCAAGGTGCGAAAAGGCATGATCCGTGCATGATTCAGGTCCCACACCCCTCCCGGACGTAGATGTGTGATTCAATACGGCTAAGCAAACCCCGAGGATCTTCCTCGTTTGCGACAATGACGGATCCTTTGAATGGGAGCGTCCCCTCGCTGACATGCTTCTCGAATAAGGGACCTGCATTCGGGGTTAATCCAACGGCTCGGCGGAATTGGGTGGGGGCAACTACAGAGATCCTCGATGGAGAAGGGTCCTTGAGTCCCGTCCAAGATAGTCTCTCTTCTTCAAGTGGAGTATGTGCGGAGCAGTGAGACGGAGTTGGGTGTGCACTTACCCGCCCATGTCACGTAACCCTCTTGATGCAATCGCACAAAGTTGGGTGAATGTTGGGGTCGGATGGCGATGCGAAGCGCGAGCTGTCCACTGGTTAGCCAAGATCATTTCCGGCCTTCCCCCCGCCATAGCTTGAAACAGCGCTACAGAAGTCCACCGTCCATTGTATCCACTACTTACGACCCCGGGGTTGTCAGGTATGATGGCTATCAGCTCCGTCGGGCTGGTCGAAGCGGGTTGACCCGCAGCAGGCCCACTTGGTGCCCGCACGTGGGTAGGGGTGGGGTTGACCAGAACAAGAACCCCGGCCGAACGACAAGGATGATGGGCGCAACTCGCAGCGTGTCAACCCGCATCGCGTCTGAATCGGGGAAATTCCGTGGATCGTTGGTCTCATTGCACTTCTCGCAGCAACAAATGGTTGGATTGAACAAAGGCTCGGAGCCAGGCCAGAAATGAGGATCAATTCGTGTCATATACCCGATGAAGAAATTGTATTCCCTCAATTCCCAATAAGCCATCTTTGCCAGAAGCGGTGCTGACGGCGACACCGCAAGGAAATTACTTTTGTAAATCTCGGATTTCCGACGGAGGCAGCATGTCCGCTCTCCCACTGGAGCTTGACGACAGGATTGTCGATGACACACCCCGTTGTCCAAAGTCCGGTGATTGTACTGTAGGTGCGGCCCATTCTGCGGATCACTGTCCCGTCTCACGTTGATGAACCGCTGTCATAAGCACTGTTTAAACTCGTCCCCCCCCTTTACAGGCCCGACTATGTTTAGGCGTTCCTGGCAATAAGACGGCAGACGTTAAAGTAAAGTTGGCAGTAACGGGAGGAAGGGGGGGCAGAGCGGAACAACCACCCGCCGGTGATTCGGCAGCTATCCGTGCCTTTCTGCCCACCCAAAGCGCTTCCACCCAAACCGCTTCCCGGTTTGGGTGGGCAGTAAGGCACGGATAGTGGGTCCCGCGCGACCGCGCCCTTTTAGCATCGGCGGCGTCCTTGTGTCAACTCGGCACGCCCCCACCGCAACGCGTCATCTGTACCGTTTAGGCAAAAAGAGCACGGCGGGCCCAAGATGCCCCCCAAACAAACCACCGATGAAAAAGCAAGAGCCTCGATCAGATTCAATACAAAAAGTGCGACACAGGACGGCGAGGCCTGATCCCCCCGCCCCGCTCCATTCTTACTTTAGCTTACACTCCTTCCGAATTCTCTCTTTTTTTTTGGTTGAACTTCCACCTCCTACAGCGCGTATATGTTTCGCTCTTGCTTTGCCGGACCACTTTGTCCCTGATTTTTCTTCCTAAAGCCATTCCATTCCTTCTCTCTTCTTCTCTGACCCTCCTTTGATCACCCTTATCCCTTCTTATCCACCCGTGTATTATAGTCACCTTCGCTGTTCTGGTTACATACGTAGCGCATGCATAGCATGAAAACCTTTGGATTTAGTAGTATTAGTGAGTGGCGCATTTGAGACCTCTATGCTCTTCCTCTTTGAATGTAAATGCACAGAGTTCTAGAGCACACTCAAGGTACCTAAGGATATGGATCCTGTGTGATACCTGGATATCTCCTATAAGAATATACCATGTCTCAGGGGATACTTTCCTTACTCTATACTTCAAATCCAATAAGGAAGACGGAGCTACCCGCATCCATCGATCTATGGCCGATGATTCCATCACTGCCTTGTCATATTGCTTCAAATACAATATCTTCCCCTGGAACCGAATCAACCGATATCGAGGCTCGCAAAGGTATGGATCCTTTGCAAATTATTAGATATTCCTACGACATATTCTTGGTTGATCGTCTAGCTCAGGAATCGGCTCAATTTACTGATGGAGGATCTTTGCCTTCAAACACTTTATGCCGCAAGTGGATCAGGACTGCTTCTCTTCTTGCGCAATGGCAAATTCTTTGTTCTAAATGCCAGCAAACACTACGAAATCACGGAAATCATACACCTGTGCGCTCAGATGGGTATCTCAAATCCGGTGCTATTAAGCAATCCGATGGTAATACCTATTATAGCCCAGCGTAGCGTATACCCGTCGAAGAGAAAAAGGCTTCACCGAATCCTCCAGCGGCTCCTCCTCGGCCATGCTCGCAGCCACGTCCTCAGCAGCCCCCAACGCGCGCAGGACAATTCCCCCGACCACCCCTGCCAATTCCTTCACCGGCACGCCGCGCTCCACTAAGATGCGGATCAGATCTGGGTAATGACTCACATCTTCCAGGCCGCGAACGCCGATGGGCATTCTATCGAAATCCGACCCCAGCCCCACGTGCTGGTAACCGATACGTTGACCGATATACTGAATATGGTCGGCGACGTCGGCAATACAGGCGCGCGCAGGGTCCGCACAGCGAGTGTACGCCGGGTAGAAGGAGACCATGACGACCCCGGCGTTCAAGCGGACCAGATCCAGCACGTGGTCGGGAACATTGCGCTCGTGATGAAAGAGAGCAAAGGCCGACGAATGCGAGAAGATCACCGGGGTGCGGGTCAGCGCGAGGGCATCGCGCATGGTCGCGTGGCTGACATGGGCCAAGTCCACGACCATTCCGACGCGGTTCATTTCGTAGATCAAGGCTGCTCGATCGACCGGGGATAGGCCGTGGTGCTGGGGCGTTGGTGGCGTGGCACTGTCTGCGAAGGTGTTGCGGCACTCGTGGGTGAGATTCGCGTAGCGAAACCCCAGGGCGTGATAAAGCCGGAGCACACTGGCGCTGTTGGCTATCTGGTGCAATCCCTCTATTCCGAGCAGACTGGCAATCTGCGTTCGACCGGATTGGAAGAGTTCCTGGACTCCCGCGCTGGAGTCAGCTAGGGCGAGGGCTTCAGGGTGAGACTTGATCAGACGATGTACCAGGTCAATTTGTTGGAATGTGTCACGGAGAGTCTCGAAGTATGTCTCGTCGGACTGGTCGGCAGGGTCGGTCTTCGGGCTTCATACGTGATCAGTGTAGGAGAACACGGGGGGAAGCTGGGGGTACGAATAGTTACCATTCCACGTAAACGCTCCAGAATTGACCTCGTAGCCGGCCCTGTTCCAGGCGAGAAAAATCCACCTGCCCAAACAGGGGATCGCGCGTAAAGTTCTCTTTATAGATATGGTTCTGGTAAAAGGCTCGGATCCAGGTAGGAAAATCATTATGCCCATCTAGAGACTAGTCAGCCTACAGGAGTCGGAGGAGCTGTTGCCAGTAAATCCTCTACAGACGGAGTTGCTGAACACATATAGAACCGTCGAAATCCGAGCAGGAGAGTCAATGTGACAGTCATGCCTGTGGCGATCACCTGCATGACATGTTGCCGTTCCCACCATCGCCGAGAGGGCGGTTTGTCTGCATGTGCTATTTTTCCTTCAGGCCAGATCATTGAGCGGTCTATGGCAGATTACAATCAATGGAATTGTTTGAAAAGGTCAGAATCACAACCGAGAGTATTGTGCGTCGATCTTATGTACATAAGATGCCAATAGATTTCATGCCCCCCGAAGCCGATGCCGAAGCCTGGGCCGGTGACCGATCCCTCCACCATCATTCCATTTCTAGTCGAAAATAGCAAAACACCGGACTTCAATACTCTGGCGAGGAGGCGCATCTATTGAAGTATTCGGATGCTTGAAGGCAGCATGGGGACACACTGTGTCTTGTATCAGTCCTCGTAAGTTCGGCTACAGAATACCCTATGGTTGCCACCTACATTTGGCTTCGACGTCTTGCTTATTGTCCGAGGTCTTGATCAAAGTCACCTCATGTGTCTGTTGTTAGTCCAGATAATACCATGTTTGCTCGGGCGCATGCGAAAAGGTCACCGTTTGCCCGCGGTAATTATCCGTCTTGTCCAAGGGATCGGTAGGATAAATTAGATCTTCATCGCATGTTCGATAGTCCATGGTAGCGAGAGGCCAATCCTGCACCGGGCCACGCAGAGGACGCCACACGCTGATTACCCCGTCAGTCTAAACATGGAATGCAGCGGAATACGTAGTGGCAGCTTATACTTTATCATCAACACTCGCCTTTGTAGGTGGTTGTGGACATCTGCCGGAACATTCTGCCCAATGCGACGGAGTGCGCCTTTGGTCGACCTGGCAAATAAGTTAATCTTATCGGAATGTACCAATTTCAATGCAGTATGGCCTGCTTACTGGTAGCAATGTACCTATGCAAGATCATTGTCAGAACAGTAGTATGTGAGCGGATAAAGCATTTACTGACCATCGTCGCCGGCTGCTCCTTGCCAGTTGGGTTCTCGTATGTTCCCAACTCGGGACGTCGTTTACGTGAGGTGTGATCGAAGATTATCACATGATATACCCCGTCTGCTTCTTAACAAGGGTTTCAATGTGGGGATAGTACTTCTCGCGAATTCTTTCGCCGTCGTTCTCCCGCAATACATCAAGCATTTCCTGGGTGGCACCTCGATGTCATCGGTATATGCAAAACCATGTTTATCGAGACTAAAGGTCTCTTTTTGGCCTCGAGAATCTTTGATTTGAACCGGGCTATCAATCCATTCAAAGTTCATGTAATCATAGCCCGGCTCTGGATTAGTTCGAATAAACGGAAGCTCCTTGTTCTGAGACCAAGGTTCGATAAATCGTATGACCGAGGTGTAGTCGCCATTTCTAAACTACTCCAGTATAGGTTGCGTTAAGTAAGGGTAGGGTAATGAAGTTATCATTGAAATTAAGGAGAGTAAGGTACGGAAACAGAAAGCTTTGATTTAAATATAAACTGTTAAAGCTACGAATACCATACGGCATATTTCCCGGTCGGTCTCCGATCGTTAGCCTGCCGGGTACCCGAAGGTAAACTCTAGACAGCCTCCTTGAGCTCTCTTGCTTGTTCTGGGGTCATGTCATGGCTGAAGGTTTTCGCTCGACCCATGATATTCTGGATGGTCGGACGTGCCAACATGCGGGTCGCCCAAGCCTCGATATCAGGCCAGTCCTTGATGTCAACATCGAGAAAAGTAAACATCCAAGGCATCGCAAAAGGAAAGTATGACAAGTCTGCCAGTGTTGGACGATCAGCAAGCGCAATATACTGTTGCCCTTTCTTTGCTAATTGCTTCTCTAGAGTATCCCATTGCTTGGTCGTATTCTCATGCAGTCTATACTCGGTGATCAATTAGCAATGGCCTTTTTTCACCAGTAGGAGATTCGAAGACTTACTTTGTAATGGTACGAGGAAGCTGGATGGGACTTTTGCGAGTAGGATAGCCTCGTAGAAAGTACAGCCATTATTTGGCAGTAGCCCTGGCCATGGTGACAAAAACGTTATTATGTGAACACTGATCCTGAGAAGCTCAGCAAAATACCCTATACCTGCGGTCTGATAGGCGACCCAAGTGAAAACCGCACCTCTCTCGGCGGCGGTGCGTCCAGCCCACTCGCCGTGGGTATCGAAGCGATCGGCCAAATACTGCAAGCATGCTGTGCCCTCAAACACACGAAAAGCCTCACCAGACTCCGGGTCCACGAGTGCGGGTACCATGCGTTCTGGGTGGATTTTATATGCCCATTGCGAGGTGGTATCGACCAGGGAGATTACATGAGGAATGGCCAGCTTCTGGGCTAGTATCAAGGGCTTGATGTAGATGATATAAGAGGTTTCGTCCGCTAATTAAAAGCGCAAATTAGCAACTAGCACTAATGTGTTCCATCCTCAAGAATCTACCTCTGATAATATAAAGAACTAGTTGACTTTTGTCTTTGGGGACGTCGCCAATGATGACCTGGCCGTTTGGTGAGCTCATATTGAACAAAGTGATGTTTCGTTCCAGCAGGGAAGGTCTCTCTGAATTTACCTATTTCATGGACGCGCAGGTTTCTTTCTACCTCACATTTGAACCGAATATTCGCTTACTATGCAACTACAACTTCGGTGCCCGAGAAGGCCCGGATCTAGTCTGAAATGAGGCCTTATTGGATTTATTTCAACGATAATAGGGCCACCACGGGAGTTGATTACGCCAATCCAAGAGTGGGGAAATGTTTCATTGAAGACGTTCTAGTAGTATTTAACCTGCACCTCCCCTCAAAGATGCAATAATTAAGAAAGGATGGCTACTCACATGGAGGCTATCTAGGATTCAGGTACATCTTTCTTCTGCTCATCATTCCCCGGGAGTGCCGGGCTGCTCATTTGTCTTCCTGGCCGCTGGAAGGCCACCAAAGCAAGTCCTAGCAACGCAAAGCTCAGGGCACCCCACCAAGTGGCCCGTAGGGCTCGCGTGTAAAGTTCCAATACTTGTTCTTTGGCGGTACCCTGGAATGACTCTATGAATGACTTACTCGCTCGGACGTAGGCGCCCGACCCGCTCATCAAGGGACGGACGTCCGCGGGCACCAGGCTCAAGTTGTTATTCGCAGTCTGGTCGAAGATGATGGACGGAATAGTCATACCCCAGACCAGAGCGAAACTGCGCAGGAAGTTGAACAGAGCAGTGACCACCGTCAAGTCTTCGGGATCACACTGGGCCTGCACATTTGGTAGCAGAGTGGCTAGGAGCAGCCCGTTTCCGCCGGCGACGATAATCTGCAGTACGACGTGTACCACGGTTGGAGAGGTGGAAGTGAGGAGTGTGAAGCATCCCAGACCAATAGACATCATCGTAAAGGCAATAACATTGTTGAACAGAGCCCAGAACCCATGGAACCGGGACATGATGATACCCCCAACGATGGAGAACACGACTAAGGCCACAAGAGTGGGCATGAGATCAAATCCAGCTTGCTGGGTCGAAACTTCCAGGACCGCCTGGAAATACACGGTCATAAAATAGTTGACCCACATGATGAGCATGCTCTGGATGAAGCTTTGGGTTTGAAGAGAGACGGATGAGAGACTGGACAGCAGTCGGGTTGGAATCAATGGGTTCGCCGCCCAGCTGTGCTCATAGATGCCGAATGCGATTAGGCCACAACCTCCCAACACCAGTGGAACAATAACCCGTGCTGAGCTCCAGGGATACATCTGGCCTCCCATTGTCAAGGGAAGGAGGATAGCAACACTGGAGGCAGGGAGCAAGAAGTTACCGAGCCAGTCAAACTGCCTCGTAGTGGCTCGCAGCGACTTAGCTGCGCTCTTCTGCCCAGCTGTCCGACGGCCGAGCATCAGAAACAAACAGATGATAGAGGCTCCGGCGAAGGGAACGTTGAGATAAAAGATCCAACGCCAAGTACTATGTTGGACGATCACTCCACCGAGGATGGGTCCAAACACCAACCCCAGACACGAGGTAGCCATGACCATTCCCAACATTTGAGGCCGGTGAGCGAGAGGCAGCTGGTCACTAATGATCAGCTCAGCCATCAATGGAATTGCACCGCCTCCAAAACCCTGGACGGTTCGTCCGGCCAGAATGAGGCCGAGCGAATGCGCCGACCCTGCCATGGCACTGCCCACACCGAATACAAGGACGCTGCCAAGCATGATCGGTTTGCGCCCAAACATCTCGGCCATCCAGCCGACCAAAGGCTGGAAAATGGTGGAGGCGAGAGTGTAACAGTTGGTCACCCATACATACTCGGTGGTATGCAGGTCGCGGGCTATGGTGGGCAAGGCAGTGACCACAATACTGCCCTCCATCGTCACAGCGAACCCGCTAAGACAGAGAGTACCAAAGAGCACCCAGTACCTCCACAAAGGTGTTGCAGGCGCGTCATAGTCCTCGGTAGGCGGTGATTCGGGATCCTGGAGGTCGAAATCTGTTTGTCGATGGACATAAGGCATGATTGAGAAGGCCCGAGGGAACACACTGCGATGGATGAATGAGTGTTCTTTCCAGAAATTTAGGGGGTGTAGGTACGAGAATGAGAGAAAGAACAAAACAACGAGGGAGACAATTCACCAGACAGACCAGGCCGGAATTGGCAGCATTTGAGAAGATCCGACAGGGATCGGTGACCGATTCCCGCGGCAGGTCTGCAAATAGATCTGTATTGTACTGTAATAGTTACATAACTGCCCCCAAGTTCCCCCTCTCAGGTAGGTGCACTGTACCAAGCGGGGACTTATTATGTACGCGGAGACTTACGCGGAGACATACCAGGGAGTACGGAAACTTTTTGTTGCTCTGCAATGTACAATCATGATTCATGACACACTACATGGTGAGTCACTAAACACTGTTGTACCTGGTGACTGCAAACAGATTCCGATCAGACTGATCGGATCAGTCGTGCGTGTTTCTAGCTGCTATGAGTTGTTGTGAAATATTCTTCTGTTGTTGTTCTGGCCTTGGGCATTCGACCGACTATGCAGAGGATACTCGGTGTCTGAGGCAGCAAGTATCTCTGCTCCTAGACTACCTTGAATACTTTGTACTCTGCCTTTCAACTCCAAAAGTTCGTTCCGAAAACCTTTAATAGATTTGATCTACCTGTGTTCTGGTTCTCACTTTTCTGGTTGAGCTCGATATACTCGTTGCTTAGATAAGTTTTCAAGCCGTATCACGTAATCTTCATTCATCTACACCTCGTCCAGTTGAACCGTAGAACACAATAAAACTGCCGGCTAGACATCTCAACAAGGCCACATATCAATGGCACATAGCCAGGCATTGCGCAAATGATGAATGGCTTCAATCCGCCAGGCACTTTGATCAGCCAGATGCTTCCACGAATCGGCGTTGCGCTCTAGTCCATTGGCGGCTACCATCATGTTCAGGTCCGCATACCTCGACAGACGAGCCCACTGACCCTCACCGCGAACGCATTATAAGACAATAAGCCGACTGATAGGCGCCGAAATAATGGCCCGGCGGATGTTTCGGAGAATGGCGATGGCGTCGGCGTCTCGCCAATCGTGAAGCGTCCACTTCATGGTGTAAACACGGGATGGGGGGATGTGGTCGAAGAAATCACCGCGGATCAGGTTCTCCTTGGGCACACGGTCGCCCAGGTCGGTAAATTGACCGTCATCTGTATGGAAGAAAGGGACGGTGTGGTCGATGACATGGGGAAGATCGTAGATGCCGCCCCGCATAGTAGGATAAGCGCGCAGCAGCAGGGCGATTAGCGCTCCGCCTCCGCCGCCCACGTCCAGGACTGTCTCCCCCGAAACTTCCTTCCACTGGTAATCAGCCACAATACCAGGAGACTGTGCGGTGGCTCCGCCTCCCGGAGTCCGATGGAGCTGGCTCACCCAGTCGTGCTCCCGGAAGAAGGTAAACATGTCCTTGTCTGTGTCGTATGCGATCTGGGCCAGGCTGCACGTCGCCTCCTTCCGAATTGAGTTGGGGATTCCTCGCGACATATCGTAGAACTGGTTGCCATACAGCGCGATCCAGTTATGCTATTGCGTCCAGTGGTCGCGTAGAAGGAGCGTGGATGTGTGGTTGTTGCTGTACTTTCCATCGTGACAGGTGAAAATCCCGTTGTTCTGCAAAACATTCGGGATTTGTTCGAGACGGTCACTTCGCGCAGGATATCGGGCACTTGTAGTTCAACGGCGGCGCAGAGGCATTTCGTGTTCATGTACCCTGACAAAGACACCAAGTCAGTATCGCCGAGCACCATGTGTTCAGATCACCAAGCTTACCAAAAAAGTGGTCCGCCAAAGCGAGCTGACCAGGCTCTAGCAGCTGCTCTATCGAATGAAGAGGGTCGATAGTCTTGAAGGAAATTTCTGCTACGTCCTTGTCGGGAAGGACCCCCCTTTCCTGATTATGCAAGCGAGAGTGGATTTCTTTGTTAAGCCCGCCACGAAGGAGGTTCAGGGCCGAAGCTAAATGACGATTGAGGGTTTCAAGGGTTGATTGCATGTTGGATAATAACCGAAGCGTTGCGATGCAATAAAATGTAGAGAGCAAGGGGGCCCTAAAGCATAAAGATTATATCTTCTGCAAAACCCCACCTCCCCCGTTCCATCGGCAGCCGAACTCGGACCCATTGACAAAAATAGCCATTAAAGCGGCGGCTCCAAAATAGATCGAAAAAAATCCTAGATGTAGCTTGACGAGTTCCTTGTGGGGGGCAATGCTCCTAATGCCTTCGACAGGCGTGTCAAACCCTCCCGCAAAGCTTCCGCTTCTACTGCAAAAGTTAATCGAACCCACCCCTTCTCCGACTCGATGCCATGGTAACTTCTACCGGCGCTGACAACCACCCCTGCCTCTTTACAGCGCTTGACTAGCAGTGCTTCCTCGTCCCAGGTATTGATATCATGACCCAACTTCGCGAAGACGAAGACTCCCGCCGAAGCCGGACTAACGCCAACAATTACTTCCGGGTTGTGCTGGGACACCGTGCAGCCCTAGACCGCGCCAGACTGATCAATTCTGCACGGGATAACCAGAAAGTGAGAAGGGAGTGTGCACATACCAGCCGAATTCCACTCGAGCCAAAGTCCTTGCTAATACTCCAGATAGCGTGAACACGGCGAGGAGAGCAGCCAACGGAGGCAGAATCACAAGAAAGAATGGAAACAAAAGGCGACAGGTTTTTGCTACTCATATCTGGCTCGATGGTGCTCATAGCGTACACCTCGTCGGATATGAAATGCAGATTCCGCTGCTCGCAGAACCAGAGGCAATCTTCAAGCACTGTGCGTGAATAACATTGCGCTAATGGATTGTGTGGATTGGTGAAAACAAGGGCTTTAACAGGAAAAATACCCTTTGTCATTGCATCTTCTGGCCGAATTCATGTTACAAACAGGCCTCCAATGCAGGTAGAAGTTTTGACGAGAATGTGTCGTCAAAGCTGGGGCAGTTTACGACCAATGGAGTCACCGAGGCACGTACGCGAAATTGAAAATCAAAGCCATCTGTTTTGAACGGCCGTAGTCAGCTTGTATTCTTCGTCAACCGAGTTACTTAGCTCTCGTACTCCAGTAAGGACCAGGAACAGGGACACCGTCTCCCGGATTGCACACTGTATGCAGGAGGGCGTCTAAGCAGCTGGCAGCACCCGGAGCCGTAGCAATATGGGATTGCTGCACAGGCTCGTGGGGATTGAAATAGTCGTTTAGGAACGTTGATAGTGCGGTGATCAGGTCAGAATCGCCGGAAAAGCCAAGCGGATACGAAAAATGCTGAGTTGGAGTCAGTAAGTGCTTCTGGTTTCAAGCTGGGGACATAACCGACGCGAACGGCAAGATCTCCTCTCTGTATGCTCTCCTGATACATTTAAATCAACTCCTTTCGAATCAAACAATTCTCCGCGGTGGACAAGTCAATGTTAGGATTGTCCTTGCGGGTCCGTTCTACTACCGGGTCCCGGATACGCGGCATAATGGCCTCCACAAGCTCTGAGGAGCGGACAGAGAGACCGGCAACGGCATCTTGGACTGTCATTTCGCTCGTTTTGCTCGTAATTAGTAGTTAGTGGAGCAAGGTGTATCCCCAAGAGAGAGAATGACATACGATTTGACTCCGATATATGTTGATGTACATCGGTCTCCCAAAAAGCATTCTCTAATGATCGGTCACCGCTCACTCGGCGAGTGGAATTCCGAACATCGATGCCTATTTCCGAGGCAACTCCATGTCGATTCGTAGTAGTGACAGGATTCAAGATAGTCCTGACAGCCAGGGGCAGAAATCTAGATGGACTCGGAGAAAGAGACAGGTATACAAAGAAGAACGTGATATTCAGGAGGGAGAGGAAGAGAGATCTCTATCTACAGATGTCATGTAGTTCTACTGCCTGCCAGCAGTGAATGCTGATCAGATGAGCCCGATATGTTGAGGCCGAGGGCGTTATCACACAGGAATATTGGGAGTAGAAGATAGATAGTAGCAAATGATAGTAGATGATTCTTAATAGTAAAAGTCCGCCTGGTCACCTCGTCACCCCGTCAGCTGCAACGCCCACGGATACCGCTAGTGTCTCTGGCTCTATTCTCTCGCAGCAAATTTCAAAATCAGGATGAGTGATCCAGCAACTCTTGTCTCGGAACCGGGTAGTCTTATCCAGCAATCGCAGGTTGTAGTTCTGGACGAGGTTGACAAGAGTTTCTCGGATAATAATATCTGTGGTATACTTGCTCATGCACCTGGAAATATCGTCAATCTCTCGTAGACGTATATGAGCTGGGATAGGGTGGATTCAAACATACAGTCTTGGACCAAAGCCAAACCTCCAGAAAAGGTATCTTAACTTAACTTTGTCCCGAGCGAGGAAGCGTTCGGGACGATATGTATCGTTGTCTGGCCCCCAGTGATCACTTCGCATATTCAGTGCGTAGGCATTGACTACAAAGTTGGTGTTCGCGGGCATCTTATATCCGGAGACCACACGATCTGTCGGTGCCGATTGAGGGACAGAGAATGCCGCTAGGGGCTTCAAGCGACTAGACTCAAGTATGCAGGCTTGGAGATAGGTAGATGCGCTCTGCAGGTACTGATCCATTCTTCCATCCTTCTGGGCTAGGTTTATTTCCTGACGCAGCTCTTCCTGGCACTCGGGATACGCGGCCAAGAAGACTGGGTTCCACGATAAGCCCCCTGTAGTGACGTCGAGATTGGCAAATATAGGATAAAGTATAGACTCGACTGTTACTTATAGAAAACAATATCCTTCTTTTCTAATATCTTAATTCGACCCTCATCCCCACAACTGCTCCTTTGGTTCCAGTAGTTGTGCACCCCTTTGTGAGTAGCTGCGCCGCCATCTTGGCAAACCATGATTCTTCATGTATTATTTCAAGTACGGTCGGTTGTAAACCGCCCCTGTCTCATTTCTGAATACCTCTTCGTATTTCACAGGTCCAAGAGTTATGGTTATCCCACAGCTTCTTTGTATTCTATCCTTACTGTGACCTTATTGTGGAGAGTTAAGGGCAACACATTCATGTTGTTTTGTTGAGTTAGAAGACAAAATAAGACGACCGTCTTCCTTAGGCATATAAGGGCAATTTGAAGCTATCAAGCACGTGAGAAACTTATTATGATGGCTTAGTTCAAGGTACGTACCGTCATAATTTGAGTCCACAAGTTGTGGTGTACGCAGGCAAATATCGTCAGGCCTAACGAAATAAGAAACATCCATATTGAGCTAATGGATGCCATCCACAAGGCTCGTTGGTGCCTGGCAGTAGTGAGGGACGGATACTACCAAAACATGTTGAATATACTTGCTTTCATATGCCATTGCCCGTGCATATTATCCGGGCTCCTACAAATTGGGCGTGAATGAACCCTAGCCCAGCAAAAGCAAGGATCATGAATGAAGAAATCAATGCTCTGCGATGATCCTGTTATTTATTAGTCAGTAAACTATGAAACATGAAGGCAGCTAGTTAAATATACCGAAAAAGTCATGGATATCAATAGAATGGTGACTGCTTCCACGAATAATAAGGCAGAAACGAAATGGGCTAGCCGGTGTTGCAAAGTAGAAACACTTAGATACTAGAACAGGTGAGTGTTGCTCATCTTCGGTTTTCATTGTTCTTACCTCATTTAAAATGAGCAAAAGAAGCATACTATCAACTTCCAATTATAGCATTGGCGGAGACAGATCTGAAATGTGATTAGCGAGGAAATTAATTTCGGAGAAGTAAGCAACTTGCGGTCTTTTAGGTTTGCTTCTAACAATGCCAGCATAATAGAACCGATTGATCCCAGGAATACGAAACCACTTATCACAGCTTGACTGGAGATGAGCGGTTCCTTGCTCAGCCTTTGCAAGCTCATAGCGTCGATCGAAATGAGCCAGAAGATAAGACTTGCTCCGTAGCAAATTGATGCTATTGTCGACGCAGTCAGTTGGAAACTACCTTAGGGTCCATTTTCAAATGTTGATACTTTCGTTGAGCTTGATCTGCCAGGTCCATGTCGCTGTTTAAATAAAGAGCCCATGCATTTACTTCTCCCTAAATCTCGCTCAATCCGATAAAGCGCTCGTGTATCCTGCAGCTTATTGTTCTTATGATAAACGTCCTCATTATAATTCTAGGTTCCGATATTGTGACGGGGCCACGTGAAATAATAGGCTGGGGGGGATATTTCCTGGTAAAGGATAATGATTCGCTACTGGTGTCCCAAAATGTTAACTCACAAAACCCCACCTATATCCCACAATTCCATTAGCCCCAGCAACCACGGCACACATCAGCAAACTTAGACAGGCATAAACTTAGACATCCTCTAAAATTGTGGCCCATAATGCTTTTAATCCTCCAACTCTTCAACCTTCAAACTCCTGAACCTCGACATCCGTATCACAAATTAGTCATGACCGCCATCATCATCAATCAATTAAACTCCGTCGTTATGTCTCTCTATATCAGCTATCAAGCCCGTTGTTGATGTTCTCAATTTAATACAACCAACATTCGTAGTTTCAGATGTTGGCTGGGCTTTTCTCACAGCTAAATTATCATTGCTTTTTTGTGATTTATGACATATGGCATGTTAATTTTGGCATCAGACAACCTTACATCGGTAAGGATAGTCTTTCTCATCTGGCTAATCTTGTGCTTGCCCGGTACTTACCCTGTACGCAATTACTCAGCAACTCTTGGAGATTTTCCTTTTTTGACCATGTGGAAATTACAAGCCTCAAATCATATACCATTCAACGTTCATTACCTCAATGTTCAAATTTGCGAGGGTCCCAATATAATAAGCTGAGATCATAGGATAAGCATACAGTTGCTAGCTTTAAAAGGCCACCTCCGGTGCGCCGATACCCCCGCCAGAGCAAGCGCCTTCGTTAGGGATATCGCCCTTTCCGCTGCAAACATCAAATGAGTATACCAAACATCCGACTTTGATACGGCCTCCCCGGCCACCGTTATTGCCTGCGTACATCCAATCGTTAGTAAGACTTTTCGGTTGTAAACGTATTGACAAAGTCGTAGAAACTTACAGCCGCCGAATATATCGTCCTTGAAAATGGTACTGCATTTATGCGAGCCGTCTCCAATCGGGTCCTCGAGTTTTAGATCCTTGCAGGTGTAATGCCCATCAGTGTTGACGCCGACATTGAACCAGTATGGCACGGGGCCATCCTTTGTCTGGTACACATAGGAGCCTCTGCCTTCGTTGGCCTGGAGCGTGTTCTTTTTGGCAAACGCTTCACATGCTTTATCGACAGCGGCCTTATATTGATCTGGTCGTACCGCTCCATATATGCTGCCGGGGCGTCGGCTTTCCGGGAAGCATGTCACTTCTCCCATGGTAGGGGCTGCCGTGTTGGCAGGTGATGTTGGCTTTGACGTGGCGGTGGGGAATTGGGCGTGATCTGGAACACTGAATTTGAAACTATACTCTGCGCCACACTTGAACGTCGCTTTGCTTTCAGGCTGGATGGAATGTGAGTCGTAGCCAGAGCCTGGAGTCTCAAGTTAGTGGAAACATTCCAAGTGCATATTTGTATGGGCCGATTTCGGAACACTTACAAACCATCTTGTGGATAGTATCCTTGCAGTTAGTGTAGCACTTGTTTCCTGGTTTGTATTCGAAATGGAAAACAAAGTCCTTATAGCTGGAACTGCCGATATCCTTGCTTGTCAGGTCCTTTTTGGCTTCCTTGGAGTAATCTAAGTCGGCACAGAACTTCTCGCCCATAGTATAGGCTGCTCGTTTGTCGATCGCAACAGCTTTCGTGTTGCTGGACGACGAGCACTTAGTTTCGGGTTCTGACATGTAGTCATTAATATGGTCGTAGATCTGCTGTAGCTGATTGAGCGCTTTCAGCCCTTCAGATAGCTTCGTTCTAGTTTCTGAAAAGATGTCCGAATCCACGACCAAGCACTTGCATCCGCGGAATTCCCCCTGGATAACGTCAGTGTGGATCAAAATACGGTTACTCATATTTTGTTCACAAACCTCTTTACAAGTTTCATGATCGTCACTCTTGCAGTCATCGGACGCGCAATCGATGTATTCCTTTTTGGGGTCAGGACAGGTGTCCTTACACTTACAATCGGCATAGTGACCCTATAATATATTCAGTCAGGAACATAATAAGACCTGTAGATTGAAACTCACGGTAGTACACTTTCCATTCTCTCCTTCACAGGAGTCATCAGAACAGCTCGGTGTGTCCTTGCTGTTTTCGGCTGGGCACTCTTCCTTGCATGGGCAGCCAGCCTGGGGTCCTTCAGAACACCAGCCCGAAACAGGTTTACAATCCTTGCATTCGGTGTCTGTGAAGTCTTCAGGGCAGCTATCTTGCTTTTTGGGATGGGGGATTCCAGCAGGAGGAGGAACAAAGCCTGGAGGCGGAGGGGGAAAGGGGATGATGAAAGGAACCTTCCCACCGCTATTGCTAGAAGCTGTTAGAACGTATATCTTTGTTGTAGCCAGATGATTTGAGCATACCCATCTTTCGGTCCACATTCACAATACAGAGGTGGGTTTAAGAGAACCTGATGGATAACATCGCTCTTTCCCTGCAGAATCACGAGAGAACAATGCCCCTTCTTGTTGGGATTCTCACCTCCGCAATACTTATTACCGCATTCCCATTTTGGTTCACCAACTTGCTCGGGGCAGTAATAGGCCTCGGAGGCTCCCTGGAGTCGATATTTCTTCCAGTCAGTCCATTCATCGGCCCACACTGCGCTTGTCAAGGAGACAAATGCAATAAAGTACGAAGAGAGCCGAGGCATGCTGGGCCGCAGATGAGTAAGGAGGAAATTGTGTGAGGAATATCTCACTTCAATGGTCCTTGAACTACATCTTATACAATTTTGACATGCTCCCCAACTCGCCAAGTAAGATCCTCCGCGCTTCGGTTCTGCTATTTTTGACTATTCGGTTCCGCAAGGCAGACTTGTTCATGACGCCATCAACCTTCTTCCTCAAACCACGCATCTTGGCATCCTGTATCATCATGAAGGCATCTTACGTTTGGAAACCCCCATTGTCGGCTGAGCCATTTCTTGCATGTTTCATGTGTTCGGCGGCAATACCTCCTGGCTGGCGGGTTAGAAGATAGTTCCGTCCCGGAGACTTGGCAGGGCCTCCAAACCTACATGGGGGCGATGCCAACATGATTTAGCGGTCCCCATTGGATAATTTAAAAATGACACGGGTAATGGTCAGAGTTAATCGAGCCTACTCCTCTTTGAGTTTGGCCCTATTAAGGCCCCTAGATATCCGCAGTTGCAAAAGGTATGTGGATCCTCAAAGGATCTAGCTCTTGTTTTCTAACAAATGAAGAGTCACCATAAGGAATCAGGCTCAGCTCCACCTAATGAATGGGGCTAAATCTCACAAACGGTCCCTGCATATTCCGCAATGTATACTTCTCTAAAAGGCATAGTCATGGACCCTGCATTCTAGCGTCGTAGAGGTTGTATAACAAAAATAGCTCCAGCCAAGATGCCCGAGATGGAAACAGGCGAGGCAAGGCAGACTTCAGTTCAGAATATTAGAAGAGCGGACAGAAATAGAATAGACCTTAGTGCTGCATGGATCATTTAAAAGCGAGATAGATAAGCCCAGGAGACACTTTTCTTGTGATATCTAATATTCTCAAGATTCGCTTTCTCGTACGATTCGGTATGCGGGTCAAGCTTGCCTTTCTCGCTGCAATTTTTTGCAACAACCTCGGCCAAGGTTTTGCCTGGTCAGTGGACAGTAAATCATGCGGCCGTAAGTTGATCCTTGAATTTGAAATATAGGCTTCGCTGAAACTTTGACCAGCCATCACTAGCAACATCGAAAAGGCTATGGAGAACTTGATGAAGTGGCCAGCAGCGGTGGAGAAGTCTCTGATCAAGGACAAGAGGATCAATGATATGGCCGCCAGTCTATTCAACGCGGTTGACTATGCCAAAGTCAAAGGTGATTTGACCTAGTTTAAATATATTTGCCCAACTGACACCGTCCTTTCTTTCTCAGAGACAATCAAGAAGGTCGGGGCTCAAAGCCAAAAGACTACACCAGGCTCGGGCGATCGCGAGGACCCCGTAAGTACTTTCCTAAACACCAGCACATACATGCTTCTAATTAATTGCACCTCAGATCATCTACTGTGACTTGGACCGCTATATAGTTATATCCGACAAGAAAGATCCGAAAAAGTTACAAGCGCTCGACACGATACATAATTATCCTATCCCGTATGAAGTTTATGAGGAATGCGAGAAACGCACCAAAGACACAACGGCTTATACCACACCCAAGACCAACGCGAAAGGGAAGGGGCAAACTGTCATCCAGCTCTGTCCTTGGTATCTGAAAGAGGTGGGCCAGACGCCTTTCCTCAACAAGAATGGTGAGCCACAGAACAACAAGCTACACAACGCTGCCGACATTTTGTACCAGAGCAGGGGTCTCTCCGTCCATGTTGACAATTTTGCACGTCTTGAGCTTACGCTTTTCCACGAGGTGCGTTTAGAATAGACTTCTACGTCGGTCTTGGCTATATGATTTCCTAATCTGGTTGCACAGTTTGTTCACACGCCCAAAGTCAAGTATCCTCCTATTGGCGACAGCGGGACGTATTGGGGCTCATGCACCAGGCTCACGGAAGCCCAAGCTCTCGACAATGCGGAATCATATGCAATGCTTAGTCTGGGTACGTGGGGTACAAAAGAAATACCTGGTTCAAAGGATATGCTGACAAATTCTAGCGACGTATCTGATGAGCACACTGGGAGCAACCATCAAGCCCGACGGTACAATTGAGTGGGAACAGGACGAGTTGTCTGCGGGACAGAAGCGATCTGAAGTGGTGGGCCAGCAATTCACGGCTTAGGCAATTTTTGTTCTCAGAGTACCTACAGCTAGTCCTGGTGTGTGATCAGTAATCGAATTTAGTCCACCTATAACAAGTTTCAAGTAGATGATCCACGTATACATTCAGAGCTTGATTCGAGGCGTAATCCTTTAAGCAATTGGAGTTCCGCATAAAATATATTTTTTCCAACCACAGATGGTCAAGTAATACATCTCGTTCTGCTAAAAATGCTACTTAATATTTAACTAGCCATTTAGGTGATTCGCCCATTACGTAGTCTTGTCTCTCCTAATCATGGGTCTAAATGGAAACTGTAATACATCTCTAAACCAGGGCATGCAGCGTTATGCACTAGGTCTCTACTAGAGGGTGGTGCGTTAATCCAGCCAATGGTGGAGACATAGACTATCTTGGCAACAGTTTGCTGCTCGGGCTTCATCCAGGGTAGCGCCAGCCTAGGTAATGGATATATCCACCCTCTCTTATTTTGCCCCTTGTTAGCAATTCATACAGCTCAGGTTCTTCCAACTTCAAGTGTTTTTCATTTTGACGTCGAGCCTTCTAACGGTCCAGTGCCTAGGTAAAAATGCTGTAAAATCTACAACAATATTGGTAGACTATGTTGAGTTTCAGCAGTCTTCAATGCCGCTAAGACTTTGATGGCTATCTTGCCATCCTCCCTGAGACGCACTAAGCCTAAATATGGTCGGGCCATTGGGGGGGGGGTACACGAATTTAAGGTTTAAATCTTGCACCCCCCGTAAGTACCCTAAATAGTAGAATTTTCCGATCGGGTCTTTTAAATCTTTTAATAAGATAGCCTAATGTTTTAAACGTTGTACGTTAATCATCGTCGACTTATACGATGTTATCTATCACCGACGACGTCGTAGTTAAGATGACGGAAGCAAAGAGGCTATATAAACAGAAGAGAAATGCTAGAAAAATAACGTCGGCTCTTGAAGCTTATATAGGGAGCTAACTAACGAGTCCTAATAGTGATGCTCCTATAAACGCCTAACGTTAACTCGCTACCTTCGATAAGTCAATGCCTAATTTACTAGTTTTTTTTCTACCTTTATAAGGAGACTGCTATAATTATATACTACTAGGATAAGGTAACATCTAAATAGCGTTCAAACTAATCGAAGTAAACCTCCTAAGCCTCTATAGGTAAAGTTTCATCAAGTCTATAGGTGATAAAGCTTATAATCTATTGGAATTGCGTATAGTGCATAAAACCTTGGTAGAAATCGTTCGTGCGCACTAATCTTAGTGCCACGATTATAGAAGAGAGACGAATCAGGATAGATCACAATCGACTAATCAGACAGAAGAATCAAGCAGTGGAAGGTTGATTCAGATGGTCTACTATGTCCGGTGATTCTTCCTAGGATAAAAAAGATATCAAACTTGTTCATTCTAACTAGGAAACAGTGCAATTTATAACATGAGGAACATAGCAAATATTATATAAGGAAATCAATAACATTCGAGGTTATTTTGGAGTGTGATCTTGGTAGAGCATGTTTTGTTATATTCGTAAGGAAATGGGTCTAAATGAGTGTAATCCGGTAGATACCGGCAGAATTCTGGGTGCCCGGGCCGTACGGATGATGTAATCAGGCCACACGTAGCCGTCAGGATCACATCCTCCCCTACCAGACGGAAGCTCGCCCACGAGCTTTTCCCTTACCCTGAAGGGCCCGGTAGCTTGCGAATATAGCCACCCGTCACGCATACATCGCAGAGGAGCCGTACGCACGTATCCATAAGCGGAAACATAAAGAAAGAATAAGAAGAGAGTACGGCTGATTGCTTGTAGTAGGGTTCGAACCTATAACCTGCAGGGCTGAAAGCCTGAGGTAGAACTTTCCGAATAGCTTCAACAAAGCCTAAAACGGCAGTTTCCTCAGAGCCTAGTCGTAGCGGGTATAAAGTCCCCCCTTCTGCCTACTACTTCTTACTTCCCCCCTTCGCTATCTCTAACCTCTCCCTGTCGGCCTGTTCTATTAGCCCACAGCGCATTTTTATCCCCTTCTAGGCGCAAAAGCTCCCTGTTGTTTACTCCTATAGGTCTAGAGGGTAGTAGCCTAATAATAAAGTCTACTAATATTTCGGCCTAGATTCGCTAGGGGATTAGTAGCGGTTTTAATAACCTATGCTTCGTGTCTCGCTATACCGAGCTCCGTCCGTATACTATACAGTTACGGAGGAAACGTCGTACGTCTTTCGCTGCTCCTAGCTAGAAGAACCGTCGAGACAGTATCGAATAGGTAGCGTCTCGCCTAGGATACGCCGTAACATATGAATCGTGGATCTTCTATATAATTCCTGTGCGTAGAACCTCGTTGTCTAGAATCTAGAGTCGCTATCTAAAGTAAAGCACCCCTCGATCGTCTAAATAGCACTCCGATAGGCTAGTCTTAATATTTGTTTCGGCAGCAATTCGGCGCTCTCCTGTTAGTAAAGCGTGGGAGATTCGTTAGTAGATCGAGTTAGACGCCCTTGCCTTTTTCTATTCTGCCTGAAGTTCCGGTTTATCAAAGAGGGGGATATCTCTTTCAAAATCGATCTCCTTACTAGGTTAGCCGTCGGCTAATTAGGGGTTTAGCCGACCTGTTTTAATCTTGACCCTTTTAAGTAGGATTCGGAAGCGATTCGATAGCCTTTCGTTAGTGATACTCTTAGGTATATCCTGACTCCGTCGTGATAATATATCCGGCCTTACTATAAGCTTACCAGGGCGATAACGGAGGTCAAAGTCGAACTCTATTAAGAGATCTGCCTATCGTATCTGCCGTTCGTTGAGATATTATGCTTTTCCGAAGTATCGAAGGTTCTTATAGTCCGTCACGATAGTGAATCGAGGCACTATTTTTAGCTCAGGTCTCTATTCGCGTAGAGCACGTATAATCGCTAGAAGCTCCTTATCGTGGATCTCGTAGTTTGATTCTACCGGAGATAGCTTCTAAGATAGGTAGGCGTATAGCCGTAGCTACCCGTCGGGTCTATATTACGATAGAACCGTACTAGTTGCCTAGCCGGAGGTATTAGTTTCTACGACTGTCTAACGATCCTCTTCGAAATATACTAAGATTAGTGCGTTTATAAAGAGCTCCTTTAGTTCCGTGAAGGCCTGTTAGCAATCGTCGTCCTATTTGAATATAGCGTCTTTCTTCATTAGCCGTATTAATAGTGCCGAAAGGTCGGCGAATCGTGGTATAAACGGCCGGTAGAAGTTCGTAAACCTAATAAAGCTTCGTATATCCCGTATAGACTTCGGTCTCTCCTATGCCCTAATAGCTTCTACCTTCTTTAGATTAACGTAAATCCCCTTTCTAGCCTCGACGATAAAGCCGAGGTACTTTACTAAGTCCTGTTCGAATTCCGATTTTGCAATATCATATTATAGGCTAGCGTCTATTAGTTTCTATAGCACTTCGCCGACCTTTCGGCGGTAATCCGCTAGCGTCCTGTTAGTATAGATGATTATATCGTCAACGTATACCGACACGAAGTTATCTAAGTACTCTCGTAGAGTCTAATTAATATACCTCTAGAACGTTGCTAGTACGCCGGTTAATCCGAACGGGGTTACGTTCTACTCGTAGAGCCTATATCGTGTCCGAAATGCCGTTTTCTATTCTTCTCTAGGGTGAATACGAATCTTATAGAAGGCTGCGATAATATCAAGCTTCGTAAACTAGCAGGCGTAGCCTATATTCCGTAGCGTCTCGCGAATTAACAGTAAGGGATAGCGATCCTTTACTATTCGTTCGTTTAACCCTCGGTAGTCGACACAAAATCGTACGCCGCTACCTAGCTTTCTAACTAACAAGATTAGTACTACTGTAGGTGATTAGCTTACCCGTATAAAGTTCTTCCCGAGTAGGTCTATTAACGTCTTTCGTAGGTAAAGAAGCTCTTCTTTATTTATACCGTAGAGGGGCTATATAGTAGTGGCTCTTCGATACCGTTTCGGTCGCGTTTTAGAGGGATCTTATAGTCGATCCCTAGCCGGTACGGAGGTAACTAGTCGGCTAGCTATTAGCTAAACGCGGCTAGCTATCGCTAATAGTATCTCGGTAGTTTATCCTTTAGGTCGATATACTTCTTAGGTCGTAAGGCTCTCTTAATATCGTCTAGCAAAACCTTGCCGATTCGTAGGTAATCCGTATCTGATACGCTCTATATAAGTTACCGGATAGATAGTACATCAGCCTATATAACGCGTAGTGCCTTTACTCTACTTAGCCTAATAGTACGATCTACGCGGTTCTAATATCTTATCCGCTCCCTAGACCTTATAAAGATATCTAGGTATCCTTTCCTTGCTAAATATCGTCTGTTCACGTCGTGTAGCTATAGGTCCCCGAGTATTATACTATCGCTTTAGGGTCCGATAATATACGTAAACACGCGGCCTTGTTACTAGCCGTAGACGTCGAGGTCGAAATAGGTAATATAGGTAATTTGTGAGATATAGGGCAGGATGTTATCAAGCCAGACCGCCATGCAGCATATCAAGCCAGATTCATAAGGCCTATACAAGATGGCTGAATCTCTATAAGCTTTATGCTATACCATCATCACTACGGTCAATGACATCGCTATACCATCATCACTACGGTCAATGATATCGTAGAAGACGTATACTATTGTATACGATCTACATCATCACTACGATCAATGACATCGTACAATCAAGCAACCACCGATCAAACAGCTACTGCATGAGATCACTATCTGTCTGCATGAGATCATCATGCATCTAGATCTAGGATCTAGAACGATCACATGCAAAAGAGGTTTGATAAAGATTGATTATAAATAAGCCCTGTTTTCTCTACAAAAATCATGTTCAAGACATACAAGCAAGATTCAATACAATCAACCAAGCTTCAGTCCTACTTTACTTTTCTCTCATCTTTATGATTCTAAGCCGAATTGAACTTATCCTTCCTATTCAATCAAGAGGAAGAAAGATCAATCGATCTTATTTAATCATCTTTAAT